ACAAAAGCACTTGTCCCTTAACAAAGCTATAAATAAAGTAGGATAGTATTTGTAATTCTGGCATAATCTTAATCAGAACATTTACATTCAGTTAAAAAGAATCAGTTCATTGCCTTAGTGCGACTGAAACTGGCTCTTTAAAAATCATTGAAACTCATTAGTCCAACCACAATAAATTCAGCTTCTCATAGTTGGACTAACTTACCAAGTTAAAGGGATATTCTGACGTAAAATTAATTTAGGGTCAAACACACTGTAACACCGAGTTAGACACCTCCTCAAGTGATGAATGTTAATGATCGCTTGCTTCTCTAGTTATACCAACTTTAGTAACGACTGCAGGATAGCAATACACACGGTCTGAGGAGCCATAAACAAACCTCAACCAAAACGTCACTCTGTAGCCACAAATAATGCTCAGAACAGCACCTGTTCTTCTGTCATATTTTTGTCTCAGTGAAATCGGCCAAAGCGTTCTGCACGTGCCCCAGTATTTGCACGCTGAGCTCTGAGATGGGGTTTGAACAGGATTGCTGCGTTGGCAGGGAGACGACCTAATAGTAGCGAGCTGAAAGGGGTCATGATGCCATTGACCACAGCAGAGGCGGACATGCTTTTCTACACTGTCATATCTTGTCCTCTACATGCCTCAATATTGACTTTTGTCTGAATAAATCTAACCTTGCTGACTGCTGAGAGTCAAAGTTTTAAAAACAGGGCTGTTCATTTAGCTGCTCGGCTAAAACCTGACCCTCATATCAGTTTAAGGCATCGGATAAAGTTAAAGAAAAATTATCAGTCCTGTCACTGATGCTCTTGCTCATTTCATAACATGATTGAAAGAATTTTAATGAGTCTCATAACTGTGGGAAAAATCCTCATGGGAGCTTTAACATTACACATGTTAAACTCTATGTTGAACGACTGGCCTGGCATGCATACTGCAGCAGATTCATGGATCATTTTGACAACATTGACACATGAATGCAGACATTTAGTTTTAGCCCAAAGGCAGACTCCTCCATTTTTAACGCCTTCATTTTTGTCCAAACCAATTTAGAGGTTGTGGCAATAACATCATAACAAGTGAACAGGTGAATAATTCAGACTGCTTGGCAAAGAAAAAAAAAACAATTTGTACAGAATGTACAATTAAGCTTAAGGACAAAATCACTAAAAATAGAGGTTTGAAAAGTATGCAATACCGAGCATGCTCCCACTTGAGCTGAACAATGGCTGTGTGACAGAATAGGTGGGGGGACTGCTGGGTTGATGCGTCAGTGGAGAGCAGGTGAGCAGGTTTGAAGGTTCTGCAGCTGTGCATGATTAGAAGGGATCCAGGAGCATGAGCAGCAAGAGAGGGGTTACCACGACTACAGCACAGAGCGAGCCTGCAGTCATGTGGTGCTGGGAGAATCCAGGCGTTCAGTGCCCACTGAGAAAATTAGGGTGAAATCTTCTCCTTGAATGATTGACAACTTGGAAAGCATTGGAAATCCTCGTACCCCCTTTAAAAGTTGTCAGAAACTGTGATATTCTGGAGGGTCATGACAGGCCAAATAAATGTGGATTCAATGGTCAAAAACTTTTTATTGATGCAGTTATTTTCAATAATGTTTTGTTAAACTGTCAGCTTCCTTTAGAGTGAGAGTAATCAGGTGTGGGCGATAAAATGTTCTATTTTATTTTAAGATTCTCATACACTTTGAGAAATGACCGGAATGACCTCCATATCAGGAACAGGGTAGATCGAAGCGGCATGTGAACACAGCATGAGTCATGTGTGTCAGGTGGTGGACAGAACAGACTGTCTCTTTCCGTTCTTTTATTAGACGAACAATACACCAGGGCTGCTGCATTATGGCAGAACACAAGGTCACAACGATTTATGTCAATGCTGAGATAACTGTTATTAAATGCTATTACTGATCATTGTTGACAACATCTGCATTACATGAATTCATTCTCACCTGAAAACCCCGAGGCCACAAAGAAAAGTTTTTATGACCTTTTGACTTTGAGGACACGAACAGGTAGAAGTAAATTCTTAGAGTCACGGTTGACAATCTGAGAAGCAATCGAAAAAAACTGAGCCGTTGAGGCAGATTTGAAAAAAGCGTCCCACCCCCCACACATGAACCTCTCCCCTCTGTGCTCCATGATAACTCCCCCGAACCTGTATCGCCCTCCCCACGACACACCCCCTCTGGCAGAGCAAGAAGCCAACTGACAGAAGATCCTACGCTAGCTTCAAATAGGATTCACCATGTCGGATTGCGAGTGACTAGCGGTAATAAACTAGTGAGCAGCGTCTGCAGCTGCCTGAACAGCTACCATGTTGACATTGCAGAGACTAATATGAGTTATTTCTGTAAAATGTGCCCCGATAAAAGGCAAAATTACCAGTTCAACAAAAACTCTGCTGTCTCGGCGTCTGTTTTCTCCACCGCTCGAAGGATGACTCGACGTTTGTTCAAGTTAGATTTCTCGCTTGGTCACATTTCCTCTTCGTCTCTGCCCTTTCTTCTGTTGGCTTGTGTTTTCTTCCCACTTTTAGCGGTGGGGCAATCAGAAGTGTTTTTTTTTTTTGCGTCCTTCTCCATCACAGCTTCTGTAGCTAAGCTGCTACGCTACTTTTAGCTGCTCAGAGCTCCGAGGAGGGCCGGTAGAGCGGGAGGGGACGAGTACAGTGAGGTGATTGGATGGTGAGGTGGAGCAGGAGATTTACCAATACTAGCTGTTTGTGACGGATGGCTCCCATTGGTCAGTGTTTTTGCAGCCCTGCAAGCAAACTAGGGGAGCCCTCCTGGGCTCCGATTAGATTTTCCTTACGGCTGTGAAACGTCATCGTCTGTCAGGTTAGGGTTAAGATTAGGGTTAGGAGATTCAGAAGCGCAATAATGTTCTGTTCGATGTACAGAGCCATGTCCAGCTTCTGTAGCCAATCACCCTCGTGTTATTATTTGTTTGTACTCGGCTGCAGGGGTTTAAAAAAAAGCCCTGTCTCTCTCTCTCAAATCTTCAATCAGCCTTTATTTGCTGTTTGCTGGAACTGAAAACAACATCCTGTCAATTACCGCCACTCAAGATATTTATGTAACACATCCTTGATGTTCTTGACTCTGATTATGAGCCAGATTGCAGTTGAATGACTGTTTGGCCCTGAAGGTCACCGCCAGGTGAAGGACGCTCTGAGAGCTTCAATCACCTGCAGTATTTCTAAACCTTCAGTCTCCAAAAGGCTGATTTTAGGTGGCGGACGCAGTGTTTTAAGGATCTCTAATCAGTGTGGCCACATCTATAAGCTGTACTCTATTCTTACACTGAGAACTTCTGTGGTTAAAATAGAATATACCAGACGGACACAGAGTAGGATTGGGAAGACATTTATTTCATATTGAAGAGTTTGGCCTTGACTCATTTTCAGCTTATACACAAACTGAAAGGCCAGAAGTTTTTCGATTGTGTCTGATTTCAAAAGCTTTTACTTCAAAAAGTTTGAGTCCAGATCACAGCTGGATATTCTCTCTTAGCTTTGGGATGTTTCGCACCAACTGGATATTTATTTTACTTTTTTTCACTATATCAGTTATTTAGTCCATCGTGTCAATCACGGCTGAGCATCTGTATGTTCAGGCGGTGATCAAAAGCATTCATTATCAGGACATCCGCATGACCTTTCTTAGTGTGTTTGGGTCTTCACATGCAACCTATTTATCTTCAAGGCTGCGTCCACAAATATACATGGATGGATCCAAAAGAAACAGATCCAGCATGCACAACCACTTTGTACTGTGCAGCCCCTTTCTCTTTCAATCAACAGATATTTTCTGGAAGTTGACGATCACATTCGCACCTTCCAACAGGAGTTTCTCGATGTAAGAAACCCCCTTACTACATGTGAGAGTAATATGAGTAGGATTTTTCCATATTGGTGACGATCTCCTTGTTAATATATAAAAAAATGGTGTTATTATGCCATAAAGAGTGTTTTCCAATACAAACACAACAGTAGAAAACACAGTACTGGCGACTAAGGTGAGTAGTAAAAGGCACAAAGTAGAGAGACTCAAACTGAACAACATCAAACCGCCCACTCAGTAGACGCCAATCTTCAGGACTGTTACCTGATGTGATCCCACATCCACTCAACGAGACTTCGAACAAAGATTTCACTGCAGGTCTGCTGGGGGAAATTCAGGGAGGGGTCTAATTTAGCAGATTGCATTTACACCCACAAGAAGTGGAAAAGTCTGTATGGTGCACGTGCAAACGAAAAGCTTAGCTGGTCTGCAGATACAGGTCTTACAAAAACAGCAGTGTTTGAACATCACTTTATAACTCTTTATTTGTTGCTTCTCTTGTGCACATCCAGGAGCAGAGATGTGAGCGTGTGTTTCTCATGTACAGAACAGCTTATTAGCGTTGCTTGTTATTCAACCCTATTATCAGGACTGATTGCTGCTGTGGTATCTGTGCAGGAGTGGAGAATAATTTAACAGCTCTGTGCTTCTGTTTCGATTCAGGCTCTGAAAAGAGTGAGGTTGTCAGTTGCTTTGTGTCAGAGAACATGAATGTGGGCTTTTACTAGACTTTTCCTGTCATGTCGTGTGTGTGTGTGATTTTAAACCAAGAGTAAGTATCCCAGGACGCAGAGGTCGGAGCCTGTATGTTGATTTTTCGTGGTCAGTTTATGGGGTTTGCAAATACAGGTCACCATTTTTATTAGCGTTGTGACCTGTGCATGTGCAAAATAGAGGTTTGACATGCATAGAAAGAGCAGCAAAGGCAGGTAAGTGAACATTTGTGTTCATATATGCATTTTTAAATCTATGTGAGGTATGTGACTTCCTGTCTCAGCATGTGAACTAATTCACGTCAGATTCAATCGACCTGTCTTTTCCTCGTGAGAGTGCAATGCCTTATAATGGCCTTTAATACTGGTTGTGTCTGAGCATATAGCAGTCCGTTAGAATAAGAGGCTAAAAGGTCATTTTCCTCTAAATATGAGTTTCAAAAGCATTCATCCTCCCCTCAGAAGTGCGAAAAGATGTGGCAGCATCCTTCACTTGGTGGCTGATCTGGTCTTCAGGCTCTGTGATCTGCAGGTCAGACATCGAGAAGGCTGTTCTTCTTTCAGGGATTCTCTCTATTGTGTAAAAATCTTTTCTTGGCTGTGAAGAGCTTTTGTTTTCCACCTGAAAGAGAGAAAAGACACAATGTACCTCCAGTTAGGAGCTGAAATCAGACAATGAGCTCGATCTGATATTGAGAGAAGCAACACAGATAAAAACTTCCTCTAAAGAAATCCGACACCCTGTCCAATACATTAATGAAAACTGCATTTTTATGCAAATTTTACAGTTTCGACTCTTCTCGAATTAAAGTTACATTTGATAAAAATGTTCTCATATCCATAATAAATACAGGAATCAAATACTCCGACAAAATGACATTAAAAGCAAGTGTTGCCCTGTTTTTGTGAACATTTATCTTGTTATTTTTGTTGTTTTACTAAATTAAGAGTCAATTCTGATTTGGTTTTTAAGTCACATGATTTTGAAATTGGGCTGAATTTCGCCATATCACACATCACTTGCCACATACACACAACAACCAGCCACAACATTTTGACCCCCTGCAATTTAATGTTTTTAAGTGCCTGACCTTAAAATCAGCTGTAATGAAGCTTCTACACGCTTAGACTGAATTGTTATCCTCAAAGTAGGACTGGGTGATCAACCGAAAGTTTACAGATACCGAAATTTACAACAATAACAATCATTTTGCCCATATCTGTATATTCGGTGTCAAAAACATAAATAAAAGTTGGTTTTGGATGTGTGTAGGTGGGCTGTGGTCTCATGTCCCTTGGAGAAGCTGTCCTATGTCAGAGATGTGACTCCACCCCATCCAGTCTGAAGTAGAGGAAGTTAATGCTGGAGAGGGTGAGCAGCTTGTGGAGTAGTTATCATCCATTTATCGTTATCGATGTGAACTGCTCAATGTATCTTGATATTGATTTGAGGCCATATCGCCCAGCTCTACCTCAAAGTCATCTTGTCTTCTCTGACTACAGCTTCCATTTGTTGAGTTCTTAAAGGAAACTTAATCAACATTTTTTTTAAAGCAGTTAAAACTGGTCAGATCCAAGACCTGGCAGCAGTGCAAAGTTTTATCATTACCATTATGATCAACATTAGAGTCATCAGTATCATGATCATCATGAATATCCGTCTCCAAAACCAGCAACATCCTCAAAGGGTCAGGGTCATAATTTTTAATATCGTGGTGATTAACATCATCGATAGCAGTGTCCTGAAGTTTAAAAAGAGAGAGCTGGGTGTTTTTCCTGACTGGGTGAAGTCTTGCTGTGAACACTCTGCACATAAGCACGGTCTTTCAAAGCTGAAGACGGTCTGTATTCTATAATGATACTCAGCGCTCCTCTGCCTGACTATTTCCTCTTGCTTTGTATTGTGATTTTAAGTGGCATGAACAATCATGAATGGCCTTTCTTGTTCAGTCTCTCAGGTATTTTCAATGTTTTTCTCTGCAGCAGTCGAAGCCAAGGATGTAAAGCCTTTTAGTGCACATTGTGACCATGTCTTTGTTTGTTTTATTAGCTGACTGATTCTGCTTTGTTGCAGTTGCTCTTTTTTTCTTCTAAATCCCCACCTCGAGGAATCATGATGACAAAGAGCCCTGTTAGTGTCAGGGAGCAAGAACAATTTTTGCATGGCCAACCCAACGTTATGGATCTGGATGCAAAGTAAGACTCAAGATATGAGGAAGTTGTATGAAGTAGGTTTTAGGTAAAAGCCAAATTTGCCTGTATCAATATAGTAAACTGTAATTTATGGGTCAATTCCAGATCTTGTAGATTCACTTCCTCTATCATTATTGCTGTCGGCACATATAAGCCGCTAAATGAGATAATATAAATTTCTGTTATATCCACTGCACAAAAGAAATGATGAGTCACTGGTTACATGTACACATGAGTCAAAGCAGTAAAAACTCAGAATCTTTAAATCTACAGACACTCTGTACGATGCAAAGACTGATGATGATGTGAGGAGGCGGTAACACAACGGCCCGCAGTTATCTGTCTGTTCCATCAGCAAAATCAATTTGGTTGTTTATGAGTTAATGCACCACTTCTGGCAGATGGGAGGCAGCGTGCGGACAACATGTGTGACAAATGGAGTGTGAGTGCTTGGTGAGCCTAAATACAGTTCACAGCCAAGAAGTCAAATCAGGATATCACCAGCTGAATCTTCTCTCAAGGACATGCCCAGAACCCGATGTCCTAACCTGATGTTTTTCCGTTGTCTGAGAGGACACACAGTCAGTACATTTATATGACACTTGAGAAAAACAAATAATTGCCTACACTGATTGAGACCGGACAACTGAATTGCATGAGTTTGAGAGCACTCTGATTAAGACATACAGATAATTAGATCATTAGAATTCGGTTTTCTCTACCATGTAACCGGCACAGTCGGAGTAAGATCGGACAATGCACCATGCCCCTGTAACCCTGGAACAAAAACACCAAAGAGGAGAAGCGTGCACCTCATCTGAAGAAAAAGTAGCATGTACATAATGTACGACAAAAACAACACTGTACGATGCTCCATCTTCCTGCTCAAAAATGCCCAGCAGCAGCTGTAACCACTTCTGACATCTGGCACAGACCTGCTGTTGTTGTTGACAGCTGTATGGGGTCTTAAACAGCGCTGCTGAAAAGACCCATATCACCCCCTAGTTTGGGGGAGAAGGACATGTTCGATTTTCTCAGCTGCATGTATACGCGGACAAGAAGAAAAGTCTGATTTGGCAAAAAAAATATGAGTTTAGTCTGATTAAGCTGTGCATGTAAATGCACTGAGCGACAGTCATTGCACAGACCTCTTATTGCTGCTTCAGAATAAACTACTAAACCTGAAAATTCAGTTTTTTTAATGAAAAATAAAAGCTCATTTTAAATTTGATACCAGGAACTCATTTCCAAAATCGTTGGGACAGGAGGATGTTTACTGTTGTGTTACATCACCTCTTCTTTTAGCTGTCATTAGTGAGTTTCTAAATGAAATCATTTTTCCATTCTGGCCTGATAAAGGATTTCAGCCGTTCAACAGTTTGGGTCTCTCCTGCTTCATTTTGTTTTCATGATGTGCCAAATGTTTGAAATGGGTTACAAATGAGAACTGCCAACCAGCCAATTAAGCACCCAGACTCTTCCAGGACAGAGTAATGCTGTAACGTGAGCAAATTGCAGTCTGGAGCTGTAATTTCTAAAAATTATGTCCTATTTTGTTTTGTTAGACCACAGGGCAGTTGTGATTTTGCGCCCATGTTGGGGCATTCAGTGCTAGTTTTCTGCCTTGTCCCTTATGTACAGAGATTTCACCAATGTGCTGTAGATAATGTTGCAGTCATGTTGCAAATTATCCTAATAAGTATAATCAGCACATATTTTTCATAAAACCAATGATATTTCACTTTTGACATTTGACAAGTTATCTTTGTCCTATTTTTAATTAAAAAGGATCTGAGTGATTTGCATACCACCTATTTGTATTACCTTTACAACAGTGTCCAAACAGTACGACCTAATAATGGTGAGAATAAATTGCCAACCTATCTTTTTTCAATGAAAGTCCCCTGAGCAGGTTTCTTTTGATGTGAAGGCCTTCGTTGTGACATGCAGTAAAATAACCCAAAGGCTGAGGAATTTTCTCTTTCATCAATTTGTTATACAGAGTGTCTCCAATTTTCCGGCCTGAATCACTTCTTTTGAGCCTTTTTATTTGTTTGTGTGACCTCAGCTGACTCCAACTGGTGGACCTTGACAAGAGCCAACGTAAACCAGTTAAAATTAGATTATTATACCGGCAGCAGCTTTTATTTTTGATTTTTGTGCTGAAATTTTGACCACCGCAAGTTTTCCCTCTTTTGTCACATCCTTGGATAAAGTATATCGAAAGGGACTTTTTATTCTTTCCTTCCCTTCAGTTAAAATGCATTTCATTTTAACCCTAACCCTAACAGGTTAGATAACAGTTTTCAAAGTTTTTGGTCTGTCCCATGTAATAATTTTTAAAGGCTGTGGCTCGGCTTTTTCAGCTGGACTGACTCCAGATAATTCCAGATGTCAAGGTGAGATTCTAGCAAAAGCGTTGAAAATAGAAGAGTTGCGCCATTATGCACAAGGAAATACAACTACTCAAAAACTACATGTCATTCATTTAGGACATGTAACAGCATGAATCATGCACATGACTACCCTGCTGTTCTCAGAATCCATATAAATTCAGCTCAGTTTGAAATGAAGGAAAGTCTGCGAGTGAAAAAGTTAACGCAACATCACGGAACGAGAAGTATGTATTTTTTCGTTTTGTTTTTTTTTCAGCTTATTTCAAATAAAATCAAAATCGTTTTGAGCTCAGAAAGGCTGAAGTATCCATTCATAGACAGAGACTCAGAGTTGTCACATGCTTCACGCGTCAATCCTCATGTGTCTGTCCTTGAGTGTTTTTCTATCTAACTCTCTGCAGTTCAACACATAACTTAAATATTTGTTTCAAACTTGCAGTAGTGACACAAATGTCTAACATCTATTTTAAATAAACTGATGATCTGTCCGATCTGATCTATCATAATCCCCTCTGTTGTCCTGTGTCAGTGAAGTAAAGCAGTTAACTCTTTACTTTTTTGTGTGGTTTAATACTGAACTTTTTCATTGTTGAATTCATTTCACAGTAATGGATTAAACATGCAATAATAATGTCAGTATCTGTTATTTTGTGACCCCCAGGTGGTCCTGAGTCCTCACTTTGGGTATTTTAGGTCTAAATCATGTAAAATAGATACATTTAAAAAACACGCACACTCTGTTGCCCACCAGTTTGGCCTTGTGGTTTACCCTTTATGTAAAGAGGCTTGAGTCCTGAAAGCGGGGGACACTTAACCTTCTCATTGGCGTCAAACTTCACCAAAGACTGCACTGTAGGTGAAGGTAAAGCAGATGGTACCGCAGCACTTTGAGAGTTTTTCATGTTATACAAACGGCTCAAAGACCCTGATGTCTACTTGAAAAGTTTGACTGGTGCCCAATCTGTTTTTCTGTTTTTTTCTGCATCTTAATAAGAAGTGAAATCCTGTTTTTCCTAAAGACTGTACCACTAAAAGGTAAAACCAGAAAAGTCCAGTCTATGTGATCAAATAACAAGGACTGATTATCTTCTCTACAAACACAGAATATCTGTTTTTTGTTTGCTAATTTGTGCACCTTAAATAAAATGTAATACAATCTGATATTAACTAACCCCTATGTATACTCTACATAATCACATATGTGAGTCTGACTGATGATAGGAAAACACATTCACAGTCCACAGTGAAAAGGCAACTGTGAATTTTCATCTCACTCTGAATATTAATGTTTCAGCTCTCTTCACATCAAAACAAATCATTCACACAAACAACATTTTCTCCTAAGAGCCTTGAGAGAGAAAATCTTCCAGCCTTGCTTGCTGCAGAAATAGTGTCATTGCCTGTGTTTCCGGGGGTTAATGGCTGCCTCCGATTCAGAAAACTGTGATTTTAACTTCAAACGTGTCAAAAATGATGACGAATTAGCATCACTCCAGCTCTGAAAGGTTGTTAAAAACATCCACTCACTGACGTAGTTCGTGTTTGATTTCTCACACTCTCATTATTACGCAGGAAATCTATTTCTGGACCGTCTACAAGATTGACTTTGAACACGCCACATGTGGACAAATGAATAGATTAAGGCTGTAATTGTGCGGACAGCTTGACGTTATTCAAGAGCGTAAGATTCTTTACTGAAATGGCCTGAGACTTAAAAACATAATGACTGACTGGTGTTTGAGACAGTAAGCCACGTGTGATCAAACTGGTGTTTTATCTCAAGTTTGAAGTAACATGCTGTGATTTAAGTGCATTTAAAAATGTTGTTAAATGATTTCAGTCATGTTATTAGTATAATGTGGACCTCTGTTGATTTGTGATTGAAATAACACCCGAACCATAGAGTTTGGTGAGGTGCATTTGCAATACTTCAGCAAACTTTCCAATTTACAGACATTTCTGACCAGAAACGCCAACATCCTCCTTGTATCTGAGAGCAGCATCCATGAATCTTCACAGATATACTGTGTTTGAACTTTTCCTGGATTTGGATCACAAGGATGCTCTCAATTACAGGGGTAAGGGAGGTGAATCGTTGGATTACTAATGGGTTTTAACATTAACTCTAACTCTGATTAGTTGGATTCCCCTGAAACTGATATTGAAAATTACGATGCACTGATTAAATATCATTTTTTTGGGAAATATCACAGTCCCCTGATTCAGATTCTGTGTGGCAGCATCTGTAAGGAGTTTATGTCATTTTTAGTGTGGCAACTTCAAGCAGACGGCTCACTCTGAACTTTAACTTCGCAACTTAACAGTAACTTCCCTTAAACTCAGTGGGAGTCCTCATTTTACGGAGATCTTTTCGGCACTGAATTTACATCTAGCCTCATCTAGATGAATTGGTTCTCCTTTTTCGATTGGTTGTGAGCTAAATTGTTCTTGAAGGAGCAGATGTCAACAGAAGTTTGGGTCAGGTGACGTCGGAACCACAGTTGTGTGTAGTTTGTTAACTCAGCAGTATTTCATTCTCACGGTGACTGTGACAGCTCTATTTTCCACTAGCTTGTGAATTATCTCTATTAAAGCCTGGTTCTGTGGTGCACCTAAATTTTATTGTATGTTTTTGTACAATAGGGCATCTCATCTTACCTTTACTACATGTGTATTGCCAATTTAAACCCAATGACACAAGACATAATCATACTCAAGTGTTATCTACCTCTGTCGTGTTTTAAGGAGTTGTAGTTATCTGCTACAACAAGGAAGTTTTCAGAGTGATCAGTGTTTCTTGGAGTAGAAAAGCAACTAAAACTTGTATAAACTAAGAAAACATCAGAGAGAGTCAGAAATACATTGCTTGAACCAGAAACAGCAGGAAGTACTCCATTATTCACTGGATGTTTCGCTGCAGTGCCTGAAAAAAAAGGAATTTTAAAAAAAGTTTCTGTTGAGAAATATGTGATTTTTTTTCTTTTTTAAATTGAATGTGCATATTTTAGCATCTCTTTCTTGCTGTGGATAACTGGAGATTTGTCTGATAATATTGTATAGTTAAAGACTATAAAAAAATTTTTTTTAGCTAAATAATCTAGTTAGAAACTTGAACTTTTCCTTGAAAGTGTTGATAAAAAGTTTTAGACGACTGAGTATCTGTTCTCAAACTCTAACATCACAGTTTGGATCGAGACTTTGCCTACTTCTGCCTTCAGGCGAGATAGAAAACTAAGTTGAGGAATCTTTCTCTGAATTTTTGTGTTGAACTCGTTCAACAGGACAAGATTTGGAGTCACGCCAGCAGCTGTGAGACCTTTCTCTGTGAGGATATTAAGAGGCCGCTAACAAGACAAGGACGAGGTGATGAAGAGGCTATATGAGGAGGTGAGAAAGCTCTCAGAGGGGGGAAGTGGCTCAGATTGTTTGAGAGTGACTCACCTTTCACTCAAACATGTAAAAGGAGGTCAAAAACATACAAAGGCATATGCGGCTATTCACTGAATGACCATAAAGTATCACCCTAATAGAATATACAATAAGATTTATAGACACTTAAGTTGTCCGGTCTTAATCGAAATAAGGCAATAATTCGGTTTTCTTAAGTGTCATGTAAACGTACTAAGTGACAGGAAAAGTACCCATAACTTAAATTTGACTCTTTTATTGTGTAATGACAGAGTTCTCACATTATTCTCACATTGACTTCTTTATTCTATGAACAGTTTTACTTGTTTTAAACCCTACAGTTTTTGACATTTTCAGACATGGTCACAATATACATGGACTACATTACACTGGACTACTTGATTGAGATGTAATAATTGTTTTGTTCAGTGAAATCACCTACTCTCTTTTTAAACCCAGCACTGTGAGTGTGACCGCAATAAAATAAAAATGTGGTCTAGTACGTCTTTAGTTTGTTATCTTCTGTCAGCAGAAAGATAGTTCCCCTTTAACCTTTTAAAAATACCTCTTAAGTAAAATGTAAAGCATTTCCTCCTCTTCCTCCTGGTTGTAATGTTGTCATTTACCTCCAGCTATGTGATGACATTCTGCTGACTTTAAAAGGTGGGAGCCCTGAGTGCCATCAAAGGCTGTGCTCTTTAATTAGGTAGTTAATAAATCAATGATTAATTAACCGGCTTGATATGACTCTTTTGTCTCCTGTGCCTCACCCACATTAAATTTTAGTTTAAGGAGGAAAGTGGAAGCGGACCTTCAATGCTGCTGTCATTTTTAAAAATACTTAATTTAAATAATAATGTCATGTGAAAGCTTAATTTATTATACTGCATTTTAAAAAAAACTCCAATTTAACAACTGAATAAAAGCTGAATAAAGTGAATAGTGAGCACCTAAAGTTTAGAAGAAGTACATGGAGTTTGGAGTTTGTTGGACACATTGACTCGAGTGCTTCTAACATGAACTTCTGCCACCCACACACCTTTCTGTTGACGTTTGAGGTCTGCTTGAAGTCGTATTTCTTGAAGGGATTCGGATGAAATTCCTCCTCGTCCTCCACTCTCAGTCTTGGAATGGCCGTCATGGGGCGAATGACCCCGGGCTTCGTCTGACAGGCAGGGACGGAGGTAACAACAGAGAGGGATGAATGTAAAGAGTTGCATGTCAAAAACTGAAAATAACAGGATGATAAGAGATACTGCTTTGCCTCCAGGAACAAAGATCCATCAACAAATGATATATTTTTACCTTTTTGGTTTCCATGAACTTTCTTTCCACACCTGTAGATGGATGCAGACTGGACAGAGATGCCTGGGAAAGGAAAGAAAGTGTGGGAAATACTAATCAAAGAATTATTAAAGTTACTGAACCGCACTTCTTAAAGGTGGGGTAGGCAAGATTCTGTTGAAGAAGCATCATTTTTTGTGGTGTATTCACAAAAAAAGCTTTTAATATCAGCCAATAAACTGAGGTCAACAAGCTAAACTGTCCTCCCTCGGGTCCTGGACTATGTCACTTTATCCTAGTTGTAGAAGTCCTGCAAACATTGTGTTTGCTGGTAGTCTGTTGGCATCTACAGTAGCACCAGTGCTGTTTACTTTCACATTGACTGGGCCCCATTTGTAATTATCTGAAGTATTTATCTGCATTATATCTGAATTTGATTGAAACGATACGAGCGAGCAGGAGCGTCTGTTTGTGGGCGGCGCTTGCTGGAGCAGAGAGGGAGGAGAGAGGAGGAGCTGAGGGGAAAACTGGTTTGGAGGGGTAGTGTTTACATTCAAGATTTCTCCTAAAAACTGGCACTACTTTTAGATCCAGCCTACCCCACCTTTAATTCACAACCTGTGCAGCATTATAACCCAGATCCATTTGAGTGTTTGGATTATTTAGTAAATCATGGCTTTGTGGTAGTATTGCAGTGCCACATTAACACTTCGGAGATTGAAACTCCTGTTGAGCCTCTAACTTAACAAGTATTCACAGATAAGTAATATTTTGAAGTGGCAGATGTGGATCGTCTCTTTGGGTTTCAGTCAGCATGAAACATATTTCACTTCAACGAAAAAGCACTGGCTGTTACTCACATATTTTGTTTCACGTCCCAAGGACTTCAGAAATGATGAATTTTTCTGCTGAAATGAACAAACACAGGAATGAAACGAAAGGATTCATCTGAGGGGAAAATTGGAAAGTTCAATGACAAAATAATTTATCCGTTTTATCAAATATGTGACAACAATGAATGACAGGACAATAAAGCTGAAACGCTATTCATTAACTGAATAAATGTGAACTTGGGTAAACTTAGTCTACCTTTATTTGTTATAGTTTCTCAGTCATTTTAACTTCATGAAGAAAAACTGCTGAAAAAACTCAAAAAGTTTAGCGGATGTTCACAGTTTTTATCACCTAGTTCTTGAAAAGCATCTTTCAACACAACACACGTCCAACTGATGTCAGCATCAACACTTTTCCTTTTTACACACATATCACACACACAGGCACACACACTTGAATTGAGACCACCAGCCCTTTGATGAATAATGAACAGACGCCTTTTTTATTTCTTGTGCCATTGATTAAACAGACGGAATTCACTTTTATCTCGCTTCCAGTTTGTGTTGCGCCAAAATTAGTTTGGGAACCTCGTTTCCAGCCCTGAAAGTTGCACAAGTTTTTCCTTCCTCTTATTTTAGCTTGGTTTCCTAAATCTATCCTCCAGCATAAACACATATATAGTTTGAAGACATGGCCCCCGGGTCAAAAAGATTGCATCTCTGGTTATTTGATATTCGCTGAAGCTGTGAATTTACACTCTAAAGAAGAAGTATAAGATGATGAAATGTTGTCACTTTGAGTGCAAAAGGTTCGCTGGAACTGACGAAAAACTGACGTCTTTGAAATAAAACAAGCAGAGAGGTTTCCTGGAGATTTTTCTCTTGGAGAAGCTCATTGATTATTCATGCCAGTTTGTGTTGTTGCTGTTGTTGTTTAATTCTGCTTTAAAACTCATTTGATTTCAGTCAAACTTTGTTCTTAAGGATAATAAGAGTTTCTTGATAAAGACTGCAGGCTCATCCTGGGGAAGTCAGTCATATCAGCACTCTCAGTAATTCTGTGGAGATGCCTTTAAAGTGTATAAAATAAAATGAAGTGCTCTCTGGTGGATATTTGAGTAAATAATATTAAAACAAAGAGCATTTTTTTTGCCTGCACAGTGTGAAATATAAACAAAGTGCCTTCTGGTTACTCTTCCGGTATCCCAGTTAGTTTCTTTACCTGATTACATGTTTGATTGTTATGCAAGTCTTATGGAGCGCTCACACCAAGTGTGAGTAAAACCACTTACTCTCTTAATTCACGCAAATCTAGATGTGTGAATGAATAGTATTTACTCGCCTCTTTCACCTGCCTTCAGTTATAAACCATTCACACCTTCAGGGAGGGTGTGTAGAACGACGTGTGTTTAAGGGTCGTTGTAATTCCGGCCGCAGCCTACAGGGGGATAGCCTCGTATGGACTTAAACACTCACACAGCTTCAGGTCGCCACTTGGCTAGAATTAAAAAAACTTCACCAGAGTGTGTTACACATGATTTTAGCATGATTTAAAGCATGACCAAGAGGGGACCTAAAAAATGTCCCCTGTTGGCTATGCGGCTCCTCTTGGTGAAACTGTTACGATGCCAAGTTCCCCTCTTGGATAGGTAGGAAAGTACACACACACACACACACACACACAGTGCTGATCCACCCTGCCTGCTCCGACAGAAACAGAGTGAGAAAGTTTTGCTTGTTTACTTTACAGAAAAAACAGTTCTTTCTATTCATTGCTTCAATTTTTGAGACTTTTTGACAAGTATTTTGCAAATTTTGTACAATAAGAGTAAATATTTAACTAATCAAGCAGCCTGTCAACAGACAAATGAGAAATTTGGACCAATTGGCATATTTACATGAGCACCTATAATCCAGTTAGATGAGCAAAAAAGGCCCAATCAGACTCATATAAACACTTGGATTAGATTATAATAACATTTGAATTACGATCAGCACCTCAGACGTGTAAATACCAGATTATATAAATAAAAGACAGAATTACAATTGGCAAAGTTTCAATCAGAGAAGAAACCAGTGGTCGTGTAAGCCCATCTGCTGCAGCAGTTTCCCCAAATATGTCGGTATTTTGAGTCGTTGATAAACTCTCTGTTCTCGTCATGATCTGATAAAGAAATCAACTTTACCTGCGGGCCAGCGTTGGTGGTTGCTGATGACGTTTTGCTCTACAAAAGGTGCAAAAATATATCCAACAGTTCACTTTTTATATTTCAGATGAGCTTTTTTCACAGTTAAAATTTGCTGGATGTACTAAGTTTACTCACCGGTGGAGCTGAATTGGCCAATATCTCATCAATCGTTGCGTACAGCTCTGCTGACTGCTGCCGAAGCTGCGAAGGTGAACACATCTGTAAAAAAGCAGAGGATGCTGTGAGCCGTGTGAAATACTCTCAGAGATAACAGCGTGTGATGTGCGCAGTGATACCTCAGCGTGTGTGTCTGCTACACCTCCATACGGCGTGTCCCATGGACTCTCTCCTCGCTCTACCTGCTCGTCTATCACCTGTGAAAGTGAGGCAGATTGTGCACATAAAGGCGGCTGCCCTTTGTGAAGTGTGATCAGATAAACTGACAAAATCAGGGCAGCAGGGTTCAGATTCATCTGGTTCATACTCTCCACAAGCAGCAGCGCGCCTCCTGAATGTGTCATAATTTCCTGGACATGGAAAATTAGTCTTTCTTGACCAAATAAAAATCCTCCTTCCTTATTTTAACAGCTAAATTTATCATTTAATGGGATTTTCTTGCCGTGGACATATGGAGTCCCTTTAATGATCAGCTGAAAACTCCTCACCGGAGCTTTAATGCTTCAAACCAAATCAGTTTCCTGAAAGCCCAGACAAGGACGCTTGAAATTCGTGGAAAGAGCATAAATAATCTGTACAGCCTGTTATTTAATCTCGTTCCTCTAATAATTGTGTTCGTACAAACTCCCATAAAAGCCTCCCGTAATAAAAGGAAGGGATTAGATTGAAGTGAGGAACTCACCTGCTGATCCAACAGTAGAGTGTTTGTGGGAATCGCAGCGAGTGATTTATAACTCTGTTTAATCTTGTGCATCTGGAGTTCAAAAAGACAAAGAGGCAGAAAACATAATAAATATTTACCGCTGACATTTTCAAAGCAGATTAGGATAAATCTTGTTAAAACGTACTTTAAACATCTCCAAGGGCATGCTTTATCTGTAGCTGCCGCTGGCTGCTAATCATGCACAGCAGTTAGACTCCATCCACCTGGGAGGAACGTGATAGCAGTGATGAATGAAACTCAGCAGGAAGACCGTTTTCATGCTTATCCGTTTACTCTCAAGTCATCACTCATTCATGTTAAATCCTCCTCCAGTCTGTATCGTCATGGTGATTGGTGAATTATGGGCGGTAACTCTTTCAAGCACTAAACCAACCAGAAATAATCTCGACATCAATCATCCCACAGCTGACGCAAATTTAAATTTGTTATCCTCGGTGCTGCTTAGACTACGTTTACACGTGCCCAGCTATTTTCATAAACAGACATTTAACACTCTCTGTTTACAAAAAAAACTGCGTGCACACCACTATGTTTTCAGAAAAAATTTTGTTTACACTAACCCATGTCAAGAGCATATCACATGTTGGTAGCAGTGTAGCGAGAAGCTCAAACTCAGGTTAGCCAATCAGAATCCTGCATAGCAGCAAAAACAACGTCCCTTCCTTCTTTCCTCGGCACAATCTTCCATCGGCTTCCCAAATCTCTGTTTTCCTCTGTTTTTCTCTGTTTACATGTGAATTGAGTTTTCCAAAATCTCCACTTTGGCCTGAGTTTTTAAAAAGCATCGTTTTAGGGGCGAGTTCTCCGTTTGGGTCTAAACTAAGAGTGCAAACAATGGTTAATGTCTCAGATTCTAAAAGATAACCAGGTACGTATAAACGGGGCCTTAAAGTCACTGTTTCAGTTTGGTTCTTGAACCCGTCATCAACAATCCACTTCGTTGGATACAACAAATACAACAACACACACGCTACATAACTGATTAAAGGCATGGTTGACGATTGGAGAGATTGGTAATTATTATGAACCTTGTCTATATGGCGATCATGGTCCCATGGTGCGATCTCCACAAAGTGAAGAGAAAAAAGAATGAAGAAAAACATTCACTCTAGCAGGTACAGGGCTGCACAAACATTGACCAATGGGAGCCATTCATCCCAGACAGCTCTTATTGGTCAATCTCCTGCTCCGCCTCTTCATCCAATCACTTTGCTGTGGGGGGTGGGATGGTTTTTTCAAATCTGCCTCAACAGCTCAGTTTTTTTCAACTGCTTCTCAGATCATCAACCATGACTTTAAATAACTGCAAACAACCCCGCTATTAACCTGCAATCTATCTAACAGCCAGCAGGGGGCAACTCCACTGTGTTTGTATCAAATCACACGCAGTAAACAGCCAACTTTATAAGTAATTTGTTTTCCTGATAAGGATTCAGTCTCAGTGCCTGATTTGAAGTCTTATTTGGTGCAGCAGAGAAATATTTGTACGATTATTTTTGAGATGAGATGGTACCAGCTTTACTGCAGAATTAAAAGCTTTGAGGCCAAGGTCGAAATAGCTTCGCCCACTTCACTTCCATTGTACGATATTAAAACATTTTCTAACCAACGTTTTCATACCGGTCGACCAAAAAGCCTGACAACCTTGTGAAGCAAATCCTGAGCGGTAGTTCAGACAGTCAACTTGAACTGCACTGATTTCACACTTAACCTCACGATCGCATGTCGAACACTCTCCAAATTTAAGCTGCAACATTTCCAGTTTCTCCCTCTCGCTTTAGTGCAGCGCTCATGTATTCAGGAGGGGTAAAGATACTGTCTCATCGCTCTTAAATTTCTGCATGTAAAGGTAAAACTGCAGGGAGTGATGGGGTCGGAGCCTGACGTCAAACACAAGAGCGATCTCATTGAACTTAGTTTTCCCTGCATGCACAGAAAAGTCGAACGCTCCATAACGTCATGCGGTGTTATGCAATGTCATGCTGTAACTTCAGAGTTTTTAAAAGCTAGAGAATTGATTTTTGCTTTCACATGTGGCATTTCAAATCTGTCAATCACCAGAATTGAGCTGTAAAGCTGTGGGTCTGAAGTCCGTGAAACAAAGCTCCATAACAACATCTATCAGGGACCATGCAGTTATCTCAAACAGCCCCGCTCGGAGAGAAAAGCAGCTGTTATTCCGCTGTTTAGAGACGGGAAATCTGTTTTTGACAATAAAGCGTGCAACACATTAAATAATATCCCAAACAAGTCATGCATATGGCAGGCAGGGCGGCTACCTTTCTTTTTTTACCCTCCCTGTCACTGCAGTCTGATATTCCACTCCCCGGCCTTGGGGAGGGCGTAGAGCGCAGGGAGAGAGACGGGGACGAGGTGAGGCTTATGACAGGTGGAGCAGGGGAGGGCGTTGGCGTGGGGGAGTCTGCAGGCGATGACCATTCAGGGAAAATGATGGGTGTGTAGCGTGAAGGTGACAGAAGAAAGTGAGATGTGTTTATTTTGGCACTTTTGGAATCGGGGCAGATCCCTCCTGGCTCACACCTTCCTGCCGTGTATTGTGACGGGGGTAGAGGTGAGTGGGAGTGAGAAGGCTGCAGCGAGGGAGGAGAAAGGGAGGCAGGAGGTGATCTCAGCTGCTGAGAGAGGGAGCGAAGCTTAGAGAGAGAAGGGTTTGGCGGAGGAGTCCATTTCCGGGGCACTGAGGTCCCCTGCTCATTAATTAGTTTGGGAGAAGGGGAGATAAGTTTTTTAAGGTTAGTGTCCTCATGACCGTGGGGGTACATGTGGTTATTACTCGACTTCAGCTCCTGGGAAATAGAGATGTGTGTGTGTTGGGGCTTTTTAGGAGCTGAAGAGTCCATTTCTCCACGCTTTGGTGCAGAAATAGATTTTAAGTTTGAGTAAAATACGGGCAGTGGAGCTCGTGTTGGTGCGCCGCTCCGCTCTGCCGCCGGGGGAGTATCCTGCTCCCATGCAGGTCTGCTTTTTGATTGAATTTTCTGTGCTTGTGCTTGAAAGTTGGATGTTCTGCCAAGCTCATTTGGCTGCACAGGTGGAGGAGAAGTGACGCCTCTATTGGGCTCCCTGTGGAGGTGGCTCTGACTGTCTATGGATGCAGAGGAGGAGAAGCGAGAGGAGAACTCCAGGGGGATGGAGGCCACGCTGGAGGCAGCAGAGCAGGCTTTACAGAAAGACAGGGTCACAGGGTTAACCGGCCAGCAGGGGGTGTAAGGCCTCTGCAGAGCCGAGGACAGGACAGGGAGTCGGCCTTTTCTTAGGATGGCAGTAAGGAGAGAGAGTCGGGTGAGAGGAGGCCGGTGCCGGGGAGGAGGAGGAGGAGACTGGGCGCAGACAGAGGAAGACAAGCTCTCGCAGGAGGAGAAAGGAGTTTGGAGCAGACTTGACCCCGGGGCCAGAAAGTGTTTCTTGATTTGGACGACAGCAGGGGTGAAGATACCGGAGAGGACAGAGGAGCAGGGAGAAACAGTGCGGCTGAGGGAGGCGGGAGACGTTACAGAGGAGAGACGCACAGCTGACCACTTGTCCCTGTCGGAGCTCTCAGAGAGGATGGACTCTCTGGAGGAGGCCGGGGTGGGGAACAGATCTGTGGAGTCTGTCGGACTCGTTCTGTCCTCTGAAACCCTTTTTGCAAAGTGGCCCGAGCTAACCTCTGGGAGTCCAAGAGGATTGTGACACTGCTGCTGGGAAACGCTCCCGTGTTTGTGCACAGCTGTTTCCAAAAAGGGAGTCCCAGCGGATTCATGGTGGGGCTTATTTTCAGACTGAGCAGAGAGTGAAGGAGACTGACGGCTCGTGTGATCCAGTGACAGACTCAACTGAAAAACAACAAAAAGTTTTCAGTGAGACACCAACTCTGATTCAGTTGGAGGTTTCAATTTGAACTTTTTCAGATGTCTCCTTCAGAGTCTTGGAGTTAGAGTGATCAAAATGTCTGACATGCAAATTAAAGTTTTAACAAGGTTCTGTCAAATGAATCCAATTTGTGCAAAAAAAGTAGAAGTTGTTTGATAGAGCTGCTGTCTGGCTCTCTGCAAAGTAGAGCTGAAATAAAACCAATTACGTAAAAATGAACTTGGAGAAGTATCTGCGTTTTGACTTGATTTCAATTAAGATGTCAGATGTGAAGTAATGAACGTCCACGCAGGAGAGACAATCTTTTTTAAGACGAACTCCAGAAAGAATTTGATTAAAAACGTCAAATTCAAGTGTGTTTTCAACACGCCTGAACGCAGACCAGCACTTCTACCAAGATTTATTCTTTGTTCTTTGAGAAACTTTTCGCCCCCTTGAACTTTCTGAATGTGTTTGTGTCAAAGCTGCAAATTAAAGCTGTTTTTATCTGGTCTGAATTTAAGAAGTCAGGAAGAAGGAATTTGCTGCTTGCTCGATCCAAACTCCTCTGAAGTTTCAAATTTACGGTTTATTATATTTTTACTGCGTGATTTTACCAGTGGTGGACAAACTTTTTCATTACTTGAGTCAAAACAGAGAAACTCCTGAGCAAATTTTATTCTAATACAAGCAAAACTTCCTCAGTCAAGCTATTTCTTAAGTTTACATGCTGAGGAACTTTATTTTGAAAATATCTAAAGCTCCTGTGAGGAGTTTTTTGACATTTATGAAATGCAGTAAAATTCATGTTGTGCTTTTTTATGAGGGTGACCATACGTCCTCTTTTACCTGGACATGTCCTCTTTTTTGGGGGCTGTCCTGCCTGTCTGGCCTCGTCCAGAGTAGCTTATAAATGCCTTCAAATGTCTAACATTTTGTATGGAAGTTTTGAGTTTGTGTCGCGTGGACCAATTGAGTTATAAGCACATAAAAAACACTCAACCCAACCCAAAAAACTCCCAAAATTAACTACATGTGACTCTGTGACTCCGCCCCACGTAGCAGTGTCCTCTTTTTGGGGTTTCAGAATATAGTCACCGTATTTTTTATGATATCAAAAACCAAATAAGACTATCAGTGACAAGACCTAGATTTCTCTAACCAACTTTTCAATGCTTGAAAGGTTTGCAAGGGGGGAGGTGTCAGACTTGTGGTTAAAGAAACTGCACTCTTTTAAATCGCTGCATATACAGTATATTCACACTATTTGATATATTTGACTGTCAAAAGTCAGGAGGATGAGCTTTCTTGTCAAAAATCCCTGCTCAAGTATGTAGAGAGCAAGTTTTGTCCACAGGAGGGCACCAAAGTTGACACAAACCAAAAGTTCCCAACCGTAGCTTTAAAAGAGGGCTGACACCTGACCCCTCACTCCAGTTTTCAAGCATGAATATTAGGAAATGAAAATCTTAAACTTTGTCGCTGGTGGTCTGGTTAGCTTTTGGGTATCTTAAAAAGGCATCAAAATAAATTTGTCTTTTTCATAAATAGCAAAAAAAAACTCCTCCTAGGAGCTTTAAGCACTGGAGTACTCTCTTTTAAATTTACTTCTATATTCAAACACTTTAAAAAAAAATCTCATTTATTGTATATTTTCAAAATGCATGAATGTAAGCTGCATTATAGAAACCTCAAACATGAGTCTAATGCAGGTCTGTAAGTGCTAAGGAGGAGAATTATCCAGTGACATTTACTCTACTTTTGCTCTACTTTCAACCTTGGAGAGACACAATGTACAAGTGTGGTAACACCACTTAGAAGAACCACATGAGGAATAACAGGAACGCAGTTACACAGTGTCTTGGTAAAGAAAACGAACATCGATCAGCTGATTTCAGGGTGAAAAAAGAAACCAGTTTGAAAAGTTTGATAACTGTTTTTAAAACTTATAAAGGAAGAAATTAGCCTCTAAAAAAAAACTCATACTCAAGTTAAAAATTAAAAGATATGTTTAAATAAAGCTCTCAAGTAGTTTTGTTTTTATTAATCACACTAGAGATGCACTGACTGTAGAGATCTGAGCCAAAACCAGTACCAATGTTTAGAGTCACAATTAAGCAGGAAGACAAATTCTGATTTTTGGTCATTTTCATAAGGTTACAAGATTTCATGTTAAACTGTTGTCTTAAAATGTCACAGCAACGTGTCGTACAAACTGCATATCAACTGAGTAACATCACTGACATTAAACCATGAAAACAAATCAAAGTTCGAGGACTGACGTTGGTTTAGGGTTCATTACTTGCTGATGGGGTTTTCTCTGTTAACAGGGTAAATATGAGCCAATACCAATGTTCAACCTATACTTCATTGCATCAGCAAAAGCTTTAAAATCTCTGTGCAGTTCATCAGTTTCATGTTCTTTGTAGAAACTTGGTGAAATTGCATCATGCCCAACAAAGTGGAGTCAATTCAAAAACCCCTTATCAAGATCAGATAGACCAACTGCACTCAGGTGAACTTGTGCTTTCTTTAGAAATCCTCTCTCTTGTTCCCTTCTTTTAACAAAAATAGAACTTACTAAATAAGAAATAAGTCTCTTTGAATTCCAGGTTTTGAAACTTGAAGTTATGAAAAAGTGAAATATGACAGACACTTCTGCAGAGCACTGGTCGAAGCTTTCTGCCATACTTTCCACATGACATTGATTGGTCTGTGTTGTACTTACTTGGGTTTTCGTCCCTGCTTGGTTTGTATTTCCTGCTCCTCCCTCCTCACCGTCTCTGATAAAGACTTTCTCCGCTTTGAAAACCTCCCGGTTCGACATCATCTCCTCATGGGACACGCTCAAGTTCTGCCAGGAGGACATGAAAGTGGAAGTTTAGGAGGAACTGAGCGAGTGAAACCCGAGAAAACCCGAGGTGAACTTCAGCGAGCCTGTCTGAGCTCAGGGGTGTTCTCAGTTTCACCGCGACACATGCCCTACGTATATAGTTCACATGTAGACGCACATGTCCTGCTGACGCTGGAGCTGCACATGCCTCATAGGCAGGACTGGATGACTGAGGAGAGGCTGGGGAAGCAAGACTAAGTCATTTAATGCTTCCTAACTATTGTCTGCTTCTACTTGTTTTCTGATTTTATATCAATTTTGCATCACTTTCCACCACCCTGTCATATTCGACACCTCAGTACAGACTGCCAACACTTTCAGACCTTCACACAGAGTTATTTGAAGTCGAGTCATGATGTTGTTTTTATTATTGCAGACATTTCAAGGTGGAGTAGGCAGGATTCTGTTAAAGAAGCATCTTTTTTTGTAGTGTATATAGCTATTAGTTATTGATGACATTTGGTAATATAGCGATATTGCTGTGTTCTCTTATGTCTGTTTAGTCAACAATTTGGAATTTTTGAGCGGCCCGCTTTTTCTGACTGTAAACAAAGCCATCCTCCGCCTCCACCAACCTGATTGGTTGTGAGGTAAACGCTGCTCCCCCGTGACGTTCACGATCCCAAAGAAGGTACGGAAAATTGTCTGAATCCTCCTTTGGCCACGACTGCCGACACAAGCAAGAAAATGAAGTAAATACTGGAGACTCTGGCGGAATAACGGGCGCTTAAAATGGAGGTAGACCACCTGGACAAGAGCTAAAAAGCAGGGTCAACACTAAGCATAAATGATGGGGGACGCTTCGGGATCTTGGTGACCCTGTAACCTTTCTGCTGGACAGATAAACCGCTTTAACAAAGTAAGCCAAGTGTCTGTAACAGAAGTGTTTCTTGTCAAACGGACCTGCTGAAGCGTGTTGTAGCGCCATCGCTAAACTGTTGACCTCGGGTCCTGGACTATGTCACTTTATCCTTGTTGTAGAAGTCCTGCAAACATTGTGTTTGCTGGTAGTCTGTTGGCATCTACAGTAGCACCAATGATGTTTATTTTCACGTTGACTGGGCCCCATTTGTAACTATCTGAAGTATTTATCTGCATTATATCTGAATTTAATTGGAACGATACCAGCGAGCAGGAGCGTCTGTTTGTGGGCGGGGCTTTCTGGAGCAGAGAGGGAGGGGAGAGGAGAAGTTGAGAGGAAAACTGGTTGGGAGGGGTAGAGTTTACATTCAAGATTTCTCCTAAAAACTGGAACTTCCTCAGATCCTGACTACCGCACCTTTAAGTGATTAAAAACCCTCCTCTTATATCGAGTAAAAATGAGTTAAATCAAAGTAAGTAAGAATTATAACAGTCATACCATTCTGACTTTTTCTCTTATAACTCTGCCTTTTTTTCAGAAGTCAGACATTAAAAATGTTCTTTCAGGAGCCCTTTAGTATCTATAACGACTTTAACGACAGTCAAACTTTGCACGGCCACAGAAACGGTTCTTCTGAGAGCCTTCTTTGTGAACGAACTTTAAGAGGTAACTGAGTGCAAGCTTTATCGCTGTTGTTCATTACATGGTTGATGTTTTTGGAGAACTGTTCCACTTTGTTTCTTTGTGTGCTGCCCTCTCAACTTCAAGGCCGCGTTAGGTACAAAACTGGATTGTAAAGCAGCATTTAGAAACGCAGAGAGAAGAAATGTCTGGCTTGTGAGGCATCCTTGAGCGACAGCGAGAACTTGTCACATCGTTGGATGAAAGAGAAGCAGCGCATTCACTCAGAGCAAGAGGCTGTTTTTACATTCAGATCATTTACACATTAGAGCAAAGTTAACCTTCATTATCTTTCAGTAAAAAGATCAGATTCTTTTTGAAGTAGGAGTGATTTTTGTCAAATGGTCTCCCAAATGTGACATGAGGTTCAGTCAGCTTTGAAAGTAACATCCTTCAGAGAGTCGTTTTTTCTTTCAAACTGAGGATGTTTCACGCTCTCTTTGTCACTCTAACTTTAGGGAGGAAGTTTAATTCTATACTTTCACCAGAATCCAATCATGGTCGCCCCTTTAGGTAAGAAGTCCTTTTACATTTAGAAACAAATGCTTTACATTTCATTACTGTAGAAACAAGAACATCCTCAGGGCGTTCTGGTGTGTCTCTTTTGAATACAAATGGATGGAGAGTAAAAAAGATTATCAATGAACCTCACATCGTCCGAAGTCGAATTAAACACGACTAAAAATTTGAGCTGATTTGTTTCAGAACCAATGGCACAATATGGCCTAAAGCTAGAAGCACGAGTCTCTACATGATAAGAGGCATAAAAAGAAAACCCCTCACTAAAACAGCATGTTTTATCTAAAGTCTGGACAGACCACAGATGGTGGCTTTTAGCCAGCACTAATCCCAACAACCTTATAATTGAGCAGGGCTCCCAGTTATGCAAATTAGGACCGTCACCTTCTTATAGGTGTGAAATCTGCAGGATGATGGAGGCACAGGTGGGTGAACAAGCCAGCAGTATTGAACCCTTTTGCAGTCACTGTAGTACCTGGGAGATCTAAAAACACCCCACCTTTCTTACAAAATCCACAAAACTTCTTAACTGGTGAAGAAAGTTTTTCTGAATGCTTGTGGACTCCTTGTTTTTATCTTTCACCTGCTTTAACATGATTCGCGCTGCAGTAGAAGCTGCACACAGCGGTAAATGGGAGTTATAGCTCGCTGTTAACTGAGTCTTCTTCTTCTGCTGTTTCTGTTTTATGGTAGGTAGCAACCCAATAAAGACTGATGTTGTAAGACAAATAGATGTACAGCATTATTATTCGCATTTTTTTGCCATAGTATCGATATTTTTTTTTATAAACAGCGTAAATACTGGTAGTGTAACAGCTTTAATGCAAATGTATTTATAACTCCTAGTCTTTGTGTTTTAGAAACAGTCAAGTTATATCAGGGTCAATGAGTGTATGAAGTGTTCGAAGGAAAACAGCCAAATAAGATGATTTTTAGTGTTTTTCAATATAATATAATATAATATGATATGATATGATATAATAGAATATAATGCAATATAATACAATACAATACAACACAACCTGACATAACGTAACACAATGTAATATAATATAATATAATATAATATAATATAATATGATATGATATGATAGAATATAATAGAATATAATACAAAACAGTACAGTACAACACAACCTAACATAATGCACTGTAACATACTATAATATAATATAATTAGTTTTGGCTTCATGTATTTGACCCAAACATGGACCCAGGCTATTACAGTGAACGTTGTTTGATTCGGATGGTTTGTTTTTTCTACATACATAAAAGTATGTTCCAGTATAATAGGCATAACATTTAAGTGGAGCTGAAAGGGTAACAGAGTATGACACACATCATTAACTCCCACCTTTATAATTATGACCCTAAAAATACATATGTGACATTTTATAATGGCACCCTTCAGTTTTATGCAATAATTAAGTCTTTCCGTGCTGTTCCTATATCTTAATGATAAGCAGTGAACCAAAAATTGAAGGCTGCCAGAGTGTCACTTTTTCAAGAGACTGTAATGACAGTTTATCTCAATAATATTATCACATGCCATGTGTCAAAGGCCGTTATATTTGGAACTATAATTAGATACAGAGTGTGTCAGGGAGGGATTTTCATGTGTAAATGAGCTGGCATGTCCAAGAGCTGAATATGTACTCACAAATCGACAACACTGATGATGAAGCCTGGACTCGAGGTTTAAAGAAAAAACTACTGAACTAAAAACTTCATACGTGAGAGCTTGTAATTCAAATGTTTGATGTGTTTGCAATCTTTGAAGGAAATACTTTTGTGTTGTGCTGAATGATTCAGAGACCCTGCTGTCACACTTATTAGTTGGTCCCTGTGATGATCTAAAAACAGGAAAAGCTGAGTAGGAAGAGAAAGGACACCTTGTAGTTTGAGGTAAGATAATAATGAAACCTTGCTGCCCTAAGTGCTGCCCCTCATACCTCAAATCAATGGTAGCTGCTCAGAGTGCACAAAAGTAATGATCACTCCAAGCTACATCTACTGATTTAAAAGACACAAACGGACACACACACTGTATGTAATTACTGTGCTTTGATTTGGAGATCTATAGAGGTTTTAGCTGCTCTTCCTTCTTCCTTCTTCTGTTAATGAGTGAAAGGCTCTCAAATATAATCCTTTACATCCTACTCTGCATACACATCCAACAGCACAGAGCTAACCTGAATGTGTAAATATGACGAGATGTCACTCAATAAGCTGCAAAAAGCTTTTCAATACATTTTGCATTACAGGCCAAAAAATATACACGAGTGTGTGCAGAAAGAGCAGAAGGCGAATCCTCAGAAATAATCAACATCAGGACCTCTCGGCAACTACAAGGCTCTCAAACAGACAGTTTAAAGTTGTTTATGAATACACAGTTCAATAAAGCACTTATAGCAATATTAATTTTGTGGTGTATTTGGAAGAGCAGGAAGGCGCTTTGATGCTAATTTACTGTAAGGTTAAACCATTACTAGATGGAGGGATCTGCAGTCTCCTCAACTGTTCAACAAAGACACATGACCTTTCACTACTTATGTACGTATTTGTTTAAAGACCCACTCTGATGAAAATCATCATTTTAATTTGTTCATATGGCATTTTTCTGATGCTTCAGGACATATCATGAGAAAACTAAATGTGAAATTGCTTTTCTGAGTATTTCTTCATTCAAATCGCCGTGAATCTCTGGCAGACACAAACGGCAGGTTCAGAAACTGAGATTTTATATGTAAGCAATCCAAACACCAACCCAGAGCCCCACTATGAAGGCCAGACCCTGCATATAGAGGAGAAATACAGGATCGCGGAAAAAGCGTTTGCATTAATGGATTGCAGTGCTCGTAAGAATTATGATATTAAATTTCATCATGTCCCTAAAGACAATAGTGTCAGAGAGCTGAACAGCTCCTATGTTACCTGCCACTTCTACTATCCTGGCAATGTGAGGCTGCAAGCTCATATGGACATGCAGCTAACAAGTGTGCGGAGCAGCCCTGTCTCCGCCCACGACTCAGAGGCGAATTGCTAATGATCTGCTGGAGCTCTGCAGAAGAAAAGTCCTTGAAAATGACACAGGTAATGCGATTTTTATGGGCTGAAGTATGTGCCACCAGAGACTGAATTTGAATCATTTATATGCGTCTCTCTTGAGTCTACGCATCAGCGCAAGTGTACAAACATAGGTGTTGATTGGCCGCAGAGGAGTCCTGTGTATCTGAGCTCGATTGCTCTTTCTTTGTCCTTCAAGTACCCGGATGTCAGTCACAGTAAATTGAAACTGAATTCAAATTTTGAGAACTGAATTTGAACTGAGAACTGAATGAAAAGGTGGAGAGAGTTGGATTTTCAGTGAGGATAAAATTTTATTGGATTCAAATTCAATTTTTCATTTCAATTATTCAAGTTTAGCAATTCAAATTCAAATATAGATTATTTAAATTCAGTTTCTGGTGGCACATATTTCAGCCTATAGATTTTTGGTAAAAACTTCATAATCACAATTCTAAGACCACTGAGAACACTAACATAGTAAAAAACACTGGAGTGGGACTTTAAGTACACTGCAGCAGTTTGGACTTTTTAATGATATTTTGGGCTGCGCAGCAATATTATGTTTCACACTTCAGCTTAAAAGTAAGCAGGGTGCTGATTGAATCCCCCGCTGAGCAGGAACCTGTCTGAGCAGGGTTTGCATGTTTTTACTAGTTTGGTCTGTGGGAAGGGGTCAAGAGCTTAAATTAGAACAAAGACACGCTTTTTAGTTTTTTTGGCAATACTGATGCAACAGAGATTTTCATGATATGAATGCAGCCAGAGCGATAATCATGGTTTTAAGATTATGAAGCGTCCTTTAATGAAATCGTATTTATCAAGGTCACAGGGAAAAAAAATCACATGGAGGCTTACACACAAAGACATACATACACACAATGAACCAACAAAGAAACAGGGGAAGACAGGGACTATATATACACACAGGAAAACGAGCAATGAGAGGCAGGTGAGACACTGAGACACAGGTGAAGACAATTACTAAGGAGGGCAAACTGAGGGAGTAAAACAGGAAACACTGAAAACAGATCTAAAGAATAAAACACAGAAAACAGGAGGGAAACGGGATCAGACACAAACTTAAAATTAAAAAGACAAAATTACAGGAGAACAGGAACACTAAAGAAAACAAACTCAAATCACAAAACCAGTGAAAAACCAAATAATGACAAAATGGCCATTCTTGAAAATTTTGAGTACTTTTTTTGTACCTTTTGAACATTTTGACTGTGTTGTTGCGTTTGTTTTTGCAGTGAAAGCCTGATGAGTTTAAATGACACACTTAACGCCGCTAAAATAATGTCATGTAGCGATCCAGCAGATGTTTTGGCCTTTAAGCCACGGCACTTTTTAGCAGCAGGTTTAAAAAACACACGGTCTGCTGCTGTGTTGAATAATTCTTGGTGTACCTAAAATGTTCCCCACCACCAACTCCACTTGTTTCTTCAGTGAATGCAAAGTAGTCTCGAGGTCTCTTGATAAGCTGGGATGCTACCACCTGTGACATTTAGGTTTTATGGAAAGTAAAAAAAACAATAAACCACTGCATCCCTATTTGGCAGCCCTGAATTGCCCGTTTATGAGTGTGTGCAGAAGTGTTTGCCTGTCTCCATTTGTGAGCTGATAGACCGGCAACCTGATCAGGATATACCCCACCTCTTACCGAGGGTCAGCTGGGATCGGTTCCAGTCTGCACAGTCCCAATTGGGATGAAGATAGTGGATGAATATTTTATTTTGGCACATAGTGCACTCTTCAGGGCAGAGCGTCACAAACTGTTGGTGCAAAATTGTCCAAAACTGTTTTTTGGAGCGCTGAGAACAGTTATGAATAATTGAACATCATCTGCACAAGATTGTTTTGGAAAACTGACCTAATAGCCCCTTAAAAGATTTGATGATTACACACAGATTTTCCAATTTTCAGTCACACGAAATCATTGAAAATTTGTTTTAGGCTTATGAATAAGTATGAAGGTTAACTTTTTATACAAGATACAGAGGAGCCAGTGGTCAGTCTCTGTGCTACACCCAGAGGACTTAAAATTCATGAATACTGGGTTTATTCAATACATAACATAAAATTCAATTTATGCATGGCTAAAATTACAATATTTTCGCATGTACATGCTTAAACATGAGCTGTCCCCACTTTTGCGTCATATATCTCATGTTATGCCCCCGAGGAGGCAGCAGTTGGGACGCTAACGGTGCCGTCACCTCAGTTAGGAAACCTTTGAAGTCTCATGAGAGAGGAGGCAGAGAGCCGACCTCAGGACACGGAGGCAGTCAGCTGTCCTGAGGCAGAGCTGCTGTAATGTTAACCACCAACAGTACCACACCTTTAGAATTAACAACACCAGGGGGTCTGATCTAACCCTCAGGTCTAACATCTTTGAAAGTAAAGTTAAGTCTGAGATCAAACTATGAAGAACTTCATAACATCTCCTCAAAAAGGTCAATCTTTAAGACAGCCTGATCGGGATAAAAGCGCTTTATGTAAACACCTTAAAGGTACCGTGAGCAGCGATGGGAATAAAGAGAGAAAAAGTAGATGAAAAAGCCGACATCTGAAGTCACAGATGCAGAAGAGGAGGAGGAGGATAAAATCTGGAGGATAAAATCTGGTGCACAGTCAGGAGGGGAAACATGCAGCTACAGCAGGGCTTTCATTTGTAACATATGATGTGCAATGATGCAGCAAGAAAGGTGTTTGTTATCAACAGGAACAGACTGTGCATGTCAGAGCGGGTTTGCTCTGCATGCACACAAATCTACAAAAGAGGATTAGGGGCACATGAAGAGAAAAAAGAATAATTACAGGAAGGAGAGAAAGTCGAAATTAAAAACTCGAAATTATGTCAACAAAGTCAATATTTCGAGTTTTTAATTTGAAATTTTAAGATTAAAGTCAAAATTTCGAAATTAAAGTCAACATAAATAAAGTTGAAACTAGAGAAGCAAGCAGTCGACAACATTCATCTCTTGAGGGAGTGTCTAACTCTGTGTTAATGTGTTTGACCCTAAAATAGTTTTACACCAGAATAACCCTTTAATCTCAAAATGGAAATTAAAAAAGTCTCCCTCCTGTAATTATTTTTTCTCTTTTCCTGGCCCTAATCCTCTTTCATACAAATCAGATTTAGCATCCATGTAAACCGTGAAGTTGGAATCTTTCATCAGAGTGAAAATAATTGGGAATAAAATATGCAAATGTAGCTTCACTTGAGCTCTTAAATTTTAATGCAGCTAAATGATTCAATTTTTCACAGCATGTTTTTAAAAAATCAAATTGTTGTCATGTAAAACAAAACTCTCCATAGTATTTTAAAAAGAGTGGGTCTAGTTTTCAGTCTCTTCTATCTCGATAAACTTCCAGGGACAGAAGCTCTTATGATTAAAGCTGAACATTGATTCCTCCTCAGGTGTCTACTGATGTCCTACCTTGTTTGGGTTTCCTGGCAGATCTCCAGCTTTGCTGCCCTCAGCAGTGACTTTTGTAGACCACACCGCTGGCACAAATGTGAAAATTAAAGGTTTATACTGTTCTCCTATTGAAACCTGCAAAACAGAGAGAGGAGGAAATAATTACCAACAAGTTACAAGCTCTTAATTATGAATTTTACAGTTTCTCTGCCAAGAGCAAACAGCTTTCAAAGCATGAAAGGAGCCACTTTCTTAAAGACATGTTTCTGTCACACTTTACATTATCATTCACCGTTGAATACCACATTTAGAGTTTCTTATTTCTCTCGGCTTCACAGGGTTTTGTAACTATAGCCCTTCACTAATGAGCCTTCATTACACAGACGCAGATTAGGCAATTTAGCACCCTGCAGCTCAAAGCCTCAGCACACCCATACTCAAAGAGCTCAAGTAATGAGCTGCTATTAAATCAGCTCAGGTTCTCTTCTGAGTGAGCTTCCTCGCAAGTGTTACTTGTGTTGTGCTGTAAGTGTTGTCGGGAATTCATTATGGTGTGCATCTTCAGCTGTACCTGTAAATCAAGGGCCACAAACCAAGCTGCTGTATTCAACACCTCAGGAACAAGAACATGCTGTTTTAGTGCGTCTCCCACTACCACACAAAGACGTTTCTTCATCTGAATTGAGGACAAGTTTTTAGCACCTTGGATTTCCTTTTAACAGCACACGGGTTTCTGTTCTTTGGAATTTTTTTAACAGCGAAAACCCAGAAAGGAGCTCGTGTGAAACCACTTTGCTGTTGACATCATGAAACAACCTGCAGGAAAAAACAGAGTCCACCCTGTGAAACCTTTGTACTGCTGGGGGTGACCCAGAACATTTCTTTTAGCTTTTCTTGAGCCTGTGGAGCTCAGTGCTTTCACTTTACGTGTTGATAGTTGGTGGGGGAACCCTACTACAGTCGTGATCAGTGATAAAAACCTCTGTTTCTTATTGTCTAAAATAGAGAAATTTGAGTTTGGGGTTTTAACTACTGTTCCAGATTCTGGTTCCTGTGAAATAAACTAATTAATTGAACTAAACTAAATTAAATAAAAAGCAACATCTCTATGTGCTTAATATTTAGACTATTATAGCTGAAAAATGTTTTAGTTCAGAAGGAGCAACATTATATTTTCTAAAAGTCGTCTGAAATCATGGCTGCTGACCTGCTACTCTCCACGAGGAGATAGGCAGACCATTATTTAAGGCATGGTTGACGATTGGAGAGATTGGTCATTATTATGAACCTCGTTTCTATGGCGATCATGGTCCTATAGTGCGATCTCCACAAAGTGAAGAGAAAAAAGAGCGGAAAAAATCCGTTCACCCTAGCAGGTGCAGGGCTGCAAAAACATTGACCAATGGGAGCCATCCGTCCCAGATAGCTCCTATTGGTCAATCTCCTGCTCCCCCTCTTCATCCAATCACCTCGCTGTATTCAACACACCCCTCTCCCATAGTTCTGACTCTTCCCCTCCCACTCCCCCGTTCCTCCTTGGAGCTTTGAGTGGCTCAGGGTTTATCACTTTATCGCTTTGCCGGAGCTAACACAGTTAGTCGATATTAGCTCATTCATTGACCATGGATTTGAAGGTCAGAGCTATGGTCTGGAAGATAGAGAGCTGTCAGCTGACTGGTTAGACATCAAGAATCGAAAGTTTGGTAGTTCATTTTGTTCGAAGCGAAGAGGTCGCTACTCTCTGGGTCTTGACCTTGCAGAAGACTGGGTTAATTGTGAAGTTTCTGGCTCTGGTGCATGGAGTTTACAGAAAAATATCTAAAGAAACAAGGACCGGCAACAAGTTTTGTGGAGCGAGCGTGTCCTGATTTCTGTTTGTGAAACTAAATGGACCCCCTATACCGTTCAGAAGATCCTGGATTACAGCAATACATCGTCTTTTGGGTATCAGGAAGGCAATGAAGCCAAACCATTGTGGTCCAACGCTCTGACTTTCGGCCCATTTTGGCTCTGGCTCAATTGTGATCCTCCTGCTGTGCTTTGGGTTTACAGTACAGCCACACACTGGTGAGCAAATGCTGGGCTCGTATGTGAGCATTTATTCAAACAATTGCTTTTCGAGTTTACCCCAGAGAAGAATCTTAAACTTCTTTTATATTTTGTCTTTAAATTAAAGCAATAAAACAGCCTAAAGTTGTCAAATGCAGCGACAGTCTCCATTATCCTGTAGGTTCGGTGGGTTTCCTAGTGTCAAAGTGAGGAAATACTTTTCATTATTCTCTCTGCTGCAATCACGTAAGCACCGAGGAACAGGACTTGTGCTGCTTACTAATCATGTCTGTTCTCTTCTCGGTGTCCCGGGGTCACCGGAAAAAAACAAACTGGAGCATAAGGGTGCTGAGATCTCTGTAATGACTCAGTGTGTGGGCACATACTCAAAACTCTATAAAAATGGTTCACACGTTCTTTGCTGTTATTGTCGACCCAGAGATTTACCATGTAAGGGTCTTTTCACCTTGCCTCAGGATTTTACTGCACACCGCTTCCACCAGCTAGCCTTCTTAATGTAAATATGTGTGGCGGCTTAATTTGTGAAGACGATGGGAAAAGCAGCTTCACTACAAACTGATGAGAAGGATATTTTCTGATTAAATTCGTGTCAGAGCTTCAGTTTAACGGTCTGAATGATTTGTGGCGACTATTTTAATGAGATTTTCCGAGCTGCTTTCTTCATATTTGTTTGCATTATTATCACAATTACCCTTGAATATCCACTGGACTGACCATGAAGATGACTATAATTTACTGATAAATACAGCTCTCAATTTTCTATGGTATATGCCTTTTGAGTCTTTCAGTCTGTGCAGTTATCTATCCAATAAGGGAATAACCAGGCGTGACAAATTATACATTTAAATGCATGAACAGGATTGTGGGTAATGTTCTCAACCTGGGCTTTTTGACCCGCAGGATTTCACAGAAGTTATGGGGGGCGTAATTGTTTGTAGTTTGTTCTTAATGTTTTTTCAAGAGGATAAAATTGCAGGAAAGTAAAAACCCAAAGTTATGTGAAGTACTTTCAGACTAAGATATTTACAGCTGTAATGAACGAAACTCATGCATACAAAAGTATCATAGAAAATAGTCCAAGTCGAAAATACCAGTTGTTTACAATTGTCAGCTGTCATTAGCGGTTGTCAGCTGTTGTTAGTGGTTGTTACCACCACAGCACCGTGTTCACAGTCAGACGTTGGGCAGTACAACATAAACCACTTATTTAATTTCACAAAAACAAAACAGAAGTGCTAATAAATAATACATTACAAGAGCTTTTACTGTTACTCTTTGCTGTTAATGCACTGCACTGCCATCTTGAAGTATGACATCATCAAGTCGGGGTTGGCGAGGATCATCCGATCTCCAGAGTCAGAAATCCGACTTCAGAGGGGTGTTCCAGATGAATTTCCAACTCGGGGCTTGGAAATCCTGACTTCCGAGTACAACTGGAACGCAGCATTAGTTCTTCTAACTTCAGGGCCTGTGTCCACTGACAACATTTTGGTCCTGGTAAGACTCTGTTTCTACCAGACCAATGTAGTCAAGCGAACCAACTGTCAGCCTCCTCAAAACACTCAATGTCACATGTTTTTTGTCGCTGCACTCTCAGTGCTCTCAGAAGACGTTTTTAAAAGGCTGCCATTACCAGCTCACCGAGAATCAAGAAGGGGCGGGACTCCCGGTGTTAATTTTGTCAACAAGTGGCTCCTACAAAAGTAAGCAGAGACTACTTTTGTAACCTAGCAACAGCAAGCACTGATGGTTAGTGCTCTAAAATTAAGATTGTGAGTGTGGCCAGTGCAACAAAAGCCCATTAGTACACACAGGCTCTTGATCTAGAAATGACAAGGCCTGCAATCAAATCACACAACAGGCAGCAAATGGAAATATCATCACCTGTGTCAAAATTGCACAAAAAATAACAAGACAAATTGAGTCTGTTACTTGTAGGATTGTTACATTTTATATGTTGCTATGGAGCTTTCAGATCTTTGCTGTTTCCCATGTTTGGCAGCACATTCAACCTCTCAGTCTGTCTTTTCATAAAGGTACCAGGAAAGAACAGAAGAAGCAGAAACTGGTTTATAGATTACAAAAACACTGTGGAGTGTAGTAATTTTATCTGCTGCACAGCTGAAAAAGAAAATTACACATACTCTCAGGACATGTAGACTTTCATGTCAATCACTGCATTGGGGAAAGAAAAGTACATTCCATAGATTTTAACTGTGGTGCAGACCTTTTTTGTTTGCATGCCTTGTTCCTGTCAGTATAAAAGAAATAGTTTATATGACTTCCAAGTTCAGAAAAGATGGTGTACAACACAAGTGTCTGTTCAGATGGCAGCCAACATGAACGCTGCTTCTGAAATCAATATTTACCTTAAAAGAAACTCTAAGCTCTCATATGGGCTGGGAGTGAAAGATGACTGATTTGTTACGTTTAGTTTTACTGAAAGCTTTGAAAACTTGTTTCTTATCAGTTATATCACTTATATCAGACGGTTTAATGTTTCATCTCAGCAAATCAAGATTCAGAGCACACTTAGCCTCCACCCCCTCATTTCTGAAATTCACTAATGATGTGTTTTCTTCCTCTGATAAAGGTTAACTCTTGTCTTGAATGTCAGAAATAGTGCTCTTATCTGTGAGAGCTGTCTACACCGGAGCGTTAAAATAACTGCAGCCCCAGGCGTAAACTATGATGTGGGATCACTACGTCATTCCCCCCAAAAAGATCACACAATCTCAGGGAAAATGTTTGGCTTTTTCAGGTTCACTTGAGTTGATTCTGCTCATCATCTCATTCATGTTTTCTTTGACCTTTCCGGTTCATTATTGACTCCCAAGAGGGGAAGACTGGGACAGGAAATTATGCAAGTGACTCGAACAGACAGATTTGTATCTTCTCCCCAGAGTGTAGGGGCGCACTTTATATTTGGTGTTGCAGATTTTAAAGCTCCTCTGAGGTGTTTTTTGACATTTATGAAAGAGATGGAGACTCATATTGATGATGTGACAAAAGTAAACAAGACCACCGGGAGCAAGATGATATACTATGACAGGACAAAGAGAGTCTGCTTTGTCCACAGGGGGCGCCAAAGTTGACACAAACAGAAAGTTTCTCACTGGAGCTTTCAAATATGTAAACTTCTCCTTCACTGCATAAACACAGTCGAGATAATGATAATTCATTCAGCACAGAGGGAAAGGCAACTCAGTCAGAAATCCATTCACTTCTCTGTGAAACTACAATATCTGTTGTGCCTAAAAAAAATTGAACTTTTACAATCATTTACAATTTGGCCGAAACAGTATAACAGAGTGTATCTCAAGTCACTCAAGTCAGCCAGGCCACAGTTATGTAAATCATGTAACCTTTAAATTTCAAAACTAATGAGTAATTAAAAAAAAATGTGCAGACAGAAAAAGAGCCTCCCAGACTAGACAGTGTTTGAACCAGACTGTAGACATATTTATTTTTGCTGATAAAATGAGCGTTATAGAATTAGTGTGTGTGTGTGGCATTTATAATCATTTCTTCATGGAAATTCAATCAGACTGAGAAGTTCAGGCAGAAGAACTACCGTGTCTGCAGTGCAAAATGATAAATATGGTGATTATTACTTCAAGGAAATGATAAAGAAATTATCATAAATGTTTTTCCTTGAGCTGCGTCACCCCGCTGCAGTCCGTAATGGACTGACCTGAGGTCTCTGCACAAACAAGCGGCTGCTGGAAGAGAGTAGGTGAGTTGTGTTTAGTTTCTTTGCTAAAGAAATCAGTCAAAGTTAAAAAGATGTTTGGTGGCTAGTGCTGTGGCCCTATATGTCCTGTTGATGAAGTTAGGTGCTGTTCTGAGCATTATTTGTGTCTATAGAGTGACGTTTTGGTTGAGGTTTGTTTATGGCTCCTCAGACCGCTGTGTATTGCTATCATGCGGTCGATACTTAAGTTGTTATAACGAGAGAAGCAAGCAGTCGGCAACATTCATCTCTCGACAGGGTGTCTAACTCGGTATTGGTGTGTTTGACCGTAACTCAATTTTACACCAGAATATCCCTTTAACTGTGCGTGTAAACGTTCTCACTCTGTTATTGGGGGGCTGAAGGCCCGGTTCAACTGGGACCCTTTAACCCCCATTAGGTCAACAGGTAGTTATGTTGGGTCAGCATTTCCCAATCCTGTGACTACTCTGTAACACTCTGTACCTCTTACCCCAACATGAGTTGGATTTCTGTTTCTCATTTCTAATGCAGGATCATGACTCGCACATCACGATCCTGTGGTGGTCTTCCAGTCAAAGACTTGAGCACTTCTCTTCTTCCTCTCTCCTGTCTGGTTTACACCCCTTGACTTCGTCACACGACACCTATAGTTCCCGAGCTTGAAGAGGTTCACCTATACTCGTAAAGGCCGAGATATTTATACGACAGATACCAGCATATCTGTAATCAGCTCTATTTAAAGAAACAGAACAAGTGTCTCCCCTAAAATAATCTTGTGCCATTGAATAAACTTGTTTATGTGTTTGTGCTCTTACGCAACCTCCTTGTTTGCATGTCCCCTGTAGTCAAAGCAGAGTAAGTTAACACCGTGAAATGTAAAAACCAGCGTTTCCTACTTGCCTGTGGGAGCCCTCTTGAAAGTGTAATTGCGTCGAGCTTCGCCGAGGTCATGCCGTCCTCATAGATCACATTTCCAGCCAGCGCTGGTTCACTGTGCTACATGTCCCCTGTCTGTGTGCGTGCTCCCGCTCAGTTATTCCTTCAGGCATGTCTGACTTGTCCCAACGAACGAATACAAGCAGCACTAAATCATTTCCTGAAGCAGACCACCCTGTGAGGGGCTCTTAAACGGGACACTGACCGACCGGAAAGGGACAAATATACTTTAAAGAAACAAAATACAAGGTTATAAGAGAGGTTTGGACCAGTTTACAGGCTGATTTTAGGAGTTCGATTTCTCTGGATAAATTATTAAAATGATGAGATTTGTTTTTGGTAGTGGTTGTTTGTGAGTGTATTGACTTGGCAAAGAAATAACAAATGGGAAAGTGAGAAGTACCAGTTTGTACTTTATCTAATGCAGATTCATGCAAACTGAGACCCAAAGTAGGTCTATGTTTTCTGAGAGACTCTCTAACAAGACATTATAGCGTCATTTCAACAGTTAAGTCCATGAAAAAGAGAAAATTCTGACCGCTTATTTTGTTTGCTGTGTGTTAGTTGATGCTTCATTTTTCCAGATATATAAAACACAAGTTAAACGTTAAGCTGAACTCTTCAAATCTGCACATACATTTTCACATCTTCACTCCAAGAGTCTGCTTTTTACCCCAGGGCCATTTGGAGCCCATCGGAGCACAATTAGTGCTGTCAATCTGCAGCCACAGAGACTCGCAGATGTTAAAGTGTACTTTTTGAGCGGTTCACGTTGTACCACAGTCAAAGCATAAACACTCGGGCGTGCCACTGAGTGAAGGGTTTAATTACAGACAAAAACACTGCCCCTCCCTCTAGAGGAGATAGGGTGTGCAAATATAGCTCGGTGCCAGCTGCTACCGAGCACGAGTCATCTCTCCAGATAATAAACAAACGTCTCAAACGCAGGGACAGAAAACATAAAAATAAACACATCCTTGAATCTCTGCCTTGAGCTTTCGATAGTGGCACAATCAAGAGGAAAAGGGGAAGTTATAATTAGTCTATAGTGTATATAATAGGCTTTTCCAAAACCTCTGAATTATTAAAATTTCGATTCAAGTGTTGTAAAATGCAAGTGAGGTTTATAAGTTTGTTAGCTTTCATTCATGCTGGACTGTGAGGAAATAACAGGAAAAGTATCAAGTAGCTGCTTCCAAGTGTGCAGGGTGTCAAAGTGTTTATGTGTGAAAGCCTGAAAGGTGTCTTCAGGAAAGAAGAGGGCATAAACGTGGGGTGAACTAGCTTTGAAAGATCAGACTCGAATTTATCAGCGTGATAACGATTTTTCCAAAACTTGAATTCAAATCACAAAGGTCAGCAGAAACAAGGAGGTCAAGGATGTCACTTCAGCACATGAAGAAGTTTCACAACAGTTTTAAAAGAAAAAAAAAGCATCAGTTTGGAAACCGTCTTACCTTCCTCAAACTCTTGTTCACTTTGTCCATCTCTGCTCCGAGTCTCTCTCCATCCAGAAGAGCCATTTGTGTCCAAACTTCAGAACAAAAATCATCTCAACACTTCGAGCGTGTGGAAAACAAGATGCCCACTTTTCTGCCTGCCTCCTGAGGTTCAAAGTGTATAACTGTTGGTGTGTGTATCACCCTGCTGATTTCCTTTTATAGACACATAATAGCCACAAATAGCTTGCAGACAGCACTCAGCCTGCTGGGCACCACTGACGATGTTCACGCTGTGAGCTCCAGCTTTAAAGTACTGAGTTTACCAGCAGAGCTTAGTATTCATATTTTTAAATATAGCGCTTAATTTAGTAACTCCATCCTCAATTAGACACTTTGTATGTCTTCATGATGACTCAGAGTTATTTTTCACTCCTCAGCAGGGTCTCTCACATGTTACGTAACGCCACAGTAAGGCGGAGACCTTGGGAAAAATCCCGCCTGGCTTATGTTGTAAAAGTTGACGTGGTGGTAATTGAATTAATTGAGCTGTTAAAAAAAATAAAAGTTACAATGAGAAGTATTAAGTGTTTTTGTCTAACAGTTTAAAATAAAGTGCTGAGTTTGAGCAGCAAAAGAAAATTCTGATTCAACAGTTTGTGAATCTTATCCAGAGCAGATTACACGTCTATACAAATTAAATCCTTTTATTTTGAAAATATCAAAATTGTGTGCACAGCGTCAGCAATGTCCTAACGTTGAATAGCTGCAGGTTTACCACACTGAGTACAGACTGTAACCACAGAAGAAATGAGACCTTTGTGGGGAAAAAAACTTTATTTCTGTTGACTTTTTAAGCTGGAAGACTTCAAAACTTTAGCTGTCTTTGGTGAAGCGATCTGCATCTGGATTTTATTTGTTAAGCTTAAAGCCGGGGCGTATCCAGGGGGTGGCGAAGGTTATCACATGGGCCCCTGAAATCTGATTAACCACCTGTTGTTACACCCTGCGAGTCTACTCTGTGATTGGCCGAGGCTGATGTCATTGGGCTTGTTTGGGAAGGGATTTGTGACATTTCATTAAGGCCCATTTCTTTTTATCATATATGCACCTTTGCCTCATTATGGCCTTAGAAAGCTCTCATCGTAGAGTCTGACTGTTTCTACTTCCTTTCAATGCTTAAAATCTTTATATATTTACTAATTTTACGTTGGTCTTTTTACTTATTTGTACATATATTGATCTTTTATTTATTATCTTGTTTTTATCTACCTCAAAAGTACTTTGGAGATGCACCCAAATCTCGTTGTGATGTTTTTACAATGACTATAAAGGCGATTCTGATTCAACCACCGGCAGACCAACTGAACTCACTGTCTGCTTTTAACGGATTTATTTTCTTCTTCCTTTTTTGCTTCTATTAATGAAAAAACTTCAACTGTGAAAAAACAGAAGGATTGCACAAAACAAAGAAAAACAACAATAACCACAAAGATTGTACAGAGAAGTGGAGGTTTAGCAGGTAAATAGGCCGAGTGAACTGTAGAAGACTGCAGGAATACAGTTTTTACAACATTTCCAAGTATTTCCATGAGTGGAATTGTGTTTGACGTTTAAAAGAAAGGAAGATCAGATCTTTTTTTTTTAAAAAAAACCTAGTGGTTTTACCTATGGAAAATAGGTAATTTTGTGTTTTTTCCCTCCTAAAATCAGTGACTTTATCTTCTAAATTGGCACTTAAAGGGTTAAAATCCTGATTTTTTTTTTTTTTTTTTTTTTAATTTTACATTTAGTAGTTTTGATCAGGACTGATGTTGCTTAACAGATTTATGCAAAAAAAGAAATAGAAATATAATCTAATATATTTTTAAAGCAGATAAAAGTCAGTGGCTGAAAACAGCCGCTAATATCGCTAAAGGAAGCTTTTTAACGCTGTATGGGTGTTAATAGTTAAAGTAGAGGTGATTGTTTAAATGAGATTGTCAACACTTTTCATTTATGTGTGTGCAAACAGACTGTATATTTCATGGCTCCTCTGATTAAATCAGACCCCCTGTTTGTCCAAAAGTCTGGACTCTCTGCTCCAGCTAGAAAGGGCAGAAAGGATCATGTGATTAGGACTGAACTTTAGAGTTACCTGTCATTTTTAATTCATGTTTGATCGAATGTGTGACAACTGCAACACTACATAAACCTCTGAAGATTGCTTTACAAATGACTCTTTAACTGAAAACCCAGTCAATCAAACATTTAAACAGAAATAACTTCTAATAAATCCATGTGATTTTTATGTAATGTAAGCAGCAGTCAGCCTGCACCCTCCTGTTTCTCAGCATGTTTCCCTCTAATGAGTTATCAGATTCGTTTATTTGCTTGTTTGCCGCCACATCAACCTCTCTGTAGGTCTGTCACTGAGTGAAAGCAAACCGTGTGGATGCTAATCCTTTAAGTACACTACATTCTTCATTCTGTCACAGCTGTTCTTGTCTGTTTCCACCCTGCTGTCACCCTCCCCCTGTTCCTCAGTGAAAGCGGCACACAGAGAAAGTCACACTACAAAGCATGACACACCGCTGATGCTCACACTCCTCCTTATTGTACTGCTGCTGCTTTACACTCCCAGTACTGTCCTGAATGAGTTCATCTCCATTCAGAGGGATTTGTGACACGACACTTGAATTTTAAACACAAAAGATGCTTTTGGCTATTAAATTTTATGAAGCCAATTTAATATTTCGAATCATCCACACATGATTTACTTTTAAACCTCGAGCTGTTTAAGATTCAGCTTCCTTAAAAAAGTCATGAGTAATTGCTTTGATTTCTGACACTTTATGTTGGCCATTAGCCTGAGGGAAATCCTCTAAAACTGATCAAATCCGGCCTGCTGTCAAGCCATTAGTGAGCGCAGCAGGGATGTAACCCTAATTAAACGATTGCAGTTCATAAATCTGGTCTACATTAAAAGTTTGAACTATTTGGCAGCAATTTAAGTATTAGTTTTATTCTCATAATGCTTATACATAAATGGGTCAAATGTCAACAAATCCAACATAAAGTCCACTTTTGCTACAGTAAATTGTAAGAAATGTAAAAACTGTCAGGAACCGACTGTGGCTACAGACTCAAATGCAGACCCGAGTTTGCAGCGGGTAAAAGATGCGTTTATTAACAGTCCAGGTCCGGTACACATTAAACCATCCGATGGGCAGAGGTATCCAAATCACAAGATTAAAGGGAAATCCAAAAATCACTAACAAGGTCAGAATCAGGCCAGGAAAAGATGAGAACGAACTGGCGATGAGGCTGTGAGAGACGTAAGGTTAAGTACAAAGGGTAACGAGGGTGATGGGAGACAGGTGGGGAGGAACAGTCAGGAGGCAGGTGTGACAAGACGGGGGCAGGGCAGACAGGAACACACCTGAAACAGAGAAACAGAGGGGTTAGGGACTCTAAAATAAAACACACTGGAGACGTAAGACATGAAATGAACAAAATAGAAATAACTCGACCCTGATCGTGACAAAAACTTCCTCTAGTCCAAATGATTTTGATGCCAAACTGAACTTTTAATTGGCCAAAAGTAGAAATTACTTACTTGTCCAATCTTTAATCTTGTATTAAGTTTTGCACCAAAGTTCAATATACCCTCATTAAAAAAGAGAGCTGTCATGACACTTTTATGAGATAACTTCTCCGGATCGAAGAAGAATAACCCAGAGCAATAAAAGAGCCCCACAAATTGGCTTTTACTCGATACAGAGAATTAACTGGAATTATAAAGTGGGATTTTTTCTCTCTGTCTTGTTTTTTCTTGCTTGTTTTTAATTTTGGACAAGAATATAAGAAAAAAATCACGTTATCAGGCTGCCAATCATAATCAATTTATAAGGAATATGGACAGATTTAATTGTCCATCATTTACTTTGAATCCTCATGTCCCATTAGAGTCAAAACAGTCTTTTCTGGGAGTCCCTGAACTGTGGATCGCTGCTGAAGATGTCCTGTCCTAGACCCGTCTGACTTCCAGCTGTTTTAAATTCACCATCAGTCTCATCTCTGTCCATCTCTCCTTATCTCTGCATCTCTCTCTCTCTCTCTCTCTCTTTGCTGTGTATAGTGCTGTTTACTAATTAACAGCTGCTTATACAAAGTTTTTTTTCACAAAGTTTGACAAAACAGTTGGTGCAGCTGGGGACTCCACAGGTCTTCTACATCGTTGTCAAAAGTAAACTTACCCAGAAAGTCTTTAGCTTTTTGGCACAGCTGGTTTTCAAACCTATAGATGTTGGAGATGCTACTGTAGGAAAAACAGCTGGTAGTTAATCTGATTTTTCTATAACTTCTATCAGTGATTAAAGGGATATGTAAAATTATGGTAGGATCAAACACACCATAACACTGAGTTAGACACCCTGTAGAGAGATGAATGTTGTCGACCGCTTGCTTCTCTAGTTATACCAGCTTAGGAATGACCGCATGATAGCAATACAGAGAGCCACATGCTCAACCAAAACGCCACTCTATAGCCACAAATAATGCTCAGAACAGCACCTAACTTCATCAACAGGACATATAGGGTCCCAGCCATAGTACTAGACACCAAATATCTTTTTAACTTTGCCAAATTTCTTTAACAAAGAGACTAAACACAACTCACCTACTGTCTTCCAGCAGAGGGGTGACGCAGCTCAAGGAAGAACATTTATGATCATTTCTTCATGGAAATGCAACCAGACCAAGACGCTAAGGTAGAAGAACAACTGTGTCTGTAGTGCAAAATGATTAATATGATGATTATTACTTCAAGGAAATGATAAAGTAATGATCATAAATGTTCTTCCTTGAGCTGCGTCACCCCAGTGCAGTCAACAGACTCGCCCAGAGGTCTCCGTACAAACAAGCGGCTGCTGGAAGAGAGTAGGTGAGTTGTGTTTAGTCTCTTTGTTAAAGAAATCAGTCAAAGTTAAAAAGATGTTTGGTGGCTAGTGCTGTGGCCCTATATGTACTGTTGATGAAGTTAGGTGCTGTTCTGAGGATTATTTGTGGCTATAGAGTGGCTTTTTGGTTGAGCGCATGGCTCTGTATGTTGCTATCGTGCGGTTGTTCCCAAGATGGTATAACTAGAGAAGCAAGTGGTCGTCAACATTCATCTCTTGATGGGGTGTCTAACTCGATGCTATGGTGTGTTTGACCCTAACTTACTTTTACACCGGAATATCCCTTTAATATCGTAATAAAGATCGACACATATCCGTGTGTGTTTATTTCTGTGAGGTTAGTTGGACATGCCGTCACATAATATGTTCCCAAAGTCCCACTTTTATTACTCAGTCATCTAAATCCAGACTCCCTCCCACAGGTACTCTCTCTGCCTCTCGAGACAGGCGGACACTCCACTCTCTCACGACCAGTAATTGACTCTGAATTGAATCTCTCACACTGGATGTGCCTTTTCAACAAGCCGTGTCCCCAGATAATTATCACCCAGCGGGCTGCCACTATCACAGGACTCCACGGATAAAAACAAGAAGCCGTGTCAGTTTTCGTGTGGTGAAGGTCAAACAAACCAGGTGAGGAGACAATAACAGGAACCCCCCCTTCGTGCGCTTCGCACAAAAACACCAAGAGTCAACCACAGACATTTCTGCCAACCTGAATTATTTTTTCACCTGAACTGATTCCGATTTTCTGAGCAGGTGTTCATCAAGCTGAGTTTGAATTTACAGAGTTATTGCTGCATCCCTGGAAAATAAAGATTATTTTCCCATTATAACATGAGGGTTTATTATCTCTACACAAAGTCATGCTGATCCTTTATTTTCCTCGGCAGCATGCCTCCATATGTTTACATCTGTGCAGAGGGTAAACTCAATTATATGAACACCTGTGCAGCCAGATCTGTTCTTTATTATTCGCCGGTGGGAAGGGAAACAGGTCCTACAGTCAGGAGAAAATAAAGGGCTCTTATGGCTTTATCTCACCTGGTTCAGCTCTGGCCTCTTTGCTGCATGTCATGCAAATAACTGATCCCTCAGCGTCTAAATTGGTGTCTGACAGGTTAGATTGTTATGAAAGGTAAATGGACGGTGGACATGTGTTTTCATTCACACCACATTCAACTGATGAAGCAGTTATTCACTGTATGAATGTTTATGGCAGATGCTGGCATGTACGGCACTCATCACTATTATCTGATCTCCATTCACACACCCTCAGCATGGTCGTTTGGGGTTTAGCGTCTTATCTGAGGACGCTTTGGCATGTGGACAGCAGGACCCGGGGAAACTTCTTTGCAGATTAAGGTCCACATAGTTGACATAGACAGTTTAACAAGACTCAAGCTTCTAGATTAAAGGGCTATTCCTGTATTTTTGAAGCGAGGTTGTGTGAGTTACATGTCGCTAACAAGTGTACCAACCACAATGGATGTAGATCAGCTTGGACGCTCATTATCCTACCGTTCTGGGCGGACACTATCTTGTAATTTAGCCAGTTTTGAGAGACTCTGACTCAAACGCTCATCTCTGTTTAAGTGTGCGCTTGACTCAGATATTCTCAGCATTTTTCCATCATTGACATGTATCTTATACTATCACCATCACAGTGCCATGGCACAGGATATTCTCCAGGATGAGGATATCTTTTATCCCAGGGCCAGTTTGGCAGTTAGTGAGTGGTGGGCTCTGCCAATCTCCAGTGGGGACTGCAGTGTGTCCTTCCCGAACACCTCACACAGTAACTCAGAAAAGAATTTGGTAGGGTAGGTTTTGCCGTCTGCTTCATCCCTCTAGGTCTGTGACTTTGGTCCTGAGTTTAGAGTTGTTTTCCAGCTCTCTGAGAGCTCAAGGGACCCCAGGTGTTGACCATGGTCTTCCACTGTAAACCAAACTTGGTCAAACTTAGTTTCCAGCAGGCTAAAAGACTTTTTAAAGTCAGCAGCCAGCACCTCGTGGTGTTGCTCCAGTAGCACAGAGACAGCATCAACTGTTAAGCTAGCCGCCGATGATGAATCCTCCTTTTTGGAAGATTTGCCACTCCTCAAAGTCATTTTATGCTAGACCACAATAAGATAGTTCACAACAATAAATTAGAGCAAGTTGTATTCGTAGAATGCCGGAATTAAATGTTATAAGCACAGGAGCTGCTCTCTGTTGCTTCTACTAAACTGGGAGAGTCTGGTGAATCTGGTTAGTTGAGCATTAGCATTTGAATCATAGCAGTACTGACATAAATTGTCTAAATAATTGCTCATAATTCAAGTGCCAACTTCTGACTTGAAAAGTTTAGCCGGCTCTTCACTTTACTTTGAGGAATATCTTGTAAAACAGAAATCAAAAGCCTCTACAACAATATATTTACCTTTATTGAGTGGGAGTGAACACTGCATAGTGTAAAAATCTACAGCTGTTCTTTAAAACAAGGCGAGTATTTACTTCTATGGTTTGCACATTCTTGACTTTTGGAAGAAATGTTATAAATTCTTCTGGCGTGACGTCTCTTCTCTTTTTCCTCTCATAAAACAGAGTGTCTAATCTCACAGGTCTGAATTTAGCTCGTACAGGAGGTGTGTGAATATGCTAAATTCAGGTCTCTGCAGGACTCGGACTCCCCTGCGGTGCTTCCTCTTCAGCTGTGTGGCCTTTTATCTGCGTGCAGACAGAAAACCATCTGAGGGGCTTCACATTGTCACGGGTGCAGACTCTGTTTACAAGCATGTCTCTGACTCTCAGCGGAGTGGTGTGAAGCCGAGGGAACCAGCAGCAGTCATTGTTTAAGTGTCTGTATTTAATAGAGAACAGTCTGTCTCTGCTTCTCAGTCTTTGCCTGGGGCGCAGAAAAATCCCTGTGGTTTTAGTGATAAAAATAAACTTCTTTACAAAAACTTCTTTATCTAGAAGTATTTTGAGCAGCACTTGACAAAAAAAGCTTTGCAGTGACGGTAAAAAAAGCACATTCCAACAGTTTGTTTTATGCGGATCCTCCTCAGAAAGATGTGGGAAAAGGTTTGTAATCTCCATGTTTGTCTCCCCAGGATGTGGTCAAGGTGGGTGGAAGGCACTGTCGAAACAGCGCCTGTCAGGAAGCTCTCTGCCGGGGCTCTGCGTCAGGAACTCCACGTCTTCATCTGAGGTAGAGGGATGAGTGAGGATGATCCGCGGGATCTGTCAGATGATTGAGAAGACAGATAAGCAAATGTTTGTGTGGTTTATGTCTACAAGCTGGTATCTAAGAAAAATCAGGTTGTGTGTGTTTGTTTTTGCAGAACTTTTTCAGTCAAGTGTCTCTGGATTCAGGCTGAGATTATAAAGAAGGTGGTTATCCACTGTGGGATGGGAAATCAGCTTACTTGCATTGTTTGTTTCCCCCCCTGGAGTGATTCTCTTTTTTGCGTGGTAACTGCCTCCAGCTCTGACAGGGTCCTCTTCAGGTCTCTCTCCAAATCAGACTAAAACAAAGAAGGATTTTCATTCCTAAATGGTTTGAGGCACACATAGACACATTCAAAAATAGGAAAGTGGACTCTGACTGCGCTGTGAGTTGAGCAAAACACCCACAATGCCATTGCCGTTGCAGACGACCGTCTCCATCTTCCTGGACAAACTGTCTTCTCTGCTCTCCTCCCTCTGCTGCTTGCTCTTTCCGCCTCCTCCGGCCCGGCCCTGCAGCTGTCGTCCTGTCACGTCCCGTGGATCCAGAGGAGGAGAAGAAGAAGAAGGAGGAGGAGGAGGAGGCTGATCCGGGCTGTACAGCTCCCGGGGAAGCAGCCTCTCCCTGAGCACTTTCATCTTGATGCAGCTCCCAGCATTCCTGAGGGCGCCGACGGCCTGGTGGTGGGTCGCTCCCTGCATGTCGAGGCCGTTGACCTGGATGGACAGCGGGCACATCACATCATAAACTTAGGGTCAGTGAAAGTAGAAGCAGGGGTTAGAGGTGAGGGGTGTTGGCAAGCTAAATATAGTTGACCCACTAAATATCCCTCATAGTGCTTTCACATTATTCAGCTTAAGGGTGCGGTGAATAGACTCAGTAGAAATGGAGTAAAATATTCATAAGTATGTTTAAATTATTGGATAACCACCTGAATAAGAAAATCATTCTGTTTTTATTAATTTAAAATGAGCCTTACATATCTACTTGTACCTCCATGTTTCAGACAAACTAGTTTTTGTATTGATTTGTATGTATTTGGCGTTTCTTGTGCGTAATAGAATTTGTTTGAATAGGCACATTTTGAAGGACCATATTCATAATTCATCACTGGAGCTTTTTGTCCTTGAAGGCCTCCATCTCCTCTGATATTTACTCACAAGGGGTTGAGCAAGGGAGTTTTTCAATTTATAATCTGACCATGAGATATCGCTCAGTATCCCAACCTTCACACACTGTAACTTTAACACAGGCAGAAATCTTAGTTGTTAGGGTTAGGGGGTTAGAGGGTGAGGGTTGGGGTTAGGCCAATGTGAGAGTGAAAAAACTGCAATTCCTTGAGCGGCCACTTGAGGCTGAGTCTAAAAGTGAAAGAATCCTGATAATGCCTCATATTCAAATGTCTATTTTTACAGCAGAGATAAATTTGTTTACAGCCAACTTGATATTAATGTACACATATATCTAACCCATCTATTTTGATTACTAAGGTGATAACTAGATCGATTAATCAAACAACTACATACTGCTGGTTGTTGCCAAGTTTAAACACGGCTGGGTTAGACTTCTGTGTCCATCTTTCTGCTTTTTAAACATTTACATTTACTTCAAGTTCAAGCTTGAATATCTCAAAGGTCGTACTGTTCATGTCTTTTAACCTTTTGTTAGATATTTAGCAGATTTTATGATCTTAACACCTAAATAAAACAGTTTAATTAGTATAAAATGCTTTTTTAAGGCAATACTAGTGTCAGTGTCAGTGGTGATTTCCAGTCCTGAAATGATTTGGTGAATGTGATTCTCACTATTTTAAGTTTCTCTTTAAAGCTGTCCCGTTAAATAATGAAGTGTAGTCACAGTTTAATGATAATGTTGATTGAAACAGTAAATATGATATTTATGGTTGTTTTATGATACCTGGAGCTTGTTGCTTCTCCTATTTTTTAATCATCATCATGGTTAATAATTTAATTGTTAATTTGGATTTGGTTTTTAAATAACACATCTGTTACATAATCTTATGTCATGTTTAAATGTTGTGTGTTTGCAGCCTGAGTGTGTCAACTGTGGATCCTCAATGATCCGTGTGCTGGTCTAATGATGCCCCCCTTTGGTCACAAGAGGAACACCAGCAGTCAGTGCTGACTCTTACAGCCAGTATGGAGTACAAGTTTGTGATTTCTTTCCATGCATCAAAATTCACCACATCAGCATCAGTCAGTAATTAAAAAGTAGTGAGGTGATCTCCCCTCTTACCTCTGTTAATCTGTCTCCTACATGGACCCCTGCTTTCTCTGATGCTCCTCCTTTAATCACTCTGGAAATAAAGATGCCCTGTAGGAAATCAGACACATCAACACAAATAAGAGTTTGAATGTAAATGTAGATAACTTAGTAAAGGTAACTTCTTCCTTCACTTCTTGTAGTGACTTAATTTCGCCTGCTGAAATTATCCCGTGAGCCACAGAGGTGTGTTATAGCCAGGTATACAGATGATGCATCTTCCGTGCCTACTTGTTTCCCTCGTGTAAATGAAGCAGTTCGCCCAAGTCACTTTTTCCTTGTTTATCCCTTTTTTGTTAAAGAAACCAAATGCAAAATAAAGACAAAGGCAAATTTAAACAAATAGCGACAACAGGATGATGATGATCAAAAAACTGTGTGCTTCTCCAGCTACCAACACACCTGCCACTAATTGCGTCCTCTTCTATTTAAAGTGAACAAAACTCAGGATTTCACGCCACCTGGTGTGGCACCAGGACAATTACAAATGAAACACAAACCCCCCAAAAAATACAACAAATGGCTCTAACACCTCTGGTTGTTTAATGTGCATCAGTCTCCCTACATGTACTGTTGATGAAGTTAGACCGCTGTGTATTGCTATTGTGCGGTTGTTACTAAAGTTGGTGTTACTTGAGAAGCAAGCGATCTGCAACATTCATCTCTTGAGGGGTGTCTAACTCGGTGTTACAGTGTGTTTGACCCTAAATTAATTTTATGTCAGAATATCCCTTTAATTTGTAATACAGGCCTCAGGAATCTCATGGCATGTAAACATCATTCTCTTTGCACCTAAAATCATGGCTGCAGTTTGAAGAAAATCAAGACACAAGTGCACAAAGATGATCAGAATCCAGGAAACTGTCATGAATTATTATGTTTAATCTTGATTCATACTCTGGATAATATAAAAGCAAGGACACAGAGACTGTCGATCATGTAAACAGTCTGTATCAGTGCAGCCAAACATGACATCATTCAGAGAGACTGAGCAGCGTTGTTTCCCTCTCCCACTCACCTCATCATTGTCTTTGTAAGGCAGAGAGCCCCTCCCTCCAGCAATACTGAAACCCAAACTCCCCCTCTGACCCGACACTTTGATCTGTAACTGAGAGGAAATTCATTTTATGACAAATAACAGCAGAATCTTTCAAAAGGTAAGCCTGAGGAGAGAGAGGAAATGGTCAAATCAATCATTCCAGCATGTAGTGAAAGCACACGGAGATAGAGAGACATATAGAAAAGATTCACGGTGAAAGGTTACTCTTAATGGCACTTGAGAGATGAATGGTTCCTGGGGAAGAGTTCTCTCTGAAGACGACCTCGGACTCGCTGGGATGGAGGACATCTTTACATTGTCTCCATGGTGACTGGACCCTTTATGGGGAGCTCTGTGGTGCTGAGATTTCCTGCTCTCTCTGGTTTCAGCTCTCTGATGGGGAAACCAACAAGGTCAGATGTCTTCTTCTAAGAAGCCGGCTTATATAATCCTGGTAAAAAGGAGGGAGTCAATCTTTTTTATTGGCTAGCTATGGTGGCCCTGAAGGTCAGAACATGACATTTCAGAATCAAAACTCACAGTCATGTAATTAAAAGAAGGTTTGAGGAAACTAAACAACATCTATAATAAACACACCAGATCTCTGAAACATTACCGACATCAAACTAAACTCAAAGTAAAAATGTTTTTGACCTCATCACAGTTCTGAGACTGACACAGGCAGTGGTAGAGTTACAGTCTTAGCAGCACTGACCATAATGTACCTGATCAAGCAAAGAACTGAGTGGGACTTAATGGCGTGGAACTCGACTGGTTTAAATCTTACCTAAAAAACAGAGTCTGCTTAGTGTTCATAAGTAATTTCACATCTGAAAACACAAAAACTACACGTGGGGTTCCCCAAGGCTCCATCCTGGGGCCTCTTATGTTTAACATCAACGTACAGGACAGATTTAAGGTCAGTCTGCAACTTTAGATGTGACAGCTGAAAACGACCAACCAATAAACTACATAAAGATGATCACAAAGTTGACATACTATTCCCCAAAGAATATATCTCAAATTAAAGGATTTAAAGGTCCCAGCAGGACCTGGAAAAACGGATCCATTTCTGCACCTTTTTTCATCTCCTTCTATCAGTTTCTCCTCTGTCCATCTCTCTCTTTCTTCATCTCCCTCTATCCTCTCTCTCCTCTCCACTGTAACTTGCTAAATGCTGCGACGTGTTTCACTCATGTCGTTGAGGATGGGATGGTAGTGGGTCTGATATTACAAGATGAGGCTCAATCTTATCCCATCTTTACATTGGGTCATTGTAAATGGAGTCTAGTCTCGAGCAGCAGTGTAAGCTGGGCTTCTTGAGATAACACCTGTGGGATTTGGGGATATAGAAATAAGGATTGACAATAGTATGCCACAAATCTCCAGTCACATCCATCCATTTTCTACCGCTTATTCCTGTTCCCGGGGTCGCAGGGAGGTTGGAGTCTATCCCAGCATCTTCGGGCGAAGGCAGGGGACAACCTAGACAAGTTGCCAGTTCATCGCAGGGCTGACATATAGAGACGAACAACCATCCACGCTCACATTCACACCTATGGGAAATTTGAAAGTGACCAATTAACCTAACCCCACTTCTGCATGATTTTTGGGATGTGGGAGGAAACAAGAGTATCCACAGTAAACCCACGCAGACACAGGGAAAACATGCAAACTCCACACAGAAACTCCCTGACCGAGATTCAAACCAAGGACCTTCTTGATGTGAGGCGACAGAGCTAACCACTACACCACTGTGCCGCCTGTTCTCCAGTCACAAAAGCATTTAATTGAAAATTGATAATAACAAAAAAGGAGATAAAAAACAAACTTTATATTTAAACAAAACACTTTGCAAATATGCATTATATCTTTCTGGGTAATATTGCATTTTCTGAAATGTTTTGACCTTCAGGGCCACCGTATCTCTCCTTGTACATAATGATATTTTACTCTCAGGTCACTCTCATAACCTTTAAAAATGACAGATTCCAGCAGGATCAACTCTTCAGATTATCATTGTCTCTGTTTAAGATGTTTAATCTAGAAGAAGAGTATACCTGCAGGCTCATAAAAATGTGAAATCCCACATCATAACAAACCCAGATGAAAACTGTAAACTAGCTCAGAGACCTGAATTAGAAAACAGACCTCCTTGGGCTGCTCAATTTCCTCTGCTTCCCTCTTTGCGTTGGAGACGTGGCCGCACACACTGTCGCTGACCAGGGGCAGACGAGAGCCCGCCTGCTGACTGTCTTTGTTTTCCCCCCAGCTGAGGACGGGGACAGACCAGTTTTGGCTGCTGGTCTTGAGAGACGGGTTAGTTTGAGGATTTCTACACTCCGGGGGATTATCAGAGGACACCACCCACTGCTGAAAGATGAATGTCAGAGTTATACAACCCCAATCCCAAAATAGTTTAGTACAAAGTTAATAAAGTCAGAACTAGGTGGTTTGCAAATCATTTTAAACCCCATAATTAACTTAGAATAGTGCAAAGACATTATATATATAAAAATATATGCTCAGGTGCTTGTTTACAGTTTAAGTTTCCATAACTGTTTGAGAACTATAAAGGGATCTGGAGTGCTGACATTGAAATGTGTTGTTATGGACTGATAAAGCTGCTGAAGATTTCAGGATCTCCTTTTCTCTTTCATGGATCATCAAGTGTTTGTAATGGATGACATGTAAGACCTGCAGGCAGACTAGTTTAGGCACCTGGATTCTTCCTATCATGTTGACATTACCTGCAGAATGTGGTTTGGTATATTCTTGCTGTATTATGCAAGGTCCTCCCTGAAAACAATGTTGGCTTTTGAGCTGTGTTCAAGCTCGGTGGTCCCTCTCCTCCTCTCCTCTCCTGTTAAATTTTGATCAGTTTGACCAAAGTAGTTTTCCACTTCTCTTCTGACTAACATGGGCTCAAACTCGGAGAAGTTGCTTGAACTTCTGGATCAGGTTTATATATTGTAGTTTAACCTGCTTTGTAGATGTAGCAATGAATGATGGTTACAGGCAGCAGTTTATGGAGTGATTCTGAGTTCATGCAGAGATTTCCACGACAGAGTCATGTCTGTTTTTAAAGGATTATTCCGGCATAAAATTAATTAACGTTATTCTAAACTTGTTGAACTGTGTACTCACAGTCTCTTACAGGGTGATGAACTTGTTTTTCATCTTCACTTGTGAGTAACTCAGTCTTCTTTTTGCACCCAGTCTTGTTACTTGCCTGCTGCCAATCAACCTCGTTAGTAGATGTTCCTCCAACTTATCTTTAACATGTCGCTGGCATTTAATTCTCAATGAACTCACACTGTCATGAAGATTTTTCAAGTTCAGCTTCTCTACGCTGTCTTTGCACTATTTTCAATTAAAATTGCAGTTCAAATGTTTTGCAAAGTATCCAATTAAAATACGTTCAAAAAGTGAAAACAAGTTAAAAGTAGGAGAAGCATCTCTCTGAACTGATCCTGGTGAGAGTCTCAGGCTTTCCAGTGCAGCTGCTGCTTATCAGTGAAAAGAAGAAAGACATTTTCTGAACACCAGGGGGCACTAAAACTGTTGAATCACCACCTGAGAGTGAAAGTGAAAATCCCTTATTACAGCCCCTCTGTGTAACTTTCCAACACAGTACAAATTACACATAATAGATCCTCCAACCCAACAATTTCTGTCTATTTCCCTGCAATTTTGCCAAATGTTGCCTCCTGATGCATCTTTAAGACACAGATAAAAGAGCAGAGTAGGATGTGGAGTTAGATATCAATTTTCTCTAAAGGAGCTTCCACTTCAAAAGAAGCCAAACGAAGCTTTCATATTCAGATGTCAAGGCCTTATCGATGTTATGCATTAAGAAAGAGGAAACGTTCAGGTGAGATATCAGTTTATAAGGTTTTTAAAAAGCCTAAAGTAAGCCGGTGTGCTCATACTTTTACTCCAACATTCAAAAGACAAGTGCACTTTTCATAAATATGAGCATTATAATACAAAATGACAACTCTCAGGTGTAGTTTCACTGTGTTTGAGATGTAAACAACACAAAGAACATGACTCTCTGGTCTACTGGAGGCATGCCTGCGTTACTACAACATGCAGCACGTGCAGGATAGACAAGTCAAATACGTCACATGCTAGCAAAGCGTCACAGGAACTCTGTGCACTGCTGGACAGACACAAGCGATGGAGGGGACAGGAAGTGGATTCTCTGGTTTGTTGCCTCAAATGAATTCAGTTCAGAGTTTAACCTTCATTGTTACTCAATACTGTTTTGAATACACCTGTACTACCTGTATTTGGTTTTCTGAGAATAAGCTATGAAGAATTTAAGGTTCTCCTCAAACTTGACAAAATCAAAGCAAAAACAACCATGTTGTTTAGTGTTGCACTCTTTTTATTGATCAGTGGTTAAAAAGTCATCAAATCTCCAGGCACAGCGCCTCGTCGAGATTCGTTTTGTGCAGCTTGATCAGAAAAATAATTAAAAACATTTAAAACAACAGTTGAACCAATCACTCTGGTCCACTTTTTAAAAACAAAATAATACAGTTGATCATGTACCACTTAAAGAGTTTGAGAAACGCTGAGAAGTGCATTAAAAGTGGAACTTCTGACAACTGCATTTTAAAAGGATGCCCTCCTTTGTGGTACAAGCCCCATTTTTCACCAAAACCACCCATGATTACTTTGTACAGTACTCTTTGTAAAAGGGAGAAAACTTGTTTGTAATGTACAGCTGTTTTTTTGGCATCTATTTGAAGGATAAAGCAAAGCAGTGAAGCACAGCACATATAAATAAGACAGCATCATTACTCCTGCGTAATTAAAGTTGGATGTGCAGTACTTAAATTTAATTTAACTCATTAATCAAACGTGTTATTTATCCAAAAATAGCTCAGTTTGTTTTACAGGTTTCAAGGCCATTCACTCACTTAATGACAAGTCTATGGTTTATATGGATGATAAGACAATAGTGACTGTTTTGTTCGTTACTGTGATAAAAAAAAAAGAAAAAAGTACCAAGTTAAAAAAAAAAAAAAGGTTAAAAATCTGCAACTGATTAAGAAATTTGCTATACAGTTTTATTTACATCTGAGCTGCCAAAAGTATAAAAGTATCAATATTCACAAGAAGACTATACAATAATCCTTAATCAGTAGGTCCAAAAAGTCCTGCGTTTATGTTTGCCCAAAATGTAAAAAGAAGTATTCACCCAGTGTTTTAAAAATAGATATAGAACAAATATATATAATACATTTATGAAGGTTTGACCACATTATAAAGACTGATGATAGTGCAACTATCTAATGTATATCTTTAAAAAGAGGCATTTAAAAAAAGTAATAAATCTTTAAAATATCTTTAAAAAGGAGCGTCTCTGTGCAGATTATTGCCGTGGACATGAGTTAAAAAGAGGAAGGCACAGCGGCCCTGATACACCGAGTCAAACGCTCTCAGGACTGGAGATGGAGCAGGGTTACAGGCGTCCCAGGGTTTAATCAGAGGGAGGGTAGGCCACACCGGGGTTCAGAGGTAAGAGAAAAAAGGGGTTGGGGGGGAGGAAGGCTGCGGGAGGTTTGTGCAGGACGACACGGCCAGACACAGGAGGTAAAAAACATTTCTGAGGTAAAAGGTCACACAGACGTGGTCACTCTGTCTGCAGCGTTATTGACCTCGTTTTTGTTGGAGTCCAGGCCTTTGGCAGCGTTCAGGTCGTTGCGGAGGTTCTCGGCTGCTTTCTTCATCGTTTTCAGCTCGCCGGGGTGAGGTGTGGCCCGCCGAAGAAGAGTTCCCTGTGACGTGTAAAAAAAAGTTAGCTTATTTGATAATGTGTTTACATCACTACTTACAAAAGAAACTTGTTATCAAAAATATGTAATAATTTTGCTGTTAATCTATCTTTATTCTAATGTGGGGGAATATAAGAAGCTTGTGGTAGGGCTGGACGATAAACCGAAAATTTACCGATGCTTAAATTTACAACAATAACCAACGTCATTTTGCCCATATCATACGATGGAGTATAAGTGCCACATTAAGAAAAAATGAAGTCTTTGAGAAAATGAAGACTTCAAGATTAAAGTCATTTATTTACAGGAATAAGTAATTACTAACGAGAATAAAGTCGTAATAAATCATAACTTTCGAGAATATAGTCGTAATAATGTAATTACTAGACTTACAATAATGTGGTGCTGATGTGCCAAAAGACAAAGTATCTCCTTTTCTGAGAAACCAATATTGAATTACATTTTCACGAAATGCTTCATGGCTCTCATTTCAACAACTGTCATCTTAAACAACAGTTTATAATATAAGGACTTTATTCTGACTTTACTCTCCTAAGTGATTACTGTATTCCGTCTTTATTCTTGTTAGTAATGACTTAATTCCCGTAAATTAACAACTTTAATCTCAAAGTCTTATTTTTTTTTCCTAATGTGGCCCTAATACTCAGTTGTTATATCGATGTATTCGGTGTCGAAAAAATAAATAGATAAAAGTTTGTTTTGGATGTGTGTAGATAGGCTATGGTCTTATGTCCCTTTAAGACACTGTCCTACGTCAGAGACGTGACTCCACCCCATCCAGGCCATAACAAAGAGGGAAAGACAGGTGAGGAGATGGAGGACAGTTCAGAAGTACTGTACTGTTTTTTTCCACTAGAGAAATGAGCTGTTTGGACCAAAACTAAAAGGCTGTTTGATCCTAGCTTTAAGAATTATTATTAGTTGGTTTATGTGTGTTGGACCTTAAACCAGTTTCTGATCCCTCCAAAAAAACTACATCTACTATTCTGCAAAGCTCGTTGACAAATAAAGAAATATCGAGTCTGAGGCAGGCGTAAAAATCTGCGTGTAAGTTTGCTCCATCCCTAAAACAAAGAGCCGACTGACTTTGCTCCTCTGAAATTTCCTGAGGCGTCATTTCTGCAGGTTTAAGTTTGATGAACTTCAGTTAAATTCCGCCCCCCAGGCTCGCTGATCTCACCTTATCATCATCCTCCTCCTCATCATCATCCAGGAAGTGAATGGCACTGATCCGGTTCATGGCTTTGTTGTCCCACGTGTCGTCTGCCATGTCATTCACCAGACTCTCCAGAGCTCCACAGCGAGCCAGATTATCAGAGCCTGGGGAAGTTAAAGAAAGAGATGACGCCGTTTTAATACAGGGCTTCATGTGCACAATAAAACACTCAGGCAGAGTTTAAAGCTGATGTGAATGTTTCTGCAGATTAAAATCAATATGGATGTTGTGATTGCTTCTCAGCACGCCGCCAACTCAAGAAATGAAAGCTGTCACACAACCCCGAGCCTGAAACTGCCAGATCACAGTTTCAAATCCCAGCTTAGTCACAAGCTTACAGCAACACAATCTTCCCTGCCCCCACCTCAGCCTCAGCCTCCCTCATCTGGCCTCCACCCGTCTAATATCTGCATCACCCAAGAGCGAGGAAGCACGTTACAGACGTGAAAAGAGGCCTTTGATTTTTAATGGCGAAACAAACATCCTTTCAAATGCTAAAAAGCGAGAAACCAACATTTCACAGCGAATCACAAACACTCTCCAGACTGAAGTGCTTAAGGATGTTGATGACAGCTGAGAAAATGAATCACAATAAAGCGCTGTATCGGGGCAGAGACCGAGGCGGCCCTCAGCAGCATCCTTATAACCAGCGGGTGAGCTTTTAATGGCAGCAGGCCAGCCGCTGCTAAGCTTCTTTAGCGATCCAATCCAACGCATTTCTGAAAAAAACATAACCAAGGAGGGCCTCAAGGGACAGGAGAGGCCCTGATCTGATACAGAGGATGTGATCTCTTACAGGACCTCGTAATCGACAGAAAAACTGCAGGGTAGGATGAGAGAGCGCAGGACGCAGTGTGCTTCTCTGAGCAGATCATGTGATAATGTCATGAAAAACCGCCGGGCACTAAATACTCAGAGACGATAAATGATGAGGAATCTTACTCAAATGTCACTGTGATAGTGCAAAGTCCTTTTTACTTAAGGGGAGCACGACGCTGTGGAGAAACACGGACAGTGTCCAAGAACAGCTTCTCAACATTTAGATGAAGTTTTAGAAAACAAAGAGGAGAAAAAAGCTCATTTAGGCTTTTGGATCCTGTTTAAAACTGTGTGGGATGATCAGGTTTTGATTGACATCTGTCCGTCTCTTCTGCACACCAAAACTAATACAGCACAGCCCCAAACAGACAGGATCAAAGTAGGACGCACAAGCCCTCTGAAAATATTCATTTACATACAAATTGCAGGTTAATCATTTTATAGTTAGCTGTTATCAGTCATGTTAAACATCAGACAGGATGTCTCTCATAGTCATTTATAAGCTGTAAATGCAAAGCTAGATGATGGCTGTATAACATTATCTAACAAACCCTCTCTGCAGCTGCTCAACACCTCAACGATGAGAGTGGGAACTGGACAAAACTGACACCTGCTGCTGCCAATGGAAATATTTCTCTTAGATTTTGGCTTTTCTGTAATTGGCACAGACTAAAACGCTGGAAAAAAGTTGAAAATCCATCCACTGGAACAAACAAACACTCCAATAAAGTTTATAAAACTAAATAAAACTAATCTTCGGTGACTCTGCAGTATTACTGTCATTATCAGACTCTATTCGGTCCTTCTCATACCTTTGTTAGAAGTTTCAGATGATTTACAGATCAAAAGAAATCTGTACTCAGGTAAGACTGGTGACTTCCTCTCAAATGCTCCATTTAAGCTACTGTCACTCACTCTAGAATCCTCCTCCACTGTTGCCATGTTACAAAACCCTCATCACTGAGTTGACCAGTTATTCTTCATTGATCTAGGACTAATTCCTTTGTCCGAAATGCTCTACTGTCACTTTAAGGCATTTTAAAGCACTCTAGAATCCTCCTCCACTGTTGCCATGCTCCATACTGTATGTATTATTGATAAGTTGATCAGTTATTCTTTACTGATTTAAGACTTATGCCTTTATCTGAAAAGTTTCGTTTCGGCTACTGTCTCTTTAAAGACTTTTTGAAGCACTCCAGAATCCTCCTCCACTGTTGCCATGTTACACTTTTGTCATTGATAAGTTGATCAGTTATTCTTTACCGATTTAAGCTGGGGCCTTTGTCTGAAATCTTTAATTCAGCTACTGTCTCTTTAAAGTATTTTACAGCACTTCAGAATCCTCTTCAACTCTTGCCATGCTATTCAGCAGTCATTATGTTTTTCTTTCTACAAATTAAAAAAAAAATGTATGGCTATATAACTTTGGTCTCTAAATTTGACCTGGAAAATTGCCTTACAAAAGTAGCAACAAGGAACAGGTCATTTTTTACCTTCATGATGCCTTTTTAAGGTGATCCACCAATTGGTGATGTTAAAATCTGAGCTAATACCATGTGGATCTCGCTTACTTTTCGTTTTTACTTCTTGAACAGGCTGTTCGGAGCAGACTGGGGTCATCCTCTTGGATTATTCCATCATATTTTTCTCACTTTATGAAAATCTGATTATATTTAGTGTTGATATCCAACATTTTAACTCACTGTTCCTTTGGAAAATCCCCTCTTTGTAAATAACTAGACCTCTAATGAAACACAGCTTGGGGAGGCCTTTTTGCCGTTATTAGACAAGACAGCTGAGGAGAGAGTGGGGTTGACATGAGGTAAAGAGTCATGGCAAGCCCTTTAACAGTTGGACCCCATTTAATAATATTATAAACGTGAGAAACTTCCCATGAAACCTTTACCTTTATTATCAGAGTCGTACGGCTGTTGTGGCAGCAGCACACAGGTGAGCACCTTCTCCCCCGTCTCTGGATCCTCATCAGTCTGAAAGGTGAGGAGAGGCTGCGACTGGTTTTCAGACAACCACAAGGCCTTCAGTCGTAGTGTGGTCAGAGACATGGGTAAGTGGACGAGCCTGAAGACAAACATGGACATGAATCACTCACAGAAAAACCACCAGCAGCAGATACAGGCTGCTGTGTGAACGTCTTGGGTGAGTGTTTTAGTCACGTCGGGATAAGAAACTTGGCAGTTGTTTTGACAGCGAGGGAGACACTTTCCAGACACTGAGGTGAACATGTTTGTGTTAGAGTGAAGCTGCAGTTTTGTCTGAAGGAAAAGCTTGGAACAAAAACAGGTACTGGCAGAGAAACGAAAGCAAAACAACCTCGAAGTGATGATCGCTAAATCACGATTATGATCTCTGGAACAAGAAAATGATGAAAGGCTGTTTCATAACGACTCGAATTATTTATTTTATCTCAATTTTCATTAAATCGTTTGACCTTCGCCTGTTTTTCATCTGCCAATAAGAGACAAGTGAAAAGACGACCTGAGTACGTTTGAACGCACCTGTTTCCGGACACATCCAGCACATGCAGCTCCGTGGCTTGTGACAGCTCTGACGGTATCCTCGTCAGTCTGTTCTCTCGTACACAGAAGACATTCAGGCCGCTGCAGCCCCCGATCTAGAGAACAGAAGAGGCGCCATGATTAAGCTGCAGTCTCAGTAAGACAGAAAACACGTCACAGGACACACGTGTACGGAGTAATATCTCTAAAACCTGAAAAAATGTGACATAAACGCACACGGATCTGTATTATCAAAGCCGGGACAAAAGAAACCACTTTACTCCAGGATTGATGATCTCGATGGCAGAAAAGCAAATGGGATCAAATGTCAGTGGGATGTGGCAGAGCGACCTAAAATAAGGAGCAATTAGGCTTAGTGTCCAGACAAAGCAGAGACTTGATAGGAGAGCTGAACAGCAGTAGTAATCTATTAATCTGCTCAGACTCGGACCTGCGCGGGATATCAGTGCTGCTGCAGGGATTCATCATGTTAAAAGAAGCAGGTTAAGCTCATCAGAGGAAATATGAAGAGAAAGAGCTGGAAATAAAAAATCATGAAGTGTTGGAAAAAAAATCCTCAAAATTAAGTGTTTTAGGAACTGAAGCCACGAGAGAGCCCATTTAAAACAGGCTTTCACTTCCTGTCAGACCGTGTGGCCTCGCTTTTCCCTTTCTAAATTGATTTTTCTCTGCATTAACTAAATGTAGGGGATGGAGTTTTGAAGCATGGCATAAAAGCAAATTAGATACATGATTATGCCGGCTCCCACGTGAGCATGATCAAAATTCAGCCCTGAAAAACTGTTATGAGCAACTAATCAGCGATCAATATACGATCCATAAAACTGGGCCAATGGTCAAGTAGCTCAGAGTGGCACAGATCAATACTCGGAGCGTGGCTACACTCTGATTGTCAGAGACATCATGCAATGCCGGTTTGAGAAAGCGGTGACACCATCGATTCATTATCTAGGCCAACTGTTATTTTTCTCCACACACTGCGGCCTTTGCGTCATTAAGACACAGAGCCATTGTGCCGCGTCTGAAGGAGCCTTTCAGATGACGCTTTAAAGCAGGCGAGCGTTCGATTAAACAGACGAGAGGTTCGAGGAGAACGTCATGTTACGGGCACAATGGACACACTCAGACAGAGCCGAACACACCAGAACTCTGAGCGGAGAACGTGAAGTAAGAAAACTCGACGAGCGGGAGTGTTGTCAGAGCAAACATGAACGAACTTTAGAGAGTAACGAGACAAAGACTAACAAGTTTACTTTTTCACTTGACATATATACATCAAGATACTATAGAAGACAAAACACAGGTGTGACCCTTTATGTGGTATCAGGTCAGACCTGCAGCATCGGTGCAAACATGTTATCAGATGGGACATGGTTCAAACTGGAGAAATTAGGCAGTTTATCACGAATAGAGCAATAAATGATAAAGAGCAAACTCATACATGCTTGTTTTGTTTGATTCTTTGTCAAGTAGAGATGAACAATGTGTTGTTTATTATTCTCTATTAAAAGGATATTCCGGCGTAAAATTAATTTAGGGTCAAACACACCGTAACACTGAGTTGGACAGTTCAAGGAAGAACATTAATGATCATTTCCACATGGAAATGCAATCAGACCGAGACACTGAGGCAAAAGAACGATTACGTCTGCAGTGAAAATGATTAATATGATGATTATAAATTCAAGGAAATGATAAAGTAATGATCATAAATGTTCTTCCTTGAGCTGCGTCACCCCGCTACAGTCCATAATAGACTGGCCTGAGGTCTCGCTACAAACAAGCAGTTGCTGGAGGAGAGTAGGTGAGTTGTGTTTAGTCTCTTTGCTAAAGAAATCAGGCAAAATCAAATGAATGTTTGGTGGCTAGTACTATCGCTAGGACCCTATATGTACTGTTGATGAAGTTAGGTGCTGTTCTGAGCATTATTAGTGGCTATAGAGTGGCGTCTTGGTTGAGCATGTGGCTCTCTGTATTGCTATCCTGCGGTCATTACAAAAGTTGGTATAACTAGAGAAGCAAGCGGTCTGCAACATTCATCTCTCTACGGGTTGTCTAACTCGGTGTTTCTTTGTGTTTGACCCTAAATTAATTTTACGCCGGAATATCCCTTTAAGAAGAACAAGTAAGCAGAAACGTGGACACTGTGGGTCTGAGAGGATCTTTCTGTTCAGCTCTCTTGTTGCAGAAATCTCACAGTTGGTCATTTGAGTCTTGGTCTGTATGTCCACAGAGATTATTCATGAGTCTGCTCCACATGTTCACGATCAGCATGTTTATAAGTTCTGCAGCTTCACAGGAAAAAAACAAGTTTCTTTTTTAAGCCTAATAAATAAGTGATCAATAACACAGAGAAGATTATGAGTTTGCATCCCTAGTTTAAAATATAAAATCATGATTTTTTTAAAATAATGTTTCTGTAAATAAAGTTTCTTCTTATTCTGATTTATGTTCAAATGCAAAAGTCTCTGATGGGTTTAGTCGTCACTCTTCATTTACACTGAAGGGTTTAATGCTGTGATTGACAGCCCTGTTAACAAATGCAGCACCCACGGCACTCTTTGTAATACATTGGGAGGAGTAAAGAAGGAACTTCAAACAGAAACATAAGTGTCAATGAGCTTTCCACAACCCGAGCGTCTGCTTTAAACTGTCATAAAAACCTGTTTTTTTCTGTGGAATTAATAGCCTGAAGGATCTCAGCCATGTAAATATGTTACACTAGTGTTTCTGATTGAAAAGGGGTTGTGTTATCAAGAATGCATCTTCACCGGCTGATTTCCACAACTCAAACTCCAGAAAATGTCACCTCAAGATGAGCTCAGATCTGAAATCTTTCATTTGGTGCTGTTGACTCAAATTGCTAAAAACTTTTAACTAGACAGCAATGTTGTCAACAGAGAATTCACACACTCAGCTACACAGATTTGGTTGAAGAGACATTGTGTTTGCTTTTCAATGACAATCTTACCTCCTTTGGTAAAAACGATAGCTGATTTCTGTCACAGTTGAAGTTGGATAATCGCTTTAATTTCCCAACACTCCTCGGCAAACTCTGAAACCAGGAAATGAAAACAGTTAAATAATATAAGTTTAAAACCACAGATGGTCAGATCAGAATGTTTCCTGAGCTGTTATACATCTACAGTTTCTACACTGACACTCTATTATAGTAACATCAGTTTAATGTGCTGTTTTCACTGGAAGCTTCATTTCCAAATAAGAGGATCTTCATGTTCCTAATTTGACTTCTAACTAAGGAACTTCTAACTTTGCCCCCTGTGGACAAACAGGTTCTGTACATGTAAAAGAAGGACTGTCAGACAATAACCTCATCTTTGTGTGTCCAGACAGTGAAATGCTTTCTGTGAGTAGCTGTCATGGAAAAAGTGAGAAGGGCTGATTCATCACCCATGATTCATGTCAATCATCATGACCTCTCACAGCAGTTTTCAGGGTTAAAAATGACGACAGATAAATGATCCGCCTTGTTGCTGATGGTCCTGTTTGCTTCCTAAGATCACAGAGAGGCTGTGTTTTTGGTTTTAGCCTGTTTCTCAACTAGTAAAAAACTCTTATAGTGCCTTTAAGTCACCACATTTCTTCTCTACTTTTCCAAATTCATGTTGAGACGACAAGTGAAGCAAAAAGACAACACGTGTACATTTTTCAGATGATGCTCATATACGTTTACGAGGTTTTATGTTGAAAACCAGACAGATATCAGCAAAAAACTGACGATATCAGCGTTTCAGACCACTGAATAAGTCTGTGCTGAAACTCAAAACAGATGTAACATCTGATGCTGTTTGGGGAAAAGGCAGAAAAAACATTTTAACAATGTAATGTCATTAGTAACAAGAATCTTATCTCTATCTCTAGATATGCACGAAGCTTTTTCTGCTTCCACACCGACTGTTTTTATGTATTTCATGCTTGTATCATGCATTTTTAATCCTCTATCAGTCTTTATAGTTGTGCTGTCTCTCCATTTAAAAGGACATGTAGTAAAAGCATTGCATACACACCTGTAGCTGGTTCTCTGTTAGGACGAGCTCGGTAAGGCTTTCACAGTGACCAATACTCTCTGGAAGATAAGTTAGTCTATTCTGATCAGCTTTCAATATCGAAAGCTTCCGTAGTTTTCCTGCAAAGAAAGAACATTTATGAATTAACCTGTGAGAATCATACAGCATCTTCTGTTTACTGGGTTAACTAAGAATATATCTGTTTAAAATGAGGAGAAAAGATCATTTCAACACTTACCGATGCTTTCTGGCAGAGCATCGATTAAGTTCTGAGAAACCAGCAGGTCTGTTAGCATCACTAGACCCCCTAACTCATCTGGAAGTCGCTCTATTTTGTTTTCTGATACATCCAGACACAACATGCTTTTCATGCTGCCCATCTCCTGCAGATAAGAAAACATGTCAGCAAATATCCACAGTGTAATCTTAATAAGATTGAATACACGCCACATTTAAAACTCATAAAACTAAAAAGGTACAGTCCATTTAAAAGTCTTCACATGACTCTGAGATGACAAAGAGGAACAGAAACGAAAATGAAAGAAATAAGCGGATTGATTGACTTACTGCAGGTATTTCGGCCAACTGGTTTCCATCCAGCCACAGGTCTTTCAAGCTGACAAGACAGCCTATTGACTCGGGCTGTGTGGGAGGAAGAAATGTTGAAATTTGAAGAGTGAGGGCCAGGAAAAATAAGAGGGCAAGACACAACAGGAGACAAAAGAGCAGAAAAACACGATGTAAGAGACTCGGTTTTTGTTGTTTCCAGTTACATGAATTCTTATTCAATGTATTCATGGACAGAAAGATGAACAGTAGAAACAAATTCATCGAAAACAACCGCATAATTTACCCAACTGTGAACACGTTTTTAAATGAGCTGATTTGTGGGATTCTGACGTCTCTCATTTCCCCAAATTCTTTTATAAATATAACATAGCATTATCGTGTTTATAATGGGTAACAAAGGGAAGCTTTTGAAGCTGTACAAGCGGACCAAAAAGACATTCTCTATTTCACAAAGATCGCCAGGTTTAAGGGTTAAATGCTCCACAAACCGCACTGCTGAGCAAACTGCATCTCTGTGTGCCGGTGTTGTTTGCATACATTAAAATACGTCGCATTCATTTGGAGCAAAATATGTTCTTTACCATCCAAACAAGATCAGCTGCAAAAAAAACCAACTTATTCATGAACAATGGGGCTGTCAGAGTGAAATTTTCACCGTTTGCTCAGAGCTGGTTTTAATTCTCTGCGATCATGACGAGAGTAACTCAATCTCTAAAAAACTTATATAACATATAGGTATGTTTATATTACTGCTACAAAAGTTAGAGCCAACAGGATTAAAGCATACAGTCCGTGCCAATAACTGAAAACTAGCATTTCTGGCACAATCGCTGTATGAGACCTTCTGCAAATTAAAACCTGGCCTTCATTTGAGGATTTAGAGTAAAAACTAACTAAACTTTGCAGATCATAATTAAAATACCAAGAAGACAAACAGACAACCCACATTTTCACAAACTCAGACACCTACAGCATCATTATCTTCTGGCTGATTTTGCCCGTTTCGTGGGTCAATCATTGACGGTCAGAGATTGGCCGCTGGTACAAGATTACAACTTAAAACCAAAGCTCAAAGCAGATGTTCACCCACCCGCCCATCTGGGTGATAAGAGGTGAAAGCTGTTCTCGAGGGATGCTAATCTACTCTTACATGACAAGAACAAGGAAACGGGGAACAAGTTTGGTTCTGTTCATGTTGTCCCACAAAAACTCACCAAACTGTAGAGTTCATTATTCCCTAAGTCGAGTTCTTCAAGTCTTTGAAGCATGGATAGTGACCTGCAGAGAAATAGTAATAGAGAGGTTAGATATCGTTTATGCTCTGCTTGACTAAACTAACTAAAATACAACATGACAAACGTGTGTTTCCACTTCGATGTTGCGGCTGATTAATACTCACTCTGGCAGGAATGTGAGCAGGTTTTCCCGAAGTTCAAGTGATACCAAGTTGGAGAGACTGCAATAACCAAAACAAAGAGAATTTTCATGTTTCTGGTAATGCCATAAAAACACAACCTGTCCTCAAAATATAGCTCCATAATTAGCTTTATGATGAGAGCTCAAAAAATCTGGAAAATGTCTCTTTCACGATCAGATATGTGGAAACAGGAAACACTTAGGAGGCCGGTCAGTCTTATCAAGGCTGTAAAATCACGACGGCATAAACAAATGCTGCTGACTTGAAATGAAATGAAGAGCGAAACGTCTAAAGGGCCATCGCAGACCAAAGTACACGGTTATCTCTATGAGCTGTTTCTGTCTCAGTACTTTACACGTACCCAATTAATGGAGGGGTTTATGACAACAGCTGACAAGCGCAGAATAAAGTCCACGTCCATAAAAATAATCCAGCCTGTACACGAGGTGGACTAAAGTGCTGATATATGTTTTTTTTAGCATAGAAATGAAAACAAACGCCTTTCTGCATCAAGTTTTTCAGTTCTGAGCTAATGAAACGCCCCCATCTCAGGAGATAACCCGCTGCTGTCATTAACCTCTCTAACATTTATCTTATCCACTTCTTAAAATCTGCACTCTGTTTTTCCAGCAGTGTTATGGTTTTCATTAACCTTTTCCTCTGGAGGAGAGCAGACTTCAAGTCACGGCGTTATGTAAGATAGATATGGGACATATGTGGGGCACATGCTTTACCGTGAGGAAACAGAGGGAGACGTCGGAGAAGAGCTCCTGAACTTTTAGCTGACTGTGTTGGTCAGAGGGTCGTTCATGTATACTGTACACACACATGGAGCACATGGAAACGACATGCCAAATCAAAATAATTGGAATCAGTCGTATATACAGTTTCACATCGATGCAGCTCGAGCTTTTGTTTTTGTTCAGTTTGTACCTGTTGCCATGGAAAACATGAACGGCGTGAGAGAAAAAAAGTCTGAATGTCGGTTTTAAGATGGAACACACATGGTGAGGAGGACATAAAACATGAGGATGGACGCGAGAGCGCCGCGCTGCCAGAAGAGACGGGCTGTTTAAAAGTCAGACCATTGATACGAATAATATTCATGGATTTGACTTTCAGTTCGGGTCTGAGATTTTCTGCTTGGTCAACGTGTTTAAGGGTGAAGTGGATTATGTTGATGATAAAAAACAATAAAATACAGTAAAGATTAAAGGTGGGGTAGGCAGGATTCTGTTAAAGAGGAATCTTTTTTTGTGGTTTATATACAAAAAAGCTTTTAATATCAGTCAATAGCTACAAGTTATTGATGACATTTGGGAATATAACGATATCAATTGGATACGATTTGATCTGACGACATATAATATGATGCATTTACAATATGATACATAGTAAGACTTAAGGAAAAAGCCAGTTTGATCTAGTTACAGGCACAATAGGCTGCCTTTAAATTGTGTTGTGAGGCCCGCTCCACATCCATAAAAAGTAATTTATAATAACCCACATCTATACAAATAAAATGTCATATTGTCCACAGAGCAGCCTCACTAAACAGTACAGAAAACACAAGCAATAAAACGAAGTAAATACTGGAGACTCTGGCGGAATAACGGGCGCTTAAAACGGAGGTAGACCATCCGGACAAGAGCTAAAAAGCCAGGTCAACATCAGCATAAACAACGTGGGACACTTTGAGATCTTGGTGACCCTGTAAACTTTCTGCTGGACAGGTAAACCGCTTTAACAAAGTAAGACAAGTGTCTGTAACAGAAGTGTTTCTTGTCAAACTGGACCTGCTGTAGCGTGTTGTAGCGCCATCGCTAAACTGTCCTCCCTCGGGTCCTGGACTATGTCACTTTATCCTAGTTGTAGAAGTCCTGCAAACATTGTGTTTGCTGGTAGTTTGTTGGCATCTACAGTAGCACCAATGCTTTTTACTTTCATGTTGACTGGGCCCCATTTGTAATTATCTGAAGTATTTATCTGCATTTTATCTGAATTTAACTGGAACGATACGAGCGAGCAGGATTGATGATTTTATAATATTGGATACAGATCAGTTTAATTGCATACGATTTAATCTGATGATATAAAATAGGATGCATTTACAATATGATACATAATAAGACATAAGGATAAAAGCTTGATGAACAGGCACAATAAGATGCCTTTCAAGTACTTCTGTTTTATTTTTAATCCATAAAAAGTAATTTATAATAACCCACATCTATACAAATAAAATGTCATATTGTCCACAGAGCAGCCTCACTAAACATGGACATGCCAAAGCCATGAGGGTTATTTAGTAGAAGTGAAAATACTTCACAGCCTGAGATTAACCTGAAACCTTCACAGGCATCATTCACAACACAGCTTCGACTGTTTCAGCGAGTACACAAACATTTTTAGGGTCTATGATTTATTACAATGGCTCTCCATCTGGCTCTTTGTGTCTGGTACTGATCTAATTAGGGTCTATTATTAGGCTAAACACTTTATTAGTGCAACATTAAGCCCAAAAGCCGGTCTATAAGTAAACCTGTTATTTCAAAGTCTCAAATCCTGACCTATAATCACCACAGGATCCAACAGTCTTTTCTTGAATCGTGGCTCATTTTATGCCATCGCACAACAAGCCGGTTGCCTTTTATGAACAAAGACAATGAAGCTCCAACAGTTCCAGCAGCAGCTATCTAATGGTTAAAATATGCCATCCTGATCACTGCCAGAGGTAATTCATCATGTACTTCTGGACAACATCAGTTCAAGTTTCACTGTTTAAATCCATCCCTGTGAGCGTCTAAATCCAGTTTCCCTTGAATTCCAAACTCCAACTCAAAAACAACCCTTGTGGCACTTTGACCTTAAACACATAGTTGTGTTATTAAATCCAATTATAACTAAACTCAACAATAACGGGAACCTCGTGGGAATAAGAACCCTGGCAGACAGGTCGGTCCCTTCTTTGTGGCTCATTTTATGCCATCGCACACCAAGCCGTTTGCCTTTTATGAACAAAGACAATGAAGCCGAGCAGACGACACAGACGGATGAGTCTGTGGAGAGTAATGTGGTTGGTATGTTTACCCCTCTGTGGTGAGACAGAGGAGATTTTAGACGACGATATACCTTCAGCACAGAGACAGACAATAGAAGAGCGAGCACTTTGACATGTGACGTGTATTTTTATGCTAAAAGCTTTAAGTGGATAACCTTTGGTGTCTCTGCGGGAGAGAGTATACATTTTTGCTCAAAGAAACACTCTTGTTCCGTGTGTTAATTGGCCGTGTGGGAGGAAAGTGTTTTGGGCTAAAAATACAGCAGCAATTGTCAACCTTGCTGCACGATAAAGAGTCACTCAGACAGAGAAGTGCCACTCTAAAGAAATGTTATGAGTCCAGTGCATTTTCAAAGAAAGCACTGACACAAGCGAACGCAGAGAAGCACAAGAGGTGACTCTGGAGTCAGCATTCAATTACATGCATCTTAAGATACGAGTGCATCAAGATGCTGCAAAATAACACCGTCGAAAGGTTAGAGGAATCTGAAATGCAGGTATTAACGATCTTAAGGTCTGAAAAGCTTTCTCCTTCTCCTGCAATCTACATAAAACTCATTTTTATAAGAACTGAGACACTAAATAAAACATTATTTGATGGTTTGCTGAACATTCAAAGCCTGTGTTCAACTGAATATGGTGAAAAAGCAACAAACACATTCATGTCTAGAGATACAATTATCCGTTTTTTTCCCGATCCAATCCGATACCAATCTGGACTGAGCGAATCGGCCGATATCCGATACCGATCCAATACTACTGTTGAATGAATGAACTGTATACCTCGGCCTGTGAGTGAAGGCATCAGGCTTGACATTAGCCTTGTTAAAAAAGGTAACAAATGAACAAAAACATAATTTACTTATTATTTATTAACAAATAATAAATTGCACACAGCAAAAAGAAGTAACTGGCTAAACCCACGGGATATCTGAGCTGATATCTGATCCAAATATCCGATTGGTGCATCCTTATTCATGTTTATTTGAAATCTGATGCCAGCAACATGTTAGAAACAGAGGGGGCAACAACACCGGCACCGAGACACTGAAAAGGTTGAATAATGCTGAAAGGACCGCCTGAAGAAATACCTACTAAGTGATTACTTTAATTTGCCACAAGCTCGTAACATGACTGGGATTAAAATAAAGGAAAAGGTAAAATTGAGAGGAGGTTTATCACCCTGAGAGACGCTGGGAGAGGAAAAAGTTCAACAATAAATAAGTGATATTCAATTTTTTTTAATTTTCCATCCTCAACAATAAAATCATTAAGATTTAGAGAATCTGGAGAAATCTCTGCGATCTTCATTAAAATAAAGACATGACTCTGGAGTGAAAATCACTTATTTTACTCTTTGGCTTTCAACCCAGGGTGAGAGTTCTATGGTCTGTCTCTGTCTGCTCTTTTATTAGATTTTCATTTGCTCTGACAGTGTCTTTATCTTATTTCTTAATTATTTATTAAGTGTTTTTTTATATGGTTTAATTATGATTCCTTTATTTTATTCTATTTTATTCTCTGACAGCATTTCATGTTCTGTGTTTTCACTTATTTTAGCACTTTGTTAAATATCATTCCTTTTTTTAATGTGCTATATAAGTAAAATGGATTGGATATTGCAACAGCTTGGCTCTGTAGTAGAAGAGTCCAGGCGCCAAAGTGACCTGCCTGCAGTCCTGACTTGTTACCACTGAGCTGCTGAAATCCTTTATCAGCCGAGTCTCTGACAAACAGGTGTCCTTGGTAGAAAACGTGATGCAACACAACGGCTGTTTTGAGACCTGCTGCTGGCGTCAGATTTAAAACGAGCATATTCTAAATAAAAAGATCCGTTTTATCATTTGTTTTCTTCTCTTTGCACCATTTCCAAAGAAATTCAAGTTTTAAATAATTTGCAAACCATCAAATTCTGTTTTCAATCAACATTTTCACAAAGCCTCCTGACTCTAGACATGGAAACGTTTAACTGGCAAACACAAGAAGCTCTTAAAAAAATGCCATGTGTTGAGCTTTTACTTACTTCCCAATGTTATCTGGTAGAACTTGTAATGAAATATCGTTGATGGAAAGGCATGTGAGATTTCGTAGCTCTGGAAAGCTGTCGGGTAACCTGGAGAAATGAAAGAGAGAGAGGGGCCAAAAACGTGAGATGCCAGCTGGAGCGGGACACACAGAAAATAATCTAATTCAAATGCTTTTAAACACTCAAGCAAATACACTGGGCATCAAACTTTGAGCAAATGTTAGAGCAGCTTCCACAACAGAGCGTTATACACACATGGTCATGTTTTTAGGAGACGGTACTGAGAGTAGTGTTGAGCAAGAGTTTCCAACAACTTCAGCCATAAACTCTTGATAAAATGAAATAAATTATCTGCTTCTTGCTCTTTATCTTTGCCCTCTGTCCCGCTTCTTTTCCTGCTAGTTTCAACTCTAAAAGCAAGTGTTTCATCTCCTATGTGAACATCAAAAGGATCAGACAGGCTCCAAATACGTCTGTTTCACAATGTTGATGAAGATAATCCAAGATTATTTGTTGCACTCTTTGTGTGCGCCATAAAACAAGAGTCGATATCTTTAGAAACACTTTGTGCTCAGGTTTTTATAATACTGTTTATACTCCACCTTTTAAACAGACATATCTTATTCTCTTGCAAATGTTTCATTCAGATTTATACCTCCTATTTGTTTTTACAAGATTGCAAACAGAGCTGCTTATAAACTTGTTGTGATTACACTTTTATGGATTGCAGAAGATAAGAATAATCTTCCTGCATCCTATAAGCTTCAATTATTGCTCATTTTTTGGCAAGTTTTATTTTATTATTCCTGAATATCTGTCACCCTTCAAAAACTTTATTTCGAATCAGTCAGGCTGAGTTCATTTCCATAACTTAGAAATCAGTCAGGCTGTCTGTATTCATGAAGCGAGCTATCAACAAGTCTTCATAAACAACCAGCACCTGCCCCTGGTATCTGAACCTCAGTGAACTGGAGCTGTGTGTAAACTCAACCTTCTTTACACAAACAGAATTTCCACTGATCAAAATATCACTGAAACCTGTGACCAGTCTGACACTTAAGAAAGCTGAGAGTAAAGCTTGATCGTAGTTTGATATTTGGATCATGTTTAAAACCCTTTAATGCCCTTTATATCATATTTGATACATACTTTTATGATACTTCTATCAAATCAATATGACCAACAAATTACTAAAAAACACCTGAATCAGGGCTGGACAATTACTTTTTCACAAGGAGCGCATGTGCTTCTAAGTTGAAAAAGTAAGGAGCACACAAAGAACTTCAGGGGCACGATGATCAAATAATGTTTGTCTTCTTGGTCAATATTAGTACTATTATTTGAAATCAATTTTAGGTCTTTTGGTCACATAACAAGGAAGCTATTGATGGAAAACAGCCTTTTTTGAGATCATCAACCGGTAATTTATTGATGGTCCCTTAGTAAACACCCAACGTTGACAGCGAGGAGTCTGGGTAGATTTAACCGCTGTTGTTATTCCCGGTTATGGAGAGTGAGAAGACACCGGTAGATCCGCAGTGAATGTCCGTCAAATAAACAACCTAAAACTAACTTCACCGCAGTATCTACATGAAAAAACATTGTTGCCTCGGCTGATTTTTTTATGCGCACATGTGACCCTAAATATATTTAACAATTCGCACACATCCATTTTTAGTCGCCAATGCGAGTAAAACGGTCGCACTGTCGAGCCCTGACCTGAATACAGTCTGATAAATGATAAAAATGTCCTCTTGTGGTTTAGAGATTAATAAATGTATTTGTTAAGTTTTAAGGACATTTTGATTTTTTGGTTTTCAGTAGTAAGTGAAATAAACATTTCAGCTCCAAAATATTTGAGTTTTCAGGCCATAATTTGTGGTTTCAGGCATTAAAGGGCTAAACAGAATTATTTACATGTGAATTAAAGTGAAACTAATACAGAGAAAAAACACTCTGATTAATCTGAATGACTGACATTAAAATAACCTCAAAGATCTTAACTATTAAAGTGTTTGAATGCTTGTGGATTTAGGTCAATACTGTGGAAAGAGAGAGAGTGTTGTGTGTGTTTGCACTTTAACTGCAGTGAACTGTAATGCCTTTGTACTACTATTCATTGTTGGCTCCTGAACTACATACTGTAACATGGTGTGGTTTTTTTCCCTGCTGAGGTGCAAATGAGCTTTAGTCTCACCCACACAACCAGAAGCATATTCAGAAATCTGTGAAGGGGCGTGCATGAAAATACTGAACAGCAGAAGGTCCTAAAACAAGAATCTCAACGTCATCTTTTTCATTTGTAAAGATTTAGTCTTTTATTCTTTCATCCTGAAATGCAAACTGCGCATTCAAAGCTGCAAACCCTGATGGTTAATTTTTAAAAGTGACTGGAGCCAAAGGATGATTTATTAAAGAGCGGATGAGCTGTTTTTGATAAGTAAACCAATATAATCTGTATAAATACCTTGTTAATGGATTTCCACTGAAATCTGCCACTTGGAGGGCTTTGCAGTATGAAATGCTTTCTGGAATTTCCATAATATCTGAAATAAAGAGAAAAGAAACATTGAATTATAGCTGATAACATAAAACTCTGAGCAATAAATGTGAGTTTGTGCTTCCTTTTCACGGACTTTAGTTTCGCTTTACAGCCACACAACAGTCGACAGTCTGTTATGTAGCAGAAGAAGCCTCGCCACTGTATCTAAAGCGATGCATCCTGGTCTATAAAAACAACTTGGAAAGCTCAGACTAATGCGTACCATGCTGGATTTTCATGCTTGTTTGTTGCAGCAACTTCACTTGAGCAGTAAATCTGTCGATGTGATTCATTCGCTGAGCTTCGTGCCGTGTTGCTCAATCGTAAAAATTATTGTCAGGCAGAAGAAAATGCTCAGCAACACATTTTAAAACGCAGTATCTAATATTTGTGAGTGTGGTGTAATGTTTATGTTTATTTTTCTGCTGCTTTGCTCTATCAGGTTTCGCCCGCTTACCATTTCGAGAGACATCCAGTTCTACCAGCTGCATGAAGTTGGCTATTTCTGGCGGGAGCCTCTGGATCTCATTGTCGCTTAGGCCAAGTTTTCTTAGTTTCACCAGCTGGAAAAATGGCTGAAAGAGAAATAAAATTCACACTATAAGAAATGCCTGAAAGAGTTTTGCACTGAAGCCATGAGATCACTGTTATACCCTGGACTAGTTACAGAGCTGTGTTCTTACAAAATAAAAGCTTGAATGATGCTTTGCAAATATTGTTTACCTGGAGCATGAAAGCATTTCTGAAGTTTTGATCAGCAAGTCATTGTTTTTTGTTTTTTATCTTGGGTCAAGTGCGACCGGTTATTAGACAATAGTACCAGAGTACTAGACAAGGAATACTACTCAACTTCAAAATACTACTCTTGGAGAGTTGGTTTGGCTCTTGGGCCTCATGCACAGAGGCTACAGTCCTTGGGGCAGACAGCCAAGGTTCAATTCAAAAACTAAAGCCAGCTTGAAAGTGAAAAAATGTCTCTCCTAAAATGTCTACAGGTGGCTGGTTCCAAAAGCCAAGAAATCCCTGTTGGGCCTCATGTTCAAACTGCCATTTTACAGTGAAAATCGTCATTTTTACATGCTGGTGCAAAACAGTTTTAGTCTCTTGATTCTCTAACCTCGCAGAGAGCTGAAAGCGACAACTACCCAGGCATCATTGGGGGCGTGGCTGATTTGCTACTAACCAGGTGCTTCACCGCTTATCCAACAGCACCATGAAAATCCATCTAGAAGTGCAAACTTTAAAAACTCTTTAGAAGTATTTATATAGATGGAGGTCGACTGGTCATTTCTGATGCGTTCAAGAGAGTCGGGAAATCTAAGCCCTGATTGGCTTTTATGATAGTCAAAACGTTTAGCTGACACTCGAAAAACCGAATTATTGTCTTATTCTGATTAAGACCGGACAACTGAAGTACACGGTAACACCTTAGTCCAACTCCAATAGTAGTTCTCAAACTCCGATTGGAGTCGGAGAACTCTGATTAAGACACCCAGATAATGTGTTTCAAATTTGATTTTCTCTACCATGTAGCCAGCATAGTTGGAGTATGATTGGATAATGCATGTGCGCATGCTTCACGCCCCGTAACTCCAAAACAAATACACCAGAGAAGAGGAGTAGCATGCATCTGCAGAAAAAGTACCGCGTTTATCATGTACGACAAAAACAACGCTGAAAGATGCTCAATCTTCTTGCTCAGAGTTCTTGCTTCTTGAACACTTCCCATACTATAAAGCCAGACCCACATATATACACACTTCTCTATTAGGACTTCAAAAACCAGAGGGTGACATCACTTATTTGCTTTATACAGTCTCTTGGTTTCGCTGATTGGACCTCTTGTTAAAGGCTAGGGGCCACTGTGAACGTGGGAACACCATGAAGTGAACATCACATGATAAATTAGATAAAAAAGTGTAGGTTCTCCTGCTCTAACTGGGCCAACAGAAATAACTCAGGGGTGGGAGAAGCGTCAATCAAATCCAAGCTGTTCACTCCCACACACTCAGGCAGGAGGTCTAATCAGGAAACATGATCGAAAACACCTGTGGAGATGAACCATAAGTGATATATGGTTTTACTGCGGGCATACAACACCCTCTATAGAAACCCCCACTCTTCCCTGTGACTGTAAAGGTTTCATGACACTGTGTCAGCTATATCATGATAACTGCATGGCTGCTCCTAACAGACAAATAACTGCAGGACTTTTACACAGCAGATTTTTTCACATGTCACAGCAGGAAAAGCATGAGTGTAAATAATAAAATTAATGATGGCTGAATTCATTGAGCTGCATCAGGTCCTGGTTTAAGTCTGACTGGGAAACTTGTGCAGAGATATGCCACCTGAAGAAAACAGCATAAACATCGGTCTGCTATCTTTTTGTTCCATCGGTTAGTTACCGCACAATAAAGGTCTCACATTGAAAGATCAGATTGAACACAAGGCTCTGGACAGTCATCCATTACTCATAAAGCTGTTAGGGGATGAAGCGGTCACAAGTTGCTCATTTAGAGTGCTGGGATCCGGCTCTCTTGTCAATTTTATAAAAGCGAAAGATCCATTTGGCAGAGCATTTAAAAAGGCAAAAGCAATTATCACAAGCACATACTTGACGCCCATTACAGGAGCGGGCAGAAGCTTGTCTGCGTGGTGGTAAAGCAGGGAGCTAGCTTTGCTGCTTCAGGTTCATTTAATGTTTTAACAGCGTTAACAGGAAAACAACCCCATGAATTCTCCCCTCTGGCCTTTGTATTCTGGGTGCTGCTGCTTTATTACAAGGCACTTTAACAGGCTATGAAAGCCCAACTATGAAAAGAATTCCCCAAACCCACATCTATCATCCCATCAACCACTTAAGTTCACTGTAAAATATGCTTTGACTCTTTGCATGTCCAGTATGTTGCAAACACATCTTGGTTTGCAACATCTTATTTTACCCTCTTTTGTGATTTGCTTGTGGATGTTGCTACTAATTTTTCCTTCAGGACTTTCTTCTCATTTAGAAGCCCCTTCTGGAGTCCACTGTTAGTAATAATACTAGAGCTTTTCCTGGTCCTAACCTAGCGGTTTAAGTGCCTGCTGAGAGAGGAGAGCAGGGAGAGGAGCAGGAGGACGCAGGTGTGAGTACATGTGTGTCTGAAAAGCCAAGGGACAGAATGAGCACTAAGAGAGAGGCTGGAGTGATCACAAGTGCTGATGAGGAAACTGTACTTATTTGCTTGGGTTAATGTACTTGTTACAGCTGTAGGCTGCTGATTCTTCAGAAAACTTAGGAGGATTAACACCTGATCTGAAAACGTTATGGTCAGCATGTACAGGAATATTTTTTGTCAGATAAGCAACACAGAAAACATGTTCTTCATTACGCTATAAAATCACTCTAACATTCACCAAACCAAGAGATTTCTACTTAATTTTCAAGGTTTGAACCTTTGTAGCTAGAGTGACCACTACTGAACTCAAACAGCAGAATCTAAGTTTCAGATTCTTGCTTAAAACTGAGGGTCAGGAAGGTAAAGAAGCATAAGGGCCTGTGTCCACTAACAGCATATTTTGCTGTAGTAAAACCTATTTTCTTCACCAAACATTTATTATTGTACTTTTTAAAGTCATATTGGCCACTTTTGCTCTCAAACAAACAGCAGAATCTAAGTTTCTTGTTTAAATTGGGGGTCAGGAAAGTGAGGAAGCATAAGGGCCTGTGTCCACAAACAGCTCATTTTACAGTCGTTAAACACATTGTCTACACCAAACATACTGTTGTACTTTTTGAAGTCATATTGACCACTTCTTCTCTCAAACAGCAAAATCCAAGTTTCTGTATTTTGTCTAAAATTAAGGGTCAGAAAGGTAAGGAAGCATAAGGGCCTGTGTCCTCTAACAGCATATTTTACAGTAGTAGGACCTATTTTCTCCACCAAATATTTACATTTGTACTTTTTGAAGCCATATTAACCACTTCTGCTCTTAAACAAACATCAGAATCTAAGTTTCTGTATTTTGTCTAAATTTGGGGGTCAGGAAGCTGAGGAAGCATAAGGGCCTGTGTCCACTAACAGCAAATCCTATTTTCAACACAGAATAGTTTTACTGCACAACTTCCCAGAAGTAAAAGCAGCCCATCTGTTTTTCTGTCCCTGCATTCGTAGCACTCTGCGTTGAAGATGTTTGACATTTCACAGCCACGCTCATCAATGTTGCCTCTCCTTCATCAACCAATTATTATCAGGAAGGGGTGGGACTTCTGATAACTACTTTGTCAATAAAACAAGTGCTAAGAGGAAACTAACCAGACTTGTTTACTCAGGGGTATAATTTCCAGGTCTGGAGCAACCGCCAATGCCAGAACTTGATTCCAACCATTGTTTTCACCTTTTGTAACAACATTTTAGTTAAAAACATACATTAAGAAGAGGTCACTACTGAGGGTAACAGAGGTGCATTGAGACAACCTCTTTAACCTTGTAATAGGAGCTGAGATGTGCCCTGAAGTTAAGATCATGTAAGTAGACACAGGCCCTTAAAGTTTTTACAGTGGGGCAAAAATGGTTCAAAAATTATGTCACTAAAAATGACATCCCTAATCTGATCCTGTCAGATAAATATGCATGCAACCAATTAAATGTGTGTACGCATGTGGCATGTCAAGATACAGATCCCATTTTAATGTGTGCACAAGAAATACGGTTCCTGAGTCCAAAAGTCAAACCCCACCCAGTTATTAAATGCACATGTTAATCCAAGGTCTCGAAACAGTTCAAATAATCTCTAATCCTTCATTTCATTGAGCAAACAAAACTGTAAAGTCACAAGTCACGGCAAACGACTGCGCTTTTTATCCTGACCACAATCATTTCACTTTCTGACTGTGGGGCTGATTCTGTCTGCTGGGTCCATGAATCAAAGGTACAGCCCTGCTACAGTTTATCTCTTCACGATATTATCAAGAGAGTCTTGGCTTGTGAAGGCATGTCCATTTCATGAAACCCAGCCTGAACTGTGACAGATCTGGAAAATCATGCACATGCAGGTTGATTTTACTGGTATGTTTATCGCTCTCAGACTTCCTACTCGAACTGTGCCACTCCTTTCTGACACAGCCGGAAGAAAAGCCAGGTACTCTGAAACCTTCAGTATCAAAAGAGAGTAAATGCACCTGTATTCAGTGCGACCATGTGGCTTTTGTCCTTTTCTAATCCTCTCGACGACAATAGAGACAATCAAAGGTGTAACAAAGAGCATATCCGATTCTGTTTTATCAGTCTGCTCTCACATTTTCAACAAGCTTTGTGAGTGTTGCATTAGCATATTGACAGTAAACCTGTTCTTCCTGCTGGTGTCCTGACACTCCACACCCCAAACAATCACCCATGTGTAACACACAAAAACCAAAACAGCCTGCAAGTCAAGAACTCATTAACCGCTCGCTCGACCTGAGTCAATGTTTGAATCTTTGGTTTCACCCACTAAAACATGCAAATCCCTGACGGTGGTTTGCATGAATAACTGTGTTGTATGTCTCAAAAAGCCCTTGTATGTATCGATATAACTAAATACAGATGTCAGTCTGCCCTGGATTCAAACAGGAGATCTTTCTAGACCTGGCTTTAGTCCTTTTTTAGGAGTGACACATAAAACCTTTCAAAATATGTACACAAACTAAAAACTCATGTCAGTACACTTGGCAGGGCACAACCCAACGACCACAAACACTCAAGTTAGAGACATCAGTGTCAGATGCTCGGCGCAGTCTTAAGTTACATGTAGGTTACATCGTCATATGCAAACAGTGTTAGATATCACAGCAGAGCCTGGAGTTAAAACTGTCTGAACCACAAGTACTAGTCTGACACTCAACAACTGCAGGTCTGCCTTTGCAGAAAAACACCTTTACTGCGGGTCAAACGGCTGTGAGTGAGTCAGTTCAAACACGAGCTTCCTGCTCAGAGGTTCACAGCTCCGCTCTCTTCACCACCTCGACCACATTATGAACCCTGAAGCTTCCTGTCACACAGAGGACACCGTTTCCTCCCTACATCGCACTCACGACAGTGTCTTGGGTTTTTAAACCTCTGAATTGAGGTAATAGGGTCTGCGTGATAAGGAAAAAAAAAGAAGCTATGTGCGAATATGTTGTTCGATAGTGTGACAAAATGACACTGCATAGTGGTAATGAGAGCTTGAGTGGGTTTCACCAGCTGTGTCAAAGTTCAAAAACAGTCTAGTCTGGATGTCTATGCATCAGGGGTTGCATCAGCGGAAAGACTGCTCCAACTTTAGCGTAGGTTAATTATACATAACTACTTTAATCTTAAACCCAGTTCTGGGAAGTTCTCTGCCTTGGTGCATCGTCTCGAAAGACGGGATAACTTCCAGGATGAAGAGAAGTGGAGGATTTAGCGTCCTCAACAGGAGATAACTTTAACCTGTACTCCCACGTTTTTTTCCCACAAGCCTTGGCGTACCTTTAGATATGTTGTTGTTAGCAATGTCAGAGCTCAGTATGACTAAAGATACTGATATTTGCTAGCTGTTGATGGACTTTCCTCATCCTCACATAACAATGTTTAGTCATGTTTTTGATCTTAAGTTGGATTTTTGCTGATATTTTGCTCCGATACCAAAATCAGTCTTCCACTCCGTTGAAAGGCTTGATCCTCAATTCATTGACTTTCTTCTTACGCCTCTTAATTTCTTGTATCCTTAATAACTAACTTTAATGTTTTGCTGTTAGGAAATGGACAAGAGTTAATGGTGGCGATTATCAGCCATTAGTCTGTGCAGAGACACTAAGGCATTAAACACCCCATTGAGATAGAAGCTTTTTAGCAGAGGTTGACCAATATTGGTTTTTAGGGCTGATACCGACACTGATCATTAGAAGTTAATGAGACCAATAACTGTTATTTAGAAGTGAAATATAATGACAGTAAACATAAAAAAGTCAAACACAAAACTTTGTTCAAAAGCCTTTTCTCAAATATTTGATTACAACTGAAACGTTAATTATGAAGAGTTAACAGTTAACCTGTTACAGTACAAGTCATGTGACATTTAGCCAATAAGAAAGTGCCGTGAGCGGGATATTAAGCAGTGTCAAAGTGGCGTACTTTTTAATCATCTAATTCTACAAAATAAAAGTTGGCCAAAGCTGAAAACTGGTCAACCTTTACTTTCTGGGGGCTGTCTGGTGAGAGTGACAGGCGTCATATCTGCGATGATAACAGGCTAGCTTAAATGTGACTCCTAGGCCTCCAACAGGGCTTCAGCTAAAAACCTTGTTCCTGTATGGCTGATCATTAACTGTGTGTAACAATTGTTGCCAGGAACTAAACTTTTCTATTGATCCAGACATTATTTCAGCAGATGAGTCCATGAATGCGGTTTTTAAATAGGATGTATAGAGATTTAAAGAACCATCTGTGGTCAATTTTTAACTCTAAGGCTGGAGCTGAGGATCATTTTCTCATCATTCTTCACTATCTGCTCTTTGGTGGTGGTATTATTGGGAAATATTGAAGGAACTTCAACAGCCCAAGAAAATGTGCTGGCTTATTTACTCGCCACACAGTCTAAACCCGAACTGTCATCATACATGTTCAGGAAAAGCCTCTCATCCTCCCACTGAAGAAGTTGGTATGTGAGGCATTACATACTTGGCATTACACTGATATCTGACTAAAACCAATCATTGATTTCGAGAAGTCGCTGATCGATTTTTCATGAAAGTACATTAACTGTTGAAGTAATAAGAACTCTTCATAGACACTAGGTAAGAATTGTAGATGTACGAGTTGTTTTTAGTCACGAAAAGCTGATAGAAACAGCCACCAGCACCTCAGTCTCACAGTTTCATATCAGTCCCAGTAGGTGGGAAACTGCATTTTGAACTGGACAAACAGGCAGAAGAATTCCAACAGGCAGCGAGTTTTGCATTCCTGCTTTTCTTATCCCCTTGGTTTCTGAGTCTGTCTGCTGTTTGGTAAGCTGACTTGTATTTACAGAGCCGACTGATGATGTATTCTGTATCTGGAGGAAAATTTTTGAGTCAACAACCAAGCATAAGGGACTGTTTGCTAATTTGGTCCTGTGCCTCAGAACAAATATTACATAAAAACGCCAAACAAGTAAGAAGAGCCTGAAGGAACAGTTCCAGCTATTGAATATACTGACTCTTCAGTCTCTTCGACTTGGTCATCAGATTTTTCTTCATAAAACTATTGAAACTATCTGCTCTGGTTCAACTTGCCTCATCTTGTAACTGTAACTGCACACCTTTTCTGTTCATCCTGCCGTTCGAGCGTCCCTGTGCAAGTCTTTATCTGCCTGCTGGTTCAAACCTTTGATTTCAGATATGTTACTGAGTCTTCTTGGCTTACTTACATAAGACCATAACACTCCCAAGACCATGATACACGGAGTGGTCAGTGTTAATTCAGATAGCAACCTCGGAGGCAAATGCAAAGAGGCCACTCAGTGAGCATTGTGCTTGTCTGATACAAAGGTTCATCCATACCGACGTATCTTGGGTTCACTTAGCGAGCATTGATGATGTTAGTTTCATGCCAAAGAGCACAGTAAACTGTTTCACTTGGCGGCATGCAAATAATCTAGAAGTGAGTACAGATAAGAGACGCACAATAGAGTGCAATCTCATCATTATTGTAATACCAGCACCCTTTATAAACACAGAATACAACTCTGGTTATAACATCACAACAAATAAGACAGAGAGTTTTGGATTCATGAACAGTTATTGTGTACAACATGAAGAGCATGTCTTAAAGGATGTGCATATTTGCAACGTCCCCACCTCTGCACCCAAATTACTGGTAATTTAATAAATTTTCAATATTTCTATTGTTATTATTGGCGTGAAATGCTGGTAAAAAGCTTTCTCCAAAGCCTCTTACAGACTACAATCCTGCAACAGAGCTGTAATAAAGTACTTCCACACTCTGAAACAGCATAATATTGGTGTCCACGACACGTGCATGTTGCATTATGCCATTGCAGCACCACTTGTAAACAAACAGTAAAAGCTTCACAAACACACACACACACACACACACACACACACACACACACACACACACACACACACACACACACACACACACACACACACTCAGCTGTTCTGCCCTGCCAGCTTTGACACTTTACATTAACAGTCTTCTCTTCATTGTGCTTTTGTTACCACGTCCAAGAGAGGATCAATTATGGGAGGATTTTATTTTGTTTTCATGTGCGACATACTAATGAAGGGCAGCCACCGACCTGAGCAGCAGCTACCATACTGCTATATAAAGCTCTACTACCAGTAGGAGTGGGAGAAAAAAATTGATTCACAGAAGTATTGCAATTTTTTGTTTTAGAATTTTTAATAGATTTTTATGTTCAAAAATCAATTTTTTTTTTCAAATTTAAGAATAAATCTTAAAAACTGTGTGTAACATGAACAGGTATGTAGATGATAACCTGGAGGGGCAAATGCTAACTCTGCTAACATTAGCAACAATCAGCAAACCGCTTCAACATCCTTTATCTTCAGACTCTGTGATTCATTAAGCTTCAGAGAAGAAACTGCTCAACTCTGACTGTTCCCTGAGTCTTTTCTTATCTTCTGTTGAGTCAATTAGCAGGAATTTCAATTTCCACTTTAAGGACTAGGGAGTTGGTCGCCTCGAAACATCCCTTCAGTTCCCATCTTATTTTTTATTCCTTATACCCTGAAACCATACAGATGTGTCTCAACAGTCAAAATTTGTTGAACCTGAGTCCACCTGCGAATTCCACACTTACTAACACACTTGTGGGAACAGAAAAATGCTTACATGGCAAGTTCCTACTTTCTCAGGTGTTGTGTCTGCAGCTTTACTAGGTTACTGGATTTATTGGTCATTTCTCTACAATTCAGGTCAATGATTCATTACGGTTCCATTAGAAAAAATCTAGCACATAGAAACAAGAACAAATCACATAATGCTGTCTTTGTTTCCAGTCCAGATACCTGTCCCTGCACGGGCTTTTCTTCTAGGGACAAAGTAAGCAGTGTGACACAGCCGTGGGAGATTGCTCACTTTATCTGTGTTCCATCACATTTCTGTGGACACGCTAAGCCTCAAAAATAAAATCTCCGTCAGCTCTCTTTCCTATCTTCTTTTGGCGTCTGTGCATCAAACTACAGCATTCTCTGTTCAGATTACAACCAAATCAAACTGCTTCACGGGGGTTTAAGACTTGTGAATGAAATGAGAAATGAGAAACGCCACAAAGGCACAAAAACAGTGCTTCAAATCTAATCAGCTTAACATCTGACTCACCGTGACATCAGTTTTAAGAGGTCAGGACAGTTTCTCAAGTGGACCAGACCTTATTTCATAATCTGTCCAGCTGTAAACCCAATACATTACAGAATGTGCTCCGTGCTCAAGGTTAAAACCAGAGCACCTGACACTCTTTTCTCAGGCTTAAAATACAATCTCCAGAGTGGAAACTTACAGAATCAAACAGGTTCGGCTGCAGAAAAAGTTTAAAGGGCATAAGTTACGAACACACAAAGTCAGTCACCGCTCTGGGCTGTGTGTAAAAGAAACACCACAAGTCACACCATGATGTCTTTAGTTTCAGGCCAAAACTATACCTGCCTGCAGAAGTAACATGCAAATCCTGGTCCTATTATCAGGTTTGTACTCGAGGGTTTAGTATGAAGGCTTGGAGGGTGTGAGGAGTTCACACCTTCATTAGTGTGTGTGTGTGTGTGTGCTTGATTGTGAAGACTTCAGTTTTCAAGATAATCCTGTTTTGATCGACCGAAAAAATGACACCATTTCCTTATGGATGTGACTTTTGAGGAAAAAGGGTTGGATCAAACATTACATGAAATATAATATAAATTAATAAACAATTTTCATGTAATAATCCACAGAAATATTGATCTGTGAAGATTTTACTGTGATTCTTTCTGCCAAATATTGTTGAGTGTTGAGTTTTAAACAGACCCCAAAAAAAGGGAAGCCCGAATACAAAATGGGAATTTGTCATTTTAATATATTCTTTTTACTTTCTTTTATTAACTGTGTGTTACAACAGAGGATTAGATCTGATTTTGAGATTTAAGCGGTCAACCTACAAAAATACAGTCACAATGTACTGGGAATAAAGTCGAATTTCAAGACTTAAATTTATCAGAATGAAGCCATGAGTTTGCTAGAATGACGTTAATTGAGATGCATGAAAAAGAGGTTAACGATAGCATCAGTGACTTTCTTCTTGTAAGAGATCAGTTTTGCTTCTATAACATGACTCTAATACAAGTTTGTAAACTAAATAGCCTAAACAAATATGAAGTTTAAGCTCTGCATGTAAGTGATGTTAAAATATTTCAACGTGGACAAATCAATGACAAGATAAGACTCAACTAAAATATATATGTATCTTTAACCCAGGCCTTTATTATGATATTCCTATGTCAGGTTTTTAATTCTAGGTGTTATAAATTATTTTTTCTAACATGATTATAGTATGTTAAGTTCAATTTTTGTTGAAATTATGCGTTTCTTAAAGGTTAAATATGATTAAATGCATCATATGGGAAACTAGATATTGCCTTTTTATTTATTCGGCATGCACAGACCATAACTTTTTAAAAAAACACAAAATATTCAGATTTATTCTGGAGAGGCAGGAAACTCAAAGGTGCTTATATGAGGACTGACCAAAAATGTCCCAAATGACTGGGACTATTTCTTTTATATTATAAATTTGCTTTTCAAATAATCATTGTAATGCAGTGCAAGATCAACATATGGTTTCACTGCCATTATTTAGCAGATTTGCCTTTTAGTTTTGTTTACGTCTTAGCCACTTTCATGGTTTCCTTCAGTCCTATTAAAAAATAAATGCATCATAATTATCCTGAGTTGAGGTTATAGTTTGGGGCTAATAATGAGACCTCAAATGATGATGCATCTGATATTTACTACTATGATTCAGATTGTCTTTTTCTTTCCTGATAAACAAGATTGACTAATGCCGTCAAATATCCAATAGAAACATGTTCAATCCCTTCAACTCAGAATAAATATTACTCAGAGGAGCATCATGGCTCATACCACTTAAATATCTATGTACAAAGTCAGTTATGGAAAAGATTACGTCTTCATAGTGAAACTGTACTGCCTCTTAAGAATTCTGATATTCCTGTATGCAGTCACGACGTTTTATCATTAAGAAAACCACAGAGATTAGAGTCAAAGACTCATGGGTAACTCTGACCTCAGCATGTTCACCTGGACAAACAGGTTTGACGTATCAGACACCGTGTCGGAGCTTTACAGTTGAGACACCTGGGTCTCAAAATGTTTTATGATCAAACTCAGACTCACACATACATGTTCAGTCAACCAGCAGTGGAGTGGAGTGGAGGGGGAGGGGGGGTGTAGCTCAGGTGGGAAGTTTCCACCTATGCAGGGTGCATGCCTTGCTGATCTTGCGTAATCATTGTCCCCAGGTCCTACCACCCTCTCACGGGACTCCTGATCAGCTCAGTTAGCAGCTCTGTGTCAGAAGCACTTTAACTAGAGGGGCACATTTCATGTAACCAAAAATAAGCCAGGACACTTTGGCTCTGAGCCTGCGATACAATAACAACCTGAATCTGAAAACACAACAGACAAAGTGAAGTAATCTAATTACTGTTAGAAAAGCACAATATATGAAAGCCCTAAGAGAACATTTATACATACATTTTAATTAGTCTGTTTTACAATAATATCACTTTTTTCCCAGTGGTTTATTTGACATCTAAACTTAATCTCAGCCACACAAATCCACAGCAAAGTGGAAGTTAATTTATCTCATTAGCTTTGGACAGAAAATCTTGATAATTTCTGCTGATCCTGACACCCTGTCATGGGAAAATGAAGTGAATTGTCTGGTTTGTCTGGATTGTCTGGATGTGGGTCAGTTTATCACCTATTATCAAGACCTGAATGTGTACATGTTTAAGCCCTCTATTGTATAGACTCCTTTACCAATAGAACAAATTTAAATCAATATAATAAACACATGCATTTCATCGAGGATACATTGCTTATTTGTTTTGATTTTCATTTATCAATGCTTTCCCTAACTTCAACCACTTCTTATTCACTTATTGGCAAATATCTTTACTGTTGTAGATACTTATCAACTCTTTCAGTAATAAAATATTTCATTTTTTATTTTCATTCAGTTAATATTTAAAACATACAATACAAACAAGGAAAAATCTACTAACAAAACATGCACCGATAAATCAGCCAGCCGATCGATTTCCTCAATTTTGGAGGATGGGTTATCGGCTGATCATACACATAAAATCGATTTTATCCACCGATCTTATCTACCTCAGCAAAGGTCTGAAAGTCAGATGATGTAGCTTTTTGCTTTTGCCAAAATGACAAACCCACCAACCAGTTTAGTTTGTCCTGTCGATTATTATATTCCTAACTTCCTCAAACCTTGTGATTTCCTTTATTTGTAAAAGCAAAACACTGCTGTGCACTTCATTTTGTTAAGAGGCTCAAAACAAGCCTGTGGAAAATAAAAGACTGATATAATTTAGTAGTTTAGACAGAAATATTCTAAACTTTTCATTTATTTTGAGAGTACTACCTCATGTGCAGTTAAGACAAACACAAAAAGGTTTGCATTGTTCCACAAGTATTGTTTAATGTTTTTCATTAAAATTGGTTGAGAGCATTGAAGGTGTATGTTGTCAGTTATAAAAAAAAAAAAAAGGATCGGCCAAAATCGGTATCGGCAGGTTGAGGATTTTAAAGATCCGTGATCGGCCAGAACGTTGTGATCGGTGCACCCCTCTACTTTCAACAACTGCAATTGAACAAATAATGGGTTTGAAGGATCTCTGTAATGACTTCTACTAATACTACTACTTCTACTTTATGTATGCACGGTGCTCTATAAATAAATAAGTTGTCATTTTAATGCAATCATCTCTGGACTCTTTAAGTCAATATTCCCTCTGTCACCTTGATGTCTACCAGCTCAGTGTTTGGGTTGGATTTGAGGTGCTTTTCTGCTCACCTTGGGCAAGTCTCGGAGTTGGTTGGCATCCAGCAGCAGCTCCTCCAAACTCCGTCCGTAGCGGTAAATCTCATCGGGCACATACAGCAGGGAGCAGTGGCGTTTATCGATCATCTCAACATGACGGTTGCACCGCCACAGGGGTATGCAGTGAAACATCACGGGGGGGAGTGGGGACTAAATCTCGGACCCGTGCGATAAACAAACTGCAGGGAAGAGGAGGGGGATGCAACAGATTGCTTCGGCGGGACAGTCTTGAACTAAATTTACCGTCAAGCAGCAGCAGCAGTAGCGAGGCGAAACTCTCATGCAAGTAAACACCGAAACTCCAAATGTGAGTGAGTGAGCGGCGTTGACGTTACGGAGCTAACCTTCGCTCGGTCCCGACAAACATGGGAATTATTTACCGTCGTTGTCTCACTTTGGTGAGTTTGTAGGCACCTGTTTTCTCTCCACTTAGTTCCCCTCGTCGTGCGTCGACCTCCGCCGCTTTCAAACCCGTCTATTTAGCGCAAGAGACGCAGGCTACATCTCCGTGAGGAACAGGGTAGCATTCTCGGTTTTTTTCGTCTCGTCCCGGAGTTAATTTCCTCTCCCGTCCAGTTTCTGACCCGGAACACTCACTCCCTCATTCCAATCCTACGTCATCATTTCAAGCGGCTCCGCCCACTCGTCCCTCCTCTGGATAGTCCCATCTAGTGGTGGGAATTTCGGATCTTTTTATGGATTCGGATCATTTGACTCGACTCAAGAGTCCGGCTTCCGATCCTAAATGACTCTTTATTTAGTTTAACTGCTGACTCAAATTCTGAGAAGTATATCAGTTATTTAGTTTGTCATCAGTCAGCAAGCATATAGACAGGTTTCTTGTGTACAAACAATACTAGGTGCGCGCACAACCATGGGGCAAAAGTCTGCTTTGGAGTAAACTGATCTCAATGAAGATGCCCCATTGTTTGCAAGTTCGCCCTGACACAATTGCAATAAAATGTCATTTCATTGAAAAATCGCTTTCTCTTTCACTGCATCAAAATCAGAACAACACAAATATCCATGAATATCACTCAATTTACCAGGTTGTGACATTATTTTAGATGTTTCTAATATCACAGGCAGGGTCGTAATGTTTGCCAATTGTTTGTTTTACAGATTCATGCAGTTTACAGCACAACAGCTCCTTGTCATTTTCTTTCTCCATCAACTCTGCTAGTAAACAAATAAAATATGTTACGCTTTCTGCATGATCATGCTTGATTAAAAAAGATGTGATATTAAGAGAATGGAAAAATAGAACAGTGACTAACCCGGGATTTCCACCGCATCCGGAACAGTTACGATCCAGAACGGCAGCAATTTTTGCCGTACGCCACTTCTTACCAGATCTGTTTGTGAAACAATTTCATGTAGGATTACGGACAGCAGGAATCACGCAAACTCACAAGAATCCAGGGATTCGGTAGATTGTGTCCTTTCAAAGGAGGAAATCTACTTCTAGACTTATAAAATCAGCTGAAATGATGAAATACTGTCTATAAATCTTTCACTTGTTCTTCCTCACCCGTTTGCATGGTGTGAAATACGATCCGCCTGAAACATGTTGTGTTTTATTTTGAAAAGAAGCCGGATGTTTTATTTTGTGTCTGTGCCCGACTTTCTTTCCAGCACAGGTTAATCTGTGCTGAATTTATCCGGCATGTTCTGACGTCTGGAAAAATTGGACTCTTGTAATCAGCTGTGGAGTCCGGTGATCTGCAGCAGAACGGAAAGAAGCCAGTGGAAATTGACACATTAACTTGAATGGTTACGATCAGCTGCGAATGTTTTCATATCATATCATATCCTCCTATGAGGAATTGCACAATCAAGCAAACAGAATCACTAGCATCAATTTCTGTAGAACTAACTATCATACCTGAAACTAGTGCAGCAAGGTTGGTATCAGACTAAGTCATTAACAGCAAACTGCAGAAACAGCTGTTCTTTAAACTTTCTACTGCAAAGATTTTCAATAAGTGATAAACTGGGGTGTAACAACAACAACAGGTAAGAGATTAGGGAAAGAGATTTGTGAAATAAAGCACATAAGACCTACTATTTTGTCCTCAGGGTGGGCTGAAATTGAAATCATTGACAGATGGAGCCTAAAAAAGACTCAAAATACTTAACCATTAATTTGATTACAGATGTGAGAACTTTTAAGTTTATATTTGACACATAATCCATAAGTTTATCCTTTTATTTTGTCATAAATTACAAAACAATTGCAGAAATGTCTCTGAGAGGGCAGCAGTTTGTTTTGTCCACCTCTAGAGGAGTTCGTTCAAGAAACTGAATCGTCCACAAACTGCCCATCACTAGTTTGGTCCCACAGGGCCGCCATGACTGGGGATGGAGGACTGACAACAGCCCAAGAGCCACCCCTAAGGACACCCAGGCTTAAAAGATCTAGAGCTTTGTGTTTTTGAAATACATAAAATAACATAAAGATGCTTTTAATAACTCTACTTTGTTGAGATGTTAAATGAAAATCCAGCGTAATGCCTTTCTAATGATAAGATTATGTAGCACTGATAAGGAAACTTTTTTGGTGCTGTTAGTGTTCACACATTTGCTGATTTTTTGTAAACTTAGGTACTTCAAATATTTTGAATTCAAAATTTGCACCTTAATATTATTCCACCATTAATGACCAGAATGGCAAATTTGATACCCTTTTTTATGACATGGCATCCAGAACAGGAACAGTGTCAGTCCTAAATTTAACCCCTCACAATTTCTGCCTAAAATGCACTTCAATATTACCATATAGGATATTCATATCCTGAAAAGCGTCACCATAACATAAATATTTTATTATCAAGTAGTTGTATGAGGCCCTACAGGTGGTTAGTAGTGCGTTCTTGCTGATCTGCCTCATATAATATTTCAGCCATCTTCCCTTTAGCTTTACTTTGTGACCAATATCTGATCACATCAGTCAATGACTTTGTGTTCATCTATTTGTCATGTGACAGCCAGCACAGCTCATTGTAAATCTCCATTCATTCCCATTCACTACTCTTTTTTTTTCACTTTCATCCCTTTATCCTTCACAGGTCAAAGGTCAAAGTCAGCTCTGATGTTCTGCTGGAAGGTCAGTTTCAGGTCATTTTACCAGCCTCTACTGGGACAGATCACTCTTCACCTCCTCTGTGACACAAAAAAGGGAATACTGTCAACAATATAATAAATAAACCTCCACTAAGTGATCATTTCAAATGTTTCGAGCCAGAAGACACGTTCACAAATCCCAAAGGGGGAAAACTACTGAATAAAACATGAGGATAGATTAATGATGCAGTTTTGGCAGGTCTCCACAGGTGGTGCTGAAGGCTCCAGCAGCCTTTCTTTCCTTTTTTTATCCCTACCAGTTGTTCAAATGCTATCCAAAAACTAAAATAGACATGAGAGGTTCTTGGGAGGTGTCTGACAGATGTCTTCCCCCCACTAAAGACGAGGATATGGTGGGCATTACAAGAGCTGACAAAGAATTACTCTCATTACGTAAAGACATTTGGTCCAAAAAAAAAAAAAAAACAAGATGAAAACAAACTGATAATACTTCAGTTAAAAAAATGCTTATATTGCAAATTTTAGCTGGTTGTGCGAGTATAGACTGATTCTATGTAACTTGGAAAAGCAAACCACACTATCAAAAGACTGGTCACTCATGACCGTTCATTTACGAGCCTTTGGCACATATCATGGAATAGGTATCAGGCCAATATGTTGCAGAAACAGACTTTTTTTTCCCCCTACCAAGGGATCTGCGAGCCACAATTTGATGTAAAGATGAGAGTTTAATTTTTTCATAAATGTCTTGGCTTGTCTAAGGTAAAGCTCATCAAAGAAGATTAATTTTCTGTTCAATGAGGTATTTCTGATCAATTAATTGATAGGAATTTATCACCAGCAATTAATCTTACTTATTAAATTGTGCATATCAAATGTAACAGTTGTATTGTTGATAATTTCACACAAATACACCCAGATTTAGTCTTTTTAGATTACTGCCTTGAGATTTTGAAGTTTAAACACTAAAATGAAAATATTTTTATTTATCAAAATAAGAGTTTTGTACAATGTAATGTGTTTTAAGTTGATTTTTAGAAGTAGAAATATACAGCACTTCCCAGTGCATCCTCAAGAGGGAGCCATCCCTCATTAAATAACCCTCCATCTGACCATGAGAAGCTCAATCAAGCCTCCAAACGAAACACCCCCGTCACATTTGCTCATTTCATCGTCCATTTAATTGTGAAGAAAAGTCACAGTTAAAGAGAAATAAAGCAAATGCCTGTAGATATTTACACAAATCAGAATCAAAGGCAAGCAACAACAGGCCTTCTCTCCTCCAAAGTTAATGAATGATTAAGTGCACTTTCACCACATCCACACACTGCGATTATCACGATCATGTAAGAGTGATTATCTGCGTCCCAGATGTTTCTTAAAAGCCTTCAAGGACTTTGCCATCATTGGAGCAACCTCTGTGCAAATAAAAACAGAAAAGAAATTCATGTTTAGATCTTAAGATTCAGTGTTTGGAGCCTTTAATGTGATATTAGAGTTAAGCACATTGAATTGTAAAGATCTCAACAAATAAGCCGAGTTTGTCAGCTCACTTGATTTTTTGCGAGAGTCCTGTGAACCTCCAGCTCCTGAGCCGGTGCCGCTGGACCTGCTGGACTCCTCATAGCTCATCCTCACCCGACTGTCCTGCACCTTCACACTTTCACGTAAAGAGAGAAAACATTGGAGCTTTATTCACCAGACAATAAAAACGCACAGAAAATAACAAAACTAGTCTCCGCCTGCCTCCGAATGTCAACATGATTCTATAGCTGGTGAGACAAACATCCCATGATGCAACAGCTGACAACAAGGGCCCCTAGGCTTTACCACCCGGAGTAAAACCAGTTTATCCAGCACATTGCTCCAATTCCTGTGTTTGGCTAGGCTCATTCAAAAAGGACGTCAACCACAATAATCACGAGTGTCTCTGTTGAGTGATCAGTTTGGAGCTAAGAGGAGCAGAAAAACACACGGCTCTGAGGGGTAAAATACACATCAACACCTTTGTGTGCCTGGACATGTGACTTAAGTGTCTGTAATTGTTTAATGAGAAACAGGTAATATTGCAGAACCACGTCTTTGTCTGTTTTTAACAATAAGGTTCATGTCTTCACTTTTACACACTGTTACATTCCTCTAATACCTGATGTATTTTATGTTCTGCCTCCAGGTTTAAATTCCTGCTGTTATCTGCAACAACTTGTTATCTCCCCTAAAACGACTTTAACTATGTGTGTCGTAAGAAAGTAGATTTGTGGGACACAAGGCAAATCATTACACAATGAGCGCTTGGAATAATTTGAGTTCTGATGATGACTGGAGGGAATATTTTGTGTCAAATAAGCCGTTTAAGTCCTTACAAAAAGTTATTGTAAAAATTGTCATAATAATCTCAATTTTCCTTCGATTACAGGTCAGATTTTACTCCCTGTCTTTGTTACTCAAAACTAAATTTATCTAACTAGTTTGGTGTCTTGTCTTGCCTCGTTTCGCTTTTGCTGATCAAATTCTTTTGCAGTAAATGTTAAAGTATAAGAATCTGGTCGTCCTTGTCCACATCTAGACTAAAACAGGTTTCTACTTATTTAGGTTATTTAAGGTCTGCTTCCTTCATACTTTCAAACCTACATCTATATAAGAGTGAAGTCTCAGGAACTTTTCTTCCTGTCCGTTTCAAAGGTCAGAACTAACCTCAGGGGGGGAAAGTTTGCTGCTCCCTTCACTTCCAAGGAATTTAAATAAAACACCTGAGGCTTAATGAACTGGTCTCAGTTGATTCTTGAGGCCCTTTTAAACAACTTGGAGGCAGACATGTCCACTGGGGATGCATTTATGTGTTTAACTAGTTAACTTGTTGACTTGTTGGTCTTTGTGTTCGGTTAAACAATCACCGATCTTGTATTTAGGGCTGCTCTTTATCTACAACTTTGTAAACTTTGATCTTGACCAGGAGACTCTTGGAAAATACATTTTTAATTGCTTTGAGTTTCTGCTGATTAAATAAGTAAAGTAAAATAAATAATATTTTAAAAGAATATATTATTCCTGATCGGGTTTACTTTTACTCTTTTTCATTTTTTAATTTGTTAGTAAATTGAATATTGCACTTTCACCTTCTTATAGATTTTCCATACTTTGTTTCATCTGTAGCTTGATCTGTGGATCACCTAAGGCTGAGTTCTTAAGTGTAGTTTAAATACTAAATCTGTTGTTGATTCCATTTTGTCAATAAATAAAACAGACTTTTCATCTTTTTTTATTTATTCTTTCTTTTCTACGGGCTCAATAAAGCACTTCACAAAACGGTAATTATAAACTGATTGAAATTACAAATAATTAAAGGTGCATTTAAAAAAATCTGTGTTTGTATTTCTTTGTGTGAACCTCACCTAGACCTGGGCTGCTGAGGCTGCTGAACTGCAGTCCCGTGTATTTCCTGCTGAATCCGCACATCTCTTGGCGGCTTTGCAACAGTGTGAATAAACGCCATCTTCACCTGCCGGCCTGAAAACAGAGAGTTCAGACGGTCATAACAATAACCCCCCTGCAATAAACAATGAAAACAACAAACCGATTTTCATTTTCATGTGTTCACAGTTTGATGATTAAAATATCTTAATCAGGATTTCACCTTTGGGTTTGTTTGAGTGTGCAGAGACGATGCTTTTTGTCAGTCTTCGGAGTTTCCTTTCTCTCTCCTCAGACAGCCTCATGTACATCTCCTTCCAGGATTCATACTCCTGAAGTTTGGAGTCTTTAAAGTCCCTCTGACAGTGTTTCCCCCACAAGTGGTCTGTCTCTCCTATGTAGATCTGTAGAGAGGAATGAAAACAGGCTTTATAACAAGTATAGTCCTATAACTTCAGATACAGACTTGTATATCTGATACAACTTCAGATATACATAGCTGTATTTTAATAAATCAGATATTTGCCAGAGGAATATAAAATAGGCTGTTCACCCAGCACTCATAACCTTTAGTAGCACTTTCAGGCATCAGGAATAACTATTAAAACTCTACATCTTTACACTAATCGTCTTTTTGCTTCTAAAGGTCATGTAGTATTATCTCTGAGCCAGGCATAGAGACTAATGCACGCTTTTATAACCAGCAGGCTTGACTACTGTAATGATCTCCTCTCTGGTCTACCCAAAAGCACAATACACCAACTACAGCTGATCCAAAACTCTGCTGCTAGAGTCTTTGCACTGGCTGCCTGTTAGTTTTCACACTGATTTTGAAATTCTTGTACTAGTTTATAAAGCTCTACATGGCCTGGCACCAGAATACCTTTCAAAGATGATTTTAATTTATGAACCAGGGCGGCATCTCAGATCCTTCCAGTCTTCTCTTTTTGTCGTTCCACAGAACAGAACAAACAGATTTGTTGATGCTTCTTTTAGCTGCTACGCTCCAAAACTGTGGAACAAACTTCCAGAGGGTCTGAGACAAGCTGCAAATATAGAAATCTTTAAACCTAACCTTAAAACCCATCTATTTAGCCTGGCTTTAATGTAAAGCTGATGATAATTTATTTATTTCTAGTATCACTTTTTACCTTATTTTATTAATAAATTCAAGTTAATATTTTATTGTCTGTTTTAGTCTATTTTAATAACTTGTCCTGATATAAAACACACTGCAATTTCATTTGAACAGTGCTATTTTACGTATAAACTTTGATTGATTGATTGATAATCAAAAAATCCTCACGGGACCATAAAACCATGACAACGGTTTACGTTTTAAAGGAATAACTTCAAAGTTCTTGGTAAAGTGTAACTATTATTCTGGCCCTTGTTAAATCAATGATTTTCAGCTGCTCTACAGATAAGCTGGGGTCCTACTTCTTATCTAGGGGACCTAATAAAGTGGTCACTAGTGTGTCTGCACTCCAAGTATATTTGCATCCTTACTGGGTTGCATTCTTCTATGCGTAGCAGCTGTTCAGGCGTGCACCTCTCCAGCACCGGCTCCAGGACATCGAACGGGACTCCTCCAGTTTCATAGAGCACTGAGAAAAGACTGAGTATAAATCAATCAATACAAGAGCACGATGTGATTGTTTGAGCTTCACTCACAGTTGATATTGTTCTGCAGCGTGCGGATACACTGCTGGTGCAGGCTCATCATGGTTGGGAGGCAAACGGCCTTGTTACCGGAGTAGACTTGCATCTTCCTGTTAGACCGCTGACCAGTGAAGACCGCAGATTCCTCGTCATAGAAGTCCAGCTCCTTCTCAACTTTAAGACCAAAAAGAGAGCGTCAAGAATGAAACATTAAAAATAAAAATAAAGAGGCATTTTTTCAAACATGGGAAGTACCTTTTTTCTCAAAATACTCCACACAGTAAGGTTTATCACACTCAGGTAGCTCAGCAGGTAAAGGTATGTTTAGAAGGTCCATGACAGACATCTTAAACTTCTAAAACGTGAGATAAATCAGGATTAATAATTCAAACATGTCATCTAAAGTTTGTTTTGATGATTTTTCAAGAGTCTACCTGCTTTGGAGAAGTAACATTTGCACCCATTTCATCCGCCCTCGTGTCAAGATCTTCTGTTTCCTCCTCTTTCACTGCCATCTTGATTTTTTTCTGCCGTTTCTTTCCTGCAGATTTTTCTTTTGTCTTGCAAACATTCACGTCATAGTTCAGGTAGGATTCAAAAGACATGGAGGGCTCTTCACTGTCTTTGTTTTTGCGCTTCATTTTTTTGTTTTTGTGCTCTGTATGTTTAGACTCTGGCTCATTCTTTGGACCAGCATGTTTTTCTTTTTCTTTTCTTTTCCTCTTTTTCTTCCGGTCCTCTGAGTCCCTGTACATTTCTGAGTATTTGTAATCTCTTAGAGGAGCTTGTTGTGATGTTTCAGAGTTTTTGTCATTAGAGGTAGATGATAAAGACTCCTCGCCTTTGTTTGATGTTTCATCTGACAGCTTTGATTTCTTAGTCGACTCTTTTTCAGACCTGCTTTTGATTTTGTTCTTAGAACCAGACCTGGATTTCTGATGAGTCTCCTCCGAGCTCTTGTTTTCAGACAATTTTCTATCACTCAGACTAATTTTCTTCTTCTTGGAAACCACTGAATCGTCTTTTTTGTCATCTTTGAATTCAATTTCTTTTTCTGAGAATTCACTCTGAGGAAAACTCTCATTTTCTTTCTGACCTTTTTCCTCCACGTCCTGCTGTTTTTTCTCACTCTCACATTGTTTTTCTGAATCTGCGTTGTTAGGACTCTTTCTTTTGCAGACAGCCTCATCCGATGACTCATGATTCTTATTGTATATCAGACAATTATTGTTTAAATCCTCTGATATCAAACATCCATTATCAGGGCAGTGTTGGCCCAGCTGCAGTCCGGCAGTCAAACTCTCTGAAGTTCGAACATCTTCTGTGTGGCTGCGTTCAAACAAAACACAAACATTTATCACAATCAAATGCACAATTAAGAATAAAGTAAAAAACAACACTAAAATTAAATACAGTTCACCTTGTGGACTCCTTAGGAATCAGTCTTTTCCAACCCTTGACAAGCGACTTTGCAAATTCTCCGGCCTGTTCATGTCGGCGTAATGAATTCACCGTTTTGCCAATTCCAGTTTCCTGATTTATTCACAGACATAAAATAAGTGCATCCCAGTACGAACACATACAACAAAAAATACAGTAATTTTTAGTCAAAAGGACTCACAGCAAGAATGTCTAATGTGATGTCCAGATCTTGTAGTTTACGCAGGATTTTTACAACCTGCAAAAAAGAGATACAACAAATCACAGTTCGAGCGTCTTTATGGTGTTTTAACCGTTTGTAGGACAAAAAGGAGCAAAATTATTCAATACGAACTGAAGAAAACTCGACATGCCATGTATGGTAGTGTTGGTTTTGGATCCAACAGTTGCTGATTGTGCGTTCAGAGCAGAAGCTATGTATGGGAACAACACACACCCACCAAGGCTGCTCATTTTACTGCGCACTATAAATGGATAATGGTGCTTCTGTCTGCTACAACCACACTATATCACTGTACAGGCTGTTTTTAAAGTGCATTCAACCGGGACTCAACTTTAACACACCTCATGGTAATATGGAGCTAAGCACTTGCAAATTCACAAGTCAATCTACATGTAAATTTGACTGAAGCCAGCTTGCAGAGCCCCCCAACCTCCGGTGTTGATGGACAGCAGCCATAAGTTGAACAACTGGAGGAGTTGCCAAATTTAGCAGCAAAGCACCTCCCTTTAAAACAGCTTTGACCCCCTGCAGTTAAGTGTTGTAAATGTGTGAGTGCAGCAGAGCACATGTCTGAGTGAGACAGCTCTGAATCCTCCTCTGAGCTCACATCAAAGGAGCACAAACAGTTCAAGAGACACAGTTAAAACAGAGGATTTGGGTTTATCTTAATTCAGTTAATGGTTACTATCACCCTGTGGTGCGTGGAGGGGGAAACCAAAAAAGTATAAAGAGATATTAGACGATTGAGTGAATGTGCAAGGCCATTTAAAACAGCGGAGGTCCGGAAGTAACGCGGAAGTTTCTCGAGAAACAGCTAAAAACAGTGAAATAAAGATGGTTTATGGAGCATTGGGAGCCTGCCTTAAGTTCTTGTCTGTTTGTTGTGCCCACTTACACCGAAGTAAACTTGATATATCTACCGTGGCGGACTCTGCTGGCTCTGTGAGTTGATGTTTAAACCGCATAACTTTCTTCACCACCTCAGAGCTGCTGGCCATCTCCGTGACTCACGTGCAACCGTCCACACACACACCGGGCAGCGCGCGCCCATTGATGACACGGATATAATGAGCGGAACCGGTGACAGGAGATACGCGAGGTGCGAAGATTATAGTGTACATGGTGTTGCTGACATTTTAATGTAGATCTTTTTTAATCAGAGAGTCAGAGCATTTTTCTGTGAGTGAGGGGGCCTTAATCCGAACATAGAGAGCAGGGGTGCATCCAGACTTTTTGACTGGGGTGCCTCAGCCAGAGCACCGACCATTGCAGGGGTGGCTTTAAAGGGATATTCCGGTGTAAAATTAATTTAGGGTCAAACACACCATAACACCAAGTTAGACACCCCGTCAAGAGATGAATGTTCCCGACATTGCTTCTCTAGTTATACCAACTTTAGTAATGACCAGAGATAGCAATACACAGCGCCACATGCTCAACCAAAACGCCACTCTATAGCCACAAATAATGCTCAGAACAGCACCTAACTTCATCAACAGGACATATAGGATCCTAGCCATAGCACTAGCCACCAAACATCTTTTTAGTTTTGCCTGATGATTTCTTTGGCAAAGAGACAAAACACAACTCACCTACTCTCTTCCAGTAGCCGCTTGTTTGTACTAAGACCTCAGAGCAAGTCCATCGACTAAAGCGGTTAGTGTCTCAGTCTGATTGCATTTCCATGAAGAAATGATCATAAATGTTCTTCCTTGAGCTGTGTCAACCCACTGCAGTCAATGGACTCGCCTGGAGGTCTCGCTACAAACAAACGGCTGCTGGAAGAGAGTAGGTGAGTTGTGTTTAGTCTCTTTGCTAAAGAAATCAGGCAAAGTTAAAAAGATGTTTGGTGACTAGTACTATGGCTAGGACCCTATATGTACTGTTGATGAAGTTAGGTGCTGTTCTGAGCATTATTTGTGGCTATAGAGTGGCGTTTTGGTTGAGTGCATGGCTCTCTGTGTTGCTATCTGTGGTCATTACTTAAGCTGGTATAACAAGAGAAGCAAGCGGTCGGCAACATTCATCTCTTGACAGGGTGTCTAACTCTGTGTTACAGTGGGTTTGACCCTAACATAATTTTACGCCAGAATATCCCTTATCTTTTTTACCCCTTCGAGTTTTGGAAATCAACACATTCACCATGATAGAAAATAATAGGAACTGGAAATGGATGAAGCAGTCAAATTTATTTTCATACAAGATACTGGAGCACTCTGCATTTTTGCAAAACCAACAGATTTGCTGCTAATTCAAGTAAATCGATAGAGGTAAAGAACACATTTTTACATGCATACATCTCTGTATGGTTATGTCCAGCAGTAAGTCAAGCCAATTTGCACTTTTTCATCCTTGTAGTTGATCATTTCAAAAGATGCTTGGTGTGCCACTGAGAATCAACAAGACATCAGTCAAATACAGCTCACAATATTAAACTCTTCCAATGTAATCCCATCAAGGATGTAGGTCGAGTCTCCTCTGTGTTCTGACATGAGACGAATGGTGGCTACTGTGGGACATTTGTCGAGGGGGGGTGTATGGTCCCTGCCCTCTGCAACATGCATTGCACAATTCTTGATTGGCACTCACTCCCAGAGAGGAGGAGTTTTCCTCATGTCTCTTTCAGCGGGGGACTGCTGCTCTCTCTCTCCTGCTCCAGTAAGTGGAGGTGTAAGTTCCTTCTTCACCAGCCTCAACTTCATTTATCAGGTGAGTAGAGCTTTCTAATGCTTGTTTGTTTGACATCCTTGAAATAAGAAAGGAGTTTAATAACTTTTACTGCTTAAGCCAGTCATTATGTGAAGGTTAATTTGTTTATTTTGGTTGTACTTTGGCTGAAAGAGGTTAATTAAGTATCTGACGCTGCTAACCTCTCAGAGAACAAGTTTGACACATGGCAACAGAAAGAAGGAGCTTTGATTTTTCACATGGTGTGACTAAATCTTGTAAAAGGCGGATTTTAAGTTAAGTCACTGATATGCTTGTATGCATGGTGTTAACATGAGATGTCTTCATGCCAGGCTCTAAACCACCAAACACAACAGAAAAAAACAGACAAAAAGATTAATTGCCCTGATTTGAACTTAAACTGTCAGAGGACATGAAGCCTGCTGCTCATGTCTCAAAGTCTATAAAAGGAACGTCATGGGAGAGCCATTCAGCGATGCTATTCCTGGACGTACTGCTGATAAAATGTGACAGATGCAAAGAGGGGGCTTGTTGACGCACTCTCTGGCCCCCAGCATCACCTGGCTGCACACATGTTTTCAAAAGGTGTCAGTTTCCGGTTGTGCCTGAAAAGAAAACTACGCATTTCAGATTGTTAAATGACACCTTTCCACTTAAATCCAGCAAGTAAATTTGAGGACTTTGATTACTGTTAGGAAAACAATGAAGAAGACACAAGGACAACAGGGCCTCCATGCAAGAACACAATTAAAGCTTGTGCATGCAAAGCTCAACAATATATACCTTTTCAATGTAGTTTGGTATCCTGAAGGTGGCATACTTTTAAGTCCTCCGAATGTCCACTCACAATTTGATAAGATGTCCAGATCTTTTGCATATGACTTTGTCTGCCAGGTTTACACAATATATCTTCATCACATCTTTATTATAGAGACAAACTGGACACAGAAAAAGATCTTTTTTTTTTCTTTTCTGGGACAAAAAATGTAAAAAAAAGCCAATTCAGTTGGTATAACCTCATTCACCCTTTGCCACAGCTGATACATTTTATTTAGAGCTAAATCAAAAATAAAAGGCTAAATTTGTCCTGCTCCTGAGAGTAATATACTGTTTTTTTAACCAGTGACTATGATATTGACTCGCATTGTTGCTACCAAAGGATAGTGTCACAGTTATCTGACATTTTTCTGACGTTAAAATCTAAAGAGTAAAGCATTTGATTTATCAGCACCTTTCAAGACACCCAGGATCACCTTGTTTTCTTTGTATTTCAGAAGGTTTGGGCTGTGTACTGCTGCTTCAGCCATGGCACCCAAAAAGAACAAGACGACCAAGAAGAACAAAGGAGACATAAATGAGATGACCATCATGGTGGAGGACAGCCCAATCAACAAGATCAACGGCTTAAACACTCTGTTGGAGGGGGGAAACGGCTTTAGTTGCATTTCCACTGAAGTCAATGATTCTGCGTATGCCCCCAACCTCCTCGAAGGTTTGAGCAACATGAGACATGACAGCTTCCTCTGTGATCTGACAGTCGCCACCAAGTCAAAGTCATTCGATGTCCACAAGGTGGTCATGGCCTCCTGCAGCGAGTACATTCGAAACATCTTGAAGAAGGATTCCGCCCTCCAGAAGATCGACCTGAACGACCTCTCACCTGTTGGCCTTGCCACAGCCATCACATATGCTTACTCTGGAAAGCTGACCCTGTCACTGTACAGTATCGGGAGCACCATCGCGGCAGCCATGCTGCTGCAGATTGGCACTTTGGTGAAGATGTGCAGCGATTTCCTCATGCAGGAGCTCAGCGTGGAGAACTGCATGTATGTGGCCAATATCGCTGATGCCTATGACCTCAAAGAAACCAAAGAGGCAACTCAGAAGTTCATGCGGGAGAACTTCATCGAGTTTTCCGAGATGGAGCAGTTCCTGAAGCTCACCTACGAGCAGATCAGTGATTTCCTCGCTGATGATTCCCTGCAACTTCCCTCCGAGATCACAGCCTTCCAGATCGCCATGAAGTGGTTGGACTTTGACGAGAAGAGGTTGAAGTATGCTGCAGATCTCCTGACCCACATCCGATTTGGCACTATCTCCGCCCAGGACCTGGTGAATCATGTTCAGAGTGTGCCCAGAATGATGCAAGACTCCGAGTGCCACCGTCTTCTTGTTGACGCCATGAATTACCACCTGCTGCCGTACCAACAGAACATCCTCCAGTCACGCAGAACGAAGGTACGCGGTGGCCTCAAGGTAATCCTCACCGTTGGTGGACGCCCTGCCTTGACAGAGAAATCCCTGAGCAAAGAAGTTCTTTATAGAGATACGGATAATGTTTGGAATAAATTGACAGAGATGCCAGCAAAGAGCTTCAATCAGTGCATCGCAGTCTTGGATGGCTTTCTTTATGTGGCCGGTGGTGAGGACCAGAACGATGCAAGGAACCAGGCCAAGCATGCTGTCAGCAACTTCTGCAGGTAAGAACTGAATGCCTTTTTCTAAACTTTGCATGGCATCAGTTATTACAGGAATAGTTGGAAATGACAATAACTCTTCTTTGTTTAGATATGATCCTCGCTTCAACACTTGGAACCACTTGAGCAACATGATCCAGAGGCGTACCCACTTCAGTCTCAACACCTTCAATGGCCTCTTGTTTGCCATCGGAGGGCGAAACGCTGATGGTGTTCAGGCTTCAGTGGAGTGCTATGTCCCTTCATCCAACCAGTGGCAGATGAAGGCTCCTATGGAGATCCCTCGCTGCTGTCACGCCAGTTCCCTCATCGACGGCAAGATCCTTGTATCAGGAGGTTACATCAACAATGCTTACTCCAGGGCTGTGTGCTCATACGACCCATCCACCGACACCTGGCAGGATAAGAACAGCCTGAGCACACCTCGAGGATGGCACTGCGCCGCCACAGTAGGTGACCGGGCCTACGTCATCGGTGGTAGCCAGCTGGGAGGTCGTGGGGAGAGGGTGGATGTCCTTGCTGTGGAGTGTTTCAACCCTCACTCTGGGCAGTGGAGCTACTGCACGCCTCTTCACACAGGTGTGAGCACGGCGGGTATTTCTGTTTTGAACAACAAGGTGTATCTCCTTGGGGGCTGGAACGAGGGTGAGAAGAAGTACAAGAAGTGCATTCAGGTGTTCAACCCTGACCTCAACGAATGGACTGAGGATGACGAGTTACCAGAAGCTACAGTCGGCATTTCATGCTGTGTCGTCACCATCCCCACAAGGAAAACACGAGAGTCCAGAGCCAGTTCAGCATCTTCTGCACCAGTCAGTATATAAAGCATTAGGTGATAGTAGAACCATAGTTTACATGTCTAAAGGTCCCCAGGTTTTCTGTTGCATAAATCTTGGTTCCAAACTCTACAGTTGTCCTCCTTTTTTTTGCTAAAACATGTTTTAACTCTCCTCAGATGAGCTAAACAGAATAAAATTTAAAGATGATAAATTTGGGAACATGTTCTCGAGATTTTTTTTTTAAAATACTCATCATTTGCAGCAGGGCTAGAGTTTTTAATAAGAATTTTAAAGTGTTTTGATATTTATAAAATTAATTAAAATCAATATGATGCCTTTTTATGATATATAAAAGCAAATAAGACTATTTGATAAGGTATTTATACTGTCATTTTTTATAGCTCAAACTAGCAGTAGGAGGTAGATGTCAACTGAGCCCCGACAGAAACAGCCTTGTAACTACTATCATATAAAATTTTCACCATAAATTGTACATTTGACTGCCAGAAGATACATTTTGCGTCTGTAAGGAAAGAGAAACAAAGACTTCTTTGTCCACAGGGGGGCGCCAAAATTGACACAAACTTAAAGTTCCTCACAGGAGCTTTAATAATCAATATCAGTTCAAGACAAGGGGACAGGTCAGAAGACAATTTTTTCATTGACAGAAACTTATTGTGGGGCCAGCCAGTTGTATTTACTACATCCAACTGTTTTCTTCATGCAAATATAATGTCATTTACAACTCAAATCATGAAAATTAAAAGGCAAATGAAATTGATTCAAACAGAACAGTAATAAATAGCAAAGATGTTAGTATTGCAGGATTTTGTTTATGGTGACTGTGGCTACTGTGATTCTCAGATACTTGAACAGAATAATAAACAGGAAGATAACTGGAGCTGGATGAAGTGTTGGCATCACCTGCCAGGAGTGGGTGTTCATGATTAGAGTTAAAACACACAAACACACACACAGAAGGGCTGCAGTGTGTCCACATGTGTATCAGGCAGTCTGTTGTATGTTTATGTGATCACCGTAAACACTTGGATGAATTCTGCAGGGAAAACGCTGTGAAGATACTGAAGGTTGAATGAGATGGATGTGATAAATTATTTTGTAAAAAAGAAAAAGAAAAATATAACCGGAGGAAAGATGTTGTCAGCCTGAGCTTTCCTGGAGTATGAATTCCTTGAATGCTCATGTCTTTTTTTTTTCTTTGTTTGTTTTTGAATTAAAGAAATGAAGTGTAAGCTGCTCTGAGCCACGATTCTTTATTTCAAACTATTCAAAATCTTTCTGATTGTTCAACTCTTGTGGTTGGATTTCAATCACCTGTGATAAGTTAATCTTTAATAACTCTGAAATACTTTGTCTTTTTGTTGCATTTAAGTGTTTTTTAAACATATTTCACTCTTGGGAATTTAATCATCTGGCTGAAGTAAATGTAATGTTAATCAATGGTTTGGTAAGATTTGGTGCCATCATGCAGTGTTAAAAGGTAACAAAAAAATTTTGTTGAACTACATTAATCTCTGAAGTGCTTAGCCAAAAGGAACAAATGTTTAGGGCCTTAAGACTCCCAAGACCTCTGCAGTTTTGACTTCCTATTGGTGGTTTCAGAAGTCACAAATTCCAGTCATGTGGAGCCAAGACACTTCTGAAAGTGTGAACTTCACATTTCAGTCACATGAACTTACATATTAGAGCTAGTTATAATGTGAATGCACCATTTCAAGTTTGCAAGCATCATGGGAATAATCCTACTACCAATTAAAGCTCTGGAGTCAACCTTTAATTTAAGTAACCACCAAAACTCACCTTTATGACAACAAAGCTGTGGCTCTTTATGCATGCCATAATAAAAATACACAGAAGAGGTTTTGCATAAAGCTAAACACAATATTCAAGATGCATGGTTGTCCATTACTCACAAAGGTTAAGCAATTGTTCTACCAGTTTCATCTGCTATCCCAATAGCAGCAATGAAGGTGATTCCTTCATACGAAAGCACAAAAAAAAGTTTTCCATGGTCTTTTTGGTGCAAAAGCAATGCAAATTAAAAAAAATGACGAGACAATTCAAGAGTTCTATGTCAAAACTGGAGCAAAGCATTTAAGTACCACATGTTCTTATTATGTGGTATTATGAATAGTGGATTGATGAGTTGTCTTTTGACATCAAACAGCTTTCATACTCCTGAGAGAATCCATCCAAAAGCTCAATGATTCCCTCTCTTTTGTCTTTCAACCACAGCCTTATTCAGGGCAGATGTCAGTGAAGTTCAGTGACCTATAAACCAGTTTATATAACATTAATAGTGCACACACACCCACAAAGAAAAGAATAGAAAAGAATTGCTGTGTCACTTTGACATATCATTTCTTTTTTTCTTTTATTTTACAATATCAATCCAGTTTCTCCTGATATGCTGCTGCCTCCCACACTCAGGTTGTAAACATGACTCATTCCTTCTGATGCTGGGATTTACAAACAGCAAGACAGAAATCCCACCAACTTCTTGTTGGTGGGAAAATGGAAACTGCGTCTTTGTGCAGACTAATTCTGACAAAGCAAGTTTAAAGGAATAGGATATGGAATCTAAAAGTAGACATGCAACATTATTTTCATTCCATTTTCCCAAGAGTGATGAGTTGTCTATCTTGTTTTTAAAGAGCTTACTATCTTACTGAACTCAATTAATCTTTTATAAATTGACAAAGAATATAAAAGGGATCTTCCAGCATAAAATTATTTAGGGTCAAACACACCGCAACACTGAGCTAGACACCCCGTTGAGAGATAAATGTTGCAGACCGCTTGCTTCTCTAGTTATACCAACTTTAATAACGACAACGGGATAGCAATACACAGTGATCTGAGGAGCCATGAACAAACCTCAACCAAAAAGCCACAAATAATGCTTAGAACAGCACCTAACTTTATCAACAGTAATTTCTTTATCATTTCCTTGAAGTAATAATCACCATATTAATAATTTTGCACTGCAGATGCAGTAGTTCTTCTGCCTTAGCTCAGTAAAAACAGATATGAAGGCCATTTTCATGTCATAAGGAACCCAGATAATACAAGAACCACGCAATATAAAATGAGACCATGAGGACCAAAATAAAAACATAAAATAGTTCAGAAAAAAGGGTGGACGAAAGTGGAAACAGGAGAGTAAATAAAAAAGGCAATATCAACAATGGTAATAAAATAACAGCAGTTAATCCTGATAATGATAGTAATGATAAAATAGAGCAGGGGTGTCAAACTCAACCACAGCATGGGCCATAATCTGGATTTAGGTCTAACCTGAGGGCCAAAGAGGGTCAACATTTCACCAAAACTGTCGACCTTCCTCCCAAAAACTATGTAACAAAAACAGCAGTGATTATGAATTATTCAGAAATTAAAAAAGATAAAAAGATAAGTTTAAAGGCAATCTGAGATATAAAAATGTATTTTATATTAACTTTCATTCTATTTTTATTTATTAGTTCAAAAGATCAGAGCATGATATTGAAAATGGAAAAAATAATGCTTTTAAAGAGCAAATACACGAGGAGACCGTTGACATCAGGTTTAAAAGGTCAAAATATGACTTAAAATTTAAAATTGGAATCTAAACTATAAAAATGACACAAGTTTAAATAAAGTTGAACAAAATCAAAGCATGAAAAAAAAAATCCAATCATGTTTGACTTGTAATCTTGAAATGCAAAATTGAAAACATGAAATAAAACACCAAATATTTTTCCCCCCACACATTCTTGACTATTTATCAAATCAATTTACTCTTTAATTTCCCAGATTTTTGTGGTTTATTAAGGACATTTAAAATAATAGTGCTAAAGTTTACATTATTATACTGGAGGAAATCTGCAGACTTCATACTGGTGGGCCAATAATGATACAAATATGATATGATCTTGTGGGCCAAATACAATTGCTCCACGGGCCAGATTTGGACCCCAGGCCTTGAGTTTGACACCCGTGAAATTGAGCAACAGAAATGAGCAAGAGGTAAAACAATCAAAGGCCTAAAAGGTTAAAAGTATAACAAAAGCTAAAAAGACAGTAAAAGAGATAAGAGGGGACAGATAAAAGTTGTCGCGACCTTTAATAGAAATCTTCACTGTTTAGTTGTCATGACTTTGCTGTTTTCGACGACAGTAAACGCGCCATTCCAACAACCTGTTTTGATTGACAGGCCGGTGGGCGGAGTCGAGCGCCGGAGAATGCTGAGTCATAGTGACGTTCCCTTTACGCTCCGCTCCGCCTGACGGCATCACGTGTGCGCAGCTAGGAGGAGGGCGTTCATATGTACAACACACAGCCCGTCTCAGGGAAGCAGACTGGCTTGGCAACAACGACACAAGTACCGGTTTCTCGTCGCTGTCATTCCATCACTCAGCTCCTGGTGTAACAGGCTCGGTCTCTGATCGTAGACGGAGCTGAGGTTCACGGAGACCGGACAAGTCTTTGTTGTTTTTTTAACCGGAGGAGCAGCAGCGTTACTGAGTGAGCTAACCAGACATTAGCAGGTGATGAGCAGGGGCCTTCTTCTTCTTCTTCTTCATGTGGATGCCCAGCTAAGGTTACCGCTGCTTAACAACACCTTGAGAGTTTCCATCAGGCTGTGAACCCCTCTTCCAGGATCCAGACTTTGTTCTACTTCATGATCGGTCTGAGCGAGTTTTTAACCAAGAACAGCTAACTAGCTAACGCTCGGCGTGCAAGTTTACTAAGCAGCAGCAGAGAGAGAGAGACCCACGCCGTTAGTTCTTACACTCTCAGTCATGGGTTTACTGTCTCAGGGCTCTCCACTCAACTGGGAAGAAACCAAGAAGTATGCCGATCACATCCGAAAACACGGAATCATCCAGTTTCTCAACATCTACAACAAGGTGAAGGAGCGTCAGAAAGATGTGCTGAAATGGGGAGATGAGGTGAGAAAAGAGGGTCTTTTTTTATTCTTAAAATGAACGAACATGTGTGAAGACTGCTGCTGCTGCTGCATTTGATCTGTCAGTCAAGGTTGTGCATGATGCAATCCTGGCCTTATATTAGATACAGGAGGATGAATGGATGCAGTGATAGACTGAGCTGATCCAATCTGAGGGAAGTTGTGCTGTTACAGTCAATCAATAAACACTTATTTACTTCACTTACACTTCACAAATAGACTCAATCATAATGAATTAATGCTAGAAAATGCCACAACATGTTGACACATTTACTTTAAAGAGGAAAAATATCAATGTTTACAAGTAAAACAGCCCATAAATGTCCATTTTGACTACTACATACAATCTAATCATTCCTGTAACCTCAATATTACAAGCAACATCCTTGCAGCTGTATATCAAAATACTGTCTGTTAAGTATATTTTAGAATAAAACTTGTTTATTAAGAAGCATTACACTATACTCCATATGCATGATGCAATAACTAATCACTGTCTCACTGCTCTGCAAAAAAAGGCAAATATTACTTATTGCTTAAATGTTTACTGCTTTTTGGAGGTTCATTTTGTTTATTACTAATCATAGACTTTCATTGTATTAAGCTGTTCAGTATTTGTAACCCATTTGGAGCAACTCAGTAACAACATAAAGCTTACTGTACAGTAAATTTAGATAAATAGGCTAGGTTTCTGCATATATTCTGCATGTGCATGATGCAATAACTAATCACTGTCTCGCTGCAGTAAAAGGCAAACATTTCTTATTGCTTAATTACTAACTCGAAGACTCCAAAAACAGGCAACTGGACTGTGTAGAGTGACTGTGTCCAGTTGCCTGTTTTTGGAGTCTTCAAGAAAACCGTGACCTGGATGAACGAGAATCTACATGGATGTGTTACTAACCATAGACTTAAGTTGTACCAAACTCTTAAGTAGTTGTAAGCCATTTAGAGCAACCCAAACAACAACATAAAGCTTACTGTACAGTGAATTTAGAGAAATAGTTTAGGCTGTTGCATATATTCTGCATGTGCATGTTGAAGTAACTAATCACTGTCTCACTGCTCTGCAAAAAAGACAAATATTTGTTATTGTTGAAATGCTTACTGCTTTTTGGATGTTCATGTTGTTCACTCCTAACCATAGACTTTCATTGTCAAATGTCAAATAAACAACATAAAGCTGACTGTACATTTAATTTAGATATATAAATGTGAGGCCGCTGCATATTTTCTGCATGTGCATGATGCAACAGCTTATTTACTTTCACTACTCTGCAGAAAAATGCAAACAGATTTGACAGCTTGAACGTTAACCTCTTCTTGGTGTAAGTTTTGAGCTCTTAACAATAATAATGCATCAGATTTCATATAGCGCTTTATCAGAAACCCTCAAAGCGCTTTACATTGGCTACAATATTCATTCTTAGTCTAATAGTAACAATCTGCAAATGCTGGTGACTCACACAGAGCTGGATTACTGCAAGATACACCTCACCTAGAATAAAATAAATAAGGTCAATATGAAGTATGTTGGATATTTGAGCCCGGCGGCATCGTTTAATCCAACTTGTAAGTTGCATGTGCATGTTGCCTTCTTAACGCTGCACTACTGCCTTATGGTCATGTTTATAGACTGTTTTATTTATTCAGTATTTAGTGTAAGTGTTGTCACGGTATTTGTAGAATGTGTACTGTGTTTCATTGGTTGGGATTAATAAAGTATCTATCTTTCTATTTATTGATAGGATATTTACGATCTGAAAGAAACTGCAAAAATGAAAATGTCACACAACTGCTTTTAAGTGCTTATTTTTGTTAGAGTCATTCATTTTTTTGCAGTCACTGTCTTTTCATAAAACTGACAGAAAGTAGGAAAGATTTAAAGCTTCATATACAGTCAAATAAGTCAAGTTTTGTCAGTCTGGCTCTTGCCTTTTTGAAGACTTTCTTCTTTCATTCAAAACTTAAAGCACAGTTTGCGTTTCTGCTTTTTGCCGCCCACCAGCCCGCAAAACTTCAGTGTGCTTCAGCTTGAACAGTGTTTTCATTTCCAACAATGTGGAATGCTGTTGTTATAGATTAATCCCTCTTTCAGACAGGGGATTACAGGGTTGCAGAGTCAAAGTCAAGGAAACATAACCGATGAATCGGAATTGATGTGACGCTGCTGCCGTGCGAGATCTTGAATACATACCCTTTGTTCTGTGGTCGAGCATAGATTGAAACAGCATAAGAAGATTGCATGGAAAGAATAAATCACGGTCTTTGTATTGATAACGTGTCCTGCGTTTCTGTTCATTTGCTTTAAAGGTTGAGTACATGCTGGTGGAGCTGGACGACAAAGATGAGAAAGTGCGGCTCGTCCTGAACGGTGGGGATGTTTTGGAGACTCTCCAAGAACAGGGCGAAAAGATAGACCCAAAGTAAGTCACCGAGCTCTCCGCAGGACAACATAACAACAGCTGGATAAGCTACAAACATGACACCAACTTTGTTTGATTTGTGCTCCAACAATGTTTGCAAACACATTCTTCCAAGAAAGATCATACTCAGAAATATGTTGTTGGGCCTAATCACAGTAAATGTCTTTATCTGAGTGACATTTATTAGAAACCACTCCTTAAAAACCACCGGTTTGCACTGGGTTGGTTCGAGGTCAGGGTTTGTTTTGGTTCAGAGTAAACTGCCGAGTGATTGATAGGGCTGTCGTTAAATCTCGGTTGAATGAAAATCTTGGACCAATCTTACAGACTTGGTTTACAAAAGGGGAAAGCAAGACTGATCAGAACAAGCATGGCAGCGTTATTGTTTAGTACACATCTTAAAGCAATTCTAAGTATTTTACAGAGCGATGCAACTTAACGAAAGGCACAAAAAGAAACTTGAGAAGGTAGAGGGGGAAGGTTTTAATTCACGAAACAGGATTAAGTAACAGAAATATAGTTGAAGATGTTTATTAAAGGGTAAAGTCGGCAGTTAAAAAAAGGTTTAGAGTTTTTGAAGATGGTCAGGGTTGGGGTTTGTCTAACATCATCTGGGAGCTTATTAAGTTCTGGTGCATGATAACCAAATTCTGCTTCACCGTGTTCGCTCTGACTCATGGGAGGATCAGAAGACCAGCCCCAGATATCCTCAGGCTCCCTTATGGTTCACATGTCACAAGTATGTCAGTGATGTAAGAGAGAGTTCAAACCCCGGCAGAGAAATTTGAGAGATGATCAGTGTAAGGAGTTTAAAAACCGTGGTGATCTAATCATTAATACTGCACACCTCTCACACCCTGGTTCAAAACTGGTTGAACTTCTCCTCTCAGGTAGGAGCTTCAGCGCACTGTTCACCAAAACTCCCCGACACAAAGCCAGTTTCTGCCCTCGGGCCGTCGCTTTGATGAGCTCTCAACAGTCAGTCCAATTGAAAACCCACAGTGCCTGTTATGACTCTTTATTTTGCCTTATGGACACACATTTAATTTATTTGACGTGCATCTGCACCCTCGTGTACATACACACTCTGCTGTTGTCATGCTAACCCTACAGAACCAGAGGACTATCTACTTCATGTCATTTACACATCCTGTTCCCTCCTGCTTTTATAATGATCCTCTGTAGCGCCTCCGTTATGAGCTCAAATGCCAGCACTATGGTCAGCGATCTTCACATTGAAGGTGTAAACATCATTGACTGACTGACTGATATTTAAGATTTTTTTCATCTTAAAGCTCCTGTAAAGACTTTTTGACATTAGTGAAATCGGCTGAAATTCATACTGATGTCTTTTTTATGTTAAATAATTGCAAATAAGACCATCAGGGGCATAACTGACACTTTTTCTTATGTAATTTTTGAAGCCTGAAGCTGCTGAGAGGGGGAAGGTGTCGGCCAAGCAGCTGAAGAAACAGCCGTTTTTACATTCGTCACATAACATTCACCATAAATGGTGCAAATATCTGTCAAAAACCAACAAGACGAGATTTTAGTTGGAAGATGCTATTGAAGTGTAAAGTTGACAAGATAAGCAAAGACTGCTTTGTAATCATGTGGCGCCAAAATGAAGAAAAACTGAAAGACGAGAGGGACCAACTGGTTTGTTATCGACACAAAACTCATAAAACATCAGTATGGGGATATACGAGCGCCTATGACATGGCTACTTTACATAATCTAGAGGACAATGCTTAACGTGGTAAACAGGTTTCAGAGCAGCACACTGTCATCTGACCTTTATCAGGAAAGACCATGCAAATTTCAGCAAGATGAGGCCAAAGCAGATTCTGCACATTTACAACAACATGGGTCTATAGTGGAAGAGTCAAGCTGTCAAACAAAACTGGTCTGCCTGCAGTCCTGACCCGTCACTCATTGTAAACATTAGGAGGGTTATGTAATAAAAGATATGACAAAAGACACCTCTAACTGTTGTCTCTGTGCTGTTTTCAATCTTATGTTTTGGTTAAAATTACTTACAAAAAGCTTCTATGAAAAATTACATTAAATTTCAACTTTTGTTTTTAGATTAAGTTTCTATACCAGACCAGGTTATGAAAGGAATTACATAACTGACGCCACGAGCAACAACAACTGTTTTAGAGTTGCCAGAAGCTGCAGTTAGAGCAGTAATAAATCAACAGAGGTGCAGGCGGCGGTAAGTGAAGCATAGGTCAAAGTTATGGAAATGTTACAGAGCAGCTCTTTTATGAACAGCACTCTGTCATTATCAGCATCACTTAAGTCGAGATACCGGAGTCTTCACATAATAGAGGCTCATTTTCAGCATTAACTGCAGGAAGGAAGAACTGTCGAGTGAACATCTGTAGTCGTTAAAGTTGATGAGCGTTAAACACGAGCTTTATTTAAAGGACTCGCAGGTGAAAGTGTCAGGAGCTGCAGGTGTGGAGTTCAGCAGAGACAGGCTGCATCCTCTTGTGTTTCCCCTACACTGTATTTGCCTACAAGCTTATACACTACTTTGAAAGTCAAAACTCACAGTTCACTTGTTATTCATGTGGCAGGAGGTGATTGATGAGGAGCTCCTGTGAACCTCTGCTCACTTACACAAGAGACGAGTTTTTGATTTAACACTTTTCCGATCTTTACATTCTTGTGCTGAAGTCCACAAATTCAAGTCAAGCCCAGACTGGTCTTTGCAATGTCAGCCTCTGCTTTAGCTCTGACTTTGACGGTCTCCACCTGGGTTTATACCTCTGACAGGTCCCTCAGGCTCTGGAAGCTCGGATGGGAAGAGTCGGCTCCCAGCAGTTTTGGCTCCTCTGCATATTTTGATTATAGCTCTGAGTCAAACCAGTTTTCCCGTGTCTTGGCTCAGTGGAGTCTCTCTATCACGACACCGCCACCGACCTGGCTGTCGAGATTTTATCAGTGTAATGAGCCGTACTCACCCTCGGCTCATGGTATCCACATAATCTGTTCCCTTACTGTTTGAGTTTGTCTCAGAGTGACTCAGTGACTGTGTGGGTCATTTATTTAGTTATTTACTTTACAGTGATAAGCACTTCAGCTTGTTTTACCTTCTTTAAATCATTTCCTGATCTGGTTTCTTTATAAACAAATGTGAACTCTTGTAGATTTTGAAGCAGGTGTGTGAATCCCAATGAAAATCCATACAAGATATTATGGGCATCTTAGTCGTGTTTGATCGATTATTGATCCACACTGTCCTTGTTCTTGTCCCTTTGTGCTCTTAAAGGGATATTCTGGTGTAAAATTAATTTAGGGTCAAACATACTGTAACACTGAGTTAGACACCCCCTCCAGAGATAAATGTTGCCGACTGCTTGCTTCTCTAGTTATACCAAATTTAGTAACGACCGCAAGATAGCAATACACAGCAGTCTAAGGAGCCATAAACAAACCTCAACCAAAAAGCCACTCTATAGCCACAAATAATGCTCAGAACAGCACCTAACTTCATCAACAGTACATATAAGGTCCCAGCCATAGTACTAGCCAGCAAAGATCTTTTAACTTTGACTAATTTCTTTAGCAAAGAGACTAAACACAACTCACCTACTCTCTTCCAGCAGCCGCTCGTTTGTAGCGAGACCTGTGGGGTGACGCAGTTCAAGAAAGAACATTTCTGATCATTTCTTTATCATCATTAGCGTCTTGGTCTGATTGCATTTCCATGAAGAAATTATCGGAGATGTTCTTCCTTGAGCTGTGTCACCCCGCTGCAGTCGATGGACTGGTCCGAGGTCTCCCTACAAACAAGCAGCTGCTGGAAGAGAGTAGGTGAGTTGTGTTTAGTCTCTTTGCTAAAGAAATCAGTCAAAGTTAAAAGATCTTTGCTGGCTAGTACTATGTCTGGGACCTTATATCTACTGTTGATGATGATGATGATTACTAAAAGATAATTAATAATGTACCAACAGGAAAGACTATAAGTTAAATAAATTAGTGTATAAATAAACCAATAAAATAAATTCTGCCACACCTCTATTGTTAATAAATAAAATAGTATTTTAAACCAACAGCATCAAAATGCGAACAGTAGTCATCGTACCGGATTACAAACAATATCTGTGTGCAGTGTGTGTACCTGTTTTGTTCCTCTTCTTCGAAACAGAAGTCATGAGTGACACAACCAGCATGAAGCTTTTGCACAACCCTCAAAGCCTTCAACAACATTTCTAAAACCTGACTGAAACCAACACAAGTCTGTTGATTTTGCATCAAGTATCTCATCATGTGGCGCAGAGTTTGAGCTCAAACTCAGCATGAAAAAGAGGAAAAAATAGTTTTCTCAGTCTTTCCCACACAGTGTGATTTTGATTTGACTTGTTATCTGTTTGTCTTTATTTTTTTTGCAAAGTTGTTCAGGGATTAGAGAGAAAAACTGCTTCAAAGCTCCTGGTTGTAGAGTGGTGGATGTTTTGCCTCAGGATTTCTGTCAGTGATCACCATCAGAGAGCTCTCCCCTGGGAATGCCTGAACCGTAGTAACATTTCTCTTAAAAGAGGAATTCTCTGCAGGCGGTGTAAATGTGTTTGTACAAGCCGCAGAGTGTTATGCTTGCGCGCTGCCCATGACGTCGGTCTGAATCCGTGGAGCCGACTTCACCCAGGGGAAATACCAGAGGCAGTGGGAATAGTAGAGCTGATGCATTCCTCATTACTGCCCCTCTGTCGCACACAGCAAAGAGCACGCTCTGCGGCACAAATACATCCCGTTTTGTTCACCCTGACGTATGATAAAGCTGGAGTGGTCAACAGGAAAGTCATTGTGATCCTAAGACCGGAGTCTTCTCTCCATGCTGACATGTAGAGACAGATTGTTTACTGCACGGTTTTAATATCTCTGCAGCCACCCCACGCTTTGGAGACCAGAGTATGGCAGCTACATGATCGAGGGGACTCCAGGGCAGCCGTATGGAGGGACCATGTCCGAGTTTAACACTGTGGAGGGGAACATGGGGAAGAGACGACAAGAGGCCTCATCGGTCCTGAACCAGAACGAAACACTCTGCACCATCACCTCATTCCCAAGGTACTCAACTTTAGTAAAAGAGGAGAACAAATCACACCAGGAACAGCATGAGCTTTAGTCATGCACATTCAGTTTTCATTATTATATAAATGCATGCAATTAGGAGTGATTAAGTGATTTATGGGCCAAGGATGAACCTTATGGCTTAAAGTGAACAGAGAACTAGGGGAGGGGAGCTCTTCTTTTATTATGTTTGAGAAACTTTCGATTTGGACCACCACGATCCTCTTCTCACACCTTTGTCTAAGCTCTGTGTCACATTTGATGTTTATGTTCTCTTTTTTATTTATTTCCTCAAACAACAATCTCTGTAACAGAGAAGGATCATGGTTAATAACAGTAGTTGTTTCCTCTCTCTGCAGGTTAGGTTGCCCCGGTTTCACCAGACCGGAGTCCCGGCCGACCCCTGTCGAAAAGGGAGTGTCAAAGTCACTGTTTTTCCCAGATGAAGCCATCAACAGACACCCAAGATTCAGGTAGAGCTTGTTGCTGTGTGCATGTGATGCTTTTTGATTATATAGTTTTAAAAAAGAAAATAACACCTCTGATATAAGAGAGGATTTGATTCAGTCGTCTTGAGTTAGCCAAACACCAAAGCTAGTACAAAACTCCAGTGTCAGTCTGCTGTTTCAGGGATTTGGTTCAGATTGTGACAATAGATTTTGATTTTACTATCCATACATTTCCCTGTCATTGATATAAGATGCTTTTTGTGAAGATTCATCGTTTTATTTGTCTGTTTTCTTTATCAGCACTCTCACCAGAAACATACGACACAGACGAGGAGAGAAAGTAGCGATAAATGTGCCAAGTAAGTTTAGATTCAGTTCATATTGTCTGATGAAAAAACTGATACCTCGACTCTGAATGAATTCGTGGAGATTTGGTAATTATCAATTCAACAGAATACAGTCATATACTGTATTTTTCGCACTATAAGGTGCAATTAAAATCCTTTTGGCTTGTCGGAGCACTGCAGCTACTGGAGCCTCGCTGAGTTACTGAATGAGTTAAATAAAGTTTGACTTATCTGACTGTTTTGTTTGGCTTAATGCGTAAAATACGGTATGTAGAATTGGTAGTCTCACTAACTCAGACAGCAGTCTAACCAGTCGCTGAGTTACCTCTTACCTGCCACACGAACATGAACACGCCTCACTCTGCACCTGAGATTGATAAAAGGGCAATTCAACTAATTACAAACTCACTGGGGGGAAGGGAATCAATTAAATCATTTGAAGAGCTGATTGGTTGCTAAGCTGCAGAACTATAATTGGCACGTAAACAAACCTGAAAATTACATGATGGTATCATGGGAGGGAAAGGATAAGATCATGATGTGTTTTTAAACTATTAATAATGCAGTGAAAAATAAAACGTCTAAATTTCTGTCTGTGTTTCAGTTTACAAAGACAAGTGCACCCCATCTCCGTTCGTGGAGGAGTTTCCTGAGGACGACGGTGAAGCGGCGAGGGCGGCTCTGCCTGATCACATCTACATGGACGCCATGGGCTTCGGCATGGGCAACTGTTGTCTGCAGGTACTGAGCAAACAGACTGCGCACGTGTGTGTGTGTCTGTGTGTGTGTGTTCATCGCCTCGAACAGCCCTCATGGTTTCAAACTGTGATGTAACACAGATGGTGCAACGAGGACTATTTTGACTTTTGTGCGACTGCGACTTTACAATCCGAATCAGTGATGTATAAATGTACTTCAGCCTCTTTTTATGATGCTCTTTCAGGTTACATTCCAGGCTTGTAGCATTGACGAGGCCCGGTACCTTTATGACCAACTCGCAACTTTCTGCCCCATCGTGGTGAGTAGATCAATAAACACTGAGCTTCCTGTCATATATTTTGATCATTTACCTGACCCCTCTAGTTAATATATAACCAATCATTTATTAACCTGATAAAAGATCTTTTGAATCATGAGAGAAAAACAAAACAAAACAAAAGACACTGATTGATCAAAGTTTCACTGTGCTTTGTCGTTCATATGAGATTAGTGTGTAAATAAAAAAAGGCCTTTTCTGTGTTGTCCAGGTGATTTGATAAAACATTTGATAAAACACCTCACAGGATGATATTTTCCTTTGCAGATGGCTTTGAGTGCAGCCTCTCCCTTCTATAGAGGCTATGTGTCGGATATTGATTGTCGCTGGGGGGTTATTTCTGCCTCAGTGGACGACCGGACACAAGAGGAACGTGGGCTCAAGGTGAGCGGGCGGAGCTAAAAAGACAAACCGTCTCTATGATCTACAAAACAAACCATTAAGTAAAAAAAAAAATCAGCTTTTGCTGTGTGTTTTGGTAGGTTTGAGCTCTCGTATTGTTTATTTTTTCTGTTTTTAAGTCATAAAACCATTTCAGTGATTTTAAGTCTATTTGTAATGGGTCAGTCTTAAAGGCACAGTGAGGAGTTTTAACTGATTTTGTAATCGCTTCACTCTTAAACTGATTCCTCTGAACAAAGTACTCAGAAAAAACTAGATTATCAGCAATAAGACTGTGATGACTGTGTTCAGGGTGGATTTTTTGTCAGTATTCAACATTCAGCTTCACTTTTGGACATCTTTGCCATCATTAGATAAGACAGCTGAAGAGTGGGGGGAAGATAAACAGCTAAGGGCCACTGCAATGAGGACCACAGCCTCTATACGGGGGTGTTTTATACTCATGGCTGACACTAGAGCAGGGTTAGTGAAGAGACATCTATTTTCAGTGTTGCTTTAAAAAGAGAAGCTCTACAACTGGAGCTCTGTCAGGTAAGACAGCGAGATGACTGAACAGGATTTAATGTTTATGTGAGTTAAACTGTGCTTCTGTTCTCTTTATTCTGGGACAGCAGGGCCATAATAGGTCATGTTAAACTTGCTACAAGCTCTGCATCCTGAAAAAAGAGTCCAGAACAAAGAAAATTAGTTTGATAAGAAAATCTGTATTTTACTTATTTACTTTCATTTTGGATCGAGCCACATCTTTAAGAGGGATGTAGTGACTGCTTTTGGATTGAGCCACATCCTTACAAGGGGTTTAGGTTAGATTGCATCTGTGACTCGTTTAATTATCAGTTGGGTTTGAGTGTTAAAAGAGTAATTTACTGTTCCAAAAAGAAGAAAAAAAAACATGCTGATCCATCTCCAAACTTTTGCCTTCAAATGAAAAACTGATGTGATGAAATGAGGTTAAAACAGGGTGAATAATGCAGTCTTCATTTGAGTGAAAACACTGTTAGTAGCTCTAAAGGAGTCACCAGAATCAATTCAGCTTAAAAATTCCTGACTGTGCCTTTTTAAAATTATTTCTTTTCATTCACTGACTCATTTAAAAAGAATCGGGCAAACCACAAGAGCACAAACTTTGACCATCATTCAAAAAAAATATTGTTTACTTTGCAGCCGTTGAAAAACAACAAATACCGGATCTTCAAGTCGAGGTATGACTCGATCGACAGCTACCTGTCCAGCTGCAGTGAGAAGTACAACGACATCGATCTGACGATAGACGAGGAGATCTACAAGCAGCTTCTCGACGCAGGTACAGATGTTTAAAAAAAAACTGGCCATCAATAAAATGTCAAAGCTAAAGGTTGTGTAAAACTAAATTAAAGAAATGAATTAAATCATCCGTCTTTGTGCAGGAATCGACAAGCCGCTCGCTCAGCACATAGCCCACCTCTTCATCCGAGATCCTCTGTCGGTGTTCGAGGAGAAAATTCACCTGGACGATGAAAACGAGTCTGATCACTTTGAGGTGAGGATTCTTGAACATTTCTAAAGCACCTTGAGAAAGAACCAACAGACGTCTAACTTCTGTGCAGTTCAGTTTGTCATTGAAAAGTTTCCCTCTTTGCAGAACTTGCAGTCGACTAACTGGCAGACAATGAGGTTTAAGCCTCCACCTCCAAACTCTGATATCGGCTGGAGAGTGGAGTTCAGACCCATGGAGGTAAATCCCACCGACATCATCAGATTACTACATTCACTGTCAGAGGAAACCATAAACAAAACAGACTACAATAATGAAAGTTTCATTTTTGTGTTTATTGTTTTTCAGGTGCAGCTGACCGACTTTGAAAACGCCGCATACGTCGTCTTTGTCGTCTTGCTCACCAGAGTGATCTTGTCCTACAAACTGGACTTTCTGATTCCTTTGTCGAAGGTACTAACAGCTGAGAAAAAACACTCACAAGAAAGGGACGTTTGGTTTGAATAATGTTCTTACAGGAAAACATATCTTTACGTTTAAGGTTGATGAAAACATGAAGGTGGCACAGAAGAGGAACGCAGTCCAAGAGGGCATGTTTTACTTCAGAAAGGACATCTTCAAAGGTGGGTTACAAAATAAATTCACCTTAGATTGGAGGACTCTATGGTAAATACTAAAGAAAAGAGCATCAGATACATTTTTGTGTCTTTCTACAGGCTGCAACCCCGGCCTCGATGGCACTGCCTCTGCTCAGAACGGTTTGGAGTGTGACGCCTCGAACGAGGAATACACACTGATGAGCATTGACACCATCATCAATGGAAAGGTGATTAATGTCCTCACTTTGGCTGCTGAACTTTGAACTTTGCTGCAAAAGAGGCTGAGTGGATGAGGAAGTCAGTCTGGGAACAGTCAACCACTTTGGGTAACACTGAAGTCTGGACATTCTGAAGGAAGACTATCATCAGTTTTTGGTCAGACATCCTGCTGACTTTGGCAACGACTTTCCTTTTTTTTTCCCCCAAAAGTTCTGACCTCTATGTTCCCTTTTTATTTAAGATAACTTTGACGATTCCACAAACACTCGTGAGGGTCAGCTGCACAACATCTGGAGTACTAGTCAGCAAGTGCTCATGAGTCACATGATTAAAAACATGCGCATGTCAGCCTTTTTTTACTGTGAGTAAGAGACAATTTTGGTGTTTGTGTTCACATTACATAACAGAGACGGTGATCACAGACAACTAACATGAAAAGTTGATAATTTTCTGCCTCAAAATAGGGCTGGGGGATAAACTAAAATGATAACTATATATACTAAAAATTAATTTCCCTCAATATCAATATAAAACATGGTAAATATGCTTTTCTATAGTCAGCATTCTGCCATGTTTTGGAAGATTATACGAATAGTAGGGCTGGGACGATATGCTTTTCTCCCAATTCAATCCTTTATGATTTTTTGGATGCAGATTCAATTTAATTCAACTTGAAATTCTATGATAATTTTCTCGTTTTTTGGCCTCATTTATAACACCATTGTAACTGTTGAGTGATTATAATTGTCTCCTGACTATTCCAGGAACCATATTTCCCCCCAAATACACATCACATATAAGTCCGTTTTTAAGATTTATTCTTAAAAAAGATTTTCGAACATAAAAACTGATTAAAAAATTGTAAAACAAAAAAAGGTGATACTTATGTGAATCAATTCTTTCTCCCACCCCTAACGAATAGCCAATGAAAAGGGGAGTTTCTCCAGGTCATGTGCTGAATTAGCACCAAGTAGCAAACACCTGTGTAGTATCAGACTGCAACTTAACGCAACCACAGCACTGTAACAGCGCAACGCCTTCCGACAAAACGTCAAAGAGACACAAAGACCTCACAGATGCAATAACTTATTGTATTGCAAAAGACATGCTCCCAATTAGCTCTGTTAAATTTCTTTTGATATCGTGATATATATCGATATCGACCAATGTGAAAAAAAAATATTGTGATAAACTTTTTCCCATATCGCCCAGCTCTACCTCCAAGTTAAAGGTCCAGATCTGAGATATTTCAACTTTTAGAGTGTGTTTGTTTAGTGAAAAGAAAAGGGAAGGAGGTCAAATAACTGACAGAAAAAGATATGAAAAGTATTTGATGGTTTAAGTTGTATTTGATCGATTTGAAAATCGAGACTCGATGAAATGAATCTAATCTGGGCTCAGCCTTTAAAATGGGATTAGGAGCTCGGAGTAAAATCCCTACTCCTTCACACTGTAAGTAGTCAGCTGAGCCGGTTCAGGCATCTGATAATGATGCTTCCTGGACGTCTCTCTTCGGAGATTCTCCAGGCGTGTCCAGCTGGGTGAAGACCTCGTGGTAAACCCAGAGCAAGCTGGATCTGACCTGGGAAGCCCTCCCCTTCTAGAGCTGGAATTAATAGCTTGAGAGAAAATTGCCTGGCTTGACTTGAATGAAAATGCATGAATTGGTGGAGTCTGTGGAGATTAGATACTCTTTGTTTTCTATGTGGCTTCCCTTCTTGATTAGCATTTCTGCAAAATAATCTAGGAAGCTCTTACAGGGTATTTAAAGGTTATGACGACAAGTATAAGACCGTTTAAGTTCTGGAAATCCTGCTGGCATTATGTGCTTGTTATTGTTGTCTTGTAGCACTCATGTTTTATGCGACGTGTCTGATAATTGTTGGTATTTCTTCTTTTTTTTAATCAACAGGAGGGAGTATTTCAAGGGCTCATCCCGATCTTAAACTGCTATCTGGAAAACATGGAAGTGGATGTGGACACCAGGTGCACCATTTTGAACTACCTGAAGCTCATCAAGAAGCGTGCCTCGGGTAAATTTCCATCCAAGTTCATATTCTTCTAAGTTTTTCTCTCCCTGCAGCTTCAACTCTTCCTCTTTGTGAATCTGAAACAGGCGAGCTGATGACCATGGCCAAGTGGATGAGGGAGTTCGTGGCCAAGCACCAGCAGTACAAACAGGACAGCGTTCTGACCGACAAAATCAACTACGACCTGTTCAAGAAGTGCGACAAGATCGCGAAAGGCGAGGAGCAGTGTCCCGAGCTCATCGGAAACCCGGTCAACAGGTTCAAATGAGAGAAGCGTTGCGGGAATCCCCGACGTGATTCACACTCGCATGTAAAGAACGACCAAATGTGTGTGTCTCAGAAAGAAAGCGGTCCAATCTAAAGAGAATGCTAAACAATGTGTGTGTGTTGTACCAAACACATCTGCATAAATGTATGTATATAAACTGTACCAGATTTTTATGATCACAGAATTATTTTATTAGGGTTAAGACATGCACAAGGTTGTGTAATAGAAATCAGATGTGTATTTATTTTTCTCTGGAAATTTAAGGCTCTGTGTGAGAATGTAAATTTAGCTAAGAGATGTACAGTAGTCTACTTTTAATTGTGTGTTCTGTAAATACTGTACTTCTGCTCTTTAAAGCATTAACATCTTCCGGTTTTGTTTCGTTCTTTGCTGGCTATGAACTCTTTTTGCATTGTAGATCTTTTTTTTTCTGCATTTTACAAGACATGTTTGCTTTGCTGACATTGTAGTGGGACCTTGAGGATAGTGTTGCATTCAATTGGAAAAGGTGAGCCATTTGTTTGCAATGTGATGCTGCTTAACAATAAATCTGTAAAACCTTAACAACCACCTCTGATGTTTTTCTAATGCTAACGTCAGTATGTTATAACCATCTAAATGTTTAGTTGTTGAAACCATAGACTGTATATACTATGGACAACTTGGCTCCGTCTTCTGCCAGTATACAGAAAAATAAATAATAAAAATAATAACATAAAAATAAATTAAAAAATTAACTAGTATATTCTATGGACAACTCAGTTCTGCATCTGCCAGTATAGGGATTTGAAAAAAATAAAAATTTTGTCATTGCACAGAATAAAAGACAGCAGGGATTTCTCTCTTTAACAAAATGTTGTTGCCTGGCTCCCATATCACAGCATGATGGTGTTCAATTTAACATACAGAAAAAATAAAACCAATAAAAACTAAGGGTAAAATCGCAGCATGGTGAGTAATAGTGCACTTTCTGGAAGTAGAGTGGTAGTGGAATAAAAACCAAATAAATAAAAGTATATATAAAAATGTATATGTTCTTATTTACACATAGTATTAAAAATAGTAAAAAATAAAATAAAATTTAAAAAAGTTAAAAAAACAAACAAACAAACAAACAAAAAAGCAAATTATACGAATTATAAAATAACATATAAAATTGTTGAAAGGGTCCTATTTTGTATGTTATACTGACAAACTTGGTAATTAAAATGTCCCTGAGCAAATACTCTTTCCTCCACAAGATGGGGGTGTTGAGCCAGAGCTCCACCAAATAATCAGCAGAGACATGTACAGTTCTGGGACCTGATAATGACTATAACGAAAACAAGCCACCCTTTAATCAGACCAGAACCAGTCTCAATTAGTAAAAAAATCATTATAAAATGAGGAAAACAATGTGATATGATTCAGGGTTTTGATTTTTAGTGGGCTGTAAAGGTAGAAGAAGAGAGACATGAGAATATACTATTTGGCAGCAGAGTTTAGGTATTAGATAACTGATCAGGAGCTCGTGATTTGTCACCTTAATCCTACGTCAGGTGAGGTAATTTCAGAGCAGCCATCTGTCCTCACTAATCCCAAAGAGAAATGGGTCTTTTTCACAGTGACCTTTGACCTGTAACAGGTGTGACCAATAACACTAATGGCTCCGTTCAGTTCATGTGTCCCAGGGCGTTGCAGTATGACAGAGATGATCTGCATGAGATCAGTAATCTGAAACAGAAACAGCTTAAAGGAACCCAGCCCTCATATTTCTTTTTATCTTTTATTCGTTTATTTGTTTCTCCCTCTTTATGAAAAGGTTTATAACATTTACTGCAATAATCAGGTACAGATTTGAAGAATCAGAGGGTGACAAATGTCATGTTATGACCTGTAAAAGTCTAGCCTGGCTGGCTGGGTCTGTCTTTCCCAGCCAAAGACCTTGTATGTGACCCATGAATTTAAAAAAATCAATAAACAAAACAAACATGGGGCTATTTCTTTTTTTTATTTGCCAAAGAGATCGATGAGGAAGGCCGTCTGTGCGCTAAGAATTATGAGTCACTGTAATCATGACCTTTGCCTCATCAAACATGGCACATTCATTATCCTATATAATCCAGCTGTATTATACCAAATATGTTCCAACCTTTCCATTTCACCCATCCACACTGGTAGCTTTATCCAACTTGTAGGATAATATTTCATCTGCTAATGCCAGATTTCTCTATGAAAACACTGATGTGCATTTCTGGGACTGATTTGGGGATTTTCCTATTTTTTCAGGTTATTGAGTAAACCACATCCCATGCTCTGCTGGTCACTTTGAGAAGCTGGACCAGGAGAAACCATCTGAAATGTATATTCTATATTTATCTGAGATCTTTGGATCCGGTTCGAGTGCCCAATCTGACCATAACAACGATTATAATGCTTACTCGCCAACTAAAACGATAATATTATGTTCTGACGTGTTTGCTACAATTACCATCTTAGTTTGGAGCGTCAGCTGACCAATCAGTACTAAATTGAAAGAACATCTAAACCTGACAAGAAGGTTTTTTCCAGTCTCCAAGGTTCTAGGTTATGCTCAGTAATGAATTAAGCACAAATTTAAAATCTTGACCACAAGATGGCACTACAACAAAAGTTACGGGATCAGTGCTATTGTTCTAACTCATCTTCTGGGGACCACGAACGATGTACAAAACTTCAAATTGATTTGTCCAGTGATGGTTAAGATATGAGATCAGTTTAAGACAAAGTTGAAGACTAATCAATGTAATCTTATGAGTGAACTCACAACTTTGTAAAGAAATACAATCAGCGATCAAGCTCCCTTAAAGGGATATTTCGTCGGAATATCCCTTTAATTCTTCACAAAAGGCTGTCCACTAGTGAGTCCAGGTGAAATGGGATTATAATTTGCCTGTATTTAGATTGCATTTGTTTTAAATGAGCTCAAACAGACAGATATGAGTTAATTATGTCTATGTTGTTCTGCAGGCTTATCTCAGTCTAAAGTCAATCAGACGTCTGCTGGTCTGAAACCACCTTGCAATTAGAAAAGCTGGCCTAGTTACACAGTCTGCAAAATGAGTCCTGCTGCCATATTGTCCAAGATCATATCTGATATTGTTAATAGTAATAAATGAAAATTAAATTAGCAAGCAATAACTCTGCAGGACATCACTGCAGTCATCATGGTGGCTGCATACTCTCAAACGTTTGTGTCTTTGCTTTGATGAGAAAAACCTGCAAACTACAGGAACCACTATTGCAAAGAGCCTCAGAAACACCTGTATACTATTTAAGCAGCGTCTGCACCTCACCTGACAGGTGGATAATTTATCATAGCAACCAACACAGACCCTGAATGAATATACTGTATATGAAACTCATGTGTTTTGTTCCAACTCTTAAAAAATGTAAGACAAAAACGAAGAAATGGGTGTTTGTGTTGAACATTATAAAACACAAGATAATGTAGAATATATACTTATGATATATTTAACTTACTGCCTGCAAAGAGCTGCACTGAGGCATCCATAGGGATCCTGAAATATTCAAAACCTTTAAATGCTAATATCTTCTCCAACAGTCATTTTCTACAACCTTTAAGATACTTTAACACCTTTAAATATTTTACTAGATTCACTCTTAAAATCATGTGTTTACATGGCGTTTTTTTATACTGTATAAAGTTGATGGATTATAACATTTTCTGTATCCTCAGATCACATTGAAGGCACCACCAAGAATGAGCTGAGTCATCCCTGAAACCTGATTGGCTGTTACTGGTACCATCCAATTATCCTTAGTCATACACTTTGTAATATAATTTTTATATAATATAATTGGAGTCATGCAAGCCTATAGCAACATAAGTAAGAGCTGGTCCTGGTTATAAGTTTTATCAAAAAGGGAATTTGTAAGCCCACTCCTAAAAGTAGAGCTCTGATCTATAAATGAATCTTGAGATGAATTTTACCTCCTAGAAACTAAGTAGTCAATTATTCAAAAGGAGAGGGGGCTTTAATAACTGAGGGCTCTACCTCCCAGACTACTTTTCCGCTGACTTTTAAGAGCCAAGCCTATTTTTTCACTGTCAAGCTTTGCTGAAGAACTTGTAAAAAAAAAAAAAAGCCTTTTTAAAGCTCCTGTGAGGAACTTTCTGCCTGTGTTAACTTTGGCGCCCCTTGTGGACAAGGGATTTTGTCCAGTCCATGTAAAACAATGACAACAAAGACCCCTTATAGAAGCTTTAAGCAGGGTGCTAAATTTAGCCTCTTCTGATACCAAACCCATTAAAGCAAATACATTTAAAACTGGTTAAAGCATCAAAAATTATTTCCTTATTTTCTCCCTAACTAGTTGAAAATTCATCACTGGCTGGATAGTAACTTAAAAAAAGTGTCCTATGAGGAAAAAGGCTTTTTTAAAACCAGCACCAATGATAACATGCTTCCTAAACTCAGTCTCCACGTGTCTGTGGTTAACAGTTAACAGAAATTAAAAAAAGCTTGTAAACCACATTTATAGTGAAGCACAGATAAAAAAAAAACCAAACCAACCTCCATAGCCTATCATCTTTTGGACTGTGTGTGTGTATGTGTGTGGTTGCAACACACCGGGTCACCTCCTGGCTGTTACCCTCCTGCAGGGCAATGGGCCAGTCTGCGTGTTCCTCCCACTATTTTTCCACTGAGCGACAAGGCTGCACATTGTGCTGCTGCTCAGACCGGCCAACCAACCAACCAGCCAGCCAAGGTTACACCGACGATCCCTCTGCTCTAAAAGGTAGGCAGTCCTTTCCTCCTCCTCCTCTTCCTCCTCCTCTTCACACAGCTGCAGCTCATCACACACTCTCAACATTTCACCCCCTTTCGGAAACGCTACCGGGACGTTTTGGACGACTTTAAGGTGAGGTTTTCCGTCGTTTTACACCGCGCATGGCGTCTGTTCTCACGGGGAGTTTCGGTGATGCTGAAGCGGTGACCTCTACTGTTTCTGGAGCTTTGGATGCGACCGACAGGATGCGATAAGTTTGTCGGAATCATTTAATTAATAAATTGTGGAAGTTTTCGCTAAAAAACCGAAACAAACGAGGAAGAGAGAACAGCGTTATCATCTCATCTTTTGGTTTATGAGGTTATCAGATGGCTGTTTTTATACCGAGCAGGACTGTAGGGAAAGTGCAGTTTAGATTCCACCAGTGACCCTGTTAGGAAATCACTTTTATACAGTATTTTACAGTAAAAAACCAAACCGAACTCAGCTGTAGGGGAACATGTCTCCGCATTTATCACGGATTCGCTTTTACGCATCATCCTGGGTTTGACTTTAAAACGGAGCCGGACCGGCACAGTAATGTCAGATTGGTTGTTTGTTGCCTATTTTGACTGAAGTGTTTGTGCTTTTGAGAGACTCTATTGAATGTTGCTACTTTTTTTTAGCTGAGGTCTGCACAAAATGATCAGATTGGAAACTTCTGGAAAGCCATTTTAAACGCTAAGGCTGTATATGCTGCTATGCAACAGTCATATTATCCTGAGACAGAACTGAACTGATCTCTCATCTGTTAAATTTACTGCCATGCAAAATAAATGGCGTGCAAGGCAGTAAACGGCAACTTATCTGAACCTATTATGCAAATGAAAAGTCACTTTGCCCTGTCACTGTTTAATATTACCCTTACATTTTAATTATCATGCACCTGAGCCGATATTTGGATCGGGTATCTGATGAATGACGCCGATCCAACGTTCCGATCCAGTCTTTTATTTCTTTTAATTAATATCATACACGACAACACAGCGATTTTGTTCACTCTGTACTCCATGTCTGTCTGTCCTTTTGCACTGAATGTTTACATGGAATTCTTGCTTCTTTTTGCTGTGTGCTAATGTGCAGTTTGTTATTTGTTGATAAATAATAAGTACATTTATATCTGCGTTAATTTGCTACCTTTAATGTCAAGACTGATGCCTTTACTCACAGGGCAAGGTATACAGTTCATTCATTCAACAGTAGTATTGGATCGGTATCGGATATCAGCCGATATGCTCAGCCTAGGTATTGGTATTGGATTGGATTGGAAAAAAAATGGATCATTGCATCTCTAATTTGGAGTAGGTCAATTATCTGTCTGTCTGTCTGTCTGTCTGGGGGCAGTCAATATTCAAAATTAAGTTATTTCATGCAGCAAAATCAACAGACAGCATACTTTTGAACCGGCTGTTTTATTAATTTTTATTTTACTTATTCACTGAAATTATGATGAACCATATATCGTCACATCAACATCAAACATTTGCAAGTCCTGTAATCTGATCATAATCAGCTTTATTGACCAAGTATGTGTACACATACAAGGAATTTGACTCCTCCTTTAAACTTAGCCTTCTATGTAAACACATTAAACATGAAATGCTACAAAAAATGTCTTTCAAAATAAGCTTTTTTTCAAAATAAAAGACATGTCAAACATCAGAAGCGCGTTAAATATTTACTTTTTTGACCAGCTGTTTGCGACCCATCCAGAACATGTCCACGACCCACTTTTGGGTCGGGGCCCACTAGTTGAGAACTGCTGGTCTAATAGAGATTTTGAAAGCAGAGCCAGCTTTGTCGGAAAAGTGTAACGGTAGACAAACTATGGGCTACTTACTTATTTTGTTAACTTTTACACAGCCCCGTCCCGGCTCTGACTGCAGGCTTTGTAAGACTGAATGAGTCATGATCCAGAGTGTCGATGACAGATCAGCAAGTTTATCATTCGCCCGTGGAAACTAATATCTTTCACCACACTTAAAGGCGGGTTTCAAGAACAATAAATTCAGTGATTCAGGCGGTTGTTGCTAAATATTGTAGTCTGGATGACTGAAATACAGCCCGGTGACACAGCTACAAATTCAGGCATCATCTTCATCTGACAAATGACCTTTGATCATCACATCACCAGTCTTGTTCAGTCCTGTTTTGTAGAAATATGACTACAATCAGAGTTATGCTGTCTTTTGCTGACTTTGACTCTGGTTTGGCACTGGCGCTGTTTTGTGCTGTATTTTCAGAAACTCTGGATGAAGGTCCTTGAGATGAAAAGAATCAGGGTGTTAAAAAGTTCTGCTCCTCCTTTTATCGTCTGTGATATTTCAACACTGCTGAATAGTTTCACACAGCTGGCATGTTGAAGCTTGTTGGTGTGCATAATCTTTTATTGTGTGTGTGCAGATATAGAATAAACGCATCAGTAAATCAGTCATGAATTCATGTGGGAATTCTCCCTTCAGTAGAAACTGATACTTGGCTTTGTAAGACTTTATCTGCCTTTGTTGACGTTATGTTAACGATATTATGCATTCACAGTGGAGTCCTATTGTGCAGCTTCATGCTTGCAAAGACCTGCTCTCTGCAGCTGATTCGCTCTCCTGTTGTTACTTGTGCCCTAATAAAGGCCGCACAGATTATTGTGTTCTGCTGAAGTATAATGCATATCTGGCAAACCCTGCATGGATACGACTGTGCTGAGGTTGAATACATTAAGCCTCATTTTGTTTCAGTTGGGAAAGTGATTATGAACAGATGCAATAATCAGTAACTGGCTTCTTGTTGCCCAGGCAACAAAGCGATTCGTCTGAGTTTGATTATCCACACAGATTTTTTTCTTTTAAGTGGGGTGATTGAGTTTGCAAAGAGGCTTTTGAGAGGTGAACTGTATTAGACGCTGTATATTTTTGAATGTATGAAATTGTGTACAACCATAGAGAAATTGGTACATGAGGATTTTGAGTCTGTTATTTAAGAGATTCAAGCATTGAAGTGTCAGGATTTAAGTTGACTTCTTTAATATCCTGTCTGTATAAATTACATAAAAACAAAGTCACTTGTGCGCTCCTATAGCTCTGTTTGCCATTTTCCCATATCCTGTGATTGTATATCAGAGCTGAAATCGAGATACTTCGGCTCAATATGAGTCACCTTTCGAGGTTATGATGCGTAAGCTTAAAGCTGTGTTTTACTTTCACCTCCAACATCAACAAATCTGACCTGAGACAAAAGGATGAAACTCATCCGCAGCTGAAATCAGTTTTATTCATCATCTTAACTTGTTTTCTTTTCGATTTCAGGGATGTGTGGTGCAGAGCTTTACGCAGCTGTCCTATCATTTAGTTTCACATCCAAATGAGCCTTTGTGGGAGACAGTAACATGCAGGAGAGTCTGGAGTGTTGGTGTTATATTTCCAGCTGTAGATGCAGGTGTAGAGGCTGTCAAGCGGTGCAGCAGTCTGTGACATAATTGGACCAAATTGAATGTACAGCTCATAAACACATCTGTGGAAATGGGGAACGCAGTATGCTGTTATTTCTGGGACTGTGCAGAGGAGTTTTCTGCAAATCCTGAAGTGATACAGCAGAGTCCTGGGATTTAGGAGCCAATATAGAGGCTTGCAGGAGTGTGCCAGTAGTGAGGTGATGATAAATAAAGAGCGTGTTCCTGAGAGATTTTAGGTTTTCTAGTGAGAAGATCGGGTACTAGGATTTGGACAGTTTTGCTCTGCAGAGATAGTTAATCTGTAAAAATTTCATAAGAACACTGTCTCCCAAAACTTTGACCCAAGTTTCAGCCAACACTGCGTACTCTTTTGTTATTTGTGTGATAGAAATATGTGCATTATATATTTGAATAATCGTGGATAATTAGACAAACTCCCGTGGAGAAACATTGCTTTTGGTGGAGTTGTAAGTTTTGGTGTGAAAAACCAAAAACAGAGCTTTGAAACCAAAGATGTTTGTTCAGGCTTCGTCCAAATCTGAGGATAGAAGGGAGAAGAGAAACAGGCTCGACTACAGGCAACATAAACTTCAAATCAAGTGATCCATCAGGCTGGGAATGCTCAGCTCTCCATACTTGGATGAAAGGCCTTCTGCTTTTTGTCACAGAGCGACTGTCCTCAGCATCGCAGTGAGCGACTTAAATGGAGAGTACTCACCACTGAATGTTCATGCTCTTGTTTAACCTGCTGAGGTCATGCCAACCTTTCGTTGGCACTCAAAAGCGAAGGATAAACATGCTAATAATAATGAACCACATGAGTTGGACAGCTTTGGCAGGAGAACATGAAGAATCAGAAATATTTGGTCTTAGAAATTCACCAAGGATGCCAAAGCCTGGAGGGGATCTTTTAAAAAAACAACATATTTTGACTCAATTTTTACCCTTAAAATTTAAAGACACAGGCGCAACAAAAGTGGTATCTGCTACATTAAACAGCCTGAGATATGAGCAGACTTGACCTTTTGTTGAGACAAAACATATTTTTCATTTCAAGATTTACTTTTGGGCTTTATGTCTGTATTTTATCGCCCAGTTGAAGAGAGAAGAGAGAGAGGAAATGAGGGAAAAATAGAGTTTAGAGTTCATGCATGCACCGCAGTTTTGACCTGCAACCGATATGTTTAAGAAGCTGCCTCTGTATACGGGCTCACGGACCCTCAGAAACCAGAGATCATTAGACTAAAGTTATGACTGATTTGCCTAAAGGAAGATTAATTGGACATGTTAAAAGCATTAATTATTTTTAAAATATTTTTGATTCTTCTCATTTTTAGACTTGCCAATCTTGATTCTCTTTTTTACATATGCTGTCAGGAATTTAAGGACGTCTACGCCTAGAATTTTCCAAAACTGCTTGTTCATGTATTTCCTTCTTCCCTGTCAGAGGACATGCGAGTTTGACAGGGAGTTCGAGTCATCAATAGTTAACCGCAAAACCACAGCGTGATTTTTACAGCATGATGGTGAACAAAGCAAGAGAGGCTGCAGTCAAATATTTTGCTGCTGCTCTCTTTGTTAACATATTTGCACCCCTTCAACCCTAGGTGTTTTTACTTGCGCAGTTATATGTAATTCACTCTTCTTACTTGACAATAGCTGCATAATTGGGTCATTACCTGCCTGTTTGCTCTTAATTCAACTCACCCCAACTTCATGCAGACATTTTACCCCAGGGCTGAGAGGAAAAATAGCATTCACACATGCAGCCCACCCTGAAGAATTTGGGAGGTTTTTGGGTCATAAATCATAAATGTGTCAGTTCATCACGATGTCCTTTCTGTAAGTGGTAAAAAAATAACGAGATGAACGCTGGTTATAAATTTTTATGAGATCTTTTTCTGTCGAAGGATCATGAATTTTTATATTTTACAATAAATCTGAGTTCTCTTTTCTTTTTTGTTCTGTTTTTAGGTGACAAATGGAGACCTTCAATCATAAACTTAACACTTATTTCGAGTCATGGATGGGTCCCAGAGGTGAGTCAAGTTTGAGTCATCATATTAGTAACTCCTGTTGAATGTGCTGCTCTTGTGTTTGTCTGTGTGTGTGTTGAAAACGTTGGGATTACTGTAAAATGAACAGAAGAGGTGGAGGTAAACATTACTTAAGACCTCTCACCCAAGTGTTTCATTATGCTCTGTTCTCATGCATGTACTTGCACAAGGACTCCGTCAAAGTTTTTCACCCTCGTGTTGTTAACCCTTCTCTGTGTTGAGCAAACATTCCTCGCTGTGCTGCTGTTCTCCATGAGTAAAAACTGCCGTCTGCTCCTCTGTGTTTCAGATCAACGGGTGAGAGGATGGCTGCTGCTCGACAACTACCCTCCCACCTTTGCACTGACAGTCATGTACCTTCTGATCGTGTGGATGGGGCCAAGGTACATGAAGCACAGACAGCCGTACTCCTGCAGAGGCCTCCTGGTGCTCTACAATCTGGGCCTCACGCTGCTGTCCTTCTACATGTTCTATGAGGTAAATGGACCGAGGTGTGCTGAAGTAGGTCAAAGTGACACAGTAGGATTGTCAGAGCGACGAGACGAGGGAGGTTTACCCTTAGTTTAAAAAGACAGACGCGTATATAAAAGGGATATTCCGGCGTAAAATTAATTTAGGGGCAAACACACTGCAACACCGAATTGTGCACCCCCTCAAGAGATGAATATTGCTGACCGCTAATACCAACTTTAGTAACAACCGCAGGATAGCAATACACAGCGCTCCGAACCAACCAAAACGCCACTCTATATCCACAAATAATGCTCAGAACAGCACCTAACTTCATCAACAGGACATATAGCACTGCTAGTGTGCAAATCTTAGCATTTAGACCCCATCAGGGTCACTGTAATCCTGGTTTACTGGTTCTGACGTGTTTTTCAAAGTTGTTTTGAGTTCCAACAAATATGTTTAAAACACAAATACGTTCTGGTTTTGGAAGATCTCTCTTCTTGTTTTCCTGGTTTAAATACTGAGATCACCTCCATGCTTACAACACTGATTTGCCCATATGTCAGTCAGCGTCACTGCCAAGGCTGTCGCTGTTTGAACCAACATAAAATCATCCTTAATACACTGGGAGTCAAAGATCTGTACTGGATTGTTTGTTGATTAGCTAGCCCAACTTATCACACTGACATTACCTGCTGATTTATGTGAGGAAGGCTAGCTCTCATCCAGAAAGGAAGCCATAGAAAGCTCTCAGAGAGTTACAGCTTAATGTGCAAAACACCAGGCAACAAATATGCTGCATTTTACACTTAGTGCAAGTGCTGTTTACAGTCATTTATGAAGCCTGAAGTTTGAGCTGAACTTAGCTTTAAGACTGAAAAAACAGCAATGATAAAAACAAGCTTCATGATTTTCTGATAGGACCAAAGTAAGAGGTATCAATCTTCAAATTAACCTTCAGCAACAGAGCTAAAAAGTGCATTTTCCCAAAGCTGTTGATCCATTTCTTGAGCATTTGGCACCGATGAGGCAGAGGCTTGTGAATAGAGGGGAGATACAATGATTTCAGAACAAGAGAGAGACACATCTGGACGCTGACAGGCTCTTTGTTTCTGTCATCAGCTCCCTCTTACGCCTTTGGAGACAGCTGCATTCGTTTGATGGAAAGCTGCTTTTGATAAACAGCTGCCTAAATAACTGAAATTGATAGAAACAGAGATGTAAAAAAATATGAAACAGTGTGAGCTGAATTTATTGTGATAGAAAACGTCTTTGTGTTGGTCTGAATTATCCGTCCTCTCCTCTAAATCCCACCGGCAGAGAAAGTTCCTTGTCTTTCTGTCTGCATTGCGTAAGGCCCCAGAGGACGGCTGACTGTGGGGTGAACTTTTGGCAGTCCAAAATCAATGTCACCAAAACTGCCCTGTGCTTCGACGTGATTAAAGTACAGGGCAGCGCGGTTATTGTCAGCCGTCCAGGGCACAGAGGCTTATCACATAATGATGGTGAATAATTTCATTTTTATTCATGGGGACACTGATCCCGCTGCAGGTTTGGAGAAAGTATCAGGGAGGTGTATAAAGTCAGAGGGGGACATAATGATATAATACTTAATGTTGTAAAACCCCAATAGATCCTAATGTCTGCTCTGAACTTGAGGCAGTTTCTTGGCCCTGGGATTATTCAGTAAAGCTTTTTACAGCGGCGGACAAAGACTGTAGATCTTTATTGATTTGGTGAATCAGCATTAAGCTGAGCCATCAGTGTGCATTTGATAATTTATTCTAAAAGGGAGGAATCTGTGTTCTTTTAACAGGGAGCACCTCTTAGCTTTTGGACAATTTTTTTTAGAGAGGGGTTAAGAATTAGATCTATTTGACTCTCAAAAACACTGAATTTTCAGCAAATCTATTTTGCTGATGAAGGAAAATGTTTACTGCTTTGTCCAAACTCCACAAAGTCATACTATGATGTAACGCTGTGACGAGTACAAAACGCAAATCCAACCGATCTTATCGTGCAAAATATGACTTTTTCGGTGGATTAATATAATGGCAATATATCTGCTTTCTCATATCGTCATCTCTGTGTATTGTGAGCGAGCCTCTTACACTGTAAGATGACTTCACAACCTAAAATGAGCAATTTTAGCAGCAATTAAAGATCAGTCATCCAAGCTTGACATTAAAAATGTGGTTATCTGTCTTTGTATGAGCCTGTGTGCGTTTTTAACTAACTTAGAAGTGAAAGTAATGAGGTAAACATTCTCCAAGTTTTCCATTTAGATTCAGCTACACCGCAGATTTGTACTTTTCTCCATTCATTAATCTTAACATGTTTTTCCTCAGCTTGTCACAGCTGTTTGGCACGGAGGATACAACTTCTACTGCCAGGACACTCACAGCGCACATGAGGTGGATAACAAGGTGGGTCAGATTTGCAAAATTCAACCTTTTGACTTTTATTTTGTTGATTATGTGACTTAAGTCATTTTGTGACATACATACAGTATCAGGGCTGCCAAGTTTCAGAAAATGACAAGAGTGAGAGTAAAGCGTTATGTGTTCGGCTGCCGACCTGCGAAAGAAATTTAAAGCTCCTGTGAGAAAATAACAGTTGATGATAGTTTTGGCGCCCCCTAGTGACAGAGCAGTCTTTGTTTGTCTTGTCGTCTACATGCTTGGGTAGTGTCCTGATTAAAAAAAGTGATCATACTGACTAGTGACCATCAAATGTCTCTTTTATTATAACATTTTATAATAAATTTAATTTAATGAAGTTCTCAAACAGTTTCGGACACTTCATGACCTGAAATTCACAAACTCTAATTTAAAGCCCCTGTTAGGAGTTTTCAGGTGTTGATGAAACAGAAGAAAGTTGATTCTGATGCCTTTCTAAACCTGCTAAAGCAAACAAAACTACCAACAACAGGACTGACGGTTTCTGTGCTGTATATTTTGATCTTTAAACAAATGCTGCTCACTTTATATTTAGCATTACGGCTGATTGTTTAGGTTGACTTTGCATGTGTTTACTTTTATTTACATATTTTAGATAAAAATATCAAATTATAAATCACTTAATCTTAAGATAAATAGAATCAAGATGTACTTCTATATGTATTTTAAATTAAATCTATTGCTTTGTTTTCTTTGAGTCTGAGCAGATAAGCTGCAGAGTCAGAGATTCAGTTTAATCCCAATCATGTCACCGTGACGAGTCTCTGCAGCTCTTTGGTGGAGGTGAAACAAAGCTCAGGGTGAAACCTGCCAAGCTTTTCAGCTCTGCGCTGATTAAATCAAAGTTTTATCATTGTGCCACGGCTGAAATGAAGCGCTTTATGATTTCATCCTGAACTTTCAAGGACAAACTGCTCATCACCCAGAAACTGGATTTTTTAAAATCATTTTTAAACCGCTGCCGTCTCACTGTCTCCTCCTCAGATCATAAATGTCCTGTGGTGGTATTACTTCTCCAAGCTCATCGAGTTCATGGACACTTTCTTCTTCATACTAAGAAAGAATAACCACCAGATCACCTTTCTGCACATCTACCACCACGCCAGCATGCTGAATATCTGGTGGTTTGTGATGAACTGGGTACCCTGTGGCCATTGTGAGTATTTCCCTGCGTCAGTGGCACAAGCCTCTCTAGCGACAAACTCATTACAAACCCATTAGCTCTAAAAATAGTCTGTAAATAGCCTTAAAAACACAATTTCCACATATTGAGATGAGATGTGACACATTTGTCCCCTTTTTCTAGATTTTCTTGTGCAAATTTACGACATCATTCTGCAAGTTATTTACCTTTTAAATGCAAAATCACCCAAAAACTATTATGAAGTTTACATTATTCATTATTTTTTGGTGGTCTTTACAGTATTACTTAAGAGTAAATTGCTTTTATTGATTTTACTTTGACTGCCAGTTTCAGACTAATAAAATGTTTGTACTCCCTGTACAGTCATGCTCTAGTGGAAATGAATCACTCTCCCTCGCTCACTGTCTGTAACCGTTTCCTGTCGATGAATAACCTCCAGCGTCTCTCTCCTGTCTCTCACCAGCGTACTTTGGTGCCTCTTTAAACAGCTTCGTCCACGTCGTGATGTACTCTTACTACGGCCTCTCAGCCATACCAGCCATGCGGCCGTACCTCTGGTGGAAGAAGTACATCACACAGTTTCAGCTGGTGGGTTTACAAACACTTAAAGGGAGATTAAGTTAGGGTCAAACACACAGTAACACTGAGTTAGACACCCCTTCGAGAGATGAATGTTGCCGACCGCTTGCTTCTCTAGTTGTAGTACTAGCCACCAAACTTCTTTTCAACTTTGGCAAATTTCTTTAGCAAAGAGACTAAAAACAACTCACCAACTCTCTTCCAGCAGCCACTTGTTTGTAGCAAGACCTCGGGACAGTCCCAGTCATAGCTAGTACTATGGCTAGGACCCATATGTCCTGTTGATGAAGTTAGGTGCTGTTCTGAGCATTATTTGTGGCTATAGAGTGGTGTTTTGGTTGTGGTTTATGTGTAGTTCCATAGACCGCTGTGTATTGCTATCCTGCGGTCGTTACTAAAGTTGGTATAACTAGAGAAGAAAGCGGTCGGCAACATTCATCTTTCGACGGGGTGTCTAACTCTGTGTTACGGTGAGCTTGACCTTCATTTTATGCTGGAATATCCCTTTAAGAAGGAAAAAGCAACACTGCTGAATAAAACGCTTGTAAAATACCAGCTAAAGTCAGACATTAACTTCAGTCGATTTAAAGATATACCGATAATATCAAAGGTCAGAGTTGTTATCATGTAGAAAAAGGTTTACCACAACAGAATTTGCATATGCATGAATAAACACTAAGGTTCTTAAAAAAAAAATCAGGTTATTTTAAGTGTGTTTTGAGTCTCTTCTCTCTGGTTTGTGTTTGATCATATTTCTATGGTGCACATGTTTTCTTCAGCAGCCTCTTTAGCGTTAACGCAGTGAAGATGTTTGTCCATCTGAGATATTTTCAGCTCTCGATCAATGCCGCCTGTCTATAGGCTCTCTGTGTCACCTTCTCACTGTGTCTGCACATGTGTGTGTCATATTTCCTCCACAGATCCAGTTCTTTTTAACCATGTCTCAGACCATATGTGCAGTCGTATGGCCGTGCGGGTTCCCTATGGGTTGGCTGTTCTTCCAAATAGGCTACATGGTCACACTCATTGCATTGTTCTCAAACTTCTACACACAGGTCAGTTTTTAAAATTGTTTTACAGTTTTTATTGAGGTGAATAACTTTTTTATTGTCCTACAATCCCTCTAGTAAACCTGAAGTAACTCTTGCCCCAGTCCTTTTCATCCTTTATAATCCATAATGTCATTAAAAGGTTGAGAAAGTGCTGTACAAACAAGACAGGCCCAAAAGCAGCACTGGTGGCTGTGATCTTTGGACCATCATGCAGCACTAGGATACAAACAGACATAACTCTGTAGTGGAAATCACTGCTTTGGCTCAAAATTCAAATTTAATGTGGAGGTTATTGTTGAATCCTAAAATACAGGTTAAAACTGAACAATGCAGAGGAAACCAAATATAAACACGGCTGTTTTCTAGTATTAGGTGGGCGTGTCCAGGGGAAGAGGGATGTTATTATTCAAAATTCAAGTCTAAATCTGGAGCTGTGAGGTGTTGACTACTGAATTTATTCTGTTAAGGAGCAAGGATTAACTTTCAGTACTGATAACGGCACAAAGGGTGGTATTTGAAAAACTGTCATCTGCCTGTAAACATTTTTATTTTACTACTTAAAAAACTGTACAGGTTGGATTTGACATATCCTATTAGGAATATAAAAATTTGAGTATTTTTTAGGATATCTATTAAAAGTACTGGGTGTGGAAATGGTATATAAGTCAATATTTGGCAGTCAGACTCTAGACTAAAGTGCTCCATTGTTCTCCTGTGATGCATCCTTCACTTGAATCTTATTGCTAAATGCTGCCAGATTCTACGCACTGTCCCTTTACAGAAGAATATCATATCTGTAATATTACATGTAGGGCTGGGCGATAAAACGATAACCATATTTATCGAAAGATAATTTCCCTCAATATCAGTATAAAACATGGTCAATATCCTTTTTGATAGTCGGCATTCTGCCTTGTTTTGGAGGACTATACCAATAGCCGATGAAAAGCTTCGCGCTGAACTAATCATGAGCTGAATTAGAACCAAGTAGCAAACAACTGTGTAGTAGGAAACTGCAGCTACACGCAACCATAGCACTTTAACACATGAAGCCGACAGCACTGTTGGTGAGAAAAAAAGAAAATGAGTGCTACCCCCGACAGAAATGCAGATGAAGACAAAATAGATGACGATATCGTCGACAACACTGTTACAAAAATGTTGGTGGTGTGGAGGTATTTTGGTTTTTCAAGGTTGGACATGAAGCAGAGTAATGTGTACTGCAAATCATGTCGAGTAAATGTTCTCACAAAGTCGGGGAATATCTCAAATCTTTTTCACCACCTGAAGAAGTGACATGCAGCAGAGCACGCGCATTGCAAAAGGTTAAAAACTCAGATCGCAGCAAAGAGCCTGTGGCACCTGTGCAGCCAAAACAGCCGACCATTCAGTCCACTTTGTCTAGCGTAATGCCTTACGACAAAACATCAAGGAGACACAAAGACCTCACAGATGCAATAGCTTATTGTATTGCAAAAGATATGCTACCAATAAGCACTGTTAATTGCTTATTATATGTAAAAAAAAAAAAATGTAAACACTTTTTCTCTCTGCCTTATTTTCTCCTCCCAGACTTACAAGAAGCACAGCGTTTCTCTTAAGAAGGAGCACCAGAACGGCTCTCTCGCATCAACAAACGGACATGTGAACGGGACGGCGTCTTCGGAGCGCTCTGCATACAAGAAACTAAGGATGGATTGACATTTGAGGAACCGCCACCCAGCTCTCAGTGTAGCATGTTAGCTAATGCTGCTAAGAGGTATATGTATCTTCTATTGTAGAATAGTCTCATGCACTCACTTGAGAAGAAATAAGCCATAGCCACATGTATCCTGAGACTCTCCGTGTTTTTGCACATTCCTACTCATGGTATCGAACGATAAAATTAATATATTTGAAGAACAGGAGTGTCACAGTTTGGTTGATGTTGCACAATATTGCCGCCAAGAGGGAAATATCCCTCCAATGCAAAAAAAGTCTTTCGTGCTACCAGCAAACAAACACACATCTTAACTCATGAAATGGCGCTTTTTACTGAAGGTCCAAAGATGAGAGCCCTTGTGTGTGTCGGCAGCTGAAGGTTTCATCATCCTTAACAACCTGAGGAACAACGGGCTAAGCGCTGCGGTCCTTAATGTGTAACTAGAGCATGCTTCTTGCGCCTGCTTGACTTTACCCCTGCATGTAGTGTTGCAAACTCCTAAATATTGCCCTCTGTCATACTGTAATGTGTATTTATTGACAGGTTGCAGTAGACCAAGTTGAATTTGCCGGGTGTTTGCAGAGCGGGGTCTCTAGTTTGGAATATGTAGCCATCCAACTAAAGTGTAACCAAAGCTTGAGGTACTTTGCCGCATTTATACGTAAAATCAGGTGAAGACACAATGTGAAGGAGGAGTTGTTGTGTATTATGAGCACAGTAGAAACTCATTTCCTCTGACATCCCTCATGTTATAAAACCAGCTCTTTATGCAAAATGTTATATCTACTGTAGCTTTATCTAGTAATTACAAAAAGTACTTGAATTCATTAAATTATTGAGGATGCGTTGCCTATTAGGGTGCAGTGCAGCTGTTTATTGGTTATATTTAGGTAACAAATTTATAAAGCTGATGTGTATATTTCAGTGCTACATGCTTGAATATGTTATAGTCAGATAAACTTTATAATATAGTTGAGGGTTAAAGCGTAGAGTTGACCTCAGGAACAGCAGTTCAGAAAATAATCTCACCATAGATCTGTTTGTAGACACTCTGAAGCTTTTAATAATTTCATGATCTTCCTAAACTTTTCTCAGCTTTCATAAGAAGTCCTTTAAATTCTATGAAAAGACAGAAAAGTGAATATTTATGAAGCAAAAACTCAAAATTAAGCAAGTCAGATTGATCTTATTTAACTAAATACAAGCCTCATTTATCTGAAGAGCCCAGATAAACATTTATTGTGAGATATTAAAGGCAAAAATAATTCCTTACTATCCTCTAATGAGAAATATATAAGAAAGTATTAATTCAAGAAATTTAATGAGCAAATTTTGTTGTTTTTATTGATTAAAATCAATCTAGGGCTTATTTTTTCCTTAAAATATTTTAAAATTAAGATGCTCATTTGGACTGTCAAGAAATGAAGGGTTGGATTAAGTTTATTGAGAGAGAGAACACCTGCCTGGATTAGAGTTTTTTCAGCGTACAAAGCTTGTAAGATCATGCAGTTCAATCAAAAAGCTCCAGAGCAGCAACTTAATTCACACTTTGGTCGTGTACTTTGTCAAATAATGCTCAGCTATTATTTATTTTTGAGTCTTTGCATAAACAGGGTGCCTTCTGGACCAGTTGATTTTGTTTCTACTTTTGCTTTTTCGTCCTTTAAATGTGTAAAGTCATATTAGTCCATATCAGACTAATGTGTGTCTAATGCCCTGTTCAGATCTTGTGCCTGTATCATGTACCTGCTTCAGGAGAAATCAAACGTCCTAAACCATAACTCCTAACTATTGACTGACACTTAACACAAAAGTCCTGTTGAGCTCATTCGCTTTGAAATCAGCCTCTAAGCTTTCTTGTACCTTTTATATTTGACGTGCTAATATAAAATTGGTTCAAGTCTTGTCATGCAACGCTCATAAAAATCACATTTTCTTGAAAATAAAAGGAAGATTACGGCATAAAATTAAGTTGGGGCCAGTCACACTGTAACACCGGGTGAGTCACCTCGTCGAGAGATGAAAGAGTCGGACCGCTTGCTTCTCTAGTTATACCAACTTTAGTAACGACCGCACGATAGTTATACAAAGCGAACTGAGGAGCCATAAACAAACCTCAATCAAAACGCCACTCTATAGCTACAAATAATGCTCAGAACAGCACCTAACTTCATCAACAGTACATATAGGGTCCTAGCCACAGTACTAGCCACCAAACATCTTTTTAACTTTGCCTGATTTCTTTGGCAAAGAGACTAAACACAGCTCACCTACTCTCTTCTAGCAGCCGCTTGTTTGTAGCGAGACCTAGGGACAGTCCATTACAGACTACAGCAGGGTTACACAGCTCAAGGAAGAACATTTATGATTATTACTTCATCATTTCCTTGAAGTAAAAATCATCATATTAATCATTTTGCACTGCAGACGCGGTAGTTCTTCTGCCTTAGCGTCTCGGTCTGATTGTATTTCCATGAAGAAATGATCATAAATGTTCTTCCTTGAGCTGTGTAACCCCGCTGTAGTCTGTAATGGACTGGCCTGAAGTCTCGCTACAAACAAGCAGCTGCTGGAAGAGAGTAGGTGAGTTGTGTTTAGTCTCTTTGCTAAAGAAATTAGGCAAAGTTAAAAAGATGTTTGGTGGCTAGAGCTATGGCTGGGATCCTGTATGTACTGTTGATGAAGTTAGGTGCTGTTCTGAGCATTATTTGTGGCTATAGAGTGGCGTTTTGGTTGAGGTTTGTTTAATGCTCCTCAGACAGCTGTGTATTGCTATCAAGCAGTCGTTACTTAAGTTGGTATAACTAGAGAAGCAAGCAGATGGTAACATTCATCTCTCGAGGGGGTGTCTAACTCAGTGTTACCATGTGTTTGACCCGAAATTAATTTTATGCTTGAATATCCCTTTTAAAGTTTCTCTAAAGCAGAGTGGACTCATGGAAACTACTGCTGCTTTTTCTCGTGTTTTCTCTCCGGTGTGGTCAGGGGTGAACACGGTTAATGCTCGTATGGAAACAAGAGTACAACAATGTTTGAATCATGAGCTCGTACTGGGGCGCACTGCACTGCCGCACTCCCATGCTGATTCACTTTAATGAGGGACTTTGTGGCCTTGTCCACTGAACGAGCATGTAGCTCGAATGTAAAGGTGACCTAGATTCGTATTTGCTGCATTTAAACACACTGTTAAAATCTGAATAATACATGCGAAGGTCACATATTTCCTGCTTGATGGATTTGGTCTACACATGCATGAAGCATATCTTCTCAGATATTGGATTGTGACTTTTTTCCATAAATGTTTAGCTTCAGTCGAGTCCTGCTGCTTTTCCCTATGTGTGCAAAGTGATAGCGCTAAATAAAGACATGTTTATTTATTAAAGGCGCAGGATAGACATTACATAACATCTTCTCCAATGAAAGGACATGCTAGCATACCTGTATGTAATGCCATGTTACATATAGAATTTATAAAGTGTTAAAACATAGATCTATTTTCAGAAATCTTGGGTAAATGTGGGTTAACGTGATGTGACTCATGCTTTACTCGCTGTAACTCATTAAATACAAACTGAGAATGTTGAACATCTCGTCTCCTGAGTGTTTTTCTTGGACAAAACGATGAAGGCTAAATGGGTGGAGCAGCTCTGTGTGTAAATTATGATAATAAATTAGAAGTCCCAGCCTTTTTCTAACATGGATACCTCAATAATGCTTTTTCTCTACAGATCAAATCCACATTAGGCTGCTAGAATATTTGCATTTTTTACTTTTAACAGCAACAATTTAAGGAGGTATTCTGGCGTAAAATTAGTTTAGGGTCAAACACAGCGTAACACAGAGTTAGACACCCCCTTAAGAGATGAATGTTGCCGACTGCTTGCTTCTCTAATTATACGAATTTTAGTAACGACCGCACAATAGCAATACACAGCGGTCTGAGGAGCCATAAACAAACCTCAACCAAAACGCCACTCTATAGCCACAAATAATGTTCAGAACAGCACCTAACTTCATCAACAGTACATATAGGGTCCCAGCCATAGTACTAGCCACCAAACATCTTTTTAGCTTTGACTAATTTCTTTAGCAGAGACTAAACACAACTCACCTACTCTCTTCTAGCAGCTGTTTGTTTGTAGCAAGACCTCGGGACAGTCCATTACGGACTACAGCGGGGTGACCCAGCTCAAGGAAGAACATTTAAAACCATTACTTTATCATTTCCTTATAGTTATAATCATCCTATTAATCATTTTCACTGCAGACACGGTAGTTCTTCTGCCTTAGCGTCTCGATCTGGTTGCATTTCCATGAAGAAATAATCATAAATGTTCTTCCTTGAGCTGCATCACCCCGCTGTAGGCTGCTGGAAGAGAGTAGGTGAGTTGTGTTTAGTCTCTTTGTTAAAGAAATCAGGCAAAGTTAAAATAATGTTAATGTTTAGTGGCTAGGACCCTATATGTCCTGTTGATGAAGTTAGGTGCTGTTCTGAGCATTATTTATGGCTATAGAGTGGCGTTTTGGTTGAGGTTTGTGTGTTGTTCCATAGACCGTTTTGTATTGCTATCCTGCGGTCGTTACTTAAGTTGGTATAACTACAGAAGTGGTCGGCAATATTCATCTCTCGAGGGGGTGTCTAACTCGGTGTTACGGTGTGTTTGACCCTAAATTAATTTTATGCCGGAATATCCCTTTAAGAGCTGCCATTATCTTCTTCCAGTTGTATTACAGAGTGTAAAACTGACTCATCCCTCTGTTACTAAGTGCATGCCAGGAAAATATTGCGAAGCTGTTATGAGCCAGCACACTTAAGCTGAGCTTTCTGAGTGACGCACAAATCTTTCCTGTGGAGAACTCTGAGAAGATCATGTTTTTTTTTGTTTTCTCAACTCTTGTATCAACTTCCAGCTGTTATCTTGTACTGATACAGCTGGGCCCTGGTGAATTCTTGACATTTATATCAAGAAAGGTAAAACCTGGTACACCGGGTGTTGTATGAAAAGGTAAAAATGAGGAGTCAGAGAGGTTTTGTTGAGCTTTTTCAATGAGAGAACAAAACATCAGTGTCCAAACAAGTAAAAAGAGGTTTTCTTAGACTGCAGCTTCTCTACTTTTGCTCCTATGCCTGACAAACCTGCTTACTCTTGATAGGATGAATATGATTACTCTGATGTGCATGTTGAGACATCAGCCCACCTTCACTCTTCTTAGTCTTTCTCCACTTAAGCATAATCACCCTGACCTCCTCTTACTCCTGCGCAGACTGTGTGTCACACAGCGCTCACACTGGAGGACAGAGCAGCTGTTTGTGAGTGATGGTGGCGTGTCTGCCAGGCCACTCACTCTGCGAACAATGCCTTACTCACTGATTTTCAGAGGCAGTGGCCTGAGGGGGACACGGGTCAGGGAGGGCGGGGTGGTGGCGTTTAGGCTTGGCCCTAAAAACACATCTTCTAATAGTTTACTCATTTCTACAGCTATTTAAGCGAACAAATGAGCCATACCATCCGTTTAGGGAGGCTGTACAGGACAGGAGAGGCTGTAGAGAGGGGTTAGAGGACAGAGAAGGTAAAGGACTCAGGTGAGAGGCCTCGCTGTAGATCAAGCTTTTGTCCCCCTTCAGGAATGACTTCTTTTCATCGAGAGTTTACCCGACACTGCTAGTCAGGATATTTTTAAAAACTCAGTCCTGAAAGGTCAAACAGCCACGAATCATCTCATCAGAATTTGATCCAACTTTTCAGATTTTTTTTTTCCCCACTGTAAATCCTGTTTATCTGCCCGTGCTTTAGTTCTTAGAAAATGAAATACGTGGATTATACCTCTGTGCCCTCAGAAGACAAATGATGTTAGAGTCTGAAATCACATCTGCAACGACTTTTCCCTGATGTTGTTGTGTAACAGGATCTCTGCGACGGTTGTGGTTTGATGGATCATTTTTTTTCTTGAAATGAAGGTTTTGTTTGGTGTAATCTTGTATCACTCCTGATGTATTCGTACATTAATACAGAAAACAGACAAGTGAATCATGCTTTAAGGGTCCATTCTGTTTACCAGTTTATTCGAGGGAGATAGTGCACCATGAAACAAAACCAGCATTAAGATTCATTACTTTGAGCAAGTGGGAAAGGTCGCTGATAGTTTTAGCTCTCAGCCCATTAGCATAAATTTTCAAATAAGAAAATAAGTAGTTTCTATTTGTAAACCTCAAACGTTACATGCTATAATGAACAACATTATCCAGCTGCAGCACAAATTAAAAAGGCTGAGGAGTATGTGTTTAGCTGACATATTACATGGACTTTCTCTGTGATCTCTGTGGGCTCATGTGCGGGTCCCTCCAGGCAGCTCACAGAGGCTGCTCTGAGAAAGCAGTGTAGCTCTTCACGCGTGCAAAGAAGAAGGGGGTGTACATCCTGTCCAGGTCAAAGGCTGTGACCACTGTCTCTCCAGTCAGCCTGGAAACAGAATTCATTTCAACCTCATTTCAGTGCCAAGAGAGGATGGGAATCTGACCTTCAAGGTATTACCTCCTGGTAGTGTTGGGCGGTATGACGGTATAAAAGTGTCCAAAGGTAGAAATTTTGTGAAACCGTTTATACCGGAGAGAGAGAGCAGGTGTCTGCGCTCGCCAACAGGAAAGCCTGAGCACATCCGTTTGGGTGCGTATCCGTATATTCACCAGCGTGTCCAGGAGACTGCTTGGCATAGTTTCGACCAAGAAAAACAGCTTCACTGGGGGTGGTCATGACGGATGCAGAGATTAGTGGCAGTACTGAGTTTCTAAATTAATTACTGAGTACTGTGGAGGAGGCACTTGTTCTGAAAAAGGGTGCGAGTCGCGACATCGGTTGTCTGGAGATTCTTCGGATTTAGACAACCCGACAATGATCAAAAAACAATACTATGCAAAGAGTGACGTGTGGCTGTCATTGCTGGAGGTGGAAACACCATCAACCTCTTCCACCACCACAAGATGAAACACGTCAAGCACTATAGTGAGAGCCAAAAGATGCGTGACGCACCTGCTGCACCAAAACTTAAAGCTGCAGCAGCTCCTCTTATACTAAAGAGCTTGGCAGAGTCTTTCACCAAATATACACTATATGATAAAAAGAAATCGCCAGACTGGTCTGACATTTTGTTTGTATTTGTTTACAAGTCTGAGTTTAAAAATAGAAGGAAAATGAACAAATGCGACAGAATGGTTATCTTTAAGCCATTAATTGAATTTACAGGAGGAAAAAAACAAACCGTGATATATACCATTACCGTGATGTGAAATTACTCCTACCGGAATATAAGATTTTGTTCATACGGCCCAACACTACCTCCTGGTTATGCTCAATGCCATTTCAATAACACCTTTTTAAAAATTCTCTTAAAGGTATAGTTCCCTATTTCATGAGCAGGACTGTATGAGGTTGTCAGTGGTAACTGTGTTAGCCACGGGGGATCCGAGTCAAAATCCAGAAACGAGCACAGAAGCTAATCATTCAAACACTGACATGCTCCTTCACAATTATGATAAGCCAGTATTTCATACAAACCCTCCCTTTAAATGTGTGCTGATGGTTGTAGGTTTAATCAGTGAGTAAAAGTGGAAGAAACGTCACACCAAAAACCTGTTTTGTTACTTATGAATTGTATGTGTGCAGTCTCTGTGATGTGAACGGTGCTGATGAACAAAGTTAAAATAGATCAGTCTGTATCCAGTATTAATATGGCTGACACAGTTTTTGGCACAGATCTAACCAAGGCTCTGCACCAGATATTACTGCTGCCCAACTCTTTCTAGATGCATGTACGAAACCTCGACTTTGAGGCTCCATCCATCAAAAAACATGATTACCATCAACTCTAAAACAATTAGGGACCTTCATTAAACAGACCTATACATATTTTTGTGTCTTACCTATAAGTGATGTGGCAGGAGTGGTGAATCCACACCAGCTTACTGAAGTTCTGGCGCCCTCCGGAGGACAGATGCAGTCCCACATGGAAGCTGTGCTCAGCCTCCGGAAGTGGGTTCCGCCTGCAGAACCGATTCTTTTGAAACTCGGCCGCTTTCTGTGAAAAAAAAGAAAAAAAATACAGATAAGTCATGAACTTTATGGTTTAACTTTAAGACATTGAAGACTTTGAATTAGAGGAGTGGGTTCAGATTTCACTCAGTAACATCTTAAAATATGTATCTTATCTAATATCTCAGTGTTATTGTTTTAAAAGGTTGTGAATATAGCTTTATCCTCTTAATTGTAACTCCTTTTTCTAAAGTGGTGATTTATTTCATAACTGAGTGAAAAGATTATTTTTTCTACATTGTTTAACTATAAGAAGTTTCCATTTATTAAATTCTCTCCACTCATTTTATAACTAGATGATGTTGAAAGAACCTTGAAAGTCCTCTGTGGTGCCACAGACGACTTATTATTCACTCATCTTTTGTTTCCCCTCCTAAAGTTAATTCTCACCTCCTCCTTTTTCTTGCAAACAACAGCAAAAACTTTGGTTTGATTGTCTGTCTCCTGTGACAGACGGTAATGACCGAGCAGAGCAGAATCCATTCTGAGGAGAGAAGAAACAAAATCCAACCGTCATGAAACTCGCTGAAACTCAACACGTGGTCTTATTTTCTGATCTTGCATTTTAGCTGAACAGACAGTAAAAGGTCTACCTCGTGTTCCTGGTTCGCAAGCGAGGGATGACAGTCAGGGGGTCCTCTGGAGTGGTCAACATGACGACATGACCGTCAGAGAAGAACCGCAGGTACCTGTGAAAAAAAAGTCAGAGTTCAGGTGACTTTTGCAAAGCCTAAGGTATGATCTCTACTCAAACTCACAATGAAAATTAGTCACTTAAAGGGATATTCTGGCGTAAAATTACTTTAGGGTCAAACACACCGTAACGCAGAGTTAGACACCCCGGTGCGGTCGTTACTACAGTTGGTAAAACTAGAGTAGCAAGTGGTCAGTAACATTCATCTCTTGAAAGGGTGTCTAACTCGGTGTTACAGTGTGTTTGACCCTAAATCAATTTTACGCTGGAATATCCCTTTAAGTGAGTCACCTACCTGTAGCACTCCACGTGGTGCCAGGCTCTGTAGAATCCATCCAGCGACTCTTCTCCTTGACGAATATATGACGTCTTGCTGATATAGATGCCTGAGAAGAATATGGATGGAGATATTAACAAACTGTGAAGCAACACTTTGCAATGTACCTTCTGTCTTGCCTTCATGAGTTAAAAGATAAACATCACAGCATAGGATTACCATCAAAACGGACTCGAGGCCTTTGCAGAAACATCTCCCTCCAGGACTTGTAGGGAACATTTTTCGTGCAGTTGCGCCCCCAAACTCTGATACAGGCCGAGCGCCAAATCTCAGGGTCCCTGATGAAGACACAAAAAGGCTGGGTGAACCTTGATGCACCTTTAAAAGTTCATTTAAATGTGGCAGCCAGGGTTCAATTACAACCTGTATTCCTTCCCATTTTAATCTTGATGTCCATTAGAGAAAAAATACCCTCAAATAACTCAGTGAAAATATACAAAAGTGTTTGAAAAGCTGACCTCGCACAGATGTAAAACCCTCGGCACACCGAAGACAGCTGCTCCAGGGCTCGCATGTCCAGATCAGTCGATACGACCCAACGAAAGATGTACATCAGGATTTCCCGAGGCAAGGCTGCAAGTAAGAGAAAAAAAAAGGAAGAGGGAAAACCAGTTTGATCAGTCAAAGTAAATAACGACTCTCTCTGTGTGTTCATCGTTTAATATCACAACCAGCTCTTACCTGAAATGTGCGTTCGATTTATGTCCAGCTCAGGAGTGCAGATCTTTGGAAAGGAGCTTTCCAGAGTGAACTGCTGCTCAAAGTAGGCAAGTAGGTCCTCAATCTCACAATCAACATCGCTATCCTCCATGCTGCGAGTTAATCACAACAGGCACAGTTACAAAGGTGAAACTCAGATTTCCTACAGCCTGATGAATATTATGAACTCAGATAACCTTTACGGTGAAATACTCCAAATATTAAGGACTAAAAAGTAACTTACTACTCTCCTCCAGCCCGGTCTGTCTCAGGCGGACGGTTATAGTTGATTCTGAACTCAATGTCAGGTACAAGCTGCATCGCCATGCGATAGAACTTGATGGCTGCAAAGACAGAGTTCAGGGAAATGAAAACAAGTGTTAAAGAAGAGCCTTACTGCTGCTTTAACATATATTATCTAAGTCTACTTGTTATCCCTACAGATAATTCAAATCTCAAACTTTTTTAAGGTATTTCATGTTTTAATGATGCAAAGTGAAAAGTCCAACAGCTAAGAAATTCCTCTAAATCACTGGTAACCTTTCCCCCTCACTGAGCTGTTAATCTGGATTGTTCAGAGAAACCCCACACTGGCTGGGCTTTTGTTGTTTATAAGCACTCCCTGCTTGCACACCTTCATAGACAGCTCCATTTTGTTCCTCCTCCACGGCTCTCAAGAACAATTCTGCTGCCTGGGGGTGAGATTATTCACATTAGTCACTCAACAGCTCAGTGCACTTCACTTTTTCCAAAGGATTCGACTTTCAGGTATCGTCTCGCAGCTTACTTTTTCCTCTCGAACTATTTCTTGTGTCTTCCTCACACCTCTAGCTCGCAGCACACGCTCACCCACTCCGCTTCCTTCAGAGCTCGGCTTAAGTTCTGACATCCACTGAGCTCTGAATACATTGAGCTGCACCTGAAAATTCAACCAAATGAATAAAGGCAGGAAAAGAGACTTGATGTAAAATCAGAAGGGGAAAAGAAAGACTCAGAAATGAGAGCTTTTGTACTTTTGTGATGATCCCACAGTGGGGTAACACTGAAGTCTCTGTGCGTGACTCCATAATTAGTTATGGTGTAGCAGAACACTCAGCAGGAGCTTCACATGCACACACACACACAGTGATCCCATCCTGCTTCTGTAACACCTCTGTTATTATCTTCAAAGTCTGCACAGCTGTGGGACCGCTCGGTCTCTCTACCACACTTCTGTGACATTTATATCAAAGCAAGATATTCAAGCACCTGGAAATATGAAAAGAGCTCACCTAAGAGAGCATATGTATAACTTCTGTGATGAAATTAAGAGCGTGGACATTTTGATTCATTATATCCTGCTTAAATTATAAGCCTGGGACTTTCCTGTTTAACGTAAAGACCTTATATTGAAATGTGTGAGATCACATGAGGAGGATTTAGAAACAGGTAAAATAATCAACACTAAAGAGGTCACAGTAAGAATCAATAAGTTTGTCAATACCTCACTCAGTGCCATGTCAAATATTTGGAGAGTAGTGTCAGTTTACAGAAACACACTGACATGCACTGTGTGAGTTCAGAAGAGTTAACGCGTAGTCACATGCACATGAATATTGTTTTCACCACATCGCAATCGAACCTTTATTTTAAATTCTGTATAAAGTTCAGCAAACGTTTTCGCTGGATCCAGACTGTTTTCCTGACTCAGAATTCATTCAGGGACTCTTCTGAATAACACAATAAAAAAACTGTTCCTGCTCTGGAAACCTTCTCAAATCGTGCCAAGAGAAAAGGTCATTTTCTTCAAGAACACATGTTCATTTGCATTGAGTTACATTTAAAAGAGGCTCTCATAGGACTGCATAGATAACCAGAGGGTACATTTGAGGTTTAGTCATACGATCTCTGAGTCCTCATATGCCAAGTAGTTATTTAACCTTCTTATTTACACTGTAAGGTAGAGTAGGTCACATGCCTTTCTAAGGTAGCAAACTGTAAGAGGGGCCTTTACAGTATACATATGCAATAACTCTGAATCATAAGTGGAGTAAAGTCAACGCAAAAAATTTCTCACCTGAAGGTTTGGGTCATCAGAGCCTTCATCTTCATCCTCAATCGTACTCGCGATTTCTGCAATTTCTTCAGCCTGCAACAGAAAAAGCAGGATATCTCAACTTCATTCCACACAGGCGCTAGTTGCATCCCCAAAACTCAGAAAAAGCTCTTTTCTGCATAGTCACTGCAAAAACAAGAATGTCTGCAGTATGCATATAAATAGTGGGAGCTAATACAAACACTGATGTAATGGATGGAGGGTCATATTCTGATTCTGTAAAGCAGTTTGTATTGGGATACTTTTGAGATGAAAAGTGCTACAGATGCCTCAGGCTGTAGGCCCCACACCTTGTTGTTCTTGTTACTACTCCCTGTCCTTAAGGGGCCTCCAGAGTATGAAACAGGTCAGCCAGAAACTTCAAAACCTGCCATGGATACTGTATGGCAGGTTGAAGCCTGGTGTAAAAACTGAAGAGAGGGGGTTACTTGAATTGTTGACATTTTTCAGAGCTACTCATCCTGTTATTAGCGGACTTTGGAATTTATGGGGTTCATCTCCAAGAGTTATTGCATTTTAAATTGTTAGATAGCCATTTCCTATGGAAAACAATATATTAGTAAATACTGTGTATACACAACAATGGCATCTAAGCACCAAACCTATACAAAACAAGTGTAACAACACCTTAATGTTTATATAATGGGGCGTTTAACCCCTTTCTCTCTTCCTGGAACACCTGTACAAGACATCTAAGAGACAGTAAACTCTAAAAATCTAATATTGATAATAATGATAATAATAATAATACCCTCACTGATCAGAGCATATGTTTTTCACGACTGCATATGTTTCCCCAAACAAATCTCTTACTTAACAAATAAAGGTTGCATGAATAACCGATTAACCTTTAAGACGCAGCACAAACAGAGCTACAGGTACGACACGCCAGGTAACGTTTGTTTATTTAATGTGGCATTTACTTTTACCCCTTTTCTCTCTTCCTGTAACAGCTGTACAAGTCATCTAAGTGACACTAAACTTTAAAAGTCGAATATTAATAATGATAATAATAATAATAATAATAACAAGTGCTTTTTTATATATCTCTCACATATCTCTTCATTAACAATTAAAGGTTGCAAAAATAACCGATTAATCGGTTAGACGCAGCACCGACAGAGCTACAGGTAAGACATGCCAGGTAACGTTCGCAACGTTCGCTAGCTAGTTGGCTAGCTAACGTAGCCTGTTAGCTAACATGTTTTTCTGAATATTTCATCAAAATAAAGATGACTCACCATGACAGCTAGGCCAGTAGCTCACTATTTTTTTTTGCTCACAGTCACAAAACACTAGCGTTTACAGTTCACGGTCGGAGAAACGGACAACACAGCGAACATATTTCCGAGCTCGCAGGAACGCAGCCATGTCGCTGAGTAGCCCGGAGCCTCTGTGACACAGACGGGGAGGAAGTACGGCCGAGCTGGAAAGAGACGCTGCGTTCACTGCGTCTCTAGAATTCGGAAAAATGAGCTTCTATCGAGTAATGGCCGCGAGTCGAAGCAGCAATTTCAAAATAATGAGAGGGTATTTGTGACATAATTAACAGGATAGTCTCTGAGTGAAAAGATTGCAAACCAAAGTCTTAACACAGTTATAATTGCAACAAGTTATAGTGGTGTAACCTAACCATTAACATAACACAATTCTCTCCTATGTGGGAATGATGTCTCCGCATCAAGACGGTTAACCCTGGAATACTGAGCATCCAAGGAGCACCTGAATGCAACGGGGGAAAAAAGGGCATCTTGGTTCTTCTTTTTTATTTGATCAAACTTTATTTGATTAACATTATGTCGTACATTTCAATTGAAATGAAATACAAATAAAAAAAAAATAAAAAAAAATAATAACAGGGGGTGACATTTCAACAAAAGTGTTTAAAGCATGTTGAAGAAATAGGATTAAATTTAAAGAGCAAGAGACTTTGACATTTGATTCCATTCAGACTGAGATTATACATTATGAGAGAAATAAAATTTTATCAGTCAGTATAATGGCTATCTAACAATTTAAAATATAACATAAAATTTTGTGGATAAAAATGCACAAAATACATTATTAATCAACTCAAAATAACAAACAATTTACTCGCTGTGTGTTTTATTTTGGAAAACCCAAGACTGTTTTGGATCATCTGCCTCGCCGTAGATTGGAGATTGGATCAAAGACGAAGAGGACGAGTCAAGAGCATTTGTACTCTTTCTTTTCCTCTCTCGCTTTACATGAAAAACTCGTTGATATTTCTGCATTTTTGGAAAATAATCAACCTATGATTTAATTATGAACTTAATAATCCCTCTGGCGTAGATATTGATCGATAAATCTTGGAACGAAAGTATAAATTTGCAATGTTCAAGGTATTTGAGTTTCGCAAACGTTCAATACTGGGTTGCAGTGATTCATCTCATCCCGTGTTTCATCTTTGTCTACATAGGAGCTGTGATTTGTTGCAGCGAGCTGTTTTCACATCAACGCGAGATTATGATGAGCTCTGCTGGAAAAGAAACGGGCCTAAATGAAATTATATTTATGTAGTCTGTTGTTTGGCACAGTGGTCGTGGATTTGTGTGTGTTTGAACGCCGCCAGTCAAGTGGTTTTTCCGAAGAGCGAGTGACTGCAGGAGGACCACGAATGCTCGGCTATGTGTTGTTGTCGGTCTGACATGAGGAGGGTGAGTGTTTTTGATGCTTTTCCTTTTTATTCAAGTCAAACAGTCAGTCAAATGAGGCCGTTTTCAGGTGGAGCTGGTGTGTGTTTTTTTCAGCTGCAGGGCTAACACCACCAGCTGCAATTAATCTACGCTGATTAATCGATTTACTGCGCGAGACGAGCATTAACAATCAACTAAAACAGAAATTTATCAACTAAATCAGGTGACATTACCTGTAGTTTTAACTAGATCCGTTAAAATATTATTCACGAGCTAAAGTTCAGTTACGCAGAAAGCTTTAATTGAGCTTTACTTACACTAAATAGAAATATAACACGATCATGAACCGCTGCTTCGTATTTGTGCATTGATCCAGTATCCCCAGATGTTTCAAATACAGCTGTAATCTTATTTTTACCTCGCTTTAAAGAGAAAAAATTGGACATTTTTATGTCTTTGTCCGTTCAAACTAAAGAAATGATAAGCTTTATTTCACTAGGAGTATTCACTTGTCTGAAGCTCACAATAATAGAAGATTAAATACAGTAAATAGAATAAAAATTGATAAAATCAGGAGCCAAAACAATGTAACAGTCAATATAGGGCTGGGCGATATGGGAAAAATTTTATCACAATATATTTTTTTGATATCAGTTGATATCGAGATATATCACGATATAAATAATGAAATTTAAAAGTGCTTGTTGGTAGCATGTCCTTTGCAATACGATAAGCTACTGCATCTGTGAGGTCTTTGTGTCTCTCCATTGCGCCAGAGAAAGCGGACAGAATGGTAGGCTGCACAGGCGCCATGGGCTCTTTGCTGCAATCGGGGTTTGTAACCTTTTGCATTGTGCATGCTCTGCCGCGTGGCGCTGCTTCAGGTGGTGAAAAAGATATGGGGTATTCCCAGACTTTGCAAGAACATGTACTCAACATAATTTGCAGTGCACTTCACTCTGCTTCATGTCCGACCTCAAAAAAACAAAATACCTCCACACCACCAACGTTTTCATGCCGGTGTTGTCGACAATGTCGTCATCTGTTTAACCTTCATCTGTATTTCTGTTGGGGGTAGCACTCATTTTCTTTTTTACTCACCGACAGTGCTGTCAGTTTCACGTGTTAAAGTATTATGGTTGCATGTAGCTGCAGCCTGCTACACAATTGTTTGCTACTTGGTGCTAATTCAGCTCATGATTGGTCCAGCTCGAAGCGGACCTGGAGCAACTTCCCTTTTCATTGGCTGTTTGTATAGTCTACCAAAACATGGCATTTTCGATAATTAACGTTATCGTTTTATCGCCCAGCCCTAGTAGGAGTATTCACTTGTCTGAAGCTCACAATAAGAAAAGATTAGATACAGTGAATAGAATAAAAATAGAAAAGTACGGAGGACAAACCAATATAACAGTCAGGGTTAGTAAATTTTTTAAATATTCTATTCAAGTTAAAGTACAGTTACAGTAATGAAATGTCACTAAAGTAAAAGTACAAACATTAGTCTGTAAATCTACTCAAGCAAAATGCCCTCTATTGAAAATGTACTTAACTTGCTCTTATTGAACATTCACCTTCAACCTATCTTGATTGGTAGGCGAAACTCTCTATGTTATGTAGAGACTTACTGTATGTGACCAACAGCATACATGTGTATGGTGGTTTTGGCTGTATTTTTGCACCAACATCATGACTGACTGTGCAGAGAAGCTTGTTATTGGGGTCAAAATTAAGGATGTAGTTTATTTTAATTGGTAAAAACTGCTGCAAATGCAAAATTTTCTTGATACATTTCCTGAAACAAGATGCAAAACTTATTTGTACATTTGAAGATTTCATGTGCCTTGATGCTTGATTTTAGAAGTGTATGATTTAAGATCAGTATTGTAAACATAACCATTGAAGAGCTCTTTCAAAACTTCTTTAGTTAGTCGATGAAGATGCAAACACCGCTCAGATCATCTTCAGTGTACCCATTTTTGAGGATTTTTCAGTGGACGTGAAATTTTTCCCAAAACAGTAACAAGATTTTTGTTGCAATAGTTTCCTGTTCTTGGTTACTTATCATCACAATGGCTGTCATCCATTCTGCTACATGACCAGCATCAGTTCTTGGTTTTCCTTGTCTTCTCAGCCAGAGGGTGGCAAGTCCCTGACACCATGAGTCCTCCAGCTCTGCCCGTGGTCTTCTGCTGTTGTCACAGGAAAATCTGGCTACATTCACCAGCAGGAGGCAAGCCCACCTCTATTTCCACTCAATAATTATCCACCTCCGCTTGATGCTATGGAAGGACAAGCATAATGAATAGATACACCACCATCAGACAGCTCGGGGATGGCACCTACGGCTCCGTCATCCTCGGCCGTAGTCTGGAGTCGGGGGAGCTCGTTGCCATAAAAAAGTAAGTAACATGAAATGATTCAGTATCAAGACAAGCTGCTGTTTGTACCTTTCCACACACTCTGTGTTAGGAATCAGATAAAGTATTTATATTATCACAATACTTTTGTCCAGATACACGTTGTTGTTGTTTTTTATTAACATCTCACTACTAGCTGAGTATGTAATAAGAAAATATGATTTCCTGTCCCACATTGCAGAATTTCCTCCAAAGGTGTTGTCTGTCAGCATCGGTTTTATAAATCAAATATAGCAAATGTGAAGCTGTCGGTGTTTATCCCACTAAAATAATGTTTTTAACACTGAACCTGAATTATTTAGAACAATGTGCTGTAACAACGCATTGTTCTCGTGGGATTTGAAAGCGTCTTGGCTTCAAAAAGCCTCTTATTAATTTTCACATTAGAGCTTGATTGTCTCTAATGGACTCCACCCATCCGGCACATTAACTTTTCACTCGCCTCCTCTCAGGCTGGAAGCTGCACAGCCGTAAAACCAGAACAACAAGACTTAAGTGCAGCTTCTCCCCCGGGGATGTGATCTCGCAGACTTAAGTCTGTCGTCTTGATGCACTTAAGTCTTTTAACTGTGTGATCTATTTATTATAAGCTTTTAGGAAATTAGTTGAGTATTTATTAACTGTTTTTTACTGTTGCTGTGTAAGCTGCTGGACCTCAGTAACGAATTATATTCTTTTGTGTTTTTAACATGTTTGATTGACACTAAATTGAACCTGAATCTGAATTTTAATGTAGCTGATAACTGAAGTCTTGTTGACCACAGCTGACCTCTGGAGGGGATTGTAAGAACAGTTCAAAGCAAATACAAGGATATCTGAAGCTTGAATACCTCTTCTTAGCAGATAAAGAAGAGACTGATCTCTGATTGAATGTTACTCATGACAAATAATTAGACATGTTAATTGTTTTTCAGAATGAAAAGAAAATTCTACTCCTGGGAAGAATGCATGAACCTCCGTGAAGTCAAGGTGAGTTATCAGTTTGGTAGCCTGATTTTACACCAGTTGTCTAGGCTACATTTAAACGTCTATTAGACCTCTTTTAGACCAAAAAAGCTCAGTGGGATTGTCGATTTTCTCCTGCACAGAATCTTGACACATCGAAACACAACCTAGAGAGTGATATAGCTCCTCTACAACTGTTGTCAAAAGGGCTTGAACTCACAAAGAAGAAGAAAATCAGGGTTGATTATTTTTATTTTGCTCAGCTTTAACTCAAGCTACCTGAACATTTCAGCACTCTGTCTTCTTCGTGTTAGTGTAAGCGCTGCTGCGAAACAGCTGCTCTGTTTTCATGCATATATTTCTGTCTACTTTGATGTAAAATAATAAGCCTGTGAACAGACAGCTGCTTTGGTTGGATGTGTTATATTTTGGCATAGATTAATACAGACAACGATCATTCACTGTGATTTAACTGTAATCAATCATGTGCAGAGGAAAGATCCATTAAGTTAAATTCACTGTGCTGTTATTTTACCTCAGTAATTGTCTGATATCACCAACTAGAATGACGTTACTCTTTTATTGCTGTGTCATCTCTGAGCACATAAACACAAATATTCAAACAGACACCGAGCTCACTGATTTTCACGGACTGGACAGGCTCTTCAGGAGCTCTCGCACAAGTGCTGCTTTGTCTATTTCTGGATGCCTTCTGATTCCTGTCATGCTTGCTACATTAAAAAGGCTCCCCCTCCTTTACCTGACTAAATTTAGCTGCAGGAACACGAAGGTTCCTTTCACACCTGGATATGATGAGCTTTTTATCTGCTGTAGTGAAAAGCGGTTTTGAAGTCCTGCAGCCTTTTCAGGGATACTGAGGGGTTTATTTCTTACATTTTCTTAGTCACAGTCACGCACATGGATGCAATAAGCTCAGAGATGAATAAACATTTAAATATCTCGTATAATGTGAATTTTTAGGCACTCTGTGAAGTTGTTTGACGCATGCTGTAATAATTTTTGATGCAGTTTTTTGCTCTTTTACCTTTTGAGTGAATTTTCTTCACTGTGTGTTGTAATTACTCAACAATGTTTGGGTCATTCAGTAACGACCCCTTTAATAAACTCTGTTGTTTCTTTTTTACATCGTTTCATTGTGCCACTGTCCAAATGTCCTCACAGCTCACAGTCAAACACCAGCTGTAAGAGCAGAAGGTGATTCTTGTGTGCTGTTGGTTTTGAGCTCCCCGGCCCACACGCTCCCCTCTCCTAGAGCCCTACTGTAAAAACACATGTAGACCGTGCAGATCACTAGAATCAGAGTCCTGCTAGTTTACTTGTAATTGAGGCATGTCACATAGTAAAATCTCAAAACCCCTTTACAGCTTCTCCCCCTTTACTAAAATGTAGCATGGTGAAACCTGAACCATCCCAGTGCATGGGAGAACTCGATACTTCCCCGTCCTGCTTCTTTGTACGACAGATTTGAATCTTGTCTGAGTAACAAGTATAAAACCACCTTTACAGCATTTACCCCCAAACTACAGCGCTCCCTTTCTGAGCTGTATACCTAAAAAATAATAAAGGGTGTGCTTCTTAGTTTTAGAGCGTGCTTTTGAATGTGCTGCAGTCACCTGCGTTTATTTTTCAGCATGGTTAGATTGACTGTTTTTAAGCCTTTTTCCTTGTTTATCCTGTAATTTTACATTTTCTGTCTTGAACTCTTTTTCTCTCAGTCTTTAAAGAAACTCAACCACGCTAATGTGATCAAACTGAAGGAGGTTATTCGTGAAAATGATCACTTGTACTTCATATTTGAGTACATGAAGGAGAATTTGTATCAGCTAATGAAAGACAGGTAAGATAACTCGTTATTTATTGCACTATTAAATCCACTAATGATGGTTTCCTATCTGAAAAGGGTTTTGATGTGTTTTCTCCGCCCTCCAGGACTGGGTTGTTTCCTGAATCTGCTGTGAGAAACATCATGTTTCAGATACTACAGGGTCTCGCATTCATTCATAAACATGGTATGTTGTTCTGCAGCTGCAGAGGAATACATTAAACCCAGAAAACCAAATGTTTTATTAAACCTGAGTCACATTTGTCTCTTTTTCAGGGTTTTTCCACCGAGACATGAAACCTGAGAACCTCCTGTGCATGGGCCCAGAGCTGGTGAAAATAGCCGACTTTGGTCTGGCCAGAGAAATCCGATCTCAGCCCCCGTACACAGATTACGTCTCCACTAGATGGTGAGCGAACGTGATGCATTAATTCACAAAAGCATATTTATAGTTCATTTACACTCTTCATCTTCGATCCAGGTACAGAGCTCCTGAGGTGCTCCTCAGATCCACATCCTACAGTTCACCCATAGACCAGTGGGCTGTGGGCTGCATCATGGCAGAGCTTTACACCCTCAGGCCTCTTTTCCCGGGCTCCAGTGAAGTCGACACCATATTCAAGATCTGCCAAGTGTTGGGGACGCCAAAGAAGGTAACGACTGGACTGGAAAACACTGAACGCCTTTGGACTCGATTTTTGTTGATCAGATTTATGTTTTTATTTATGGAATAGTGAATGAACGCATGAATGCAAAAACAGATGAAAAAGAAAACATGAAGGACTGATTATGCTCTGAGCCAGTTTCTCATTTATTTCAATCAATCAATCTTTATTCAGATTGTGCCAATTCACAACAGATGTTAGAGAGACGCTTAAAGGGATATTCCGGCTTAAAATTAATTTAGGGTCAAACACACTGTAACACCGAGTTAGGTGTGTTTGCTGTGGATGATAGAAAGTAAAAAAGTTTGATAGAAACTTCCAGGTAGCTACTTTTTCTTTTCTTCCACCGCTTTTAAAATCCTGATGTTCTTATTAAAAATAAAGTTATGTTCGTGTTTTGTTAAATTCGCACCCTGCCTCCTCTTTTTTCAGAACGACTGGCCGGAGGGTTATCACCTGGCAAGTGCTATGAATTTCCGCTGGCCCCAGTGTGTCCCCAGTAATCTGAAGACACTGATCCCCAATGCCAGTCCTGAAGCCATCCACCTGATGACAGACCTGCTGCAGTGGGACCCCAAGAAGAGACCAGCTTCTGCCCAGGTGAAGACAGATCCACTCTTGAATTATTCCCACACCCCCACACAGCTGAGAACAAAAGTTGATGTCTGTCTGTTTGTGTTTTCAGGCTCTCAGGTACTCGTACTTCCACGTGGGCCAGGCTCTGGGCACTCCTCAGCAGATCCTGGAGCAGGGCAGACCCCAGCCGAGCCTCATGCCGCTGCAGGTTCCTTTACAGCCACAACAGACGCTGCAGCACCAGCCTCTGCTGCTTAAACCTGTGCTGCCTCTGTCCCAGCCTCCACCTCCGAACCAACACTGCCCCCCGTCCAGACCTCTCCAGCAGATCCAGCCCTCACCTGTACCACCTGCTGCCCAGGCGGCGGCTTACCAACGGCACACGGAGCTGGTGAGGGAGCAGCAACCGAAGCACATGCTGAAGCAGGAGCAGACTGAGGGGACGTCACAGACTCATCTACCTTACATAGTTGACAAGAACCTCCAGTGCAAGGTCAGTCAGAGCTTAATGGAGTTACTAAAATGAGTCCTCTTAAAAAAGTCGTTTTTGGATGTTCAGGTACCTTCAGTGAGTCTTCATGCAGATAGTTCTGGTTTTATTTCATGACTTAGATTTTTAGACAAAATCTCTCTCATGCTTTGTTAGTCTGAAGCAGAAACAAGTACCTTAGGGAACAGAAAAAGCCAGTCCAAACTTGTTCATGTGTGTCAGGCGTGTGTGGTTCGAAGCATTAACAAACACAACGTCAGTGCTTCACTTCAGTTTGGATTTGTCAATGCTTTTATTCACGTCTTCGCTCCTCTGAATCAAATCAAACACTGAAGATAAGCTCAAAATTTTTATCTTGAACTCTGACACCAGCAGGGTCAGAAAACTCTTTGCTCTCCTGGAGCTCCTCTCAAGCAAAAGCTCCACCTGCTGTTTGAGTCCAAAATTACATTCATTCAAAAACAGAAACATAGAAAAAGACAAAATAAATCATCCTCATAAAAACAGATTTTGGCTCCAACAAACAGCATCAAGATATAAAGAACTGCTCTGTCTACAAAAACACAAACAGGAGCTTCAATAAAGAAATCAGTTTGGAAATCATTTTATGGACTCAGAAGTGTTACACATATTCTGTTAATGAAATAATTTTGCTTTATATAAAGAAGTGAAACCAGGTGAGGGGGAAATATGAACTTCTGCAGCACATGACTGAAATTAAAGGGTCTGAGGTTTTTGGACTTGTTTCTCCTTTTTTTTTTTTTTTCAAACTTGATTTTTACTGAATTTTTAACCATGTATACATCTTAATACAACACATTTCTTTTCCCTTTTCTATCTGTATGTGTATTTTGACAAACATCCACAGATAATGTAGGATTAAATCAAAGAGAGAAATCATAGTTATTATTGCAAATAAACAATGTCCACTCCAAAATACAGATTTATAGGCACAAATTCTAGTCAGAGGCAGGATGACAGTATTTTGATATGGACAGGAAGTACTTATACCAATAACATAAACTCATTGCATCAATAAAGGTACCAGAAGTTCCCATCTTTCAATAAAGGAGGTCCTCCGAAGCCGTAGTAAAAATGTGGTCTGCTCCATCTGATAATTATCTCATACTTTTTGAATCCAGATATTGTATGAGGGAGGTTCTGGTTTCAACCATCTGATGGTTATAGACTTATAGACTATTATTTCCTAATTGAATTCCTTCCATGTGTTCGAATCTGTAACCAGATGTGCTTCAGTGCATACACTGTACCAATCCTCCTGAGAAATGTCTATGTTGGCCTCCGCCTCCCATCTTCCCTTTGTTTTTAAAGTTATTTTGATCCATAGATAAGAGTATGTTGTATATTTTTGGAATTATTTTATTTTCTCCTGCTCCGTCTTGTAATCCCATTAGGTATTTTTCTAGAAGTGTAGGTTTTGTGAATTTATCCCATCCTTTGTAAGTTGTCAGAAAGGTTCTAAGTTGCAAGTATCTAAAAAAATTTGCATGACTTGTACCTGTTTTATACACAAAGCCCTGAACACTCTCTGTCTGATAACACAGTGGTCCTCTTTTCTCTACAGTTTTCTTCTTTTTTTTTTCTGATATTGCAGCACCAAACACAGTATTATCAGATCTACACGACTTCTCTGAACCTTAAAATGACTTCAGGTTGTCCTTCAATGTCCCTGACAGAGATTTATATCTGCAGAAACGCTCAGTTTTTCTTCACAGCCATGTCAACAACAGTAGCTTGTAACCGAACTCTCCTCTGATGGGCTTTTTTTCTTTTAGCCATCGAGACAGGAGTCTGAAAACTCAAACCTGATGAGCTACCAGCTGAAACCTAAAGGGGGGCGGAGGCGATGGGGCCACGGCACAGGACATCTGAAAGGTGAGGACTGGGACGACTACGAAGACACTCATCTGACATCCATCAGTATTCTTGGGAAGAACAATTTCACTACGGAGAAGTCGAGGCAGCAGGAGGACACGCTGAGCAGGTGAGGCTGAGATCTGCTCGCAAAATACGCAAAAGGCAAGACTCTGCCGTCATCTAACACAGGATATGTCTTTCAGGTACGGAAACGCTCTGGATTTCAGTCGACCCAAAGTAAAGGAGGACGCACCTTTGAACCTGAACAAGACTTCAGCCTACCAAGAGCCATCGAGAACCGCCTCGGCTAAACAGCATTACTTGAGGCAGTCAAGATATTTACCTGGTATTCAAGGATTTATCTTTTGGAGAAGTCACAGCGCTGAACCGTGGGAATCTGCTCGTGTCTACGTGTGCTTTCACAATCACCGCTCTTCAGTTTCATTCCACTCTGGTTCACTTTCCAGTTTTTGATTTGATGGTTCAGCAGTACGATCGGCAGATTTTACAGAAGCAGATGAGCAATAGTCAGCAGATATTAAGAAGCTGAACGGACGCCGAATCTCTTCAGACATGATCTGTCAGAAGCAATCACAATTTATAACAGAAAAAATACACATGCATGAGGACAGAGCAGTGCAGTGATTTAACTCAACCAGAGTTTAAAGTTTAAAGGAATTATTTCTTTTTTTGTCAAGTTTCTGCATAATGATCATTATTCCTCAAAGTTAACCAGGTTTTTCCACATTTGTGTCAATTAACCTCTCACTCTCTCCCCTTCAGGAATCAGCACAAAGAAAAACCTGGCCATAAACGCCACTAAAGACTTCACTGGCAGCCATCTTTGGGGAAACAGCAGTATCCCCTTTGGAGGGACTCTGCCGAGCAGAGGCGCTCACGGTAAATTTGAAATGAAATCTTCCGCTTTTAACTTGAGTTTCATCTCTGCAGCTTTTTGATTTTCACTAAATTTAAATGAGTGAATCTGCTCTTGTGTCAAATATCAGGTACAAACACGATCCCAGGAGGATACATGCCGTCGTTTTACAAGAAAGATCACGGGTCTGCCGGTCACAGAGGGCATCAGGGTCCTTCAGTGGAATCAACACCATCAAGTGAGGATGAGTTTAGAGCTTTCTGTGCGGTTTACAAGGTCCATACATATAAATATACCTTTGATGTTATGATGACAAGAGATGAACGGTCAAACAAGGTCTGAAGACTCTAAAGCCAGGGTTTGTAGAGTCTTGAGAGAAGGTCATAAATCTCTGTTTCACTCAGTAGATCATTCATGATGACGGCACAGCAGATTTACAGCTTTAGAAAAATGTGGTGTATGATTTATTAAAGGTACAGTGCAGAAATGGTCATCTTTAGCCATATCTAGCAGGCAGATTCCAGACTGATCCTCTATCTGTCAGGTTTCTACCATCAAAATACAAATACTTTCACCCACAACAGCTCCTCCTCTCTTCTCCTTCATCCTTCATTTAGCCAAATAGTCAAGGATTGTTTGCTTTTAGGTGACTGTAGGACATTCTGGGGACTAAATTCAAGTCCTGTCTCTGCTGTTAAATCTCTTTTATTTGATAACTCCACATAACGAAGCTCTTACAAAAGTCAATGATTGATTTATAAATCAACATAACTGCAGCACTTCTCTCTGGCCTCATTTGCTCTGCTGCTGTGTTGGTGAAGGTCTTCCCCAAGGAGGCGTTTTTTTGATTGGTTATTTTTATTTGGTGATACCATTTGATGCTCACCTGCTTTTGTGTGGGAACAGAGAGCCTCGTTTGAAAACCTGGGGTGAATATAAAAGTAAATTACAAGCTGCTGTAACCATTTGTTGTTTTCAGATTATGCAACATGGCAGTCCGGTCGAAGGCACATGAGCACCTCTGCCAGCACATCGATGGTCAACAAGAGCACCCCCGGTCTGCTGCCTCGCCCTCCGGCTCAAACCATCCACGGGCGAACAGACTGGTCTGCCAAATACGGACACCGCTAGTGCCCCCCCCACGGAGCCGCGACCCGAGCTCCTCATGACTCTTTCTCCTCCAAAGAGTAGGCCTAGTTGTTTTATAAAAATGAAACCTGTACATACATCTTACACAGCAATAATATCTCTTTTTGTTACACGTATTATGGATGTTGTGAGTTGTAAAATATCAAAGTGTTTGTGTAAAGCTGAATGCAATCGGCCAAAATTTGAGCCGAGATTTGCTCTGTGGTGTTTTTATTTTGTATTTCTGTAACAGAGCTGCCGTCTGGACTCCAGGCAGTGTTTTCATTTCAGTGAAAATGCAAGTGGTCGCCACGTTGTACATTTCTTTTTTTTGCAAGTTAAACAGCCCAAGTTGATATATTATACTTGGCCTTTGATTGTGATGATTGAATTGCCAGTTATTGAGCATAATTAAACTTCTGACTGGATACCAACATCTTCAGTTTGTGATGTTTTATTTTTTTTAAATCACTTTATTTCAGAAATCTTTTCACAGAAGTTCAGATATCATCCATCGGTTCAGTTTACACGTGTGACGAACAGCTGGACCAGTATGAGCACAGCGGCCCTGGGGCTGTAATCCCAAAGAGATTAATTTGTTAATGCTATGCATATATAAATCCAGTACATTGAGTTCTATTACGTTCAGTTTCTGGTTTTAAACTGAGCACATTACACTGATGCAAGTGAGAGATGGAAGATGATGAAATTCAATAAAATAATGTGCAGAGCAGAAGTCCTCGAGAAGAAAAAGTCTGTATAATGAGGTTTAAAATGAGTTTAAATGTGTCAAATCAATTTCTCACCTCATTATATTTGGAGTGGGTGACACACAGACTGTAATAAAGTGCAGATTAACTTTATGCTCAGTACTATGTGAGGCTGAAAGTGCAGTTTGCTACTTTTAAAATAGATTATTTTCTATATAATGGTCACCATCTCCTATATATAAGGCCCCATAAACGGGACGTCTGGTTTAATAACCTTAAAAATAGACCATATGACGGTGAAGGAGATTTCTCCGTGCACACGTTTAATGTTCTGTATGTGATTTTAAAAAGTGAATCTCCTGGTTGAGGCATGGATAAAGCACGCCAGCTTGATAATGAGTTGTTTTGCCTACTTATTTAATTAGTTTTATACGTACACACATGTAGACATGTGTTTATGGGTTGGTACACATGCTGATCTGTGCGTGTATATGCATATGTACTTTTGTAAATGAACTTGGGTGCAAGTTTTGAATTAAGACCAGAACTTTGTTAACTGAAGCTGAATATATGATGCCCTATCGTTCCTTATTTAGTAATTTGCCCTCTCTTTTTTAGGGGGAGAAGAGAACTGGCTGGTTGTGTTGAATGTGTGAACTATAGTTCCACTGAACATGATTATTAATGTAGACAGGGTTGTGCTGATAAATATATGTGCGTTTATTTTTAATTGGTATAATACCATTTTTTTTTATTGTATACATTGTATTTATATAGTCATAAACATTATATATATATATATATTGTGATTATGAATATGAGCAGACTGACAAACCTGCCACACTACGGTATATTGTGTGTTATTTATTTATGTATGCGATTATTTCCTTTTTTCAAATTTTTTGTAATTTTTTTTTTTCCCTTCATAAAAATAAAACTAAATATTAAGTAAAAAAAAAAAAAAAAAAAAAAAAAAAAAAAAAGAAGTGAATCTCATCATAAAATTCTCATCGTATTTGGTGTAAAACTGTACATACAGTTGAACTATATCTAGTTAGAAAATGATAAAAGGAAGGCAGACTGCCACGTGCAGCGCCTCATTTGGATGTGTCTGACGCTTGGAGCTTAACTTCCCTACGACTCCTACAAATGGGCCTTGAGCTTGTTTGGAGGTTCTAGCAGGGGAGCACAGCTACTGGTATACCGATGGATGGTCGTCCGGGGGACGTCGTCCTCATCGACCGAGCGCGGAGCTTCGGGAGGGACACACATGGAACGGTGAGGGAGGAAGGGGACACCCGCCTAGCCAGCCAGATCAGCCGAATCAACCCTAGCGATCAATGGGGTGACAGATGTCGCAGCCAGATCGCCCTCACATCCAACCAGAAATACGAGCAGCAGCTCCGCCATATACCCTCGGACTCGAACACCGTTTTCTATCGCGGCGCAGAACACGGACGTTATGACTTTTTTAAATTTGGAACGATGGTTACACTCACACTTCTTACGTAAATAACGTAACAATAACGTAAATACATCGAACAATAACGACAACGGCACAAGTACACCATTCCTTATTTTTTCCCATGATGTTTAGCGGCCACAGTGTACATGAGCCGCGTCTCTATTGGTCGCCACCAACCAATCACAGTGTTTAGAAGTTTTGCCCTGTCACTCGCCTTTTTTTTTGAAGCAATTCAAGATTATATAATAACCTCAGTTTAGTTCATCGTCCCACTTCACCTGAATTTCACTCGACTGTTGCCGTCGTGCAGGTATGGATCAATCAGTTCGTCCGGGCTTAGATATGCTCCATGCTCCATGCATTTCCAGTCAGTAATTCGTGTTTTCTCGTCTGTGTCTTTTAGGTTTTGAGATATAAACATTGAGAACAAGCTGCAGCCATGGCAGACAAAATTGTGCTTTATTACTTCAACGGAAGGGGGAAAATGGAGTCAATCCGCTGGCTGCTGACATTTGCAGGGGTTGAGGTAAGTTAAAGGAGATGTTTATACAAGATAAACATTTTATTTATCTGATTATATTTTTCTAGAGTGGAACCTTGAACCCACGTGATGTTTCTTAAAAATACTTCTGATATTTATATTCACAGTTTGAGGAGGTGTTTCTGACAAAACGGGAACAATATGTGGAACTTTTAAAAGGTAAATGGTTAAAAAAAATCAAACTCTTTTCGAGCCTAAAACCGTGTCAGTGTATTCTTTGGACTGTATCCAAGTCACATGAAGTTTTCAGCTTGGACTCGCCTTTTGCCTCGGTTTTCAGTCAACTTCCACCTACATGTGATGTAACCTTGGAAAAAGACATAATCTGAATGCAAATGCCTCACTATGCTGTTTGACCTGTGCACAGAGTTAGAGTTCACAATAGAAATGTGTGTACTACCTGGGAGTGTCCACCTGAGTGATCTGCTGTTGTTGTTCTTCCAGATGGGTCACTCATGTTTCAACAAGTTCCCATGGTGGAGATTGATGGCATGAAGCTTATTCAGACAAAGGCCATCTTGAATTACATTGCAGAAAAGTACAATCTCCATGGAAAGGACATTAAAGACCGTGTCATGTATGTTGTATTTTTTAATAAACAGCAGAACCATCATTGTATTGTCAGGTTTTATGAGATGAATGTGTTACAGTTTATCATTCTGGCTCTCTTCAGGATCAACATGTACTCAGAGGGAGTGATGGATTTGATGGAGATGATCATGATGCTGCCCTTCACTCAAGACCCCAAACCCAGACTGGAAAACATTGAAACTAAAGCAAAAGAACGCTACCTTCCTGTGTTCGAAAAGGTACAAACAATAAACGATCTTGGTTTGAAATGACACATTTGTTTGTTACAGATAGTTAAATAAGATGTTCTATGCTTTTCTCAGGTGTTGTGTGATACTGTTCACCTGGTGGGAGGTAAGCATAGCATGGCAGATGTCCTGCTGACTGAATGCACCCTGATGTTGGAGGAGAAATTTCCAGGGATCCTTGCTGATTTCCGCAACATCAAGGTAAATGTCTTCCTATGAAGTTCTAGTATAGTGATCACAGCTGTGTGCACTTCTAAATAACTTGCTTCTACGCTTCTCTCCAGTCTTTCCAGGGCAGGATGACGGAGAACTTGTCCATTAAGAAATTCCTGCAACCAGGCAGCAAGAGGAAGCCGCAGCCTGATGAGCACTACGTGAAAACCGTCATGGAGGTGTTTGACGTTAAAAAAATATCCCTCTAGTAAAGGGACATTTCTCTCACTGGCGCTTTAGAGTCATATTTAAGGATATCCTATTCTGCATATGAATCAATACCATTTCCCTTAATTTTTTGGTTATTCGGTACACTGTTCATCATAAAATGCAGGTCTGACCAGAACTGAAGCAATTATAATAATCTTAAATAGCACCATGAGGCTATTTCACTGTGAAAATTCTGCAAAATAAATTTTCTATTTTTGAAGAAAACTCTTGCTGAGTCTATTAAACACCACACCTTTCATACATGGAAGTTCATTTTAAGAGTTTATTTATTTAGTTTGCTTTTATTACAAAAAAATCACACATATAACTCAAATATTAAGAGCTACTTTATGTACAGTCTGCTGTACTGTAAGTGGTCAAGAGAGAAATTCCCTCTTTCTTGGTCATAGTGTAGACAAACATTCTGCCAACACAAAAGAAAGCTCAAAAGAAAGAATATATTAGTGCAATTAAACATGTGGGTATTTATACAGCAGTAACAGTGGTTCTCAACCCTTTAGAGTCAGTGCAGTGGTATTGTAGTGTTCACTGCCATAGACTCATCACCTCATGTTGTAAATGTGCTGCAAGTTTAAAGCAAAGTATGTCACTGGAACCAGCAATGTAAGAATCGGTACCAAGTCAGTAATTCAAGAATGTAATTATTGATGAGACTCTAATGAAACCACGGGAAATTATCACTTAATCTAAGGGTTGAGAATCACTGTGTTACAAGATAATTATCAAATCTGAAGTTTGTTAAACACCTATTGATGGCATGTGCAAGGATTTTGGTCACACGATCAACAGAACTTGTTTAGGTATCCAAACAGGGAATGATGTTTCCTTTAAAACAAGGCTTCTTCATCGAGAGACAGGAATCTCTCCATCTCATCTATGTTGTTCTTACAATAACCCCACGAGGAGGAGCAACAGCCGAAACACCATCAACAGACTGTGAGAAAGAGAGAGTAAGTCAGAAACCCTCATAAAAGCAACATTTCACCACATACTTCACAATTCTTGGTGAACTTTACTGCATGTTGGGCAAGTCTGACTCTGACCTCAGTCCTGACATGATGCCAGCAGGCATTAGTTTGCCGGATTTCTTATATCTCATTCCCATTACGAGAGACAAGACTCCTGCTGCCACTGTAAAAAAGAAATTATGTGATGCTTATAGAATGATCATTTGAAAATTTCTCTATCAAATCAGCCAGTTTGAATTGGTCTATCAATACTCACAAAATGAGACTTTGATGTCCTTTGTGTCATTGGAGATATTGTACGCACCATAAGCGGACAATCCACCAAACACTAGACCAGCCATCAGGGACATCACACTGCCTGCATTGAAACAGATGACACCATTATGATACACACTGTTATCTGGGGTTAAAATGTTCTTTCACAGCAGAGTGTGGTTAGCTGATTGACGAAGATTATCAAGTGTGAGCTTTCAACCTTTTCTCTTGTAGCCCATAAATCCACCGAGAGCGATGGCTGCAGCATAGGCGAACCCAATCCAGTCCACTCCCATCATAAACCTGTGAACAGTCGAGCAAATACAGGAATCTGAAAAAACACCCTCACCTCAAATCTATTTGACAAACTAACAGACAATTTTATCATGATTACAGAAGAGTTCACAGAATTACCATGTTGCATTCAGGAGTAAAAACTAAAAAGGCATATTTGTAAGTTAAAGGTTTAAAGTGTTTTTAAGATCATATGGACAGTAAGAGTCTCAGCATGATGGCTGTTGAAGTTTGTATTATTAAGCATGGAAGGAGATGTTAACACCAGCAAATTCACCTCTAAGCACTTGAATTAAAAGTAGGATATTTTAATACTCTTTCCATCCCTGGGTACTATAATAATAAAGTTTAGTTACTTCAATGACATTTCACATAGGCAGAAGTAAAACTTTTAGTCTGTTAATGCACTTAATCTGCTAAGATAGTTTTTAATTACTTGCAAAATACAGTGAAATACAAGTGTAACCAAAGAAAATACGCAATACTATAATTTATAGAACTGCTTAGAAAAGCACAAGTACTCAAAAAGCTATAGTAAAGTTATAGTAGGCTATAGTGAGTGTATTTAGTTTCGCTCTTCTTTGTAAAACTGTAAAACTTCGCTCTGATATCAAAGTCCAAGCAACGTGGTGGACCCACCGCTAGATGTCGCTGCGACACCGTGAGTTCTTACGACGGACAAAAACAGAGAAAACGCAGTGAGTAAAATCTTTCTCTATCTTTTAAGCAATATACTTATTTAGTATTTAGTAAATGACTCTGTCGCACAACCACGAAGTTAATTTGTTTATTTAAGTGTTTAACATACCTTTAGTCCAAGCCTGTAAACGGGAGTGTTGCTACTCGATTCCCGGAAACTCGATTTGTACTGCGCATGTGCGAAACATACATCACTTCCTCCACCAGCCACCTACAGTAGCAGTTCACAAACACGAGGAGACAAACAATCTCTCTCATCTCTCATCTTGTACTAATCTTTCTCAATATTTAGAGCAGTAATCCAGCTGCGGCTGAAGTTAACACAGAAATTAACACAGACTACGCGAAATTAAATAAAACAGTAATTCAAAATCATGACAGAAAGCTGCTTGAGAAGTACAAGAGGCAGGCAGTGACTACCAACCTGTCCTGGGAGTTATTAAAATATGAAATCAGAAGATCGGTGATAGTATGAGGCAAGAAGCAACAAGAGAAAAAGCACTCCAAACTGTTACAGAAATATGAACTTAACTGAAAAAGAGGATGAGGCCAGAGAAGTTGCTTCACTGCAATCCGCGTTGGATTTAATGTATGAAGAAAAGGCTGCAGGTGCTTTCATTACATCCAGAAGACAATGTCTAGAGCAAGGTGAAAAGGTGCTCTGAGTATTTCTTTAACCTTGAGAAAAAGAAATGCTAAAATGTCTTCTATGAGCAAACCTAAAATTAATGGTACGATTTGTGAAGATGAATCAATAATCTCGAACTGACTTTAATGAAAAACAGTACTCCAGGGAAACTTGATGAAAAGCTAATGGATGTGAAAATGTACTGTCAAAATATAAATCACAACATTATAAAAACTGACAACACACTTAAGGACTTGTGTGACCAAAAAATCATCTCTCAATATGAAATACTTAAAGCTGCAGATTCACTGACAGATAATAAATCTCTATTATTGGTTGTTCTCATTGTGTTCTCAAACGTTTTCTTTATCACTGTTTGTTGAAAGCATTTTGTGCCCTCGGCAAAATAACCAGTTAATCAATGAAATAATAACTCCTCTATTCATCGTGTTGTTTTTCAAAAGAATATTGAGTGGAAGTAGATATGAAGTGAAAGGCCTGTTGTGTTGTCAGTGTTATGTGGACAAAAACTGATCAAGATGCCTAAAAAACACTGGGGATAACAAAAGGATTTGGAAGTCATTATTGGCCAACCTGTAATGACCCTTGAAGTGCTTAATTTATAACTCATTATGAATTGTTTCTAGAAATGAGTAAACTCTAATTTATAAAATGTCCTGTGGTAACTCCAATTACATCTCAAATGTGCTTTAGGCTGAGCTTAATACTGGGTCCCTTCGGTATATGTGGATTTTTTTTAGCAAGGTAGTCTTTATTCCTTTTCTAAAAACAGTCTGAGCGGCTTCTCTCTAATCTGATTTCATGTTTTATGGCAGAGAAACAGACAAAAACTTGACTGGTTCTCCAGAAAAAAACACTTTATTTCACTCGGATCCCCATTTCCAAAACTTACATACATTAAAGGTTTCATCATTTAATTATAGTCCTCAAAAAAGTGTAAATAAATGCATTCTTAGAGCAAAATAAGCCACTATGAACTGTAGACAATGTGACCACATGCTGCATAGAGCAGCAGCTCCAGCAGAGAGTCTCCGTGCAGTCACCCGGTGGAAAAGAGCTACTGTGACCCTCGGTGAGGGCTGAGGACAGACTCCTCCCAAGAGAAGGCACACATTTCCGAAATCCGTTGGCATTTAAATACTGTCTACAGAGTTTCCTGATGAGTTACAGTTTGATCTTGTCAGGTTAAAAATGACTATAAAATGGCTGACAAGGGTCATTCAAGGAAGGATTATTCAAGTGAGGTATTGGAGCGACATGTAAAAACCATGAACCATCCAGAAGGAGGACATACCAAAGACTAAACTTTAGAGGAAGACAAGACGGCAGACATGTAAAGTGACTTGTGGAAAATGCAATGGCTATTACGGTAAACAACATCAATAACGAACATACAGTGCATTACACAATACAGTGATAATTATAATACAGATGGCTTTGAGTGCACAGGAACCTGTGTTAATCTGTTAACATGGCTTAGTCAGCTTTTTTTTGCTTGGTAGATTCTTTCATATGAGCTGTAACAAAACAGTTACGGACCAAGAAATAAACCATAAAAGAATCTTATAATACGGTATTTGGACACAAAGACAAACAGAGAGAGACAGGTTTCTTTGCTGGCATTAAAATATGAGTTGCTCGACTTAAAACACTTGTAGAACATCAAAGTAAATGAGTAAAATTTTGGCAACGACTGACATTGTATGTTAAAGAAATATTTTACATTGGTAGAACTTTTTTTTTCAGCACATCTTCAACATGAGCGGACAAGAACTTTGTAAGAACGAAACATGTTTAACGAAATCCGTGTAAATGAATTTAAAAGTGTTGGAAAGAAAAGAGAGACATTCACTTACATACACTGATACATGAGTCACGGCTACATTCGTTATCAGTACAAAACAAAGTCGGTATAAATACTTATGGTAAACAATGCAGCTGGTGACATGTTTATGAGTCCCTAAAGAAGATGCTTCTCAGTTTGTTCTACTAATGTAAAAAAAACCTTCACTTTCAATGAGCGAAGTGCTTTATCGTCCTGACACGGGACTTGGCATAAGTGAGGGTATTACAACCAATGTCAATGAGTCAGTGCACTTAATATTTAATGATCCCCTAAACTGTGTCAGTTACACACAGCAGCAACTGATTGTGATCATTAACGTAGTTTTTGAAGTCCTCTATGCTTTGTTTTTAATGTCATACAAGAGCTTTAAAAGTGGCCAATGTTTGATGGAAAAGTGAGCATGCAAGAGACCTAATCTGTCTAAATCTAGTGAGGGGGGAATTACTCTAAGATAAATTAAATAAGTTTATATATTTTTTATCTATATCATAATAGAGATCTTATTGGATGTTTTAAAGTAATCTAAAACTTTCAGACATGTTTTCCTTTTTCCCATCATTAGGCTGCAAATCCTAATAACATGAGGGATCACGTAGCGCAAAAAGCCTAACATTTCTCCCCATCGCTGCTCAGCTTTCAGCTCAGGGTCACCAGTGAGCCAGACATGTTGGATAAACCTCCGAGCCTCTTATCAGACGCTGCAGCTCTGCATTATAAACACACCTTGTGTTGTTGTTTGTGATGCAGGAAAAAATGGCGCCGCCTCTCCCATGTCTGTTGTGCATGTCACTGTGGCAGCCTCTGCTCTGTTCGTTAAGGAAAAACGTTCACCCACAGCCAGCCAAGCAGTGTCCCGTACACCCAGGTCCTCACGTACACTTTCCTGCCGCTCTCTGTCAGCAGTAATGGCAGTGTCAGTCCACCCAGGATTATCACTGATGGGAGGGTTTTAGAGAGGTGCAGAGTAGAAACTTTCCCCTCCCCGGGGAACTTGCATATTTTGTCCTCCGACTCGTAGAAGTCCGACAGCAGCCTTTGCAAAAGACAGATCACTCTCTTAGGGATTCAGTTTGTCTCAGAAACGCACAGACTACAAAAGTGAATCAGCACATCTTCTGTCTGACTTAAGTTCACATCAGGGTTTTTTGTTGCTCTGCTAGTACAGCCAATGTGAGGCTCAATTTATAATCATTATCTATAACGATATATCCATATATTCCAAAATGTCAGGATGCTGTTTAAATGATAATAACAAAAATATTTGGTAGTTTGCAAATCATTTAAACTCTACTTGTAATTACTAGAAAATTAAAAGTACTACTACCACAAAACTTGTATGTATTGTTCAGCATTACTGGTGCCTTAAGAGGAGGCTCAAGACTCACTTTTTTAACCAGGCTTTTCACTGATTGCCGTTTCATATTTCCCTTATTGCAAATGTTCATTTTAATCGAAGTTGTTAATGTTTCTTTTATGTCATCTTATTAATTATCTCTTAGTCTTTTTCTTAACTCCTGCCTTAGAGGTTTTTACTTCTTTTACCCCTTTTATATGATAAAGAGCTCTTACTTATTGGTTCATTTTATTTTATTTTATTTTCTAGTTTAAGTCCATCATGTTTTGGTCTTTCTTTTTACCGTTTTTTATTTATTTATTATTTTTATCTTTTATCTCCAGTGTTTCCTAAAGCTAGCTAAAGGTAATGTCTCGGTGTCAGGCCTTGTCTCTTTAACAATATATCTCGAATTCTCACTTTGTGTGTGCTTGTATGTGTGTGTGTGTGTGTATGTGTAGGTGAGTGAGAGTGGGTGTGTGTCTATGCGTGTGTGGGTCCATGGATGGGTGTGTAGTTGAGAGGTTGGGTTTTATTGTCGTTTTATTGTTTTTAGCTTCTGTAAGGCAATTTAAACTGCATTGGCATAAAAATAAAGTTGAATTTGAATGTGTAAGCCACTCATGCCATGAGCACTTAAGCATACTACTATGTGCTGATAACAAGCTGAAAGTCCTGCCTCAGAGTGGAGGACAAAGCATCCATGATTTCCAAAAAGAATGACAAGTTTGGATTCATCTGACTGAAGTTTTACACTTGGAGTTCAAGCCCATTTAAGACAGACCGAGGCAGAGAAGTGTCTGTTTCATGGTTATACATAACTGTCCTATTTGTGGATGTCAGGACAAACAGTTCAGAGACTGTAGATTTTGCAGGTGATCCTGGATTTCAGGAGAACATTATTATGACTTTTTTGCTGAAGTATTTGCTCACACAGTCTCTAACAGAGTGGTGAACCCAATCACATCTCTACTCATGAGAGATGAAGCCTCTCTGTGGACTGCCATTTTCATACCCCGTCCTGTTATATTAAATTTCCCCTCAGGACTCAATACAGTTCTTCTTATCTTATCTTACTAACCTTTTGTTTATTAATTTTTCCAACTTTTTTTAGCATTCCAAAACTTTTTGGAAAGTTTAGTTGTCCTTGTCCTTACTTATTAAGAAGTTCTGAAGGCCTTATAGTCTTTATCTTCAACAATAACATTTTTCACTTTTGACATGACATTGTCTTTGCACTAAAATTGATTTGATAAGGGGATTAAATGATCGGCAAACCATCAAAATTTGTGTTTTTATGAACCTTTCACACAGCATCACGACTTGTTTTAACTAAGGTTGTGTCACGTGTCTATTAGTTTCTCAGTTAAAAGGGATATTCCGGCGTAAAATTAAGTAAGGGTCAAACACACCGTAACACCAAGTTAGACACCCCCTACAGAGATGAATGTTGCCGACCGCTTGCTTCTCTAGTTAAACCAACTTTAGTAACGACCGAACGATAGCGATACACAGCGGTCTGAGGAGCCATAAACAAACCTCAACCAAAATGCCACTCTATAGCTACAAATAATGCTCAGAACAGCACCTAACTTCATCAACAGGACATATAGGGTCCCAGCCATAGTACTAGCCACCAAACATCTTTTTAACTTTGCTTCATTTCTTTAGCAAAGAGACTAAACACAACTCACCTACTCTCTTCTAGCTTGTTTGTAGTGAGACCTTAATTTTAAGCCGGAATATCCCTTTAAGTTATTGTCTGTCAACATGAACCTTTTTAGTTTCAGCCAAAAGTTCCCTTTTATAAAAGAAATTTAAAATATACACAAATTTTTAAGTTTTTATGGATTTGGTCAACTCTCATTTCAGCTGTTTTAAGATTCAGAAAGAAGCTCAGAGACAGATCTGGGTTTACCCGATGCTCTGAGAGAAAAAAAAATCATTTAAAAACACACCTAAGTTTAGGCATTAACTGAATAGTATACAATTCTAATATGATGAATTGTTACACCCACACACTTACCGGTCCTTTATTTCAAAACGCTCGTGTAGCCACCTGCGGAAGAACAGCGGCTCTGGAGGAATTTCCTTTATGTCCACGCGGTCGAAGTGTATGTGGACACGGGGACATTCTCTGCACAGGAATTCTGTCAAACACAAAAAAATAAATAGACTAAACAAAAACAGGAAAACACTTTCAGCGAGACAGCACGTAGAATAAGCACTTTAAATCAACACGAGGTGACACTGATAGAGGAGATGATACCGTAAAGCCAAGTCCCTTTGATTCAAATCTAGGGCGGCTGCTTGGTCAACCTGCTACACGGCATTTACAGTCCTGTGCAATCAGGACACAATCAGAATAGTGAACATTAAATGGAGTGGAAAGCCTCCAATCAGGTGAGGTGAATAATTCAGAGTTTGAATGAATGATTATTTATTCATGTGAGCTTAGATCAAAACAGTTTTGGCAAATAAATGTTCTTAAAATAAACCAGAAGAAGTTTTCAGTGTCAAGTCTGAGAGCAAAAAGAGAACCAAAGAGTCCGAGAAGGTCGTACATAAAAATGTAACCAAGTGTGAACGCTCAAGGCTACACGTGTATCCCCCGAGACCTTCGAGTTCCTGTTTCCACAACATGCAACAAGGAAACCTGGCACTGGGGCCAGAAGAGGAAACCTGATCGAAGTCAGCAGTGAAAGATTGCTTGACTGGTGGAGACCACGCTTCAATCAGCTGCTGCGGAGACTTAAATTGACCTTCGGAGACAATCTGTGACGGTTCAATAAACACCGACTGCGTGTGTGGACGGGAGCACAAAAACACATATGAAGAGGCCAGAGTCAATCTTTGAAGAAAATACTGCCTTCCTTCCTCAAACATGGAAGAGTCTGAGTGCCAAACAGATGCTTGGCACAGAGAAATAATAACACTGTTAAGCTTTTCATAAATAAGAGCTTAACCCGCTGAAAGGCGGATGATCTTTCCCTGCAGGTCACGAGTGTTGATGAAGGAAATCAACTCTTTGCACAAACAAAATCTCCTTAATAAACTCCAGTGAAGCCGAAAACTTCAGAGAAACAAACTTTAGTCTCTTTAGAAAAGTGAGATTCTTCCCTCTAACATTTGAGGCGCTGTTTGGAGTTTTATCCACTTGTCTTAATTCTGGTGACCCATTTGGATAAATCAGTAACTTAAGACTGCATTTCCCATGAGCATCATTATCACCCACTGCCATAAAGATGGATGGATGGATGTACAGATCTTTTTTCACTTCTTTTCTTCACTGAAGAGAATTTCTTGCAGGATGCAGAGTGAAGAGGTAATGAACTGATTTGTAGCTTCGCAGAATAATTGACAGTAAAATTACAACAATAAAACTTTGCAAACTCTGATTTGTTTCCCTTAATGTGCTTTTCAACCAAAAGTACTCAGAACTTTTGCTTCCAGGGGCTTCTTGTTCGTGGTCTTTCGTTGTCTGTGTTTCCCTCAAATCCCGGGTTGATCATCCACAACAGAAAAAATAACGGTCAGAAATCTAACGGACAACAGGTAAGTTGTCTTGATGATCAAATAACATCATGTTACTGGAAGAAAATAGTTGTTGTGCTATTACCCTTAATGCTGTATACCCCTCTCTCTGCTCTGCACCATCTTATAATGTGAATAAGACTGTCTCCTGATAAGACTGACCTCAAAACCATGCCGAGATAAAAAAGGACACTAAACAGAGTGATGATTCATATACGTACATGGTTTTACGAATCAAATAATATCAGAAGATGTAGGATATGATCCACAATCTCTCCTCTCTCCTTGACGTGCATGTGCATGCGTGTTCACAACCTGCCAATGGAAAGTTCTAGAAAGAGCTGGGGCGTTTCGAGGGGTAGATCCTAGTTCCTGCGGTCCAAAAGCACCTTTAGTAAGCTTATAGAAAGTGACCAGACGTACCTTTTTTGAAGCGACCTGTCACCGCCCTGGTGTCACAATGTGACCTCCAACCCCCCCCCCCCCCCCAACTATGTAAATGAGCGCGCAGTTTGATGTGATTGATAAAGAAGCCTGAGTGTCCATGCATACACTGATGAACAGAAGTAGAGGCAGACTGTAGCTGCTGAGAGTCTATATATTCATACCTGGGGAAGAAATTACTCTATCACTATATATTTATCTCCATCGCTTCTTTATGCACATTTGTAATGTCAGTGAAAGCACTAAATTCAAATCTCAATATGCTAATAAGACAAAAGGATCGACTCCTCTGTCCTCTAGGAGCTGTGAAGCATTCACACACATATTGACGGTCAATCCTCTTTGTCATTTTCTTCTTTTTTTCCCAGCTAAGCCTCGGATGGAGAGTTCCTTCGTCGATTATACTACAACAGAAAATTACAGCTTGTTGTTGATCCTGCACTAGTATTATCCTTCAGCACAAAGAATTATAAATAAAGAAAATTACAGGAGGAAAATGAACTCCTCTTAGCTCACTTACTTCTCTCTGCCAAACTTTATCGACAGAGCTCTAAACATAGATGCTTCAGGGTGAGTGCTGAATATCGACTCCTGTTTTTCACAAGAAGTCCAATCAAAAGAGACCCTAAATTCAGCACAAAGAATTAACCAGACTTTAGCTGATAATCTCATTTTCAGTTTAAGATTGAGGCTGTTTCAAAACCAGTTAAAAACTCCTTTAAAGCAACCTTTGCCCAGGTGTAGAAGAAATGAACCGACTTTGTTGCAGAGGGGGATACTGATAAGAGGATGAAAGTCTTCTGACAGTTATGAGTAAATCTGTTTTTCTGAGTCCATGTTTTATAGTTTTTGCTCCTTTTATGTTGTTTGTATGAGGTCCTCATAGTTTACTCATTTTAGAAGCACGCAGACCCACAAATCATTGGTCTGCTTTCAAAGCATGTTCAACCACGAAGAAGGAGACTAGACAAGCTCAAACTTTAACAGACCTTAGTCCAGGTGTACCCAGAAAAGAAAGCAGCAGCCGTCTTAAATACATAGACATGGTGAAAAGTCAGACTTCAGAGCCTGTTGTTAAACTATCGCATTACTCTGAAACATAATAAAGTGTTCGCATTGGTGAAAAACAATCTGAAGACATCAAAACAGAAAGGACCTCAATAACAAAAACAATGAGAGCCTGTAGCTAGAGTCACTTCCACCTCCTTGTGAAATCACTAAAGTCACCTTCTCCACATGAGACCAGGAAGTGCGTGATGAGAGGAAAGCTTTTCTATTCTCTCTGTTCTGTTTTCTAGAAACACATCGGTGTTTATTCCTGACTGAAGCGGGATGTTTTTTTTTTAACATTCAAACTGTGTTTGTGAAACAACAGGGGGGCTCGGAGAATAATCAAAAACTCCAAAACACGGAGTCACGCTGTTTACAGGAAGACACGGCTGTTAATAGGTAATGTTTGTTACCAGATTAAGCCGTGACGGATTGTACACAATGCTGCAGGATTGATAAAGACGCCTGTGTGTCTATGTGTACCCTGATTAACAAAATAAAGGCAGACTGTTTGATGAGAGTTTGTGTTCATATCTGGGGTTATATCCAGTTATATGACTTCATATTCACCTCTTTATGCAGATTTTCAGTGTTGAGTCTGTCAGCAGCAAAATCAAATCTCAGTGTGCAAATAAATCAGAATATGTTTACATTAAATATGGACGGACACAATAATAATGATCAGCATCAATCATTGTAATTCTGATCTGAGGAGGAAGGCGAAAAGCTGCAGACTGTGGAGGACTCGTTTTACCGGGCTGGTAAAACAGGCAGCTCACACCCCCCTCAGCATCAACCCGACTCTTCCTGTCTCATTTTTTAACTGTCCTGTCTGATAACACAGAAAAGGCCCAACACTTAATCTGTGAGTGACCAATTTTAACACATCAAGGTTGTAGAGCAATCCACCTGCATTTACGCTTTATTTAGACATCTGTGTTTCCTTATCCACATTTATATAACACCTCTGTGGTTAAGCTCTTTGGCAGCGGCTAAATCACAACATGTTTTCACTAAATAATGGTCAGCGTATCTGGACAGTGAAAACAGGAAGGGAGCCGTGACTACAAAGAATAGATCATAATGTAGCTGCCTGCACTCATTTTCATCTGTCAAACTTAAACAAAGTTTATTTTTAATCTTCTACGGCGTGGGCTGTATTTTAGGATTTAGGATTAGTGCTGCTGTAGGGATTGACATTTTAGTGAGATTTTGACAATAAAGTCAAAAATTACATGATTTAAATTGAAATTATAAGAAAATCAAGTCACACAATAAAGGTCTTAATTAACAAGAACAAACTGATAAATATGGAGAGAATAGAAGTTAAACAGTCCTAAACTTCAGAGATTGAAGTTGTGAATATACAAGACTAAGATCTTAAATTCAGAAGAATAAAGTCCTTAATTAATCAGATTAAATTCATGAGAAATATGTTGTTAATTTATGAGATTAAAATAGTTATTTCACTGGACTTAAATCTTCAATTTAACAAATAAAAAATGTGGATTTTTTTAATTCTTATCTGAATTAACTCCATGACAATCTAATCTACTTTAATCTACTTAATGTGGGCCTTTTTAACCTATAGGGTGATGCTATAAGAGGAGCCAGTAGTCTGCACTAAATTAAGTAATCTGGGTCATCTTGTGATCCTGGACTCACCGGCTGAGGACAAACAGCTGTTGAAGAGCGTGCTCAGTCTGCACATTAGCTAACTGTTCCTCATGCTAGACTCATTCCTGGTTAATTCAATAGCAAACCTGGACCTAAGTCTAGTTTTCTGTTGCTATGCCATTGCTGTATATGTTGGTTTTGTAACTGTACCTAGTTTTGCTCACTTGAATCTGTTATTCTCTTAAAAGCCCTTCTGGGAATGAATGTAGAAAATTAGAGTCTTTTAGCGTCTGTCTGGGCACATTGTATTCTTCAGGGACAAATAAACAGTGAATAACTAGAAAAGCACTCGGAGAGCACACCTGTGCCAAGCAGCTCATGTCCCCCTTAAACAAGAAATGCCCTGACCAGGATTCGAACCCGCGACCTTCTGGCTGTGAGGGGACAGTGCTAACCACTACACCACTGCGCCGCCCATTGGTTATCTTTCAGCATTGAAAATTCCAACGACACCCTTATTTTTGTGTGTTCTGGTTCACAGTATCCAGAATTTTGTCCGGATCACCACCAAATTTTAATGGGATCCTCCTGGAGCTGAGACGCACCTCTGTTGAAAATTTCAGGTAAATACGTCAGTTACTTTCTCCGTAAAGTTGAAAACAGACAAACAAACAAACCAACGCTACCGAAAACATAACCTCCTTGGCGGAGGTAATAAAAGGAGAACTCATCTAGTCCGACCTCTTCTGCCTTTTTAATTACATATATTAGACCAGGTCAAGTCTTTCACTACAGGAGATCAGATTAATGGAGAAAGCTCTCAAAAGCAGACTGTCTCATTCCTCTTATTTAAATGTTCAACTAAAAAAAAAAAAAAACTTACCTGGCATTGAAGGGGCAGGTCTTCTCTGTTTGGAGGCGTTCACTGTCCCCTCATAGGCCACTGTAATGTCGTACACAGCGTCCAGGTGATCCCTCATGGTCTCCAGGGCGATATGGGAGGCCTTCATTCTGGGCGTTAGAGTGTGCTTTAAAGTGGCCAGCCCTGTGGACACACAGTTTCATTGTAATTTTACTAGGTAACATGATTTTAAAAAGATTGTTGTAAAGATATTAAAAGGGATATTCCGACGTAAAATTAATTTAGGGTCAAACACACTGAGTTAGACACCCCCTCCAGAGATAAATGTTGCCGACCTCTTGCTTCTCTAGTTATACCAACTTTAGTAACGACCGCACGATAGCAATACAGAGAGCCACGCGCTCAACCAAAACGCCACTCTATAGCCGCAAATAATGCTCAGAACAGCACCTAACTTCATCAACAGGACATATATAACTTTGCCTAATTTCTTTAGCAAAGAGACTTAACACAACTCACCCACTCTCTTCCAGCAGCCATTTGTTTGTAGCGGGGTGACACAGCTCAAGGAAGAACATTTATGATCATTTCTTTATCATTTCTTTGAAGTAATAATCATCATATTAATCATTTTTCACTGCAGACCCGGTAGTTTTTCTGCCTTAGCGTCTCGGTCTGATTGTATTTCCATGAGGAAATGATCATGAATGTTCTTCCTTGAGCTGCATCACCCCGCTGTAGTCCGTAATGGACTGGCCCGAGGTCTTGCTACAAACAAGCGGCTGCTGGAAGAGAGAAGGTGAGTTGTGTTTGGTCTCTTTGCTAAAGAAATCAGGCAAAGTTAAATAGATGTTTGGTGGCTAGTACTATGGCTGGGACCCTATATGTACTGTTGATGAAGTTAGGTGCTGTTCTGAGCATTATTTGTGGCTATAGAGTGGCGTTTTGTTGAGGTTTGTTTATGGCTCCTCAGACCGCTCTGTATTGCTTTTGTGTGGTCGTTACTAAAGTTAGTATATCTAGAGAAGCAAGCGGTCGGCAACATTCATCTCACTTGGTGTGTTTGACCCTAAATTAATTTTACGCCAGAATATCCCTTTAAGGTTACACATCATGCCCATCTCTTTAATTCTCTTAATTTTCTGTCCACTCTCATACAAAGCCGTGGCTAAAATCACCTGAATCACCATCTGATTAAAAACAAAAGGGTTAACAACACAACGTCTCTACAAAAGTGCTTGTATTTGGTTCATCTACTTCACTGTCCCTCTGTGGATGTCGCTCCACAGTCTGCTCACTAATACCTCCTAATAGCAGATAATGTCATGTGCACATGTCGGCTATCCAGAGCGATTTATTTGGATTAATGGGGGAAGGTGATATTCCGAGCTGTGGCCCAGAGATAGGCTTAATCTCTGCAGAATGGATGCTGTTTGTGAGAGGACCTCAACAGCACACTGCGCTGAGGCATTATGGGAATCACGCTGATTCAAACAAATATACATAAAGATAAGAAATTTGTGAGGTATATGAACATTTTTGCAGTTTATTCAGCTTTTCATTAATCATGACTTCCATTTAAATATTAATAAGTCATTAATTTTTATTTTCATTTTCATTTACCAGCAGCAAGTGAAGTCCTGAGACTTGCTCAGCATCAAGAATCCAAAACTGGTCTGAACTTAATAGTGCACACTTCAACTTTTAAAATCCTAACCACACAAATCTGCATTCATGTGATGGGATTCTCACTGGGGAAATGCTCACTCAAAAAGGTTACAACAGGTCACACAGCCGAACTGAATCAGCTGTTTTACAAACTGAGTGGGCCGTGCTGAGTTAGTAGGTGGTAGTAGAGCAGAAAACGGCTGCCATCGTGCCAGTACCTTCTTTCGTAGCAAAAGCCTGACTGTCAGCGATAACATTCTTCAGCTCGGGATTATAGCGAGTTCCTTCAGGGAAGATAACAAGGTACATCTGTGGGAAGACAAACACAGAGGATCAAAGAGGTCATATTTTTTTTGTGTGTTACCTTGGCTAAACTGGAATTTATGGCATTTACAGGATTCACTGAACCAGAGTGATGAAGTTAAAATGACTGTATGAAATGTTGGCAACAAGTTTTGAAAAGTTTGTACTTTTGAATCTGATTGAACGGCAGCAGAAGTGAAAACTGGGTCCGTTGAAATGCTTCCTAAACTTAGCCTCGAGTCTTAAATCTTCAACGGTTCCTCTTTCACTCATTGAGCTGTGATGCCACTCTATTTTTATCTGAGAGAAAGTTGTACTCCACTGAAAATGTTCTTTGCAAAAGGTACAAAACATTGAAAGTGCAGAGGTTTTTCTGACAAATAGGAACTTTCTCACATGTTGAAATCATGAAACATCTCAGCAGCAGTGGAGCGGTGTTCATGGCTGACTCACTCGATTACTTTGACAGCTTCACTGCAGCACCTTGAGAGTTGAGCCACTTAATGAAGCTACTGGCCTTGGGTTGTGACAAGTAGCTGCTGTACAGCTTAGACACCACATATAACAGGCCAACTCTGATAAAATATTAACTTCTTATCTTGACTGAGAACAAGTTCTAGTGCTTGCTAGCGAGAGGGATAACGTTAGATTGTTTAGTTGCTTTAACACGCACATACCCGATACACAAAGACATATACACCCAATGTACCGTATTATTCGCACTATGAGGCGCACGTAGAATCCTTTTGGCTTATTGGAGCACTGCAGTCAGATAAGTGTGACTTATCTTACCGGTGCGTGTTATAGTGCGAAAAATACGGTGTATAATCAAAAGATACTGAGCTCGCCTGGTTTTTGAAAGGTCAACAGTGCTGGAGTCCACAGGTGATCTATTAATACAAACTCTGGGAAAGTATTCACTTTAACATCCTGTGTGGGAGCAAGATCGAACACGAGTTTCCACAAAAAAATATCAAAGTGTTGAAAGTTGAACAGGATTATTTTGATCAGAAACATGACAAAAAAACGGTCTCTTGTCTCTTCAGTTTTTGTTCCTTGTTGAGAATCTCTGAGAATCAAACTTCTGCTTTAATATGACAGTAGAACGTTTTTCCACCACACGGTACAGATGCTCACGTAGTCAGGGGTTCATGAATAAAATGAGTGGACTTACTGGTGCTCCAGATCGAGTCTGGCTGAGGAGCTTCTTCTTCATCGCTTTTTCATTAAACTTTGCACTCCGTTTCACGTAGGTGCCTCCGTGCTGGAAGAAAGACCATCCCATTTGAACCCCGGTGGGGAGTGTGATTTCACCTCAATGTACATCATCACATCTGCATTTTAAATACGACATTGAAATACTCACAGAGTGTCATTACCTGTGAGAAGTACCATCCATACAGTGGGAGCCACTTGAGTCCGTCTTTGAGGACGTATCTGACATGACCCAGAGCTTTCTGCCGGATGGCGAGCATGTCGGCTATGATCCAGTCAGCTGGAAAGAGGACATCAGGTGATTCACTTCAAGTTGGGCTCAAAAACACATTGATATATGAAGCAGGATGTGTGAATGCATTACCTGTGCATTGGTGGTTGGACAGGTAGATCACGTTCTCTTTGGTTTTTGGTATATCCCCGTATATCACAATCTACAGAGAGACAAAAGTTAGGTAGAATGTCAAAAAAATTCATTTATTTTGTTTGGTTGAATATTTTAACCACTTGGACCCTGAGCCATCTCAGGGTTATTTCTGCCCTAAAATTACATACCAAAAGTAAATCAGTAATAGCTCATCAACTGTAGGGCCTAGATCCACAATCTTGGTGTCTATGAAAAGGTTATATCTTGTAGAAACTAAATCAAGTGAAAGATTGGCTGTGACCTTTATAATGCTAGAATGGTATCAGGTAAATTAAAGAAAAAAAAAATCTAAATTTTATCTCCGTCTAAAAAAAAAAAAAAAAAAAAAGGATTTTATTATCAAAAGTAAAAGTAACCCCAATTTGAGTAGGCATTTCATTCATTAGATGTGCTCTACAACATCTAACCTGCAATCCCTCCAAGTTTGGTGTCATCTCATGATGTGTTTTGATATATGATAGTGGTATGGAGTTACATGACGGCTTCTTCAGCTTCCTCTTTTCTACCGGAGTCGCTCATGTCCGCAGCGCGTTTAAAATGTGCATAAAGTGTTTAAAATCTTAAAAATTATTAAAATACGTCAGTGAAATATTCAAACACAACATTTTATACATGCTCTAACCCCGCTGTAGCAAAATCAGAAAAAAAATCTGTAGTTTCATCTCGTCCTTGTGAAGCTAGAGGCTGGAGATGACAGGAAGAGGCTCAGTCCACAGTCACAAGTGGTTAAAGATCATCTGTGCTAATTTTTGGTGCAGCAATTCTTTCTGTTTAAGTGGTAAAATTCATCAGGAGTCAATCATTTCACTTTGCCTAAATATTTTTGCAGACAGTGTAGACTAAGGTTGGTTTTGCAGGAAGCTATGACTGACTTCATCTGACACCTACCCTGCTGCAGTGGTTACAGTAGTAAAAATAACTGCACAGAGATCACAAGTCTCCTCTCTAACGGTGTTTTTTGTTTGTCTGTGGGTAATAACTGCACCACTGACAAAAATGTAAAAGGTCCTCACAGGAGGATTTGGTTCTGTTTCAGATTAGTTTTTCAATTTATACAAAAGCCAAACCAAAATAAACTGCAGCTTTTCAATAACCCCCAAGAGGATTTATTAAAAAGATCTTTTCTAATCCGTTTATACGGCCTACAGTGCAGCACTTCATACACGAGTCATATAGTATCAGACATGCCGGTTTACCAGCTACGACTGTTGCTCTTCTGCTCACTCTAATGTACAAACAAGAAAAGCATACAAGGCGTGGCGTCAAAAAGGCGCTGGAATGCAGCTTTTCTCGTCGTCCATCGGGTTCATCAACTTTTTTTAACTGCCTGTGTGTCCACCTCCAGTTTTTTGTTGTTTTACAGTTTTAAACAAACACAGAATCTTCCAGAATTGCAGAACTCGGTTTCATGTGAATGAAAAATAGTCAGAATCTTTGATTTTCAATAATCAGATTACATGTTAGTGGATAAAAGCTTCTGCTCATATCTAATATGGCTCCACAATTCCTCCAGCGTACTCCTGATAGACTGATGAAGCAAAGGAGCCTTTTCAATGACAGACTCATCCCCTTAAAATTTACCACAAGAAGCCTTAGGAAGTCATTCCTGCTTGTGGTCATCAAACCGTACAACTCTCCCGTCTCAGTGTCCAACACTTTGCCTGACCTGTGGCCTTAATTCATCTCCAGCAGCACTTGTCTCGTCATCATTCACAGCTGGTTCAGAGATAGTGAAACAACATCATCTCAGTACTGGCTTGCTTTCACTGGCTTCCTTGACGTGTTTCTAAAACTTGACTCAGGCTGGCCTCTTTATATTTGTTGAGTTTGTCGTATCACCATGTGCTTTTGGGTGTCCCCACATTCAGGTTAAAAAAAAAGGAGGTGAAAGAGCTTTTGCGGTTTCTGCTCTCAGGCAGTGGAGGAGTCTAACCTTTAATATGAGAACTGCTCAGACTCTTGAGAGTTTCGAACCCCTCTCTCTGAGTTGGCCTTTAATACCAGTTGGTGTGACATCCTGACATTTTGTAAAATATAGTTTTTCTCCTATTTAATCCGTCCTTAATATTCTTTAACCATATTTGCTTTATTGTTGGTATTGTTTATGGGCTTGGAGAGAACTCTGATCGACTGTGTTTTTTCTTGAAGTGCATAAATAAACTTTGACTTATCTATTTAATATGCATTTCAACTGTGAATTATCTGTTGTGACACACATTTCCGCCATGTTTGATCGAGTAAATATGCTCACAGCTGATCACTGTGATCGAACTGAAATTTATCACGATCATAACGCCGAGTCCTAATGCAGCGTAATGTGCACTGTAAATTAGGTTGAGTACATGTTCTCGCAAAGTTGGGAATACCTCAAATCTTTTATGCAAAAGGTTACAAACCCTGAGTGGAGCAAGGAGCCCATGGCGCCCGTGCAGCCAAAACAGCCGACCATTCAGTCCGCTTTCTAGCACAACGTTGAAGAGACACAAAGACCTCACAGATGCAGTAACTTATTGAATAGTGAAAGACATACTACCAATAAGTACTGTTACATTTCATGTTTTATATTGTGAAATACATCGATATCGACTGATATGAAAAAAATATGTCTTGATAAACTTTTTCTTATATCGCCCAGCCCTATCTTTAACCCATATTTGCTTTATTATTGGTATTATTGGTATTATTGGTATTGTTCATGTACTCTTAATATTTATTCATATGATATCTGGCCATATTGATCGACATGCGCTTAATTTGGGCTATTTTCTGGGAGTTCATTAATTTTCAGGTATTCGAATATTCGGTTTCAAAATGGTCGTTTAACCATCATAAGTACTGTTACATTTCATGTTTTATTGTGAAATATATTGATATCGACTGATATGAAAAAAAAGTGTCTTGATAAACTTTCATATATCGCCCAGCCCCATCGTTAACCGGTATTTGCCTGATTGTTGGTATTGTTTATGAGACTGACTGTGTTTTTTCTTTAAGTGTATGAATAAACTTTGAATTATCTATTTATTATTTCAATCATTTTTGCAATGATCTAACTTTCTGTTATTTAGCAGCCGCTGCTGAATGAATGGAGGGGAAACACTGCAGATACATATGAGTCCAAGGTAGAACTACACGAAATAAAAACTTTTTTTTTTATGTGTGGCGGCTTCTATTTAGCTGTGGCGGTGCGCCACGATCAATTGCATGTAGGGGAAACCCTACAGTAGGTTTCTGTATTGCAGAAGACATGCTACCAATGAGCACTGTTAATTTTCATTTTTTATGTCATGATATATTTTGAGATCAACTGATATGAAAAAAATATATCTTGATAAACTTTTCCAATATCGCCCAGCCCTATCTTTAACCCGTATTTGCCTTACTGTTGGTATTGTTTATGAGACTGACTGTGTTTTTTCTTTGAGTGTATACATAAAGTTTGAATTATCTATTTTCTATACATGTCAATCATTTTTGCAGTGCTCTAACTTTCTGTTAATGGTGTCCTATGTGTGCATGTCATCTCCTTTGTCTGCACTATGAAGCAAAGCCTCCTGTATTTGTGTCCCTGTCAGTATTTCTCATGAAGAGTTCAGTTTACATACTGGCTCACTCACCTCAACTCCAGTGTAGTTCTCAAAGAAGAAGAGGACCATGCTCTGGTAGATGCAGTACAGCCGGTCGTCTAACTTGTGGTACCATCTGGCTGGTAGGACAGTGGACAGTAAGCGCCATGCTCCCCATGACAGCAGATAAGCCGGAGCTGTTCCCAGCATGATGGTTGCTGGAAACCAGTACCGCAGAGAGTAAGTGTGCACCACCAAGGAGAGCAGCATGATCCCAGCGGGAGTGAGAAAATCCCTGAAGTCGACTGTGGGACCCGGTCACACACACTGAACCCGATCTATCCCTCACCACACCTGGCCTACTTTCGCCACACCTGGCCCGACAAGTCAGCATAAGAAAGTGACAAACCTGCAGCAGAGGGGAAGTAGGGGAGCTAACAGGCTAAAGCTAATTTTAACCTTGTGTACAAAACGCACTTTAACAGAGTCGGCTTCAGCGCTGCACTGCACTGCAACAATACAATTAAAACCCTGTTATCTTGATGTTATCAACATCTCAACCTCAACAACAACCTCAACACAAACTCAGGACCTTCACTGCACAAGTTCAGAGAGAGCGTTAGCTTCCTATCTAACGGGTTTAACCGCACAGAAAGTTTTAACAAACGCTACATTCAACATTAACTGTCCCTTCTGCTGTCGTTACCGTGACAAAGTTGAACCTAAACGTCAGCTCATGAGTTAAAAGTTAACATATTGTCTATTTTCGCCCCTATTTCATCATCTTTATCCGGTTAGCTCTTCATAAACTAGCTCCTTGCAGCAAATGTCACACACGCCTCCCTACGTCAACGCACCTTGTAGCATCGGGGAAATTGATTGGTCATGTGACGTAGCAGTGGACAGCCAATAGGAGGAAGCGCACCATGAGTTCCATATGGTCCAACTTTAAAGGGACATTACACTTTTTATCTTTTTTGTGGAATAATAGAGTTAAGCCCAAAATTATTCATATCGCTGTCAAGTACAAGACATTTCTTCATTTTTTTTCAAACTTTGAATAGAATAGAATATTCCTTTATTGATCCCCCATGGGGGAATTTTTTTGCCACAGCAGCAACACAGGCAAAGTGCAAAAATGCAGTTATAAAAATAAAGATCTTAATATTAAGAACTTAAATGTTACAATTAAGAAAAAAATTAGATTTTCAGGATGGCCATGGTTAAATAACTGTACATGAATGTGGAATATTAAATAGATTAAGGTGTGAGTCCAGTTTTATGACAGTTCGTTGTAAAGTCTTATTGCTGAAGGGAGGAATGACCTGCGGTAGTGCTCCGTCTTGCAAGGTGGGAGTCTCAGTCTGCTGCTGAAGGAGCTGCTTAAAGCCCCCATAGTCTGGTGCAGTTGGTGAGAGGGATTGTCCATGCTGGATACAAGCTTTGCTAACATCCTCCTCTCACCCACCTCCTCCTGGGACTCCAAAGAACAGTCCAGGACAGAACTGGCCCTCCTGACCATATTGGACAACAAAGCCTGTAATTAAAGGTTTATTTTCTGATTGCTGCTATAACCCAGACCATGATGGGCCATGCTGCTATTGTCCAAACTAGTAAGTTAAGTTAACTAGTAAGAAACATGATCCATATACAAGAAATGTTAATGAAAAGTGATCATGTTTTTACCACATGACTTTTTAGAATGATGCTATTTCTAACTCTGGATGCAGGTATGGTTGATTGCAGTTTATTCACTGTCAAAATGCTTCAAATGACCATTTTTGGAAGTTATAACTGTGAAGAATTTGGAATTTAATGTGCAAAGACAAAGGCCAGTAAATAAACATAACTTTCTCTACAAAATATTTCTCTGCCTATTAGGTTTAAAACCATAATACATCACATGTTGGGTGTGATAAATAATGCAAAAAGGTTCCAGCAGTTATTTGTTACTTTCAGTCCCTGTTTTTGTAACAAATCCACAAGTGAGCACTAGCTGTGATATAGCAGGATGTTTATTTGTCATTTGTGCTGAATGTTGACTCATCCATTGACAATCAGCCATCTACATCAAGTAGTTATACAATATCATGAGATTGAATGAATTTATTATAGCTTATAAAAACACTTTAAAATAGATTAAAAAGAATAAAAACACCGACTGATATCAGCATTTTAAACAAGTACTTCTTAGAAAAACCATCACAGAACATAAACAGTGTGTTTTCTGCACTGGCGTAATAAACTGGCTCAGTTTGTACGTTAGAAATCACATTAATAGAAATGATTGCACCACCATGATGTGTTGTAAAAATAAAAAACACTCATAGTATTATTGAAGTAGTATAGTAGAAGTAATATTGAATAACATATGACTCCTTGTAAAAGCAGTTCTGCAGACTTTAACAGTAAGTTATTCACAGTAACCATTCAAGCATTGCTGCATAGTTCGTGGGCCTCAGAATTAACAGGTTTCTATGGTAACAAGGCAATGGTCTTTAAAGGGGTTACATATGAGAGGAATAATGTACAGCCTCTGGACACATTTGCAAAGAACAATGGCAAACCACCATAAAAGGAACACTGAAAGGTAGAAACTGTGGGTATGCAACCACGCACAATTAATCAAAGAAACGAGGAGACGTTCAGCTTTTCTCTCCACTCTGCTCCAGGTCGTAGTTATCATATGACAGCTGCTTCAAATGAGTAATGCTATCTGAAGAAATAAGAGAAAAAGAATATCAGAAACCCAATAAAATTATTTCATCTTAAACACAGAAAAGAAACAGGAAAATCTTTTACCAAGCACCCACTGCTCGGACAGGATCCTGCTCCCCTCTGGTCTCCTGCCGCTGTACTTCCCTATGCAGATTCCAGCCTGTCGCACGGTTTTACAGACTTTTCCTCCACAGAGTTGGATCAGCTCCATCAGACTCTGAGTCGGAGGCTGGGAGTGCTGGGACACAAACATGGCTGGCTGGTCCTCAAACAGGTCCTGCTGGTGCTCGCCGGCAGACAGGTGCCGCTGAAGACGGCAGATCTGTGAGGAGAGACTGATGGTTCAGATCCTGCACAAAAACCCTTCCCACGCTGTTTTTATTTCTTCCATTAAGAAAGTTCCCCACACTCCCAGTTTAAGTGTCCAACGTATCAAAAAACTCTGTGGCCTCAGTGAACTCAGCAGTTATTACTGACATTAGACTGAGCTGTTTCTTTTGGCAGATTCGCAGTTAAAACACAAACCTTCATATTGGCTTTTAATACCTGTTGAGCCTGACAAGTTTGACATCTTATCTGCTTTCATTTATTGTGTTCATATCCTGTTATTGTGTTCAAGGGATATTCTGGCGTAAAATTAAGTTAGGGTCAAACACACCGTAACACCGAGTTAGACACCCCCTCCAGAGATGAATGTTGCCGACTGCTTGCTTCTCTAGTTATACCAACTTTAGTAACGACTGCAGATGGCAATACAGAGAACCACACACTCAACCAAAACGCCACAAATAATGCTCAGAACAGCACCTAACTTCATCAACAGGACATATAGGGTCCCAGTCATAGTACTAGCCACCAAACATCTTTTTAACTTTGACTCATTTCTTTGGCAAAAAGACTAAACACAACTTATCCACTCTCTTCCAGCAGCCACTTGTTTGTACGGAGACGCAGCTCAAGAAGGAACATTTATGATCATTACTTTATCATTTCCTTGAAGCAATAATCATCATATTAATCATTTTTCACTGCAGATAAGGTAGTTTTTCTGCCTTAACGTCTTGGTCTGATTGTATTTCCATGAAGAAATGATCATAAATGTTTTTCCTTGAGCTGTGTCACCCCGCTGTAGTCGGTCATGGACTGGCCCGTAGTCTCGCTACAAACAAGCGGCTGCTGGAAGAGAGTAGGTGAGTTGTGTTTAGTCTCTTTGCTAAAGAAAACAAACAAAGTTAAATAGATGTTTGGTGGCTAGTACTATGGCTGGAACCCTATATGTACTGTTGATGAAGTTAGATGCTGTTCTGAGCATTATTTGTGGCTATAGAGTGGCTTTTAGGTTGAGCATGTGGCTCTCTGTATTGCTATCCTGCGGTCATTACTAAAGTTGGTATAACTAGAGAAGCAAGCGGTCGGCAACATTCATCTCTTGGGGGGGTGTCTAACTCTGTGTCACAGTGTGTTCAACTTAATTTCATGCTGGAATATCACTTTAAGTGTTTTTTAACTCATATTTCTATTTTTTGGTATTATGTACTTTGGCCTGTACAGCTGCAGTTGTTTTTAAATGTGCTGTCTAAATAAACTTTGACTTTATTTTTCCAAAGTTAAAAACTCAAACACTCTTGGCTGCATAAAGATGAGCTACAGGGCCATTAAGTGTGCCTGTTTACTATGTTCATAGAGTACTTGTCCGTAAAACTACATGGGTGCGTGTGAGGTTATTTTTCTCTTTGGGCTTCATGAGTGAAGCTCTGAACTCTCACTTAAGTCTGCTCTGTATCCAGCAGGGGTCAGCTGTTAAACTAAACGGCTCGACCGCTTCTATTTTCAGTTGAATGCCAGGAAACAAGCCTTAAACCGCTCGGTTTTTTGTGAATGTTCACACAAGTTTCTCTTTACATGAAGCAATCAGGGCCTGGTCAGAGGGTTCAGAGCTGGGGTCAAGTTATCATTAACCTACACTGTGTGTGATTGAGACAGAAAGACTGGAGACTGCATGAAGGGTCTATTATATGAGAAAAGAGGCGATAAAAAAGGAGAAAAACAGCTCGGCAGAAAAGGAAAATATATCAGAGAGTTGAACAAAATGGAGACAGAAAAGCACAAATTCAGTTGACTTTATTATGCTCAAACTCATTGTTATTTGTTAATAATTATTATTATTCGTTATGTTTATGATCTACAAAAGCAAACAAGACCACCTGCAGCAAGACTGATTTTTGTGTTGTGATTTTTACTTCCTAAAATCGGATCCAGAGGTAGGTGTCAGCAGAGCAGCTGCAAAAACAGACACATTTTTATGACTTCCACAGAAAATATAAAAAAAAAATAAATGATGAGGCATGTAGAAAACAAGATAAGCATAGACTGCTTTGTCAATAAGAGGTGCCAAAACTGACACAAGCTCAAAGTTGGCTCACAGGGGCCTTAATGAAGTTCAGCAGTTCAGGAAGATGAAGCAAAAAAAGCAGCAAAGAAGGCAACACCCAGCATGTGTGTCATACTTTTGTATGATGAACGACCAGAGTGAATCATCGATTTTCATTGTTACTATGTTTGCTGGTAAATTCTCTTTCAGACAGTAGTCAATGCTGCTCTTCTCAACACAGCCTTTATCAACCAGACTCCTCTGACTGTAAATGCTTGATCAATTTGAATACACACCGTACATGGAACTGCTTCATCAGCCAAGGCTTCAAATACACCTAGCATGTCAGGGAGGGAAAATGCAGAGGCATAGAGGAAAATCAATTGGATGCCTGGATGCAGAAATGGACCAGGGTTGTAAATATCTGGGGGGGGGGGGTAACTGTAAACTGAAGCATTTGTCATGTATTTCAGACACAACATAAAGCAAGCGTGCTCAGTGTCAATTTATAACATAATGAAGCATGTTACTCAGGTCTTACTGGCTGTGTCCAGTAGGCGGTGCTATTCCAAGACTGTCTATGGTCTACTGGGCGGTTTTAGAGATGGATTTTTATCAAACGTGAAGTTTGAGGCAGTTTCAACTCTGTATGTTTGACAAACAGATACTTCCCCTCTCATGGTGAGATATCAAGCTTTAATTAGCTGTCACAGCAGCACCCTTTGAGCTTCAGTCCAAAATTTAGAGATTTATTCTGTTAAATACTGAATCCGTCCATATGTGTGAATTTATTCCATTTACTTGGTATTTGATTGATTTGTTTTTGGTCGTTCAAATGCAGATCGGAGTTGCATTCACTTCAAATATCTTCTTTACTGTTGTGTTCATAGCTCATTTGTGGTGACCTAAATTTATGCCTGCATTTTAAGAAGGTTTAATACAAGAAATCAAACTTAATGGAGCTAAAATATTCATTTGTAAACCATCTTCACGCTGCTGCTGCTGCCTGTTTGTTGAATTCATCACAATCAAAGAGCTGAATTTTTCAAATCCCCGGAGGATGGGTCACAAAGATGCCAACAGTACAGAGTCTGTTTTCTTTGAAAAAGACTCGAAATTGAAAGTTGGACTGCAGAATCCAAGCAACAACTTATTTATACTTCACATGGGAATTCCCAACTCGCTGCTTGGACAAAACGGTCAATACTTCTGCTGCTGCACATTCACAGTGACATATGTGAGGGTAAAGGCTGGGCTAATAGGCTGACAGCTCCTTTTTGTTGAGATTAATCTTTGGGCTTTAGGGTTTTAAAGGTGGAGTAGGCAGGAATCCATTAAAAAGCAGCTTTTTCTGTGGTGTATAAACAAAAAAGCTTTTAATATCCGTCAATAGCTATCAGTTATTGATGACATTTGGTAATATAACGATATCGCTTGTTTTGTTATGTCTGTATAATCAACACTTTAAAATTTTTGAGCGGTCTGCTCTTTCTAAATGTAAACAAACCCATTTTCCGCCTCCCCCATCCTGATTGGTTGTGAGGCAGACGCTGCTCCCCCGTGTCGTTCACGAGCCCAAACAAAGTTAGCGTGCTACAACCAGAAACCAACTGGAAAGTACAGAAAATTGTCTGAATCCTCCTTTGGCCACGACTGCCAACACAAGCAAGAAAACAAAGTAAATACCGGAGACTCTGGCGGAATAAAGGGGGCTTAAAAGGAGGTGGACCGGACAAGAGCTAAAAAGCCGGGTCAACATGAAACGATAGGAGACACTTCGGGATCTTGGTGACCCTGTAACCTTTCTGCTGGACAGGTAAACCTCTTTAACAAAGTAAGCCAAGTGTTGTAGCGCTGCTAAACTGTTGACCTCGGGTCCTGGACTATGTCACTTTATCCTAGTTGTAGAAGTCCTACAAACATTGTGTTTGCTGGTAGTCTGTTGGCATCTACAGTAGCACCAACGCTTTTTACTTTCACGTTGACTGGGCCCGATTCGTATTTATCTGAAGTATTTATCTGCATTATATCTGAATTTAATTAAAACGATACGAGCGAGCAGGAGCGTCTGTTTGTGTTTGTAGGACAGGAATGCTTGAGAGACAGTGTCGTAATTGTTCAACCAGTGCAATGAAGGCTACGTGGGGCACCTACTCTACCATCTGACCCCTAACAGTGACCCTTGTGTCAATCTTTAACAAAAAATACAAGATGAGAACGAGGAGAGCCTGACAGGTTTGCAAAGTGAAGTCTGATAATCCAGCACGCAACAGTCTAGTGGTATGTGGTGTTTTGACGTACATGGGATGTTGCTCAGTGGTCCCTTCTTCCCCTGTGCTTTTAGTAACCATAAAAAATAAACTGCTCTCATTAAAGCTACTGTTTAAATGATTCACACCTGAAACAGGCCGTGTTTTCAAAATGACGTCAACTCCTTCCTCTTTTGTAATGTGCCTTAAATATGTTGCATTTCCCTCGTACTGTAACTCTTACATCAGCACGTTTCCTGCCATTCTGTTTCAGCATTTCTGCCCGACAGTAGGTAGAGGCTTTCCTGTCAAAAAAAAAAAGAAATACAGTGCGGTTCAAACTGAAATGCGGTCATGTTGGGGCAAAATGAAAGTTCACTTAACAATGTAAAGCAGCGGTTATTTCGCAGACTGATTGTGTCTGACTTTGAGTTTTAGTTTCAGGGTGTTTAAGAGAGTCTGTTATGGTTTCAGTGTCAGACACAGTCCCAGGTCTGAAGACACTGACATGATTTCATCTCTTTGTTTAGTGTTTTAGTTTTTATTTCTATCAACCTTCCTCCTGTGTTAGCTTTTACTACGCACCCACTATGTTAAGGGTTGGTTTTGACCCATGTCTTAAATCAGCTGTAAATTACACTAAAAACAATTCTCTATCATCCGATTTGGTTCTCATCTCTAGGTTAACTTGTTAGGCTTCATTATCCATGAAAATATTGCTTATAATATTTTTTGTAGTGGTCCTCTGGGCCTTTCTTTGTCATTATACCCCTCACACAGACATCCATACTGAACTGATCTCACATGTCTGGACATGCCCGGCGTAGTTTTTTGTGCAGGAAAAAACATGACAAAATGAGAATTTCCTAAATCTCACATGATTGGAGAAGGATCTGACTGACAGTGCACTTATGATTTCAGTTTTTGCTCTAATTATTAGATATTGATCTAACTGGGTCAACAGCGACCCAAACACGACAAGTGCCATCATTTTAGTAAAAGCATTTTATAATTTAGTCAATTTAATTTTTTTAAATTTTGTTGAAATCGAGGTTCCTGACAAAATCAAAAGTCTTGATGCACAAAAGCTAATTTAAGTGGTTCTTTTAAGCATTTAAAATCAAAATCCTAACACAGGAGGAGGGTGAAGTGTACACAGATATTTTTATTTAGTTTACTTTGAAAAATAAATTTTTTATGTATTTTGTTTACTTTTTTGGCTATGGTATATATTGTCTTTTTTGGACTTTGATCCTGAAATAAAATTTAAATGTTTCTGTGAAACTGCGGTTTCTGTTATATATAAAAGTAGGACTTTGAAAAACTGACAACATAATAACATCATTTAAAAAAAAAGGTTTTAAGCTTGAGTCCTTGTCATTTTATTCTACATTCATAAGACACAAGGACACAGACGGACCTCATAATCCTTTATGGTTTTGGTCCTTTACATTTATTTTTATTTCTTTGGTATTTTGTGGTTTTATTACACAATACTTCTGGGAATCAGTTGTGACAAGCATTTCCTATAATAATATTCCCAGGTTGTCGATGACCTAGTGATCTAAGTGCCCTACATACAAAGGATAGAGACCCTTTGCTACATGGCTTCCCCAGCTCTCTGTCCCCACATAACCCATCTTCCTTTTCGCTGTCCATCTCATAAAAAGAAAAACACCCAAAATAAAACTTCAAAAATTACCAAAACAGCGTACAAACTAACTTCTACTAAAACAGAAAACTAAAAGTGAAAATGAAATAAAAAAAAAAACACTTGTGAGTAAATTCAAAACTATCCTAATTGTGTTTTGTATTTACAGGAAAATACAAATGGGAAAAAAAAACAGGAATGTCTGTGATGGAGCCACATTCCTGAAGTATGGGACAAAACATCCTTGGATGTCAATGCCTTTCCTGCACAATGCACCTGCACTCTGCGCCCCACTGTGACACGAGAGCCCTCAGACGGACTTATGTGACGTCATGTTGGGTTAATGCTGCAATTAGGGGAAAACAACCAAACCCTCCTTTTGTGTATTCATTATATCAAAGCAGGGTTGTTAAAGGCTCTATTTTCGTACGCTTTGGGGAGACTGTCTGTTATATTTTCCCGACTAGCCACAAATAATGAGTTACTAATGAGAGGCTGTCTGAAAATACTCATGCATCTGAAATTAACAGCTCTGGTTTTGTAAATTGGGAAAACATTCAACCGCATTAAAAATCTGTTCATATCCAGCCTCATTATTGTCACACTCAACAGTGGCGCTCACTCAGATTCACACTTAAAAACCGGGAGTAAAAAGTTGATCCGCGTGGGATCCCTTTTCGTCCTGCTATTCTGAGCTTGTGCAGACACGAAACTCTGGAACAGGATACAGAAAACACCCACAGCTTGCCCACATACTCCAAAATGTAACAAAATCAAACAAGGTAGTCTACAATTACAAAGCTGCATTTGTTGTTAGAGAAAACACAGAAACAAAACAACTTTCCCATGACTTTTCTGATCTGTAAGGGTAAGGACAAATAATGCTTGATTATTCTTATGACTCAGACACAGATCTGCCAAGTGCACTTGGGTTGAAATTGCATAAATCTGCCCCAGAAGCAGATGCCATTTCTGTTTTGTGGTCTAGGGTCAACAAGTGGCAGCTTTAGTTTGTAGTAAAAACAAAAGTATTTTAGACTTTGAGGACACTGAGCCCTGAGCAAAGACCTGACTGTTTTATATGATTTAAAAAGAGAGAAAAGATAGATGAGACTGTCTGAGGAGAATGACATTTCAATCAGTCATTTCTGCCTTTGATTTCAATCTGCACGCTAGAGCAGAAAAATTGGGTGAACGGAGAAAAAAGCATTTAAACAAGGCCTCTTCCCTTTGAATCCCTCATTCAAGGATGCTTTGTCATTGACCGGGAAACATTCTTGAATGAATGGGATGGACGCGGCTACTATCACAGAGTGTGCTGAAGGTGGACAGCTGCATCCTGAGGAGCTTTTTTTCCCCCCTCAAACAGAGCAGAGAAAAAACACGTGGCCGTCGTAGAGGATATAGTGAAGTGTGTGTAGTTTGTACATCTGCTCCTCTGTGTTGTTTAGTGTGTGCGCTGAAAGGAATCTCCACTTCAGTGCTCTTCACAGTGACTGGCCACAGCGAGAGGAGGGGAGTGGTTTTAAACTCACAGTTAGCTAATCAGAGGGGGGCCACGGGGAGCTCAAACAAGTGGTCGGGGGCTTGATGAAAAGCGAGCACATGCAGTCTGGCACCGGTAACCTGAGGGAATGACACACCAGCTCTAATTCCTGATGGCTTTTTCTCCTCCTACCACTGAGAGGGAATAAAAGGAATCTCAAGAGGACTTTTTTACACTTGGATGCTGTTTGGGAAAGGCGCCCTATCACTGAGGGAAAGTTACAGAAAACCCAAGAAGTTACAGCTGCACTCACTTAACCTTTGGGTAAACAGCCTTGCTATGAAGATGCTGAATGTGGACTTGTTAGTTTTAAGTTTTTGCCTCGGTATGGGGACAGGATACAGTGCTGCAGGTAAGAGACAGTATCAGATCCAGAACGGGCCGTGCAGCTACACCTTTCTGCTGCCTGAGCAGGATTACTGCCAAACCCAGAGCAGCGACTACAACCATCCCGTACAAAAGGATGGGCCTGTGGAGAACACCGAGTCGGCTCAGAGGCTGGAACAGCTGGAGATGACCATGGAGAACAACACACAGTGGCTGCTGAAGGTAAGGTTATGTCACACTTGACTGTATAACACACAGACTATGATTGTTTCTGTTTCTATGACGGGAGAGGGACGGTCTCCAAGGACAAACTATAGACAAGTGTTATGTGGTTTTTGAAACAAGCCCTGATGATATGTTGCACTTGAACAAACCCAGATGTCACTGTGATTTTTTAAAAACTTCATATCAGATTTTTTAAACTAAAGACAGTAGAAGCTTTAAATGAAACTACTCTCTAAACTATACAAATCTGGTGTGATGCAATATGTGACAATATGATACAATACAATATGGTGCGATACAAATAGATACAACGCTGAACGATTTAATATGATATGATACAATTAGGCCCAATATGATACAGTTGAGTATGATGTGCCATATGAAACAAAATGAAAAAGTATATGATTTGATACAATGTTAACGATACGATTCGATACATTACGATACGATATGTTGAGATATGATACTTTATGAAACAACACTAAAAAGTATATCAAATAATACAAATTAATACAATAAAATACAAAATTATACAGCGCAATATGACAGAATATAATATGATATGGTAAGATACAATACCGCAGGAAATGATATGAAATGAAACTATATTTAATGATATGCTACAAAGTTAAATTGTACCACAAAATAGGCCTGTGTCATGTAATTTAATGGGATATTACACTTTATCATCCCTTCAGGAAAAATATCTTGAACCAAAGTTCTGGCATTATTTAGCACCCCTCTGATAATGTTAATAATTAAAACAAACAAAAAATTTCAAGAAATCCTCAAGACAGTAAAAAGTCACATGCAAGTAAAAACATAAACAACATACTAGGGCTGGGACGATATGCTTTTCTCTCGATTCGATTCTTCTACGATTTTTTAGATGCCAATTCGGTTTAAATTGCGATTCTACAATATTGACGATTTTCCAGATTTTTAATCTGCATTTTTAACACCAGTGAAACAGTTGAATGATTATGATTGTCTACTAACTATTCCAGGAACCAAATTTCACATCACATGTAAGTCAGTTTTGAAGAGTTATTCTTATATTTGAAAAAAAATCAATTTTTGAACATAAAAATTGATTTAAAATTGCAGTTTTTTCTCCCATACAACAAACTGTATATTGTATATGAGCAGATTCAACATGTTCTGCATGAAATACAACTTAAATATGTGAAAAGACCCCGACACACTGTTATACTGCCTTGAGTAAAAAACGCAGGACACTTCAAGGAGCTTTAAACTTTTGTTTGAGTATTAATATTCTGTTCTTCAGTTTCAGGAACACAAACAAACTAAATTATAGACTCACTCCCAACATGTTTTTCAGACTCTAAAAAAAAAAAAAAAAAAAAAAAAAAAAATCTGGGGTAGCTGCTAATTTTGTTTCCACGTGATGTGCAAGTTTCTCAGACTCATACCAAAACACAAACTCTTTTTGTGTTCAGGCCAACATCAGTCAGGCAGTTTATGTTTCTGTTCCCTCCAGTTTGAAACAGAAACTGCTGTCTCAAAATAAGGGAATTCAAAAATATAATAGAGTATGCATTTGTGAGGTGTGAGTCAGGACTGACCAAGACCAGAAGATAAGACTAATGAAAGTTTTCAGCTCAACAAAAGACAAGTTTGAGTGAGTAAACTTTCATGTAAGATAGCTGGATGTGAAAAAACCAGCCATATTCATTTCATAAAAAGCTCTCTCCTTTCAGGCAGAGGCTTTAGGGATCCATTTCCATTAAGACAATATGAGGATATGTCTCTGTATTGATTAGTTAATGGGCTTGAAGACTTACAAAGACTCGACACAGGTGTCCAGACGAGGGACGCATGCTTCCTTTCAGTTTGCTGAGCCATTACTTGTGAAGACTGAATGAAGTGGACTACATCTTTCTTTCTTTCCTTCCTTCTTTTTCTTCTTCGGTAATTACCGATCAGGGCTTCACAAGGAGGGACAGACAAGACAGGAACATCTCACAGCTTGATCACTCAGTTCCTGCTCCTCAACATAAAACAAGCTCTGATGTTTTCCACAGGAGAGCGCAGAGGGCACGCCGCTCTGAAGCTCTTTATGATCTACTCCGTAACTAACCGCGCTCACAGGCAGACAACTGCCAAAGTGCTGCCTCAGAAACAAAAGCCTGTTCGCAGCACAAGGGGACATTTCACCAAGTCCATACTTCTAACAAGCCAAGAGGTGCTGATGATTAATGAGGTGTCACAATGTATTTAGCTCGGCCTGCATCAACGTACTCATAGGCATCCTGCATAATAAGACACGATGACCTCAACCACTGACATTGTTATCTTTTTATACGTACTCTAGATAAATTTGAGCGTTTTGAATAATTCATGGGCGACTGTTGACGAGTCATGAAAATTGCTCTGCCTTTTTCTACCCAAAACGTCATAATCCCTTCCTTTCTGTATCTGAGTCGTAGAGAAAGCAGCATTTTAGCTCCACTCCCACCTCCATTTTGATGGGAACTTCATTATTGTCCTATTTTTGGCTAAAATTGCACTTCAATCAAAATTTGACAGGACCATACTTTAAAAAGAATGATCTTGCTCCTTCAGCTAGATCAACATGTCTTATTATTCAGTGTCACTGCCCAAGTGTGACAGGTTCAGTTCCTGAAATACAACTCATTTTTTCCAGGATGAAGCTGGTGTGAGAGAATATGTCATTTTTCTTCACAGCACTCATGAGACCTGATAGCAGAAAAAAGTTTAGAGCATATTCCCACGTTTTTCAACGTCATATCTTATGACTGCTCTGGATTAACAAAGGCGAGAAAATAGCCATTGTTAAGGTCTATCAGTGAACGTGCAATGACCATCGATATCAGAGTGACCCAGAAAAACATGAAATAAAGTTTTCCCAGAACTTTCAAGCCTGTTAGAGTAACTACTTCTTTTTATCTAATATTTGTAGTTGTATGGCAAACTACTTTAACGAGAAGATAGAGATGTTTCATTTCCATTTAGTGGATAAGAAAGCAGGTACATTAATTTGATTGATGATATACAAGTTAAAACTAGGGCACGACCGATGCATCGGCGAGCTGATTAAATCAGAGACTAATCGGTAACCAGTGAAAACTCGCCGATATTTAAAAAAAAAAATGCAGGAAATAAGATTCGGAGTAACTCACATCCCTCATTTCCGGTCCGGTCTCATCTGGACACATGCAGCTGCTTCAGTAAGAGAAGTAACTCGATCACGTAATGTGTACTGTTGTTTATTCTACAATGTTCCCTGCTGTGCTGGTCTCAGTCACGCCGGGTAAACGGTAGTTGAAAACGCTTTTCTGTTCCAAGTTTGATCACTCAGTCTTCTTGTCGGCGTGAAGAGCAGTCGCCTACAGTATATCTACAGTATATATATATTTTTTATAACTTCATAAAAAATTTTAAAAAATCGGCCGATTAATCAGTAATCAGAAACCCCCCCCAATAATCGGTAGTGGCATCAGCCCCCAAAAATCCATATCGGTTGGGCCCTAGTTAAAACATCAATTTAAAGAGTTCACAGTATAATAAGTGTCTGGAAATGATTAGAAAAAAGTTACTTCCTCCTAATTTAGAAGAACCAGACTGACTCTTAAAGCTTAAATAACTGCGTTATGCTTTAGATAACAACTTTCAGGATGTCTGCAGAAGACAAACATTGTCATAGACTTTTCAAGGTTATTTAAATGTCTGAAATCAGTGACACAGACTCCCATCAGGTGCAACTTTCTCAGCCGGTGACAAAAGAGGAAGGGGATCTGTTGTTGCGCTCTCATGTGAATGAGGAACACAGTCATCCCAGTTACTGACGCCTTAGAGACACATGGAGTAAACAACTGATTAGATCATAGACTGTCAATGGGAAATCCTGCCAGCAATCTAAATGAAAAGCTTCCACCTCGCACACATCCCGGTGTGTATCCAAGAACATAAACACACCAGGAGTCTTGAAAGGAAGACAAACAAAATCAGCACTGATTGTGGACGCTACTTTTTACACACCACAAGAAAATAATACAATAATCGGCTGTTTTTGTGCATTTCTGACTGATTAACAAATAACAAATGTGACGTCGGTGTCCGGTTGTACACAGATGTTGTACCGCCATGAAGGATGTAACTTCTCACTCAACACATCCATCCTGTTTACGAGTCGTGTGACCTGATTGCCGCTCAGGAACATCGTGCAGGAAATAACTTAATGATTGGTCTTGATCTAAATATGGAAATACTGTAAGGTAGATCGGAACGCGTCTCATAAAGATAGAGCAGAGACCCGTGCTCACCCACAGAGCACCTATCGCATGCTTTGAATCTTAGTATTTTTCCATATGGGTATGGTTATGTCAGACCTGTGTAAGGTCATGACTCAGAATGACATGAACAAAAAAGCAATTAACTTTCTCAATATGAACAAGAATTACAAATAGATTATTTTGCATTTCAAACCTCAGGGAAACCTTTTTTTAATTTAAGAGGGTAAATCTTTTCACCTGTGACCGAGTTTTTAATTCAGGACTGATTAACAAAGGTATAGTCTTGTGCACTTTTTGCATAAAAACAGTGAATATGAGAGCATACAGCAACTTTGTAGCAATATAAAAAAAAGCAACTAACATACCAACACATGTTTAGTCTCTATTACCATGATCAGCATGCGACACTGTGTTATTCAGTATCATTTGACGTCTCATCAAACAGAAATCCCTCTTCCTAGGATGCCTTGCTCACTCTGCATAATTGTAGTTACCTTGTTATTAGTAAGAAGTTTGCAGAACAGCTTATAGACTCTGTGTCAGTTACATCTCATAATAGTCAGGTCCTTATAAAAATGACTCAAATATATATTTTTGGATGAGAAAAGTCAACCCGTTTGATTTTTACGATTTCACAACTGTTGAAATTCTTGAAAATCACAACCTGACTCATTATACATTATCCTGCATATTACCTACAAACCAACTAAAAATGTGAAAATAATACTTAAAGATGAATTTATCAGCTTGAAAATGATTTTTGATAAAGCTAAACACTGACATCTCTTTGAATTTCTGTCCTAAATCCAATCAGGACTAAACTATAGTGCTGCCAAACTTCATACAGTGTTGAAGTTTGTGGTTACTTTGGTGTCTGTTTTCTTCAATTTGATTGATATCTCTTTCTTTTGCTTTTGTCCACAGTTTTTTTCGTTTTATCTAACTTTCCCTGCTGTTGCTCAACATCCATCAAATTTGAGTTTTGTTTTCTCCAGATAACTGACAGTCATATAAAAAATAACTCCAATACTTAAAATCAGAAACTGATGCTTTTGCCACGTGGTCAAATTTTGACAAATGTGCTAGACAAGTGAGACTAAAGACAACTGAATTTCCCTTCAGGGGTAAAATAAAGTTATTCTTATTCTTAGACCCCTTTTCTGCAGATTGATTAGACTTGATGTGTGTGTCTCTGCTAATCAGCATTAATCACCATTGTTGTGGAGTTGTGACCGACGAAAATCAAGTCTTTCACACAGCCAGAGGATAAGCAAGAAGCCAGAAATAAAATCAGTCAGAACAATGAAACCTTAAAAGAACTGCTTCATGTCCAAGATTAAAAAAGAGTGAATAGCACTCATCACTCATCGTTCTATGTGTTCAGTAGCACAGATGTAAAGCAGGGCCCCTTTGTGACCAGCACAGTGGGTAATGATACCAACTAACAAGTCTTAAAATGCCCAAACACTGATTTTCTGTCATCTGCACTGCAGCTGGAGAACTACATCCAAGACAGCATGAAGCATGACATGGTCCATCTCCAGCAGACTGCTGTGCACAATCACACAGCGACGATGATTGAAATTGGAACCAACCTGCTGAGTCAAACTGCAGAGCAAACAAGAAAACTGACAAATGTGGAGGCACAGGTGAGTCTCAAGTGCACAATACTTGAAACCTGCAGAGGAAAGACATGCAAGAAAGTGCAAGCCATACAGCAGAAAGAGTTCGTTTAAATCTAAGAGTCTCAAATGAAAATGCGGTGCAGGTTTGTCAGTTGTTGCACTGCATGAACACGAATGTTCTTTTTCACAGTGTGCTCAGCGATAAACTGCATTAAATAATGTAGCTTTAGGGAGTTGAAAACATAGGCAGAGAGAAAAACAGGCATGAGTGCGTCAGTTTATTATTGTGACTACACGTCAATGACCTTATGTGAGCCAACTGTACAGCATTTCCTGTTATTAGCACACTCGTATTCCCACAGAAGGGGTCTATCAGTTTGTCACAATCACACATCCGTCTGTTCAAAGACATCAACAGCTCCATTGGAGACACATAGCTGGGATCTATGTAAACAACCTGCTTTTTGCTGAGTTCAGTTCCTCCAAAATGGGAAATTGGAGACAAGGTCCTCAACCTCAGTGTGCAGTTCAATATGTGGCTCTTCAAAAACAGGTAGATTTTCACTGTTTCCCATGTTCAGGTGCTGTATCGGAATTTTGTTGTTCCTGTCATGATTTTCCATTTTGCAGATGGATGTTTGTTCACCCCAGGAGAGAAAACTGGGCTTTTGTTGAACTTGATTCACTGATGGGAAATGGAGCATAACACCCAAACAAACTGCTTGTTGACAACACAAATGCGGCTTTTTTGTTATTTAACATAACTGATGTTCAGTGGCTTTTTTCCACACTTTTTCATCAGTTACATAAGTACTTTTGGGCTTGAAAACTTTGTCTTTTTCCACAAATAATCAATATTACATTAAAAAAACTTTGAGTGCAAGTTGCAGGTTTCCTCTCCTACCTTTCCATCTTTTGAATCACAGCTTTAAAAATATGTGAAAACACAAACAGCCAAACACAATCGGTCTGCAAACACTGTTAGATTGGTTTCCTGAGTGTGGCTAACATTAGCAGAGCCGGCACCACCAACCTCCTGTCTTCTTTGCAGGTTAACATCGACTTACATTTAGAGATGGAAATCAAGAACCAATTCTCAACAAGACCTGGTGCCAAATGGCTCAATCCATCGACATTGTTTACATTTCATTTTAATGATTCCCTTAACGATTCCTTCTCCCGGGTGCTTTGGAAGACGGTCTTGTGAGAGGCAGTCAACGCAAAGGAGAGCAGAGACTTTGAGGAAAAAACATGGTGGATGGTACGAAAAGTAGGCAGAAACGATCTAAAGCGTGGCTTCATTTATCAAGAAAGACGACGAGTCTTGTATGGGAGTTTTGAGTTTGTATAGCGTGGACTGAGTTAGAAGCGCGTAAAAAACACTCACCCACGACTCCACCCCGTGTAGCCGTGTCCTCTTTTTGGAGATCCAGAGTATGGTCACCCTGATTTGACTTAATACCAACAAAGTAAATGTTGTACAAATAGTTTGTCATTTAATTATTTTTAGACTACATCTTTTTCTGTTATCAAAGACTCAATAAAATTTTGAGTTAACATGGAAAAACCTATAGTCTACTTTTTTTTAAATCAAAGAAAGGCATTGATAAGGGAATCGTTAAAGAACTGAACTGATAAGCAGAATCTTTAATGGCAACGATATTGATAAAATCGTAACAATTCCCATCCCTACTTGCATTGTAGCGATTTTATGCCAGTTAAAGTAGACATGAGTTGCATCCAGCTTTAAAAAATACAAATCACACAGTGCTAGAGATGGCATCGATGCATGCATGCTTCTTCACATCTGGGTTGTAGATGAATTTTTGATGCCGATGCGATCAATAGTGCTGCAGCCTCGACTAGAGGCAGAGGGCTGCAGCTCAGCTTCAAAACAACAGAGTTTCAGGCCTAGAATAAAAAGATTTATATTTTGTACCACCAACAAAGGTGATGAAGTTTAATCTTTTCACCAACTTTATGTGCACATCCCTACTTCTTGGCTTTCAACCAAGTATGGGGGTCATGTGGTCTCTGTCTTTCTGTGTTTTTACTTCTGTTCAGTCAGGATCACTTTAGTCAAAATTAATTATTTATTACAAGCAAACATTTTTTACATTGGCGGTATGGCTCTGTTCTGAGAGTTCCCTGCCCTTCCATGCGCTTGCATGGAATGCCACAGCTGTACGAGCGGAGAGCTCCTCCCCTCCCTTTCATGTGCACACATGAAAAGCCGAGGCAGAGAAAGCAGCAGCAAATAAATACGATTAAGATAAATACATTAAAATCCCCCCACAGAACAGAGCAAGCATCAGTGACAACACATATGACACTGGTAAGATCAGACACAACATAAACTGGAGGAGTTGGGGTGGAGGTGGGCTGCAGAGTGGTTGCAGCAGGCAGAGTAGGCAGGAGAAGCAGTTTAAATAGGGCGCCATTTTGACATTAGCCAATAGGATGTGTAGAGGGCGATCACCTGAGCTGTCAGCTGACTGTGGCCTTTAGCTTGACTCCGTGACCTGCCTGAACTACCGCTATGCTGCATTTATTTTCTTTTAGCACTTTGGTTCATGTTATTTTTTTAAAAAGCTGTCCAGTTCAGTAGTTGATTCGTGTTTTTTTTTTTCCTTTTCAGGTTATACATCATACAACTCGACTTGAGCGCAGACTTCTGGAAAATTCTCTGTCAACCAACAAGTTGGAGAAACAACTTATCGTCCAAACAAATGAAATCAACAAGTTAAACGAGAAAAACAGGTGAGGACAGCCAAAAAGTTTAAACATAAATAAAAGTTTAAGATGTACTGAAAAAAAAACAAAACACTGATGTGATGCACAAAGTGAACTTCACAGACATGAACCTTCTGCCTTCTTCTCCTCAGCTTCCTGGAGAAGAAAGTGGAGGACATGGAGGAGCAGAGGCAGGTGGAGCAGAAGACGCTTCGAGAAGAAAAGCAGCAGCTTCAGACTTTAATACTGAAGCAGACGGCCATCATAGGCGAGCTGGAGCAGCAGCTGCTAAAGGTCTCCTCTAACAACACGGTACTGCAGCATCAGCAGCAGGAGCTCCTGGACACCGTCAACAACCTGATCCGTACCATCTCCACAGGCTCAGCTCGAGGTGACTCTCTACTCTGCTGTGTGATGACGTGTGTGTACAACTTTGACTTATGTGTACAAAGTCTAACAGTGCGTGTAAAGGCTGCTCCATAAATCTGAACTGAACTCATGCGCAAATTAATCCCGTCAAAGGGCCCTCCAGCAGATGCACTTAATTCTTCATTATTGAGGCATTTGTGTGTGGTTGTGCTGCTGTATTCGATTGCACAGAAGGCGGCTAACACACTTTAATGACCTAATGCTTCACTGTCAAAGCGCCGAAGCAATTAATGCGACTTTTTGGTGAGAATTTATCAACGGATGGCACATGTCAATGCTGTACAAATGTCTGGTGTCACATAAACGAAGGCTGGTTTCTTCTTCTGCAGAGACAAAAACCGCCATGATGCAGGACACTCCAACCACGTTTATGGACTGTGCCGCTGTCTTTAAGTCAGGGAGCACAAAGAGTGGGGTGTACACTCTTACATTACCCAACACTACAACAGAAGTAAAGGTGAGCTTGTTCAATGGACTTGGACCACACTATAAAAAAAAAGCCTCCTACATCGTGGACTCAGGAGTTGAAGATGCACACAAGTACGCACAAACCCATCCACACTTATATAACCTTGTAAATAACAAACTGCACACTTCTGGAAGTGCTCAGTAAACAATGATGTGTTTAAGGATGGAGTAGATGAATGAAGATGTCCCCAGACTTCCATTAATGATGTTCATGCTTGAGCCAAACATGGACTCTCCTTAGATACCTTTCAGAAGACTCTACTTGGACTTTCACTCCTTCTACGCATCTTATCTGTTTCAACCAAACTCACCAATGACGCCAAAGTTGAAATTAAAATTATTCACATGGTTATGAATTTTTTCTCTGTGTTTGTGTTCGAAGGCTTTCTGCGACATGGAGACAGAAGGAGGAGGCTGGACAGTGCTACAAAAACGCTTTGACGGCAGTGTTGACTTTCACCGTACGTGGCAGGAGTACAAAAAGGTAAAAGCCATGAAGAAGAAATTCTTCCCTTTGAAAGATAAAACCTAGGCTACAGCTTTCTCTCCTAAAAGCACAAGACAAGGCTAGTTTTGGTTTTGGCAGACAACAAAGAGCTGGCCCCAGTAATTCCTCTCAGTAAGAGGCAAAGAAAACCAAAGAGTGAAGATGAAAAAGACTGACCATAACGACCAACAAACAGCTTTCAAGTGACCACCATCCACTTGGAACAAAAAATGATGCCAGCGGGACTCTTGTTCACTCCAGAAACTACAGTCACTTTTAGTCTTTGCCACTTTTTTGTAGCTCAAGATTCATCCTAGCACAACTCACATTCTTGTGAACTTGTTTTAACTCTGGTTGAAAGTTAAACAAACAAAGAGCAACATGAAAAAAACACCACCGTCGCCAGCATCGATGGACAGTAAATGGGAAGGGGAGGATTTCCAAGCTTTTGTCTTGTCCCTACAGAGCAATCATTACAGTGAAAAGCATTCATGACATTTCTGCTATTCCCTCCGCAGTACAAGCTCTGCTAATACCAGCATACTTTCTGATGCACTTCTCCTTGTGAATGTGAATGTTTGTAATAGCTATATGAAGCTGCAGGGAATATTCAAAGTATGCTGATGACTGAAGAATGTACTGTACTAAGCCAACATGGTCTGACCTTGAACATATCTCTTCTGTCTTCTCAGGGGTTTGGAGATCCTCTGGGTGAATTCTGGTTGGGGAATGAGTTTGTCTCCAGGCTGACAAATCAACAGTCATATAAACTGAGGATCCAGTTGAGCGACTGGGAAGGGAACTCTGGATTTTCCCAATATGACCTCTTTTCTCTCGACAGTGAGGCACAGAATTACAGGCAAGTTATCGCTACTCAAACAGAAATGTCTTCATTTTGTGGAGTGTTAGCTGTTTAAGATTTAGATGTAATCAGTGCCCTCTTATCATATCAGATTTTAGGAGCCCAAGACTTTGCATTTTTCAAAAAATAAACTAATTTATGCGAGACAAAAATAGCCAGAAGAAGAACTCATTAAGCAGCAGCTGCTGGTGTTAAAAATGTCAAGCACAAAAACGGTCATTTTTTTAGTATCTACTGGAGACTGGCTCCCAAAGCCAAGAAAACCTTTTACTCATGGGATTCAAGGGTGGATAGAGAAGGCAGAGAGGGTGAAGGATAACATGGCAAAGTGCCACAGGTTGGATTTGAACAGCCTCTATACAAAGGTGCACAATTAAACATATCGGCTGCACCTATAGCATCAGAATTTAGCATATCTAATCCTGACACCGAGCTGCTTTTCTCTCCCTGATTTGTAGGTTTTACAAATTGAACAAAGACTGATTAAGACTTAGAGGCTTAAAGATTATTGAGCATAATTACAGATTAGGCTGAATCGACCGACTGTTGTGGCTGTTTATGAGGTGGCAAGGCTATTGTTCAGTCTGCTGTGTTGCTCCCATTGCATCCTATACATTGAATGAAGCACGCCAAACAGCTGAGTGTGGGCGCTGCGCCTCCTCTCAAACAGCTCTCACTTTCACTTCATCATGAGCAGCTCTGATCAATGAGAAATAAAGTTTAGGAGAACAAGAAAGTTGCAGTTTTCCAAATACTGGAGACATCGTTCTGAATTATAATAAAATGCAAGTCCTGAGGTTATAAAGGCCGTTTTATAAAGCTTGTAAAGACTACATGATTTCTTAAATCTGAAGCCATGAGCGGTGAAAAAGCTCAAAACCATCTACAAATACTTGGAGTGAAATGTGACATTTAATTTTGTGGAAATTGTCAGTAAAGTTCAGCTAAAGTTTTAAAATGAAGTGAAGATATCATACATGGTTCCTTCCAGTAGCAGCACATATAACTTTCTAAAGAAATAACATCATCCAGTTGGAAAGACCTTGAAATGTAAGCCCAACTGTCTTTTCAATTTAATGAAGTTTTAAATCGTGTTAATATGTCGGAGACAGATGTGAAAGCACGGGCAGCTATTTTAATAATCGACACATCAATTCAATAAACGCAGATTTTCTCTGAAGCATCATTTCTAGAGGGGCTCACATGGAGTTTGATGTAGTTCACTCACAACATTTTATATTTCTATGTCCTGATACGTCTGAATCGCTGCCTGCACCTGTTTTTAAGTGCTTCAATTAGAGGGAAGAATGAAGTGGAATAATTAAGTAGAATTAGGCTTATTCTTTACAATTTGTTCAATGATGAGAGCATGTTGATGAAAACACAGACAGCGCTTGTGGTTATTTTCCACTGAGTTTCAATCATGTATTAAAAGGGAGTATTCCTGCCCCCTCGTCTGCATCGTAAATGTTTCGCTTCCAAAAACCACCTTTTAAAGACTCATCCCATGATCCTACACGCTGACCTCCGACTAAAATTTAAAAGCAAAACAAACTGTAGAAACTCCTACATTTCTGCAAAAGACTTCCTGATATGAAAGTACTGGCATCAGCCCAAAGAAAATGTCATAAAAGCAGAGCGTGTTTGAAAAATAGGAAATTCATGAAATGTCTTGGATTTCAGGCATACTGTCAGCACCTTTTGACAATAACACAACCTTTGGGGGTATTTTCTTTTTTTAAACTTTTGAAGTTTGGACTGCGGTGGATAACTCCTTTGAAAGACAGACTTTAAAATGTTCCAATTAACCTCAGTCCTACTCTAAAGTCTAAAGTCTACCCCAAAGCGCTGCAAAAGTTCAGCAAGATCAAATAAAATCAGTAAGCGGATTATGGACATCAAGCACGGCAGAGAAAAACAACAACCCAAAAATGAGGTAACAGTGTAAGTGTGCGATGCAAATAGCTCCCCGACATCTGCCAGATCCCATTTTAGGTCTTTAGAAGTGAAGCTTTGGCCAAAGTAGAGTAGAAATGTGTAGGATGCTGCCTTTTGAGGAACAGCAATCACAGACTTCCTCCTCCTCTTCCTTCATTTTTCCTTTTTTTTCGCTTTACAGGATACACCTTAAAGGTTTCAGTGGAACAGCAGGCAAAATAAGCAGCATCGGGCAGCCGGGAAGTGATTTCAGTACAAAGGATGCAGACAACGACAGATGTGTTTGCAAATGTTCGCAGCTGACAACAGGGGGTAAGGAACTAAACTCTTCTGGATATCTACACGCGTCAAAAAACTACAGTAGCCACGTCAGCCTGTCACAGCACTCGATCGAAAGAAAATTCCTGCTCAAACAAACTTTGGCACTTCCTCCAAAAAAAATCTTCAAGGGCATTTTTTTCACGCTCCCGTACTTTTGTGGCCAGGTCAAAGAGCACAATTAGCTCCGAGTTAATCATGATGAACTCATTGGGGAATTCAGCTCCTACAATAGCTGACATTAATAGCCTGGGAACAGAGCTTTTCCCTCTCTCCTCTTGTTGTTTAAAAGTCCTCCTCCATTCCGCTGAAAGTGACTCGGCTGCCAGAAGTTTGTCTCGCTCTGCATCAGGGTCTGCCAAGTGAGCACGAAAGCATGAAAGCTCTTAGCCTATCCCTTTTTTCCCATGAGGGGTCTCCCACAGGGGACTCCATTTGCACATTATGCTCAATTGTGACTGAGTGGCACTCGTCCAGTAAACAGAGGAAAGTAGGATCTGTCATTAGGAGTTTGAAACCACATATTTTGGATGAAAAACAGTCAAAAAGACGGTAGTTAATCATTACATGATGGCTAAAAAAATATTAAATACACCTGCTAGTAAAGTGCTTCTTCCATCAAATCAGCCGCTAACTATGTTTGAACAGGAGGAGCTCAGCAATTTAGATCTTTTTAAAGCTTGCGGGGGTATTACTACTAATACGGGGAAGCCCTTTAAAGCGTTTGTTTGGCTTTTGAATCAGTACATTTGCCAAAATGTTTAAGAAAATGACTCAGAAAGAAGCGAGTTCACCAGATTTTTACTCAATTCGGCGTGGAGCCACATAAGCCTGCAGCAGTATAACACAACTGAAAATCAGACTTTAATTTGTTGAATGTCTTCAATTCTGTTGCAATGATCGTGACCCACTTTTATAAATGTAATGGTAAATCAATATAATCTTTTTCATCCCGTTAAAGGGATATTCTGGCGTTAAATTAAGTTAGGGTCAAATACACCTTAACACCGAGTTAGACACCCCCATCAAGAGATAAATGTTGCCGACCGCTTGCTTCTCTAGTTATACCAACTTTAGTGACGACCACACGATAGCAATACACAGCTGTCTGAGGAGCCACAAACAAACCTCAACCAAAACGGACCTTGGGCCAGTCCATTACAGACTACAGCGGGGTGACACAGCTCAAAGAAGAACATTTATGATCATTACTTTATGATTTCCTATCATTTACTTGTCTCGATCTGATTGCATTTCCATGAATAAATTATCATAAATGTTCTTCCTTGAGCTGCGGCACCCCATAGTAGTTCGTAATGGACTGACCCGAGGTCTTGCTACAAACAAGCAGCTGCTGGAAGAGAGTAGGTGAGTTGTGTTTAGTCTTTTTGCTAAAGAAATTAGGCAAAGTTAAAAAGATGTTTGGTGGCCAGTACAATGTCTGGGACCCTGCCATGCTGTTCTAAGCATTATTTGTGGCTATAGAGTGGCTTTTTGGTTGAGTGCTTGGCTCTCTGTATTGCTATCATGTGGTCGTTACAAAAGTTGGTATAACTAGAGAAGCAAACGGTCTGCAACATCCATCTCTCGACAGGGTGTCTAACTCTGTGTTACTGTGTGTTTGACCCTTACTTAATTTTACGTCAGAATATCCCTTTACGCTGAATCAGCATCTCTCTAATCAAGTGTCAACCAAAATCCACAAAAGACTTGCAGTAAAAAAAATAAGCCTAATCTTTCATGACTCGATTGACAAATAAAATCACAGAGATCCCAGATAACACCGACCTTTAATCAACCAACTCAAGATAACATGCCGAAAATCATAACCAAAGTAATCACAGCAATCAAAGAAAATAGTGTTAAACCAAAAATATGTTGACCCTGTCATAACCTGGCTCAAGGACCGTGACAAATATGGGAAGGACACAGGAAATACTCACAAATGTGGGTTGTTTATTGCAAAGAAGTAAACCAAATGATCAATCAGCTACAAAACATGGAGTGTGTTAGTCAGTTCAGTCAGTGGTGTGAATGTGATGATGAAGCGTGGGGTGTCGTCCAGCGAAACAAACAAAGACAAAATGCGAAGGCTGGAGTGGGTTCAGCTAAACGAGAGATCGGGCAGCAGCAGGGTTTGGCTTTCAACCCTGCTGCTGCTATCAACAACACTCAGGTATCTCCTGGAGCCAGGACAGGTGAGGCATAGCTGGGCCGAAGAGTAACTACAGCAGGGCCGTCACAACCAAGCTTACCCTCTTACTCCCACTGCCCATATAAAGTAAAAACAAAACAACAGCCCTGCCCCTGTCTTTGTGATCCGCCATCTGCAGTTCAACGTGACCACACTACAGATGACGTTCTGAATAAAAATCCTTGATTCTGCTTCCAAGTACACTTATATATTGTACCATTCATTCAAAAGGCTCCTCTTGATTTAATCTAAAGTCAGATCTGTCAATAAAATGACAACAACAAAAGAAAAAGAAAACTTTAAACTACAATAAAACCATAAACTTATAAACCAGGGGTCTCAAACTGCAGGGCTCCTCCTCTCTCTCTCTCGCCTGCCCTGTTCACAGCTTTTACACCAATTATTTAGAAAAGCAGAGATATAGTTGATCATGCTATTCCTTTCAAGTACATTTGACAGCCTACTGAACAAACACACGTATCTACAGTCTTTAGACTTCTTAAAGAGTTATGGCAACTGACTGATACGGAGTCTTTGAGGCTGCTGTCCATCAAGACCAAAACTTCAAAACACAAGAAAAGTTTCCTCCCTTATGCCACCAGCTTCACACCTGACACAGACCCCAACCAAGTCCCAGAGTCTCTAAACATCGCAGATATATTATTTTCAAGGTTCTTCGAAAGTGGTGGTACTGCTGTAGAAGAAAAGAAGAATAGAATATTCCTTTATTGATTGCTGTATGAATGCTTTTCTTTTTTATACACATTTTATTGTTGTACACCGAAACAAAGTCTTCAACTTTTCCTCAAATCTACTCTGTGATAAACCTGGTTGCGATCTTGTGCATGTATCACCTCAGCATACACTAAAATGAAGTGAAAATTTGAAACCCTAAAACTGAATGGGTGCTTGTACCCTGCGTGTTTGACAAAAAAAGGCGTACGAGTGTAGCAATTTGGCTGTCGCTTCAAATTCAGCACCTCTATATTTGAAATAACTGCCTCAAGACGGAGACACAGCTGCTTGTAATGTGCAATGGCATGTCATTCTGTGAGCGTGAGCTGCTAAAACAACACGACAGAAAATTTAATTTAATGCTTTTCATTACGTGAAAGCGGAAACTCGTTATGGCAAAAAAAAAAAAAAAAAAAGATTCAATCATCAATGAAACCTGGATACACTAACCTGTCTGTGTGCAGCAAATGTTACAGCTTATTATCTTCAAAGGTGGAGGTTTTACAGGAGTGAAAGCAGACTCAATTTGAATTCATATTTTGAGCTTCAGTAGCTTCAAAGCTATCTTAATTCACGGGTATGCAAACTGGAAAACCTTAAAAACTTAACCTCAGAATAGTTCAGCCCTGAGAGTCGCCTTAAATTTTTTAATACTGGAGTTTTTCCTCAAGCTTTGCCCTCTAATGATCACCAGTAAATCCTCAACATAGCCCCTTCCTAAAAACAGGTAACCATATAAAAACCAAGGGCTGCACATATTGCAGAAGAGGACAACAAAGTAAGAGGAAGAGCCCTTCACATTTTAGTCACAATGGGCACAAAGGAGTATTAAAGGGATAATCCGGCGTAAAATTAAGCTATGGTTAAACACATAGGTATAACTAGAGAAGCAAGCAGTCGATAACATTCATCTTTCGAGGGGATGTCTAACTCGGTGTTATGGTGTGTTTGACCCTAAATTAATTTTACGCCGGAATATCCCTTTAACGTTTTAGTCATGATGGGCACAAAGGAGTATTTAGGTGGTTTAATATTCATTTGTCTGATAATGATCATATTTGTTTTGATGTCGTAGGTTGGTGGTTCGACGCCTGCGGTCCATCCAATTTGAATGGGATGTATTACCAACAAGGCCAAAACTCAAACCGCTTCAACGGAGTCAAATGGTACTACTGGAAAGGCTCGGGCTATTCGCTGAAGTCCACTATGATGATGATCAGACCTGCAGACTTCTCGGGCTCCCTTTGAAAAAAGAAACTCCAGGATTGGACAGTCTGAGGACATTCACAGACTCAACAAACAACAACTTCACCAAAAATTAATAAATAAAATATCAAGGGAGCCAAAGCACTTGAGACAATACTTCACCATTCAAGGATTTTGTGCATTTTTGTGGTTTCTGTTTTTTTTTAAACTGTGGACTATTACAAAAATGTTTCCACTGAAGATTGTAGTTAGTAAATACGCACCTATAAAGTTTTTGAATGTCAGCTAGATAAGCTGACAGGACAGGCCATAGTTAGTGAATTAATTTCATGGGCACTTTTACAACAATGTGGAGATCCAGTTAACAAGATTTAAATCAAGCTGTCAGTGACATGATAAAAAAGAGGGGCTATGGTACAACATGCAGACAAACAACTGGATTTAAGTATTTGTTACATGTGCTCAAAAAATGTTCTATCTGATGTTAAAAATGTAAATGCAAATGTAAAAAAGACAGAAAATGTTTCTTTTTAGAGAGTCTATGTATGTATTTGTTGTTTAATTTATATGTAGATTTTTTTAGTCAGATATTTAACATTTTTATAATGACAGAGGTTTGTTACAGATCCTGAGGGCTATTTCATTGCACACAAACTAAGAGGAATCCTGTTAATATATTTTTGCAGTTACTTTTCTAATGCTAATACATGGTGATCATTTTACAGTCTTTTAGGGATTTGCTCCTTTTATTTATGTCCTGTGTCCCTGAGGAAGACTGGATTTGCATTTACTGGATTTTAGTGTTTGTGACTGTGACGCTCTAATAGGAAGGAGTTGAAAAGACACAACCACAGAGAAAGGAGCCTGAAAACCGAATGACCGAGTCCTGTTTTTGTACCATAACTATGACATGCTTGGAGGATAACAAATGCCAGATCATCACATTTGTTAGTGGTTATTTTTTTATATTTTCCAGAACAAATAAAAATTCTACAAACTTTTAAGTTTTCTCTTTTTTTGTATTTTCTTCTGAGGATACAAAACAGTTTAAAATGAAACTCAAGGTCTGATTCCTGATCACAAAATCTGTGCAAATAAGAAAGAAGACACTTCTGAATCCATGATGCACTAGCAAAGGATGAAATGTCCCATTGAATGTCATTGAACAGGCTGCTTTTGCTTTGTATAGCATTGATCACTGGTTAGAAGAGTCCTTCTCTCCACTTCGCTCCTTCAAAGAGAGAGTGCACAGTGCAGCTCAGCACAGCAGAGAGTGGAGCTCATCTTAACGATCAGATGCAAAACATGAACAAACTGCACTAATCTAAGGAGCTTTATAAGCATGTCTGCAACTCACTTTCATTAGGGCAATATGCTTTGTGAAGTAAACGTTGTGAGAGCACAAGGATAAATCGAGAAACTATTTTGGGATAAAACAAAGAATGGGAAGGTCTGTTCAGGGCTCGACAGTGCGACCGTTTCACTCGCATTTGCGACTAAAAATAGATGTGTGCGAATTGTAAAATATATTTAGGGGCACGTGCGCATAAAAAAAATCAGCTGAGGCAACAAATGTTTTTTCATGTAAATACGGCAGTGAAGTTAGTTTTAGGTTGGATATTCAATGGACATTCACTGCGGATCTACCGGTAACTTCTCACTCTCCATAACCGGGAATAACAACAGCAGTGCGGTTAAATCTACTCTGCGTCCTCGCTGTCAACGTTGGATGTTGAATAAGGGACCATCAATAAATTATGTTCTCAAATAAGGCTGTTTTCCTTCAATAGCTTCCATGTCATGTGACCAAAAGACCTAAAATTGATTTCAAATAATAGAACTTATGTCGACCAATAAGACAAACATTATTTGAACAATTTTCATTGTGCCCCTAAAGTTCTTTGTGTGCTCCTTACTTTTTCAACAACTTAGGAGCACATGTGCCCCTTGTGGAAAAAGTTAGTGTCAAGCCCTGCTGTTACCGGCTAATTCAGCTAATTGTTTACATAACAATCAAGTTAGAGTAACTGATCCAATTATCTTTAAAATCCTGTCAATCCAAACACTGTCACTGCCTTTATATTTTACACTGTAAGTGATGATCCAACGCACAAAAATAAAAGGATTGTCACAGTGTAGTCACCATGGTAACAAAGAGTTAACTTTTAAACACCTCGACATGCTGACTACCTGTGACATGTAGGCTTGGGTTTTGAAACTCACTTGTTGCAGACTAAAACCTTTTTCTACCAGTCTGATACTGACTGAGTGACTGAGCTGAAGGCAACACCAGGCTGTAAAAGAGCAACAAAACTTGCAGAAGAAGACAGGGCAGCGTGTATTCCGGTCATTCCAGTTAGAGAAAAGACATGACAAAAGGCCGTGGGGACGTTAAAATACTTTGTCTGTCACAACAAAAGACATCATGTAACTGCAAGAGGAAATGTGTTGTCATTTGTCTGCATCGAGACCCCGTGTGTCTCCCCTCGCAGCGACAGGAGAGGACAGAGATTCATAAATGACAAGTTCAGGAAGAGGCAACGTTCCCAATTCACACAGGATGCTTCAGGAAAAACAAGCGGACTGAAAATGAATGACCGGCAATAAAAATTAGCAGGTTTCCCTCTAACTTCCTGAACTCTAGTTTTACGAGTCTCTGTTAGTTTTTTGGTGGGAAAAAAGGATATTTTGAGGCTGGTAAATGTAAGGAGGATAAACCTGACACTTCTTTAGGTGTAAAACTGCCCGAATTTATCCCATATTCACTTTACAGCCTACGTTTATTTAATGACACTACTTGTTAATTTCATGTTATCGAATTTTATGCAATTTATAATACAAACAGAGTCCGGCTTATGGCAAAGTTTAACGCTGTTGCATTTGCATTGTCACAGATACTAGTACTGGCACTGACCTGTGCTGCAGGAAACTGGTCTGAAAGCTCATATGGCTCCTCTGGGATCCACTGTCGTTGCTCTAAACACCAGAGAATCTGCACGAAATATATATATTTATATATTATATCCTATCATATTCGTTTCTAATATCACCATGGTAAGTCCAAACTACGTACCCATTCAAAGGAGAGGATCCAGCAGCCACGAGCTATACCCAACAGAATATTGAGGGTCCTCCGGTGACTCCCAGACACCACATGAGTCGTGCTCTCACACACCTGGTCAGCGATATAGAAACCGCCGAGTGATTTGACCACCTGAGCCACAGTTTGCTGCTTCCTAAAAGAGGAGATCAGAACAAGAAAGAGGCAAACACGAACCATCAAACCAGGCTTTTGTTGTCTTTTTAGAACCATAATCCGTTAAAATAAATGGGAGTAATCTCATCTAGAAGAATAAAATGTTTGGGGTACTTACTCAGTGGGCATGCTGGTCATGACCAGAGTCCTCATAGCCTGAAATAAACATAAAAACATGCACAACTTATGACAAGGATTAAATATTTGGATCCAAATCCTGTTCCAAAAAATTGATTGTACAATTAAACCGATATGCAGCTCAGAGAAAAATTAGAAGACCACTCCAAATTACACTACAAACCCCATTACAAATGCTGCAAATGCTCCCTCATGTCAGCTACTCTGCATCAATGAAAGCAATTCTACTCCAGCGTATTAAATCATAATGATGGTAAATGACTGAGGGGCCGATTTAGGATCATGTGACAAGCCGTCAAACCAGACTGAGCTGCTTGAATACTGGTGCCAAGAAGGCGGTGTAATAACACTCAAAGACACATGAAAAAATGGAAGTTGTAACAAATCTGGGAAAAATATCACATCAATTTCAGCTTTTACAACCTTTTTTAGTTATAACAAGTCTGTGTGTGATTCTTTCACACCTCTGTGTTGCAGGAGTTGTTATAAACCTCATATCATACTGTGTCTCTTTTCACACACAACAGTGGAGCAGCTAATGAGTGGGTTTAATCTGGTCTTTGCCTGTTTTCAGGAGCAAAACTCAAATCTGTGAATTATACCTTAAACAAATGTTCACTGCGAGGATGCTAAAAAGGATGCAGTGTTTCTTATAAATGACTCAAATCCTTGAGGACAAAGAATGCATGTTGTGTTTCATCACTGTGTCTATATTGCGAGGTAGTTTATGAATAATACAGCACTGAACAGGTAAAAGGGATCATTTCTCAACATCCAGACAGGCTGTGCACCTTCAATAACCCTGCTGAATACACAGCGAAGCAACAGAGTGCAAAAAGGAAATCAAATACCAAGGCTATCAAAGAGGGAAACACACTCAGGGCTACTGCAATAGACTGTAAATTTGTGAGCTAACAACTGTGATCCATGCGGGCTTGTACTTTGGACCCAATTTAGTGTGGTTTCATCGATAAAACCTGAGCAGCAGGTACATATTGAGTCCTCTCCTCTCTGGTATCTGATCATACACCTGGAAATTAGAGGTCAAGGCCTGCAGAGCAAAGAGGCACCAAATAAAAAGCAGAGTTCTTCCCACTGTGGTCAAACATTATAGTAGAGCTGATAAGCTCACTGTGAAGTCATTGCTGCCATCAAACACTTGCTGTAGTTGTCCTGACAGGAGTTTTCCTTGAAGAAAAATGCTTGATATACAGGTTTCTAAATGATCCCCAACAGAGTTACCTTCTGCTGCACGACTACAAGAAAGAAAGGGTGAGACGTAAAAATCGACTCGTTTTGAAGTCTTTCACACCAAGTCGAACAACTCAAAACACGGGCAGCTACTTTAAAGGCTCCTCAAAGGGGACATTTACAGCGAACATGTTCTGGCAGCAGTTCAAAAAAAAAAACCTAAAGCACTGGAGAGTGAGACGCACATAATGAACCTCTGACAAAGAGCTGGTGTGAACTGCGGCACGGTCTCTGAGCACCAGGGCTCCGAGCACAAATGAAGGAAATTCTTCACAGTATGACTGCGTCTCCTCCTCCGTGGCTGCACACTGAATACGACGCCTTTGAGAAAATCAAAGGGAGATGAGGATCATGGATCTCAATAAAAGCTGGGGGCCAATTACAAACAGCAGAAATTATAATATAGATGTATTCAGTTGTGAACAGTCAATGCATCCTTTACAAACACTTGTCACTGAAAGATTCCTGCAAGAAACCGTTCTGAAACACAGTGATTTACTTTTTATATTTTTTATTTCATGGTGACTACACTGTAGGAATCCTATTTATATAGACTGATTAAACTGAAGTTAAATGTTTTAATATAGATGACAGTAGACAGCCAAAAGTGTGAAAAGATAAAGACTGGACTTAAAGGTGGGGTAGGCAGGAAACCATTAAAAAAGCATCTTTTTTGTGGTGTATAAACAGAAAAGATTTTAATATCAGTCAATAGTTATTAGTCATTGATGACATTTGGTAATATAACGATATCACTGTGTTCTCTTATGTCTGTGTAGTCACATTTTAACATTTTTGAGCGGTCCGCTCTTTCTAACTGTAAACAAAGACATTCTTCGCCTCCCCCAACCTGATTGGTTGTGAGGTAGATGCTGCTCCACCGTGTCGTTCATGAGCCCAAACAAAGTTAGTGTGCTACAATATCAGACAGTAGAAACCAACCAGAAAGTTCGGAAATTTGTCTGAATCCTCCTTTGGACACGACTGCCAACACAAACAAGAAAACAAAGTAAATACCGCAGACTCTGGTGGAATAACAGGCGCTTAAAACGGAGGTAGACCGGACAAGAGCTAAAAAGCCGGGTCAATATCAGCATTAACGATGGGGGAAGCTTCGGGATCTTGGTGACCCTGTAACCTTTCTGCTGGACAGGCAAACTGCTTTATCAAAGTAAGCCAAGTGTCTGTATCAGAAGTATTTCTTGTCAAACGGACCTGCTGTAGCGTGTTGTAGCGCCGTTGACCTTGACCTTGACTGTTGACCTTGGGTCCTGGACTATGTCACTTTATCCTAGAGCGAGCAGGAGCGTCTGTTTGTGGGCGGGGCTTGCTGGAGCAGAGAGGGAGGGGAGAGGAGGAGCTGAGGGGAAAACTGGTTGGGAGGGGTAGAGTTTGTATTCAAGATTTCTCCCCAAAACTGGCACCTCCTCAGATCCTGCCTACCCCATCTTTAAAGCTCCAAAGTGAGTCAGATCCTGTTGGGTTGATTTTATCTTTAACACGTGTTAGATCATAAAGATCATCCAGCTTTGTTGTCATGGTCAAAGGTATCACTTGCACAATAATTTCAAGACTTTACCAGGGAGTTGTTGAAAACTTGGGAAATACCACAGACTATATTAAAGAAAGGTAGGAGAAAGATCTGAAAGAGAGTATAACGAGTCAAATATGTGTGAGACTGCTTTTTCTACCACTTGATCTATGTACTGGCGCAAGTTCAGTTAGACGGATCTTGTTTGTTACTTCATTACTCCTAAAATGAAACCATATCTGGCCGTGTCACAACAAAGATGTTGGAGAAGCTGCAGAGATGATGAGGCAAATTTAAGATTAATTTATTTTGGAGCAATATCTCTACACACTCACAAGAAGTACTTAGACAACAGATCCCAGGCGATATTCCAGTAGGGATGATAAGCAGTGATAAATACCTCCTGAAAATTTGGACTGCCGCTGCTAGAAAAAAAAAAGCAATTTCTCGTAAATAGCCACAGATTGACCCACCTAGAGTGGATAAATGACTTGGTATTATTGAGGAGACCCACGAGATGTCAAGATTGACCTGAAAGCTGATCTGTATGCTGCAAGGACGGTCAGAATAGACAGCTTTTTGTCGAAGTGAAGACGTTAATGGAGGTCTGTTTCCTCCCTTCTGCCTCTAATAAGATGCGGCTCTGCATCTTGACCGTTTCCCTCTGTCCAAGACAACTATGATAAGGCAGCGGTGTAAATTTTGATGTAACCTTTAAAGTTGGTTTAATGAGGATAAGGCAACAACTGTTCTGGTACTGTGACTGTTGTGTACCTTCAGTATTTTGTTGTTAAAAAGATAAATAAAAACTTAAAGTATGAAAAAAAAAGGTTTCACTTGCTATGAGACTGTTTCTCCAGGGTGGTGTTCATGGTCTGCTGTCAGTCTTACTGTAAATAGTCTTGTTTGTTTTTTTCAGGTCACAAAAGGGCATCACTGTTGACACCAGCCTGTTACACTACCAGCAAACCAACCAACAAACAAACTAAAAATCTGCTGCTATAGGACCCGAGGCGTAATCATCAGCCCCTGTATGGAATTCATAAAGACGCCTCAGTGTAAGACTAAATGTTCCAGACCACTCCGCCTAAAGAGACACATGTCCAGTAATTATGAGACTGTTTTTAATTTCCCAGATGATCTGCAGGTACATCAGGGATGGGTCATGGTTTAAATGACATGCTTTATGCAGCAATTACCCCACCTTAATTTGTTTAATTATTATTGATGCATAGTCATAATCAGATACAAGTGCCTGTTGAGTCAGGGAGCTACAGGTGAAATGAGTGTTATGCTTTAATTTTCAGGAGTGAAGAAAACTGCAGAGACTTCTTCAGCCGTCAAAGAGTTTTGAAGGGAGCGCCAGTTTGGTCTCGTGGATAAATCGCGAGACTCGTGTACAAAGGCTATCATCCAATGTTGATTCAAACCCAGAGTCTTTTCCCACTCTGCCTGTCCCTGACTTTATCCACTTTATCCAAAGTGCTTCCTTAAGACTTAACAGATTTATGTCAAAGGCAAACTTTTCAGGTAAAACTAGCATCTCATGAGTCTATGCAGAGAGCAGAGCACTGTGCAGAAGCAGATAATTACAGTTCGCTGTGACTATCAAACAGTACTTAAGCTAGAAAAGACCATTCCTTAAGGCACATAAACAGATCAGACAGCCTTTTTATAATATAATTATAATCCCAAAATTATTATTATTATTAAATAATTATTCATCCTAAAAATTATCAAGATTTTAAAGGATAAAGAAAAGTTTATTTGACTAAACAGAGATTATTTTTAATTATCCTTTCCTCAACTCTTTGGAGCGTCTAAGGCTTCTTATATTTCTTATGTTATCTGTAAATAACAGCAAGTGATATCAGCTCATGTTCCTCAAAAAGAAGACAGTCTCAGTAAGAGGAAGACTGTAAAATCAAATGTACAGAAAGGCTGCAGAATATAGTTTCATAGTTGACTGTCTGAACTTTAAAAGATTGGCAAGATGTGCAGGCGTGACTTAAAGCACTCGTCATGGCCGTCTGTGTTTACTTTCCCTCCCATATTCAGCTTTTATCGTCATCTTTCCAGAACTACAAGAACAAGTACAACATCTCTAAAATCAGACTACAGTGGAGTCAAACCATAACAGATCTGTGAGAGGAGGTGACGTCATGTGAGACTCTTTTTCAACTTCAACTCATTGAGGTTACCAGCGTAACGAAAACAGAGCCCAGGTGCGTTTCACAGGCGAGGAAGTTGTAGGCTACCATCACAGAGGCGAAAAACACAGGAAACCCTCAGGACCAGACACAACCTCTTGTCTAGATGCGTCAAACGCCGACAGTAATGGAAGTGTGTGACCTTATGGAGGAAATACTTAAAAGGGAATCTCATACACACACACTCTTTGGTGTTTAGTTGACTTTGTAAACTTCCTACAGTGCAGATAACTGTGAGTGTCATGGGATTTTCTCAGTCTGCACCTGCAGCAGTCCTGAAAGATCTAAAAGCATAATTAAACAACAAGAAAAAGATGTTCAAAAAGTGATTGGTAAAGAAGTTTTTCATCTGCACTCTCAGTATTTTATCATATTTGAATATTTTTAGTTTTTGTTTGAATATGCTTTCTTAAAGCACCTCCAGCTGCCTTTGTGTACGAAATGTGTTGCATGAGGAAACTTTCTTTCTGCCTTTAACAAAAGTTTCATTAACTTCTAATAAACAGTATTTATATTTTCATTTTAATTCAGTGCAGTTCAAGTATTTCCTCCGACACTGTAGGATACTCCTCTCTAATGTGTACTAAGAAGAAATAGGTCTTAAACTGATTCATGACTGTAATTAAACGACATAAAAGGACATTTAAAGTCATTTTAATACAATTAATAATGCTTCTTACCGTTGTTCTGTTGACCGTTTTCTGCACATTAGAGCTGGTGTTGTTTGCCAGATTATCGTCTCCTTCAGAGGGGCTTTCTTCTGAACCAGCTGCATTAGCGCGTTCATTTCCTCTGCCTGTGATGCAAACAAGAAAATAATTGAAAACATTGTGTATGTGGAGGGTGGGATGTCACTCAAGCTATCACGCAGCAGGCGAAGCTTGGTGTGCACTCATGCATGCTTATATGTGGTGTAACATTTGCAGCTGCCTAGAGACGCTGACACGGAGTTGTAAACAGAAAACAGAAAACAAACACTAATGAACACAACTTACCGCCAAAAAGGTAAGACCGTGAAAAGAAATTAAACATTTATACAACAAGGTGAAGTAAACCATGTTTGGAATACACGCGCCTATTATGTTTTTACTCCAAATACAATAAAATATTCATCGAATGAAGCGTCACACATTTGAAGAGACTTGACAGAGTAAATAATTTATACTGTTAGTTTGGATTAAAGGTGCTATCTGTGACTTTCGCACTAAAAGTCATGTCAAAACACAGTTTTAAAAAGCAGGTCTTCGATAATTCATACTAACATGAACTTTTCATCATTGTTTTTATCTACTGGCAGCTTTTTCATACAAGAACTCCATCTGGTTACAAAATTACTCCTGCTGGGTTTTTTGGAGTTCAAACCTCAACATGATTTAGTTTGGACAGATGCAGTCTTGTCCTGATGCAGACTGTCAAACAAATATAAATCTAAAGGCAAACAAAGCTCCAGTTACTGAAAAATACCTACCTTGAATTAATGATCTAAAACAGAGCTTTCTTCGCAGAGGTCACCAACAGAATACAAACAAGTTCGATATTAAAAAGGCCTGTTTCATCAAAGTTGAATTCATCTTTCTTTATTCTTCCCTAGAGATTTATAAATAAAATTTCACCAACAATGAAAATCGATCACATCACTCATTCAGTAATTCAGTTTTCTCTGAAGGTGTAATTTGCATGCCTTCAAGACCACATAAATTCCGCAAGGGTCAAAAACACAGCAGCAAATCTCCGCTTTAATCACAGCTTGAACATAATAAATTGTGGTAATTTCCCTGTGCGTGATAATGAGGATAAAGATGGAAATCTGCATTCTGGTTTCCCCGTAATACCTTCACTTAATTAGCTCTGGCACTTTTACTACTCACTTTCCGAGTCATGAGAGAGGACACTGGCGGCAGAGTTTTTCTGCGTCTTTAACTCAGTTTTAGTTTCTGTTAGTGTCGCCTGCTGCACCGATATCGACGTTCTCTTCTTCTTCACTTCAACCTTTGTGGTTGTATCAGTGTTCGTCATCGGTACAGTGCTTTTTCTTCTTCTTTTGTCCACAGGTTTGACACTGGATGCTGAACTTTCAGAAGAAGGCCGAGATTCCTTAACATCCTGTTGCTGATGACTCTGTAACTCGATGCTTGCATCAGCTGACTGACGGCGATTTTTGTCACTTTGACCTTCTTCCAGTTTCCTCTTCTTTTTACTGCTCGCTTCAGATGCAATACTTTCACTTCGTCTTTGTTTTTTCTTGCTGGGTACAGAATCCAGCTCAAAAGGAATCTGAAAAGTATGTTTTTCTTCCACAGGTAGAGTCAGTGAAATAGGTGTTTGTGATTTCTGTTGAAGGTTAGCGGGGGAGAAATAGTCCTCAAAGACGTTATCATCGCCATCATTGGAACTAGAGACAACATGTTTAGAGTTACGAGGCTCAGTGAAAGATCGAACCAAAGCAGAAAATGATTGTCTGGCTCGTTTTGGTGTTTGATATAAACGAGGAGGAGGAAGAAGAGGAGGAGGAGGAGGAGGAGAGGTTTCTTTTGACATTTTAACTGCAGCATCACCTGATTTTACTGCTGGTAATGAGCGGCAACTAGAGGAGGTCACAGTGTCAGAGTGAGAGCGAGTCTTGGTCTCTTTAGCTGCTTTAAGTTTTCCCTTTTCAGATTTCTCAGGTGATAGACTAAGAGGTTTTATCTGTGATCGTCTTTTCTCTTTATGAATGCTTTTCTGAGGTTTTTCAGGTCCCGCAGTCTGATGAGGTCTCTCTGTTGAACCTACAGCCGTCTGTTTTTCTGCTGTTTTTTTTCCAACTGAGGTCGGTCTCGATTTTTTCTTTCCTTTTTCAACTTGGTCCTTTTCATCCACAAAGTCAGGCTGTTTCAAACTTGGACTTTTGATCTGCTTTAGTGCATCACTGTCCTTGATGCTGGGGCGTCTCAAGCTCTGGCTTGGTATTCGCTTTGGCACATCTCGACAAGGTGACAGCCAGGACTGCTCACGCTCTTTCCTGCGGGGCTGCTCCAGATGGTCATGGCCAACGGCATCAACTTTTGTTCTCCCTTCTCCTTTATCAGGTGAGTAAGTGGGTTCAGCAGCAGAAGCACTGGAGTCGTCATCTGACTGGTCATCTATGTCAAGAGAGACATAATAATTTAGATTTTCATCTTTTTAATGCCAGTTTCTCATGATAATAATAATAATTCCTCATTGCAGACCCACAAGTCCCCAACAGGAAAGAAAAAATGCATCTAAAATAGAAAATATATGAATAAAACACAAGCATAGAAAAGAACGCCTACAATTGACCCGTACATAATGACTTCTGATCTGATTTTCCATCTCCATCCTTTTTGTTTCCTAGTATATCAGGTTGAATTTCCAACTGACCTCAGTAGATGGTTACATTTATAAAATACAAGCAGCTCTTTGCACATCAAGTAGATTTCATTATGTTTCATTAATGCAATCTCAAGTGTCTTGCTCATTACTGGTGCATTAATCAGAATTATGTACCATAATGGCCCTAATAAAGGATGACTGATTATTGGATGACCTCCCTTTCTGAGACTAATTTCTCAGAAATGACTTTTCAAGATTGTTTTCATTAGGAAAACTGTTTCACATCTACTCACATAGTCTTCTTCAGGCATTACACTGTGACAGCATATTTCTTGGCTGTTAGCGGTTGTTTAACATCTCAGCTGCATTTATGATGGACTTCTAAATGATGCATCATAACCCCGACTCAGCTGTTAGTTAACTTGTCCTACTTTTCCGACACTTTGTTCACGCCGTCCCTCCATCTGTCATTGCTGGACCGAGTCACAGTTAGCCTCTGTCATAAGATGATCCGGCTTTTTTCAGACGTATTTTGCAGAGGTAGGGGCTTAACGACTCGACTCAAGAGTCGACTTGGACTTGAGTCCTGTTTTTGATGACTTAAGACTTGCTTGATGAAATCAAGAAATGACTTGGACTCGCTTGGGACTTGATTGCTAAAGACTTGAGACTTGACTTGACTTGAGCCCAGTGACTTGAAAAGTCAAGTCAAGTCTTTTCAAGTCACTTAATACCTTACAGCAAGCCCAAACCGTTTAAAAAGTGTCGCATCAACTAATAGTCAGGAATTACGGCCGTTGGTAACACCGTGTTGTGTTGCCAAGTCTGCTTATTTTCCGCAAAAAACTTTCGCTTGTTTTTGGCTTGTTTCTGGAGGTCTGTTTCCTTTTTTTATCTCACGAAACTTGGCAACACTGTCTCAAACTCTAGCCTCCCTCATAACAACAACACCGGGAGGACTGAACATAAATCGATCGCTAGTCGCTAGTATTGCCCGCCTGTTTCCATGAGCTGCACGTGGAAACAGGCAACACGTAAACAACAAACACACCCGGCTTCACTCTGTCACTACTGCTGGACTGGTGAACTGAACTGGAAGCCAGGAGACATGACTACTCCAGCAGTTATAGCTTTTGGTTTTAAAAATTACAAGGTGGATGACATCAAAGAGAAAAGAAAAGCCCAATGCAAGACATGCGGTGCCAAAATCAGCGATGGAATGAAAACTACTTCCAACTTCAATCGACATAGCTGCACTATGTAACTTAACACAAACAAGAACCCTTGTTTCATAATAAATGCAAATAGTGAAAAATGCTCATGATTTATGTAAATCTTTGTAACAAATGGTTTATGGCTTTGATATGACTTGTTTTTGACTTGAAAGAAACGGTAAGGACTTGGTTGGGACTCAAAACAATAAGGTCAGGACTTGGACTTGACTTAGGACTTGTCTGTGTTGACTTGAACTTGACTCAAGACTTGAGAGCAAAGACTTGAGACTTGACTTGGACTTGCAACATAAGGACTTTCCCCCACCTCTGGTATTTTGAGGAAATAAAACATCTAACATTTGGGTGAGTGAGGTCACATTTCAGAAAAGTACAACTTAATTCAGCCTCAAGACAATCAAATGCTTGAAAAACTAACAATAGACAGTTTCTGAAGCTTTGCTTGCTTGTTGCACAGCTAAGACAACATGACCAACTGCTGTGTTTATTGATCAGTTTTCACAATTTCATGACATCTGTGCAATCAAAAGCGGGTATTGTCAGTCCAAGATTTTTTTCTTCAACAGAAAAACACTGCGTGTTTGAAAAGAGAAATAAACAATTAATCTTTTCACAGAAATTCACATCTCACTGTCTTACACGTTAGTTTGAGGATAGTTGGTGTGCTTCCAAGAGATGGCTTCAGCCCAGTGGGGGAGCAGGATTCAATCCTCTGCGATGCTGAAAGACAAAGAAGAGTATGGGAATGAATCTTCTTTGTTACAAAGAGAATAACTGTTCCAGTCATTACGTGTGAAAAAAAGTGCTGCTGCACATACCTGTGGGTGAGAGGTATTCATGTTTCTCTTTCATGTCCTTCAAACGCCGAGCCATATAATCGGATCTTTTCAACGCCGGACTATAGACTATTCCGCTCTCCTCGTCGATAATGATGGGTGACACCTCTGTCTCTGTTGATAACACCAATCAGATCAATGACAAACCAAAACTTTTGTTCAAAAAAGGCGTAATATTATAAAAATGCCTCACCTATAGGCTGAATGAGCGGCAGATTCTTCATCATTCTGTCTAATTTTTTCCTCATACGTTTGTCATTTTCAGGAGTCTTTTCTGGAGAATCTTTCGGCTGCATGCAACGATGCTACACAGAAAAAAAAAAAAACATAAAACATGGTTCAAGTGGGTGATGCAATCACTGACTTCTGTGGACTGTGCAATCAATGACTTCAGCACTCAATTTGAACCTCGGCTCTTTCACTACCGCTGCAACACTTTCAATCTAGCACTTGACCTTGCTATCTATTAACATACGGAGTGTGATGTGGTTCTTTAATATACCTCTGAAGAGCTTCAATACTGAATGGAGGGTTAAAATGACATTCCCATACACCAACAAAGAAAAGCAATCTTAATTTGTTTTCAGCGTTATCTCCAAACCGAGGACTTGAATTTGAGTTTGATTCAAGCATAAATTTTCATGACTCTTGCCTTGGCTTTGATTCTAGCGATGGCTTTAACTCGAACTTGGACCCTTAATGACCACATAAAGACCAAGAAGATGGGATCAGGATTAAAATGTATTCATTGATCGCTTTTGTTCATTTTTGTATGAGGCTCTAGTCAATTATTCAGTTTCAAGCAAGAGCTGGCACATACTGTATCTCATACCGGTGCTGTCTTGCTCAGCACAAGCTACTGCAAGGATGCTTATAGATGTGAAATGAATCATGCATCCTGTTTTTTAAATATGATGCAGAAAACACAAGCAAGAGCTGTGCAGTGTGTTCGATATCAAAGAAGCATCAAAGAGCAGGTAGGGTTGGACTCTCAAACTTTAGCAGACTTCAGTACAAGATCCACCAAGAAAAGTAGGAGAGATGCTAAAGCTTCAACTGATGATTATGTTACTGCTGGCAAACTCACTTTAATGTTAGATGGCAGCTAAAGTGACTCAAACACAAGATGTTTGGTCGGATCTAGTCCTGACAGTGAAAGAGTAGCAGGGTATTTTTGACTTTCTTTGACACATGAAGTAATTCCAGAAATGATGAATGTGTGTCCTTGTCGATAAAAGTGCAGTGCACATTCATGCACCACACACAAAGCTGTCACTCCATTGATATTCGCAGACATGCTGCATCAGTCAGAATCTATGATTATGAATGAAATGTGTTTTCGACTCATCGAAAAGGTCCCACACAGTCAGTCTAAGTTCACGCAGTCAAGAGTTTGTGGAGTCAGACGGCGCTGCTCCTTATAATAAATAACATTTACGATGGACACTTGATTTGAACTCCTGTCAGATTCCTCGAAAATGACTTTGGCTCACTGTGACTGAAGTTTAGAGACTTGACTTTAATATCGGATGTGCAAAAAAATTAGTCCTTAAAGTGATTCATTAGGATGCAGTTCTGAATTATTTCAAGGTCTTTAAAACGTCTTTAATTAAACTGTTATGTTTCCTGAGTTTTAAAATCAGAGTGCAAGGAGTGAAAAAACTAGAGCACTTCTTCTTAATTAATATTTCAAACAACCAAAGACAACCTTGAGAATATCATTGAAAATTAAGTCAAGTGAGGGGAAAACACAGTGATTTCCTCCAAACATTCTTGTTTGAATTAATTCAATTTGACGAACAATTATTCAGTAATTACAGCTTCTTTCCAGACAGACTACAGGGTAAACTGAAATAGTATTTTTTTTTCTCTACAGTTTCAACGGCCCTCATTTATCAAGCTTGCATACTGCAGAAAACTTAAGTACACCTTGCGCACTTAAGTTGCGGCATTTATCAATCTGCACATGAGCGTACGCTATGACCAAATCTCACGACAGGTCTGATGTCGTATACGCAAGTTTGAGTCAGTGTGGATCTGCGGTGCAGCAAGTGTCTGTCTCAAAATAACTGATCTCAAAACAAACCTCAAACCTGTCATTAAGCACAATCAGACTCAGACAGATTTCATTAAAGATTAAGATGTAAATAAAATAAAATAAATTTGTTATGTCCTCAGTGAGTAGGCCTATTTGATAACACGCGCCACTGTGGAGCGCTGCGTTTGACTCCTAAGAGGCAGGTGTCTCTGTCTTGGCCCAGTAGTGGGGACGTTGTTGTACCCTCCTGAAAGGGTGTGGGACATCATTTGGGCCAGTACAGTTTTGAACAATGTTGCTCTGGCGAATGGAGTGCCGTTAGCTGTGCCGGTGCAACGTGAGGACCCGATGCCCGGAGAACAATAACAAGGAGAGACTCTACAAAGGTACTGCACAGAGGAGACAGGACCTTATCGATGGATATCGATGTCCTATTGTACTATGAATCCTGCGCTCAGTTCTACGCAAGATTGATAAATGAGGGCTAATGTGTTTCACCACCACCCAGCTTAAAACTAAGGGTTCATTGAATGGATCATGACACAAAGGTTTTGGTATTTATTCCTCTAACACCTAGTTGAACAAATATGACCAGATCAGATGTCAAACCTGGTCGGTGAATCATGTCTTGAAAACAGCATCCAACAGAAGCATCTTAGCCTGTGACACCAACATGTTCACCCGACTGTACTCACTTTTTTGTTTTTTAATGCCGGGTTGCTTTCATCATTTAAGGCTGGATACAACTCCTCATCCACACGCACACCGTCCTCATAACACCTGGAAATCATTCATAAAAAAGCAACACCAAGAGATTCAGCACCTTTAAAAGTTTGAAAATGTGTCGTAAAAAACAGAACTGATGAATTAATAAAGTATATCTTTGCAGTTTTACTACCTGCTGACCCAGAGGACGGAAACTAGCTTCACACCGCTCTTCTTGGCTTTCCTCCATGTTGCTGAATGACCGTTCTTGAAAACTACATGCGTGACTTGTTTATTGAATGTTTTTGTTACCTGTTAAAAAGGAAGTAGGTAAAAATATTTATGCAATGTCATCCTTTCTACCATCTACGACAGGTGACAGAATCATGCAAATGTGTTATTCAGCTCTGTCGTCTTACCTGAGCTCCCATTTCCTGCAGCTGCTGAACAAATGGTTTGGAGCAGTTTGCTGTTTTGTCTGATGACCACACGTCAACATAAGCAGCCACATCTGCACACACATATAAACAGCCATAAAATGAAACAATAAGCAACACCAAGAGATTCTAGCACCTTTAAAAGTTTGAAAATGTGTCGTGAGACAACAGATAACTGATGACATTAATAAAGTATATCTTGTGGTCATTACTTGATTCAAGATGGACCTACACAGGGATCAATGAAAAGTTTTTTCCATGTTGCTGAATGACCGTTCACATGAAAACTACATGCGTGACTTGTTTTTAATGAAAGTGTATTTTATATAAGAGAAGAGAAGAAATAGCTGTCGCTGAATAACAACTCAAGCTGCCGGGGGGCTAAGACACACAAAAAACAACACTTTGACGTTAACACAGGATCAGCTTAACTTAAACTTCTTAACTTGAATTTAAGGTAAGGGTTATCTATGCTTTCATTAGTCTGATGAGCCCACACGTCAACATAAGCAGCCACATCTGCACTAAGTTCTCTTATAAAATGAAACAATAAGCCATAAACTCTAGACCTTATTATGGCATGGTACTGTAGATACATTTCAGTTGTGTGTGCAATAAGCAAAATATGCAATAATAATAATAATAATAACAATAATAATAACTTAATTTTTTTAGCATGTAAAAAATGTCCCTGTAGAGCAGGCTGTTATACTCAACTCAAAATGGAAAAAGTATGGATAGTATGCTAAAATTTGAGTATGCAAAAATACCTAGATGACATACTCAAATCGTTCAAGATTTTGAGTATGCGACTGTGGACACTTGCCCACACTCATTTCATCGGTAAGAATGGCTGCGGACGGCTGTGGTGCCAGTGGGTCGGCAACAGTCGACCTGGAACCTTTGTACAGATGTAAGTAATAAGTTGCCTTTATATTTTATATTATATTATATATATTATATAAAAATATATTTAAAAAGTAGTTTTTTGTAAATAGTTTCTTTCTAGTTTTAAATGCTTAATCTGTAAAAAGTTTATTATTAGTTACCGAGTTCCAAATGTTAAATTTGTAAATAGAGTATCTTAAGTTTTCTTGTTCTAAATTTTTTTATATAGTTTGTTATTTTTCTGTTATGCATAATAAAGGTTCAGACATGAGGCAAATCGCGTCGTCATTTCCTGTAAGTATGCGATTTCGGACAGCACTGCACCATCGAAACTCACTGTGCGATTGAGTACACAGTATGCTTATTTAGTATGGAACTATGCGATTTGCGACACACTAAGGGACAATACTGATATATCATTGTTAGTTTATTAATTTATTAGGGAACACGTTTTTTATTTAACTTCCCACAAAACTACAACACTTTGGGAGCTTATTTTCCCATGTGGGGTCAACCTTCAACATAGTTATATAATGACTGCGGAGGAAATTTCGTTGTCAAATAAAGACAGATATTAAAGTGACTCTATGGCAATATTTACGGTGTAACGTGCATTAATTATTAAATACACACTTTGACAAAATGTCAGCCTTTACTGGAGTACATTAATGTCAGTAACCGAACAATGAAGCAGCTGTTTTTAACCGGTTATTCGCAGGGTGACTGTGTTTAATCGGTTACTTGATGTTCAGATTTAATTATCTGGTTTATTAGCACTGGAGCGGCTAACTGGAGTAAATACTTCCGTAATACGGCTGACACGCGGCGTACATGTGATTTTGAAGACAAGCGGCGCAGATACATGTCTACAGATATCAAAAAGTAGTACGTAAAAGTTTAATTATACTTACTTTAAGAGGCAATGAGGTTTAAAATGTGCTGCTTTCCAACAGCAACAGACTGTACAGGGCGAAATTCGCGGGTGCAGTTTGTGGTGCAATGCATTCTGGGAGCAACGGTCATGATTGGCTGGGGCGAAACAAACGTCACATCCGTAGCAAAAGCGCCGGTGAAGTGAACGTACAGAGTCTTCAGAGGAGCCCTTCAAAGAGTACTTAATAAACTACCAGCATTAGGTCCTTTTACGGTGAGAATGATTTATCGAAATAATTTCAGTTCTCATAATTCCTCACTGTGGAATAACGGCGTAAAAGTGAGAAGTAAAAAAGCCATGGAGTAATATGTGAAGAAGTAGCTAAAGTGTAATGGGAATCTTATGGATGAAAACAATAATAATGCTAAGTAAATTAGGCCTACTTAATTCAACCAGCCCATGACCACATATTGAACGCGATGTGGATGTGCCAGAAAAATAAAAAAAATAATTAAAAATCTGATTTGCTCCTGGTGTTATACCATAAGACCCAGAAACTACACAGAGTGAATCCTCTTTTAATCCTCAAACATCTGAAGTTTCCAATTCCAACAAAACACGGAGAAATACAATTTGAAAATAGGGGAGAGTGGGGTAAGTTGAGCCAACGGGTAAGTTGAGCCACCCTCTGGAAATGGTAAAAGAAATTGATCATGTGACCAAATATTGAGGAGATGGGCATCAATTCATGGAGTCTGTGAAGGTTAGAAGTACACGAGTGAAGGAGTTAGACATTTATTTCCAAAAAAAAAAAAAATAATATTTTGTCACTCTTGAAAGTGAGTTAAGTCTGTCACAAGTTTGATTACAATTGTGTTCCAACCAAAAAAAGATCATTTTAAATTTTGTTTTATACATCAATTGTGGTATCTATGAGCTACAACATGAGGTCAAAAACCTAACATAAAAGTTCACCATTTTAGCTTAGAGGACTAATAAAGTCAGTTCTGGGGTAACTGAGAAAGTCAAGGAGTCTGATGAGAGAATCAGAGATTCAGTTCAGATTGTTGAAATGTTTTACTTTTTCTTTACAAAATAACAGCTATGAATGTTCTGAATCACTTAAAGACATTCTCATGTTACAATGGCTTTTTACAAAACAGCTTTTTAGTAGTTATATGCAAGACCATAGGAGACACTTTTTTTTTGTCATGCTATATTATCAAGACAGTTCTGTTTACGCTCTTTCTGTTGGTTTGCAGGGATGAACAACATCCTGAAATATATGCAGATACATTAGTTAGAGACAAAACTATGATTGCCTTGATGAAGTGATCTGAAAGATGAAAAATGGCTCATCTTACCCCACTCTCCCCAATACCATTTTAAAAATCGACCCCTCAAATCAGATTAAAACTATCATCTTTATATTTCAAATTTAGAAACAACAGAGAACCTCTTCTTGCTCAACTTATTTTTGTTTTTCTTTGGCTGAGTTCAGACTTTTTATAGGCCTGAGGGTGGGTTAGTGGTCCAGGCATGTATCCTCTACAGGGAATGCGCCTCAAGCAGGCAGCCAAGGTTTGAATCCAGCTTGTTGCTTCTTTACTGCATGCCACTACCTGGTTTCTCTCTCTGTTACCATCCATCGTCTATCCACATCCTATCTGCTCTGATAAAGGCACAAATAGTCAGGAAATAAAATGAATCCTAATTTGGATTCCTGCTGAGGTGAAATAGTCAGACAGAGTAAAGGCTGATTTTTTCGAAGTGGACAAATACTTGTCAGATTGAACTTGATGAATGTAGGAGGCCTGGGGCAGTTAAGACTTTTTTTTTTTATGTCAGTTGCAATTTGCTGTCAAAACTTAAATCTATGAAGTTGTTTTGAATCATCAACTATCAGACGATCGGGTGTTCATTTGTAGTCATTACTTAAACCCAACAATATTTCAAACTGAGAGCTTACACCATCTGTTCTTCAGGCACCTCATTGTCTTTTCAGACACAGAATGCCTCAGACATGATAAACACTCAAAATGCAATACCTGGAATACTAAATAACTTGTGGGGGACAAACTCAGATCCGAGCTTCATCAGTCATTCAGTTCATTAAGTTTTTGGCTTGGACCAAAGACAAAGATTTGTATCTGGTGTCATTTATTACAGAAAAGAGATTAAGGCTCTTGAGGTAGTAATAAAACAGCTCTGAAATATACAATAAATGGTTTTGATTTCATAGCAGGCACATACCCATGACAACAATGGCCAAAAGTTTTCACAAGTCCCATTTACCTCGAGTCCTTAATGCTTAGATCAAACTTGAAAAGCTTTAGACATGCATTCATAAAAAGTCTTTTAAGTTCGACAGACACAGACAATACATTTCATGCTATTTTGATCTTTTTTTACCCATTTAACATAAAAATTATGTTATAACCTCTATGAGACGACTGATCACAAAAATTTCACTATAGAGATTTTGACCATCCGCAGCACAATAGAACTTATGCAAAAATGACAGGAATACAACAGCACCACCTGAATAAAACACCACAGTGCACAACATCACAAAAGGTCTCTATGCTAGTTTTCAGTACACTTACCATAAACTAAGAAAAAATTATTAGGATGCCTCCTAAACGTTTCTTGGTCAACCCACTAAGGCTTGATAACAGTAAGGGTTTATTCTGTAAGTATTTTGAGTTATGAAAGGAACTTTTTGTTCTGGCTCACTTTACTGACACCTGAATAAATTCGCTAATCTTGACCTGAACATGAGTAGTTATTCTTTTCTGATGCGAAATCTCATTCTGCATTTCAAATAGATGAATAAATCCCTTCTTGTGAATATTTGATTCACAGCAAGTGATTTCAATCTGTTTCACAGCGAGGACAAAACTCCTCACAGGGGCTTTAATTTTAAGAAATGACAGGCCTTTTCCACAGATAAATTATTTGACACGCCAGAGGAGGAAAATCAAAACTGTGAATCATACGGGTAACAGACTGATTTATACTTCGCTGAATTTTTGAAGGCCACGGAGCCTCAGGGAGAATTTAACTGCTGGTTATATTTCAAAATTTCCTCAAATGGCTGATGGAAATGTCTGCCTCAAAAAACAGCTTCAGTGAAAGCACCTGAATATGTTATAATTCCCTCTTAATCTCCTCTGTTCCTTTTTTTGTCAAACTTTATGCTCACTTGATGTGGTGGTAAACATACGTTGGACTAAAAAAGCATTTGTTCTTTGTTTTTATAAAAGTTTTTTCACAAATATACAGTAACAGACTATATTCCTATGGGGTGACTTTCTAGGTTGTATGTTGAGTAAACTTTATTTAACAATATGTTGTTTTTGTACAGTATGGAAGACTGACTTTGATATCAGGCACATTAACCATTAATCTAGTTACTGCGTCTCTTTTAATCCTTGTGTTTTGGATTCTTGACAAACTTAATTTTCCATTTGTGAATTTGTTTTAACAGAAATTGCCAATACCTCAGCAGGATTTCTCATCATACTACCAGATTGAGGCTGCACTCATAACAATGGAGGTGAGACCTACGGTGTTTTGATTTAGAAAGTGACCCTGTTAAACAGCGACATTCAGTTGCTGGGGAGGTTGTCGTAATATCAGGCTGAAAGTCACCTCTCTGTTATAAATTTGTCTGCCCATATTTAAACATACTATTGTTGACTAGCTGGAAATATGATGATTTTAGCAAGCAAAATAGACTATACTATAGAAGAAGTCAGCTACAAAATAGTAGTTTTTCTTAACAGTCCTCTTTTCTATCATATCTTTTGATTTTTAAACTCTATCGTTGACGACAGAGAAGCTAAATGCTATCATTAGTTGTGTTTTGATATTAGCTGATAGTTTGTCAGACTAGGGATTTACACAACCAGGGACCTATGACACAGCAGTATTCTGGGTAGCATTAACTGTCACCCTTCTAAAGTCAGCTAAAATTAGAGATTTGCTGGAACAAACATTTCTCCTTTCCCATTGTATCTGTGACTTTTAAATGTTTAATGTTAGTGAAGTTCAAATGTTAGTCAAGTCTAAATTATGGCTCCAACTCCCTTTAGATCTCGTTTCTGTGACCTGCATATCAACAAAAGAGTAGTGAAGTGATTACAATCTGTCAGATTTACACAACTATATACAATTTACATTACTCTTTGAACAGTTAGTAAAAAACACAACACTTCCTTTTGGAACCATCTGTGTAAAAACTTTTACAATTCAGCGATTCCTTAGGATAGCACACTTTGTACAAGATGTTTAGAGGGTCGTTTTACTTTGATCAAATATTTGGACAAGTTTAATTTCTCTGCTCTCTTAAGTCTGGCATCTTAGGCAAAAATCTAAAAGTTTACTGTTAATATTAAATTTTTAATACTTAAATGATAAATATGTTGATTCTTATTAACGCAAAAAGTTGTATTTGGTGCAATGACATAAAGCACCAACTGCATCAAACAGAGACAACACATGTCAAAATCTTTTGCAGCTGTTCATATCAGCCGAATATCAAAGTCAGGGAGATAAATTAACAATTTACTGAACAGGTCATTAAAATGTTGAAAATATCATCCAGTCTTTACTGGAGTTCTAGTGTCATCAGCAGTTACTCTAAAGTTGTACATCAGAGTCAAACGGAGTCGCTCCTGCAGCTCACAGGCATAGATGAGCGAGACATTTCCATGTGCAGGGTGGACATGGGAAACCGTTCGCACTCATCTTCTGGAGGATGGCAGCGACAGTGCATTAACACCTCTCTCACCTCCTGCCGAAAGTTGGAGTTGAGGAAACCGTAGATGACGGGGTTGATGCAGGTGGAGGACATTGCCAGCAGATGGCAGAGGGAGAACAACAGGTTGTGGTGGCAGACAGGCAGAGCCTCCTGGTTCCAGTCTGACACCACGTTGAAGACTGTGAGCGGCAGCCAGCAGAGAGCGAAGGCCGTGATAAGAGAAACCAGCATGATGTTGATCCTGCGACTGTGGGTCATACGCTGGTTCTCTGGGGTCCTGGCTCGATCTAGCATTTCTTTGCGGTGTCGCAACCGCACGAAGACTCTGACATAACAGAGTAGGACCAACAAAAGTGGGCCACAGTACTGAAAAAGCAGGAGCCAGGTGGTGTAAGCCAGCCTGTGCTGCTGTGATGGCCAGTGCTCCAGACAAGCCTCCATATGTGGGGAGGCGGCAACATAGGAAAAGAGAGTTCTGTATGAATTTGGAGGCGAGGAGGAGTTTTTGAAAGTGTAGGAAACAGTCAGAGGTGGAGAGTCATTGAGGTAAGTCTGGGGAGATGCCTGGTAATGAAAAGGAGACTCGGGCATGACCACATTAGCATATGGCTCATTTGTGAGGAGCTGAAAGGCCAAGAAAGGCGAAGAGGTGAGTCCAGCCAGAATCCAAATCACAAGAACCACAATATAGGCTTGAGGAATGCTCGGTTTCCATCCAGAGGGGTTTATTATGAGCTGATGTCTCTCCAAAGCAATGAAAACCAGAGAGAGCACAGACACGGTCACAGACATACACTGGATAAATGGCACGAGACGGCACAACAGCGACCCAAACACCCAGTGATCCATGAGCGTGTATATGACAGTGAAGGGGAGGCAGAAGATGCACACCAGAATGTCAGAGAACGACAGGTTGCAGATGAAAATGCCAGTGACATTGACTTTTTCTCTGCGTCGGGTGATAATGCAAATAAGCCCAATGTTCCCCACCAGCCCCAGCACCATTGTGACGCTGTACCAAACCACCAGACACACGGTGAGGACAGGAGACATGTGGCACAACTCATCATGCCCGAGGACAGCCAGGTCTGAGAGGAGCAGGGTTTTATTCTCCATCCACTCCTGCTCCGAGTCGTGATCATTTCTACCCTCCTCCCATGGCTGGGGGCGCGGCGTAGAGGAGGTGTTGAAGGGCACAAGAGGAGCTGTTGACGCTGGATAAGGCTGGCTCGTGTTGCCACTTAAGGACATGTCACCGGGACTTCAGTGTCATCAGCCCCCAGGATTAGACTGTCCATGCCGGTCCTGCTAAAGTATGCATCTAACACAAAGACAGAGAGAGTACAAAGAAAAACAATAGTGATTCAGTTGCAGAGATGTTTTCTAAAGGCCAGCAAAACAGTGAAGAATTGATTCAGCGATCTAGAAGGAAGCTCAGGGAGAGGAAACCCTGGGCTGAGAGGATAAAAATCCTTGACTGTAAGCTGAATTGTGACAACTGTGATATGTATACAGACTTCTTCTAAAAGGCAGGCATTATATTCTGCATACACCTACATTATTTGTGCTGATTGGCAACAATGGTGGTGCAAATAGCAGTATTACTACGATGCTACATTTGGCAGATGCTTTTATTCAAAGAGAAGTACATTAGAGAGCAAGGACAATACAAGCAAAGATCTAGACAAGAAGAAACAAGATCAGCAAGAGCCACGAAATAATAATTATAGTGATGCTTCAGATTTTATATAGAGCTTTATCTGTGACCCTCAAAGTGCTTTACATTGGATACATCATTCATTCGCACACACAGTGACAACCTCGTAGTAGTAAACGACCTTAGTAGTCACAACGGTGCATCTCCTGTCACTACGATGCAGGACTGAGAGGTTCAGGAGGTCCTTCATCCCAACAGCCGTCAGACTTTTCAACTTTTTGGCCATTGGACATGACAACTTCCCCACATAGATTAATAAAATACCCACCTATCTATCTATCTACAGCTGGCCTGGTGCAGAGTGACGGAAACGTAGCCTCTCCGACCACCACCAAACATCACTCACAACCATACGCCAGCAAAGGACACACACTGGGAGCAAGGTGGGTTAAGTGTCTTGCCCAACAACACAACGGACAAACTAGGGATAACGGGGGACAAAAACCGCCAACCTTCCAGTTGATGGACGACCACTCTACCTCCTGAGCTACCACCGCCCAAAGTACTTCAAGTCCATTAATCTAGTAATCAAGTTTTCTGAATCAAGCAGCTTTTTAAAAGCTTTGATGTTTTATCGGCTAGGTAGTGTAGTAGCGTCCAAACAAGCTACAGAGTATTCAGCTGTGGTCTCAGATGAAAACCAGAGCAGCAGATGCATGGATGTGTTTCTGTGGTGGGTCTACTTCTGTGTAATGCACATTAATGTCCAAATCCTGTTGTTGGCTTGTAAGATGTATCTGCTGCAAATGTGCTGACAGGCCATCATGACTTCACCTACCAAGAGTGAGAAAAAGACAGTGAATCTATAATCATCGACCAACTTCTATTGAGTTAACCACTTCCAGTACCGCAGATGTATACACAGGCTATGCTGTCATGCAGCTGCAGCGCCTCCACCATATTGTCATAGCAAATACAAGTAGATGCAAGACTATTTGGTCTATGGATTAAAAGTTCAACGTTAAATTAATCTTAATTACTTTTTTTTTCATGGCAATGGACAAAGTCGTCCACAAAATTAGACCATTTCAACAAGTTTTATGCCTGGAGGAGGAAGGAGGAAGAAAACTCTTATTTTGCTTGCCCCCTATCAAACTACAAATGAACAGTAGAAATAGATGATTCATCCCATGACAAGACCACCAGTATTACGACAAGGAAAAATCAAAAGCAAATTCACAGTCACTGATGATACTTCTAGATTGAAATTATTATCATTTTGCAAAAAAATTCAACAGTTTGACTCCAATCCCAGAAACACACGTCTCCTTTGAGGTCGTCCCTGTATATTGATGCTTGAGGTTGAATTTCCTCATCTTTTGAACTAAAAACAAACAATTTCCGCAATTACCCTGGTAATACTCACCTTGAATATAACAATGAGCGTGTGCAATTCAACTAAATATGTTCGCTTTGATCATCCTGCTTTTATAAACAGTCTGTGGGTGTGTTCTCTGAAACCTACATTGAATGGTTTTTATACTCAGTGATTATATTCATCATAGTACTTATGACGGACATCATTTAAACAGATGGGATCAAACCAAATTAGTGCAACATTAATGGAGAGGAGGATTTCGGTCCTTTCAGCAGTCAAATGATGCATATCTAACAAAATTTGAAGCTTTTTTTATTGCATGAAAAAAGATTTCAGTAAAAAAAAAAATGCATGCAGTAGAGCGCTATTTCAAATATGCTCAAAAGAGTCAGCTGGCCACATTTTTCTGATTAGGGACAAACAGTCAGGAGGCATGTTCCCGCATACCTAATTGTGCATTTCACAACGCCACTACAGATATGGCGGCAACGTCAACCTATGACTCAAGAGTCAATATGGCCACTGTTAACAGAAGGCTGCTAACACCAGCTAACCATGATATGTTTAGTAAGGAAGAGCAGCACAATTAAAACCCTTTAGAAAGAATTTAAAAACTTAGATTTGAGGAGAAAGGGACGAGTTAAGCTAGTCAGTAATTTATTCCACCTCTTGTTCCCTGGTAGCAGAGTGCAGTAGCAGAGTTAGCCGACTATAATTACCTCCGCCAAGGAGGTTATGTTTTCGGTAGCGTTGGTTTGTTTGTTTGTTTGTTTGTTTGTCTGTGAGCAACTTTGCGGAGAAAGTTACAGACGGATTGACCTGAAATTTTCACCAGAGGCGCGTCTCAGCCCCAGGAGGATCCCCGTAAATTTTGGTGGTGATCCGGATCGCCTCCTGGATCCAGGAATTTTTTGAAGGATTCATTATCAGTGTGAGATAGGACACATTTTTTTAATTTAACTCTATAAAAATGTCCAGAGTCTTTAGTAAAAAATTACACAAAAGGATCTCAATGAGTTTTATGAGGTGTCAAAGCTTGATCCTGATCCAGACAAAATTCTGGATACTGTGATCCAGAACACACAAAAATAAGGGTGTCGTTGGAATTTTCAATGCTGAAAGATAACCAATGGGCAGCACAGTGGTGTAGTGGTTAGCACTGTCGCCTCACAGCCAGAAGGTCCTGGGCATGTGTCCTTTGTATCCAGCTTTGAACGAGAGAGTCACATTAAGACATTTTGTATATATCACGTGAAATGCTACCACCACGATCACCCATCTACTCCTGCTTCTGTCTGTAGCACCCCCATAAGGTTTACATTTAGTTTTAGTCGACTATGTATTATCATAAAATGCATCATGACCCCCCAGGGTTTTAATGATTGTGGTAAGCCCCTGAAAATGTCAGTTTAATAGTTACTTTAACAGTTTAATGAAGTTAGATATATCTACCAACAAAACAAAAGATAATCAAAGTTGTTTGGTGTTGAATTAGCAGAGCCGGCGAACTTAACCCAACAGTATCTTCATTGTTTTTCCTAAGCTCTGATGGAGTTGTACAAAGTCATTCTTGGTGTTAATGAACAGCCTGTTCTTCTATCCATGTTAACATCTCAGACTTGTCGTTTCTCCTCCCACAAATGAACCCTCCAGTCAGGTTTGAAGACTGAACATAAAAGCCTAATGACAATAAAATTACCGAGCATACATCTGAGCAGAGACTTCTTCCTTTCATTCACACTCAACAGCGTACTATGTCTTTGTAAAAGGGCACGACATTGTCAGGATCCTAAAAATGGGTTCTTGCTGTCTTTCCTGAACCCTGTAAGAAAGAAAAAAAGAAAAAAAACTAGCCTGTCATCTCCCATTAACCGCACACACACACTTTGTAATTAGTCCCTTCACACTGCATCATTTCTAACCTGCTCTGTCAGTGTGTTGAGTGAGCTGCGGGCAGGGTGGTACAGCGTTAATTTGCCTTTTGTTCATGAAGAAAGGAAAGTGTAATGTCACCAGTTCCCAGATGTTGAAAAGAAGCTGCAAGAGAGCAAATGAAGCAGAAACACCAGGAACAGAAGAGGGAGGTACTGGCCATTAGTGGGTGAATTTGAACCTGTTATGTTATAATGATGTGACACTAAAGGATCTAGTATGTCGCCGTGATCTTCTCCTCCACAGCAAAATGACTTTGTGAGAAGGATCATTGTGACCAGGTGCATCATTTTCTCCTTTTCTTCTTTGTTGAAGTGCCCTCTAACTCTGAGAAAACCGCCTCCTCTACATGTCAGCTCCCCTGAACAACAGCCTCCTCGATTCTCATATTTATATCTTTCCGAGAACAGTTTTGGAATAATGAGGATTTTTACGTTTTCTCCTTTCAACCCAAATTGTCAAAATTTCTTTTTGGTTTACCAATTTCTCACACTCCAAATCTACTTTCTGTCTCTGCAAAGCTTCTCTGAGGCACAGATTAAATCATCTCTTGACTGCATCGAACATTTCATCCAAATTTCCATGCAGTTAATGTAAAATGCATGCAAACTAGCATTTAGAAGAAGGAGTTTTGAGCACTTTTGCAGGCTTTATTTAAAGTGCATTGTTGCTTGTAATGATGTAGCAATGTTGATAAATGTTGGGGTGTAAATGGAGGGTTTACAGCTTGCACAAACAGTATGTACTTGCAGAAGAACTAATGCAAAACATCTTTACCTCAATAGAGTACTTTTCATCTTTTTTGATAACATCTCTAAAATCATCTTCTATACTGCATATTAACAGGTTTATGCGTCAATATTTCTGACTAACAGAAATCATTGTTTAGGGACGATTTTGCACAAATATCCAGAAAAAAAAGCCAGTATTTTTCAGTGTGTACATGCTCAGTCTGTTGGACTATTCAGACATTATTCCTCCCTCCTGCCTCCTGCATGTGGAGAAGCAGACTAACAGGCAGCAGGAAGCATAACATGCACAACCTGAGATGATGACCCGAGCCTCATTATTCACTGCTGGGGTTGTCAGGGAATGTATGGCTGCACCTAACAAGACTTGATCACTTCCAGCGCTGTCAGCGGGTGTTTTTTTTTTTCTTTTTTGGACATCTCCCACATTTCCAAACAGTACATAAAACATTCATGCAAATAAGGTACATTTTCCCCTCATAGTTTTCAGATTTGCCTAGTTTATCCTGCAGATATTAGATGTAACATGTGTAGACCTCTTTTGTTTGAATGGCATTTTTAACTTAGATCAGTACAGTACACCTAAAAAAAATCCCTGATGTGCAACAGTGTCAGAAAACACAAAGAAATACAAGGAAACAGGTAGAATATAACAGCTGTCTGCAACACATTTTTGCACAGAAGATCAATAAAGTGCATAGTATAAAGCACTTACGCGGGTTGTGGGCGGCGAAGTCTTGTATTCAAGGAAAGATGTTAAAGAAAATGACTCTGAACAGGTGCGAATCCACCGAGATGAGAGTTGAAGACAGAGCTGAACATCACAGCCACCAGTATGTTTCTGTGAGCGGTGAGAGCAGCAGCCTGATATTGGGTTGTTAGAGCCTTTTAGGTACCAGAGACCCTTTGAGCACTGAGCTCTGCTGTCACACAGTGGTGAATAAACTCAATTACACCCTGAGAGTGACACCTGCTCCAAGTGCTGTCTCATTGCATGTAAACTGACAAGAAGCAGGAGAGTTGGAGCAAGTTTAGATTCCTATTTTCAGTCATAAGACATAAACGAGACAACAGATATGCTTGATTACTTTCTTTATTGGGTATTCACTGTGTGTACACCACCCTTTTAGGGTTTGAGCCTGAACATTGCCATATCTGGAAGGTCCTCCTTTGGAGGGGGCCCAAGTGGACAAGGTACATTGTGGTCTGATTTCAGCACCAGCTTGTATCCGCAGGCCTCCTTGTCAATCAGTTGCTCGCAGTTGGGAGGTAAGTTGACTGCACGTCCTGAAATGAACCTGAGAGGCAAAGAAAAGAAATACCACGTCCATAAACATGGATGAAATTAAACATTTCTTAAAAACACCAAAAAATGAAAAAGTTGGTCGCACAGTATGCATTTGACATCAAAGCCGTAAAGTCTTACTTGTCACAGCACACGATCCCGTGCCTGAATGAACAGCGGCACAATTTGCAGTCCTTCTCCCAGCGAGCACCATAGTCATACATCTTATTGTTAGCGTCATCCTGACATCCTGATTGAACAAAAAACACAGTTTAGAGCAGCTGTTGAGCCTCTAATCAAACTTTGACACTTTCATGGCTGTGTGATGAGTTTTGCGTCAGTTGGTGTGTGTTAAGTGACCACGCATCATTCATTCAATGAATTGAGCTTTTGTCAGATCAATAATTTGCTGCTGCTGCACTGTTTTGTGATTATACTATTTACATTTTAAATCATAGCAACTTACCGGGTGGCACAAAAGGCCAGTTAGGTAGGAGTTTTAATTGGGTTGTTATGCATGCAGACTCACACAAGCCAACCAGTCCCAGCAGGAAAACGAAGACATGAAGAGAAGCCTGAAAGACAGAGCAGGGACATCTCAGAGTGTGGGGCATGTTTCATAGTACCGACAGTCTATTTCTGGACTTTTCCTAAACAAACCTCATCTGACAAATCTCCCTGAAAATTTAGCAAGGCATTTTTTTCTGTCTCATAATAGAAAAATGAATTACAGCTGGGCTTGCTGTGTGAAAACTCCTACAGAAGTGTTCAACAGTCCGTATGTTTTTGCATTGAATGCATTATTGCATTATTGATTTTGTCTCAGTGAAAATGATAGAAGAGAATCATTATGTATCAAATTCAATGCAAAACATATTTCTTGCTAAGAAACTGTTTTTCTCTTTAATATCCAAATCAATACATTTCATTTGTTGTGCAATCAAAAAAGATTTAATGGCTTTAAAATGTAATTTAATCTGATCTAAAATTTAAAAAAGGTTCTAAATAGTATTATATTTTACATTGAGCAGCAGAGCTGTTATTTAGCTTCTTATTGGTGAACAATAGCTTAATTAAACTGGCAATATTTATTTGAATCATACAGTTAAGCATTAACTGAGCCTTGCAACAAGTTTCCGATTGAAGCATCAGTTTACACATTTGTTCTCCGTCTCTAAAATCAACTTTAATCAGTTCATAAAACATTTACACTTATTAACAATGAAAGTCCTGCACCATCAAAAATTTTGAGGTTTTCTTCAAACCTCAGAAAATAATAACAACAAAGTTTGAAATGCTTACCATTCTCAGGGTTGATGCACTCAGATTTTCAAGAGGTCGATATGTTGGGAGGCTTTCTGATGTGGCCTTTATATCCAGGGTTGCATCCCTACGTGTCTCTGATTAAGTTTGAACAGTGATGCAACATTTTTTTTACGTATTTACTTTAAGGTGGAAGTAAAAGCAGTCATCGAGGTATGCTGATGAAGGGTGAAATTATCACAACTTCACAATCACACAGTCAAGGTCAATGTAGTACCTCTTCTCTACCCATCAAGTTCAGAGCCGATGAAATTTTTCACAAGCACAATAGTCCTTAAGCTTGAAAGCCAGCTCATTATCATTCGTCCTTAAACTCCTGCATTTATAATTACAATCAGCCTTGAAAACCGTGTTATACAATGAAAAATAAGAGATAACTACAGGGTTTTTTTTTAAAAAAACCTACCATCATCTATGGTGGCATCTGAGGAGTTAAAAGGGGGAGCTGACTCCCCCTCTGTGTTACTTATCAAATTATTTATTGGAATTAAATTAAGTTTATTTCTACTTGCAGTTTTTTAAAAATGAAAAAGAAAAAATTCAATAAATGCAAATCTATATATTTTTCTTTCATGAGTTATTAGTTATGAGTTATTTTTCATGGGATGTTTTTGTGACTCATGAGATATTTTTGCACTTTGTGAAGTGTTTTTAAGTTTTACAACATATTTTTGTTTTGTTTTTTGCTTTTTCAGTTTCTGTAATTTTCTTTCTTTTTTTTTTTTGCATTCTGTGGTTCATTTTCAGTCAACATTTTGGAGTTTAGTGAAACCATTTCATGTTTAGTAAAAAAAATTGCATTCATGAAATAGGCAGTTGACCCTTAAGGCCACCGTAGCCACCTCTTAAGTTTCTGACGGATGACCAGCATCAGTCAGTAAACTTTGTCATGTCAGGTCGAAGATCATGGTCATCACTGCTGAGAGGAGACACCATCACTAAATCTTCAACATCTCAACGATGTGATGATTCTACTTTTTAAATATTTCCACATCACTGAGTTACTGTTATTTATTTTTGAAACTCACTCAAACAAACAAACTGGAGGTCTGTTATTATATTTAACATGTTATCAATTTTATTCAAAAACTAACACACAAAAGAGAAGCTGAGGAAGCAGTCAGTCTGAAATACAAAACAACCGTCGCCTCATCTGTAAACATTTATTGCTGAGCCAAAAGGTGGAGATAGATTACACACATTGCAAAAATAGCACAAATTGTAAACAATTATCAGAAAGCTGGTATGAATCACTGGAGTAGTAAACATATGGTTTCACACTTTTAAGAATTTGTTGTGAAAAAAAGGCAGCTTTTGGTCTGTGCAACAGAAAAAAGCTGAATAAAGCTTTTAACCAAATCAAAGTTCATATTTTCCAGTCCTCATCCCATAATTAAACAGAAAAACATCAAACAAATTCAGACATAATTACAGGCTGATTGCCTCAGCAGAACATTGAAATACATTTCCCTATATTTGGTTAATCCCTGACTGTAGGCAGCTTCACCCACGGTGAAACAATTTTAAACTTATGTAAACTTTACAGCAGAAAAATGTTTCCGTGTGTGAGGATAGAAAAAAAAACAACCAAAAAACAAGCGACGGACACGGAGCCCTTTCAGGGGAGAACAGGATGTTTCTTTCCTGTAATATGAAAAAGAAAAGAAACAGGGGCTCACTGTCTTTGCTGTTCAACAACATGGTAACTGTCACCATGACAACACAGCAACATTTACAACCTGTGAACTTATAACACCCCCGAAGTGGAGCACAAATGAGGAAGATAATCATTTAAAAAACATTCCCAAAGAACACTGTGTGCGCCCGCCGTACAAAGTCCTCAAAATTAGCGTCATTTCTCCATTTCACTTGGCAGTGCACTGTATATAATTTAAAGGAATTGTTTGACGTCCATAACAATACTATCACTTATTTACTATCTGGCAGTGAGACAAGAGGATTAACATCACTTCAATGTCTGTACGGTAAACATTGCTCTTATGCCAGCAGCCAGTTAGCTTGACGTAAAGACTGGGAACAGGGGTGGGACAGCCGACTGAGTTAAAGAACCCGCCCATTAGCTCTGTTACGGTCCATTTACATGTACAAATTTATTTTAGACAAATTGTAAAGGTCATGATAGTTGACGTGGTGAAGTATTTTCATGGATGACAGCTAACTTGATGTTGTCAAGTTGCCAACATCACAAATGGTCTCTTTACACACCAATTTTTGATGATTAATGATTGTCAGCAGTGCCTGTGCAAAAGGTTAATTTGCTACTTCAATATTTACTGGCTGTCTGCTGGGGTCACGTCATGTCTCACCCCAAAGTCCTGAGCTGTGATTGGCTACTTACCCAGTCAGAGGCAGAGCTACATTAAAAAAAAAAAAAAAAAAAAACATCTGACATGCTATTTTTGTGAAAGCGTTTTGTTGATAAGTGATAAGTGGAAAACAGATGTAAGTGTCAGTGAAACATGTTTAAATGTGCAAATATATTTCAGGCCACCCCTGCATCAGTGAGTGACCCAGTTTGGCCACCCTAGTCAAAAAATCTGTATGTGCCCCTGCCTTTCAGTCTTTATGCTGCTGATTGGCTGCTGGTGGTATCAATGGACCTATCTAACTTTTATATTCTCTAAACATATAAATTAGAGGGGAAAATAAAGGCTACCATCTGTACAAATAAAGAGGAAAACTCCCACATAAAACAACTTATAACCATCCAAAGATAGGTAGCAGCATTTCAAGTAAAAAGTGTATCATCTGGGTTTCAACAGTGCAGTCAGTGCATATTGCAGCTGCAAATCTTCAAAGTGTATTTCTATCCGATCAATGTTTTCATGAAGGCAGGTTTGCTGAAGGGCCAGTGATACTGGTTGGGAACCGGCCCGTTCACATTACATTCAAAGAAGGAGAACATAGGGAACCAAATGCGGGCCCTCCTGCTGTGCTGATAGGCGCGAGTGTTGGCCAAAGTGTGGTAGTAGAGGAAGAGGCGGGTGGTGATGTAGAAGGCGATGAACACGTCGATGGAGTAGTGCTCATGAGCTGCAAGGATAAAGAAGATCCCAAACAGGTTTAACACCCAGGAGATAGTGTGGATCATGTTCCAGGTCCGTGGGGTGTCTGCAACCAAAACAAAATCAGAGAAAGATCAATTTCAGGGTTTTATTTATTACTTACATCACATCATTATTTTACTTCTAATGTTTATTTCTCACTCCTCTTATAGCAACAAAAGTTTTTCACTCCAATGTGGGAATTTCTTGCAGTCTAGAAAACAGAACAGGTTACTCATTGTGATTTTTCATACCACCACATGTCACGCTGCTATTGTCCACTCTTATAAATTAGGTTAAGCTTTTCTCTATGATTGTTTTGTGCTTTTGCAATTCCTGGGACTGGAGTTACGATAGTTTGATCGTCGAATTAGAGATCTTGAGAATAAAAAACTTGGGATTGATGCTTCCTACAGGAAAACTGGATGAATGAAATGTAAAGATGCATTTCGGTTTCTGTAATTCTGCCAGTTTAGCTTATCAATCACAATACCCGGCTATTTGTAGCTGTTAACAACCTCTTTCTCCTGTCCATCAGCAGTGACCACCACAGGTACCCCAGTCTTTGAGGTGGTAAACAACATGATTCGAATCTTCTCTGCATTTAGAACAAACTTTAGCTCGTATAATGAGTACTGAACAAGAGTGGATGCACAAAAGTATATAATTGTATCATCAGCGTATTAATATAACGCAGCATCTGCTACATTTTGTCCCAGATTATTCACATAAGTAGTAAACAAATGGGGGCTTAATGTGGCACACCTTTACGGAGAATTTTATTATCAAAGCAGAGGCCATCATGCCTAATGCATTGAGACTGATCACCAAGATAACTGCATCTAAAGAGAATCCAGTACTCGCAAGTCAGCGCTTTACAGGCCAATGGCTAACTGCTTCAAGGCTTCATTAAATCAAAGTAAGAGAGCTGCAACTAAAAATATCCTCAAGAATTGTTATTGTGATGTCTAAAATGCTAATTTTGACCCGAAAGAATAAAAATATCTGGGAATTAAATGTCAAAACTGTAAGTGGATCGTGTGCGTAGAGTCTAATTTTGATGGGTAATTAGAGGATAGAGGACAAGGGGGCTTTTATTTTGTATCTAGCTTATTAATCAGGTCATTAATTATGATTACATGTTGTTGTGGACAGCTGTATGCTCAAAGTCACAATCACACTATTACTCACACTACATAAAAAAACATCAGAGTAATTATAACACATTTAGGAATATTTTAGAGTCACAGTGCTTCAATTGTTTTCACACTGACTTTTTGTTATATACTTACACTCAGTTACAAAGAAGTTGAGTATTGTGATGACAACCGTGTGTCCACTGAACATGTAGTCTCCGCACGTTTGAACGCCAGTCAAAGTCATCCCAAACCCGCTCCAGATGGTCAGCGCCCTCTGAATCTTTCCCAGCGTGTCGCCATACGTCTGAGGAACACAGGACACACTTATCAGTCAGTGGCAGCTGGTGATGATTTAGTTAGGATTACTGACATGTCACTCTTTAATGTCACCCCTCAACCAGGCCTCTGTATTTCATCTGCACAGGTTTTTCCCACCTTGCTGGCACACTTGAGATGCTGTCCAGGCACAGAGAGTGAAGTGACGAACATGGTGCAACAACGGAGCAAAAACACAGTTCCCATCAAAGAGCACAACCGTCTGAAGAGGATCGACCTGAAACAGGAAAAGAAAACAGTTGCACTGATTCGAGAACCTTCAAACCTACTGAAGGGTTACAAGTGTTGGAGTACAGGTGCTACAGTTAATGTTAAAGTGTCTCTAATTTTATCTTATTTCTAAGCATTAAGTGGAGAAAGTGGTCTTTTGGCAGGTATAATACAAACACAGTAATGAAGTGTGGAGTACCTGTGTTTGTGGAGGAGCAGGATCAACAGAAGCATGTAACATAGGATGAGACCGCAGGCTTCTGCCATTGCAAAAGCCCAGGGGATTCTGGGTACACTGAAAGAGAGCAAGAACAAGCAGGTCAACATCTAGATAAGATATGAGTGTAGGAGAATGTGTACATGACCTATGGACTAGTACCTGTCCAGGAATATATCAGGCAGTGGTGGGTACGTCCTCGTGTCTGGGACTCGCTCGTGTACGATGACCATGACAAAAGACGTGAAACCAAAGACTAAAAACACATAAAAGGCGCTGATGACTGTTTTCCACACCTCTGGGTCCAATCTACCTGCCAGGTGCTGCCTACACCTCCCATTGGAGTGTGTATGACAAAGTGAAGCTTCTGAATTGAATCCAGATCTGTCTCCATTCCTCAGTCTCAGCTCAGTCCCATTACATGTATGATTTCCTCCATTATACCTCCTGTTGGCTCTGTCACAGCTCCAGTCCACTCCAACAGAGTCCACCACCACAGGGTGTCTGTCTGAAAGCTGCAGGCCCAGCTCCTCCAGCTGGCTCTGGTTCTGTCTCTGGAGCCGACGCAGGGCGATGCTCAGCCTCTTAATGTCCCCCAGCACGGTGAGGCCCAGAGGGGGTCCTCGCAAGTCAGCCTCAGTCAGAGCCAGCAGAGTGAGGCCGTCCAGGCGGTGCTGGGTGCACAGCAGCTCCACGTACTCGCCAAATCCTTCCTCCTGCAGCCACTGGGCCACCTGCTTACAGCTCCAGGTGCTCACACTGTCCTCTGCAGGAGCCATGACACTGCAGACACACGGAAAGACAGAGTTAGAGATGGGGAAGGTGGATTTAAGGAGGGGAGTAAGGTACTGAATAAGCATAACTTTTGATCTTTGAGTGCCTCTCAATCCACCGGGCTCTCGCCTCTTGATTTCATTACTGTCTTTGTCATTTTTAGCCCCTTTGTTTGATTGAAAAGCTGCTAAAACTCACCTATTCAGTGAATCAATTTGCATGCTTTTGTTCATATCCACTTGTGAAAAGGTGCAAAAGCTGCAACTGGCACAACTTCAACAAATGGTTTACCCTGATTAATCTATTCAGCCTTTGGTAGACCAAATGTTAGGAAAGAAAAAATAAATTCAATCAGTTTTCAAGAATTTAATACAGCATCTTAAAATGTCTGGTTTTCTTTAATAAGCCTAAACCTTAAAGATTGAGTTTAAACTGAAATAAAAAAGGGAAAGTTGTCTTATCCTCCAGCTGAATCAAACCACTTTCCTTCTTCATGCCTGGGAAAAGAGACCCAGACGATTAGCAAATATACAAGATAGTAGCAGACTGTTTTTCTTCCTCTTAAATATTTGTTCAGACTTGTAAATGTTTGATTAAGTTTCCTGCCAATAGTCTCAGGCTAATAATTATTTACACTTCTGATCTGGAGGTAATATTTCACACTAATTATTGATATCATAGTGTCTATTTACGAACAACAGATTACAAAAAAGAAACAGGTTTACAGCAGCTGACTCCTTTATTCAACAAACCTACAAACCCATGAAATCAACAGTTTACAAAAGTAGAGATGACACGAATTGTGAATTATCAGATAAAAAATATCTGAGAAAATGGAAGTAGTTTGATAATCTTGCAAAGGTTTAGGTAATGTTACACAATTAAGGATGTGCAGTTTATCTGACTGATCGATTTAATGTTGTAACTCTTTCTAGATTTTCTAGTTGATTAAATTAATCAATATTCTTATTATTATAGGTCTGAAATGTCGGTCATATGCTCTTCCCAGTGCGTATCATTAACTACGGATAATGACCACTAATGTAAAGTTGTATGAAGTCTGATTGGGTAAACTGGCACATAACTACCCAAAAATAGCAATGCATAACCATGTGGACATAATCCTGCAAGTTAGACCTTAAACTGATGGTTCTGGCTAAACTAACATTAACTGCATGCAGAAAAAAAACATTGTTTTTGCAAAGACTATGCTTGGGCCATTAGCCCTGTTATTTAGCGTTTTCTTACTTTTAAACAAGTCGGCTAGAAGCGATTAAAACTTACACAGAAAAAACAAGGAAATTATTCACTTCAAAACATCTCAAGACAAATTATTTAATCTAAAAACCTCCTTCAGAAGTCAAATGAACTGTATCTGAATTTTTTTTTAGTATTTTAAATTCCATAGACTGAATGATAGATCCTTTATCAAAATCGAGTAGCTGAAACTTCAACAAAATGTGCATTTCTTGAGTAAACAATCCGTTCCTCATTGCTCCGACACAGTCACCATGACATGCCATGAAGGTGTGCATGTGGCAGAATTGACACAACAGGGATGTACGTCCGTGTGGAGTTATCTGCTGTTGGTGCTCTTACTGGACGTGGCCTCGCGTGACACACTGCAAAACACTCAGTGAAATTTCATCAGCTGCCTCCAGGACTGTCACCAACCAGTACAGCACACTGGTCTCTACAAACCAGACCTCTGCTTTGTGCCAAACAAAACCAAAAATAACAAGAAACCCACCTAACCGAGCGTGAGTGTCCTCTCTGTTGCAGTGGAAATAAAAGGAGAGTTACTAACCCTCTGAGGTTTACTCACAAACAAGCAGCAAGCTCCTCTCTCACAGACAGACTCAGGTATTGATGGCACTCTCTTCCTTACACTCGTCTGTTCATGTCATCTCTAACCTTTGACCCTCTGATAAGCCCATCGCAGTGCAGCTCTTTCTGTTCACCTCTCGGCTCCAAAGGTCTGCAACCCTTAAACAGCACACCTTCACATCTGTTCACTGCTGAATGTGAGCAACACACTCTGATTAGATGGCAGATATAGACTAGAAATTTCACAAGTAAGCAGGTTTCAGTTATCAGTTATGACTGCACTGTTGCATGGGTGCTGATCGAGTTATGAGTTATTAGTAAGTGATGACAAAGACAGAAGTACAGACCCGGCTTCATCTGTGATCACACACTGGATCTGAACTAATAATTATTTTAACTATCAGCTGATCTACTTTTACTCTATTAAATGATTAGTTATTGTTCTGCAAAATAAAACAATTGGTTTACCTTCAATTGAGCTGAAAAGATTTAGAAAGACACTGTTAGAATCTATGGTAACACTTTACAATAACCATAACTTTTAAATGGTAAGCAGATAGTTAATAAATAGCATATAGACCATTAATAAATTGTGAATTTTACAATTTTAAAAATCAAACCGAACCTTACCCCTAACTTTATAACAACCATCTAAGTTATATTTATAGGTGGTTTATAAACCACTTATTAATTATTAACAAAGTATTAGAAACATCAGTTGCAACTTTACAATAACCATCTCAGTAATTTTTATAGATGGTTTGAAAACCAAATATTAACCATTTACAAAGAGCTACTGACACACATTTTAATCTAGATGTTTTACAACCAATATTTAAACCCTATATAAACCTTTAATAAATAGTCCATTATTAATTATTGAAAATTATTCATCATAATTTTATTGCTTGTTAATGGTAAAGTAACTATTAACTTACATTAATAAACTATCTGTTTGCCATTTATAATTGGTCTATATGCTGTTTTTAAAAGATGATTAAAAATTAATAAATGTGTCTATTTACCATTTATAAATTATGGTTATTGTAACGTGTTACCAAATCTATCTACAATAGTTGTATCTTTAATAACATAAGAATCTGCTGCTTTTACCAGTTTATATAAATTTGATTTGATATAGCCAACAGGATGGGGTAAATACGATGTAATATACTGTATAATAAGCAGCACTACTACAGCCATCTTATATACAAAAAATTTTAATGAGGAAATATTCCCACTTAGTGATAAAATCTCATTTTCAAGGGATTCTTGACTGAGACAGCAGCAACAACAGACAAAAACATCCCCAAATACAGCAGCACATGGTCAAATAACACATAATTCTACTATTCAAGTCCTTCAGACTAACAAAAGTCCTAGCTCAGACCAGGGGTATGGTGCAAATATACAGAAAAAGCACTTTTTCCAAAGACAGTACAAGCCTGAGGAATGATATACAGAATTTCCGCATGAGACAGAAGGTTACAGTCGCTGACAGATTCAGGAGTTGGTAAAGGACATAAATAAGAAGGCAATTCATGTGTGAAGGCCGTATAGAGGCAGGTAAATCAATGTTCCATTATTCTGTTGTGAACGAAGTGACTGTCTCGTACAAGACACAGTGATGTGTATGAAGGTGACAAGTCAACGCAGCACGCTCTTGTAAATCCATATGTTAGAGAGGCTGAGGAAGCATGCATAAAGCGCAGATCATCAAAAAAGGTTAAAACAGAACAGAACAGGCCTAAAAATGAAAAACTGGACGTATTATTTTGGGCCTTTTTGATTGTAATGTGATGAGGCAGCTTGAAAGAAGCCTCTTCTGTAGCCTCTGTGCATGAGGCGCCTGCTCTACCATCGGAGCCAAACAAGTATAGCTCAGACTGAAATACTCTTTAAAGGAGGGAAATAAAATATACATAGGTTTGTCAAGAAGAGTTGATAATTTCAATGTGTCCCAATAACATAAATCTTTCATTAAAGCTCCAATGAGGAACATTTGGTTTGTGTAGATTCTAGTGCCCCCTTGTGGTCAAAGTGTAAGATAATAATTTTAGATTAAAAAAAAAACGACTTATCTTGTTTTCTTTGAATATTCTGTGAGTATATTGGCTGAAGAAAAATTAAAGAAAGGTTGTTTTTTTAGAGTGCTGTTGATCATATATTCTGACACCTACACCCCCCTCAGCGATTTCAGCCACTAGAAGTTTAAATTACATAATTATTTTATTTATTTTTATTTATTTGACCTTTATTTACCCAGGTGAGAACCCATTGAGATCTCATTTACAAGAGTGACCTGGCAGAGAGGTCGGCAGTACACAGCACAATAATAAATAATAATAAAGAAGAAGAAGAAAATGACCTCCAGAAACATAATTAAAAACACAGGCACTGTTCCATGGTCTACCAAAATCTGTCATGTAAGATCGAACGAAATGCTCCCAGCGAAATTCATTCCGACAATTTCAGGTCAGTCTGGAGAGTATTCCACGCTGAAGTGGCAGCAAAACTGAACACTTTTTTGCCCAGTTCAGTTCTGATTCGCGGAACAATCAAATGGATAGTGTTGTTTGAGCGCAGGGTGTAGTGGCTTTTAGTACTTTGAAGAAGACCACATAAATAAGAAGGAGCTAAGCCAAGAAGGACCTTATAAATTAGAGTCATCCAGTGAGTGTACCCGCGAATACTCAGAGAAGGCCAGCCAGACTTGGCATAAAGTTCGCAATGATGTGTAAGACGACTACAACCAGTAACAAATCTCAGTGCACAGTGATCGACAGTAGTCAAGGACTGCAGGCATTTGGCTGAAGCAGTCATAGTTTCAGTCTTGTTTGCTTGTTTAAACTATTGCGTCAATCAATTTCAATCTGTTTCACAACCAAACAAAACTCCTCACAGGAGCTTTAGATACGAGTTTACAATACAACTTAAAACTATCACATCAAACTGTCATTTTAAAGCTTTAAATTATATTTTATTTTAAGAGTTATACGGTGAAACAGTACTTTTAACATACTAGAGGGGGAAAAACAATAAAATGTGGTTCTTTTTTTTATAATTATTGTTGATAAGACACCACATTAGTGATGTCAGTAACTTTAGGTTGATCGTAAGAGCTCAAACTGATGATCACATGGTCTGAAGGTTGTCTTCAGCCAACAGCAATCACAGTATGGCTTGCTGCCAGTAGAGGATCAATAAGGAACAATAGCTGTCAGATTAACCTGGTTCATATTAAAGGTCTGAGAGCGAACTCACCTGTGTGGCTCGGCTCCGTCCTCTCAGAAGAATGAGTTATTTTTAAACTGGCCTCTAGATTTCACTGGCGTGGTCATGCCGTGGCTGTACTTGGAGATTCATAAGTGCCCAGTCAGCTTGTTTGGCCGGCTTACAGTGAGTCACACTGTGGGCTGACACACAGCTGTGTGTGTGTGTGTGTGTGTGTGAGAGAGAGAGAGAGAGAGAGAAAGCCCCTCAGTGTGTGTGAGAAACACTGCTAGACAAAGAGCTCATAGTCTGTTCACTACAAGCAATCAAACGTCACACTCTGGCCTGAGATAAACTCGAAGAGGTTAATTTATGTTTTCATGAAGTTTTGGACAAGTTCAAACACTACACAAAAAGTTGAAGAGAACTTATCCAAAAGAGACTAAACTCAGTCAAAGAAAGAAGGTTTGCTTGATCAAAATGCCTCTCATGAAACAGCTGATGGCTTTCCTTTCTTACCAGAGATCCACTGTCACCGTGTCGCTTCAGGGTGTGGGTGAACTGTGTCATAGGAACATTTCATCAACATGTTTCTGACAACCAGGCAACCAAACAGGAAGAGAGCAAGTAAACAACAGCAGCAAAGAAGAGCAGCTGTTCTCAGGTGAAGCTGCTTGTTAAAGCACACTGACATCTGCTGGCAATATATAGGAACAATTTCAAGCACTTTGACCCAACTTAAAAGCTATTATCTACTGATTTATTAATTCATAGATACTTATAGATACTGGTAATACTTTGAACTGCTTTCTTTTAAAGCTGCATGTGTGTTTTATCTACTTTTGATAACATCTGCTCAGATTTGTGTTGTATTTGCACTGAAGCCTCAAATGAAAACATGGCCCACCATAGGAAGGCCGGCTCTTCAGGACATGACCTAAAAGTACACCTACGTCTAAGGACCAAGGACTCTCAAAGTGCAGCCTGAAGAGGGAAGACCTCAGATTAGAAGGAGTGCTAAAACTATCATCTCTTCACAGAGGTGACACTGCCATTAACATATAATGCAGTTTTGAATTAGCTGTCAAGAGAGAAAAAGCCCCACTCACACTCAGATCAGGTGACCCCCGAATCACCTATGACAGAGGGTGTGAACATCTCCAGAAGAATCTAGGTCAACAAGCCTTTTCTTGAGAATCTTAACCACTCGCCTCAAACAGGGGGGTGTTGAAACTGCAGGAAACCATTACAGGTCAACACTCCTCTTAACACCCACGACTCCTACAATCATGTACTACACTGACACTTTTATGTCTAGATTAATTCACCAGTTTAGAACTGAAAAGCCCTACAGATAAGACGTCAAGTGTCCTCCATAAGCAAGTCAAGATGTCTTTTTGAAAAGCAGCACTGACATTTGGACCTTCTTGACTCCAATTTTTAGTCGTAAATGTTACAATTATCACAGATTTTGTTCCATTGAAAAACAGAGCGAGGTAAGTGCGTGGGTGGTTATGAGAAATACAATTCTGACAGGGAAATAACAGCTGCTCTTTCATAAGGTCTCCTTCCTACACAGTCCTGTGTCACTGTCAAAGCCCAGCTGTGTTGTGATTGCTTTGTGCCTGTTTTCTTCAATTTGGTTGATGTCTCATTCTCTTAACTCCTTGTATGTTTTAACCCGCTCCGCAATGTGACATCGAAATGACGTGTGTTTTACATAATTTTCCTTGACAAACCACATGCACATGTTCAGATGAGATAAAAATGTCAACGTCAGTTCAGCATCTGAAAGAGGTCCAATAATGACGTCTAAATCTTGGCTCTATTTTGCATGTCACGCTAATGTCTAGATTTGGTCTTCAGATGACATCCAAATCCTGAACCTCATTATGAAGTCTAAAAAAGGTCCAATTTAGACGCCAAAACCTCTAACCTATTCTGCACGTCACTTTGATGTCTACATGTGGTTTTCGATGGACCGACCCAATACTGATGTGATCTGCACGTCTCTCCAACGTCTAATTTTTGTGACCAACCAGTATTAGACCATGTAGTTTTACTAGCAAGCCTCTTGTGCTGGATTATATTTTAACAGTGTTAGTTGACAGACTGAGCAGTAAACGTGTTGTTTATACATGCTTACCGTTTGATTTGATGATATATTATCAGCTTATGTACAAGTAAACCTAAATAAAGAGCAAGTGAGAACAACAATAAATCAAGAAATACACAGAAAAACCTTTTTAGTAGTTTTGGCATCATGCTATGGTGGTATATGCAAGAACTGTCTGCTAAGACAACGACAGATATGACAACAATGGGCTGCGAGGAACCCCTGGACTACATGTACCAGGTAATTCAAGTGAAAACAAGCTTTCTATTTCTGGATCCCCTTAAAAAGGGTACATTTTATGGACTGTTTAACTTTAATTTGGCAAATGAAGAATTAACTGTGTTTCATTAACCTGTTATGTTGGTGTAAATAAGGTTACGCCTTGGGAAAGGGTTCAACTGTGAGTTCACAACAAACTGCACCACCTGTTCATGACTGTCAGAGTCGGACAGCAGCTAAAGCAAGGGCGACTCAGAGCAGCATGATTTGGTTGGACTCATTTTCAGCCGCTAGACTCCCAGATGACAGATAAAAAACTAACGTGTGATCACCAAGACCCTGAGCAGAATAAAGACACAGAGGAAGAGGGGAAAAGCACATGTACGACAGAGGATTTAAAAGGAAGGATCCCGACTCTGCAGGAGCTGGAGCAGGTTTTATATTCAGCTCCACGCTCCTGTCGACATGGAGACGAAGTGTGGCCAAACTTGTACCTTGGAGACATGTGAGTATTTTGTGCCTTATTTGTGTAAATAAACAGTTTGCGTGTGATATACATATAAATAACTTGTTTTATTTGTGTCAGGTTCATGTCTCATGATAAACTGGGACTCTGGCAGCTGGGCATCACTCACGTTCTGAACGCAGCCCACGGAAAACTGTGCTGTAAGGGCAGTGACGATTTTTACGGCACCACTGTGAAATACTTGGGAGTCCCAGCCAATGACCTGCCAACTTTTGACCTTTCACCTTTCTTCTACCCTGCTGCTGAGTTCATTCACCAGGCTTTGACATCAGGAGGTAACATCAGCAGACATACATTTTACAGCTGATAAAAAAAACAACTTTAATTTTCACCTTCTTTGTTGTGATCTCCAGGAAAAGTATTTGTGCACTGTGCTGTGGGTGTGAGTCGCTCGGCTGCGTTGGTCTTGGCATATCTGATGATTCATCACGACCTCAGTCTTCTTTCATCAGTCCACTATGTGCAGCAGAAACGCTGGATTTTCCCAAACAGAGGCTTCCTGCGACAGCTTATAGCCCTGGACCGAAAACTGCAGCATGGAGGGTCAAACGAAGTCAAAGACAATGAGGAGAAACTTTAAGCTTGTCTGTCTTTCCACAAAGGCTGGAGACCTTGGAAGAGGCAAATTAGCCAACTGACATTTGAAAAATGTACAGAACAGAGCTGTGTGCAAGTACATGCAAGCTGTGTGCCTTGCACTTAAACAACAAGGTGATGCAATAAGTAATTACACAATGGGACACAATGACCCACTGAGGTACAATGTGTAAGTACAAAGGTACTGTGATGGTTGTACTTCTTATAAGTGCTTTGCAGAGTTGCAGTCAGAGGCTACACATACAAACAACTCAAACATGCTGCATTGTTCAGTCTGATTTCTATAATGGTTTTTGTTACACTTTGTATGTCCACAACAAATATAGATTTATTCCATCTCACTATTGTACATACAGAAAGGTTTAGAGCTGTAAAAGTGAGAGTGTTTTCATCATTACACATACATCCCGTTTGAACTGTTGTGTCGTTTGCGAACGATTCGTTCAAAAGAACTAAATCTTTTAAGTGAATGCACTGAACCGAATCACTTCCTCAAGTGATTCGTTCGTTTCTCACTTCAGTTGAGCTGAAGTGAGAAACAGCATTGCCAGGCCAGAAGCCAGCAAACGAGGGACCACATGCACCGACGGCTGAATCACTTGGTGAACGAATCAAGGATTGAACTACACTCTCTGGAATCATTTTGGTTTGTGCTCAAGTCCTCTTTTTTCTGTACAGCTCCATTTTTAAAAGTTATTAGGGGGTTCATGTTTTCTATGATTGACACTTAATACAGCCTATGGGCGTACGAAGATTGCGTAGCTCACCATAACGACTCTCGGCGACTCTCCTGCCGAATGCGTACAACACTGCTGCGCAGCGCTGGTTTCAGGAAATGAAGAAAAATTGCGGAAATACTGAGAGCTATTTGGCTTGTCCAGAGTATATACAGTCTATGGTTGAAACACGTTTTGTTTACAAAAATCAAGTATCTTTAACTAAATATATCTGCAAGGTTCGCCTGTGATAAAACCTTGCTGGTTGTCTTCATAATACATGTTCTCAACTAGAGATATTTAGTCTTGCAAGGCCCACGTACTTTCACAAAGTAAGAGAACTTTTTCTTTGACGCAATAAATTCCCTTGTGCTTAATTAAGATCTTGTTCTGCACAGTAGAAACACACCAAGTACCTCCAGAGTGCCCTTATTCCCGCTATGAAAACAGAGCTTTTGACTTGTTCTTGTTCAGGAGTCATTATTCTCTTTAACAACATGTAAGACTGTCTCCATTTATGCCATTTTACTATTTGTATACAGATGAACTGCGGCTACCCTTCCCCCCCTCTCCTCCCTTCATGTGACTTAATTGGACACAGACAGGGTTTGTGCCTGTAACCCCCCAGGACCTTTACCATCAGTGAACAGAACAATCAATACCACAGCACCATTAAATAACTCCACATCCACTTACAGAGAACTCACTGAACACAGAGAGCTAAATTTGGAGCCAAGCGGCATTCAAACAGCCACCTGCTCCAGTCCCTCACCGAGAGGACGGAGGACACAGACAGATGCACAGACAGGAGCAGTGTGTCGGGGGGTTTGCTGGAGGAGCACAGTGAGAATGTCAGGGCGAAAGCAACTACCGAAGCTGGCCATCATTAAAGAACTGGAGCTCATCCTGGATTCCTGCACACTGGAGCTCTCACCAGTGGATGAAGTCTGGACTAATCTGTACATAGGAAATGTGTGAGTTTCTAAAGTTTGGTGTAACGAAAACTTTCAGATTTTTAATAAATTTATAAGTGGGTTAAATACACCTCCTATGTTGCTGTTACAGGTGCTTTTTTTCTTAATATTTAGTGTCTTTTTGTGTGTTTTGCAGGGCTGTAGCACAGAACAGGAAGACATTACATAAGCTCGGCATCACTCATGTCCTGAACGCCGCTCACTCCAAGCAGGGCAGCATCGGAGACCAGAGTTTTTATGGCGACACTTGTATTTACTTTGGCATCCCAGCAGAGGATTCAGACCACTTTGACTTACGTCAGTACATCAAACCTGCAGCAGACTTCATACATAAAGCCCTGAAGAGCAAAGACGGTACAGTATTCGAAGAAAACACCTTTCCACCGTGTTTACACAGATCCACACAGAGAACCTGACATATCACTGTAGGTGTAATTGCACTTGCATTCATCAATCTCCAACAGAACAACATATTTGAAAACCAGTACTGTCAGACTAAAGGTGACAAGAGCATGCCAAAAGATTCCCACAATGCATAGCAGTTAATAAATTTTGCTTATTCTTCACTAAATTATAAAACAAAAGACGTGAACATGATAAATCATTTTATTTACACAGCAGCTGTTTTATTATGGTGAGAATTTGGTTTGCTAAATGGATTAACGTGAGGAATGTAACAGGTCAGCATAGACGTACTCCTTTCACAAAAATCAGGTCAATAAAGCCGTTGTTTCCATCTCTAATATCATCATCCTAATTTTAAGAGATTTTTAATTAAACTGCAATCAAAGTTGAAAACAGTTAATTACCAATCTTTACATCTCACACATACTTTCATCATTACTTTTAGTACAGTACCAATAAGTTTGTATGAGCTGTTATTGTTACTATCTTTGTCTCTATGAATCCAGCAGATCATTGTAAGACTAGAATCTGGTTCCGTTCGAGGTTATTTAACCTTTTAGGCCTTTTATTGATTTTATTGTTTTTTGTTTCTGCTCATTTATGTTATTCCATTTTATCATTAAAATAACCATCATTATTATTTAATTATGATTTTATTATTATTATGAATATCATCTTTTTAAATTTAATATCCTGTTTCCTGCTTTCTACCCCCCCCCCCCCCTTTTTATTACATTTCTTCTTCTTCTTCTTCTTCTTCTTCTTCTTCTTCTTCACCTATTTTATATTGGTCCTCATGGTCTCATTTTATGTTGTAGGGTTCTTGTATTGTTTGGGTTTTTTTATGACAAATGAAATTGGCCCATCAATTCGGAGGCCTTGTTTTTAACTGAGCTTTTGTTTTTTATTTGTTTTTATTTCCATGTGCTGATGCTTTACTACTGTTTGTCAAAGCACTTTGTAAAGTTCTGTTTTTAAAAGTGCTATAAAAATAAAGTTATTATTATTATTACTATTATTATTATTAACCGCTGCCTACCTGGGATGTTTTGCTGAGTCAGTAGAGTGGGTCAGTGGTAGTCCTCCACTCTCTCCTTGCATCAAGCTCTTCCATTCATCTAAAAGGCATATAAATAAATACATAAAATCAACATTTGTGATTATAGTTATGTCTTGTCCCATATTTTCGTCATAATAATTTTCTCTTGTTTTGTTTTTCTCTATCCTGCTTTTCAGGTAAGGTGCTGGTGCACTGCATTATGGGTGTGAGTCGATCTGCCACGCTGGTCCTGGCTTATTTAATGCTGCGGCAGCATCTCCCTCTGAGAGACGCTCTGAGACGAGTCGTCAAAAAACGAGCCATTTACCCCAACCGGAACTTCCTGTCCCTGCTCCTTAAACTGGATGAACAGCTGACACTCAGACGGAGGTTGTGTCCTCTTCTCTGACATTTTCACTGGCATCACTTCAAGATCTTTCCCTATCTTCCTCTTCTTCCTGTGTGTTAAACTCCACTTTGACCAGCATAAATAGTATCTTTAAATAATGACTATGTATGAGGCAGAGAGAGCTGATGATGGCGAACACTGAAGTGACCTTTGAATTCCATGTTTGTTTTTGGGAAGAGCGGTAAAAGTGTTTTGCAATATTGCATATATCCAAATATCTGTCTCACATGTCTTTGAGGCTGTTTTTTTTATATTTAAAAAGTATTCAAATGTTATATGTCAGCTTTTTGTGCACGATTTGTAAATAGAAATTTGTTGTAAATATCCAATAAAGACATTTTGGCCATTTTATTAAGACAAATTGACCTAGTTTCATGTAGATTAGGCAGTGAACTGTATCTGTATGTGCTCTTTTCAAAACGATATAAACAGTTTTCTTTAAAAAAGTCAGTCAATCATTAATGGCTCAACTATTGAACTATTACACAATGTATCTACATCAAACAATTACCCAATTTTATCCAAACATATCATGAATGAGTTTAAATCAGCTCAAACTGATGAGAATTTTATTGAAGCAAATAAAAAGTTTAAGAAATGTGATGAAAATATATCAAGGAATTGTAAATATTTTACAACCCTTTGACTGTCATGCTGCATTTTATGCTCATTTCCCCCCAGAAATCTATTTTTAAAACACTCTACGTGGGCCACACTGTTATTTGTCTTCTCCTCACAGAGTGCATGAAGAGTAGTATAATTGTTTGATTTATTAAAAAGGAAAAAAAAACTCACAACAAATGCAGCTGAAGTTGGGATGTCACTGTTGGTTGTTGTTCTCAGGTCACATTTCTTAAAGGAGCAGAGCAGCCGGCGTCTCTCAGCTCTCGGGTGGCAACACAGACACAAATACAGTTCAGTCTAATGTGGTCTTACATAACAGTCTGTGATCCTGGTAGTGAGTGAGCTAGTGCTAGAATTCACAGGACGACGTCACATCATGGAAAGTAAATAAATAGGTTTTTGCATGGCTGATGTGCTGATAAGTACGTGAGGATGTTTTGTCACCCGAGAGTGTATGATTACAGTTATAAAGGGAAACAGCCGGTGTGTGTTCGTAGGGAAATAAGAGCGAGTGTGGTAGGAGAGGAGTTTGCACTGCCTTAAAGGGAGGTAAGTTTATATGATTTAGAGTGAGAGCTGCTTAGTTTGGGGATAATTTAGGTTTGCTTACTTGCTGTATGGCTTAAAATGAATCCATAAGTTATTTGTGAGAAGTGTATGTTGTAAAGAAACTTTGTGTCCAAACATCTGCAGAACTTATCTGATGTAAAGTAAAGGCCTAGTATGTGTTTACATGTGTGTCAGTATGTCTCTTAGAGATCCACCATATGAGCCTCCGTCTGTGGCCGAGCTGCAGGAGTTTCTGCTTGCAGACAGACGACCGACTGGACACGTCAATCAAGTCTGGCCAAACATTTACATCGGCAATGAGTGGGTGGACCTGAAGGTCAAAACAGAACAATATTTCAACATAGAAAAAATAATGCATTACAAAATTAAAACCACTGTGACAGTTGGCTGTAGCAGTAAGACTACAAAAACACAAAATTTCACATAACACAAATATGCTCAAAAGTTAAATCAAACCTCAACATATTTTAAAGCACAACTTAGTTACTTTAAAGCTCCTGTGAGGGACTTTCTGTTTGTGTTGATTATAGCACCCCCTGTGGACAGAGTGGTAGCTTTTTTCTGTTGCTAGTTAAGTCCTGAACATGATTAAACATGTTTTCCAACAAACTAATCTCATCCTGATGTCTTTCAGTCTTTCATTCTGAATATTTGCTTCAGAAAAATAAAAAAAGGTTTTTTCCTCACCATGCTATCAATCATCTGGACTGACACCTACCCCCTAATGCAGTAATTTCAGTCTTTAAGTGTTATTAGAGTCAATGTCAGTCTGTTTTATCAGTAGGGAAAAAAGCACAACAAACAAAACAAGGACAAAAAACACAAAACCTTTTTCAGTTTAGAAAAGTTAAACAACTTTTCACAATACACAAAATTTTGGAAGAGCAAGTTTCACAAAACTCTATGAACCATGTTCTTTAGGGTTTTTAAAGGAGTTTTTGTAACTTTGTTTGACATTGTGTTTTTGTAAAGGTGTTCTTGACCTTACACACATTCAGTACATGTTAACTTGCATAAATACTGTTCACTCACTGACGTTAATGTGTGACTGTGTTTCAGGGTGGCGGCTCGTGACAAAGGCGTGCTCCACAGTCTGGGAATAACTCACATAGTAAATGCTGCTCATGGACCCCCTAATTCCGACCCCTTCCCCTGTTTCTACGTCAAGACTGGCCCACGTTACTACCGGGACATGAAAGTGGATTATTATGGGGTGGAGGCTGATGATTCAATAGGGTTCATACTTAGTCCTTTCTTCTACCCAACTGCCCGATACATCAGAGCCGCACTGGCCATGGGAGGCAAGTCTGCCACGTTGGAAGATATTCTAGAAGTTCTCTACAAATGAAGCCCATGCATTAAGAGCGCCCCCTGCTGCCTACTTACCGTATAAACTATTTAGCCTGCTATCATTTGCCGTTTATTTGTACTAAAGACCTGCAATATTTATTAAATAGTACAACTTTAAGGCTCTATGTGAACGTGGTGACGAATGTGTGCTTCTGCTCCAGGACGGGTGTTTGTCCACTGTCTGATGGGAGTCAGCCGCTCTGCCACATTAGTGTTGGCCTTCCTGATGATCGTCGAGGGCCTGAGGCTGCAGGAGGCGGTGGCTGCAGTCAGGCCACACAGAGACATCTGTCCGAACCCGGGCTTCCTGCAGCAGCTCCGCAGCCTGGACATTGGCCTAGAGAGGGAGAGGAGGAGAAGACGACAGACCCTAATGCTGTAACATGAAAAAAAAAACACATGCACACATACAATCATAAACATCAACATATGCAAACACATACAAGCATACAGGCACATTTTCATTACTACAGAAGTCAGTCATTCCAGGAGGAGGGGGCTCCATCTCTGCCAGAGCTGAGGCAATTACTCTGGTCTAACAGGAAACCAGCAGCACCTGTCAATCAAGTCTGGCCGAATCTGTACATTGGAGATGAGTGAGTGTAGAAATCTCAACCTGCAGCTGAAAATGAATTCATAATCATGCTGCATTGAATCAGTTTATATGTGATGTGTGTCTGCAGGTCTGTGGCGAGAGATAAGTCCTTCCTATCATCTCTGGGTGTTACTCACATTGTGAACGCTGCAGCAGGACGACATCGGATTAATACAGGTGTGCAATTCTACGAAGACCTCAGGGTGGATTACCTCGGTGTAGAAGCTGCGGACCATCCGGAGTTTGACCTTCAGCCTTTCTTCGATTCCTCTGCGCAGTTCATAGACAGCGCTTTGAAGCAGAACGGTTAGTTTGCAGACTCACTTATGAATCATGCAGAACTACATAAACACATTAAAAAGAGATTAGTGTGAAATCTCAGAGGTGCAGTGTTGACGACTTCTACAAGCTTATTTTTGGCTTCATTCCTGTGTGTACTTAATTATTCAAACATATCTCGGGATTACAGATAACTCATTTACATTTTATGTGACAAAGACATCAGGAATTACAGATGTTCAAACCTTCTTGCTGCAGGAGGCATGAGACTTTTTGTTGTGTGACAGTAAATGTAAGTCAAAACATGGACAAAAGGACCTGAACTGTGCAGAATAAAACTAGTATTATTGTAAATATTGTATTGGACAGAAGTGACTGAATAAACTGACATTATTGTATCTTACAGGGAGGGTGTTTGTGCACTGTGCCATGGGTTTGAGTCGCTCTGGAGCGCTGGTTCTTGCCTATCTGATGATCTGCCACCACCTGTCGTTAGTCGACGCCATCACTGCTGTGCGTCTGAACAGAGACATTGGACCCAACTCTGGATTTCTGGAGCAGCTGAGGCAGCTGGAGCTCAGCCTTAGACCGCTGAGCGGAACTGCACTGACACACCGTGATGAAGAAAACTCCCCCTGTTAGTCAGGCCTTATTTGAGTTTCTTTTATTGAATTGAGTCTGACTAACAGGAGTTTCATCTGTTACATAAGCATCTAAATTTGGAGACATCACCCCTGCGACGACAATAGAGAGAATTTAACTGCTGAATGCTTCAACTTCTATGTCTCCAGAAATAACTGCTCTGACAAATGTGGCCTGATCCCCACACCTGTCCACGCATGAGGCACACTCTCACAATGCAACCGGACTTTTTAAACTTCTTTTTGTTTCCTGTCATTATTTCCCGTCACTCAGCATGTTTCCTAATCATACAGCCTAACAGAAAGTCATTACCGTCCTGTTTGAGGAATCAGATTACATTAGGAAGTGTGTGAGTCACGTTTTGTAGTCAGGTGTTGTAGCCTGGAAGCCTAAAAATATCATCTTTAACACAGAGCCTGAGAGAGCAGTTACTATTCCAAGTCTGTATTCTGGTCTTCATGCTCACTGCAGACACACACACAGACACACACACAGAGTCCTACACAGACACACACACTCTGAGAGTTCACACATGCCCACTGTGGATTGTACTCTGCAGAAGATTTAAAGTTTGGAGGTGTTACAAGAAAAAGGTTAGTCTTTTTTATTTAACTTATACATTTATTCATAACAAGAACATGAATCTAGCCATTGCTGTACTTTTCAGCGTTATAGTTATACAGTCATTGGTGGAGCAGACGCCTGAAGAGAGATTGGCCAGCTTCAGTTCATCCGGGGATGATTTACCTTTCACTGTTTAACTGAAGTCTGAGACTGAAACGCTTTGTGAGCTGAGTGTGAGATGGAGCAGAAGTGTAAAATTTACATTTGTGGTGTGAGAGTTTCATTAAGACTGCTGAGGATGAGAACGGCTCTTCCAAAGGGTAGAGCGTGTCTTTCTTTGTTAGATGTAAATGAGACAACAGAGAGGAAATAAGCTCTCAGCTCATCATTTACTCAGACACCTTTATTATTACACTTATCAATATAAAGTGACTAGACAATATCCTGTTCCCTGATAAGAAATTTGCCATTGATTTTACAAAATTGCCATTATATCTAACACAGGTTTTCAACAGTTCCCTGCTACATGTCAGATTTTAGCGATTGTTTTATGGAAAACATCTCACTGAACTTCAGCCGTTGCCTTAGGTGGGATTTCATACAAGTATTGTTATGATATGACTGAATTCTCTTGGAACATTATACGGCTGAAGAGCAACTGCCAACATTTTAATATCTGGACAACACATCCTCTCCTTGACAGTTATGTGTGAAGAGTTACACCGTCTCTGGTTAATGATGCATTTTAGATTGCGATTATTCAGAATTTTCCACTTTTATTTACATATTAAAGCACAAAATGGATAATCGCAAAAACAGAATTTGTTAAGTCATATTAATAGCAACTAGTTTACAGCTCAGCTAGCTATCAACTGTCTTATTATTTTGTGCTGCCTTCACCTCTGACAGTATGAAAATCAAACACAGGAGATTTCCGATCATCTCTTTGTCAATCAGTGTGTAAATCACTGCAGGACTAAAACTAAACTACAATGTGATTAGAGCTCAGATGTTTCTATCTTTTTTTTCTGTGCAGTGGAGGTGAGCCATGTCTTCCTGTGCGGTGAAGTCCAAAAGTAAGAACCCGTATGCAGCAGTAAAAGTGGACCCAGACAGTGACTACATCACACCAGGAACATTGGACCTGGAACAGCTGTTCTGGGCCGGCAATGGGGCTCAGTATGCACATGTAAACCAGGTCTGGCCCAGAATCTACATCGGTGACGAGTGAGTAAATGCAAATACATGGTACTCCAGAGTAAGAGGCATAATCAGTGACAGTAACTGTACATTGAGCCTGTGTGTCGATGAACAGGAAAACAGCTCTGGAGAGGTCTGGACTGAGGGACCTGGGTATAACACATGTCCTCAATGCAGCAGAAGGAAAGTGGAATAATGTTCTCACTGGTGCTGAATACTACAGTGACATGAACATAGACTACTTTGGTGTTGAGGCCGACGACAAACCCACCTTCAACATCTCCCAGTTCTTTTGTCCTGCAACCCAGTTCATCCACGAGGGCCTGAGTCAGCCAGAGAGTAAGTCCTGGAATTTAATAAAGATCCTTTCTGAAAATTTCAGCTCAGTGTTTAATCAATCTTTACTTCATTTCATCATAGACAGGGTTCTGGTGCACTGCGTGATGGGCCGGAGCAGATCCGCGTCCCTGGTTTTGGCGTACCTGATGATGAAACAGAGCTTAACAGTGGTGGATGCTATCGAGCATGTGCGACAGAAGCGCTGCATCCTGCCCAATCATGGCTTCCTGAAACAACTCAGAGCCCTGGACATCACACTACAAGAGGAGAGGCTCAGAGAAAAAAGACAGATCAATGGTACACTGTAGACACGTATTATACTTTTATATCAAACTGAGGATACTTTCTGAATGCATCTCAGGAATTTAAAAAGTTCTTTGTTTATATGACTGTCGGAGAATTAAACTCTATTTTGTTTTTCAAGTCTGTTTGTTGTTTAAAAAGAGGAAATTCAGAAATGAGGTGCACCGAGGGTATAGTCATTTTTCTGAAGTTGTCCACAGCTCTTTGGATGAGACTCCCCCCACATTTCTGTCACATATAAACATATGGTTGCTATTATGTATTTGTATGTGTTATGACCCATATAGGGGTGGCCAGGACACAACATGAAAGTGGACCCATTTCACTCACCTCTCAAACAGCAACATAAAAAAAACCTTCAGGGATTTAAAGGGATATTCCGGCGTAAAATTAGTTTGGGGTCAAAAAATGATCATAAATGTTCTTCCTTGAGCTGCGTCACCCCGCTGTAGTCTGTAATGGAGTGACCCGAAGTTTGCTACAAACAAGCGGCTGCTGGAAGACAGTAGGTGAGTTGTGTTTAGTCTCTTTGCTAAAGAAATTCAAATGGTTGCTATGACGTATTTGCATGTATTGCATGGTAAATAACTGAGAAAAACTAGCAACCAACAAAAAGTATCTGAGATCTAGGGTAACGTACCTGTTTGGGATAAGGATGTCACAGGTTGTGAGTGACTTTATGTTTACTCGCTAAATTGACAATCCAACTCCGCAGCAGCCTACCGCCCGTCACGCTGGAACCGGAACAGCCTATCAGGAGCATGAAATGGCACACCTAATTTGCATAAAAAACATTTTGACCACATACACACCACACACACAGCAGACACAGCCAGGCCAGAGGAGCCATAAACAAACCAAAACGCCACTCTATAGCCACAAATAATGCTCAGAACAGCACCTAACTTCATCAACAGGACAGAGACTAAACACAACTCACCTACTCTCTGGAATCCCGGGCTGTGTGGACAGTGGGGCTTAATCATCTATTCTGGCTATACTTGAGTAAAAATTAATGCACTTCAACATTTTAACTGTCTATCTAATGCTTTAGCTCATTAGCAAGAGCGAAACGAGGACTAAGCATTCCTAATTGTGCAAAAGTACAATTAATTTAATGAGTTACCTCACCTGTATGAAGCAGCGCTTCAGCACATCTGATATTTGACATGACTCAGTACTACCTCCTCCACAAGTCTGTCTTGATTTCAGAGTGGTCACTATATCTTCAAACCTTCATTCACAAAATAAAATCACTAAATCAGGAAAAATAAAACCAAACAAAGCAACAATTTTCCCTGTAAGTTTTATTTGTGAATGCAGTCCAGCACAGAGATGGGCATCCTGGGTGCCGCTGGGCCTTCAATTTGAGTCACATAAGGCTTTTTGGTGTATCTGAACACGTAACAGAGGAACGAACATAAATTTGACACTAATAGACGTACCAACAAATTTCAACACAAAATGTCAATCATTATCATGGATGGTTAGAGTTGTACAGTTTCCACTTGTATTCAAGTATTCAAATTTGCTCAGAATAAAGTCTAACATTAACTCAGTTAAATCGTGATGATTTGAAATGTTTGGCCCCATATCTCACTAGTGTGGCCTTGGATTGTTTTTTTAATGTGCTTTATTAATATTTGACAGAAAATCAGTTTTATGTTTGATTAGGAGGGACGGACTGTCTTAAAGTTAGGTTCAATATCACAAGTTATTCCAAGACAACAACTCACTTAGAGATCAGCCACAACTGTAGGTGAAAATAGCCACCTCTAAGGTCAGCTGCAACAACAGCTAGCTTACATGCATTTAGAGTTGTGCGTATATTTTATCTCCCTATAAGCTACCAGTGGCCCGCAATGGTCTGACGGGAAAAAAAGGCACTCATGATAAAAGAAACTACAATGAGAGGAAAGAGCAAACAAAAGAGACTCTAAAAGGAAACATCCAACACAGCACATTAAAGAGATCTCAGGAGCTGGTGGGCAGAAATTATGACACATTAAAAAGTGAGCGCTCAATGAAAACATTTGGTTTCATAACTGGCCTGTTAAAATCAAAACAACAAAAAGACATAAACGAAAAAATGATTTTAAAATAAATCCCTACTGCCCGTTTAGATGCAGTTTCCTTTTGTAACACTGTTTTTTTTTTTATTATTCCTTTGTTTATTATGTGTCCTGCCATTGTAGGATTTAAAGACTGGTTAAGACGCCAACAGCTTGCAGCAAAGTTTTAAAAAAGTTGCACCTTAACGCTGGCAGTGCCAGAGCCACAATGTTTTTGAAATCAATCCATAAAAAAAAAAACAAGATTTTCCGTTTTAATCCTTCACGTTAAACATAATAATTAAATCCTGTGTTGCTCTCATTATTCTTTTATGCTCATTAAAGTCTCCCAGGGCTCTGCGTGGTCCTCTGGCGACCCCAAGTGGATAACATGGAGACAGACACACATGTCAGGAGGTGCCGGCCAATAATTGGTGAAAAGTTTTGGTGAATTGCACGGATGGTTGACTGATTGGGACAAAAAAGGGGGGCTTTGAAAATGTTGAAATCGTGGAAATACTGGGTCAGTTATTTAGGGCAGGGTGAGTTTGAGGTTTCAGACTTCAGGAAAAAAATGTCCCAGAGTACTCATTTGAAATCGGGTTTTTCAGGAAAGGTGCAGCCCGCTCTTCTGATGATGACGTTTGCAGAGTAGTGTGCCGCCTTTACACACTGATCCAGAGGTTTGTCCTGGACCAGCTCTGACAGGAAACCTGCACCGGAGGGAGAAATCTTTGGAGTTTCTGTGGATTTTATACCATATCACCCACGCAGAAATGTCAACACTGAAAACTCTTACCTCCCACGAAGGCATCGCCTGCACCGTTTGTGTCAACGATGTCCTTGGGCTCTACCTTGAGTACAGGGAATGTCAGGACCTTGTCACCTGAACATGAAAGGGATACAGACATTTGTCAGAGGTCATGAGACACACAAATCCAAACAGACTTAATGAAATGAAAGAAAGCTTACTTTGGGCCATGACAGTTTCATCCTTCCCCTGAGTCAATACCACAATCCTCTGCCTCTTTGTGTTGACTTTGGGCAAAGCCTGGGCTTTCTTGGCAATTTCCTTGACATCCTCGGTCTACGGCAAAAAACCACACAATAAAAAACAAACCGTTAATAGAGCACAAAATTAAACGCAACACTAATGTGAAGTTTATAAATGAATCTCATTCTGTTTACCTCAAAGTCTTGCTCTTTAGCGAATGCTCCTGCCTCCTAAAGGACAAAAACCGACAACCTTGTTTTACACACAAACATGAGATCATAATCCACATCTAATGGAAGTCTCTGCAGACGTGATGTTGGGTATCTGAGGGATGAAATGTCAGAGTCTGGCTCACCGTCTCATTGCCGAACAGCACATCCACATAGGGCATAACCTGCATGAGGTTATCCTTGAAGAACTGGCAGATGAACGGTGCAGAAAGGTTCAGACAGAACAGCTTGTTATTTTCAGACGCATGCTTCGCCACTTTCAGGATGGACTCCAGCGAGACGGTGAGGAAGAAGCCCTGGAAGAAAACGGTGATACTGGGTCAAAACGGATCTGCTTTTTATATCTTGATGAATCATTTTGTTATTTTAAGATTTCTTCTTACAGCAATGTAGTAGACTTTCGCTTTTTTCACCAGCTCCCAGTTTTCTTCCAGGTCTAGATGCTTCTCCTTCTTATAACAGTTAGCAGCAGCGAGGTTGGCGACCAAAGACCTGAGAGGAGAAGGCAAGAAAAACAAAAGAAGATTAGGAATTGTAGACAAATAATATATAAAGAAGTCATTTTTATCACAGTAAGTCTCCACCTGTTGTCTCCTGTGATGCATGCAGCACACGTTCCTGTAGGTTCTTCGTTTTGCTCGTAGTAGTGGGCGTCGATGTGGGCCTCCTTCGCCTTCTGCTTGAGGATCTCTCCAAACTTGTCTTTCCCGATGCAGCCAAAGAAGGTGCCCACGTTATGGGGTTCTTGGATCATCCACTACAGACAGAGACAAAAGTTCTGATCAGTCGATTTTTCTCACTTAAAAGGTAAATTAAAAACCTAAACGGGATGTTGATGTTGGTGAAAAAGCAGGAGGTTTTTAAACTTTGTTTGCAGGACTGACCTGTGCAACCTTTATCGAGTTTTGTGTGGCACCTCCTGCATGGTACTCAACTTTGAACTTCTTCACCATCTCTTCAAACCTGCAAACACAAACAGACAAAGAAAATCCAGAACAATTAATAATTCCAGCAGAAGATCCAAAGTCATGCATCTGATTTCTGCTAAATTCAGACGAACGGTATCCTTTATTTTTGGGATCTAAGCATCTTTTGATGTAGCTCTGTCTGTACCATTTTGATATTTGGATGGTGTGTATAATAATGAACATTGTTTAACCCTTAGAACTCACAGCTATATTTTGCTGTTTTTGGTCCGCCTGTTTTTTTTGTAAAATGTATGCATCAACTCGATCCTTTCAAGCAGTAAGCAGATCCTTTCAAACAGTAAATATATACACTTTTTTTTTCAGGACAACCTCAGCTGTCAGTTTATAGTGCAAAAATGATGTAAAATGAATGTGACAGAAGATTCAGAACCATCAAAGTCGACCAAAAAGCAAAAACGGAAATTAATCCCAACAGTACTTTGCTCAAAAAACACATAAATCTACAGTGACCAAGCCTTTTCTCACCTGCACATCATTCTCTCAAATCTTGGCTATCAGGAGAAGAATATTGGGATTAGAACAAACACACAACAGAAACTATTTACATATTTACACTAATTCTTCCAGGTGTTTTTTAATATTTACAGTTGTTTATGCGACTCCTTGAAGCAGTTCCTGTCTGTGATGAGACAGAGGACCACATCATACTGCTCAGAATCTCTTCTTTGCTTGTTTCCAAACATTGAGGACCATTATTTCTGATTTTGCAGACAAGCAGGGAACCTTCTTGTCTCTTATTGGACACTTCCGTCAAGGGAACAATAGAAGAAGAATATGAGACCATGTAATTGGTCGAAAGTTTGACAGAAAAAGACGTCATCAAAACAGCATTTAGCGATAGTGATATTTTTAAATCACAACAATCTGATAAATAATCATGTTTTCACCGGTATATTACTGCAGATTTACAATCAAACGTCTCTGATCAAACACCTATTTCTGTGGCTGGATTGTAAACCTTGTGGCAGGTGTAGAAATGTCTGGAAACCCTCGATAGATCACCAAAAGGGTAAACTTTTGAACACTTTTCATCCCGTAGAGATACGCGGTATAGTTCTTGAGAAACTGTAAACGATATTAATGGTGTCACATGGGATCGCAGCAGAGTTGTAAGTGTTAATGGCTTTTAACAAAGCCGCAGCCCCCTCACTGGGGGCTGGCTGCAGAAGTCAAGTATCTCAGTTAGGTAACAAGGTAACATGCCTGCAGCAAAACTGAACCTGTTTACAGCCTTGAGTTAAGTCAGCATTTCCACCAACGGGTGACTAGAAGACCTTATCTGTGTTTTAACCTCATCTGGTCTTGAACTGTACACTCTACTGGAGCCAGATTTCTCCCAGGTAAAAATACACCACGTGCAAACTGGTGACTGTTTTTTCTATTCGAACCATTTACAAGTGTTATGTAACACAATGGCAGATGCAGAGCTTTGAGATTCTGCTTCAGGCCATAGCATCTCTATTATACCATGCTGTACACTCTAAATATAGCACTTGCATCCTCCTTCGCTCAGACATGTGTTTGTGCGGTTTTATGTGAGTGACAGAGACGGCATGTTCAAATATTTCCTTGGAAAGTATAACAGGCCGACTGCTGCTAAAGGTCCTGAGAGGGAGACAGAGGTTGCTGAGGGGGAGACATCTGGGAGACGGGGAAAAAACCTTGTGGTCTACTGTAGAAACAGGACTTTAAAGTGTCGTTTACTGTCTCTGTTCTGTCTCTTAAATTTGATCATTCCTGGGTTATCCTCCGTGTATCTGCACCAGACCACTGGGTGCTTAAACAACGAAGACCTGAGTGACTTTAACACGAGAGGGAACAAAGTGTGAGAAGTGTGAGAGTACGCCGATCTTCAGATAACTATGCAAACTCTTCAGGTTAATTCCTAAGTCTCAATCTTTCATTTCGTTTTTAGAGATGCTGTTGTGACTTTTGGTGTCATAAAAGTTCTTTATTTCTTTAAACGTAAAGAATCAGGCTGATCAAACCCTCCCAAACCTACTGAAAGTTCATGTAAATACTTCACATTATCACATAATAAAATGGAAATAAAGATTATACCAGCTGTCATCCTAAACTCAGCTGCCTTACACATACACAGTCACACACGACTTTCTTATCTCCTGCTGTGAAATGTTTGCTTTCTGGCTCTGGTCTCAGAGGGACTGGGAGGTGAAGTGTCCTGGTTTTTGATTGGCTGAGAATGGCTCTATGTGCTAGATCTGCTGTGCTGCTATTGGCCGTCTATAAAGGAACGGAGGTCAATGGTGCTGATTTCTGGTGTGCGCCTGTTTTGACTGGCCCACTCCAGAGCAGAGAGGAACAAAATGAGATGTATTCATTTCTCCATGTGCAGACTGTTTGTAGTTATGTAGTATGACCATGGATTTAAACTGCAAACACGATGTTGTAATGTTGTAGATACGTACAGTGCTTTATGCTTGTCTTCTGCCAGGATCTGGTCGTTGGGTTTTAGGTTGTATCTGCAAATAATTAAGAGAGGAAAACAGGAAGGGTTAGCGGTTTGTGGCGTACTTGGAAAGAAATCACAAATCTGGTTTATTTTAATGTAAAACTATACGCACAATACTGCTGCTTCAAAAACTGCTGTTCACTTTCAGAAAGAGTGTGTGATTTATGAAACACAGGAGCGGTAAATCACAGCCAGAGGGCTGTTTTTAGTCTCTGCCAAAGAGCCTTTTAAAGTGAACAACTTTAAGTCAAAATCAATGTGTTGGTCAATAACGCTGCACAGAGTCTTGCTGCCCCAGAAGATAAAGATAAGTCAAGGATTAAGGTGCAGTTTTAGTCCTGCTGCATTTAATGAGGGGCTGAATTCGAACCGGCTGGTTTTGGTCTAATCCAGGAGTTTACGCAAGGGGCTTGAGATAGAGTGGACTCTGAGCTGGAGCCCTTTGCCCCGGTCAGCTCAGTGTGACAGAACATGGACAGGCCAGAAATCATTTACTCTGCCTTAGAGGGTTTCCACTAATGGCTCCTAATATTTCAATGCATGCAAATTAAATTTAATAATCCATAACAGCTGAAGGAGATATCCCCTCTTCTTATTCATGCAGCAGAAAAGACCTCATCAGCTGAAGGGTACATTACTGAGATATGGGGATTTTTGTGGTAAATGGGATGAGACTACGCTAATGAAGGATCATTAATTAGGTGGGCATGATGACAGATGTGCAGAGACACTTATTGTTTATTTCAATTATCTAGAAGTCTATTCCCGGCTGTGATGCAATGATACACTGTCTTAATTTAGAGGATATTGAAGCAATAAATCTGCTGGACAAAGAGCTGCTGTTCTCCGTGCTGTGCTCTTTCATTATCATTATCTCCTATCCGCACCGATCAATCATCCCTCGGAAAGTCTTTTAAACCTTTAGTCTATCACTTTAATATTGACTACAGAACTTTAAAAAGGGACTTATGCTCCACCTCGTTTGAAAACAGAGTACATGTCGCATTTTCTTAATGTCGCCCTGACTGTGCAAAAGAGGAAAAACACATTTGAAGCATTCAGCGGTAAGGACTAAAACTACAGGATCTGAACAGTTCATCTGTCATCAAACTTACTTGTCCAAGAGGTCTTTGTCCACCACAGCACAGATGTCCAACAAGGGGTTTCCCATCCCGAAGAGTGAATTCGGACTGAAACAGAGAAGGAAGAGTTATGATGGGAATCAAACTCAAAAAGGCAGCCGACAGGGAAGCAAAACCGGAGCATTTTTAGAGTCCTGTCTTGAAATAGTACTTGACTCAGTTTGTGTGAGAAGGCCCGTTTAACGGACTGCATGTGTACTCCCTCCAGCGGGTACTCACTAATTAGAAAAACCCACATGTGACCTCAATCACATGACTTATAAGCTTAAACTCTTACAACAGAATTAGCCCAAGTCTTAAAGAAATAAACATAATGCACATGACTCAACAAACACAACTGAAGAACATGAGTATGGTTCCTCTGTGCTGAGGGCTCAGCCAGTCATGCATGTAGTCGTGTTATGACATTAACAGCAGACAACATCAGGGCGGGCAGCATGCTGTTTGTGTGTCTCTTTGAGTGCAGTCTGATCTTCCCTGAGGCGAACAGACAAGAACAGGACAATATGAGACAGAGACAAAAGGACGGCACTGGGCTTTGTGTCAATGCATAACATTGGTGGTGAGACATTTCCAACACATCAGTTACCAATTACCTCAAGAGAGTCAGTCTGCAGTGTTTGCTCTGAGAAAATACTGCAATAGACTGAAACAGTGTGTAAATAACACGTGTGCTAAGATGTGTTTACGTGTCACCTCCTTTTCTCTCTGCTAGTCTTCAGTGTCACCAATAATCTGTCTCCTTTGACAGATGTCACCTCACACCATAAACATAAGCATATTTGTCCTCAATGATCATTTTCACTCTTGCTGATCTGATGCAGCAAAACGTCTTTATTAAAAAGCAAAGAAAATAGAAATAGTAAACCAGCTTGACAGCTATCTCTGCAACACAGATCAGTCTTTTGTCCTCAAATCACCAAGAAGATGCCACACCCGTACCAGCACTCCCTACAGTGAATACATCTGCCAATATGCAGACAGATTACTGGGCTTGTGCAGCCAATTACGCTCCAGCAGAGCCCATGCCTGCTTATCTCTGCGTGCCAAATGTCTCTTACCTTGCAGAAGACATAGTGTCCCTCTTTGATGGCACCAGCTAGACAGTGACAAGACCTGTTGAGTAACCTTAAACCGGCTCAGAAAGAACTAAGCATTCAAAACTTCACATTTTTCAGCCCAGTGTGCGGGCAGATCGATTTTCCCCTGCAACCACAGCTCCTCCTACTCGGGCCAAGTGATTGGAGGCATCAGACGGAGGAAGGGCCAAGGTCTGTCTCTGTCTGTTGATTGGTTTTCTCTGGAAAGCTCCAGCCTCAATACTCTCACTCTTTAGGGGGCGAAATTACAGCGTGAGAAGCGTGCAGATGGTGGAAGCTGCAGCAGGGAACCCCTCATGTGACAGATGCATTTATAAGAGAAGTTATAGAGAACCGGAGAGCGAGTTATGCAGCAGAAAAAAAGTGTAAACATCATCCTTCAAACCACGTGACTACTTTATTATTTCAAGATGCGGTGAGGCAAGACTAAACAAGCCTTCTCTGTGCAGGCACTGAATGAACGGAGTGTACCGATCAGTATTTCTTACGACACGTTCAGGGGCAGAAACTGGTGAGCATGATGATCTCTTAGAAAAATTAGTTTTTTTGACTAAAACAGACACGTGGGTGTTAAGCGTGGTCAGGGTATATTTCACGTTCGTTGACAGTTAAATTAAAGTGGTGTCTCATTCCTCCAAAGTATTTTTAATGTTAGTTTCTGCCCGCTTTATACCACTTAGTTTTAATCAAACGCGAAGTACGCGCACTCGTGTTGTGTCGTTCGCGAACGATTCGTTCATAAGAACCGAATCTTTTAAGTAAACGAACTGAACCGAATCTTCGTTTCTCACTTCAGTTGAGCTGTCAGCAGCACAGCCAGTATAGCACACAGCATTGCTGGGCGAGCAGGTGGCGAATGACGGAGCGCATGCATCGATGCCTGAATCACTTGGTAAAAATCAGGCATTGAACTACACTCTCTGGAATCATTTTTGTCAGACAAAACTAAAGGTCCTTTCACGCCGGGAGCTATTTTTTTTTTTTGTGCGATTATTTCAGACTTCGATATTTTTTTGAACCCGTATCCTGTCAATACAAGCATTCACATCAGCAACGCTTTACTGTCCTGCGATATTGCCGCATTTATTTTTTCGTATCACAGTCGAAGTTTCTAAAGTTTCGCATACTGTGTGTCCACTTCATACCAGTTAGATTTCGCGTTGTTGCTACGTCTGATTCACCAGTATATCCAACATGGCTGACTGGCTGATTGTCTATGTGTCGGAGAACAGAGTGCTTTTTGATAAAAAATATAAATATTACAAAGATAACGACCTGAAGGACAACTTGTGGAGAGTCATAGCGTCAGATTTCTCATATGACGATGGTTTGTGTGCTTTAACAGTTTGCTAAACGTCTTTGTTTTAACTTTCATCTGTGCTAAGTAACTTTAGCTCGTAAGCTAACCTGTTCAGATACAATATACCATATGTATTTTCACTGTCTCAAACTCAATCACGTTGCTGTCACAGCACCATTAGGTCTTGCTTGTTACCTTGCGTAAATAGATTATAGTTTAATGTGCTTATCTGGTACTGACCCCGACTCAGTACATGCTATCATGACAGACAGACATCTCAACACTAGTGTCTAATCAGAACTGAAAAACAGTCAGTCTGCTGTTGGGTCAGTCCTCTCACTTCCACCTGGGACGTGTCTTTTTTTCCTCTCGGAAAGTCGCAAAATCGCATCGCGCTTGATGTGTACAGTCAGGCGCGTCAAAATTTGCCTCTGAATATTTCGTAATTTCGTGTCATGTATATGCATCGTTCCCGGTGTGTAAGGACCTTAACTTTTTTTTTTTTTTTGCTAAATTGCCGCCACCACAACTTGCGTACAATAGGGCACAGCATGTAACAAGTAGTGCATAAAACCCGCAGCATCTTATCTGTGCAGCAGTTTGCGAGGGAACGGTGTTCAGTGTGAATTCTTCTAAACATTCCGTGAACCAATCACTCACTGAGCCCGATTTACCGGGCAGACCTGATAAATAGCATACCATAGGAGAGTACACTTAAAACATCAGGATGTATAAACAAGTTCATTTTTACAAACCTGTTTGCCAAAGCAACACAGCCAAACACTTGTGTCTCCCGGTCTCAGAAAATATGATCTGAACTGTATCCTGAACCGTTCAGCTGTGTATCGGTTCAGAAGGTCGGAGTCACAGGCTCCTCTCACCAAGCACTGAATGATTTGGTGACATATCTTTGAACAAATCTTTTTAGTGAACTGATTCTAGCGATTCAGCACATCGAAAAGAACTGCCCATCACTAACACACAAAGAGGTCCCGGGACAAATTCTCAAATTGTGAACTCCGAGCTTTCCAAGAGTCCCTGAACGCACCAGTACATTCAGTGTTTACACACACGCTGTAGTTTATGGACGGTGTTGAACAAGAGCAGAGCTGCTCACACATCTCTGACACAACTAATACTACTACTGGCAAATCGATAACCTAAAGATAAGTCACAAGCTGTAGGTTTAAAGATAAGCGTCGAAGGACTTTACACCGGCGTTAAAACAGCGACCTCCATGGTGGTGGGTTCATGCACGAGTCAAATGACCTCAACAAGATTTCCACATTAGAGAAACCACATTATTACACGCTTTTCCAATAATTTCATCTCAAATGTGCATCTTTAAATTGCACAGGTAAAAAACATAAACATTCAAGCATCTCAGAGGAGGAGAGTCGTGTCTCCTCCTGCACCACAGATGCCTTTTTTTTTTTGCTAGCTTCTCTCTCGGTCACCTTAGTTTGACAGGAGTCTGTTTGGTCGGAGACTCCTGTTTCTTCTCCTCCTCTGACAGTTTTTGTTTCTTTGCTTTGGGCTCTTCTGATGCCATTGTTGATCGGGCACGTTGCTTCACCTTAACCGGTGGAAAAAACGCGGTCGCGCAAGGCTAACTAAGGTCCAAAAGTTCCCCCTGAGCACAGTCTGGCAGGCAGCTGTTACCTCCCCCCGGATGAGATGCATTTACGGACCTCCACCAAGAAAACGCCCCTAATTTTTTAATGGTTATGAAACTGACTGACTGACTATATGTTTTGACAGTCAGATCAAACACTCCTTGTCAATATTTTATGTGTGTGTGTGTGTGTGTGTGTGTGTGTGTGTGTGTGTGTGTGTGTGTTGTAAAAACAGCAGTTTCCTCAACCACCCACCCTTTGAACCATTATTAGACATTAAAAATGACAAAATAAGAATCTTAAAGGGATTTTCCGGTGTAAAATTAATTTAGGGTCAAACACACCGAGTTAACTCACTTCCACTTATGTTTACAACTAAGAATTGTCACAAATCTTAAAATCTAGGTGTGTATAGTCTTTAAAATACGAATTGTTGTGTTGCAGCAGCGCAAAAACCTGAAAGTTCCTACTCAGGGCGACAAAATCCCAAAGAGTGAGACGCCGCGCCGGGTTTTAGCTGCCCACAGATGTTGCCTTATTAAAATATACGAAACTTTTATCTCGAAGTATTCCCCAGATTGAAACTTTTGTCGCTTGACTATTGAACCGTCCAAAAAATATATAAATGCTCAATTTTGAGTCCTGACTGTCTCACTTTCGGTGTGCTTTATGACTTGTCTGTATTTACGTGCGCATAGTTCTGCAGGCGCCTCCTCAGTCAGCAGACAGTCCTGCCATATTGACACAGAGTTGTATTCTTGGCACAGTCATCTGGATTTAGCAGGTAAAACTTTCAAACATCTGTCAAACTTTCAATTGTTTGTATCACCGTTTATTGTTGTCTGTTCTGTTCTTTTGCCTCTCATTTCGATGTGTGTTTTATTTTGATAAGATTCAGACGGTGAAAATATTGTAAGTTGCGGTGAAATTCCATGCAGACTTTAGAGAGAGTTTATCAGATTGACAACACTGCTTTAAAAACACACTATTTTGGTTTTAATTTAAGGATTAGATAGTTAATAATCAAACATCTGATTTAATATCACTGTTATTCTTGTACCTGAGTCATTCAGATCACCACTAACAAACAAACACCTTATTGTTACAGCTGAGATGATCCACAGTCTGTTCCTGATCAATCACTCAGGAGACATCTTCCTGGAGAAACACTGGAAGAGTGTCATCGGCCGCAGTGTGTGTGATTACTTTTTTGAGGTGAAGGAGAAGGCGGTGGACCCGGAGAATGTGCCCCCAGTCCTGCAGACCCCACACCACTACCTCATCAGCATATACAGGGGGAAGCTCTTCTTCCTGTCTGTCATCCAGACTGAAGTTCCTCCACTCTTTGTCATTGAGTTTCTGCACAGAGTGGCAGACACAATTCAGGTGGGATCTCAACTCCTAAGCTTATTTTTTATCATGATTCAACTTTTCAAAAGTTGATTTGTAGCTTTGGGTGTTAAGTAGGTTAAAGGGATATCCCGGCGTCAAATTAATTTAGGGTCAAACACACCGTAACACCGAGTCAGACACCCCCTCGAGAAATGAATGTTGCCTACCACTTGCTTCTCGAGTTATACCAACTTTAGTAACAACTGCACGATAGCAATACACAGCAGTCTGAGGAGCCATAAACAAACATTTCTTCATGGAAATGCAATCAGACCGAGACGCTAAGGCAGAAGAACTACCGCGTCTGCAGAGCAAAATGATTAACATGGTGATTATTACTTTTAAAAAATGATAAAGAAACGATCATTAATGTTCTTCCTTGAGCTGCGTCACCCCGCTGTAGTCCATAATGGACTGGCCTGAGGTCTCTCTACAAACAAGAGGCTGTTGGAAGAGAGTAGCTGAGTTGTGTTTAGTCTCTTTGCTAAAGAAATGAGTCAAAGTTAAAAAGATGTTTGGTGGCTAGTACTGTGGCTGGGACCCTGTATGTACTGTTGATGAAGTTAGGTGCTGTTCTGAGAATTATTTGTGGCTATAGAGTGGCTTTTTGGTTGAGGTTTGTTTATGGCTCCTCAGACTGCTGTGTATTTCTATCGTGTGGACGTTTCTAAAGTTGGTATAACTAGAGAAGTAATTGGTCGGCAACATTCATCTCTCGAGGGGTGTCTAACTTGGTGTTATTGTGCGTCTGACCCTAACTTAATTTTACACCGGAATATCCCTTTAAGGATACCAGGTCCTGATCCTGTTCTGTGTCAGACCAAAACTAGATTACGCCAGAGAGGCCAGACTGTATTTGTAAAAGGTCAATATAAAGAAGGTTTCACAGCTGTTTCAACCTCTGCACCATGTTGAGCCATCTTCACAAACAGACAGTGGACTGGATTTTAAAAAGTCTCTTGTGTCTCTGTAAAGATCTAGTCTAGGTTTGACAAAGTTAGGTATCATGGTTCTCAGCTGAATCGGAAGCTGAAATGACACGCTAACTTTAGTGTCATGTCATAAAGCAGGAAGAGACCCTGTATGTCCTCAATAAACCCTGCTGTGTTTTATGGTGCTATTTGCTTTTTTTTTTTATAACCCAGGATGCAAAGTAGTCTCACAAGTGAAGAGTGTCTGCAGCCTTAGTTTTCATGCATAAAAGAAGGCGTGAATTAAAGCTTAAAGAGTCAATGTGCACAAAAATGCTTGAATTTCGAGTTTGCTGTTAATGCAGAGAACTCACCCATGGTGCAATTCACAGAGGAAACATAGGCGCTACTCACAACCACAACATGTCGGTACAGAAAGCAGATGGTGTTCCTGTGTGAAGTTGAACTGCAGCCTTATAGATATTTCTAAGATTAAAGCAGTGTATCATGTACTTTAGGGACCACAGTGTTGATCTTTGGATGATACCCGTAGAAACACTTGAAATAAGTGTGAAGTATTGTTGTATTGTAGTAAATCAAGTGTTTTTGTTTGCAGGACTACTTTGGAGAGTGCTCTGAAAATGTAATCAAAGACAACGTGGTGACAGTGTACGAGCTGCTGGAGGAGATGCTGGACAATGGCTTCCCTCTTGCAACCGAGTCTAACGTCCTCAAAGAGATGATCAGGCCTCCAACCATCCTGAGGACGGTCGTAAACACACTCACGGGTAAGTGGTGGTCTCCGTGACTCATCGGTTACAATCTCTGATCCGTTGATGTGTACAATGCAGTTTTTGATAATCTGTTTGTGTGTTTTTAAGGTGGAAGTAATGTTGGGGACACACTACCAACGGGCCAACTGTCCAACATCCCGTGGAGGCGAGCGGGTGTGAAATACACCAATAATGAGGCTTATTTTGATGTGATCGAGGAAATAGACGCCATTCTGGATAAATCAGGTACAAACAACCACTTTTTTGATCACCAAAGAGGGAGATGTGCGCTTCAAGTTGTCCACGCTCATTTCTTGATCCTCTTTATTCAGGTACAACAGTGTGTGCAGAGATCCAGGGTGTAATTGAAGCCTGTGTGAGGCTCACTGGGATGCCTGACCTCACTCTTTCTTTCATGGTGAGTTGATATCCTCATGGCTCTCATCCTTTTTTGTATTCAGCTTTTATGTTTTCTATCCAAACCAAACCTGTTTCTGTCGTTTCTGTTGTGTGTTTGACGACAGAATCCTCGTCTCCTCGATGATGTGAGTTTTCACCCGTGTGTCCGCTTCAAGCGCTGGGAGTCAGAGCGAGTCCTCTCCTTCATCCCGCCTGATGGAAACTTTACACTCATGAACTATCATGTCAGCTCGCAAAAGTGGGTACAGCTGTTTGCAGTAGATAAGAATTTGCAAGAGTTTGCATGAGTTATCAGCCTGCATGACAAGAGTAACATGGTACTTAAAACAATAAAATCTTTGTCCCATGATCTCATGAGAGCTTAGTATGACGGAGGGGACTGAAATTCTCTCCCAATCTCTGCATTAAGGATTGACAAACCCCACTTGTTTACAATTTAACTCATAAACACAGTTGAGTTGCTTTTTTATTTGCTGAATCTGTCTGTTTATTGTGTTTCTGTCCGCAGTCTCGTGGCCATTCCAGTGTGGGTGAAGCAGAGCATCAGCTTCTTTGAGTCGGGGCCTTCAGGCCGCCTGGACATCACTATCGGACCCAAGCAGACGATGGGCAAGACGGTGGAGAACCTGAAGGTCACTATCCACATGCCAAAAACTGTGGTCAGCGCCAACCTCACAGCCACACAGGGAAACTACACCTTTGACCTCGCTACGAAGGTAACAACAGCTCTGCCAGCAGTTTAGGTATTCATAAATTATCCGAGGTTCCCCAGTTAGAATAATCCTGTGCAAATGGTAATTATAATAACAATAATAACTTTATTTTTATAGCACTTCTAAAAACAAAGGTTGACAAATTGCTTTGACTTGAAGGTCAATTTCATTTGTCATAAAAAACCCAAACAATACAAGAACCATGCAACATAAAATGAGACCATGAGGACCAAAATAAAAATATAAAATAGGTAAGAAGAAGAAATTTGATTAAAAAAAGGGGGGGTAGAGAGCAGGAAACAGGATATTAAATATAAAAATATGATGTTCATAAAAAATAATAAAATCATAATTAAATAATAATAATGGCTATATTAATGATAAAATGGAATAATAAAAATGAGCAGAAAAAATAAATCAAATCAAATCAAATCAATAAAAGGTCTAAAAGGTTAAATAAGAAAAGATTGTAAGTAAAACCTAGGCTAAAAGGACAATAAGTCTAAATAAGATAGAGGATAAAAGAAAAAGAGAACAGACGGCATCACATAAAAGCAAGTCCTAATCTCTAATCTCCTCTGGCAGGTCGTTCCAAAGTCGAGGAGCTCTGATGGAGAAAGATCTGTCTCCTTTAGTTTTGAATCTCGACTTTGGAACGACCAGGGGACTGTTCTACGAAACAGGTTCAACTTAGCGAGGTAGGCTTGGCGCTACCTCGCTCAACTTAGCGCGGTAGCCAGCGGTCTCGCTACACGGTTTTACGACGCTGGTTATCAACCTCATAAGTGGATCCAGCTCTGCTATGAGCGCGTGCACACATATAAGGCGGAGCCCGCCGCATCTGACCAATCACGAACATCGATCAGTCTGGAGCGTCAGAGCAGGCTGGCGAGTGAAGGACCGCGGACTTTACAAACGAGGAACAGGAGACGATCATGTGAAAGTTTGAAGAATTGAAAGCTATCATAAACCTCAAAAGCAACACCGTCGCCGCTGCAAAAGCACGGAGGGAATGCTGGCAGAAAAGTAATCTTTGATGCCATTATCACCCTGAAATAGCACTGTTCAACATGCGCTTTTAACTAAAGTGACAGTCCCCGAATTGGATGATCTGTCCCCGGCTAAAGCTGTCCCCGAAAATGTCCCTGATTTAAGCGTTTCATGAATGAGAACAAAAATGTTGCATGTGGGCAAGAACAACGGTTATTACAGTGGGTAGGAAGCACAAGTAAGCAGTCCTGAACAACAGTATTTACCGGGTTATTATAAGGGGCGTGCGCTGCTACTAAATAGTACCGAGATGTTGTCTGTGATCGCGCAGCCCATGCCCATTCATTCCCAAGATGAATCATTCATTTGTTCATTCCTATCGTGTTTACATGTTTTGTGTAATATGTCGGCCATATGAGCCTTTCATAAAGGTGGTCATCCGGAGAAAACTCTCCCTGAAAACTCTCGCGAGCCGGAGTGCTCCTCCTCGGACAATGCGAGCACCGAGGTCTACAGGATCCTCCAAGAACGGACAAGCCGTTTTTCGAGAGAGCTCATTGGTCAGTGGGCGGGGTTTTTATACTCGGTGAGTTCAATCTGGAACTTAACCTGCCCCGGAGCAGTTTAGCCGTTCAGCGTATGTTGCTATGGAGACTCGCCTCGCTAAGAGGTGAACCCGCGTCGTAGAACAGGAAACCCCGAACCTATCCTCAAAGTTACCTCGCTAAGCAGTAATCCTGCTTCGTAGAACAGGCCCCAGGAGGCCTTCTCCAGAGGATCTGAGGCTGCGAGTCGGCTCATAAGGCTCTGAAATGCACCTTGGAGCAAGTCCTTTGGTGCTTTATACTGGGAACGACAAAATAAGATGAGACATACTGCTTTGTTCACAAACAACATCAAGTTTGAGGTAAATTGCATGTTCTTTGCAGAGGCTTTAATGCCTGCAGTACAGTGTATAACAACATTTGACGTAATTAAAAAGACACAATACTGCATTGTGGTCGGTGAGCCAGCTTTTAGCCTGCTCAAGGGTTTTATGTAACACACCAGTGCTGCAGGAAGTGGCTTTGGAAAACACTTAATGTCGAGGATCCTCTTTGTGAGTGGTCAAGTAAGGATGTTGCGTAAGGGAAGAGGGCTTTTTCAGTGGAAGGCAGGAAGTTTCTCAAGTTTCAACATTTCCAAACAAGACTTGGTTTTATTCTGTTTGCTTGAAAAATTGTGTATTCTTAAAGGTTGTGGTCTGGGACATTGGAAAATTGAACCCCCAGAAACTTCCCAACCTGAGAGGCAGTCTGAGTACGCAAACAGGGGCCCCTAAACCTGATGATAACCCTTCACTCAACATTGACCTGAAGATACAGCAGCTGGCTATATCAGGTAAAGCTCACCTCTTAATCTCTGAACAAAGCTACGTTTAAAGTCCATAATCATTTATCCCAGTTCTTTCTCCACATTTGTTTTTAAATCAGAACATTTCAGTGTTTGTTCACTCTGTTTGTCTTTCCTCTGCACAGGTCTGAAGGTGAGTCGTCTTGACATGTATGGAGAGAAGTACAAGCCGTTTAAAGGGGTCAAATATTTGACCAAAGCTGGGAAATTCCAGGTGCGAACCTGAGCGATGACGGTCAAATCCAAAGGCCAACAATCCAATGTGCCAAAAAGGGGGCAAGGAGTCAGCCCTCCACTAAGTCTTACATTTCCTGTGACTCTTTGTAATTAATGAACCATTTTGCATTCTAACAGTTATTTATTACGTCTTTGGCATTATGTTTCTACGCCTGGATGGTGTTTGTGGCCTGTAAAGGGAAGCCTTAATAACCCATGTGACCTTGTTGAAGTGCTATTAGTTTTCACTCTTTATTTTTTTCATTGTATGGACCATTGTTCTTTTTTTATAACCTGTTGTATTTTTGTCTAACACTTTCTGAGTGTTGCCAAAGGGGAATATTTTGGTTTATAAAGGGACACTCACTGCTCTTCGCTTGCATCTCACTCTTTCAGCACACCTCTACAATCATGATCGCATGTTTCATGAGAACAAGCAGAAAAATTGCCTTTTGAAAATCTTTTTAATTAACGCTAGGTAGCAACTTTTATATATATCTATATATATCTATATATACACGCATATATGTTTATTTTTTGAAATATCTTATATTCTATCTTTCTGAGTAGCTGCAGTGTGTGTTTGAACACTGTCTTTTGTGGATGTGTTTGTACACACAATCACTCCTTTATGTGGCCTTCTTGGGTGCTTTGTACAGCACACTACAGCACAAACTGCATGTTTTTGACACTGAGGGATAATATCCAAATATGTCTCACATTAAAGGTACATATCTCGACTAATAGAGGTTGTTCAGCTCTAAAAGGGCCTGCATTTGAGCTAATATGTTTGTTGGGAAAAGTTGTGTAAAAAGTACTCAGAACTCTTGTGCACAATCGCCTCACTCAGCACAGACTTTGCACAATCAGTGTCAACGTGAAAAAATCTTTCTCACAGCACACGTATGAAGTTGAATCTGTATTTCTGTGTAAAAGATGTCATATAAAAAGCTTTAAATATGATAATCTGTGTTTGTCTTCTTTAAGTCATGCTGGCTGGAGGATACCTGGGGTGGCTGTTATTTTTTAGGTCAACAGTTTGGTACAAATTATGAAATCTGACATAGAAGAAAAACGTTTACTGTAAAACATATGAGGATACTTAAGTTGGTTAAACTTTTATTAATATAAGGATTACTATTTACTTATTTAATCATTGATAAACATAGTGATGATGATAAACAGAGTGAACTTAGCCTACAATACATGCTGAGTGACCCACTGAGCAATAGACGGCTATTAGACATCCTGTTTTTTTAGACCTAATCTCAACCGTCTAGATTCTTAAATTTAGACGTTGCACTTTAATCCATTATTTGATAACTATTTATTTCAAAAAGTAACTGTGAGTTACATAAGTGATCTCCAAGTATTTAACCAAAGTAATTATGATAGCTGTTGAGCAATATAAAGTGTAGTATAGATATAGCCCGGATTTAGATTTAGTCGAAATTTGGACGTCTAAAAAACATTCATTTTTAGACCTGTGGTAGCCTGATTTTAGACCAGTCATCTAGGTTAAATTTAGACTTCTATTAGACCGAAAAACGCTCAGTGGGGATGGTGTGCTAGAAAATAATCAACAGCTTGGGCACAATTAACATTTTATTTGAACTGCACTTAAAACAAAAGAGGTGCCATCATGATTACTGTTTTTTTTTATATAGGCAACAAGGTGAAGGTGCTACCATTTTAGCATAAATATATAGTGGCTTACATAGCAGAAATGAACAAATAAAACCTGGAGGCAGGACTCAAGGTTGAGCTGCAGGTACGATATAAACAGAAGAGAAGATAATTAAAACAAAATACTCTAATTACAAGCCTATATAAGACCTGCATGTGCTAATATCGCTACCCTATCAGTCCTGCTAACTTAATTAATTTAGCAAAAGGGGTTAGCACTAACCCGGTTAATCATGGAGAATTACATGCCAAACTTCAGGTTGATTGCATTTTATGTGTACTTTAGTGATTTATAGCTTTGAATAACCTGCCAGGATAATTAATGAGAGATAAAAGATTATGCTTAATTTCATTATGTAAATATTGTTACTGGGGACTGTGGAGCAAACCTGATATCTGCATGTAGTTTCCAGTTACACAAGTATATAACAACAAAATGTGATAGGCATGACAAAGACTGTGAGGTAAATACGATAATTAAAAGTAAAACACAGGGTTACAGTCAGGGTAAGTTTGTCCAGCGGCACTGAATTAATAATGTGAATAAAGACACAGACTCCAGTCTTCATTATAGTCTTTTATTCTTCCAAGGCACAGCAGATGTGTTGGCAGGGCTAGAAGCTATCAGAATACATTCAGTGTGTGAATGTACGCATCCAGTACACACAGACGTTTACACCCTGTCCCTCTCACAGAGGAGCAAGAGACTGCTACATGCTTAGTAGACCCAAATAAATATAAAAATGCAGTTAACATTCTGTACTGCTGTCCTGAATCATCGTGTAGGACGGACAATACTGTTAGAGTGGATGGGCTTCACACATACACACAAACTAAGAATTATCTATCGAACAGATGAGTTTGCCATCACTGTTGAGAACAATTTAACAAAACTTAAGAGCTTCTTTTTTCAAGGGGAGGGAAATAAATACTCTGGTTTCATTTTCATGTAACACTGAGTTACTAAAAAAAAACTGATCATGTAAAAAAGGTTCATTCAAACCACCTGGGTCAAAAAGAAATGTGAATCAAAGCTTTCAGAGTGGGATTAACTGAGTTTACAAGTAAGGTAGAGTGTGAAAACAGAAGGTTGGATGGCTGTCAACGATCAATGACTCTGATAATCTTGATAAATAAACCCAAACAGTTCAACTGTTACAGAAGTGGTGCAGAAATGAAGCACTCCGTCATGCTTAAAGATGCAGAAAACATACTTTTTTGTTCAAGAAAAAAAGAGACATTAAAAAGAGTGTCTACTTATGCAAAAACCTGGATTTTTTTCTAAAAGAACTTTATAAAGGTTGCAGGATGTAAAACAAAACCTTTGGCATTTTTCACGGTGTAATTTAGACAAAATGAAAATGAGAACTCCAAACCCACATTCATCCCAGCTTTGTGAAAACCTACGATCTTTTCATTTGAGACATTCCTGCCATCAACAAAAATACTATATTGACAACAATATATTTTTCAAAATATACAATCATCCTTGAAGCTTTATTGTTAACCTTTTAACTTATAGCACTTTTTATCCAGAAGACATTATAGTTCTTCAAGTATTGATATATCATTTTTAAAATTCAGTTAAAAACAGCGTCACCGATAAACGTAAACATGAAGAGGCTCATCAGCCCAAACAAGACTCCACACTTTAGTGTCAAACTCAGTGTAAAAAAATTATCGCTGAGTGTTGTCCGTAAAACATATTACTACTGTATGTACAACAGACGATAAGAAACTCACTAAAAAGACTGCATCAAAGTAAATGTTCTTTATGAACCAAGTATCTTATTACCGTAACTTGCTTTTAGAAAATAGAAAACATTTTCATGCAAAAAATATATTTACTTGGGATTTGGATAAACTCTTGTAACACAACATACCAAAAAATATATTAAAAAACCGTCTTTGATGAGCCTGCAGGATATACCACAGTTACAGATAAAGACAACTTGAGAGCAAAGCTAAACAAACTCCAGAAAATGAAACCTGCTTTGCACCGGATGTAATGGTTCCTGATAGAGAACTACAGTGGAAGATGGATCAAAATCACCCGCAGTTCCCTCTTTGAAGAAGTGCATGTTTGCTACGTTAACTCAAGTTGTGCGCTATCATCATCTGGTAAAGAGTGTTGTTAGTTTCAGCAACCAGGTTTTTATTGATACCAGGGGGTCTTGCGTACCCAGCGAAGGGTGAAACCTGCATCTGTGCGGATCTTGATGGAAGCTGCTTCTGCTTCTCTGACCGTCTCCTTCACTGACTGCATCAGATTCTGGGCGTTATGGACCAGCATCTCCGTGGCCTGGGTGGGAAGTGAAGTAGTTTGAGGTTCAAGAATGAAACGACAAAACAAAAACAAGCTGCCAGCTAGCTAGCTGACTATGATTATAACGGAAACTTTGTACTTTTTTGATGTACTTCATTCTCTTGGATCATATCTAGTGGATCCAAACAAAGTGGTTTTAGTCCAAGGTTTCTACACAGTTGGAATTTTCATACTTCTCCATACCCTACTTTTTAGAATTATTTTTCAAAATACCTACTTTTAAATTTTAGTAAACTGTATTTTATAACGATGGTAATATAGTCTGATAACATGAACATTTTTCCATATTTTAATTTTCATTTAACGTATTTTTTAAGACCTGGAAATTAATTAAATTACTTCCATATTTTTCTATACTTTCCATACTTGCTATGCACTTGCTTCTTTGTAAAAAGAATTGAGATAAGTTGTAATTTTATAAAATGTTTGGACTAAAAATGAGAACTTCTGTTTTGTCTTTATTTAGTGGTAAAAGTTGACAGTCATCCATGTACTGATAACAGTGGAGCACTGAATGAGGGAATGAACGGTATTGATATTATTATTATTATTATTATTATTATTATTATTGTTATCATTATTATTATTGTTGTTATTATCATTATTATTATTATTTCTATTATTACAATTAGTATTATTACTATTATTATTATTATTATTAAATTTATTTATTTATTTTAATTTTGTGCTTGTCTATAATGTGTGGAAGTGGAAGCGTTTGCAGATTAAACTGTAGTGGTCTGAGAATTGAGCCTTGGGGAACCCCACCGGTAACATTAATTTCAATGCAAAATCTCAGGACTACCTGCCATGCAGATATGACGTAAACCAGTTTAAAACTGCACAGGTCAGGCCCAGTAAGTTTGAGTGATATGTTGTGATTAAGGAATCTGTCTGTAAGGGAAGTTAAAAAGGCTGTGAAGTACCTGTGCTACGCAGGAAAAGGTAATTAAAGTACGTCCATGTTCTTGAGTTTACCTGCTCTGACTCCTCTTCACTGATGTTTGTTCGTCCCAGCATAGTGGCTTTGACAGTGGACAGGATCTTCAGCTGAGTACTGATAGTAGGGATCCTCTCACACACCTTTGAAAGAAGAGAAACACGTAAATGTCCATGCACACAACATTTTCCTCATGATTTATCTTCTGTTTGAGTTTACCTGTAGCAGGTTAGTTCTGATGCGCCTGTCTGTGCACTGCTTGGCTACTTCTTTAGCCAGCCTTGTCACCTCATCTGAGGCCTTGGCGATGTCCTTGGCACACTGGATCAACGCTCGTTTATTTCCACTTCCGCCTCGCACCAGCCGTGACATTTCTGCCATTAGCAGAGCCATCCGCTTGGCTGCTGCTATGATATCATTACCCTTTGAAAAATGGAAGGAGGAGGAGGAGGAAGAGGAAGAGCTGTGAGTGTTTGAGAAGAGCTTGGCTTTGGATAAGAGGAGAGAATGCAAACATTTCATGAGTCATGTTTGCACAGGTGGTAATCAAAATGTAAGGTACAGGAGATTATGCAGACGTTTGTGATTTATATGAATGAATATGAAGTAAAACAAAACAGGCACTGGATTTGAAGCAGAAAGCTGGATGCAGTGTCAGTGCAGCTTCTTCAATTCCCATTGAAGAAGACCATTCTGCCTTTAAGGAAAACAGTGTTTCCCTCTTTTCACAGCTATCTAGGGGTTAGTATTTGTATGTGTGTGTTACTTTTGTTCACCTTTGGAGTGATCGGTACAAACCCTGAGAGTGAGGAGCAGAAGCATGTGATCAGACCGGGCACACAGGCAAACTAAATCAACCAAGAATCTGTTGGCTTCATTGGTGAGCCAGGCAGAAAGTAATTGACAGAGCTCGTTACTCTTGATTTAAAGCACCTGACCTGATCGTTAGTACAGGGACAGCACATCAGGCCAATATCAGTTTGTTCCTGCTGTGAAACAAACGATTGAGCCAATGCATCAATCTGTGACCTTTAGGGCAACTTTGGCATTTATCCTTTTCATAGAGCAGCTATTTTCCTCTGTCGTCACTCTGAGAATAAAAGGCTAATGTGCTCATTTTAACGCAGAGAGATGGACAGAGGGACTCATTGTAGTGGTGGCCAGGAGGCTAAAGGCCAGTCTCAGCTTCACCTCTTTGTCTCTTGCTGGATCGGTTGAAAGTTTGGTTGACCTTTAACACAATCTATTTAAGATTCATGACCTGAAAACCAGCATGAGAATAATGTCACTTTGGATATAAATGCCTGCAGTGTGAATCGCATCAGCACAACCATGTCTGTGTGAAACGGAACAGCAGTAAAAAGCAGCACAGCTGGTCGGAGGTTTCCATGGTTGACACGTGTGCAGAGCGTTGGCTTGTTTCTTGCTTCTCTTTGTGTGGAGCGTTTATCTGTTTGCATGCTTCGGACTTCTTAGTGTGTGAGTGCCTGTTAGAGGTACTTCCAGCCCAGTGTCTGGTTGTGTGTGCACTCATGTACATGTGCGTGCAGACCTTGCTGGACCACTTGCGCGCCTCCTGGTGGAGAGACTGGGCAGCTGCCAGAATGGGTTGATTGACAGGCTGGTTGGAGGGAATCATCAGCAGTTCTGGCTCATAGTCATCCTCACCATCAGTAAACTCATCTTCCTCATCTACCTCCCTCTCCTCTACTGCCTCCTCATCCTCAGGCTGGTTTGGGCGAGGGGAGGAGAAGGATTGGCGATGGCGGTTGGAGGATGGGAGGGAGGCAAAAGGGGGTGGGAGGAGAGGGAAGAGGAGGAAGAAAAAAAGGAGGAATATGGAGAGGAAGGGGGAGGAGAAAGCCAGGGAAGCATGGGGAAAGGAGGCATTTAGTACAGTATGGAAAACAAAGGACAGGAGATTTTCAGGGAGGAGGACAAGCAAATACAAGCGCTGAAGAGAAGCAGGGAGACAGGAAGTGAAATTTTTGCACGCACAGGCAAAAATGGAAGCAAAGGGAAGGGAAAGGAGAGCTGTTTGGGGTTGGAAGCGGGTGGATGATGTGCCTTGCTCTGAGGCAGTAGATGAGTGGAAAGTATGTAAAGCTTTTGTGCAGTCAAACAAGACTTAAACGTGTCCAAAACCTAGTGGTTTGCATCCTCCTGGTGTATTTCGGGATCTGGCAGTGTGCTCAGAAACTCACTTTGACTCACGTGCGGCCTTAAAAGAGATAATGCAGTCTGGCTTCTGAAGATGTTTAATGTAAAGGCCATTAAACATAGTAGGAGAAATAGAAACATTCATGTCTGGATAATTATCCATTACTGCCACAGAATAGTGATTCCTTTGCTCCTCCACTAAATTAAACACTTTGACAAACACAGACACCAACAGGAGATAAAGTGCAAAAGACAAAAACTGCAAATATTGAGCTTTTTTTATTTCCTTCAAAGACGTATCGAGAGACTCTGTCTGAGCTGTTTGGATGAATATAGAAACTGTACAGTCTTGTGTTCGTCTGAACGGACTGACCTTGCTCGACCACTTGCGTGCCTCATCGTGCAGCTGCCTGGCGGCCACCATCATGGGCTCGCTGAGCACCTCCCCGACCTTCTGCTCTGGGAACTCCTCATCCTTCTCTTCTGGAGGAGGGGGTCTTGGTGGGGGTACCTCTCCTTCTGGTAGAGGGGGCTTGGGTGGTGCTTGTTCATCGCTAACCTGGAAAAAACAGAATTTGAAGAGCGGTGACGTTTATGTCCGGTGGTCGTTAAAAAGAAGAACAGACAGACACATTGACCTGGAAAGCGAAACACCTGGAAATTGTACAAATAGGGCCGTTTCTTTAGCTACCTGGTTGACACCTGAGCTCTTGAACAGTATAGTATGAACAGCATTGATGCTGATGGTCTTGTTCACTTTTAAATGTCCTAAAAGGCGTCAGACTGAATTTCAGCCTATTTTATAAATGTAAAAAACTCCTCACAGGGGCTTTAAATCAAGGATTCGTGGTGAATTTTACAGTGGATTCAGAAATGCTGCTTTATATTACTGACAGACCTTGAATCTAACTGGTTTAAGGTCACTGCTAGTACTCTAATTTAGTCTTCTATGATCTGTATTTTCCCTGCAGTGATAGTAGGGAGTATGTGTGTGAATGAGCTTACATGGAGCTGGTCCAGGTCTGGAGGAGGAGGAGGGAAGTCCGGCTCTTGAGGCTGGAAAGCTTCTCTGACTTTTCCAACTGCAGCCAAAATCCTCAGACAGGAGTCTATGTAGGCCTTCTGGAGAGCTGCAGAGGAGGGGGTGAAGCATGAACACAGATATAGATGTAATAAACCCTGTTATATTGTATCTGAAAAGGCGTTCCTGTTGTGTATTTCCACACCTTTATCTTGTATGTTTCCAGCCACAGCTTTAGCGTCCATCACCATGGGCGAGATGGTGTGTGAGAGGATGTCTGACGCATGTTTCACTGTGTCTCTGAACCGAGGATCTTCAGAGTTCTCCACCTCCCTCTTCGCCACCAACAGGACCCGGTTAGCTCGTCTTGCTATGCTTGTTGCCCCGGCAACAAGCATTTGGGGCTGAACATTCGCCATGGCAACTCGGCACTTATCTATGTCTTTCTTTATGGCCTCTTCTGATGCATCTAGCAGAGATTTGGTGTCTATGGCCTCATCCACCAGACCTGAGGAGACACACGGATGAATCTGAAATCTTCCTCAATTTGTACTTTTAATTTTAATACATTTTCTAATATTTGTTCTTTGCAAAATCTTAAATCATTTCAGTTGCAGAAAATATGGTGACAAATCCTCACCAGTGAGTCTCTCCACATTGTCAATCCACTGGTTCTTCATCGTGTCAAAGTGCTCGTATGCTGCTTTATTCCCTGGATTCTTCAACAGGATTCGAGCAGCTGAAGTCACCTGCACATTAAAAAACCGTCAGAGTGAGACTGTGCGTGAAACAACTCCAACAACTGTATATTTTTTTATCAATGTATGCAATCATGCAAATCAGAGAGCAGAGCAAACAGCAGCACCTGTGGCGTGAGCTCCCTGGCATGTTTTACAGCAGCATGTATGCCCTCCACTGTGCTCTTATTGGCTGTTCCCACGGCTGCAGCTTTTTCTGCCGTCGCTCCGAGCCGACCTGCGTGGGCCTCAAAGTTACCTGCCCGTTCTTCAAAAACCTGCAACAAACAGAGATTTTGGCTCTCATCTTAACTCAGCTTAGTTCATTTACACATGTGGTGTCAGACGCTGGGTGGTGCTGATTATCGGGATGCTTTTTGAACGCCGCTGACCTCTGCTCTGTTCGGAGCGTCTGGTGGAGCAGTTGCAGCGACAGCGAGCAGTTTGACAGGCGTGGTGGTGTCACTGAAGACGTCAGATACTTCCTGGGTCATCACCTCCTGCATGTGCTGCCTCAGGTCCTGTTTGAAGAAGAGAGTGTTCAACTCTGTCCACTAGGGGGAGCTCTGCACTAATACTTTAAGTGATGCTCATTATGCGACTTTTAAAGAAGACATAAATATGAGTATTTTAACATGTAAGTAAGCACCTCATTAAACTTGAAAAGAATACATAATCAATGATGTTTTACAGGAAAAATTCTGTATTCAATTTCTTTTTTCAGTTTTACTCAAATCTGCCAAATTCAGTCCTGATTAAAATGACTAAGGCTGAAGTGTTTCGTATGAGAGGACAGTTTTTACTATTAAATGGATTAAACAGCCTTCAAAATAAAATCTTTGAAAAGGTAAACAAGATGCAGATGTATTAAACGACCTTGGCTCTACAGCTGCATCAATCGTGTGCAAGGATGTATTCATCATTGGGATAAATTACTTCTTTGTAAACATTTAATTTGGTATTTTAATTTTTTATCACATGTGCATCATTCCTTCAAATTACAACCAACAACTGCTTGATATTTCGGTACATGTCTTGACCCTCTGCTTCCAATGAAAAGTTGAAACAAACCACAAAACCTCAACTAGTGATGCTTTGAAGTGACTAATTTCCCTGTTTTTTGAATTGAAATTTGATTTCTTTAACTAAAGGTAAGAAAACATCCAAGAAGCAGCTACAATTAAGCTCAATGTACTTAACATAGCTAAACACTGGATCACAGAATCTGCAGTTAAAGAGCGAGAAAGCGGTTTGCAGAGTGTGGCTAAAGATAGCAGAGCTAGCACCACCAGCCTTTGGTCCTCCTTGCAGGATAATGTTGACTTGGATCAACCAGTTGCTGTTTTTTTGACTGCCCTGTACCCTCGAGTTATGTCTATGACAACTCTTTTTCAATCCAAGATAACCTGTTGTTTTGAAGATTAGGACTTTTCACCATTTCATATACCAATATGTGTATCTGTGAACCTGCTGGTGGTCTACCTTGAGACTGTCCTGCAGCTGTGCGGCTGTAGCTCGGGCGTGAGGCGCCTCGGCCTCGCCCTTGCCAGCCATGTCTGCCAGAGAGTTCATCAGAGCCTCTGTTCTGTCGCAGCGTCCTGTCATATCCTGTCTGTACGGACCCAACAGGCCTCCCGCCAGCCTCCTCCCTTCTCCAACCATCCCTCTGATCGCCGCCTGGCCTGGGAGGACACACGGGGAAGGAAGATGTCTTTAAATCACATCTAGATATTTAACATCTCTGTGTTCCTGGATACAGCCAATAACAGGTTCAGGTCAGTCTTTGTGGATATTATGTTCTAATATACAGGGAAAACAATCAACTGAGATTCATAAGTCATATCTTGTGAACATATATTTGGCAGGTACCTTCGTTCCACTGTAGTATCTCACACTCTGCTCCCATAGGGAAGCGTGCAAGAATAGAGGAAACAATCAAAACAACACAACAGGAACGGAGCAACAGATATCAGAGAGATCAGTAAAAACCAAACAATGAACGATGAAGCCTGTGAAGTTAGTCATTCATGGGTGAGTGAGTCATGGGTGAGAGACCTTCCTGTGGGGATGTAAGGAAGTGGCATCAGTCACCAGCCAAGTCAGAGGAAGAGGCAACAGCAACCTTACAGCCTTCCTCCCCCGGTAATACATGTTCAAATCAATAAATCCACTTCTGTTGATTTATTGTGAATAAAACCTGATACCCAAACCCAACAAGAGAGGCAGAGTGAATGAGGATTATATTAATAATGTGCCTGCACTATCATAGATATTAAAACCATTTGAGGAATATCAAAAATCCTATTGGACCATAAATGCCTCACATCCTGTAACTGTCACAAAGGGCCCCAGGTGCTGTTAAAGCCACTTTCACTCACTCTCCATCAATCATAACCGCTCTGACTAAAGGCATGGAAGGTCACAGCGTCTATTTTTGAACTGAAACACTACATCATGCCGTCACCCCCCCTCCACCCTGGCTCACCCACTCCTCTGTCGTCCACTCCGGGGCTGTTCACCCAGCGAAGGGCCTGCTCCATCTTGCCCTCCAGGGTGACAGCAGGTTTGGCCGGCCTCATGTTGGCAACGGCCCGGTTCGTTTTGGACTGCAGGGTCAGCAGCGCCGCACCGATCTGCTTCGCCAAGGCACGGGCCTCGGGGGTGTCACCTTTACCCCTGAGACAGAAACAGAGCAGTTTAAGAAAGGGGTAAAGATGTGCCATTATATCAAGACCCGAAAACCCCAGAGCTAGTTGTTCAAAAGGTTCAATCTGGACAAGTATGGTCCACTATTGAGAAGTGATGTGTTTGCTATGCAGGATTAAACATCCCTCAATCCTGATTACTGAGGATCAAATGCAGGCTACGTGGAGTGTCCACAGGGGGCGCCAAACACCATACAGACAGTTGTTTTTAGACCAAATACTTGCGTTTGATATTGAGCAATGACCAAGTTTTAGTAATAAAGTCCAATATGTCTTTTCTTTATCAGTTTGTCTTAGTTGCAATTAAACAGTTAAAGAAAAATAAACAAAAAACTGTTAAAGTAAAAAAAAGCTTTTCAGTCTCCACTTGAACCAATCAGATACTTTTGAACAACCAGGCCCCAGATATCACCTTAAAGGAAAATACCACTTTATAAAATTAACACCACTTTTTATTCAGTTTCATCACCGCCAGCTTATGTCCAGTACAACCTGTAAGAAAATCTGTTAAAAAAGGTTAAATTAGTGTTATTTTGTAAAGATGCAGATGTCAAGATCCGGTGAACAGTTTCATTATTACTGCCAGGCTCAGTGCCAGAGGAGTAAATATTATTTACACTGTTTTAGAGTAAAAAAATGAGATTCTGTTGCCTCAGACTTCGATTTTTATGGTTCAGATTCACAGTTTTGGTTCAGGTTTGGTCACACATGATCATTTATTTTGTTTTGTCACTTTAATCTCTGATTTCCTTTTATGGTGAGTGTATTTAGTTGAGATGCAGAATAAAATTATTCTTTTTTTATGATCCTTCTCTCTTGCACATTCAATTTACCATATTAGAAAATATCCATAAACTACAGAGCCAGAGCAGTGAAGTTATTTTCTTCCTTAATGGAAGTGAATGAGGATTTATACTCCATTTAAAGGTTTTTTCTGTGTTAAATTGTCGTGTTTTCTCCTTTTTAAAGTTCAGATTCATATTTTATTTTGGATTTGTTTGACACTGGCTCATTTGTTTGTCTTTGTCATGTTTATCTCTGGTTCCCTTTTACGGTCTCTGCAGAAGTGGAAATGGAGAGAAGTGATTTATATTCTTAACAGTGACTCATCTCTCTCTGTGAGTCATTGAACTTAAGAAACGTTTAAGAAATTTACTGTTTAAAATCAACATTTCACTATCAAACTGTGTGCAAGATAAAATTCAGTGTTGTATGCCTTGAATAAAGTGGTATTTTCCTCCCGGGTCCACCAAGTTTTGACCCTCAAACTCTTACTGACCCTCCACATTTGCACCAAAACCCCGTCACACCAAATTCAAACACTGAGAAACCTTATTGTGGGGCTGATGCCCAGGGTAGACAGGCAACAACATAATCTCCACGCAGGTAAAACATGCCACCTATTGGCTGCATGAGGTTGCAGTTTGAGCCTACAAAAGAGGGTCTGAAGGTTACTGTAAGTATTTAAGGAGATCATTGATCATGCATGTTAGAGAAAGGAAGGAGAGCGTACTGTCTGCGCAGCTCCATCAGTCTGGCAGTGAGGCCTGCGATCTCGCTGATGGAGCGCAGGATGTCGTCTCTCTCTTTGGGGTCTTCACAGAGATCGGCGATGCGTTTGGCCTCTGCTAGCAGCGCTCTGATATTCTCCTCCCCCTCAGGACCGCCATTAGGATCAGCCAGCCAGGCCTGAAATAAACACTTACATGATTCAGTTTCTAATCGGATCGATTTGTAAGATTAATCTGTGCATTAACACCACAGGAAGAGGGAAAAGATCATGTTCAATCTGTAATTCAAGCATTTAACTTCTGCCTTATGCACAGTGGCTTTAATGATAATTTACAGTATACAAAGCACTGAAAAAATAGGCACAAATGAGTTTATTAAGCAGAGTAAAACTTAGAATAATAGAGTAAAAGATATCTGTGATGCATGACAGAAATGCAGTGTGCTAAAATGACTTGCACTATCTTAAACTTTCAATATCTAAATCATTAAAGCATATAGAAAGGTGCTTCTGTGGTAATGCTGACTTTTAAATTTCCCAAATCAGACAAAAATAACCTCTGTGGATTTTAATTTAATCATTTAGGGATTGTTATTGTTACAAAAAGGTGTAAAAAACTGATTTTAAATGTTGTGTTTTAATCACGAATATGTAACTAGAAGGCAAGAGACAAAGAAACTGTAACTGTCCCGCAGAGAGAAGGTCCTGTGGGCTAACATGGATTACTGTTTGTTATTGTTGTTTTATCTGACCTGTGCAGCATCCAGCCTCCTGGCAATGGCCTGCTTGGCATTGATTAAAGCCTCCAGTCTGCGAGCAGCACTGTCCACTTTGCCAAATAACAAGTCTAAGCCCTGCGAGCACTGGCCTGCACGCTGCACACACCCCGAGGTCGGGCCCTGGCCTCTGTCAATGACAAAAACACACACACAAACACACACACACACACACACACACACACAAACACACACACACACACGAGGCTGAGGCATGATAATGAAATAAAGTCATAAAGAGAGAGAAATAAATAAAATCGCTTCAAACCACAGAGCGTATTTAAGAAATGGATGAAGCGTGACTTGTTCCTCTAAAGTGAAGCCAATTTGAAAGAGTCTGAAACCTGCACTCTTTCAGCAACCAGCAGGGGGCGACTCTACAGGGTGCTGATTGTATAAAACTGAATGGTTAGAATTACCTCAATAATGATAAAGTTGGGTGTAGTTTCGTGCATGTTATTGCCAAGTCTCTCCCATAGCAGTGTGCCGGCCAGGATAGAGATGTAGTAATGTTGTTTTTAGTTGCCAAGAACGCAAAATGCTTCAAATAAAACCTCAGAAATCACGAACTGATGTCACTGTAACTCCATCCACTCACATATGAAGTCCAAATTTATCAAACACACTACCTGATTCGTAGATCCGCGACCTGGTCGGTCATCTGTCCCAGAGCTTTAGTGGTCGCCAGGATGTCTTTCCTCTCCTTCCCAGCGCACAGCTCTCCCACCTTACCAGCTTCATCCAGGATCACACGCAGGGCGACCTCACCGGGGTCTCCTGAGGACAACGACAACATGCCGCAGCGTAAGACTGTGGGACTACGTCTAAAAAGGTGATTTAGTGTTTCAGCAGATACAAATCCAGCTACCTGGTTGTCCATGAGGGTCTTTGAGCCAGCTTTTAGCCTGTCCCATCTTTGACTCGATCAAAGCCAGGGATCTCTTTAAAGCCTCCATATCCTGAGAAAAAGAGAAACACAGACTCGTGTGAAGCTTGAGTTCAAAGCTTTACACTCTGGCAAACTGTAAATACAGAGTCAAAATACCGACCATTGTTTCTTTACTCACTAAATTATCCCTCTAAAATAACATGACAGGCCTTTAGTGGCTTTATTTATGCTTTTCTCACAAATTTAGCAAATCACAAAAACCATAAACCATTTATGAATAAACTTGAATTCCCCTGTCCTGCCTGTTTAAGTGTTTCTCTTTAAAGCTCCTGTGAGTAACTCTGGATTTTTGTTAAATTTGGCGCCCCCGGTGGACAAAACAGTCTTTGCCTATCTTGTCCTCTATGTGAAAGTGTGACGAAAAATCTCATCCTGCTGGTGAAATTTGTTGTTTTTGTGATTATTTAATGCAGCCCAATTGTAAGCTACCCCCTCACAACAGTTTCAGGCATTAAAAACTGCAGAATCAAAATCAACACTTGTTTGTTTTTGTGTATCATAAAGAGATATCAATATTCATTAACGTCACTAAACTCCTCCTAGAAGCTTTAATAATACAAGCTTTTTTTGTTTTTATTGAAAACTGGAAGGAGTTTTCTGGAAGTCTACGCAGCCTTAGAAACTTTAGTTTGATTAATAATAAAAGGTAAAAAGGGTTAAAGACCTCGTATGTGAAACTCTATTGACTCTTTCATTGCATCGTAAAAGGTTCAGAAAACAGGAGTTTTTTCCAGCTGAATGGAGACCGAACCTCTTAAGTGAAACCGTTCAATACAACCCATCTATTATGGATGTGTCTGGACACCAACCAGTTTATTTCTATAATTCATGACCCCACAGGACAGTCATCATGTGCCAGCACTTCTCCAACACACCCTACAGTAAGTGCTTATCGCAGATCACACACAAGGTTTGCAAGTACGTCCACAGCAAACACACACACACACACACTCTCAAACAGACGGGTCAGAGTCTAAGGCAGCTGTGTGCAGAGAAACATGCAGGGTTACAGGTTAGACCAGTGAAGTAGATCCTAAATTTAACAGTCAGATATCTCACGGCACATTCTCCAAACTGATGCACCAAAAACATTTCAGACAGCGTGAATATTCAACCCTTCACAGCATCTTTTCATCGAACTCGCAGCTTTACTTCATTGTTAGCATTAGCGACACGAGAGGGGGAAATTCCACATAGCGAATATGGACTTTGTTTCAACACAAAGTCACACACTAAAAATGAATTACCCAGCTCAGAGGGGTAGTTCGGACTTTTTATCGGGGTCTTTATGATGTACTTGTAAATATAGAAAGAATTATGCAAAATAGAGGAGCTGTGGACGGGGTTTTAGTGTCACATAGTTGAGCACTTAAACATTAAAGATTTGATTGTTCACCAGGAAACTCTGTTTTGTAAAGAGGAAAAGATACCCCATCTTTAAAATCTTCAGGAAAAGGAAGTTTCATTGTCAACTTCATAACCCAATTCCATTGAAGTTGGTAAATTGTGATAAACGTAGATAAAAACAGGATTCAATGATTTGCAAATCCTTTTCAACCTATATTCAACTGAATTCACTACAAAGACAAGATATTTAATGTTCAAACTCATAAACTTTAATTTTTTTGCAAATAATAGTTAACTCAGAATTTCATGGCTGCACCATGTGCCAAAGTAGTTAGGATAGGGGCATGTTTACCTCTGTGTTCCATCACCTTTCCTTTTAACAACACTCAATAAACGTTTGGGAACTGAGGAGACTAATTGTTGAAGCTTTGAAGGTGGAATTCTTTCCCATTCTTGCTTGATGTACAGCTTCAGTTGTTCAACAGTCCGGGGTCTCCGTTGTCGTATTTTACACTTCATGGCAGCTTGGATGGCAGCATATGTTGCTCTAAAACCTGTATGTACCTTTCAGCATTAATGTTGCCTTCACAGATGTGTAAGTTACCCATGCCTTGGGCACTAATGCACCCCCATACATTCAACTTTGCATTGATAACACTCCGGATGGTTCTTTTCCTCTTTGGCCCGGAGGACACGACGTCCACTGTTTCCAAAAACAAAAACTCGTCAGACCACAGAACACTTTTCCACTTTGCATCAGTCCAGCTTAGATGAGCTCGGGCCCAGAACTGTATTTACTGACAGTGGTTATCTGAAGTGTTCCTGAGCCCATGTGGTGATATCCTTTACACATTGATGCTGGTTTTTGATACAGTGCCGCCTGAGGGATCGAAGGTCACGGGCATTCAGTGTTGGTTTACGGCCGTGCCGCTTACGTGATTTCTCCAGATTCTCTGAACCTTTTGATTTTATTATGGAATGTAAGATGTTGAAAGTGCTGAACCTCGCCCCATCCTTGCTTGTGAATGACTGAGAATTGTTGGGGAATCTGCTTTTATACCCAATTATGGCACCCACCTGTTCCCTATAAGACAGCTCACCTATGGGATGTTCCAAATAGGTGTTTGATTAGCAACCCCTTAAATTTCTCAGTATTTTTTGCCACCTTTCCCAACTTCTTTGTCACGTGTTGCTGCCATGAAATTCTGAGTTAATTATTATTTTCCCAAAAAAATAAAAAATAAAGTTAATGAGTTTGAACATTAAATATCTTGTCTTTGTACGTTTATCACAATTTCCCAACTTCAACAGAATAGGGTTTTGTACATTCAAGCTTTGATTACAGGTACCACAGACAGACCCACGTCAAAATATCAGAACTATCCCTTTAAAAACTTCCACCAAACCTCCATCTGTTTCAAGCCATTTGACTCAAATGGACACCAAGAGACAAACAGATGCACATTAAACAACATAGTGATGAAGGGTCTGCACTGAACATCATCACAGAGATCAACAGTCAGCAGGTTTTAAACACACAACACATTTATGCTGTTAACAACCAGCATGACAGAAACGTGTAAACACAAGGACATTATTTCCTTCTCGTCTCAACCACACATACACAGGTGCATGCTGGGAACTGCAGAGGGGGGAGAGAAACAGGCTTACCTTCTACAGGGAGGAAAAGAATGGAGGAGAAAGGTAAAGAAAGGAAAAGGAAAAAAGAAAAACCAGGAGTTATACTGGCGAGCAAACAGAAAAGTAGAAACAGAAAGTAAAGAGTGAGTATTTTAAGAGAGGGTTGTGTAGGAAGAGTGTGTGTCTGTGTACCATTTGTGTACAAACAGGCACAGCAAAGCAAAAACGTGATTATCAGGATTTGAGGGTTTCTGGGTATAAAAGTAAGAAAACTGTTTAAATACGCCGTATATTCATCTACCTTGTTGGCCCAGGCGTCCTCGTCCCACGTGGTGAGCTGTAAGACTCGGATGATTTCGTTGATTTCAGTGCTCATCTTTTCAAACGTGAACTTGCGGTTCCTCTCCGCTTCCTCCACACCGGCACCTCGACTGCTTTTTGTCGCCACAAAAATCTTTATAGCTGAAAACAGAAACATACTTTACAATAAGACTGAGACAACAAATGGCCAATGAAACAAATACCTGTTAGATGTGTCTACATTATCTATTTTACAAATACCTGTTAGATATGTCTAGATTATCTATTTTCAGTGTGAAACAAAAAACTCTCGGCCAAAACCCTGAGAGAAAAAAGGATAATATATCATCAGTATGCTTTAAAATGAGCTGAAAACACTCACAGATAATCTGACTGCTTTCTCACACTTGGGGCAGGGATTAACACCATACTCCCACATATAGTCTCCCATATTGATGTGCATGTGTGAAAGGGTTTAGACTTCTCTTAGCAGACGCTAAAGTCTCCCCTGCCAGCCTTCATAAAGGTTTGGGTTTATTAGGTTAATTTATTTGCACAGTCAAGAAAAAGGTAAACACAATAGTGAGGGCTTTTCTCAAAACTTCACCTAAATAGTAAATTTGAAATAAAACCAAATTTGATATATAAAAAATGAAACAGAACAAAGCTAAACATCTACTAACACAGAATAAAGACAAAAAGCCTTAAAATAAATCACTGGAGTTTGAAAAATATCAATATCAGATATAGTCAATATCTAACACTTCAGAGTGATGGTCACTGGTTTGAGGGACCTTAGTCTTGGCCTCACTTTTTGAATGTAAATATTTTTGGGGTTATTTTCCTTTTTTGGAAGGTAAAGCTAAAGAGAGAGAAGAAATGTCAGCGGTAGAGGGTGGGGGAAGAAAAAGTCAAACCAGCAAAAAGGACAACTATCATAACAGTATTTGGCGTGAGCAGCACCCAAGCTTCACTTCACTTTAGAGACTTGCTGTTTTGTCAGCTTCTTGTTAACGATCTATACTTGAGATATCTTTAACAGACAGACATGTGACCAATAAAAGAATATTGATTGACATATTGACATACTGCAGCTTTAAATTGCTAGCTCACACATGATCCTGGAAGACCAAACTACTGGTACAAACATTGCATCACATTAAAAATGCATGTTTGAATTTACAGCCTGCAAAACCTGTAACAGTGTCTCTCCTCTTTGCTGCCGCAGAGCTCGGTACAGTATAAGAGAGCAGCTAGTGGGTGATATATGTGTGTGTGAGTGTGTGTGTGTGTGTGTGTGTGTGTAGTCAGTCTGACATCCCTAGCAACTAATGACTGTAATTATGAGTGTTGCTATAACAACAGTGGGTCCACTCAGACTCTGACCTGCACAGAGGTTTTCCCACACAGTCACAGTCACACACACACACACACACACACACACACACACACACACACACACACACACACACACACACACACACACACACACACACACACACACACACACACACACCTGATATGAGAACAGGCAGCAGCTCTTTGATGGTGTTCATGGAGGTGATCAGCATCTGTCTGTGCTCCTGGTGTGTGAGCTCCTGCTGCCGCTCCTCAATCATTTTCGACATTTTGGTCATCCCTGAAAGTCAAACGGAGAGATTAACGAAATTTAAAGAAAAAGCAGATACACTGGATTATTTTTCCCAGTTTTGATGCATTCAAATCATTACTTCTCAAACCACTGATTTCGGACAATGACAGCTTGATTGGGGGAGAGAAAGCCTTGGCATCAGATTTCCTCTGGCTCATTATTCCACAGCGCCCTGACAAAACAATTGACCTTTTACCTCAGATGATAAATAGCCTGTTTATGGTCGGGCTCTCCTGCCAGGGAAAAGACTTCATCACAGCGTCTTTGAAGCAGCGGTCAGCTGTTAATTTAGCCGGTCATCATGTCAGATGGCCCAGAGAGTAAACCTCAGGTTGACTGAGTTCAAGTTTTAATGGTGCTCCAATAAAATATCAACACTAGTGCCAAAAGCTGAGTGGAATAATCTTGTCTCATTTGAGCTATCACCCCACTATAGTCCGTAATGGACTGGCCCGAGGTCTCCCTACAAACAAACGGCTGCTGGAAGAGAGAAGGTGAGTTGTGTTTAGTCTCTTAGGTAAAATTGAAAAAGATGTTTGGTGGCTAGTGCTATGGCTGGGACCCTATATGTCCTGTTGATGAAGTTAGGTGCTGTTCTGAGCATTATTTGTGGCTATAGAGTTGCGTTTGGTTGAGCGCGTGGCTCTCTGTATTGCTATCTGCGGTTGTTACTAAAGTTGGTTTAACTCGAGAAGCAAGCAGTCGGCAACATTCATCTCTAGAGGGGGTGTCTAACTCGGTGTTACGGTGTGTTTGACCGTAACTTAATTTTACACCAGAATATCCCTTTAACCTTCTTTACACCCAAAGCTACAAATCAACTTTTGAAAAGTTTAACCACGATAAATTAAGCTTTGGAGTTTAGATCCCACCTGAATTGTGTCTGCCACTCTGTGCAGAAACTCAGTGAACAAACTCAAAATCTCTATGAGCCAGTCTTGGAGTGCTTTGAGGTGATCATTAACCTCTGTTGGCCAAACATTAATTAGTTAATTATCAATTAAATTTGTCGCTCGTGCTTTCTTCTGGTGTTGGTCTTAACAAAGACCAACATCAGAACCTTTAAGTTGGTGTACTTTCTGGATGCTTTCTCATCGCTTTGATATAGTAACTGGAGAAAAAAACCTCCAATCTCAGTCTCTGGTTTTGTCTTATTTCTAGTGAAAGTGTCTTACTGTGAAATGTCTTGGGTGTTACGTGCCAAAAACAAGAACTGAATTACTCGAGTGAGTAAAAAAATCTGCCTGTGGAATAAAAAAAATTGAAAATGTCTTATCACAACAGCTTGACCTGTAATTTTCTTTTATATGACTGATTTTGGTAAACATGTTGCAACCTCTTGTCTCCCCTCTTATCTCCAAACTTTTCCTTCAAACTCTCTTAACATCAAGTTAAATTTGCTTAAAAAAGGGGCCAGCACTCTTTATTTCAGTCCTGCTGACCTGGTCCCAGGTTCTTGGTGTAGGTGATGAGGTCCTCCATGGTCTCCACTACCTCAGCGACCGACAGGTACTCCAGGATACCTTTACACACTCGGATGATCTTCCTCACCTGGAGGAAAACACACCACAAATATAAACATGATTGAAAACATGAGATTCTTTCTCAAAGTATGGATCAAAAGCTGGTATGATGATTGGAGACAAAGATGCTTTTATTTATTCGGACAAAATTCAATGTGCATGTGAGCTTTTTATAGACAGCGTTAAAGAAAGGCTTTGATTTTGTTTGGTGTATCTGAGTACGTGTGTGTTTGTGTGTGTGTGTGTGTGTACAGTCTTGTGATGTGCGTCTTGTGACTGCGAGGAGTTGCCCTTTTAAAAAATGAGGCTCTTGATGAGACGTGGTGAGCTTTATCACGTGTCCAATGTGACTCTACTTACAGAGCTGCCATCAAACAGTCAACGCACAAAGACACACACACTGTACAGCTCTGTACATACCATATTTTTACACACAGATGCATGCACACACACACACAAACACACACCCCGAGTTACGACAGAGGGAAGTCATTTGATCTCGGTGATTAGATCTGGCTGCATCTGAGACTCCATTACAGACTCGCTCCTTCCTCTGCTCGGCTAAATAAAGCTTTATTTCCCTGAAAGATACCACACCTCCGAAGTAAGAGGGATCCTCAGGACACACTCAGGATACAAAGAGGCAAACACACACACAAACACACACAAACACACACACCTCAGCCTCATCGAAGGTAAGAAGCAGGTCAGACGTCCCTGACAGGATGCCTCTGGACCCATCGATCAGGTAATCTCGAGCGGGAACAGAGTATGGATCCGTTTTTAACATCTGAGCCGCCTGCACCAGCTTCGAGCTCGAGTTCTCCACCCTGAAAAAAAACACAGATGGCTTTAGAGGAGCAGTCAAGATCAAACTCAACATATGCCTTCACAGAAAACAGGAATTTATCACCTTGTAAACAAATAGATCAGATCTCATGCTACCAAAGATCTGGCTCTTGGTGTAAGAAGCTACTGCGTGTGAAATAAAGGCCTTTGAATTCAACGCACAACCTTTAAAGGTGGCTGCCTGCATTTTTATCACATACTAGGATAATATATCACCCCCTCCTTATTAAGATCGATTTCATTTTCATTTCTTGTAGTTTTTGTGCTGGTTTGGGCCTTAAATACAGAAACAAAGTCATGTTAAGTAGAGTTTAAACCCTGAAATTCAACCTGAGAGTCACAGATCATCCTCTTTATAATACAACAGCCTCTTAATTCTGCAAAATCTCTAAATTATTCCCTAATAAAACCAGAACGATCAAACTTTAAGGCTTTTATTTTGTAAGTAGTCTCCTCGAGGATCAAAGATTTAACCTGAAGGAGGTGACGGATTTTAAGGGCGCTTTAATAAACCCAAGTAACTCCTCTTTCTGACCCCCACTGGCCATGGTATCGATGGCTGCTGGTTCATCTATATTTAGGCTGGTTCACATTCCCACACGCCCCCCTCCTAAGCCCTGTGAGTGAGATTTATGGTGTAATGCCTTGTGTGTGTGCCAATAAGCCGGTGTGTGGATCTGCTTGAGGTCTGAACCCTTTTTCTTGAAACTGAAAGTCTAATTAGAAGTAAAAAATGAGAGTAAATCAGATCAGGGGTGCAAAAATCTGTATAAAAATCCCAGTTAAAGGATGAAAATCACTGCTGGGTGTCTGAATCTGTAGTTCGCAGAGTGTCAGCTCTCTAAGTTCATGTCAGCTCTTCTGGAAAACAACAAGTAGCCTCTCAGCGGTCTGGATGCTGGAGCCGGACATCAGAAGTGGCTCTTTGTTGTAGCTGGGAACGCAGCCACTTTTCCTGACATTAAACCGTCTGGAATCCTCTTTTTCACAAGTTCTCTGTCTGCTGAGATAATGTGCATCTTTTATATCATTTTTTCCATCTTCCTCTGGATTCCACTGCTGCTGAGACTCTGACTCATAAACGAGTCAGACTTACTTAATGAACGCAGGAGGCATGTCTCTCTTCATCACCTGGTCCTCGGTGGTTTGAACCGTCTCCTTCCCCACCTGAAACGCACGGAGATCCATTATTTATCTCATATTATCATTAGCTGCAGCGAGACAGGAAATCACATTCATGAGAGAACTATTTATAGTCTGAAGGGTGAACGGGTGTGCATCAATTCACACCTATTTCAACCGTGCGTGCATGTCATATCTCAGTGGGAGCTCTGGTTGACTGGGTCATCTGGTATTCAGTAGAGGGCAGGTCAGGAGAGACACGCTGCTCTAAGTTGACCCAACTCTTCAAAACGGAACAACCAAAACCTTCATCCTTTTATTTTATCTGTTTATGGAGGAGTTTGAGATACAGATCCAAGAGAGGACTTGTTAGAAGCCTCTTAAAACAGCTAAAATAAAGTTAAACATTCAAGAAAAACTCAGGAAACACTCGCAAGTAAAAGAACTTTTTAAAGAGGGACTGAAGAGTTCACGGACTTGATTGGCCTGATCTTCTCTGGTGGATTTTTCTCAGAGCTTTAACAGCAAACGCTTTGTCCTCTACAATTTTCAGCTGATATTTGGACCAGACAAGAATCTCTGAATGAATGTATTCAGCGGCAAGCTTTGGAAAAATGAAAGCAGAGTCAAAAACAGCACTACGCCACTAAAAAAAGAGTCCCATGTCCATTAGAGCCTTTATCAACTAACCCTATAATGATTCTGATTGTAAAACCCCAGAACAATGACCATAAATCCCCAAGAGGAGAGGATTTGAAACCAAGATTAGATGAAAATTTCCCTCAAAAGTACCAAAAATATTACCTCCTTGCAAGAACCTTTTGGGGAGCTAAATAAAAAGTTTAGTTCTGATCCTGGTGTCTAGATTTTATGGCATTGCAAGGATTGGAAACCAAGTTTACACTTTATTTTCCAACTAAAAGTACCAAGAACTAAATTCAAGGGGTTTCTTTTCAAGGGGTGAAAAGGTTCCTCTAGTACTCCAACTCTTTGTTGCATAGTAAGTGTTCTTAAAGCTGAGGGTACTCAATAAATCAAAAACATCCAGTCCTGTAAGTCCCTGTACTTTTGGGGGTGATTCAAAACTTCATAAAACTGGATGTAGACTCTATTCCCTGGAGTGGAGATGTACCGAGAACTTCGAACAGTTCCTGGTCTATAAGAAGAGTTCTTGCAGTGGAAATGCCGCTTTTGTCTCAAATTTAGCATCAGATACACAAACACTGAAATCATCACCCAACCTCCATCACGGTAACCGGATCCTTCACTCTCGGGTTAATCTAACTTACCAGTGTCTTTTCAAATTATTTCACTTTGACTGTTGACAATGTGGCAAAAACAAAGCTGGTCCTAAGATTCGGGACATAAATGATGGTTTCTGGACTCAGATGTGACAGTAATCTGATGAGCTTCATGTTGTCTATCGTAACCTTTGATGGAAATGTTCAGTTTAACGTGGTTTGTAACAAGTAAGCAGGCTAATGCTCTTTTAAAAGGTAGATTATTCTGATTTTCGCTCCTTTATTTAGAAAGGATATAACTGTAAATAGAGCAGTAAGCTGAGGGAGAGAGAGTGATAGGTGGGGAAGGTGCAGTAAGTTGAAATCCAACCAGGATAGCCTGCTGGGAGGAGATGAAGATGAGCAGTAGGCATGTCAGTGTCAATAAAGCTGAAAGTCGCCATACTCAAAGTGAAATTCAGGGTCTGCTTACTGTGACTGTGTTCTTTCTTTGTATTGAACAAACTCGACCCGACAGTCTTGATTGTGAACATTGATTTTTCTCTTAGAGTCACTTGATTTTTTCTCCTTCTTACCGAATACGACATTTCAGTTTTCTTCTACTGAGGTCAGACAATTCAAACCCCCCCGAGAGAGAGGACATTTATCCGTTCTGCAGGTTTTCCCTGTCTTGTCGAAGGAGGTGCATAAATCAAACACCAACAGCCAGAAACACACATCTGCACAAACACACACTCCTCTGTAAACACACACAAACACACACAGCAGGAAGACTCTGGTCACTTTTTCTGCAGATGTTCCTGCAGTGATGCAGCCGGTCAAAAAACACAAATCACATCCTACACTTCACACAAACACACACACACACACACACACACACACACACTTTTGAGATGCAATTACAGCAAGATGATGACATCAGTCTCTGGTGGCCGCGTCGATGGAAGTCGGTTAATAGACTTTCTGGCTCCAGAGACTCGGAGGCAGCGCGTTCAAACAAAACAGCCTTCACATGAGATCCATCCTCAGGATGACGCCTTGTCCTTTTCTGGTCATGCACTGAGGTTGGCAAGAAGTAACACACTGCAAACACCCAGTCAACAATAATCTCGTCATTTTCCTGCTGGTACACAAATATCATTAATCATGGCTGTGTTTCATTAACCAGAATCATAACAGCCGGTTCATCTCTGTGTGACTAATGCACACTTCATAAATAACTCTTATTTTGAAAGGAGAAAAAAGCCCAAGTCTTAAAGCATGAACTTGAACTAAACATTGGAAAACTTTATACGTTTGCAAGTTTACTTTTCTGACCTTAAGAGATTGAAAGTTCACATTGAAGTGTCTAACAGGTCAAAGACAAAGAAACTAAAGGGATTCTTTGCGTCTTGGTGAATTTCCTTGAGGAAGAAGTCCACCTTTAAAATGTGAGGAATGCAGCTCTGCAGGTCGAGCGCGGCCTGATGTAACTCAGAGTCACATCAGGTGACGGATCAAAGAGCTGTGAGAGTTTCCTGTCAGTGGCCACACTCAGCATCAATTACTCCATTATACATTTTTAATGAGACATTAAAGTGGACGGACTGATGTGTTTGTGGTTTTACAGCCTGATCGTTGAGGCTGCTTCAGCAGAAGGAAACAGCTGTCAATCAAAGCTGACACGATGATTAATGAGGTTTTATCTCAGACCCGCAGACATCAGCTCTTCTGCATTTACAGCTTTTATCTTTTATCAGCTCATTAGTAGATTTCACACACAGACACTCTGACACTGAGGTCAATTACGATCTTGGGTTCAAAGGCGGCAATCTCAACATGGACATGAAATCTGAGATTCAAAGTCTGATACTGTCTGAGGTTTTTCTCCATCTTTTCTCATTTCTCATCTCTTTTATTCTTTAAACTACTTTAGGAAAAGTCCTCTTACAGAGAAACTCTTTGATGATTTTTTAATATAAACCACTGAATCATTAATAAGGGGTAGGACACGCACAATTGAAACTAAGAGAAAAGAATTTAACGGTGGTTGAAATAAAGTCCTTGTTTGCTCTCTTTTAGCTCTGTTTGGTCACCACCAACTCTTAGCTGATAGATGCTTCAGTCAGTGCCTCCTCCACCTGCTGAATTCACCGCTCTACTGTCTGTTGATATCTATACGTAGTTTTTCAGGAATTTTGACACTAAAACGCAGCTTCCTGGTGCTGAACAACAGCTAGAAACAACAATATTGAGTATGCACTGTATAAAGCATGTTGTCTTTGAGGTATCACATTGGTTTCTGGAGAGACTTTTTGAAGCCAGAGATGCAGCTGAAGTGGACCTCAAGCATCCTGGCTACAAATACAGCACACTTGCCTGTCAGTCGATTCAGTCACGTCCTAAATTATGCAGGTTTATGTCGAACTTTTGGCCTTTAAAGTATCTCAACACAGATGTGTAATGACAATTGAACCCTGTGTAAAGTGTGTGCAAATAAAACTGATTTTGTGTCATTTTTGTCACCCCGTGTGGACAAAGCGATCTTTTGCTCATCTTCACTGATGGTCTTGTTTGCTTCTGTATGTCATTATGATGCATCAGTATCACAAGAGGTTTTAAAGGGTTATTCCGGCTTAAAATTAATTAAGGGTCAAACACATGGTAACACTGAGTTAGACACCCCCTCGAGAAATGAATGTTGGCGACCTCTTGCTTCTCTCATTTATACCAACTTAAGTAACGACCGCAGGATTGCAATACACAGCGGTCTGAGGAGCCATAAACAAACCTCAACCAAAACGCCACTCTATAGCCACAAATAATGCTCAGAACAGCACCTAACTTCATCAACAGGACATATAGGGTCCCAGCCATAGTACTAGCCACCAAACATCTTTTTAACTTTGACTAATTTCTTTAGCAAAGAGACTAAACACAACTCACCTACTCTCTTCCAGCAGCCATTTGTTTGTAGCTAGACCTCGGGCCTCAGAACATTCATGATTATTTCTTGATCATTTCCTTAAAGTAATTATGACCATATTAATCATTTTGCTCTGCAGACGCGGTAGTTCTTCTGCCTGAGCATCTCAGTCTGATTGTATTTCTATGAAGAAATTATGTGTTTTGACCCTAAATTAATTTTACGCCGGAATCTCCTTTTAAGTAAAAGACTTTTAATGCATGATAAATACAAACTCATAAAAACTGAGTTATTTTTAAAGCCATGGCAGCAGGGAGAAATACTTTTAATAACTAATCAAGTTGCCTTTTTTTTTTTCATTTAAAAAAAACTGTTTTAGACCAAAATTTTGGGAATGTATTAGCCAGGAGTGGATTTTAGACAGACTGAGAAACAGAGGGGACGCACAGCCGGAAACCCATCCTCAGTCTGCTGCCGAACAAGAAGAGATGGAGCATATTTACATCAGGGAGCAGTTGGTGTGTGTGTGTGTGTGTGTGTGTGTGTGTGTGTGTGTGTGTGTGTGTGTGTGTGTGTGTGTGTGTGTGTGTGTGTGTGTGTGTGTGTGTGTGTGTGTGTGTGTGTGTGTGTGTGCGTGTGCTGAGAGGGGTGAGGTGGACCATGAGGCTTGGCAGATTCTGGTCTGAAGACGCCAGAGACACTTTTTCTCTTCATTTAAAAGTAACAGTTTCTCCTCCTCTCTCCTCTTCTTTCCTTGGACTTTTCATCTCAATCTTCCTCAGTTTGTTACTCCTCTCCCTCTCTCTTTCTCTTAGTCAGTGTGTGGTTACTTCACTCAACGGTAAATCTATTTATTCCTTCCTCCCCCTCCCCCTCAGACATACCCAGGATCTCTGTTGACTCCTTGAGGAGCAGATTCTTCACAAACAGCACTGAGGCAGCTCCTTCATCAGCACAACTTCAGCGACACACTCTCTCACTTTCAAACAACTACAGCAGCAGCAGTATCATTCAGAGCTGCAGTCAAATCACTGTCAACCCACACACACCCTCTGATACATCCAGACTGACACCATCTTGTGTGAGTGTCGAAGTGTCTCAGTGACCTAGATATGAAAAGGCCCCCGACTCAGCCCACCCTGTCCGGGGTTAACAGTGTAATTGTATCAGTGTGTAGTTAAGACCCTGGGTGCCGTGGACAGTGTTACATCTCAGCTGAAAGTGTAAAAATGAATCAACTGTCTAAAATAAAGTATGTGGACTTGATCTTTAGGTTCATTTTACATCCAATTGAGTTTATCTACCCGGCAACAAACCCCAGCTGATTTTAAAAGCTCGGTACTCAAGCACCCACTGTGCTTTTCAACACCTCCTTATGAACCACTTCTTCACTCTCGCTCCTCTTATCATGGGACTGCACAACAACTCATCAGTGCTTCTTCATCTTCGCTCATGCAGAGGAGGCAAAAACGGCATACTTGACTCAATAGAAGTGCACATACTTCTGAAAAAAAGAAGTCAAATCTGGTTTGATTTAAGTTAACTGTTTTATAAAACTATTCCCCATGACAACTACCTAAAAGTGAAGCCAAAACATCCTGGGCTCTTGCGTCACTGTAGGTCATAAAGCCGACCTCTTCCATATTACCAGATGGGACTTGGCCAAGAGGATACCCCCAGTGCAGAAAGGTGGAGCCAGTGCAGAAGTGTGAATGTCCACTTGAGTCTGGCTTTAAACACCCAGGAAGCCCCATTAACATCCATGATTAAAGGGATATTCTGGCGTAAAATTAATTTAGGGTCAAACACTGTAACACAGAGTTAGACACCCCCTCAAGAGATGAATGTTACCCACCGCTTGCTTCTCTAGTTATATTAACTTCAGTAACGACCACAGGATAGCAATACACAGCGGTCTGAGGAGCCATAAACAAACCTCAACCAAAACACCACTCTATAGCCACAAATAATGCTCAGAACAGCACCTAACTTCATCAACAGTACATATAGGGTCCCTGACATAGTACTAGACACCAAACATCTTTTTAACTTTGACTAATTTCTTTAGCAAAAAGACTAAACACAACTCTCCTACTCTCTTCCACGAGTCCATCGACTACTGCGGGGTGACACAGCTCAAGGAAGAACATTAATGATCTTTACTTTATCATTTCCTTGAAGTAATAATCATCATATTAATCATTTTGCACTACAGACACGGTAGTTCTTCTGCCTCAGCGTCTCGGTCTGATTGTATTTCCTTGAAGAAATGATTATAAATGTTCTTCCTTGAGTTGTGTCACCCCGCTGTAGTCCATAATGGACTACACTACATATAAATCTGCGCATGTGGATTGACTGAGTTCAGTGACAGATCAGCTAGATGAAGCTGTTTTTCAGGGAGGCTTAATGCACATCCCAGCTCCACGTCTTTGTCTGCGTCTCTGTTGACTGAAAGTTAAGTTAGGCCATTGATTCCAAGATGGCAACGTCTTTTCAGAAACAAATGGAGATCTGTGACCAATGAGGCTCCTGTAGGACTGCGTTTTATCAGAGAAGAAGAGGAACTATATGATAAAATGTGACAAACTCCAATTCAAGAGTCACAAATCTGTTCTGCTACAACCACAGGGATGTTTTTTTTAGTTTGTTGAAGCTGATTCTTGAGAATTTTTTATAAATAGGACAACTAAAACAAGTCCAGTAATGTTTTTTGGGGGGAAAGGGTGAAAGAGATATGCATTAATAGATGACGGCTTGTCGTTTAACCTACGACCTGCAGCCTCTGTATACAGGGTTCCTAATCTGTTGATTGCATTTGGCCTGAGCCAGCTCTGTCGTCTTATTGGTGAGTTAAACGTGTTTTGGTCAGGGGCAATTCAGTGAGTCTGTCACATGTATTCTAGTTCCGTTTTTGCACATTGGGACGTGGTTGGGATGCGACGTCCATCCTTATAACAGACAACAGAAACAGCAAGATTCTAAAAGACTTTATCAAGCCTTTGAAATGTTAGGGAAAGTCTGACATCTAGGTTACATTTAAGGGCCTAAATACAGTAAAAGTCAGTACAAAAACTTAAACTATAGGAGCTAAATTTGAAGTGTTTTACCTCTGTGTCTTTTCCAGTCTGTGCTGCTTTCTTCTAACCCTCTAACTTACTTTTCTCTGTCAAACTTTCAATGGCGATATGTAAACAAAGGCTCTTTACTGTATTTAGACTCTGTGGAGGCAGTAACAGGCGTTCAGAATAACTCAAAGGATATCCCCGTCTCTCTGATGGTCTGGTTTGCTTTTATAGCCCATAAAGGTAACAGTATCAGTGTTTAATGAAGCTACTTTGCAGCCAGTTATAATGTTACTGTATGATTATGCACTGTGATGAATTATTCATATCTCATTTGCCACCACTGCTTATGTTTTCATACATAGTCCAGAGGGTCCAAGAGTGTATATTAAGTCAGCAGTAAATCTGAGCATTGACATCTTTAAAGTGTATCCTACTTTTCCTCTTCTCTACCCTTTCTCACTGTGTCCTAAACCCTTATCTTTTCTTGTCTCCTCACATCTCCATCATCTAAGACCTGAGCGACACGCCTCGAGCTGCTATTAGCCTCCTTCTGCTCTCTGTCTGAAAGGATCAACTGAGCGGATCATTGAGGACGAGCGGAGAAAAGAGAGAGACGGAGAGGTGAGCCCGGCGGCGATGAGATATGGGGGACGTGCTGCAGCTGGATTGTATCGCACAGAAAGGAGGAGGATTTTTTTATTAGGATGCTACAGTGTACTGTCCCCTTTTTATCATCTGTTAATGAGAAATTTATCTGTGTGTCCTTGCAGGAACTGTTAGAAAAGTTTGAAGAGGCTGGAAGTTCTGGAGGGTTAAATTCACTCAGTCCAGGCAAAGAAAAGTGGAGTTCTGACTTTCTCTTCCTATAGTTTGTAATCTTTGTTTGCAAACCAATTTATTTATAGTTTCACATGCCATGAAGGGAGAAAGTCACCAGCACTACAGAATAATCTTGCTAAAACATAACTACCTTCCATGTTCAGATTTGCATAATCCAAACGGACTTGTCCCACATCCAAATCCCACGGACGTACCCTTACACGTACTTAGTAATATTACAAAATGCATTGAGTTATTGGATAACATTTTTGGATTAGGCCAACCGCTCTAATCTTCGCATGACATGAAAATTAAAATGTATTTGTATATTTTAGAAAGAAAGTCCAAGAGAGAACAGGAACGGTTTATTGTGAGTGCCTGAAAAGCACAAAGGGGATTCGCTCTGGCCGTGAGCAAAAGTAAGATACACGAAAAGGAATGAAAAAGAGGAAGCTGTCATGATTTCCAGGTTTTATAAGTTGTGTTTTACTAAAATATACTTAAAAACTTATGTGGCAAACTTCTTAGTCAAGCCTTTTAAGCCGCCAAGGCTCCACAACATCGAGCTTTCTGCTGTTACTCTCAAAAAAGGGCCTTTACGTGTTTTTTTGGGCTCCAGAAATAACCATGATAATCCTAAAAATCATGATTGTTACACAAACTGTAATCGTCCCATCCAAATCTCTAATCACTGATTCTCTACTCGGCACAAACTCTTTCCTCACAGCTGTTTTTGGACGTCAACTTTATGATACGCCTCCACAGAAGAGCACATTAATGTATCGCATATATCTCTCTTCCCTAGAAGTCAGTCACTGCGTTTCCTCCTGCGTTAAAACACTGGATCAGCTTTATCTCTTTTATGTAGATAAACTTCTTTTTGTGTGTTGTCCTTCAAATGTCTTCTTAATTTCTTACTTATTTTTGTTTTTGTTACAAATTTACTTTAATTTATTTGGTCTAGCAGGCATCTCAAAACCTGCATTTACAGATTTCATTGCAACTCCCACACTTTGCGACTCCTTCTGGCTCACATTAACAGCTTCTTTTCTCCCTTTTCTGGCTCCACAGTTAAAGTATAAATGAGTGAGTGTTTCGTCTGCCGCTGATTTCCCCTGACTGAGTGAAGCCCGCTCACCCCTGCATCAATTACAACGACCTGAACTGGCATTAATGATGTGGACGGTATTGATTTTTCTGGTCAGTGCACACAGAGGAGACATCAGGGTCTTTCTATATGAAATTTAGAGTCAATATGACAGAGAATAAAGGGGGCAAAGGAGAGGGTATGGGGTGAGAGGGGGAGTAAACTGGGACAAAAGATAGAGGATGGAGAAATGTACATGAAGGTTTGAAAAATGACCAGAGAGGATCTATTGTCTGAGGAGGGTACGCTTCCATTCATGAGATGATTTTTTTTCTCTCTCTTTTGTCCCACAAAACTGCAAATCCTGCAACAATCTGAGCCGCTGTAATAAACCTACAGTAGCCCTCAAGTGACATTTCCCACCAACTGTTAATCACCCCTCCTGTTAATTCAATCTGCACTTCCTTCTGCCCCACAAACTTCATTAAGCTCTGAGGCCATCTGATGAGCTCTCAGGGTTCAAGTTTGACATGTTTGTGTTGCTGCAGCAGAAACAGGCACAAGCCTCAGCATGGGTGTGTGACAGTTTTATATCGTTTGAATGGCGAGGAGGGAGCAAGACGGTGTAAATCTACCTGGAAACCAGCCCTGAAACAGAACCACCTGCTCCAGGTTGAGTGTGGGGATCTGATTTACGGCTGTGACCCGATCAGACTCTGATTGAAGCAGGTTTTGAACTTTGAATGATAAATGTCACTCTGAGCTTTGGAGGGATCTGACGCCCTGCATGGGACTCACCCGCACGAGGTTGCTGACAGCCGCCTGCACCGCGGCCACCGGCACCGTCAGATCCGGGATGGCTTTACCGTCCACCTCCCCCTCCTCGTGCATGATGACCAGGTGGGAGATCTGCTGGGCCACCGGCTCCAGGATACTCTCGATGGTCTTGGTGTGAAACACCGGCATCGTGAACCACTTTTACCGCAGCCCTGACTGAAGAAAAGGCGGCTGGTCGCTCCAGATCCAGCACTGAAGATCCCCCCCTGTCTCCTCTTCCTCCTCTTCCTCTCCTCTCCAATCCACGCAGGAGGACAAATCCCGAGTTGTCAGTCCAGCCCCTGGGACGTATCCCTCCCCGGTACAAGCTGGACTCAGACGGTCGGTGTCCTCCGGTGGGAGCGACCCAAATCGTGACAGACGGAATCACCGCCCTCCGGCCAATCACAGCCGAGGAATACAGCTGCCAAGCGGGTTGGTGTTGGTGCGCATTGACGCCCCTCCATCCCTCCACCCCCACGCACAAACGCACACATTTCTCTTGCACACACACACACACACACACACACACACACACACACACACACACACACACACACACACACACACACACACTGCAAGTGAAAGCACTTCCCAAATGACGTCATGCATGTCAGTATCCCCAAAAAGGAAAGTGTTGGAGAAACTTAATGGAGAAAAGATTGGGGTTTAAAGATGAGAGGAGAGGTGATATCTACAGCAGGAGAGACTGTGAAGATGATGGAGTTTAATGAAGGTCAGATTCACATCTGTGCAATACTGGAGAGAAGAGGAGGAGGAGCTGCTGCACAGGTACCTGAAACATCAAGATATACCCAATGCTTTTGATTTTAATTCAAGTCTCCAACCTGTATTCTTAATGTTGCTCACTTTAGATTCATGACACTTGTTTATTTATTTCTACAATTTTCAATTTTATTAAAGGCACTATGAAGAGTTTTTAATTTGTTGAGAAACAGACTGAAATTGATACTGATGCCTTTTCATGGCCTCAAAAGATACACAAGACCATCTACAGCATGGCTGATCATTTCTCTGAGGGGGTAGGTGTCAGACCAGGTGACTAAAGAGGGTGACTGAGTAATATTTGTCATGTTTAATAGCTTTTTCAGAAGAGTATGGTGGCCCAGGAGGTAAATGGCATAAATATTTCAGGACTGCAATAACTGAATATTTCACTCACCTTCAAAAACCTAAAAAAACAACAACAAAAAACCTCACTTTTTTAAAGTTCAATACATTTTGAAATGATAAAATACTTTTAAAAAATATTTTAAAAAATCTTCCCGTTCCCCAGATCACTGCTTTATCTGTGTCCCTTTTGTAGCATTTACCTGCTCATTCACCTGAAGTGCCCCTTGTGGTGATTGTGGGAGTAACAGAACAAAACCTCAAACAATAATATAGATAAAATGGCTCATACAATGTCTTTAAATGTTGAAAGTGTAGTAGAACCAAACTACCTGACAAGTGCTTTAATTGTATCCTGGCAACAGTCACAAGTCTTTTTTTTTCTTTAAATCATATTTTATCTTACTTAAAATAAATAAATGTGATTGCACATGTTTACCTGAAGTGTATTGGTATCTATTCTCTTATCAAACCCAGTGAACATATGGTTAGACTTTTTTTATTTAAAGGTACAGTGAGTAGAAATAGGAATATTGGTGATACCTCGGAGGGTTGCTGTCAAGTCAATTCAGTATGAGCCTCCATTCGTCAAGTTTTACCTTGAAAAACATCGATCAGGACCTAATTTACAGATTCAAATGTAAGACTGATGCTTTAAAGATTTAAAAGTGCTGTGCTGAAAAGGATAATTGACTTCAGCACTGAAAAACTGAAAAAATAATATTTTGAGGTGAAGGGATGGTTTCGTTTCAAACTTTTATCTTTCATTCTGCAACCTTCATGTCTGTATTTTGCTTTCAGAGCGTAAGTGTAGCTGAATGATCTATTTTTCAGATCTTAAAAGCTGCTCCACTGTCAATTATTTTGTAATTTGCTGAGTGTTTCTGCAATAACTCAATAGCGCAGCAGAATTTGTAGTTTTTTACCATCATCATAAATATCACCAGTCTTGTGTTAGCTCTTACAGTATCTTGTGTGTTAGGATTCTGCACCAGAGTCTGAAATAATGAACCAAGCTCTCACTGTTTCGCTGTTTGTTTTTTTTTTTTTTTATCGAGCTTCAAACCTGCATCTGACACATGATCCATGTTCATTAAAAGGTGGGTCAGGAGTTCATGTCTCTAGACCTAAATGTCCAGGTCTAAATAAAGACTGAGGATTCGCATTGCTTGCTGCTGCTGGCTGAAGGAGTCTCTGCAGAAGGACGAAGACTTCCAGACCCTGAAACGCTCCCACATGCTGGTTCTACAACTGCTTCCCTGTATCAGCTGTCCCGCCGGTTTAACACCCACCTGACAGGTTGCACTTGTAGTCGTAAGTGCATTAATCTCCTATCTGTAGTAATTACGACAAAAGGGTTAAAATGGTGTCACTTGAAGGTGGGGTGTTGTCCCTGCTCTTCAGATCTGAATCTGTTTTGGGGAAACTGGAGACCCCAGCAGCTAAAATAGAGGTATTTATACCCCTGAGAACTGGTGTTGACCAAAGAGTGAGCAGTGAGACCCTCCTGTGTATATGTGAGTGTGAAATTATGTGTGTGTGTCCTCAATGTGGGTGCAGACAAACAGCTATAGAATCCAAACCAGCCAGACTGGACCCTCTGGTCATCCAAGTCAGAATATTTACTGCCCTGTCCTCCTTTCTCTCTTCCTCTTCCTCAGATATTGTCCTTAAAGAGAGGTAAGACTCGTACTTGCAGCATCTCAAATCCATATATGGATCGACGCAGCGCAGAGGAGCAGTAAAGTAAACTGGGGTCTGTGAGTAATCGAGGGGGGATAGGATGAACTGTGTTTGGCCTTCGTAGCACTGCTGCAAATTGTCTGTATATGTGGACTTGTCCAAACAGACTGTGATAGAGAGCATTGCAGGAGGTTGCTCAGGGAGGTTCTCCAGCATTCCTAATCAAACGGCAACCAACAGGGCTGAGAAATGAATTAAGTGTTAGAGACTGCAGTTCCCCCTGTGGCCACTTGGGGCTTGCTCCAAAAGTGAGTCAGGCCCCATCTGGCCTCATTATTCTGAATGGAAGACAGGTCATAGAGATGAGAAGACCAGTCAGTTTCAATTATCAAGTACAGGAGATGAAAGTGTACTCAGTTTTGGAGCCAAAATGCCAAATGTGATGTTTTACCAAGACATTTGACAAATCAGTGATTGATTGTACCGACTGTCTTTCATATGAGCATTAAAACTTGGATTGTATTCGGCCTCGGGGTTCAGTCTATTGGTCCAATGAGATGCCAGTGCACCAGTCTCATCAAAATACATTTCCTCCACGTAGTCCTCAGCCGAAAAGTGGTCGCTGCACACTCTAGTATATATGCTAACAGGTGGATCCTGAAGCTCCCTAGCTGCAAACCAGAATCGTTTCATCACCGGACGTTTCAGTGGCGAATTATGAAAATGCAACAATTTTTTTATTTCTTATGTTGTAAAATACGCTGGAGCAGCCTGGCACAAAGGAAAGTACCCCTCCTCTGGTGAGATTACTCGTCTTCGGCTCTCGATTCGCCGTTTCAGCTATCCTAATCTGCTCTCATTCCATTGTCAATATGCGGGCTACACAAACGATCACGTCACGCAAAGTGACACTGCCAAAGTGGGACTTCTATCACAGCTTTCTAAGATTGTATTACATCTGAGAGTCATGAATACAGTGATTTATGAAGTCGATGGGTATTCTTAAAAATAATAACTTGGGTCAGTGTTTCATGTCCTCTTTTAAGGCAATGCGATAATATCTATGCGATCCCTCAGTTTGGCTTTTAAACATGTATTTTCGCTGATTGAGGGAGTGTTCCCAGGACATGTGTCTCTTTGTACGGGAGGGGGTGCGAATGTTGGAGGTATTAGAAAGAGAGGTGTGAGTCAGTGGACAACTGAACACATAAACACTCGCTCCTTCCTGCTGAGAGTTTCCTGGGAATGAAAAGTCGTCTGACTTCACACTCAGCCTCCCCCTCTCTGCAGCAGAGCCGGGGTTGGTACAATGCTGCATATGGATATAAACTACAGTCTTGCTGAGTCATACAATACCTATTCAGACTGCACAGACGCATTAAAAAAACTGGACTGCAGCTGATGTATGTACACCCAGTCCACTCCACAGATATTAACCAGATTGAGGATGCATGACAAGCTCTATGATGGCACAAATAATTTTAGTAAATTAAAATAAATACTGAAAGTTAAAGAATTAAGTCATGAATAACAGAAGTATTGTATTCAGTTTGCAAAGTTTGATTCATACATGAATTTCTAAGATCATTGCAAGGATAATTGGAGGTTGACTAGAGATCAGGGGTTGATACAAATAGTTCATTGACATAATCCAAAAAATCTGCATCTTATTTTCAAAGGCAAAGCTGAAAAATGAAGAGATACGAACTGTTAGAATCCCTCATGTCTGCTCTGACTCCACTGAGGAGCAGCAGTCACACCTGCTCAGGCTGCAGCAATCAACCACAGGTGTAGCCACTCTGGCCTGATCGGGAGTCTATAAGGACTCCTGAGCCCAGTATTCAGTTTGCTCTGCTGCTGACATGTTTCACCCTGGCTGTCAAGTAAAAGTAAGTGCTGTATAATGTATTTGATTTATAGACTGTTTTGAAGACAATTTAGTTGGTTTTTATATTTTTCCTTCTTTGTTAACAGAAAACTTTACTTGACTGCTTGTAAATAAATCCTTTAAATTGGAACCTCGTCTTAAGTTGATTGATTCCTCAACTTCCATTGATGTTGATTGACTCCAGTCCAATCAACTACCTATCATTTAAAATATGAACAATCAAAAAAGCCATCCAAATCATATTTACATCCTGTTTCAGAGTCTTCGTTTATAGGAAAACTGGAAGGCGGTATAAAAAGTTGAAAAAGTTTTGCATCTGAATTCGTCTTTTTCAATTTAAAGAGTTTAATTCAGTTTTGATAAAAAAGACTCCAAACTTTTTTCCCTTTGTTAATGCACAGTTGTTTTATGTCTTCAGTAGTGTTTGGGGGACTGAGCCACTCTCATGTTTAATGTTACAGCAGCGCCCTCAAGTGTTTGACTGAGGAACTCATTTTGCATAGCCAGTCTGAGCTGAATTCAACATAAATTCAATATGAACCCAGATTCTCTTCAGCGCTGCATTTCTGCTCTTATTTCCATGTCTTTTATATCTCACTAATCAGACGCACCTTTGTGTTTTTTGCAGATACACACTGTTCCTGTTTGGACATGCAGAGTGTTAGTTAATCCTTTTACAACTCATAAAGGAGAGAAAAAAGAGCAATAATTGAGACAATAGTGTGTATAAATACTTTATTTATTTGAGAAATTAACAGCAAGGCCAGCCTTTTCCATGAGGTAATGCCTCTTTAAATGAGAAAACATAAATAAGCTTACTTAAAACTTAGAAAAATACACTCTTAGAATTAAAAATCAAAAGATATAAAAGCTTTTAGGTTACACACTATGTACAACAAAGAATATTATAAAAAATACATTCATGTTGAACCGTTCCAGTAAATCTCCAAAGTGCAAACTGAAATTTCTCAGCGCAAAAATAAAAATACACTGCAAAGTAGCAACAAGCTCACATTATAAGGAGAGTTCACAAAAAACTGTCATCATTTTTTTCCTCAAGGAATCAAATGCCCAACAAGTGAGATTCCATCACAGCTTCATTTCTGAGGAAACTTGAGTCCTTCTGTGTATTTACTGAGACCCGTTTTTGCTGCGATCCACTTGTTATAGTTGGAAACCTGCGTGTAGACACCCGGTTTGTTCTCCTTGGCGCAGTTGTCCCCCCAGCTCACCACCCCGAACAGAAACATCCGCCCTGCAGCCTCACACACCAGCGGACCACCAGAGTCCCCCTGCAGGGAAAACAGTCAAATTACAGCTTGAAACATGTTGCAAAACGTGAAAGTTAGATAACAACTACCACTTCTTCTCTAGCACGTATATTTCTGCACATATGCACCATGAAACTACGAAGCTTAAAGTTTTTTCTCATGTACGTTTCTGACTTTGTGAACTTCCTCTTTCTGCCAAGAACACCCAGAAATATCTAAACATATTTTGGGAACTGGAATTGAAACTGCAGACTATTAAAAATCTGTGGGAGTCTGGGCTGGACCAAACTTTGAGACTTTTGTGAAACAACTATCAAACAAAGTGGATGTCAAAACTGGATGCATTTGTAAGCGGTCATAAATGTGCTTATGATGAATCATAAGAGGTGGGTTCATATAAAGTTCTACCATGTTTTTTCTCATGATTGTTGTGCATTCTTTCTCCATCCATCCAGTAATGTCTGCCTTTTTCCACAGGTTACCCCCCACTCACACTGAGACAACCGTTTTTAGCTCTTTTCTTACATTGCAGGCGTCCATGCTCCAGTCAGGGCTCCCAGCACAGAACATGTTCTTCGTGATCAGATCTCCATAGTATGACTTCCTTCTGCATTCGTTCCTAGAGATCAGGTTGACCTCGGCCTGTTTCAAGTACTGCGAGTAATGCCAAGCCACTGCAGGACACAGATTACAGAGTGTAAGAACGACTGAAATGTTTAAAAATCTCCATCTGTTGGTTAGAGTATCTGCAATACATACAGAATTTCTCCCTCCCAAACCCTGCGATGCTGCACTGGATTCCTGCAGGTAGTTGAGTGTGAAGTGGAGGGAGGCACACAGTCCGAGCTGATGAGGTCCTCACTGCACATCCTCCGTTCCTGCTTTTGATCTTCAACAGAGCTGAAATGCAAAGACAAACACAGTCCTTATGCTCGCCTAATGCGCAATTTTTCTTCCTCACTCAAAGGCCTTGTTTCCACCGAAATTAGCCAGAACTTTTGTCTTGTGTTCCTCTTTCCACCAAGGTTTAAAATCTCACGAAAACAAGGACAATAATTCTGCTGAGCCAACCTTCAGCACTTTATTGTACATTCAGAAAGTACTGCCTCGTTGGAAATGTTTTGGTTCCCCCTAAAGCCCTTAATCCCAGGTAGAAGTTCCTGCACTCCAAATAAAGCTGATTTCATTACCTAATCTCATTTAACTCACCTATGTCATTGTCAAAAGTGGACTCATTGAAGTTTTGGTGGAGGATCAGTTTTTCCACAGTGAATCTCTGCTCCTTGTTACTATCGGTTTCATTGATGGCTGACTTCCCCAGGTAAACGGACAGGCGCCTGATGTTGGTTCGATTACTGAAAAACACAAATGGTTAATAACTACTCTGGAGCGCAAACATATAACATCCACCAGTGAGTCACACTTCCATGGAGGAAATAACAGTGTGATGTGTTTTCTCACCCATCAGAAAAACAATGTGCAGCCGTGACAACCCAGCACGGTGCGATGAGAGAGCCACCACACAGGAAACCACTGCGCTGATGAAAGAGAGCAGCCACCCATGGGTGAGAGTCTATAGGTGTGAAAGAGCCACCTACGATTTTATACAGCCTCCGCTCAGACTTTTCACCACAGGTTTCCTCTGCAGGGACACAACGGACAGGTCAGCAAGTGCTGCTAAAAACCACCACAGCGTGTTAAATATATATAAATATATGAGGGACTTTAGACAACAAACCTGTGTCCACTTCCACTGCTGCTGGAGGTTTAGCTGATACTGAGGAACCTGTTTGGGAGCAGAAAACGGGGATTAAAAAGATGACCTAAACCAAAAAAAAATATATACTACATTAAAAAAACCCTCCCAATCTCTGACTTACATCTGGGAATGTCACAGAATTCTCTAGCAATCTTGTTTCCTCGTCGGACAGCGCACCAGGGCATCAAACTCTGGTCAGGATTCCTGGAATTGAAACGCAAACACATAAAACACATGAAAACTAATACGGGGGGATCAATCAGTGTAGGCCCCAAATATAAAAGATCTTTATGCCGTAAGATAGGACAAGATATGTCGCTATTTGCTGCTTTAATACACGGTGTACATTATAATGCTGTTGGATTCAATTAAATGCAATTTATCATTAAATATTGAGTGAAATTTGTTGTAATATGATATGATATATGATATGATATGGTATAGTAATTTGATTGAAGCTGATATAAAAAAGTTTAAGTCCTGGTACTTATCTTAAGAAAACCTTAACAATACTGAGGATACAACAAAATATGATAGGGTATTATAAGATACCATAATATGACATTAAATAGGTTCCTTGAGAGTGTATTTGTTTTTTGATTTTAATGCTCCACACTTTAAATTAGGGGTCACAAGTTAAACCGTACCTGCAGTAATTATGGTCACCGACTCCTTCTGAAGCACCCCAACGGTTGTAAAACCTGTTCCAGCTGAGACACCTGCTGCCATAAGCAGACTCCGACACAAATCCCCTGTAGCTGCTCCCATCTCCAGACCGACACAGCTCTGAGCATCACATCACAAAGTCAAACAGGATCATTAAATATCTGTTATAAAAAATTAAGAAAATTATAAGCATATTTTTCACTGACAGTGCGCTCACCAGTCTTGGAGCTTTGGGGCTTAGGTTGCCATCTCCTTTTGGACCATTTTCGTGAAAAAGCCTGAAGAAAAGATCAGATAAATACAGTTGAGATCGATTTATAAACCTTCTATGACGATTTAACTTGAATACACTCCTTCGTAATGTTGCTTACCGCATCAACAGTCAGTGCAGCCAGTGCAGTGAGGATGACTAACAGTTTCATCTTCAGTTCTGCTTTTGCTTCTTCTTATTTGGGATATTTTTGTCAACCTGAAAAAAAGGAATACAGAAATGGAACTAAACATGTGTGCCTGAATAAAGAGCATCTATGGCCTTATATGGACTTCATCTTCAAGCACATGACAGGGCAGACACATGTGTGTGTCTGCTGAAGAAACATGAATCCTGAAGTAAGAGTTGTCTCATGTGCACATCACACAGTGTGCTCTGTTTCTATCATACAGGGTGAGACCGTGCTGTAGAGGTTTGAACGTGCGAGATATAGTTTGTGCGCTCTGTTCTGTAAACATTTGTATCTGTACAGTGAGTTTAGTATCAGTTTAGGCTCGCTGATTGCTGCACCACGGTTATTCAGTTTCACAAGAGCGTAGAGTTTAAACAGTGATTCTTTTAAAAAGTATTTCTGGGTCACAGTATTAATTTTATGACGTAGATAAAATGGTTAAAGTTTGTTTTTCATGCTTCATTTCTATCAATAGACATTTGATGTGCACTACTACAAATTTTAAGTTGGACAAGTCTTTCTCCTCGAAATCCCAGTCCCTCTGTGAGTTTGTTATTCATAAATCTGTCATCTTTATTCTGCAAATCTACTTTTACCATGTCAATCAATCAAAAGCACTGCATGGATTAAGCAGCAGAAGAGACATTTATTTCACATTTCTCTTATAGAAACGGTGTGGAGTGGTGTGAAATCAGTCTAAAACTTTCCCATCCTTATTGTGCACAATAGATTTTATAATATTATTCTACTCTGTACACATAGATTATAGACAGTATCAGCTACTGTCATGTACTGCACAGATTATAAGACCCTTTTGATATCATGTTATTAAAGGAAACTTCACCATAGAAAGAAACAGACAACATTTTTCCAAATGTGAGAGCAGAAAAAGCTTTGTCAGAGATGTATTTACCTGTAAAGTCCAGAATTGTTATCCCGATGAAGCTCTCTGTTATTTCTACCTGCTGAGGTGACCTCTGATTTGCACCTGTGTTGTGTCAGGAGGCTCTGAGTTGCTCTGGTGTGTCAGTGCTGATCCTCCCTGCTCTCCCTCACATTTAAAAACACAGACTACAGTGGGAGGAGTTTAGGGGACGGTATGAAAACATTACTTGGTCGTAGTTACTGATCTGCAAAGTCTGAGTCCGAGAGAATTTGTCACTTCCTCTGATACAGTCACACTTTACACCCCCTCCACCCTTGTGAACCACAGCAACACACTTAGGAAAAATACATATATCCATAATTGGTCATTTGTGCAAGAACTTCTGCAGAACTTGTCTGTATATAAAAAAACACATCCTGTTTAAATCAATAGTTACAGGTAACTGATTACAAAACATGACTTGTGTCACATAGCCTTCGTATTTCTAAGTAAAAGATATTCGGGTTTTAACACCTGTCTAATTTTGTCTCATCAAATACGCACAAACTAAAGTGACGACGTAAACTTGCAATTTCTTCATCCTAAGGTATTTGAGGTATCTGCAGTCTACTCAAACTAACATGCAGCCTAGATGTTCGCATAGAAGACAGATGGAAAATAAGAATAGAACTTTAGAAAGTATGTGAAGTTTAAATGAATGCAGGTAATGAAGCAAAATAAAAGTCAGTTAACATTTCTTTTACACGATGCAACATGAGTTCACATTTAGAGAGAAACAACAGTTGCATAAATTTCTCTGTTAGTTTATTCTTGTGACCTCTGACTTGCTCTACTTCCCTTTACCTCTTTAACCTGCTGATATTAAAATAAATAATGACCAGTCTCAAACATTAAAACTGCTGGTATCAATCACACAAAGTTTGGTGCATTGTGTAGAAATGAGAATATACAGTGATGTCTTAAATGTCATTAGATTCTAGTCTGCAGTCCTCCCTTGCTCACCCCTGACATTAAGTGGTGGTGGCCTCAGAGGACAAGAAACCCCCCCTGGTGTGTTATGAATCCTTCTATTTCCCCTGTTCTTCCCCTTCATTTCCTGACCAGCGTATATGAATTTAAAAATATGAATACCTGTTCCTGTTTGTTAGTCCTGTGCAACTGTAGAAATATGGCGATGCAAGATGGCATCCAACTCTTTTGTCGTGATTTAGGCTCATTCTTAATTAACAAAAAATCTGGATTCATATGATCGTTAATGTCGCTTCACAAACAGACAAAACAGAGCAAAAAGATAAGATTGAAACATCTCTGCAGTGTAAGATTCAGTGATATTAGTGAATCTATTCGAAGACAATGCCCTGCATAAGTACCGGGATAAGGTACATCCTCTTGAATCATCTTCCTGTTACCACCTGCATGATTAATCACAACCATCCAAAAGCATGTATTCCTGAAACTTAAAGAATCATTCATTATAACTAAATGACTGAATTTTAATCATTTCTCAACTCTTAAATGTAGCTGGAATCATACGCAGCTGTTCTTTAATAAATCATCAATCTTAAACAAGTATCTCACACAACTTCCCACGAAACGATCAGCACTTGATGATGTATGGGGATTTCTAGACTCAGATCTCTGACTCTTGTGTTACTCACGTTTCCTCCTCTTTGAGTTAAACAATAGGCAGATATGACATCTTGGAGCAGGGCCGCAGACTGGAAGTCCTTAAAGGAAGAGATAAACTCAACAGGCATGATGTCAAGTGAGGAAGCATGAAAGAACTTGAACTCTGGGCATTGCTTGATTTATTGACTGCAGCCAGCTCAGATAAATCAGTGCTCACCTCACACAGCTGTTGTGACTTTATGTTGCATAAATGTTGCCCAACTAAGGGGAACCCTGATATTTCTACTTGAAGACAGCTGCATCAAAGACTGTTTGGTCATGCAATTTTGTCTTTACGCATTCAGGGTGCTTGAGAAAAATGGTACTGACTACCTGGGGCTATAGTGGAGGAATGGGACCCTCAATTGACCCAACTCTAACTAATGACACATAATAACTGTAAATGCACAAAAAGGTTAAGTCCGCCCTGCCTAAAGAGTGAAACAACTGATCTTGAGGGACCATATCTCCCCCCAAAAGGAGAGCCAGGATAAAAAAAAAAGAAAAAAAAAAATCTGATTTGTTTGAACTTGTTTTTGAGATGAGAGAGAAGAGATGTCAACGTTTTAACATTGGTTAAGAATTACACCAGCACTTTAATTTTCAGGTATTCAGCCGGTAAACTGACTTGGATTGAATGACCTTTCCATGATGGAGTTGAATATACCTCTGAATTGAGTAAGAATGATTCAAAATTACTATAGTGTTGTGGAAAGTAGACAAACTGGAAGAGCTTAGCTCTTTGACGTTGCACCTACGTGTAGTGGTCAGTAAATATGCCTGCCAACAATTAGGACCTGAATCAAATTTTGGAGGAACCCTGTTTCTGGGGAATTTTGGCCTCCCACCACTGACGATTGGACCTTGTCATGGATCAGTACCATAATATAATGGAACGTAGACGCAGCTGAACAGATGAGCCCCTCAAAGCAGTACCTTTATGTGGTTGTTTAGCAAGTCCAGTGTCTGGATCTTTGAATGGTGCCCATGTGGAGCTGGAATTAAATACCATCATGTGCTGGGGGTTAGATCCACAACACTACATGGGACCTAGCATGGCGTAGTAGCATAGCATATATTAATAAGTAAATAAACTTACATGTTAAAGTGTTTTATGAGGGCAGGATACTCTGGTGGTTAGCGCTGCTGGCTTGTGATAAGGAGATTCTGAGTCATGCAGTTCACTGTGGAGCCAGTGTGTTCCCCCACTGGAGCATGCATCATAGATTTCAATCTACTGGTTAATTTAGAGAGTAAATGGACCTACACAAGTAAACACTCAAGAGAACAGCATGGAGATGGAAGATGGTAGATAGCTCTGCTGCCTCACTCAGTAATTGCATCCAGCCCTGGCCTTGTAGCTAGAGTGCACTGGCTCTTTGTTCTTGGAGTGTGGACCAGAGATCTTGATGTACTTGTAGATTTGAAAAGGATTAAACCACTTATAAGTACAGTATGTATTGCAAGGCAGCTTATAGTGTTGTGGTTCAAACTGCTGCCTCACAGCTAAGGTGTGGACAACAGATTTTGAGCAGTTTCATTAGGGACGTTTCTAAAACTTCACAAACTAGTTCTTTGTTTAGCATTGCTGCCTCATAACCGGTGAGTTCTGCCTTGGTACTGGGCTTTCAGAGCTGGAGTGGACTGGCCTTTTTCCCCACTGGAGAGTGGACCTCTGATCCTGATCACTGCTGAGTACATAAACCTGACTAAGACAGCTCTGCGCTGTAGAGTGCATGTTTCTGTAACCATGGCTTTTCTTTGTAATGGGTTATTTCCCCAAATATGTCAAAGCATGTCATATTGCTTGCAGCAGCTTTTTAAGGGTTTAAACTCTTAGTCACTGACTTGAGTTTAGAGGAAATGAGGAAGAAAAATAAGAAACTCAAATATCAACTTTGTTATTCGTGTTTATTATTTAAGACTCTAGATTAAAAAATACAGTAGGTCAAGTAAGTTTTAAGTTATTATTTTTCTTTATCTCAGATACTTTTTGGTAAACTTATATGACTTGTTTTTATATTTTTTGAATGTGTCTGACTGTCATTGATGTCCATTATTTCATGTTGTATCCTGAATATGATTACAGCTGCAATTCCCTTCAAGGGATTTATTTATCTATGATGTACACATGCCTGATCTCTTGTTTGTAGTGTGGATATCTTTTTATTTCAGAACTCCAACATTTGAACATTTGAAGATTTGAAGGCCTCTATTAAAACCCAGCTGACCATTCAGAGGATCTTTTGTACCCACAGCCACAAGACTGTTTAATTCTTCTATAAATAGTGGAAGACACGAGACATGAGAATGAACTTCCCTTTTGTATTTTATTTAAAATCCCCGCTGATTTCACCTCCTGATGTTCACCATCAAAGACTACTGTCATGTTTCACAGATCACGTATACTTCTGCTTTCTAGCTTTCATTCACGAGACACCCATCTGCTTCTCCTTTCCAGTATAAAACAAAAATCCTAATTCCTTTAAATAAAAGTGTTGGGCTGTGAAAGTATTTTTGAAGTGGCCTTTGTGGCTTAAAATGGAGAAAATTCTTTAAATGTTTTTATTTAAGCCGAATTTCAGCCCAAATATTTATTCACCATATTCAGGTTTTACTATCTTTTCATAGCCCATTTATTTTCTTTGTATTTTGCCTTCACAGCAGTCAGAAAAGACCATTATATAGAGCATTTTGTTTGGGTTAACATTGAAAACACCAGCCCACACTGCTTCAGTGTAGATTCATTACTTAAATATCTTGTTGTTGGACTACTTGTTTATGTCACGTGGCCCAACATGTTGTCATCTTTTAGTTTCTAGATTGAGAAATCATAAATTGTTTCTGACAAATCTTTTTTTTTTTTTCTGTGACCACAAACACAGAAAACCAAATTAAACAAATTTGAGTGTTTTTTTTAACACTGTTATAGATTGGGAACTTTGTGAAAATACATTTTTACATGCAGTCAACGAGCTTGTAATGAGGGTAAATGTAATTAAAAGTACACTTATCCTTCAAGGATAAGTCAAGGTTCAATTCGTGCAAATAGCGCCATCTAGTGAAAACATAAAGTCACCCTCAGTTTTAGAAATCCTCTATCCTGAGCGGAAAAAATATTTCAAACAAGACATGTTTTTCAACTCTGTTTGACTTCAGGTCTATCTGTTTTCTTGGCTATTTTCGATTTGGGTGGGAAATCCCCGAACACAGGGGAGCAGTCCATACACTCCTGCAGTACAAGGCTCAGTGAAGTACGCATGCGCGGACACAGCGTCGGCCTGTCAGTCTTCATTTTGCTGCATTCAGGGACTCCTCGGCTTGTTCCGAGTGTTGAGAGTTGGTATTTTGCCTTTTATATGTTCACGAATTTTAAGTCGTAATATCAACACAATGAAATAAAATAAAAATGTGTTTTACTTTAAAGCGAAGTCGTAGCATAGGTAACTCTCTGTGAGAAGCAATTTATGGTGAAAAACTCTGCAGTGTTTATGAATTCACGAATAATAATAATGATATATCTTATTTGGAATTGTGTTTTTTGTCCAAAGATCTGCCATTTACTTTGATCCGCCATGATTTTCTCATCGTGATACCATCTCTGTCAATTCAGTGAAGCATAGTTCAATAGATTTTCCGACTTGAAAAGTTCCGTTTTAAATTAGATTTTCCTTTTTCCGATTATTCTGACGTCCCGTGAATGCAAGCTTTCACTTTGCGTAGTTCTCGAGATTGTTCGGTTGTGGTTGGAGCTTTTACTCTATAATTTTATCTGAAACACACCGTAAACCTCACATTTCACTCAGTGTTTGATGTTCCGTACAGGTTTATTCCTATGATACCTCCGGTTAAACTCTCTTGATGCACAATATACAAGAAAACAGGGCGTAAACAAAGCTGTAAGCTAACTCTGAGCAACAATGTCAAGATATCTAAAGTAAAGTTACTGCCAACCGTGGACTCTGAACCCCTAAACAGGTAAGTTTACACTGTCTTTTGAATGATATGCTGATTTTAGTAGCTTTTTCTTGTAGTTTTATATAAATGACTTTATGCCGTTTGAAAAAAACAAACAATTAACTCTTGACCTTCATTCTTAGTGAGCAGTAAATGTGATAAAACATTGAACTGATCAGGGAGAAAAACTGGCATTTGAAATCGAGTAGTAAGTGGATTAATACAGTAAGATATTCTTACACACAGGACATGTATAGGGGAGTCTGGGGTAAGTTGAGCCACCCCCCTGTTGCTTGGAAACTGTAAAAAAAAAAAATTGGTCATGTGACCAAATATTTAGGAGATGGACATCAATTCATGGAGTCTGTGAAGGTTAGAAGCACATGGGTGAAGAGGTTAGACATTTATTTACAAAAAAAAAACATTTTTCACTCTTGAAAGTGAATTTAGTCTGATATAAGTTTGATTAGAATTGTGTTCAGAACAAAAAGATAATTTTGAATTAGGTTATACTGTAGGTCCACTATTTTAGCTTCGAGGACTCATAGATAGATAGACTTTATTGATCAAAAATACAAAATAACATTAAATATAAGAAGAAATATGTACAATACAGACAAAAAATACAAAAAATACTAGATATATACTATAAATACAGACTAAATATACTTAACATCCTAAGAGAAAAAAGTGAGATATGAAAAACGTGGGCTATTGAAATGAGTAATGAATATGAAATGCAAAATATACAGATGGGATGATAAATAAACAGACAATTTAAGGTGCTAAAGTAATGCGATGTGGTAGGAGTTTTAAAAATGGACTATACAGCAGACATGTGTGAGTCCCTGTCTGACAGATGTGAATTGTTGAACAGTGCAATTGCTTGTGGCAGGAAAGATTTCCTGTATCTGTCCCTTCGACAGCGAAACTGCAACAGTCTGTTGGAGAAGGAGCTCCGCTGTCTGTCCAGAGTGAGGTGTAGAGGGTGGTCAGGGTTATCCATGATGGATACCAGTTTGGTTAGTGTCCTCCTCTCCACCACAGCCTCCACAGTGTCCTGTTTGCAGCCAACCACGGAGCCAGCCGTCCTGATCAGTTTGTTGAGTCTGTTGGTGTCACTGGCTAATAAAGTCATAACAGTAGTTCTGGGGTAACAGAGAAAGTAAAGGAGTCTGATGAGAGGATCAGAGTTTCAGATGTTTGACTTTTTCTTTTCTGAAATACAGCTGTGAATGTTCTGAATCACTTAAAGACATTCGTATGTTGAAATGTTTTTAGCAGTTATATGTAATAATAATAATAATAAACAGAATTATTGCACCAGTTGAATAGTGTATAATAGATAAAAATACACATGAATATGAAGAAGTGACTGTTATTTAGGGAGAGAGAAGGTGAGAGAGGGCTGGGGTGGAGAGTGGGGGCATGCGGCTCAACTTACCCCACTTTTTTTTGTCATGCTATATTATAAAGACAGTTCTGTTTACACTCATTGCTGGTTGGTCTGTTGATGAACATCATCCTGAAATATCTGCAGATTCACTAGTTAGAGACAAAACTAGGATTGACTTGATGTAGTGATCTGAAATATGAAAAATGGCTCATCTTACCCCACCCTCCCCTACAGCTATTTCTAAACTGAGGAGCAGACACTATGGTGCAGATTCACATTCAGTCTCCAGGCAAGGACAGATGTTTCAATTGATAACCTCTCTCTTTTTTCTCTAAGGTCCCCAGCAGACTACCTTTTTTCAGACCACACACTATGGAGCGGAGTGCACTCAAACAGAGCCAGCTTTGCGGCTCCTGGGAGATGAAGGAGAGACTTGGGATGGGAGGATTTGGGCACGTTTATCTCTACCAGAACCTTGTAAGTCGGCTAAGAGCATTTACCTCAAATTCTTTTGTGTCTTCATCTTTGTCTTAAACCCTGTCTGTATTTGGGACAGGAGTCGGGAGAGAAGATTGCTGTGAAACTTTGTCGCTTAGAGCTGAACTCCAAGAACAAAGACCGTTGGAGCAGAGAGATTCAGATCATGAAGAAGTGGGTGTGAATCATCCACTTGGGTGCTCATTTTCCTATCATCAAACCGTAGCTTTATGGTTTGTTTTCTCTCTTTCGGTTGCAGGCTTAACCACGTGAATGTGGTTCAGGCCAGAGAAGTGCCAGAGGAGTTGACCTCCATTGCTTTAAATGATTTACCTTTGTTGGCCATGGAGTACTGTTCAAGAGGAGACCTACGCAAGGTACAAAGTGGGTACTTCTAAAGGCCACAAATAATATATTGTGCCTCCAAACATTGCACTGTTAATGTTTTTACATCTTAATTTAGGTGCTGAATAAACCAGAAAACTGTTGTGGGCTGAAGGAAAGTGAAGTCCTCTCACTGCTCAGTGACATTGGTAGTATTTTACTCATCTTTCACTCCCACGATAAGTCACATTTGGAATCCTGATGTTTAAAGAACCATACTTTCCACCATCATAGGTTCTGGTATTCAGTATCTCCATGAGAATAAGATCATTCACAGAGACCTAAAACCAGAGAACATAGTTCTACAGGAAGCTGGTGGGAAGGTGAGCTCATTTCCTTCTGTACACTGCAGTCTGACATCTCAAATTCAATGTGGTTTCCACTGCCCTTTTCTCATAATGAAACTATTCTTCACCCCAGCTCATCCATAAAATCATAGATCTGGGCTATGCAAAAGATCTAGATCAGGGCAGTCTTTGTACATCCTTTGTGGGAACTCTGCAGTATCTGGTAAGTGTTTAATCAGAAGTTCAAATCGATGCCAGCATGTTCTTTTTTTTTTCTCCAATGGTTCGTATTCTATATATTGTCTAATATATCTAATCTATATGCATTTCAGGCTCCAGAGCTGTTTGAGAGTAAACCCTACACTGTCACCGTGGACTACTGGAGCTTTGGTACAGTGATCTTTGAATGTACATGTGGCTTTCGCCCTTTTTTACACCACATGCAGCCTGTTCAGTGGTGAGTCAACAAGGCAGCGATGCATTTCCTTAAGATTTTTAAGAAGCAGGGCATAAACACAAAGTAAAAACAAACATTTTGGGTATGTCGCGTTCCCTTTTCAGTCACACTGAACATCAACACCTAAAATCAGAAATATACAGGATTTCCCATAAATCACAATAAGACTTGTATTATCATCAACAAGCTGTTCCTGTAAATAACACACGTACACGTTCCATTATCTCTGGTGCTGTATCCACATGTCTGTATGTGCTGTGGTTGTCGTTTAACTCTGTGCATCTCTATCTTTCTCCATCTCCCACAATCCCCAAATACAGCCACAGCATTTGACTCTCTAACATGACTATTAGTGGATTACTAAATTACTAAATGCTGCAAAATGTTACACTCATGATAGATTAAGAGTGGGTCTGATCTCGTAAGCTGGAACTCAGTCCTGTCCTACCTTTCTATTGGGTCTTTATCGTAGACTGTATATAGAATAGACGCCGTCTGCCTCCTCTCTGGGTGAAGCTACGCCGAGAACAGCACCCTCTGGTGACGGGCTGCAGTATAGGTCATAACTCCCACCTCTGCCAGCAAAGCTTATGGAGCTGTGGACAAACTTTAGAAATTTATCACACAGAATATAAATGTTTCTCCCCCCTGGTTGTGATGTTGACATGTAGTTACTGTCAGACTGGTTTGTGCTCAAGTCCTCTTTTTTCTGTACAGCTCCGTTTTTAAAAGTTATGAGGGGGTTCATGTTTTCTATGATTGACACTTGATACAGCCTATCGGTGTTCAGGGATTGCGTAGCTCACCCGGGGGGATACACTGTTTGAGCCAAGCATCATCACAGCGGCTCTGCTGCCGAATGCGTACAAAAATCACGGAAATACAGAGAGCTTTTTGGCTTCAAATCCGAACCAAGTTGTCCATAGTATATACAGTCTATGGTCTTTATTCATATAATGAGTGTAGTGTGTAGCTGTTTTTGACAAGCATCTTGAGAGCATGTGTTGTATAAATTAGGATTGATTGATTGAGATTACAAACTGATTGTATTTAGTTTAATCTGCATTTCAAAATTTTAGATAAAGCGATGAAAGTTGATCCTTTTTTCTTTTGAACATTTAAAAAAATAACGGATCCTGTTTTCTTCATGTTTATTTCTGACTCTGACTTATTGCATATCTATTTGTAGGACAAGTAAAGTTAAGAACAAAGGCCCCAAAGACATCATGGCGGTCGAAGACATGAATGGAGAAGTCAGATTCTCCACACATCTCCCTTACCCCAACAATCTGAGCAGGTAGAGACAGAAAGACACTTCTTCACAGTAATTCATCGTCCACCATTTGACCTGCAGCCAACCTGAGTCTGTGCACACGTTTCCAGGCCACTGTTGGAACCAGTTGAGTCTCTTCTGCAGATGCTGTTGCTGTGGGATCCTGCAGCACGAGGTGGAGGGCTGGATCCCGACACGACAAAGCCGTGCTATTACACAACTTTACAGAATATTCTCAACATGAAGGTGAGTAATGTCAGTCTTTCTTCACTTTACTGTGGTATTATGCAGCAAAGATCTTATTCATCTCTCCTGAGGAAGAACCCCCCCCCTTCATTGAACCTTGTGATTTTAATTCATCAGGTGATTCATGTGTTGGACATGACGTCAGCACAGCTGCACTCACTGGTTTTGGGTGCTGAGGAGAGCTTGCACTCCCTGCAGCTGCGTCTTGAGACTCAAACTCAGACACACATCGCCCCGCTGAGTCAGGAGCTGCTGCTGGAGACGGGAATCTCCCTCGACCCACGCTGGCCACCCTCACACTGTCTGCCAGAGGGGTTGGTATGTGACACAGGCAAAAGAAATATATCATGTCAAAAATCCCAGCCACAAGTGCAAACACAGCAAATCTATTTTTTTATTTCCTTGTTTTTGAATTCCCTCTGGTTGTGTTTTTGAGACTTAAAGCCGTCACAGTCAGTCCTGTTGTTGAACCACATCTTTTCCAGATGGTCTTCTGCTAAGTAAATAAGACATATGAGATGGTTTACAATAACAACAAATTACTTGCAGACTGTATGCTCAAATGTATGAATATTGTTTGCTTCCAGGAGTTCAGTCCGCTCTGGATCGGAAAGCTGAAATCTCAGACTCTAAAAGCAAGCGGAGCTCCACTCAAACACTGTTAAATCTCAGACTACTTGTTCTTTGCTTTCAGAGAGGCTGGGACAGCTCCATCGTCTTCTTGTTTGATAAGAGCCTGACGAAATACTCAGGACCACTGACTGCCAGAGCGCTGCCAGACAGTGTCAACTTTATAGGTGAGATTTATGAATGTGTGCAGAGCTGTGAAATGATACTACACAGACTGATGGATCTCCAGACAGTTACAGAGAGAAATTTATGGACAAAGATTTTGTTAGATGGTCTAAATACACCAACAAAGCCATCAGAATGACAGAAAACGAGCATGATGACTTATCCTTAGTATACTTAACATGACAGTAAAAAAAAATTATTCTTCTTTCTCAACAGCTGTATTCGACCAACCTTATTATTGATCGTGGTTTGGTAGCCGTCATTGAAGCATGTCTTTGTAGGCTGCATCCAAAACCATGACTCAGTACTTTTACTGAAAACTTTAATCTTTTTTGATTATCTTCGTTTAAACGGAAATAAAACTTCAGAATGAGAGATGGAAAAACGTTTCTGATACTCAGAACTTCAAACTCTGACCCCACCACAATCAAACTTTCACTTTCACCGTGTGTTGCGGTCTTACTGTTTACTATTGTTTGATCCTAATTCACCTGAAATAACCTTTCTGTGCTGCACTTAAATGTAAAATAATTTATGTAAACCATAATTAAATTTATTGCCTAGAAATTTTTACTGGTTGTGAAACGATTTGTGGTGATGCTTCTTCCTAATGATCCCAAAAAAATATAACACTATGATCAACAATGAGACCACCACTTTCTACATTTTAATTTTTAAGGACGGGTGTTAAAAACAAGTCTTCTTTTTAGAAGGAAGGGTCTGGGGGTGTGATAACGTCTGGCAACACATTGATGCGTTTTCTGGCACACTTGTCCACAATCATTTTGACATTTCAGGCTTTGTTAGCTGCATTTCTCATTCTGATGTCAGTGTGGAAACAACTCTTTTATTCGTTCATCAAATCAGGATTCACATGTTTTTATGAATTATGTTTTATCTCAGTCAGGGAGACTAAGACACAGCTCCCACTGTCTGCGCTGAGGAAAGTGTGGGGAGAGGCAGTCCACTACATCTGTGGACTAAAAGAAGACTACCTCCGCCTGTACCAGGGACAGCGGGCTGCCATGTAAGTGCACAAACTCACCAATACACTAACTTCCTCCCACTGAAGCTTCCTCACCTCTAACCTTGTGTTTGCACACGTGTAGGCTGAGCCTGCTGCGTTATAACACCAACCTGACTCGGTTCAAGAACCTGCTGTTCTCGCAGTCGCAGCAGCTCCGAGCCAAACTGGCTTTTTTTAAGAGCAGCATCCAGCACGACCTGGAGCAGTACACCAAACAGAAAAACAACGGCATCTGTGAGTGGACGATCGACTTCTTTGAATCATTGAGTCATTTCTGAAAACTTAAGTATGATTTTTGGTGTTAACTTTGTGTTGTTGTGAAGCTTCAGAAAAACTGCTGAAGACCTGGCAGGAAAATGAAGAGAAGGCTGACGGGTTTATGAAGGTGGGAAAATGATTTCAGTCAAACAAATTCTTTACAAACTTTCTGCCAGTATTGAAAGTAAATGCAGTGAGTATCTTCTTCTGTAGGTTGCAGATGTCGGGTATCTGGATGAAGAGATAGTGGCTCTACACTCTGAGATTGTGGAGCTGCAGAGAAGCCCGTTTGCAAGGAGACAGGGGGAAGTGATGGAGCAGCTGTAAGTTTGTTATACTTACTCTACGGTCAGATTTTTTTAATCCATGAACACAAACACATCTGTCAGCAGGAAAAACACACCTGCCGATGTCACGCCATCTTCAACAAAAACAGGGTCTTCTTACTAATAACTTTTCAATCTTACCAAATAGTTGTCTGTTGTCTGTGCTGTGTTTTGATCTGGAGCTCATTAGTTCTGTGTTACTGGTAGTTTATGAGTATGAACTGACACTAATGGGTTGCAGCTGTCTGATAGTCAGCTGCAGGTTTTAGCAGACAGATGTTTACTGCACGATCTCTCAAATGACACATGTAACAGGATAAGTTGTGATGTTTCATGTTTGTTTTTTCTGACAACAAAGACAGCACAAATTGACGGTCAGGAAGAGCTCTTTAACTCGTCTTTTGGCATTTTAGGGGAATAACTGATAAATAAAACTAGAGAACAAAACAGCCTTTTGTGAAGGAATGTCAAAAAAAAAAAAATGAGAGAACATGTATTCAAATGTTATTGGATTTCTAATTCCACAATGCTCCATGTTGGGGTTAAAATACTAAATACTGTTCCTGTGTTCGAGTTACCTCAGAAGTCAGAGCTGGGAATGATGTCACACCCGAGTTACCGGCGTTTCAGATACCAAGTCGGAAAAAAACAAAATCAGAGGCAGGAGGAGGAAGGTTATTTTGGTGCTTGCCTTGTTCTAGCTTAAATTTGGACAAGGCAAGCACTAAAATAACTTTCCCAGCTCTGACTTCTGATTTCGAGGTAACTCAAACGTAGCGTTAAACCAGACTGCTGGAATTTTGTATCGACTGACCACATTACAGACAACCTTCATTTTTATGTTCATGAACGGACCCAAACTCACAAATTTTGTGCAAAGCCGGTCAAAAATAGTACGAAAAACAATTTTAGCAAACAAGTGTCTTCATGTAAATTAGACTTCTGACAATTACTGCATGACATATTTAAACTCATCTTTCCTCTTAACTGCTTTAAAAGATAAACTTTCTCTTTCTCTCTTTTTTCAGTGAGGGGAAGGCCGTCGAACTCTACAAGCAGCTGAAAGCAAAATGCAAAAGTTAGTACAAATCATTAAACACAAAAGATAGATTTGTGCTTTTGTGGCTCTATCTGTACACCCTTGACCAATTACTGTGATAATGCTTGTTGCTATGGATACACTCAGACGTGTAATCAACAAATAAGTTGGTTTTTAGGGTTTTAAGAAAGATCCACTGAACAAATGTTTCACTGTGGACCTCATTGTTGAATTGAGTGAGATAAATGAGGATAAGTCATAAAGTTGTGATTGTACAGGTCCTGACCCTCCACATGGCTACAGCGACAGCTCAGACATGGTGAGGACCATCCTCCAAACCGTTCAAAACCAGGACCGAGTGCTGAAAGACATGTATACTCATCTCAGGTAACTTTTCCCTGAGTGTAATCCAAATCATCCTCTCATTGGTGAAGCAGAAGTTTGAGGGTCTTTCTTTTTCTTTTTCTCCTGCAGCACTATTTTGGTGTGTAAGCGACGGATTGTTGATTTGTTCCCGAAGTTGGAGAGGGCGGTGGAGAACATAAAAACTGCAGAGGCGGCAGTGATGCAAATGCAAATGAAAAGACAGAAAGAGTTCTGGTACCTCCTCAAGATCGCCTGTGTGAGGAAAAAAAGTTTTGACTGCTCTGAAAATGTTCTTAGCTGCTGATGCTGTAGATTGCAGTTTTATGATACAGTCTCAAACGTTCTGTTAAAGTAAAATAATGTCTGTGAATTCAGGCCCAGAACAATTCTCCATCACCATCACTGTCGCAACAACCAACCGACAGGTAAGTTCTGCACTGTTGTTTTTCCACAATTTTAACTGGATACGATAAATAATCTTACAAACACTTTTGCAGACAAGAGTTTAAGTTTACACTCTATATAATTTGATAAAATGCCTCTAAAAGGAAACTTTGAAAATACCTCAATTAAATTAGCTAAATTAGCTAAATTACATGATACAAATGGCCCTGTCGAGTTTATACGAGTTTATAACCTTAAAGGCAGGCTGCTACAAATCACAAATTCTCCACAAGAGGTCGCCATTTGCACTTAAACTCATGAAGGTTAAAGAAGTTTCCCTTTAACTTTTGAGTCTAAACAAAAAATTACAGTATTTCCACAATGTATTTTTATAGATAATGTTACTTTTGGAATGATACCACCAAATAAAACTGATAAACTGTTGCAATGTAATCTTATGTCTTGCCAAATATTTCATCCATAAGAATAAAGTTATCAGATCATCCCCCAGATTAATTGTTTTCATAAATGAATTTAAAATGTATTTGAAATCTCTTAAAACGTTTACTGGTTTGAAGAAACAATAGTTATATTTATATTTTCCCTCTAATATGAACAGCTAAAAATGTTTTTAAAAAAAAAGAAAACCCTTGTAAATTTTTGCAGGCATAAATTATTTTATTTATTTTATGTTACTTCTGTGTTTGCTTGTTGTTCTTCACTATCTACTTTATTTTATTGCCCTACTGTTGTTAAGTATTTCTCACTATGTTATTTTAGTATTGAAATTACTGTATTGAACTGATTTAGTATGTTTGGAATTATAATTTTGTTAACTCTGACTAAAGTATAAAAAACAACAACTTTTTCGTTAAACTTTGGAGTTCTGTTATAATATCTTTCTGTATGATGCACACAATTCCAAGATCATCTGTACAGTGAATTTTTTTGTGTTATTTCAGTGAAACTGTTGATCAACTACTGGATGAGAATCAACATTATCTGAGTCTGTTAACGTCTCTGCTGCATGACACCACCCAAGGGATGGAGCACAGTGTCATGGTACGGTTCATGAAGGACTGTTTTCATGCGTTTAAACTGATTCCTAGAGTAACAGCCTGACTGTGAATTTAAATAACACACACTTTATAGGAGATGGGGGAATGGCATAAAAATGTTCAGAGGATGGTCAAAGTACAACTTCAATGTTTTCGTTCCTCCTTTAGGATCAGGACTGGAGCTGGATTCAGTACAGAACAGCTGAAGCTGAACCTCAGAAGCTGTAGAGACCGACCAAAGACTACTGAGTGCCACACCTCTGGGAATTATGTCATAAACACGTGCCTTATCAGAGCAACACAATCTGAAAGCTTGGTGGATTCATACCGAGTCTTTAACACACATACATGTAGAGCTGCGAGACAATGAGTGAAAATTTGGTAAGCTATGTATTACACTTCAGTGTTTGTTATTTAACTATGAAAGCTATTTCCAGCTGTAACCAAGACTTATTTATTTGCCGTTCAAACTGATTTAAGAAACACCCTGCTGCTGGTAAACTATGCATGATGAAACGTCTATAAATTTTATTAATGTACAACACTTTCTGTCTCCAAGCTGTCATTTTTGTTTCTCAGCAGCTGCAGATTTCTGAATTATCGGTAACATTTTAAGATAATGGGTTTCGGGTTATTTACATCCACAAAGCAGGCCAGACAGCCGTCTGTACACAAACAGGAAATTATTTGTTTGTGAGACCTCGGTTCAAGATTCCTGAGGAAAACAAGTCGGGAAAAAATGAGCAGCCAGTGTATGAAAATATAATCCAAAACTACCAAAATTTACGGACAAGCAGTTTGTTCAACACGGTGAGACGGTAAATGCATCTCAAACTTTTATAGTTCCCCTCCACCGATAAGTATAAACATCAAATCAACATTCTGGATCAGTGCTTCTCAGTCTTTGTGTCCCACTGTCCCAGGACTTGGCAGATCTTGAATAAAGTGTCCACTTCACTGGTGCCTGGGAAAAAAGGCCTGCCGCTATGCTGCCACCAAGCAGCCCGCTGGTTTTTAAGAGAACTGTTGGATGATGAGGCTACTCAGGAGGGCTGTGCTGGGTTCAGAGATCAACAGTACAAGGATAATTGTGCCATAAACAATCATACACTCTTCCAGATATGAGTACATCATGTTTTCTTATCAGTTATTAAAGTTAAATCTGTGTCAGGGGTTGGCAGCTGATTTCTCTGGTGAGTTCAAAATCTGCAGTTTGCACAGATGGGTAACGACTTTTATAACCTGATGAACTTCAATTAGACATACATTTTAAGAACACTGGTTTTGCCACATCAACTGTAATACTTTAGTGCTGTTGATAGATCTGTCATGTTTATGAATGAATGCTGGCTCTTGGAGTATCAGAAACGTGATGTTCTGCAGGGCGGAGAAAACACATGTAGGATTTAAAGAGTTAAGAGATTGAAAGTCGTGTATTATGTAAGTAGTGGGTTAAATTTTGGGTGGAGTTCCCCCCCTAGGGAGTGAACAGCGTTTGTCATAACTGAGGAGTTTTCCAGTGGTAGCAGGAGTCTTAATCTCTCATTAGTGGAATGAGATATAAGAAACCCACAAACTTAAGTCTGCTGCTGTCATGTCAAGACTGTAGGCGGAGTCAAACTTGCTCAACATACAGTTAAGATCACTGTAAGCATCCAAAATTACAACATGTTGCTTTTACAAAGAAACACCATCAACAGGCTGAGAGGAAGTGATAATCGACTGATGGTGTTTGGACTGTTACTCCTCATCAGCTTTCTGCTCTTCAGCGAACAAGCCTGGTTTTAAAAGAAACAGCATTACCAGTTTAGGAATACCTAAACAAGTCAATTTGTCATGTGCCGAAATCCTTGAAGCAGAATAAACACCCATACATTTAAGCATCATGTATTAATTTAGCAGCCGAGTGGGAGAATGTGAGCTTCGTGGGTACTTTTGCTTTTCTTGGCAGAATAGTATCTTTAGAGTTGATTTTAATAAATGTTCTTTTAAGTGCATATTTTCAATGAAAGCAAACATGAACCTTCACATTATGCTTTTTGGTGTAGTGTTTGATAAAGAGCAACACAACAAGTTTCCTTCTAAAAAAGACTTTTTATTCAGTCAGATTTTCACAGTGATCTGGATTTATAATGATTGCTTTCCTTCTAGTTAGGTTGTGATGAAAAGTGCAGTATTTATCTCAACATTAAGGGAACATAACACTGATTCATATGTAGAATACGTTGTTCTCAGTGTTTTCATTGCAGCTCCTGTTAGAGGAATCTTCCAGATCTTTTAGTGCAACGGCAGTTTGTAATCCAACACCTCCACAACGACCTTCAATAAACTTTCATCTGGCTGCTGCTTCCTCTTACTGCCTGGTTTCAGGAACCTGTCGATGGCGGGGATCAGCATCATCCGGCCCTGGAAAGACTGGAGAGAAGTGTAGAAGCGGATTATGTAGAATTGTACACAGCTGTGATCACTACACTAGAGCTTCATATGAAGACATTTACCTTGATGTTGCGGAAATCAGCGAGAATCCCTGGAAATTGCTCCTCCAACATCAGGGTGCATTCAGTCAGCAGGACATCTGCCATGCTAAGCTTACCTCCCACCAGGTGTACAGTCTGAGTCAATGCCTGAGAAGCACAAAGAAAGAAGTCTTATTTAGCTATCTTTATCAATCATATACACACACACACACACACACACACACACACACATATATATATATATATATATATATACATATTTATATGTATATATGTATATATATACATATTTATATATATATATATATATATATATATATACATATTTATATATATATGTATATATATATATATATATATATATATATATATATATATATATATATATATATATATATTTTTTTAAACTTTGATTATTCATCGCTTGTACCTTTTCGAACACAGGAAGGTAGCGCTCTTTTGCTTTAGTTTCAATGTCTTTCAGTTTAGCTTTGGTGTCTTGGGCAAACAATAATGTAATGATCATCTCCATCAGATCCATCAGTCCCTCTGAGTACATGTTGATCCTGAGGGGAGCCAGAACAATAAACTGTAACACATTCACCCCATAAAATCAGACAATACAATGACGGCTCTGTCGTTTATTTAAAAATACTTCATACATGACACGGTCCTTAATGTCTTTTCCATGGAGATTGTACTTTTCAGCAATGTAATTCAGGATGGCCTTTGTCTGAATAAGCTTCATGCCATCGATCTCCACCATGGGAACTTGTTGAAACATGAGTGACCCATCTGGAGGAGCAATAACAGCAGATCATTCAGGTGGACACTCCCAGGTAGGACACTGATTAATATGTCAACTGTAACTGTGTGCATGGGTCAAAACATTTCTGATGATGTAAGTTCCAGTTTTTGGTGTTGAAATTGTGAAAAATCCAAGAGGAGTGACCAAACAGGGAACATCATGTGAATTGGACACAGGCCAAAAAAATTGCTGATATGATTTTAGCTCCTAAAAAGTTTTTAATCCTCTTACCTTTTACAAGCTCCAGATATTGTTCACGTTTTGTCAGATACACCTCATCAAACTGTGAAATTGGGATTACAGAGCAGGTTTAAGAAACAGTCTAGAGGTCTAAATCTTTGTGAAATAAAAAAAATCTTAAACTTACATCAACCTCTGCAACTGTCAGCAGCCAGCGGATTGACTCCATTCTCCCTCTTGTATTGAAGTAATAAAGTGTAACTTTTCCAGCCATGGTTGCAACTTGTTGTCAATGTAAATCTCAAAGCTGCAAAGACACACATAAACACGAAAAAACACGAATTATTATGCAAATGCATGTACCTGAACGAAGCAAGGAGAAGTTTTCTTTTGGTCCATACCTGCACAGTGTGAAGACAATCGTTACAGATAAAGGAGTGGGGCGATGCACTGAAGTTAAGGGTGTTAAGTAATCATGTATCAATGAAGGAAAAATAATGAGAAGGGTGAGGAAAAACTTCCGATTACTGTGGTTGGTTACTTCTGACCAATAGAAACACGGCACACGACATTTTGGCCGCTAAACATCATGGGAAAAAATAAGGGACGGTGTTTAAATGGGTAGAATAAAAACGAGACAGATATAAAAAGTGTAATTAGTTATGATATAGTTTAACCTACAAATCAGTTTTAACCATAGACTGTATAAAGAATAGTAGATATAGACTATGGTTTTAACAGTAGGATGATTTTGTACGGTGGCCGAGAACCGCCACTGCTGCAAATAAAAAAGAATGCAAAAAGAAAAAAAGAAATCACAATAGAAGTTACTGATGTGAAAACATAAAGAAACGGTGCAGGTTTAAAAAAAAAAAAAAAAAGCCACAATGGAAATTAATGACGCAAAAAAATTACTTACTGCAAAAATAAAAGGATGCAAATAAAAAAAGCCACAATAGGAGTGAGCTGTCTGGGACCAATAATGATGATGCACCGGTGTTTTATGATCCAGGGCATCTCCAAAAAGGAGAATCGAGTTCTGTTGCTTTATTCATAGAAATAAGTACGCAGGGCCCTCGCTTTATTGGTCCCCGGCAGCTCCCTCGCATTGTGGCTTTTTTATTTGCGTCCTTTTTTTTCACAGTCAGTAACTTTTTTTTTTTTTTTTTTTTTTTTTTTTTTGCATCGCCACTTGTTTTTTGCATCATTAACTTCCATTGTGGCTTTTTTTATCTGCAGCACTTTTTTTATTATTTGCAGCAAGCTTTGGTTTCTTTTTTTTTTTGTCTTTTGCATCGGAAACTTCCTTTGTGGCCTTTTTTTAAATCTTTTTTTTTTTTGGCAGTCAGTAAGTTTTTTTTTTTTTTTTTTTTCTAATCTGCACCATTTCTTTTTTTATTTGCAGTGGGCTTCAGTTTTTTCTTTTTTTTTTCTTTTTCTCTTTCTTTTTTATTTGAGTCAGTAACTTCCGATGTGGACAGAAGGACAGAAGTGGATGAAAACCAATATAGATATATTCTAATTCAGTTTATATAGGTTAGATTAAGTAAATGAACAAAGAAATTTAAAAAAGAACTATGTGTCACTAATTATGATATCGGTAACGTACAAAATAATTTTAACTTAAGGATCATTTTCACATGATATATGAGAGAATGAAGACTAATTTCTGGACTTGTTCTGATCGAAATTGTTTAATGTTTTTATTTTTCTATTTTATTAATTCATGTAATTTTCCAGGCTATTTTTTCAAGAAGTCGTATGGATAAATTATAACATGCTATTGGTACCAGTTTCAATGCTGCTATTTAACCCTATTTAATCCTAACTATTTATTTATTTTTCTTAAAACTGTCTCGTATGTATAAAAACAACTATCTTTTCCGACTGTACCTGAAGGCACCGTAATGTAACTAGTGAAAGCAGGAGTGAAACCTGGAGGAGGAGGCGGAGTGAGGGGGATGGGACAGTGAATGATAAGAGCTGACGGGAGGAGGACGGTTCGACTCTGTGGTAATGACATTTATTATACACAAGCGATTTATTCCTACGCCTCCGTGTTGAGAGTTTTATTTAAAGGGTAGTGTCGGGTGAGTTAGGACCGACCTGTCTGTAATGCTAATGTTAGCTTCAAGAAAGTGACGGAGAGGCGGATTTCCAACAACCCACCCAACAGACAGAGCTAGTTAGCTTACCCGGCTAGCTAGGGTTAACGTTACCAATGGGACTGGCGTGGGGAGCGTTAGGTGTTGTTTAAATGTACACATTCAGGGATCCATTTCTTGTTATTTGTGAAATTTAAAGGAAGAAATGTGTGTCAGAGACATGTTGCGCCACACACTGAAAGAGGAACCAGTATCCAGTTGTCATGCTGCAGGCTAATCGTGAACACGTTAGCGTTAGCTGCTCTGCGCTGCACGGCGGATATGTTCCTGATGATATACTGTCATCTGTGTTTGAAACATTAACTCAAACATTTAACAGCTGTCTGTTACTATCACAGTCGTGACTCGTGGTGTAGAGTCTCATAAGGAAGTACTAAGAATGACTGGGGTGCGCTCAGGTCACAACTTTTGACCCGAGTGTACCTGTGTTTATGTCAGGATACATGACACCGACCAGACTCAACTATAAGATCTAGAAGACGATCAAATTCAACCCCAAACAACAACCAACTCCTCCATCATTTCTACTTTTTCTGTTTTTGTTGACATGGTCAGACAGGGGGTCATTTTTCCTGAACAAGCTTTTTTGTAAGGCATTAAAGTGTAAAATTAATTTAGGATTAAACACACCGTAACACAGTCAGACACCCCCTCCAGAGATGAATGTTGCTACAGTAGCTTCCTCTCAAGGGATTAAAATTTCATGTCAGCAAGTCGCTTGTTCGTAGTGAGACCTCAGGCCAGTCCATTAAGGACTACAGCGGGGGTTTACAGCTCAAGAAAGAACATATTGATCATTTTTTCACTGCAGACGCGGTAGTTCTTCTGCCTTAGCGTCTCGGTCTGATTGTATTTCCATGAAGAAATGATCATAAATGTTCTTCCTTGAGCTGCGTCACCCTGTGTAGTCCGTAATGGACTGGCCTGAGATCTCGCTGCAAACAAGTGGCTGCTGGAAGAGAGTAGGTGAGTTGTGTTCAGTCACTTAGCTAAAGAAATTAGTCAAAGTTAAAAAGATGTTTGGTGGCTAGTTCTATGGCTGGGACCCTATATGTCCTGTTGATGAAGTTAGTTGCTGTTCTGCTATAGAGTGATGTTTTGGTTGAGCGTGTGGCTCTCTGTATTTCTATTCTGTGGTTGTTACTAAAGTTGGTATAACTAGAGAAGCAAGCGGTCGGCAACATTCATCACCGGAGGGGGTGTCTAACTCTGTGTTATGGTGTGTTTGACCCTAAATTAATTTTATGCCACAATATCCCTTTAAAATTAGGATGTGAAAATCTTCATTCTTGTCTATTATGGTCGTGTTTGCTTTCGGTAATTTTAAAAAGGTATCCATGAATATTAGTCTATTTCACAAACTTTCATCTGTAGAAGTGCTCGACTGCTTCCATTCATGACAGGTTGAGTTGTATTATGTTGACGCGCTGTTGTTCACATTTTTAGGGAAGTTCCGTCTAACGTATGGTAAACATAATGTACAAATACGATAAAATGCTTCTCTCTTTGCCTCTGCAGGTGAGTGCCTGCGAGGATGACGATGCCACATGTAGGCGCAGTGTTTGCTGCAATAGCAGGAGTGATGGCCATCATGTTGCACTCCTCCATTCACAAGATAGAAGAAGGACACCTTGCTGTCTACTACAGGTATCTGAACTTCCCTTACCTGTATTCTAAAGACATGTAAATGTTAAATGAATAGGAAGGAATGAAGGTAGATACATATAAGCTTAATACCTTCAATCTACTCCTTTTCAATCTCCAAAAATATGAACTTCCTTGTTTTGTCTAATTGTACTGTATGTATGTTTGATGGAATAAACAATAAAGACTTTAAAATAAATAAAAAAAACCTTGCAAATCCTGACCTAACAGACAAATATATATGAAGAACAAGAACATGTTTTGGAGGCACACATACACCTACATTTGATCATGAATACGTCCTTCACAAATGGACCTATGGGAAGAAAGAAAGCCTTGCAACAAGGGTTGAGTACAACAGTAATTAATCTTTAACTTCTCCTCCTGCAATGGGAGCTTGGAAGGAATAAAATTGAGGTTTCCAGTTCAGTGATACAGTTAAATTTTTGGCAACAGTTAACATCCCTGGAAATCCCTCTACCATCTCCTTACTCTTTCAGATGGTCTACAGCGTCACCTCAGACCAGATACATCTTTTGTTGTTGTTGTTGTTTCAGGGGTGGAGCCTTGCTGATCTCTCCGAACGGTCCTGGGTATCACATTATGCTGCCTTTCATCACCACCTACAGATCAGTGCAGGTAAACTGTCCCGTCAGCCTGTTTAGCAGAGGCATGCTGCAGGCGCTGCACATGAAAACCAGAATCAGATCTTCTATAAATAAATCAGCTGCAGCATGCAACCAGTTGCCATCCAACCGTAGCTGCAGTGGCTTTATTTTAAACTCAGGCTATACACAGTCGATGTGGTCGAGGTAGAATGTTTTCGATCTCATCTATTTTGAAAATAGTGTTTGTCATGAGCTTTAATTGGAAAATTGCATTCAGAGATCAGTAATTACCGATGACGAGGTTTGTGTCTAAATGGAACGAACATCATCAGTTATTTCTTTGCTGAGTAAAAAATTATTCATTCTAGCCATAAATTTTGTGTTTTGTTGAACAATTTTACTGCGACTGTGTTAGGCAAAGGAAATATAAGTTTTGGTGTAAAATAGATATAAAGAGGACAATCTATCATGATATTGAAGTGCGAATGTGTAGATACAACAATATAACGATCTCAGTCAAGGACTCATTACTGCTTTCAAGCTTTGAGATCCTCACTCTGTTTGAGTTCAGAGGTCAGAGTGCTTGTGTCATTTTTTGATTGGATAAAGATTGAACTCAACATAAGAGAGGATGATACTATCAATGATACTATTTTCAAGATCAGACATACTGTACTTTCTCACAGGTGGAGAACTTTGTACACAACAAATAATAAATTAAAAATTAATTCCAGTGTTTATGAATGAACCTGCGGCTTTTTGATTTTTCTTGCGTTGCAGACTACGCTCCAAACTGATGAGATCAAGAATGTGCCTTGTGGAACGAGGTAAGACTGAGCTTATTGGTCCAGCTCTTTAGACGTGTACTCTCATGAAAATGAGCGTTGACTGAACAGATTCTTTGCTCTCGTTACAGCGGTGGTGTGATGATCTACTTTGACAGGATAGAGGTTGTTAACATGCTGGTACCATCAGCAGGTACTCTTCCTTCACTTCCTTCTCTTTTTCGAAGACCCTTTAACTTCTCTGCCTGCTTGCCGTCACAATAACGCTCCTCTGTTTATTAATTTCCAGTTGTGGACATTGTAAGGAACTACACGGCTGATTATGACAAAACTCTAATTTTCAACAAGATCCACCATGAACTCAACCAGTTCTGCAGCGTACACACTCTTCAGGAGGTCTACATTGAGCTGTTCGGTGAGTACATTTTTACATTTATTTAAACACAACACACAGGGAGAAGTTTGTGCTGCATGATCATTCCTGAAATTCCTGAAATGATCCACATCACGTTGTCCATTCATACAGCTTCTGTGTCTCTTTGTCTCGCAGACATTATTGACGAGAACCTGAAGACTGCTCTACAGAAAGATCTGAATGCGATGGCACCTGGACTCACAATACAGGTATTTAAACAAGAAGGTGCAGTGAAGGGCCAGGGTATGTAGGCAGATCGGTGTAGAAGTGACAGTGATGGTGTAAAGAATCAGAGGCAACACTTTACAATAACCATAATTTATAAATGGTAAATAGATCGTTCATTAATGTTTAATCATCATTTAAAAACAGCATAAAGACCAATTATAAATGGCAAATAGTTTATTAATGTAAGTTAATAGTTACTTTACCATTAACAAGCAATGAAATTATGATTAATAATTTTCATTAATTATTAATGGACTATTTATTAAAGGTTTATTAAGGGTTTAAATATCGGTTGTAACACATCTAGATTAAAATGTGTGTCAGGAGCACTTTGTTAATGGTTCATATTTGGTTTATAAACATCTATAAACGTTACTTAGATTGTTGTTGTAAAGTTAGGGTTAGGTTTGTAAAATTGTAAAATTTATTAATGGTCTATATGCTATTTATTAATGATGGTTAAACGTGAATAAACTATCTGCTTACCATTTATAAATTGTCTTTTTACCATTTATAAGTTATGATTATTGTGAAGTGTTACTGTTAGTGTTAAAAAATGAATGAGAGGTGGAGTTTCCCACTGAAGAGGACTGAAAGATTATCAAAGGTTATTTAGTCACGTCATCGTTGCTCATGTTCATATGACCGACATTTAAGAGAGGCGTCATCACCCCCTTTGTCCTCACATTTCCTGTCTCTCTCTAGCTGTCCTGTCAAAATAAAAGCCCTTTACCCCCCAAATAAAAAGAAGATTATTAAAGCTTGTCTGTGCAGGATCACAAATAAGATAAACAGATATATCGTCGGTTCATGTTTCTGCTTAAAATATGATGATGATGATGATGATGTGGTATCAAGGAAGACGCATCAAAGTTAAATAGGAGTTTTAATGACTGCTTCTAATCTTGGTAAATCAACAGACATTAGTGTTTGCAGCAGAGTCTTGTTGAAGTTCAGCGTAGTTTAATCTAACTCCATGTATGTTGTAAAGTATGGCTGATTTTCTAAGGGTGCGAGTGGACATCTTCTCCCTGAAAACCATGACTCCTGTATAAAACCAGTTGAATATACTGACAGGGTCATTTGCATTATTCCCTGGTTTTGTTTTTTCCCTTATAAAGGCGGTCCGTGTTACCAAACCAAAGATCCCCGAGTCTATCAGGAGGAACTTTGAACTCATGTGAGTTTGTAAATTTTATACTTCTTTGCCTGTTCTCTGTGCATGTTTAAACATCTCTCCTGTTCTTCACCCACTCAGCCTCAGACCACACAGAAAGAAAAATATTTGCAAGAACCTTTCTGTGTGTGTGTGTGTGTGTGTGTGTGTGTGTGTGTGTGTGTGTGTGTGTGTGTGTGTGTGTGTGTGTGTCTGTGTGTGTGCGTGCGTGTGTGTGTGTGTGTGTGTGTGTGTGCAGGGAAGCAGAGAAGACTCGCCTGTTGATCACAGCTCAGACTCAGAAGGTGGTGGAAAAGGAGGCCGAGACTGAAAGGAAAAAGGCCATTATCGGTAACTGTGACGTGTCGCTGTAAATAACTCGGCTTTATTTGCATCTGAATAGCTCTTGTTTTAATTTTAGCAGTTCCCTCTTTCAGTCGTCCATCCCCTGTGCACTTGTCAACATGTTCCCATGTCTCACAGAGGCTCAGAAAGTTGCCCAGGTGGCAGAGATCCAGTTCCAGCAGAAGGTGATGGAGAAAGAGACGGAGAAGAAGATCTCTGAGATCGAGGGTAAGCATGCGCTGCTGCTGTTTTTATCCTGAGAGATAAATCCGTGCAGCTCTGTTCGCAGAAGCATGGAGTGAACTGGCGTTGTCACATGTCTGTCTAATTCAACAGTATCTCTTTGTTTTAGATGCTGCCTTCTTGGCAAGAGAGAAGGCGAAAGCGGATGCAGAATTTTACACTGCTGCCAAGTGTGCAGAAGCAAATCAGGTAAAACACAGTTTTGACTCACTGATATAAATAAACTCACATACAATCATCCGAAACAACTGATGGCAGTAAAATAGTTTAATATTTGCAAAAGATTCATCTGTATTTTGGAGAGAATCTGTAGACGAGGAACCCGATTCTGGATGTCATTCGTGTTATTGTTTATTCTTGTCCATGTATAATTATCCACTCGTGGTTCTGCGGTATCAGCTCAACTCAACTTTATTTAGATAGCACTTTACACACAACTGAGTCGATCTAAAGTGCTTTACAACAACACAGAGGAAAAAACAAAACAAAAGAAGAGAACAAACAGCTGATGAAGAAGAAGAAGAGCAGACTGAGTGACAGTTATAATAATAACCATAGCAATAAAAATATATTTTCAATACCATCACTATCATCATCATTCATAATAGTCATAATAATAAAAAAAGCAGCAGCAATAATAATAACGATGATAAAGACAACACATCATTTGATGCAGAGCAAAGGAAGCAGATCTTTTGGGCCATAAAACTAACAAGGAACCCATCAGATGTAATCGGATTTCTACAAACCCATAAAAACATCGAACAACAGCAGCACACAATTTGGTCATCTGGGCTACACTCAGGGGTCGGTTGTTGATTTATTGTTTATAATGACAAATGCAAAGAAAGCTGAGCCTTTAACCAAAAACTCCTCAACACTAAATTAATTATCTGAACCAAAAACCACCAAAAAACTGCGACTTACTCACAGAGGTTTTGTCGATAATGTTACAATTCCAAGATAATAACTGAGATATAAATTCTACATTATTACTTCAGCAAACTGCCTTAAAATTATAACCGCAGCTCCTTGATCATACAGATACAAACTGTTCCACCTACAAGTGGGATCTCCACTCCCCTGATGCTGGTTTTTTCACAGTCTATATGAGAATTCTGTGGCCTCAGCTAGGTCGCGGCCCTGAGGCTGGAAAGTGAGAAAAATGATAATGTGTATTACACTTTTTTCTCTTCTTAGCAGTACCTGTTAGTGGGTGATTCAAGTCCAGCAGCAAGTGAACACTTTGTCCTTGAAGTTGATGTGTGAGAAGCAGAGAAAATGAGCGGTGTAAGAATAAACCGCTCTGACAAGGACAAACCTGTTCTGATCAGAGGACCGGGTCAAAGCTTCAGTATGGCTGCCAGAGCCGACAGAAGAGATACCGGAGCTCAGACTGCTGAAAGATTTAACTCTAGGATATTATTCTCCTGTGGTTGACTGGAATTCAGTATTTTATGGCCTAAAAGTCAACATGTGAGACTTTCAAGTGTCCATGCAGATGCTACAGAGTGACGTTATGATGTATGGCACTGTATGGGATACTAAGAGCAGGCCAGACAAATATATCATGGTTTTTCTCATGAGTTTGACTTTTGAGAAAGAACACAGGCTTCTTTGATTATTTACAGAAGTCATGACTGATTTAATCCAAACCCCTTGAGCCGAATCAGACTCCGAGATCGCTTATCTGATTTGAGCGTAGACAGTGCGACACAGCGTTTGGCCGTTGTCGTGGGATGAACCGTCTCTTTTGCTTGTATCTTTATGGTGGATTATGTATCCTCCGGAGCAGAAAATGACAGTTCCTGTTTCTTTTTTACTGTATAGACTTATGAGAGCGTCTGACAGCACAGTCGAGGGGGAGGGCTTTAACTTCTGAGAAGCATCGAATGCTTTTGCTGTGATAGAAAATAATGAAAATACTGGCGTGAGGAAGAGTACACCCACTGTCGAAATCAAACACATTTGTCGCCAGAGTGACTCTTTCTGTTAGTCAGCATGTTTACAGATCTGGGAGTCTGGAATTCACTTCAGATTTTACCTTTAAAGACCCACTCCGATGAAAATCCTGTTTTTCTTGTTTTTTATATGTTCATTTTTCTGATGCTACAGGGCAGGAAAAATAAGTGTGAAATTGCTTTTCTGATTATTTCTTCATTCAAATCGTTGTGAATCTCCGGCAGACCCAAACAGAGGTAAACTGAGATTTCATGCGTAACCAATCCAAACTCTGCCCCCGGAGCCCCGCTGTGCCACACTCGAAAAAATAGAGAGGACGATCGCCGAACAAGTGCGTGCGTTATCGGATTGCAATGCTCGTAAGAAAGCTAATTATGATTATGTCCATAAAGACATTAGTGTCCGAGAGCTGAGTAGCTCCTCTGTTACCTGCCACGTCTACTAACGCGAAGACGAGTGTGCAGAGCAGCGCTGTCTCCGCCCACGACTCAGAGGCGAATTGCTAATGATCTACTGGAGCTCTGCAGAAGAAAGACCTTGAAAATGACACAGGTAACGCGATTTTTGGTAAAAACTCCATAATCACGATTTAAAGACCACTGAGAGAACATTTTAAGTAGTAAAAAAAATGATCAGAGTAGGACTTAAAGTGACTGCATATGTCTGCTACACGTTGCCGTCTGTCATTGCAGCTTTTCAGAGATGTACTGAAATGATATAACCCAGCTCTAATCTAATCTTCTTCTACTCTTCTCTGTCTTTTAGTTGAAGTTGACGCCGGAGTACCTGGAGCTGATGAAGTTCCAGGCTATAGCTGCGAACAGTAAGATCTACTTTGGCCAGGACATTCCTAACATGTTTGTGGAGGGAACCAACAACTCCCCCAAACCCGCACGCTCCTCTAACCTTCCCAACGAATCTCAAGACTTACTCAGAACCAAACCAAAGGGCCAGTGAGTCCTCGGCTCTGCCTCTGCACGGGACAGGAGAACCCTGCCGAGGACTCTTCTGTCTGAGAGGCTGACGGGTGGGACGGCTTTGCAGCTAGTGTGCTGAACGCACTTCCGTCTTAAATCTGGGTGGCACAGAGGAAGTGTGGAAGCTTACAGATGAACAGATGTGAGCGTTAGGATCGATGCCATTGTTTAAAATCAGAAGCATAATTGATGCTTATGCCTGGGAAGGCGACAGCGAGAAGTCGCCCTAATTTACACGTGCTTGCAATCAGTGCAGTGTTTAACTTTGCTGTTGGATCTGCATTAATTTTGTTTGTTGTATGCAAGAGGAGTGATTTGTTATGAAATGATTTTTTTTTCTGGTTTGTTTGAACTGGAATCTGGACAGGTGACACTAATTAAAAGTGCGGCGGTTTCTGTCAGGCGTGTGATGTGGGTAGGTCGTCCCCCTTCGTGCCATCTTCTCTCACACTAATTCACTGGTCGGCTCCTCTCTCCTATTACAGCGAGTCACACGAAGGCTGTTTAAACACGCTGCTTGTGGATGATACAGTTACGGCAGGTTGACTACAGCTGTTTCAGAGAAGCCCGCCTACATCTTCAGTGGGCTGACATTATCCAGACGTCAAAACTGAGCTGTGAAAGATTTTAAAACGATATCACTCTTTAAACAAGTGGCCTAACTCGGTTAAATTTTCACCTGAGCCTGCACAAAGTCAGACACTCATCTACAGATACTCGAGTCTTAAAGCTGGAGGGCTGTCAGCGTTCGTTTTTATAGTTATTATTACAGTGGTGTCAGTTTGGTGGTTGTGTAGTTTATTTTCTCTTTGTTTGGTGATAATTTGCTGTTACTAGTTAAACATTCAGCCACCACTGAAAGGCTTGAGATGCTCTTTTTTCCTCCTGAAAGTGAATTCAAGTTGATCCAGTTATATTAAAGGGACTGTTAAGGTGAAGCAGTTGAGTTTTTGTGCCACTGGAGGAAGTCCTGGTTTGTCTTCCTTGTAAAGAACCTTTTTTTCTTCCATCTGATTTTGATGATCAGGGCCATGCATGTGAACGTTTGTGGTGGCTTGATTCAGATGAGTAGTAGTGCCTGCGAATGTCTGCCAACCCTGTTTTTGTACAGCTTATTTAGAGTAAATGTGAATTCTCAGGAAAGTGACTTTTATTTTAGTAAAACAGCTGCTCATAGTGGGACAGAGCGGAAAAAAAAAATCCACAATCGTGCAAGAAAAGCTGATTAAAATTGGTGTTGAAATTGCGGGCGATTAAATCTATAAGGGGTTAAAGTGAAGTGATGTTTTGAGAACCCGTTGTCTAAAATAAAACCCTCCTTCAACAAGAATCAAAGTCCTCGTCCTCTTGAGGTGACGTTTTTATTGGGCCGTGTGTTTATAGGCGGCGTCCAAGACTTTGAATATCATGAGGACATTGGTCTGTCCGAGTAGAAATAGTCTCCTTTCCACTGTAGATGTTTACATTTCTGTGCAGCTGAAGAAGATTTTCGTCTTTGCTTAACACGTCGTTTAAGGGATTTAAAAGGAAACACAAGCACCACACACACGGCTCCTAATTAAACTTAATGTTGTTGAGCTTTGCTTTCAGTTTTGTGTGACGACATGAGAAACAAACTGATTTATTTAAAGATGAATGTCGATGAAAACTCTGGCCTAAAAAAAAAGATGCAAGTAGGTGCTAGTTTTCAGTCTTTGTGTTTGAACTTTTGATTTTGTTCAGCTCAGTTTGAGAAACACTGAAATACTTCCACGATTGAGAATTCAAGCCTTAAATAATAAACACGGAGTTGTTGATACTTAACGTTTAAAAAGCTCTGCTTAAATCAAACTGTGAGACTTCTGTGGAGCTGGTTTGACTGCACGCCGCGGCCTCAACGTAGACTCTGAGAAAGACAGAGCTATCAGTGGATAATACTAGTAACGGAAGATGTCATTATGTTTACTTGACCTCTGAATGGCTGCACTCTGCGTCTGCTTCGGTGGCGGGTTCAAATAAAGATGCAACAGAGGGGCATGAATCACTCAAAACCATAATTTTTCTTTTTTTTCTGTCAGTGTTTTGTAAAATCTGTGAAATTCAAACATTGTCTCCTTGTTTTAAAAAAAAGTTTATATGCAAAAGAAAGATGTTTTCAAGTTTTGACAATGTTCTTATGTAAAATAAAACCTATTTTGGTACCTCTCTTCTCCCCGTGACGTGTTTGTAATACACTTGTATGCCAACAGGAGGCAGCCTAACACTGTTGAAACTGAACGCTCTGGTTTAATGATTCACAGATTTCTGCTAAGTGGTGATGAAAAGAAAAATGACATCAGGTTACAGTTCAAGCATAGAGAGCAATGACCTAATTATGAGCTCAAATAAGCAGCTAGTGGATATGAAAGCTGACAGTCAGGGAATCAGAATTAGCTTTGTTGACTCTAATGAAAGGGATCAAACGTTTTAACCCTCCTCTGTTGAGAATATCAAAAAGTGGGAGAAAAAATGAGGAATATGTAGCTGAAAAAAGTTAAAAAGCGACAGATGTATGGATGGGTTTCAGAAAAGAAAAGTGCTTTGGAACAGTGGTGCATAATTTTGGTTTGTAGAAAATGTTTGAATATGGAAAAAAGCAGCAAAATGACTTTTCTGGCGGCGCAGTAAAACAACTGAAGTTAAAGGTTATTTCCAAAAAAATAAAGAAACAGGAGAACTCAAAGTTCCTGCACTCTGTGGGACACTTAAACTGCACACTAAACTTTTGAAACTTACTCACAGTTGAAATAATCACACTCACATTTTACGGCAACACTCTCAAGAAGCTACCGATGATTTGTTTTATTCATAAATGTTTATTTCTATAATGTGGTTTCTTCTTCTAACTTTACAAACAGTGAAATTGAGCAACGTGTCTTTGCTCCGTCAAGTCTTTTGGGTCAGAAAATGTCATGATTCATACAATCTGCACGTGTCGTCCAGTCACATATTTGAAGGTCTTGGTGGATGGAAACAGCCCGAGAATGATTCAGTGAGCAGCTACTGAAAATACACGCAATCCATCACACACTCCCTGTTTTTCTAACCCACATATTGTCTTGTAAACATTATAAAAACAGGGATGTGTTTGTCTGCAGGGTTTGTAAGACGGTCATCCCAAGAGACTTGAGTCTAAACCTCAAGTCCTGCCCTCAGCAGAAGCGTTCGGCCTGTGTGTGTGTGTGTGTGTGTGTGTGTGTGTGTTTGTTAGTGTGTGTGAGTGAGTGACCAGATGAAGGATAACTTCCTCTTTTGACCTTTTGGTCCTGGCAGGAATCTCTGGTGTCTGTTCACAGTGAAACCAAGAGTCCGTCTGAGGAAGAGTGTTTAGATTTAGATTAAGTCTGACCCAGATCTGGTCGTTTTTATGATGTCAGGATTTGAGTGAAATGTGATCACAGAGCGTGTTTGTAAGTGCAAATAAACTCCCCTCATCCTCCTCTTGTTTTAACTAGAAGTTTTTCATGGATGTCTGAGCTCTTCTTTATTGGGTGGTCTGATTTGGGGTCCACATCCAGTCAGTTTTAAACCCCCCACTAGTAGGATGTTGGGGGTCAAGTTCAGGGTTTGCTTCTTCCTGGATGAGGCAGCGCTTTTCTTTCCTTCCTTTTGACCTCAATCATCAGATCCTGTGTGATTCCTCTTGCCTTGACTCCTCCCTGGATCCCTCCTTCCCCAGAGATTCAAGGGTGTGGTCCCTCCTCTCTGACCGTAAGAAATCTGCCTCTCAAACAGCAGCATGATACTGAATATGATTCATCAGCGGCACGCAGCGCCATCATCAATAGCTGCTCTGTTCTGCTGTTTGCTCTCACATTCCTCTCGTGTGTGTGTTGGTGAAAACACACACTCGTACAAAGAGAATTAACTTTACTGTTTCTCACCACGGCTTATTCACCGGACGGATTTACGAGTCTTTCTGGAGTCACCTCATTGGTGCTTTGTTCTGGTTTAATACTCTGTTATTGTTCACAAATGTCTGATCAGTTCACGGGTTACTTTTTGTCCAGACTCTGATCCCGCGAACGAATTTAACTGAACAATAAAACAGCAAAGATCCCTCTTGGTGGTACGTTCAACAGTGGAACAGATTCTCGTGTCTATCTGAATCAGACATTCACAGTTATGGAAAGATCAGTGGCTCTTGTTATTGTTTGTGGTTTGTGTCTCTGCCTCCTCCGCAGCTGCATTTGTCAACAGGGCTGTCAATCATGTAATGCGTGTTGTGTAGTATCCAAAAACAGCTGACTAAATTAAGCTGCTCAGAAAAATATAAAAAGGAATCGATGTAAGAACTAATTAAAATGACAGAAACCATGTTAAGAAATCCGTTTGAAGTGTAGATAGTTTGAAGAATCAGGTCCCATCTGCTAAAGGGATATTCCAGCGTAAAATTAATTTAGGGTCAAAGACGCCGTAAAACCGAATTAGACACCCCCTCCAGAGATAAATGTTGCCGACTGCTTGTTTCTCTAGTTATACCAACTTTAGTAATGACCGCAGGATAGCAATACAGAGAGCCACGCGCTCAACCAAAACGCCACTCTATAGCCACAAATAATGCTCAGAACAGCACCTAACTTCATCAACAGGACATATAGGGTCTCAACCATAGTACTAGCCACCAAACATCGTTTTAACTTTGCCTAATTTCTTTAGTAAAGAGACTAAACACAACTCACCGACTCTCTTCCAGACCTTAGGCCAGTCCATTACGGACTACAGCGGGGTGACGCAGCTCAAGGAAGAACATTTATGAACATTTCTTCATGGAAATACAATCAGACCGAGACGCTAAGACAGAAGAACTACCGTGTCTGCAGTGAAAAATGATAAATATGGTGATTATTACTTCAAGGAAATGATAAAGTAATTATCATAAATGTTCTTCCTTGAGCTGTGAAACCCCGCTGTAGTCCGGGGTGCTGTTCTGAGCATTATTTGTGGCTATAGAGTGGCGTTTTGGTTGAGCGCGTGGCTCTCTGTATTGCTATCCTGCGGTCGTTACTAAAGTTGGTACAACTAGAGAAGCAAGCGGTCGGCAACATTCATCTCTGGAGGGGTGTCTAACTCGGTGTTGGTGTGTTTGACCGTAACTTAATTTTACTCCGGAATATCCCTTTTAAGGAATATCCCTTTTGAGGCTTGTGACCCAAATTACAACAGTGACAAGTGCACCAAATGGTTTGGCTACACTTTAGGGAGCTGTTGAGTCATTTCTCTTTCTGTGTTTGGTCTATTTCCTTATATAAAAACCTCAAAACCTCACAGCAGACAAACAAATGTGCCACATGTTTGAGATTCCTGTTTCCTTAAAAATTCATGAGGCCAAAATGAGGATTAAAAAAGGAAATGAAGATCAAAAAAGGAAGTCGGGCTTTTTAGGTGAAGTCATACCAGCTACGCTCATTATGAAGACTGATGTTATGCTGTTTTAAGAGAGTTTAATTATGAAAATACTGGCTCCATGTCAGAGGATTATTTTGCAGACAATCTTTAATATTTGAGTTCGATTTACGTAAATATAACTCTCCATAGCCAAAGTCTGATATTGAACCTGTATCCCAGTAGATCCAATTACAACGTACAGGACAAGATACATGAATAAACACAACAAGACAACGTTTGTAACAGCAGACGGCACATTTAAAGGCCTTCAACTTACTCTAGATCCGGGATGCTGGTCCATATAGAGTTTCAGAATTGTTTTATGAACATGAGACATTAAAACATGAACCTTGTCCCACAGATTAATGGTAATGATTCATATTCACTAATCAGAGCGTGGTGAGGGTTGGCCAGCCTGTATTTTGCTTTTCTCTGTTGTGTTGACCATCTCCTCTACATTTTGCCCATAAAGTTTCTTTCTTTGCTCTTGATTGAAATCTAACTTTTGTTAACTTGTCTTGACAGCTGTAAAGATAAGAACAACCAAGTGTTTTCCTGACAACTCCCTGCTGTGCCACCAACACACTGTCCCATAATTGATTTGGTTTGCTACCTTTGATTCAAGTACATTACACCTTTTTCTGAGATTGGAGTTTACGTGCCGCTATGAGGTTCATTTTTTAATCTTTTCAAGCTCAAGTTTAAGAAAAGTTTAAGTCACAGCAGCAGACAACTGAAGATGATTTTCAGCAGAATCAAGACGCCACAGCAGGAACGGTCAAACAGAGGCCGCCACACCCCACCAGGTTTAATCTGATATAATGATGGAAAAACACACCAAATTCAACTCGAGCATGACCTGATTCTAGAGATAGTGGAGTAAACCTGCTACTTTATAAAACACTTCTCTATTTCAATGCGTAGAGCTCAAAACGCCCTGTGGTTTCTCTGCCTGCCGCAATTGACTATATATGGCAATCTGTAAGCTTTGAACTACGTGAAACTCGGGTCAATTCCTGATAACTTGCAAATAGATCTTGCATTTGATCTCTAACCAACCTTGACACATTCACAGGAAATCTGGTTTCATAAATAGTAAATGGTGTCACCATAAAAGTGGAAGGAAATTACGGTACTGAAACTTTTGCTGCATGTCACCTTCTTTGCAGAAGAAAATTTCCATTTATTATGACAGATTAACTTGCTTATCCTTATATTGAAAAAGAGAGCTTCAGTCTTTTCAGTGTTTTCTGGGTTTATTAAGCACTTGGAGGGAAGTTAATTTGACATAAAACTGTCTTATCTCTGAAAGAAACACTCAAAAACTCACTTTGCAATTTCTGGAGGTATGCAACAATATCTACAGAATAGAGACAATGTTTTTTTCTTTTAATTATCAGAAATATGGATCATTTAGATAACCACCAAATGCACTTTGCTTGGATAGCTATAGGCAGAATTAAGATAAACATACACATGGTAAACAGACCAACTTTAACACTTATATAACTTCAGATTTTGAAACCATGTGTTACAGTTACACCCCTCCTGAAGTGTGTTGACAAATGAGTGTGTTGACAAATATTGAACATTGTTGTCAGAGAGGACAAAAGCTCTTGCCAAACGGCGGATGACTTTGATAACATGATGAAGATTGAAAAGTACAGCGTGAAGAAATGGGAATATTTAGTGATTTTTTGTGGTCAGATTCTTTGCTCACCCCTCCTGTTGATGGAGTAATGGTGTCACTTGAGGACAAGAAGCTCCTCTGATAGTTTTCCTTTTTATCTCAGACATGTAATCTTCTTCTCGTACCTTGACGTGTTTCGGTGGAAACTTCCGCCTTCTTCTTCTATGTAGATAATGTAAGAGACTTTAAACTAACACCAAAAGTGAGTTTTAACACATTACAGAGTCTGCCAGTCTGGAATAGGCTAAAATTTATATTGATTCCTTTTTATGACATCTGATTGACACAACTGGAAAGGTCCTCAAAGGAGCTTTAACATCACACTTTTTATGAGTTTATGTGCTCAAGGTCAAATCTCCAAGACCTGAATATGTCAGGACAGGAGTGTAACCTACATTTTATGACAATTTTGAGATTTATTCATTTCTGTTGCATCTAAAAACCTCACTTTTGATTATTCCACTGCATTTTCAACCTTAATATTTCTTATAAGGACAATGAAGTTTCCCTCGCTTTTAGTAGTGTTAAGATTACAGGCCCATTTAAACATCCACACGCACAAACACATGAAATCAATCACAAAAAAACAAGAAAAGCAATCCAAAAAGTGACGATTAACTGAAGGTGAGATTCTTTCTTGGTATGATATGACTTGTTTTTTGGTTTTGATTTGACAAAACAACTTGAGGGACAGGAAGTGCGTGGAGATAGTCATGTTAGGACTGGCAATTCATCCTTGTGGTCATGCAGGTCTTAGTGTAACCGTTTACATATTGTTGTTCGTATCAGAGTGCTTTTCCTTTCCCTTTGTACGTCTCCAAATGCCTCATCAGGTCTTCTATCCTCATGTCCTTCAGGTGAACCAGGTGCTCCAAACGGTTCACCTTCATCTGCAGGATCTGCACACACAGGCGCGAGAAGGATGTGATGAAGCAAGAGGAAGTTTATCTGTAGAGGTGTGAGTTATGTCAGTGATGAAAATAAACTTCCTCTAGTCAAGATAGGACATGTTGCACTTGGGTGTCGCTACTCTGTGTTTTTTTTTTTCTATTTTGTTCTCGACATACAGATGTGGATGTGTCCACAGGCAGAGGAAGAAAAAAAAGCTATATCCTGTGAGGTGGGTCTGACTCACTGACCACTGCTGACACAGCTCATGACGCATGCATCACACACACTTCTGAAAGCCTCTCTCTCCCTTTTGCTCACTCGCACACACACACACACACACACACACACACACACACACACACACACACACACACACACACACACACACAAAGATCATTTTTACAGGTAGTGTGTCTTTGTGTGTGTCTGTGAGTAACAAAGTTCTTCCCTGCAGGACATCAAAACGGAAAAGGATTGTGTTTGCAGATGTCCAACCAGTCAGCAGAGTGTTTCCCGGACTCAACTCTCTCTGTGTTGATGTGTGTGTGTGTGTGTGTGCATGTGTGTGTGTGTGTGTGTGTGTGCATGTGTGTGTGTGTGTGTGTGTGCGTGTGTGTGTGTGTGTACCTCCACCGTCTCCTGCAGAGCCATGAGAGATTTCTCTTTCTCCTGCAGGATAAGCCGTGAAGCGGGGTCCATGTTTTGGTAAAGGTGCACTGTTTGTTGGTGTTTACTGTACAGTTAAAGAAAGCGGAGATATATAATTACTGTAAAAGCTACAATTAACTAATTTAATCCACATTTATACCAGTATTTCAGGCGTACCCGTTCTTTAGTTTGATGCCGTCATCTTTTTTCCTTTCTTCTCCTGCCAACTGAGCCAGAAGTTTTGCCTCATCTTGCTGAATTTCTGCAGGCAGCGAGGCAAACTTTTTAAATGTCTGAACTTAAAATAAAGGCTGAAAAAACAATAAATCTAGTAAATGTTACAGACAAAAGTAGGGTAAAGGGAAAAGGTAAGGAGAGAGATAAAGAGAGGAACATGGAGGTAAGATAAGAAGACGGAGGAAGAAAAATGAGGAGGCCTTTAAGTCCAGCAGTGCTGAGCTCAGGCCAGCGATAAAGGCCATCTGGTGATGTGGGGAGCTGATATAGAGACCTGTGGTGTGTGTTTTTCTCTGTGTGTGTGTGTGTAAGGGTGGATTGGGTGTAGATAGAAGAGGAAAAAGCAGAGGGAGGAGCCACAGGTCTGAGGTCAGCTTTGCAGGGTACAGATGAGGTGTGGGAAACGGAAGAGGGGCACTCCCTAAAGGTCTTGTTATTCTCTAATCAGCTGTGTCTGATGTGGCTGATGTAGGTATGTTTGTGTCCCTGTGTGGTCACTGTTATCTCTGAGACAGATGAACATTCACAGGGGAAAAACTCTGACAATGTCAGGACAGGAGAGATAAGGCAGGAAGTAGATAAGATCTTGGACAAGTATCACTTTAAGAGGCAGGATCGACCTTTCTTGACTCATAAAACACCTTTACTTTGACTTAAATATGCTGATTTGTTTTTTGTTGGCAGCTGTTGGATGAAGCAACATTAAAAAACCGTCTAAAATTACACACACTTCCCTCCCTGTGCTAAAAAAAAACACAATTTTAGTCTCTGCAGTTTCAGTCGGGGTTACAGACCGACTGTGTCAGCTAATACACTCCACAGATGACACCAACATCAGGGGAAATTCTGCATGAGGCTTTAAGTCAAAACACAGTCATCATATTCTTGGTAATTCAGCGCTTCTGGTATCTGTATTTCACTTTATTTCCTTATTCCTCACATTTAACTTCTTGTGGTAAGAACTTCTGAATAGCTGTCATCACTGGTGGTGTCTGCTGTGAGTTGGTGCGAGGCTAAATTCTGCAAACTCCAGACAGAAATAAAATAAATCTGCACAATCACGCTGCAGACCTCTGTATGAAATCTGCTCCACAAACAATAGTCAACTGAGTGTTTAGTGGTGAAGAATAAGCTTATTTTAGGGAACTGCAGCTCTACCTGGATAATGTTTGTCTTGATTCTTGTGGTCATAGTATTCCAAATCCTGAATCTGGAATAAAAATATATAAATGAAAATACGATTAGTTTTAAAGCAACAATGAAATGTGTCTGTTACCGCAGAAAAAAAGGTGAGTTTAAGTGTAAAAAACATTATAGACCAGCATATTCTCTGCGGTGTGCTCCAGTTTCTTCTCTATCTTCTCCTTGAGGACCCTCAGTACAGGCTCTATCACTCCTGTTGTGTTCAGTATAATCCTCCTCACTGTCTCCTCAGGCACCACAAAGTTCAGCTTGGAAAACACCTTCCTGTCCACAAAGAGAAGTAAATACATTAATAACCGTAAACACATGTTTCCAATTAACAAAACCAGACACAATGGGAGCTGCAAACTAAAAGTGATTTAACTGGTGATGACAAACACTATAGCGGACCGAAGTGTTCACAGTGAGAACCATAAATCTGGAGCTGGCAGTGAGCCATATCTTTGTCCGGGGGACAGGCTGAGTGGGAGGGTTGGACTGGTTTTTAAGGACCAGATGCAGAGGCCCTTTGGAGCCCTGACCAAATGTTCTGCCTTAAGTAACCGCTTATCCTGAGCTTTGTAATTTTGTGTTGAAACTACCAAAGAAGTTTCTAGAACATGTTTCTGTGGGGCTTCCTCTTTGCATGTTACAGTCTAAACCTGCATTCTCACCAACTGTGTGTGCATAAACCAGTTTCTGGAAGTGATTTTGAGCCCATGCAGTAATTTCATATCTGTTTGGGCACAAAAGATCATGGATATCAAGTGTTTCGATTTCAGCTTTAAAGGGATATTCCGGCGTAAAATTAAGTTAAGGTCAAACACACTGTAACGCCAAGTTAGACACCTCGTCAAGAGATGAATGTTGCCGACCACTTGCTTCTCTAGTTATACCAACTTTTGTAACGACCGCACGATAGCAATACAGAGAGCCACGCGCTCAACCAAAGCGCCACTATATAGCCGCAAATAATGCTCAGAACAGCACCTAACTTAATCAACAGGACATATAGGGTCCCAGCCATAGTACTAGCCACCAAACATCTTTTTAGTTTTGCCTAATTTCTTTAGGAAAGAGACTAAACACAACTCACCTACTCTCTTCCAGCAGCCGCTTGTTTGTAGCGAGATCTCAGGCCAGTCCATTACAGACTGCTGTGGGGTGACGCAGCTCAAGGAAGAACATTTATCATCACATTAATCATTTTCACTGCAGACACGGTAGTTCTTCTGCCTTAGCGTCTCGGTCTGATTGCATTTATATGATTATATGATCATAAATGTTTTTCCTTGAGCTGCGTCACCCCGCTGTAGTCCATAATGGACTGGCCTGAGGTCTCACTATAAACAAGTGGCTGCTGGAAGAGAGTAGGTGAGTTGTGTTTAGTCTCTTTGCTAAAGAAATAGGTCAAAGTTAAAAAGATGTTTGGTGGCTAGTGCTGTGGTTAGGACCCTATATGTCCTGTTGATGAAGTTAGGTGCTGTTCTGAGCATTATTTGTGGCTATATAGTGGCGCTTTGGTTGAGCGCGTGGCTCTCTGTATTGCTATCATGCGGTCGTTACAAAAGTTGGTATGACTTAACAAGCGGTCGGTAACATTCATCCCTCGATGGGGGTGTCTAACTCGGTGTTACGGTGTGTTTGACCCTAACCTAAGTTTACGCCGGAACATCCCTTTAATCTTGACTGATTACATCTCACAGCTCATGAGATTTATTCTTGTATCTTAAAACATAAGAATGTTGTGCAAAGTCCAGTTTCTTGTCAGTTATTGAGAGATTTTCATGCTTCCATTTGCTAAAACAGATGTATGGAGATACAGATTTCCTTTAAAGCAGGGCCTGGCACACCAAAACTTCCAGAAACTAGTTTTCTGTGCATGATATTACTGTGTTTGATTGATCAGCCATCACGCCTGACCTAAACCCTGTACAGAATCTCTGTGGTAACATCAAAAGAGAGACACCAGAACTAACAATACAGATGAGCTTTTACTTTAATGAATTGAAAGTTAAATGAAAAGGAGCTTGTTGGTCTTCTTTAATCATATGAGAAGAAAAACAGGCTGCCCTTTTGTACCCTGCTACCAATTACTTATCAAAACACAGCTTAATCATACTGAACACTACATAAAAAGGAAGGGAACATTTCTGATTCTGTCCGTGTCTGGTCCATAAATTCACATGCATCATGAACAAACAAATACATGATTATGTTTCTGGTGTCTTGCCTGTTGAGAAGGCTCCAGTTACTGGACTTCTGCTGTGTGGAGCTTGCAGGAATATAGTTGTGCAGGTCAACAAGCTTTGGGAAGAAGTGTTTAACAACCTCTGCAGCCATGACTGCAGGAGGTTCAAGAAAGAGGCACAATCAGCTCACAAATAAGTAAATAAACAGGAGATGTAAGCACACAAACAAGTAGAGAAAGATTTCACGTGATTAATTAGAGGTAATTTTACTCCTGCGTCTTGTTTAGCTTCTTTAACCCCCCACAGCGGATTACCAGCAAAGCCAAACAAACCTCCGTCGCTGAAGTCTCTTGTAATGTGTCTTTTGGGCCGGGATAGGGGGATTTTGTCTATCCATGCGTACAAATCCTGCAGTTCCTCTTCTGTGAGTTCTCGCTCCATGTTTCTATGAGCTACATCTGTTTTTTAAGCAGTTTGTACAACCCCAAAAAACTGTCTCACGGAGCTAACTCGCTCGTTAGCCTCTCTGTAGACATGGTTGTTTGATGCGTTGCTAGGCAACCGCCGATCCAACTGACATGGCGTCCAGGTATAAAAACAGTACGGGAGAGTGGGGTAAGTTGAGCCAAAGGGTATAACACGGGGTAAGTTGACCATAGGAGACCACTTTTTTTGGCATGCTATATCATCAAGACAGTTCTGTTTACACTCATTCTGTTGGTTTGCAGGGATGAACAACATCTTGAAATATCTGCAGATACACGAGTTAGAGACAAAACTATGATTGACTTGATGTAGTGATCCGAAATATGAAAAATGGCTCATCTTACCCCACTCTCCCCTATAAAAAGAAAATGCAAAAACATCCATTTTTATGATTTATTTTATTGTAAGCTCCATTTTACAGAATAGAAGCGATCTCAATAAATAAGAAAAATACTTTTCAAATAAATTCAAACAAATTTCATCTGTTTGCAGGAAAGACCACAATTATTGGCATAAACAGGAGAGAGCTCTGTGATCGTGTCTGCTGCATAGAAAATACAATTCAAAAATCCCTTAAAGACAAAAATAATGCATGAATCAAGTCTGCAAAACAAAACAAAACTTGTGCATGTGATAATCCAGTCTCACAAAGTCAAGCATACTTACATTAGTACAGACATGGTTGAAAAGAAAAAAGTTCTCACTATGAAAAAATGTGCAAAGTGCCAACATTGGTGCAATATTTTAAAATCCCTTAACATTATTTCTTTAAAAAATTAGTACCAAATCTATGTGAAGGGATGGTAACAGTTAGTAAAACAGTTACAGCATCTATAGTGCAATTTCTTCATGAAGTTTTCACATATCTGAGGATCAAGGCAGAAAACATTTCCCTTAAAGAAGAAAAAAATCATCACGGCAGCAGAGCCATTTGTCGTTTAGAAAGCACAGACGTACAGCCTGTCAATCACGGCCTCAGGTTTTCATCAACATACTGAAGGCTTATGTAAGCAAGACACAGACGGCGGTAATCTTCAGGGAGACGATATAAGTGACAGAAGAGCTCTGTCACTCACTGTTGCCGATCCTTCGGTGGATCGGGTCCCCTCTTTACAAACAGAGGAGTGTGTCCTGAGACGATTTCAGGTCCCTCTCAAAAGGTCAACAGCAGCGTTTGCTGTAAAAGGATCACGGTGTTTACACCAGGCGGGGTTATTCCCTCTGTCATCTCGGCCTGCTGGGGGGCATCAGAGCAGTTTTGCCTGCAAGCTAGAAAAACAACACAGTTAACAAACATGCCACTCATGGTGTCTGTTTGTTAGTTTGTGAGTTATACCAATGCATTTTTGACTGTTTCTAAAGACGAGTATGTCTGTTTATATAAGAATAATAAAGTTTGAGGTTCTCTTGTCAAATTAAAAGTCTCCTCTCCTTTCAGCCGAACACAAAGGCGGACTGGTTACTCTTACTGACTCCCTAACACTCAGTCACTGCTTGTTCATCACACTGCTATGCTGAACATTGTCCAAAAACCACAGACGTCTCCATAAACGTGAAGCCTTGAATAACATAAGGAATGTCTGAATGCCAAGATTTGGAGGATTCTTAGGACATTGTGACTGCTGTCTGGATACATACCAGCAGAGTGTGAGGCAGCGGAGACGTGGCTGCAGAGGACTTTGGCTTCACTGGGGGCATGGGAGGCTTTGGCTTTGAGACCTGGAGAGAGCAGATGTTCAAGTTAGAGCAGCAGGGTAATAAAAGATGAACACGTGAGTGTAAATAAAAGGCAGCTGAAGACTGAAGGAGATGTAATCTTACTCACCGGTTTGGTTGAGAGTGGTGGCAGAGGTCTTGAGGGAGGTAGTGGCTTACTCTGACAAAGAGAGACCACAAAATTTTATTAAAACATCACTCTTTTGTTCAACCAAGCGAAAAAAACAAGCCTTTTAAAGAACCAAATGACTGGAAAAATCATTAAAATGTGAGTGAATTTTACCTCAGGGTAGACTGGTTTGCTTGAAATGCTCTGTGGCTGCATGTAGGGCCTTACAGCCTGTAGATAAACCATGAGTTTATTGATCAAAATACAGTACACAAAAACAAAAGTCTGCTACTCAAAATGCATTTCTTCTACATTTAAATCAACACAAAACCGTGACTCAAATTACCTGTTGCATCTTTGATGGCTGGGCCGCAGCAGTCTCTTTCATGGGTGGCTGATGGGGACAAAAACAGAGGGGTGAGTGGAAAATTGCAAACGTTTCAGTGTTTGCAGCTTTTTGTTAATGCACTTATGCTTAATGCAAACCTGCATCAAACGGGCTTTGCAAAAACACACAGAACTCATGTATAAAATGCAAAATGCTCAAATCTTGCAAACTGTATATCCCTCTTCCTGTGTTAGGGTCTGCACCGACCTGTCTTTGACTTTAAATGCTTAAAAGAAACACTTAAATTAGCTTTTTAAAAAAATCAATTGACTAAATTATAAAATGCTCTTATTAAACTTATGGTACTTGTCGTGTTAGAGTTGCTGTTGACCCGGTTAGAACAATACCTAATAATAAGAGCAAAAACTGAAATCACAAGTGCACTGTCAGGCACCACACCGACAGTCAGATCTTCTTCCAATCATGAAACATGACAGGCACAAGAGAAGGTCTAAATCACATGCACTGAGTGAAAGCAGCAGGAAAAATTTACTGATCAGATTTCTTCAATTAAGATGTAAAATTTTAATTGTTCGCTGTGTTAGATTTACGTTCTTGCAGAATAGGACAGAAAAGCGTATGCAAGAAAAGAGGAAGGATTTGAAACAAGAGTTGACCAACACCTTAAAACAACGGGTAAGTTGAAATAAATGCACACTCACCACTGGAGCTGCTCTGCTGGGCTTCATCGCTCCAGTTTGCGGTTTCACGGGAACGGGGGTCAGAGGTTTACAGGCCTGAGTGGCCGAAGACTCCACAAATATAGGCTTGCTGATGTGTGCCTGCCCGACCCGAGGGCTGCTGCGAGTGCTGCTGGACTGAAACAAGGGGTTGAATTGTCCTGAGGTAGATTGGAGGTTTCTGTAGAGAGAAAGACAGAAAAACTGCAGTTACAGATGGAGGTGGTAATGGAGGTGGTTTCTTGTTCAATAATTTCTCTCTTTCTTCACCTCTTGGCAGGACGTCTCTTTTTCAGGCAGCACATCAGACTTGCGATAACCACGACCAACAGCAGGAGACAGCCAACGGCCAAAGACACAGCTAAGACCACCGTCCTGCCTGTTTCTGCTCAACACACACACATATATACACACATTAGCCATGAAAAAGTACTTTTTACTTCTTCTTACAGTCTTTTTACTCAAGTAACTGTACTTCTTCTCGGGTAAGGAATGTGGGCAGCTCTATTTACTGCTTGAGGACGAGCATTTGGCAGCACGTCACCTGTTCAGAAAACAGAATGATCTGTGTAACGTCATTACAGCGTTTGACTAACAGGGGAATTCCGTCCAATCAGTGTCTGTCTGTGCTCGTCAGAACAGAGCACAATTGTTTCAGGGTCCACGAGAAGTCTGCTTCAAGTATTAAATCTTGGTGGAAAAACAGAGACGCAGTCTTGTGTGAAGCGTGGTCATTAAGAGGTCAGACACACTGATGATGGCTGTCAGCGCTAACATCTGTGGACAGGCGAACAACCTTGTGCCGTACCTTCAGGGATCTCTGACAGCTGAACGTTACAGTAAGGCGGGGCCCACCCGGGGTCGCAGTGACACTTCCTCTCGTGGTTACAAACCTGTGGAAAATCACACCCACAGTATAAGTGTCAAAATGTCATCACTCTAAAAAAAGCACTCAAGTAGTAAACAGCAAGAAAAAACATGGGAATGAATCCTGTTTCTTATTTTTGATTGAATTATCTCTTTTTCTTGAAGTCTTAACTCATCTTTTTTGTTAGATCTATGCCAGCTGATAAAAAAGACGGATTAATTTACTCTCCAAACAGATGTCGTATTTGACGATTTAAACATGTTTCTCACCCCGTTGTTGTTGCATTTGGCTGAGCACTCATCTGTGCCGTACTCTTTAATGTTGCTGATGTCTTGACACTGTTGGTTGTAACACACCTGGAACAAAAAAAAGACAACGCCACAGTGAGAACACTGACTCTGTTCATGTGTTTGAAAGTTTTGTTGATGCTAACAGCAACATGAGTCACGCTTCCTCCAAAAGTAGCCATGACTTTTAGACAAAGGAGCTTCCTCTCAAGGGATTAAAATTTCATGTCAGCACAGTTTTTATGAGTATCCACCGCAGTTTATTACTGATCTGACAGGTGAAAAAGACAAACCTTTTCAAAACAGTTAAACCCGAGTCATTTTCTACCATTTTTGATAGTAACTCTAATCCAATTGATCATCTTATCACCTGTTTTCAGTATTAAAGGGATATTCCAACGTATAATTAATTTAGTAATGACAGCAGGGTAGCAATACAGAGAGCCACGCACTCATCCAAAACGCCACTCTATAGCCACAAATAATGCTCAGAACAGCACCTAACTTCATCAACAGTACATATAGGGTCCCAGTCATAGTACTAGCTACCAAACATCTTTTTAACTTTGCCTAATTTCTTTAGCAAAGAGACTAAACACAACTCAGCTACTCTCTTCTAGCAGCCACTTGTTTGTACAAAGAGCTCTGGGCGAGTCCATCTACTACAGTGGGGTGCCGCAGCTCAAGGAAGAACATTTATGATCATTTCTTCATGGAAATACAATCAGACCGAGACGCTAAGGCAGAAGAACTACCGTGTCTGCAGTGCGAAATGATCAATATGGTGATTATTACTTCAAGGAAATGATAAAGTAATGATCATAAATGTTCTTCCTTGAGCTGCGTAACTCCCGCTGTAGTCTGTAATGGACTGGCCTGAGGTCTCGCTACAAACAAGCAGCTGCTGGAAGAGAGTAGGTGAGTTGTGTTTAGTCTCTTTGCTAAAGAAATGAGTCAAAGTTAAAAAGATGTTTGGTAGCTAGTACTATGACTGGGACCCTATATGTGCTGTTAATAAAGTTAGGTGCTGTTCTGAGCATTATTTGTGGCTATAGCGTGGCGTTTTGGTTGAAGATCCCTAAAGGTCCCACTTCCCTGTGAGAGACTCTGAGGGTTAAATGCAGCTTTGCATCTGTCCATCATCTTCTTACCTTGTTGCTGCCACACTTGGTGCCAGTGGGCACTTTGGGCAGATCTGCAGGGTATTTATCCTCAGGTTTCATCTTGGCCTCATTACAAGCTTCCCCATTTCCTAATTGTGAAAAGGACTTCATGGATGTTACAGGAAAATCCCAACCTCCAGTACAATAGAGCGTCCCACAGGCTTGATCTCTGTGACCAAAAAAACAAATGAAAGCCAAAGCATTAATCAAAAACTTCTGCAATGTTTTAACCAAAATGCTAAAAATGCTGGTTTTCTGGTTGATCACATACCGGCCTGGACATTTCTGGCCAAACATCATCCTTCTGCAGTTTCCAAGCTGGTAGAAGCAACCATCTGCAGCTACATCAGCATCTAAACACAATTCAAACAAATAAGATGATGGCTGCAGATGTCAAAGTCTTAAAGCACATCTCATGTAAACGCTCTCTGGTGTCTTACCTGGGCCCCAGAGCCTCTTGCAGTGTTCCTGTCGAGACGGACACTGTCCGTTGTAGCAGTATCCCTTCCCCCGGTTGCACGACCGGCCGTTCTGGGTGTAGGCGTCAGCTGGGCAGGAGGCGGAGAAGCCGGTGCAGTATTCAGTGAGGTCACAGTCTCCTGTCTTCAGTCTGCAGACGCTGCCTGTTGGTTTCAGCTGCAGAGCGGAGACAAACAGATGGTGGTGTACCAACTATTGAAATATACGCACTCACAGACAACTGTCCAGACGGCGCAGTCAGACAGTGTCTAGATTTATGGTAACACATTTAGCATCAGTTGGATTTCATGCATCTAGAAAGAATAGTGAGTATTACTCACTTGGCAGTTATGGCAGCACTCCCCCTCTGCACACGCAGCTCCTGCTTTTAGTTTGCAGGTGGTGGCGTTACAGCATGGATTCTTGCATTCCTGTGAAACAGACAGACAGATGCATGCAGGATATGAAGATCCGGTCTCATTTCTGCTCTGAGTGCACAGATGGGAATCAAGAAAGTACAAATAACTCCTGAATGTGCATGAGTAGAGTTATCAGACATCTTGATTTTACTGCAGTATCTCTTATTCTCTTATTTGTTTAACAAGTATCTGTATTTTGCCACTTGATTTCTTGAAGCAGACCTGTCATCTTTCATTGGTTGCATCCATGCAAGCTGTCCCTAAATACCAGGACTGATTACAACCCAAATATTGGGGAAAGAGCCTTGATACATGTTGCAGTTTTCATTTTTGTTTTTCGTCCAGCAGAAATGTAAGTTGTAAATTCATCAAAAGCTGTACTTTACATTTTCAAAACAACAAATAAGTTGCTTGAACACTTTTATCAGCATCTATTTTTGCACAAGTCCAGACCTCTACGGTGCCGCAGTCGCACTCCTCTCCCGGCTCTACAAAGGCGTTTCCACACACAGGCCCTCCGTAGACGCGGTCAGTCGTGGGAGTATCCAGCAGACAAGCAGGGTCAACCTCGTCCAGGAACCTGCTGAGCTGCTCCTGACTGCAGCTGCTGAACAGCTCTGGATACACAAAGCTGGAAGAAGAGGTAGCAAGAAAGAGGAGAGGAGAGGAAAGACATTAGTTTAATTCAAGATTTGAGAACGTGATGTTAATGTGAAGGTGAGGAATGAGGCTTACCCGACGCTTTCGGACATGATGCAGCCTTTCTTTGAGATGGAGGAGCCGCAGACACAGTTTTCAGTGTCGTGGGACAAGCCCAGATTGTGACCCATCTCGTGTGCAATAGTAGAGGCCACTCCTATGGCGTTGGAGTTATGGTCCTGTGTGTAGAGTAGAAAAGAGTTCGTTATAGAGGAATTATGTAAGCCAACACAAGCCCACACAATTCATCTATGTGCTAAAGATATCATAATTATCACCATGCTCAGTGAATGTGCAGGTTTCCTTTTTTGTGCTCATTAAGCAAACATGAAGGTAAGTGAAATTAACACTGTGCATTCTCATCCACTTCCCTTTAGTTTCTACATTTTTACACAGAAACCTCACATTTATCAGAACAAAAAAGTGTGTTTACCTCGTTGACAGCTCCAGAGTTGGAGGTGCACATGGCGTTGGTGTTGGCCAAGCCGACAGTGGAACCGTCAAAATCCACACCTCTGAATGGAGAAAAGCATCACGTTTAGACACCAAAGAACAACAGTTTTACACTTTATCTTCTGAAACAAAGAGTTTATTGTCTCTAGACTTCATTGTCAGTGTAACTTTCTCCTTTGTAGTACTTTTAAATAGTATTCATAAGTAGCAACAGCCTGTGCAGCTTCAAGAAAAAGTTATTTAAAACTTTGTCCTAGGTAACAAAAGAACTTTGGAAAACTCAATATTGTCTGCCAGATGGTAAAATCTAATACTTTCAGGTGTTACAATTCTGTTTGTGCTCGCCTGAGAATAGGCTGCTCGTGATTGGAGTGGATTATTCTTGACTATAACCTTCAAGACAGACAAAAAAAAGCCGTCACGAATTCAGTGTGAAGCAGACATTAGATTTAACTCTAGAGAAAAACCGCTGCACCATCCTGATATTTAGTGCCTGACTATGCCCTCCATAATGAAACCATGAACCTTGGTCATCTGTAGAAGCTGACCTGACTGATTCTTTCACCCTGTAAGGCTGATGAAGTTTAATCTCCCACTGACACTCTCTCCTCTGTTCCTCTCACATCTTAAATGAGCTGTTCACAATCACGCCACCGAACAGAACTCTGTTTACTTGTGCGGTTAGCTGAGGACAGCAGAGTCATCTGAAAATATTGTCATTGACTTTGGAGTGGGGAGTCCAAAACAGTCAAATCTTACGTGATGAACTGTGCGTTGTCGTGTTGAGTCCTCAGCAGGAGGGAGCGCTGCCGCCACTCCAGGAAGCGGCCGAGGGTGACCTCAGGACTGGTGCTGACATCGATCTGATCTCTATAAGACCAGATATCCACGCCGACCAACATCACACGAATGTTCAGGGGTCTGTAGAGCTGAAACAGAGCAGTTTGACAATCGTAAAACTGAATGAAAAATCAAGTATGTTTTTTACTAAGTCAATCATGTGAAGCTTCAGATCCAGGTGCTTCGCTGACAACAGGAAATCATTGTTGAGTCTAGATCTGTCTGAAGATGCAGCCATGCTGGCTCTGCTTTATCAGAGTACGCATGGAGGATAGTGCGAGATGTGTGAAAATCTTCAGCTTGGGTGTGAAGATTCACAGTTAAAGTTAGATTTTCTCAGCGAGAGAACTTCTCCTTCCTTTAACTGGTCAGATTCCAGTCAGAAAAGAACAAGTAGTATCAGGACAGATTTCTTACTCATGGATGCGCTGTAATGAAAAAAACCCTCAACACCAATTATACCAGCAGAAATAGATAAAAAGCAGCTGGTGCAGAAGGTAAATGGATTAGAAGGTTACATTTAAAACCTTTTGAACTTTATCAATGCAACCTTAGATACCTTTCCAATCATCTAAGTGAATCAGAGACACAAACTCACCTTGTCCACGTGGTTTGCTACTTCAAGCACTCTGGTCTCTATTTTCCTCTTACTGCCAAACTTCTTGTACTAAAAAGTAAAGTAGAAATAAATCAGTGGTTCAATCAAAGGACCTTCAGATATGAAAGATGAGACAAACATGTTTTAGGGCAAAAGTGCAAAAACCTTAGGAGCAATATAAGTACAACAACAACAAACTTAGTGAGAGAAGAAAACAGAGAAACAAACAAACCTCTGTGTTATCGACAACCACAACCAGCTCCACCGTCCTGGGTTTCTTTTTGCGATCTTTTCTCTGAGCTCTGCTTTTCTGAATGACACAAGAGGATCGAGATATTATCAGCACTGAAAGTGTTAACACATACTGTATTTCTCTTTGATGGCTGGTAATAAGTGTTATAGAAATAATACAGATTTACACACATTTGACCTAAACTTATTATATAGAACTTACTTATCTCTTTATCATTGACTTTTTTTTACTATTTAACTTCACAAACAATATCATTAAGTGGTTTGCAAACGTAAAACAGAGTAAACAAATCCTAAGTATCAGGATCGACCACACAGAGCCTCTAAAACTGACGATGAAATTTGTATAATTCACTTAATCTGGAATAATCTAAATCAAACTTGAGCATGACGTCCAGGGCCGGAGCCAGGGCATGATCATAGGGTGGCCATGGCCCCCCTCAAATCTGATCTCAGTGGCCACCCTGAAATCCTGAACCTCAGTAGTCTAAAAAGACTCACATTAAACTTATTCAAACATATAAACATATAAAACCTATAAATCCTATAAATAGGATTTGTTTACTCTGTGTTTTACGTTTGCAAAACACTCAATGATATTGTTTGTGAAGTTAAATAGTAAAAACAGTCAATGATAAAGAGATAAATAAGTTCTACATCATAAATGAAATGGTTGCTTCCATGTACAAGGACTCTCTCCTTGTGTAGACATAAAAGGCTGATTGTAAGTTAACAAAAAATATATATATATATGTTGTGTTCATGTGGCTATACAATATAAATATTAAATTAAATTTCTCTTGAAATTGTCCTGCTAAGAGACTGGATGTGATTTAAGGTCTGGATGTCCAAAGATGATGAAATGACTGTCATGTTCATTTTGCAGAATTGTACTGATCCCAAAGCATCCATTCAGATATGAATAATGATCTTTGATGATCAAGAAGGAATTGTTTTTGACTGATTTCAGATTTATTACGGCTCAGCGCCTGCACTAGTAAAAAGAATTTTAGGGGTCTTTTCTTGCATGAACTCCTCTGAATAAAATTCTCACCACCTTAACTCTTCAGGCTCTGCTGTATCTGTTTACTTGTCCTTGCTGTGTGTCCTTACCAGACTGCTGAGCTTGAACAGTCCAGCTGAACGAGCGCCATGATCATAGTACATGGTTGTGTTTCCATGGGAACAGGAGCTCCGCTTCTTTCTCAGGTGTTGATAGTCGTAGACAGCGTGGAGAACCTCCCTGCCGTGGTCCTCAGAGCTCTGCGCCTCGTCCTGCTGTCCCATCTCAGCACCGGTAAGAGGTTCAATGAGGTACATTTGGTCCTGGAGACGCACAAAGCCCCTGTAGTCGAGAACAAGAACTTCAGTACGGCTGACTCTCAAACGGCTTACATTCAACTTCACTTACAAGACATCTTACAAAGCAGAAAGAAGAGGGTACTAGAGTGGTTTGTACGGCCTTTGTACACTGAGTCACAGATCTCAGACACAGGATTGATAACAGTCTGAAGTGTCTTGGTTATGGATGACTTGGATGCTATGGGACTTTGGATTGGACACACAGTGGCAAATCACCAAGAGTTTTATTAAATTCGGAGCCTTTATTAGTAAGGCAATAACCATTTTGTAATTAGAGACATTGAAAAATCAAAGAAATACCTCTGGCATTACTCACTTTATTCCTGAGCACAGTCCCACGCTGGCAGATGAGTCCTCCATGCCCACGACATGTCCATGATAGTAGCAGTGAACCTGAACACATCCATTATTTGTTACAAAATCCAAGAAGAATCCAAATTTGGACACATCTATGATAGAAAATTTTCACGGATCATTTTGTTCTATGTGTGTCACAAGCCACTGGATCCACATCATGACCTTATATGTCCCTTCCTGTTCCACATTTGCATCAGGATCTGCAGTGAGTGTCACCAGTTTGCAAATAGAGGAACTTAATTGTTGAGAAATTTAGTTTCATGACATCTGATATCTTAAGACAGATTGCAGACCCTCTTGTGTATTGCATAATTCGTATTAAAAGTCACTCTGGAGGATGATTTACAGTTAAATAGTCAGTAAATTACAGTTTGTTTGTTTTTTTTCATATTATCCCATCTTTAAAAGCTTGACAGATAAGAGTAAACGTGTTGTATTATGGAAGATAATTGACCATAAATAGGTCAAACTTATCAATGAGGGAAAAAAAAAACTGCTTTTCCTCTAACACTCAAGAGCTGCAACTTCAGACTCACAAGAAAATAGTCACACCAACATTTTTTAACAGCAAACTAACTGTAACAAAACCACTGAAACTAAGTGGGCAGTTGGCGCAGGATGTGTCTTACTTTCGAACTAGCAAAGCAAAAATTACATAGTTTGGTCCATGTGCCAGCCTATTACAGACTTCTGAATCACCCACATATCGGTTTTATTTAACTGCTCAAAGAAAATGAATGAAGTGAAATGAAATGGTGATCCGGTCTGACCTCAGTGCACGACAATTTTAACCAAATCAAAGTTTTATCTGTCTTAACTCTTTCTATATACATTATACTAGATAGACTAGGAGATATATTCAAACTGCATCTCTTGCATTGCCAGCTGGTCACAGACTTTGAGATTATGTTGATTTTTGCAGTGAAAGAAAACAAAGCTACATACCCCTAGATCTGGAGTCGTTGTGATCTCTTTGCCCTCATCAGAATAGTGTGTCACTGTGAAGTTTTTCCCAATAAGATCTCTGAAAGAGAGTTTTTCATGTCAGATATACTGAGGGCACCTCATCTGTAAAAATATTTAATACATGCAGAATCAAAAGAAGACAATATCATGTTATCTCACTTGTTCTTTTCCAGGTGCAGCGTATAGTTCTTCCCAGCTATCACCAAAGAGTACCGGAGTACATCAGGGTATGTCTACACACACAAACACAGTTGAGGAAACTTTAATGCATGTTAAACTAAGTGTTATAAAGACGTATTTTGAGTTAACAAAGAAGTTAAGAGTTTGTTACCTGATGTGAAGCAGCATCATCAACCTGAGATGAATCTTTGAGCCTCTGAGGTGTCACTGTTTGGTACTTCATCACATGAGGAAGAGTCCTCACACTGCCGGCAATCATTATTCCTGCAAGAATAAAAGGAATGTTTCATAAAAAGAAAAGAAAGAAAAGAAATTATGGAAAAGAAAGGAGAAAAAAAGGAAACAAAACAAGAAAGAAAAGAATTCGTACCCCATAGGGAGAATAAAATCCATATCAAAAATCCAGAATCTGGCATGTTGCTCTATCAGACGCTCTCTGTCATTGTGTGCTTGGCAGTCTGAGGGAAATACCGAGGAGGCTGTTCAGCTCTCCGCCCCTCTCTGCTGTGTAATATCCTGAAAATTACCATTTGAAGCTGAGAGACCACATGAGTCACAATCTGAGCCTGTAAAAGAAGTTTAGTGCTGCGTTTATAACAAACAGAATATAAAGTGCTGAGTTGGCCAAAGGAATTAACAGTGATAATTTATTCACAGTTAAAAGCAGCAATTAACGTCACTCTGAAAGAAATGTGTCAAAGTTTGTGGAGCGCGTTTTTACAAAATTATTCTCTCTATCTGTAATTTTTTTAGTAGCTAGTTCAAGACAAAGCATGTCAGTATGTTTCCATTTTCTAAGACATTTTTTGTTCTCAGATTTTAGTGTGTTACCGTTTACCAATAAATTAGTCACTTTCTCATAACAGAATAGACGCTACATCAACATATATGTTTATTTACACACAGAGTATCTGGTACAAAATAATGTTACTTAGTTAAAATAAACTTCTCATTCATTAAGAAAGTAGTCTATCATAGCACCCCTTAGCACTGTCACTGACAGCAAAGCCACAAGTTGTGCTCCCAGCCTTTATTGCCACCTACTGGTTAAATGGGGGTATAGATACTCACCCTCATTGATTATATTTTACCTTTTGTTGTTTTCTTATAAAAGAAAGCCTAGAGTGAGGCAAATGTGAAGCTTGTTTGCTGCGTTAGGTGGATTAAGGTAAGAATATAAATTAAATTTTGGCATCTGAATATTCATTTATATATCAAAGTGTCATCATCATTAAAAATGGCTTGTTTACCTCTGTGTTTCCTCTTCTTTAGCAACACTGTTAAGATTTCGGAAACACGTAATATTTAGTTTTATTTTCATGTGTTCAAACATAAATCATATTAACACAAACGCATAAATTCAGGACAAAGCAGAAAAAAGAAAGATTTTTTTTTTTCAAATAAGTAAATAGGTGCATACATAAATAAATAACACCCAAAATGTACTGTAGTGTGGCAGTTTTGTCGGCCTGTTCAATATCAAAATCATATTCATAGTTTTTTCTTATCTGTATCTCAGAAAAGGGTAACATCAAACAAAGTATTTATGGTAATTAAAAAAATAATAATGACACATCGGCCAAGCCTATACATAAATAAGTTACATAATAAAATACAAAATAAACTACATAAATTTATGCAAAACTTTGTAAGATGTGAAGTATCTCTTTAACTTACCTGACAGTAGAAATCACATCAAAATGTCGTTTAAAATTGTCATAAATTGACCCCCGTCGATTGAAGGTAATTAAAAGTTTGGTCAAGTTTAGCCAAACTAGGCTTTACTACTCCTAAGGGTTTAAAAATCTACGGTATTTAGATTTTCGTTTTGGTTTTTAAAGCTTATTTTATCGAGTGTGATAACATGTAACGTGTTAGTATGTAATGTGACCACCTGAGGGCGACAACGTACCAAACCGCCAAAATTTAATGACATCATCATTGTGCGACAACTACAACCAAAACATTTGCTTATCATTTCAGTCAAGAGAGAAGGGAAGTTTCTGGAAACGATGTTACAGCCGGATTTTGTCCAACTCCAGTCTGAAGGACGTGATTTAGTTAAAAGCTGCGATGAGAAGTGTCCGCCTGAAGGAGAGGAGGGAAACCCGTTTAACTTCACCCCACAGCTCATCCGCGTGCACAAGGACCACGAGCTGTTTGAGGTAACCTTAGTAACAACACGCCAAACGTTCTGACCGTTACCTGCAGATAACAGACCGGTCCGATACTGACCGATACTTATTCTGCATACGTTCTAATATCGGTTATCTTCACATACATGACCTTAACTTGACTGAATGACTGTTGTTACAGGATGGAGACATTCAGAGACACCTGTACCTGCAAGACCTCTACATATCAGAGACGGAGGACAAGCCAGCACTCAGGTGGGTCATCAAAAAAGACCTGTCAGTGCTGATGCACAGGAGTAGAGAGGTAACTTCAGTCTTTATTAGAAAACCAAACAAAATTAATGTGTAGATAATGTCACTTTTACTATAACATGTCTTGACTTTTGAACTTTGGATACTTGGTATTTTTACTCTGTCAGGTCAAACTGTTTTGAAGAAGAAACTCAAGACTCACCTTTTTAACTAGGATTTTCATCAACTGCCTTTTTATATTTCTCTTATGTTCATTTTCATCGAAGTTCTTTTATTTTACGTCATTTTTATCTCTGTTCTTAGTTTTTTTTTCTTAATTTCCTTCTTAGAGGTTTTTACTCCTTTTACCCCTTTTACATGGTAAAGAGCTCTTACTTATCTGTTCATTTAACATTATTTTCTTCTTTTAGTCCATCAGGTTTTAGTCTTTCTTTTTACCATTTTATTCTTTCTTTTTTATTTTTATCTTCAGTGTTTCCCAATGGTAGCTTTTTCCTCACGTAATGTCTCGGTGTCAGGACTTTCCTCTTTAACAATATATCTTAAATTCTCACACTGCGTGCGCTTGTGTGTGTGTGTGTGTGTGTGTGTGTGTGTGTGTGTGTGTGTGTGTGTGTGTGTGTGTGTGTGTGTGTGTGTGTGAGTCCATGGGTGTGTGTGTGGGTGGGAGGGTCGGGTTTTATAGTTGTTAATTGTTGTTTTTAGCCTCTGTGAGAAACTTTGAACCATATTTTTGTCTGAAAAGTGCCATAAAAATACAGTTAATGAATTTGAAACTTCACTTTAGGTGTGCACATATTAGGATTGCATCATGCTCAATGTTATTGGCTTAATGCCGACATCCTCAAGTAAAAACTTAACGGGGTCAATATTGTATTTGCTGACAGTTTACAAGTGCCAACGATCGGATTCAACGAGTTGGCAGTTTGGACGTATTTTTAAAAGTCATAAACAGTCTACAAATGAGCTGATTGTGATGCAAAGAGGAGCAAAACGGCCCTCCTTACCAGTCTGGTTCAGTCACCGTCGTGCTCCTCTTGTCTCCTCTCAGTCTGTCAGAGTTTGCCTGTCACATTTCTGGCTGCAGTGCAGTCTTCAGCACTTTAGAGGAGTATGAGCACCACTACAACTCCCTGCACAGACATGTGTGCTGCTCCTGCCGGCGCTCTCTGCCAAGTGCCCGGCTCTTGGATATTCACATTCAAGAGTGGCATGACTCTCTCTTTACGATCCTCGCCCAGAGACAAGATATGGTAAGTCAGTGGCAGTTGTTTTGGGGGGTTGTGTTCATTGCTATCACATCATTAACTCCATTTAAGCTTAATTTTGAGCACAATGTCATTTTTTATATCCGCCAATGACTTAAAGGCTTCTTTCTGTTTAACCTAAAATCAGAAATAGACAGTTAGTCCTGCTTTGTGCAACAGATTATTTCCCATGTCCAGATCTTGGCCAAATTAAACACAAATATCCTGTAATGCCGTTTATCTGAGCTGCTGCCTGATGCTTCCTTCACACTTTCAGTACCAATGTCTGGTGGAGGGCTGTGGACAGAAGTTCAGGACGAGTCAACACAGAAAGGAGCATCTAATAAGAACTCACAAGTATCCTCCAGACTTCAGATTTGACAAACCCAAAAAGGACAAAGGGTAAGACTGAACTTTTCATTTATAGCCACTAGATGGCAGCACAGTGTCAGTACAGATAGTCTTAAAAGGTTAAACGAGTAAAAACATACTCACCATTGAATTTAATCTTTCTAAAAATTGCTGAAGCTTAAACATTTACAATTTTTTTTCATATTTTGTCAATATCGCATAATGCAGACAGTAATCAGTGCCAACTTTTCCTCAAAGTTACTTCAGAATCTTGACTTTTTCCAGCTGTCCTGATCCCACAACAATAAACAATTTTTTTATATTTGCTGAAATAAAATCACTTTTGTAATTTTGTATTATTTTTTATTGATGTACACAGAGAGAAGAAGAGACAGCAGCAGACAGACACAGCCATGGAGGTAGCAGACAGTGTGTGCGAGTCTGAGGGTGTGTGTGAAGTTATGTGTGATGTGCCGCCTGACCAGCCTGAGTCCATGGAGACGCGTGTGTTCGAGGGAGAAGCTGCTCACACGGCAGAGTCTGAGGGGCACACAGATCTATCTGCAACAGGCCACAGCACTGAGAATACAAACTCTGAGGCGGTCAAACCACGATACTCATACAGGTTAGTGTTCAAAGACAAGCTTGATGTTGTCTAATGGTGTGTTTACTTTTTGCTCCCTCAAAAAAAACCGAACATGTCATCCAAGTGGAGAAAGTTTTAGGGCTAACTTCTAGATTTTAGAGCCATAAGGTTAGATTTTCCTCTCTTCAAAGATTAAAATTAAAGAAAATATAGATGCATCACTTATTCTCTGTGTTATATATTTTTTTTTCGCTGACAATGAGAAAAATTATTGCTGTATTTTTAACATCTAATGAAAAATTACATCCATGTTCGTGTCCCACAGGGTCCCTGCAAATGTGTGCTTTGGTCACGGCTCTGTACGAGGTTTCAGAGGACGGCGAGGAGGACGGGGGAAATGAAACAAGTGGTTTAACCTTTTAACTCCTGCTGGGTAACGGAGTATATTTACTGTCAGATGTGTTTTCACCTGGAAATAAAATGTTTTTGTTTAATATAAAGTGTGCAAAAGGATTTGTTTAAGTGTTAAAGAGTTAGTTTGGTTATTTGTCTCTGAAATAAGGCGCTTGCGTATCTTTTCTTCTTGTTGTCCTAATTTACCAAAAACTTTATTTTGCATCAGGCTCCAAAGTCAATCAAAAAGTAAACCCAGCAGGACATCCCTGTGTTTTTCTTTGTCTCCTGAGGGGTGGAAATTTAGATTATAAAGGTCCAGATGAATGTCCGTGAGTTTGATTCACTTTTTGAAGAAGGATGCAGCACAATTTGATAAATAGTTTAAACCGAACTTCCCATAAAACCTGACAATTTAATGAAAAAAACAAAACAAGAGAAAAACAGAAGTCAAATAAGATATTTTAATAATGTACAAAACAGCGTTCACACATCAGATAATATAAAATACTCCGTACATTAATGACTGATCCGAGTCCATCAGTCATGTTATGAGTGTTTTCAGAAATAGCTGATGACCTTTATTTACATTAAGTGATAAAACTGACAGCGGACTTTGATTTTCAAGAGCTCTTTAAACATTTGTGCAAAAAAATCCCCCTTTGAGGAAAAAAAAAAACCGACAGAAAATATTTTAAACAGAAAAAAAAAACAGAAATTATAGAGGAAGTGTATCAGTAAAGTTGTTTGGATTCGGTCAGATCTCATGGCTCATGTTGAAGTAAAACTACAGCGGAAAGTCAAAACACCAGATGAAAATTTTTTGGGAGAATTAAAAAATTGACTTGATTTTCATTTCAACAACAGAAATGTTCATTTTAAACATAAAGCTTTGGTGGCCTTCATTTTATTCTTCATATTTTTGTATTCATCACTTTTACCTCTGGAATAATTTAATTATTCCAGATGTAAAATAATTCAATTAAACACTTTTGAGAACAGATAAGCGTCTGTTTCTCTCAAAGATCATCTGGGTTTTCTGTGGGCCTCCCCCCCTCCATATAATAAACGAATGAGAAGTGGAAACATTTTGCATTTTAAATGTCTTAAAATAAAACCTTAAAAGAACCGAAAAGAAAGTTGGTGATTTGATGGATGTTCTTGGTCGCACAAGTGTGGACTCGGTGTGGTTTTACGCACACTGCGATGCTGCGGAGCTCTTAGATAAACTACAGCATGAAAAGAAGATAAGCCCACACACTTGATGCCATGAAAGAGAATAAAAATAATTGTCTTTTTTAGCTTTAAAGAAAAAAAAAGGGGACGAGAGCTGTGATTCTCAAAGTTTGGTGGTTTTAAGGCAGAGAAAGAAAATCACCGTTTTCTTACGCTTCAGAAACAAACAGGGGGTCCATATTTAATTCTAAACATGTTTCCTTAACAAACCTTGAACCGTTTCAGAAGTGATGATACATTTCTTTTCTAAGTTCTTGAATTATGCCAGATCCCTGGGTAAAAAACGCGAGAATTTGCTGGATGGGATAATTTTGCAGATTTTAGGAGTTCAGAAGTAAAATTTAACTGGACGTGTTTTTTTTGGAGTGCTGGTTTCTTGTTGCATGAAGTTGTTTTTAAGGCAGTTTTTTTAAGGCAGATTTTCGTCTGTCCAAAGTCAGTCATGGTTAAGACAAGTAGTACATCCCATATGGTCCACTGAAAAGTCCGGGGACGTGTAAGGCAGGCCGCGGTCCGTTCAGGGCCCCATAAAGGCCCGGTGCGCCCATTGGTGCGTTCAGGGGTAAGGGGAAAGCGAAGGCCGGCAGCAGCGGCTTCGTGGCGAGTTTGAACTTCTCCAGCTCGGCCTCCTGCAGTCTCTTGGCCTTGGCCCTGCGGTTCTGAAACCAGATCTTGACCTGAGTCTCTGTGAGGCCAAGTGAGCTGGAGAACTCTGCTCTCTCCGCGATGGAGAGGTACTGTTTCTGACGGAACTTTCTCTCCAGAGAGAGCAGCTGAGAGGTGGTAAAAGGAGTCCTGGGTTTCCTGTTGTTCTTGTGTTTCCTTAGATTGCACGGGCTCGGGCTGGGAAGTCCTGGAGGCAAAGGAAGAAAGTCAAACTTCTGCGATACCAGAATTTATGATCAAAACTCAGCATCAACTACATCCCAGCTCTGTGCATAACATGTAAATAATGGATATAACACAACATACTTCACGTGCCAGATCGTGAAAAGTGCAGGTATTTTATGATAACTTCTTATTTTAAATCTTATTAATATTAATACGGTTTATTTGGATTAAAAAGTCAACCTGGATGCAAATGGGCATCTTTATTTGGTTAATAAATGAACAGCTTTCTAAGTTAATGTCAAACAGTACAGATAAATGTTTCTGTCCCGTTTTAAAGTTTAGAAATTCTCATAACAGATTAATATTATTAGCAGGCCAATCCAAACTGTCTCATTTTTAGAGATCAAAATATTCTGCGCATTCACTGAACTCTTCCTTCTTCAGTTCAAGCTCGTTAGTATTTTAAAGTACTAAAAGTGACTTTCACTCACTGGGAGGGGATGCATACGGAGCATGAAACCAGGGACTCGTCTCCCTGTCGCTGAGGTCCACCGCGTCTGCCTTGGACCGGTACAATCCTCTCGGTGACGCACACTCGGTCTCCTCTGTCCGGACGCAGCCTGATCCAGGAGGCTCGGGGCTGAGGAGGCATCGGTCCGGCGTCCTGTCTGATATGAGGGACTCCACGCTGAAAGGTAAATCTGAATTCTTGGTCTTAAACCCCCTGACAGATGACAGATCCAGCTCCTCGGTCCCCATGCCGTCAGAGACCCGGTCCTCTGTAGAGGTTTCCACCGGAGCAGCAGCCGAGGGCGGTGATCCTTGCGCAGGATTCATTACGCACGACTGAGGTGCCATACAACCCGTTTTGTCGCCGTTCTCCCCGCTTCTGTTTTGGTTTATTTTGGTGTATTTACTAAGTGAAATCTGTCTGATCGTCCAGGTTTCTCTTCAGCTTTTACGCACCAACTCTCCTCTCCTCCAGTCAAGTTCCACAAGTTTCTCTCTCATCTCACCGCCTTCCTATCAGCGTGCTGATACAGCCACGTGACTTAGGTTAAGTAGTCTCTGATAGGTCAGGCTTCACGTTGTACCCTGACATCCTTAAAAACCTTATGGGCGGAATTCTCATCATCCCACCCTCAAAAGAGCTCTCTCATGGACTCCCCTGTATTCTCACTCGTCAATATTTTGTCGCCTTGTCTTGCAGCGTGCTCTTTCATCAGCTCGATCACCCTCACCCTGTAATGTTGCATTGACATGACTCAGTTAAATTTGTGCAGTGACACATTTCAACACAACACCTGTCACAGCCTACATAAATTTAAGAGCACCAACTTAATTGCAAGGTCTGAATATTGCTTAAGACATAATATTCTATACTGACAGGACAAATGAAATATTGATTTAATGGACATATTTTTAATTCACTTTTAATCACTTTGAAAACAATATGGGGCTTATTAATACAATAATAACAATCACGTGTCTGACAGATAGCTGCTTTGGTCAGCACTTTTATATAAACAGTGGAAACACTGAGTAAGGGCCTGTGTCCACTAGCTGCATTTTCAAGTTATACTTTTTAGGCTTTTATTTGATTATTTAGAAAAACAAGGGTCTATACAAAATGTAATTAAAAACTGAACAGAGAGAGAGTGGGGAGTTAGCATACAGGAAAGGGACTATAGGTTAGGATTGACACAGCTCAAGGAAGAACATTTATGATCATTTCTTCATGGAAATTTAATCAGACCGAGAGGCTGAGGCAGAAGAACTACCGCGGCTGTAGTGCAAAATGATTAATATGATGATTACTACTTCAAGGAAATGATAAAGTAATGATCATAAATGTTCTTCCTTGAGCTGCGTCACCCCGCTGTAGTCCATAAGACTGGCGTGAGGTCTCGCTACAAACAAGCGGCTGCTGGAAGAGAGTAGGTGAGTTGTGTTTAGTCTCTTTGCTAAAAAAAATTAGTCAAAGTTAAAAAGATGTCTGGTGGCTAGTACTCTTGCTGGGACCCTTTATGTCCTGTTGATGAAGTTAGGTGCTGTTCTGAGCATTATTTGTGGCTATAGAGTGGCGTTTTGGTTGAAGTTTGTTATTGGCTCCTCAGACCGCTGTGTATTGCTATCTGCGGTCGTTACTAAAGTTTGTATAACTAGAGAAGTAAGCGGTCGGCAACATTCATCTCTCGACGGGGTGTCTAACTCTGTCTAAAAGCTTTCCCATTAAGTTAACCTGTTACCCTCACTGAAAACATTTTTGTGCACTGGTAGCACCAATCTTCTCTGCAAAATCAGTGCAATTTGACATTTCAGGCTCTTAGAGGGAACACAAGTATGCCCTCGGAATCAGCTGATTTTCTGGCTGCACCTAAAGAGCATCTTAAAACACTATTAACAGTCACTGCAAAGGGATGAGGAAGTATCACCATCCAGGAACAGCGAGCACCAGTGTGAGGTGCTCTTACAATTATGTTTTCAGTGCTTTAAGGACATTTTTAATGGACACTGGACCTTATTGTCATTTCAAAGTTGTTGCTCCAGAAAGAATTATCCCCATGTCTGCAGTTTCTGCTGAGCACCACAGAGCATCAACTCAATATTGTTAAACATATACATGACAATTACCTCAGCTTTGGTTTTCCAATCATCATCCTAAAACACTCAGAGCCAAAGCCTAAGCCTTAATGGGGCCCTGAGCAAAATTAGATTTTGTGGCCCTCTATTTCTGCCAATAATAATGATTGTTGATCATTCACACACCTTCACAAATCTCTTTGATTAACATTAACCTTTATCTTGGCGTTTTTTTCTCTTCTTCCTCTTTCTTTTCTCTGCTCCTGGAGGATATGTCCTTTTTACCTCCGCCAAGGAAGTTATGTTTTTTGACATTGTTTTGCTCCACAACTACCTGCGCTTTGGGTGCTCAGTGCACACAGCAGGAGGTACATAACGGAGCGGAGCTTTGATATATCGGCAGTAAGAATCAAAGACCTACATCAGCAGCAGAACTAAAATGTTTTTACTTTATTTTATCTTTACAATAATATATATTTGATCATACAGAAAGCATCACTCATACATGCAGAAAAAATTAACACATATTATAATTTTTTTTGGATTGCTCCTGGGGGCCCCCTATTGGCCGCGGCCTATTGGCCTATATGCCTTGGGTGGGCTCTTCTAACTCTGCTGCTTTAAAGGTTCTATTTTATTATAATTAATATAATATTGCACATATTTTATGATATCTGATGGTCAGTTCTAGACTGAAATGCTCCCTTGCTCGCCTCCATGTCAGTAAAGTGATCGTGGCTTGGAAGAGAAGTTCTTATAATGCACAAGCTCCAAATCACATGATATAAAACCAGGACTAATATTAGTGTTTAACAAATACAGAGGCTGCATACCATTGCCTAACTCTTAGGCTGGGCTTTCTGCTGCCAAAATTGCCAAATGTTAATTACAGTTTAAATAAAACACAACACCAAAATCAGCTACAAAACAGCGACCCCTACAGGCCTAAAACAATTCCCCTGTGATGCAGCGTTTGTGTTTTTGGTTTGCATGATTTGATTTCAGTCATGTGTGTTTTTGCAGCTTGTTGCTGTTAGTACAATATTTTTTTCTGCCTTTTTTTTCCACACATTGTTTTAATTTCTAACGCATTGTTTCAATTTTTTTCTGTTGTTTGTTTTATTCAGTCTATTTTAAGGAAGGGATATTTCAAAGGGGCGTAAAAGGTCAAACAAAAATGTAAAAAAAGCAGAAATCAGACTTTGTATTTGTATTTATTTATCACAGATTAAAAACAGTGCAAGGAGGAAACGAAGCCGTTAGGCTTATACAGAGTTCCACTCCCATCGGGGCAGAGAAGGCATAGGGTGCAAACAACAAAGTAACTAGGACATAGACAGGTTATAAATATACAATGAGTAGGGAAAGGTCAAAACATGCAGAAATTGTCATAAATAGAACATAGACTAATCATCAACCGGAGATAGAGACAATATAAGTATACATAAAAAGGAACGAAACATGATCATGACAAATAATGACGTGTTTTAGACATGATTAGATGAGATTTCAACGATATTTGAAAGGATTTGAAGGATAATATTGATTTTAGAGATGCATCCAGATTATTCCACAGTTCCTGTCCTCTAAAAGTGATATTAGACTGATGACAGGAAGTTTTATAGAAAGGTAACTGAAGATGAAGCCATTTTATCTCGTCTTTTCAAAAACTGATTGAAGGTATGTGTGCCAAGGAAACATTTAAGTGAAGTTTACGACATAATGAAAAGTTTTCATTAAACTCCTAAAACCATGGCAGCGTTCCTTCTTGTAGGTTCTTGTCTTCAGTTTTGCCTGACAGTAGTTTATCACTTTCATTAAAGCAGCAGGGCAATCCCAGCAGTGATTTACTGTTTCTTTTTATACTCTCAAGAGTTATTATCACTATAGATTTCTATCTTGTGGCCTGTAATCAAATTATCTATGGCTGTGTACTGCACATAATTCAGCCTATTGTGTTCATTGTGTGTAATCCCTTTGAGAGACAGCAAAACCACAACTAATGTTACAGAGGCCCATTGAAGAGGCCCGTCCAAATTGTTCTTATTTTGTAGCTCTTCAAATCAAATCATTTTCAGTGAAACTCAATATGTGAGAGTATTTTTTCTCTCTTATGGGAACTGTTGTTTGGCCCGCAGCGGCTCACTGACTGTCTCTCTGTAGGACAATTGTTTAAATGGAGTTAACTGTTTCTCTGCCCGAGGTACATTTCTGCTTTGATCCTGCTGCGCCTGGCGCCTGTCTGCTCTCTCTCTCCCCCCTCCCTCTCTGTGTGATAGATCACTGGGAAGCCGTACGAGCTTTCAATGACTGTAATTTAGTGCCTGACAACATTACTTTCTCCTCTACTTACTGGGATTATTACCACTCTGAACTCTTCTCCTGTTTGAAAAGGGATGTGGATCTGTCTGTTATGTTTTGTTTTTCCTCCATTGTTTGATAATGAAAGAGTAAATGATGTTTCCTGCCACTCTGAGAAGTACGAGCACGCCGGAAAAATGTATGTGATGAGTGTTGTAGTCAAGATGTAAAAACCTATTTATAGGGCAGAGGCTGAATTGCAGCAAGTTAATATCTCAGTCATGTGTTATAAGTTTTATGCGTATAGTTTTTATTACTTTTGACAGAGAACAAGCAACATTTTCCGATGACGTTCATGTTTTTCAAACACAGGAAGTTAAAGTTTTGACCTTTTCGCTGCACTAGAGGAAAAACCACAAAATTAATCTTGTTTTGTCCCAGTGTGTAAATCAGTCCTGATTAAAGCTCCCCTGTGGAGTTTTTCCCCTATTTATCAAACACACTGAAATGTCTCTATATGCCAAACAAAATCATCAAAATCTTCAGCAAAACTACAACTCAAGTTACTTTTAATGCCTGAAAATGTGGGTGGAGGGTAGGAAGCGAACAGTCATTAAAGCTCTTGTATTTGGCAGTCATTTGACTTGTGAAAAAAGCCGATTTTTTTAAAACAATGCAAAATTAGTAGAGACAGATGAGGTACACTTAGTCTATTTTCACACTGCAGGTCAATTCTGATTCTTTAACCATATGTGACACATATCTGATTTTTTCAGGTAAGTGTGAACAGTGCAATTCAGATTTTTTTCTAATCCGACCCAGGCCTCTTTTGTATGTGGATATAAATTGGATATGTATCCGATGTGACTGCAGTGTGGACGCTCAGGTCGCGTTCATCCGACCTATTTGTCATCAATATGCGACAAATGTCACCATCATTCGACAACACAAACAGGCGATTTCTGCTTCGTGCGCATGTGGGTCACTTCACGGACGCATTCTGTTCACATTAGATGCCACATTCGTTGCTGTAATGTGAACGACCGCACAAAAAGATCGGATTTAACAAAAAATCCGAATTGTGCATCATAACCTGCAGTGTGAATGTAGCC